AATATTATTTAAATGATTTTATTATAATTTATACATTAAATCTTGATTATTCTGATTATTCTGATTATAAAATCTTAATTATTTAATTATCTAAATTAATCTAATAATAATCTATAAGATTGATTTTAAAGGCCTAGATTAATAATATAACTTATAGATAAAGGTCTAAAAGAATCTAATGATTTTATATTTATAATGTTTGCTTAGGGCTAGATTAAATTAACCCTGATTTAATTATCTATAAATATATAGTTAATAACCTGCATTAATTTATTTTTTTTATCAAGTTAATTTACCTACTTAATTTATTTAATTAAATTTCATTTATTCAGTTAATTAATTTCATCTATCTACATGCATAGCGAATGGTAGGACCTCTGGTCTATCTATTTCAGATCTAGGTGGTCCAGGTGAACTGTTTACTTCATCTGACTGATCGATTTTCCTTATTCTATCTAGCCATTTGAAATTTCTATTCAACCCACGTGACCTACCTACCCCATCTGACACCTTCTCTAACAGACAGGCCCTAAAATACTAAGTTTTATCCCTAAAACCTAAGTAACCTACCCTTCTGGACCTTAGTAACAGCTAGATTATATAAACTACCTAGACTACTCGGCTACTTAGGATTTAACTAAATAAGGACCTTTTATTTAGGCTATATATAAAATATATAAAGGCCTGCATCTCTAAAATATTATAAATAATTAATATATTAAATAGCTTTAACTAGGGTATCTTAACTAAAAAGTATAAATATATATATCTTACCTATATAATCTTTATTATTATTTATATAGTTTTAATTTAATATCTTTTTAAGACTTACAGTTATACATAGGCCTTTAATAAATATTTATAAATCTTAATAAAGATTTAATAATATATAAAAAAGATTATCTTAGAGGGCTTTAAATTAATAAAAATAAATATTTTTAATATAAAATTATATTTTTTATTATTATATCTTTAGCTTAAATAAACCTAATTATAAATACTTATTTAGCTTATTTTCTCACCCCTATATAACCAGCTAATTAGCTATTATATATAACAGCTAAGGATTAACTAGCTAATTAACTATTATATATAATAATTAAAGACTAGCTAGCTACTAGCTATTATTATAAAATATATAACTATAATTTTTCTAAAAAAAATATAAATTAATTTTATTATTTTAAAAATTTATATCTTTTACTTTATAGCCTCCTGGTAATAATCTCTACTAATCTAAATTAAGATTATAAAAAATTTTATTATTATTTACTGTAAGATCTAGATAATTATTTATTCTTTATATATTTATCTTTATATTAATAATTTTAATATAAAGCAGGTCCCCGGAGGCCTGCAAGAAATAAAGGCTATTATAATATTTTATAATCACAGGATCTATTTTATAACCTACCTAGAAATAGAGCAGGAGGCTACTATCTTTATTACAGAATTAACTAAGATTATTTTAGCTTTCTAATTAGCTAGGGACTATCTCCTCTTATACAAACCCCTAGAGATTTACACTAATAATTAAAAGGCCCTATATAATCTAATCTCCCTAAGATTTAGCTCAGGGTAATACCTAGTACAGGAGATTATAGGGTTACTTACTAAATATTATAATATATATAAGAAATCTAGGAAAATAGTATTTTATTAAATCCTTATATATCTTAATATCCCTAATAATAAAATAATAAATAATACAGCTAAATAAATTACTAATTAATAAAATAAGATCTCCTTAAGGCCCCTAATAACTTAATTAATTAATATATTAAGATATAGACTCTGCTTTATTACTAGAGTATAAATTAAGGAATATTTAAAAAAATAAAAGAATAATTAGTAGTATATAACTTATAATAGATATTTATAATAATATTTCTTAAAGCTTGATCCTTAATCTAAAATAATATAATATTATAAAAATCTCTTTATCTTATAAATAAACATATTATTTTAGATATATATAAGCAAGATTAAGCTTAATTACTTCTTAACTATTATTTAAAAATAAAAAGACCTTTTTTATCTTTATAAATAAGCAGAGGAGATAATAACCTATCTTTTTTTATATTATATCTGCTATAATCAGCTACAGAATAAGCTTTAGGGGGCAAATTATACTACTTATCTATAATAAGTAAAAAATACCCTAACTAATCTTTAGCACGCTTTTAAAGCTACCTAATTCTTACTTATTATAAGATATCTCCTTTATCTGCGGGAGATAGCCCGCCTGTGGGTCATAAAGGAGGGCTAGGTAAAAAAAATACCGAAAGTTAGCTAAATAGAAAAATAAGATATAAAAAGGGTAATAAAAAAATATCACAGGACAGAATACTGCGGAGTAAAAAATTAAAGAACCTTAGTATAAGAGATAATAAAAGGCCTGGGATCACAGCAATCCCAGGTAATAATTAAAGATAAAACTTAAAAATATAACTAATTTATCTGTTTTTTCCTAATTACCTAATTTTTTATTTTAGCACTTATCTATATATATATATATATTAAGTATTTTTGATTTTACAGTAGAGCTGGCAGTATATTCTTAAGATCCCTAATAATATTATTATAGTAGTTTGTCCCTGCTTAATATATATATATATATATTAAGGCGGGTTAACTGGCCGCGATACTTTAGAGATCCTGTATACTATGCTGCTACTGTAACTCCAGCATGGCCCTGTACTAGTGCCGAAATGGAGGATAATGGAATCAATTAATCAATTAATTAATCAAAGGATAGAATAAGGATAATATAAAATTTTAAAAAAAAGGTTTTATATTTTTTAAGATTTTTATACTTTAGTTATTTTTATTATAATATAGATTTAAAAATATATAAGATCTGCTTTTTCATATAAATATTTTTTCCCCTGCAGGATCAGATATATTAATAAAAGTTATAATTTATAAAAACATTAATATCCTATTTATTTTTTATATAAAATAATAATATATTAAAGCTAGCAGCCCCTTAGGCTTAGGAGATAATTTATTATTTAAAAATAGTTTAGTAATATAGGCTAGTAAGTCTTTATTAATAATAAGATTTATATTAGTAATAAATTGAATAGTAATAATCTTAGTAGTATAGTAAATATTTTTAGTATATTATAAAAAATCTTATATAAATAAAAAATCTTTTTAGCTAGAAAAAAAGTTATTTTATTAATTTTAATAATATTTTATAAGTTAGCTATTTAGTAATAATAACTTTATTTTTTTTATAAAAATAATGGCTAGCTAGCTTAATAGTATTTTTTAGTTTTTTTAAGGCCTTATATATACTTAAAATTAATCTTATATTAATTTAGTTTATATACTGTAGGGCTCCTGCCAGGATTTTAAGAAAAAAAACTTATAAAAATAAAAAAAAAAAATCTTTTTTTAAAAAAAAATAAACTAGATATACTTCTGCCCTGTTAGGGCTATAATAATATTAAATAATAAAAAGAAATAAAAAAATTAATTAAAAGATTAATCTTTATATAATTAATATAAAATCTGTTACTAAAGCAGTATAAAACTTTATAATTAATTTTTTTAATAAAAAAAATAAATATAAGATTTTAAAAAAAAGTTTAATTTTATTAAATTTATTTATATTATTTATATTTATAAGGGGATATTAGATAGCCTTAGGTATTTATAAAAGATTTAATTATTTTAATTTTTATATAATAAATTAATCTTTTATTAAATATTAAAACTATAGCAGCTATAAATAAGTTATAAAAATAATTTTAAGTATAAAATAATTTTTAAAATAAAATAAAGTAATTTTATTTTATATTAGAATACTAAGGCAGAAGTATAAAATATTATATTAAATATTTAAAGATAATTATTTTATTAGAAAGAATATATTTATTATTAATACTTATTTTAATATAAAATATAAAATAATTAGATTACTAAAGATCTATAAGATTATTAAAATATTTAAAAACTAATTTTTATAATAATATTATATATAAGAAACCTCTTATTAAAAAAAGATTAACTGTTTAATCCCTAAAAGATTAAGTAATTAATTTTATTTATTTTATACCTGTTTTTTAATTTCTTATATCTCTTAGCATATAATAGGCGGTCCGCAGGCGTATCACAGGCGTCCCGAATTCCTTGGTATATCCATCTAAGGGAACCAAGTGCCCGGAACAGAACCTTCGTGGCTGCCCCTTACAACTTATGGGTTATATAGGAGGATTAAATAAAAAAGATATTAGAAGTTAGTTAAGTGGAGTATTAGAAAAAGAAAATAGTAAAAAAATATTATAAAACAGAATACCGCGGAGCGGAAGACTAAAAACTCCTAGTATAAAAGATAGTAAAGGGCCTAGGATCGCGGTGGTCCTAGATAGTAGTTAAAAATGAGACCTAGGAACACAGCTGACTTATCCTTTTATACCTGATTATTTAATTTTTTATTCCGTACCCGTCTGTATATATTAAGTATTCTTACCTTTGTGTAAGAGCTGGCGGTACACAGGATCCTTAATAATGTTGTTGATGTGACTCTATCTTATATATATATATATATATATATATAAGGCAGGCAACTGGTATAATAATACTCCAAGGATTTTATGTGCCATGCTGCCACCGCAACTCCAGTGTGGCCCTGTACTGGTGCTGAAATGGAGGATAATGGACTTAATCAATTAATCAATCAATTAAATCCTCCGCCGCTGTAGAGATACAGGCGCGGAACGTTATGGGCTACTATATATGCCATGTCCGCCGCTACAGCCGCCGTAGATATCAATAGTGCATAACACCACCGTGCGACACTTATAGCCTCTATATTTGTTAATTTACATATTTAATAGTTACTTAGAATTGCTTTATTTATTTGGTAATCTGTGTCTAATTAATAGCCATCCCAGTAAAAGATACAGATATCATCCTGAGAAGCACCCGAGCGAGGGGTGGTAGGGATTGTTGTTATACCCCCTTGTCAGTACCCAGGTCATATGGGGTGTGTCATGAGCAGGTAAGGGCGTAGTTGTATAAAATATTCATATATTATGACTGGAATAATATACTAAGTCACTGCTAGAGCCTGTCCCCTCAACATCAATCATCGGGATACTCATCTCTAATGTTACTCACAAATGTCCGACTATCCTCATCCCATCGTTTAAAATACTTCCCTGCTACCATTAAAAGCGACTCTGGCAGATCTGATGCATGGGGAAATATGATAGCAACATTTTCTTCCGCCACATACCGAATAGTACCGTCTTCAACACTGCAAGAAAGTCAGCATATGGTTCATGATTGTACAATCCGGGCGAGCATACAGGACATGATAGAAACTCTGATGCCTCCCACCCTGCAAGCGATCAACCCAGTGTTCACTAGTGTCAAATTCAACGTCCCACCCCATGATAACAGCCCTGTATTCATAGCGTCGATGCCGAAGTACATGACCAATCCGATATTTTATATTAGAGACATAAGAAGTACGTCTCTTTGTCTGTCTCGGTAATTCATCTACAGCTCGCATGACATGTAAATTTTCCAAAATGTGCTCATGCTCAACCATCCCATGGAAGAGCGGGGCAATATATCGCTCAACGAGAAACGTGTCGAAAGGGAATTCCGTGGCAAACAATTCCATCAACCAAGGCAGATAATGCCTAAACTCCGCCTGTTGGGAAGAGCGAGAAAGCAGCATTGCCGACCAAAGAGCAGCGTAAGTGGCGCTGGTGACATCAACCGAATTTAGGACCCCAGGGCGATGAGACATGCGCTGGACTGAGTTCAATATATTCTTGCTGCATCGTAAAACGATATCCGATGTCAACGACTCACCCAGGAGAGTGGCTCGCTCAACGGCCGAGGCGCCCAAGAAGTTCAACTGACTCTGAAGGTCTGCAACTGGTGTCTCCCTGTCCGAACGAAATGGATCCATGTAGATCGGGTCGCCTTCGGTCCCCTCGAGTGTATTGCCGTCCATATCGACACCATGCGGAGGTTTAACGATAACATGCACGTGGAAAGGAAACCCACAAGGCTGCGCACGCAGACCGAGTCTCTGAGCAACATAAGAATATATGGTTGCTGATATCAGCGGTAGTGAATTATGCCCAGGTTCTTTGAGTGCAACCCCCAAAAAATTGTGCTCCAGACAATGGTACTCCCGCCCTGGCTCAATGCCTGTTAAGTTATTTCCCCTCAAATACGATGCAATGGCTCTAGCCTTATCACGCGGCGTGAATTGGTCAATGTCAGGGTATTGTACAAAAACCACAGCAGATATTCCGTCTAGCTTGTGCTTAATCTGCCATCCAACATTAAAATCCTATCACTTACCCCTGCAGTGAAACTTACCTCATCCACACTTCCATAGCCGCTTTCTGGTATGAAAAGGTCGAAGGCGCCCAGTGCTCGCTCGAGAGGAACGGTCTCATTGTTGCCAAGTCTTGTCCATTCCAGTACCGCAATGCTCCGATGGAGGCCAGCTAGAAGCGCTTTGGAATAGTATCTTTAAATGTAGACCGGGCGCGTTAGAATCAGAGGAAACATAATGCAACCACAACATCAAGGGGAAAGGGTGCAGACCTCCTTGCTAAATGGTCGCATCCGCTCACTGGTGGCGAGACGTTTCGCAAGAGAGCATCCTTGGCATCGCAACCATAATCGAGAATTGAACGGAATTTTTCGATTCTTCCGGTCTGCGTAACCAGGATACTATCCAAAATTTGGCAGGTAGAACGGTCGGCTAAATGCCTTGAGATATAAAGAGCCTTCCAGTTAACTGCGGACAAAGGACCCGTAAGCCTCCGTGCAAGATCATGCCGCGCATCCCAGAATTTGAATTGAGACCTGCAGTATAATCTCCACAGCACAGGCTCATTGGCAATGCATTTGAACCGGCGGGCAGTCTGTTCCAAGGCAGCGCAAGAGCAAGGGCTGCAGTAGCATAGGATGTTGTGCAGTATTTCTTGAGGAAGACTGTCAAGCGACAAAACCATTCCGATGCATCAAATGGACACTGGGGATAAACGGCTGAGATAATTGAATGCGGCCCCCCACTTAGAGGAGATGCGTATCGTGCTGACAGCCACCTGAAAATCTAGAAAGAAAGTCGGGGCGGGGGGAGTACAAGTTCGCAACCGTCCCAAAACTTCCCGCTTACGGCGCCCACCACTACTACTCCGTATCAGTATCCAAGTTCCAAATTCATGAACAAAATTTACCGCAACGTTCGCCATTGATCAATCTTGCCCACTTCTTTTACAATTTTCTTCTTCTTCGTTATTAAGATAACTGTTATTATTATTATTATTGTTGTTTTTCAAAAAAAAAAAAAAAAAAAAAAAAAGTTTACGAGCTCATACACACAGGTCTGCCTTGGAACAGGTGTAACACACATGGGGCAATCGCAGTCCACCAGGAACCATGAGGATGATGGGGAATCAGCCGAGGGCACCAGGACAGACTATTATGAGCTTCTACGAGTGGATTCAGATGCCACTGGGGAGGAGTAAGCCCATGTGCCCGCAACAGCATGTTGACTGGTGAGCTAACCTTAAGCAGGATAAAAAAGGCGTATAAAAGAAGAGCACTGGAATTACACCCTGATCGAAATTATGGCAACACGGAAGAAGCAACGCAACTATTTGCAGAAGTTCAATCGGCTTACGAAGTTCTCTCGGATCCCCAGGAGCGTGCGTGGTATGATTCGCACCGCCAGGTATTCCATGGCAGCCATGGACAATTCGAAGAAGCGGGCTATTCATATGATACCCGCATGACAACATCGGATGACCTTTTCCAGCTGTTCACACGATTTAGTCCCCGGATGGACTTTAATGACTCCCCTGATGGATTTTATGGGGGACTTCGGGACACATTTGCTCGGCTAGCTGCAGAGGAAAGAGCGGCCTGCAAATGGGAGAAAACTGACACAGTAGATTACCCGACGTTTGGTTTCCATAACGACGGCTTCGAAAACGTGGTGCGGCCATTTTATTCTGTATGGGCTGGCTTTTCCACGAAGAAGTCATTTGCTTGGAAAGATGTCTATCGTTATTCTGAAGCACCTGATCGGCGTGTTCGTAGAATGATGGAGAAGGAAAACAAACGCCTCCGAGAAGATGGCATTCGTGAGTTTAATGGGGCTGTTCGAGCGTTCGTGGCTTTTGTTAGGAAACGCGATCCTCGGTACAAACAGAATGCTCAGAGCGAATCCCAACGGCAGGAGAGTCTCCGTCAGTCAACTGCCGCGCAGGCTGCTCGATCACGAGCAGCAAATTCGGCGAAACTACGTGACCATGTCCCACAGGACTGGTCTAAATCAGAGTATCCTAACGAGGATCATTCTGACACACCTGAGGAAGATGTGGAACATTTCGAATGTATTGTTTGCCACAAGAGGTTTAAAAGCCAGAACCAGGTGGAGGCCCATGAACGTAGCAAGAAGCATCTGAGGGCCGTCAAACAACTTCGTTGGGAAATGAGAGCACAGAATGAACAACTTGATTTGGAAGAGGCGCCTTATAATGACTACGCGCAGCCAAACGAAGCCATTCCGGGTGTCACGGCAGTCGAACCACCACAAAGCGAAGCCAGTTACAACCCTAGCGATGAGGTCTTGGACGCAGCTGTTAATTCCGGCCCCGAACACATCCCAGGGGTATCTTCCGAGCAGGACACCACTGTTGCAACTGCCGCAGAGTCTAACGGAACTTCCTGTTCATTGCCAGCGAGCCCGGTGAACTCCACGGTCCTCGACGAGGATGACTATGTGCCACGGGAGTTCATTGAGAGCAGACTAGACCCTTTAAAAATGCCTGCCTCGGGTGGATGCCAGGGCAACGAGTTTGATATGCTGTCCCAGGATTTGCTGGACTGCAATCTTGAAGATGAGTCGCGAGTAAATGGCAAAAAGCCTGGCAAGGCGAAACAACGGCGGGCTCGAAAAGCACAGCGTCCAATCGAGCACTCTGGAGATGTTAAGTGTGCCTCATGCAATTCCACCTTCCCTTCCAGGACCCAGCTGTTCGCCCATTTAAAGGATAATTTAAGTCATGCGCAGCCCCCATCCGCCGTTGGGGGGCCTAAGAAGGGGAAAGCACGGTTCACATGACCACGGTCAACTCGGCCTCAGGGGGTCATTCGCAAATATGGAACCTTTGATATGCGGACACTCGCATGAGTAATCGATATTTTGACCTATGAATCGAGATGCACATCTCTAAACATACCTAACTATAGCGCGTACATGTGCCATTGATTCCATCCAGTATGCGCCCTTCGGACTTGGGTTCAAACCCAATTTATCCCAGACCAGCTTTAGAGTTTTTGACCACGTGCGCTACTGGCAAAAGGATTCCTTTGTTGTTGGTGGCCCCAAGAGCAGTGCCTGTACTCCAGCCCATCTTCTCTAGCATGGCCCTTCCTTTGTTTCCGGCGCCTATTTCAGGTGCAGATGCGCCAACGACATCGCCATCCATGTAGGAAACGGATCCACCGGGTTGCCCACGGCGAGCTTGAGAGGATTTAAGCCCATTTTTATCCAATGATTTTGACTTGAAACTCCCCGCCGATAGTATCCTGTTGATTTGTGGAACCGTCTTGGTGCTGCATTCGGGAGTGCGTGAAGTTTTGTGGAGAATGGGGAATCGAGATGCCCCTTTCCCTCGTGATTTTGAGTTTAGAGAGAGCGCGCTCGCTAAGTCATGGATTAACTTCCTACGCTGTTTCGGCATAGGAGGGAGAGGCAGACTTATATTTTCGTCAACCACTGTTTAGGTTGTGTGTTTTGGGGGGGGGACAGGACTTACCTATTTCTCGATGAGAGAAGAAACGTGTGTATTTCCGTCCGCAGCTCTTCAAGTGTAATGCCATTCGTATACTTGACTTTCAGATCGGCGTTGTCTAGACCTCGGCCTAATAAACCCTTAGAGCGGAGATTTTCTCGTCTTTGCTTTCTCGTTTTCTTCTTGTCGCGGTCATTTTGCCATGCCCTGACCAATTCCATCTCCAGCTCGGAGTCAGAGAGCTCAAAATTTGGGGCGTGATACTTAGCCTTCGATTTCTTTCGAAGACTAGGTCGGTCGAAGTCCATAATATCAAATCCATAATAAGGATCTGATTCCAACGCATCAGCGAATGTGGTTGCTGTGGGAAACATGCCCTTTTTGTGTTTAGCAAGTCTCAGATGGTTCAGGTGCCGTTGTTCTCCGTCCTGTATAGACAAATCCTCTAATATATCTAATTCGTCGAGATCCACTTCAAACTGGCTATCGTATATGTCGCTTGGCTGACTTTCCATATCATGATCAAGAGGGCGTTTGCTTTGAGGCATAGCATGCGTAGACATCCGCTGTGTTTCCCTGACCTCGTTGCTCTCGGGGCTGTATCCTTGCTCGGGAACTATGAAGAATGGTCAATAAAAGCCCTATGGCACTGAAACTATAAATGGAGAAAGCAAGTTGTTGGACTTCTTCCGGGCAGGTCTCGGGTGAAACATACATTCGCGGTTTGCATGCAAGCAACTGTCGCTAGGGGCCCGTCCTCTTGGGTGGCTTTCAATTTCCCCGGTGCTTATCTGGGCGCCTGCTTTCTTTTTTGCGACACGTGTGATATCCTTGTGGTAGTACTCATCGTCGATATTCAAGATGTAGTCTGTGAAAACATCAAAATCGCCATCGAAAATATTTTCCGCATATTGCTTCTCAGGCTGCTGCTGTCCTGTGTCCGAGTCCTCGGTATCATCGCTGGCTGATTTTGTCACTGTATGCAAGGTTTGCCGGCGGCCGTCCGAGCCCAACGCCGCATTCTTGGCAGGATTCTCAGGAGGGGCCGTCGCAAACTGCTTTCCCGCGTCTTGATTTCCTCTCTGTGTCGGGTCGAGGGTATTGGTTTGTACTTCTGTATGGTCATCTAGAAGGCGCGTCCCAGTTTCCTTCCACTTATGGCGGCCATGGAATACTATTTCATCTTCGCTAGATTCATCCGATACAATATTGGTGATTGGATCCGCCATTCCAGTCTGTGGAGCATCTTCGCCGGTTAAGTCGATAAAGAATGCTGCGCCTTCATCCACCACATTCGAATTTGTTGTGTGCACCGATGGTGCAGTCTCCTGTTGTGTCGCAGCTCCCGATACATCGGTTGTCCTGTCGAGGCTGGGCGGCTCCGGTGGCAATTCATGGTCCGGTTGCAATTCACCTGCGCTCACGAATTGGACCGCTTGGTGGCGGAGAAGAGAGCCCGGGCGCCATAAGTTGCGCCCTCCTGTATTTCGTGCCTCTTCTCTCATAGTAAGGTGGGCTGGAGTGGGGTGGCCAACAGATTGGGCCTCGTGTTTTCCATTGCGCAGTAGAGCGGCCGTGGGCGTTGCATATTTCCGTTTTTTATCCAACGCCCTCCCTTTTTTAGGGCGAGGCATTTTTCTTGGTGAATGGTGTTCTCTCCTCACTTCTCCCGGGGTGAAAGTTGTGTGGTCAGGAACTTCGACTTGTGTCGGAAGTAGATAGTGAAGTTACTTGAAGTTACTTAACTACCCACTCACTGTTCGCTTTAAGGCTCGGTTTCTGCCGGGCGGTGTGTATGTTTGTACTCCAGACTGTGCCTCGGACGTCATCGATGTATAGTAGCAAGTATGATAAGCATGTATGATAGATGCTAATAGTTTTGTGGGTGGTGCTATACGTCTAGAGCATTCGGTTGAATCTTGCCTGGTGTCCCTTCTCTGAGTACAGGGTTCCGCCGTTTCTAGTCGTGTTGGCCGGCGATGACGTCTAGCCCCCTTGGGGATTCGGCCTGATTTGCCTCGTGACCGCCGTTGTGATGACCGGAGACCCCTCACTGATTTCATCCATCCCTATCTATCTACTCTTTGGCCTCTGGGGTTGCTGTTTTCTTCCGTTGATACCTATGGTGTGTGATTTTCAGGCGCTTCTCCTGGTCTTTATACTTCTTCCTCGCTTCCCCCATCTTCCATTTACGACGCTATCTTGGCGGAGTATTATATATTTCTAGTCTCTCATAAGCCATCCTCGCCACCCACGGTTGATACGCCGTAGCTGAGAAGGCGCGTTAATCGGGCAGCGCACCAAACCGGTAAGAAACGTGAGCATGAATAATGTCGACATCGGGCGATGTGGTAAGCGCATCGTACAGTATCTATGGGATCCCGAGCCTCAGAACGACGAGGAGCCAGATGCCATGATATGGTGTCTAGGAACAACATATCCACCCGGCCAGGAATATATCTTGCCACAGCCGAAGTCCAGTAAGCCCAGACTTGATCTCGGCACCGTCCCCACCCATCCGGGACACCGTAATTAAAAGACTCACCCACTGACATACGTGGATTGAACAGATTTGGACAGGCCGAACCAGCCCAAGTCGGCACCCCAAGACACGACGTATGGCTGGCCTGAGGGGTTCTTACTAGACTTCGAGTCGAGGATTTGGATGACTTACCGATCGAACTTCCCCCCCATACCCAAAATCGATAGCCCCGATGCTAGACCCGGGATGACGCTGTCTGTACGCTTGAGAAGCCAGCTGATGGAACCGGAGGGTTTCACCTCGGATACGGGATGGGGCTGCATGATCAGATCCGGTCAGAGCCTCCTGGCCAATGCTCTATCAATCTTGCATCTGGGCCGTGGTATGTGGTGAATAATCGTCTACATCAAAATATACAGTGCTGATAGCATGCCAGAATGGCGACGAGGACACAAAACCGACCAAGTTCAACTGCTGAAGCTATTTGCTGATCATCCGGATGCTCCATTATCAATACATCGATTTGTCGAACACGGCGCACAAGCTTGCGGCAAATACCCCGGGCAATGGTTTGGGCCCTCGGCAACCGCCAAATGCATAGAGTATGCTTTCCCCCTTGTCTTTTCTATTTCCCCATCGCCCCCACAGGACATGGCCTAGAGAATTGACATGCAGAGCAGATTCCTGTCTGCCCAGTGTGAAGGTTTAAAGCTGAAGGTCTATGTCAGCAACGAAAGCTCTGACATCCACGAAGATAGCCTCATGAAAGTTGCCCGGGATGTTTCAGGTGCTTTCCAACCCACGCTGATACTCATGGGAACGAGGCTCGGAATCGACCACATCACGCCAATTTATTGGGACGCCCTCAGAACCTCATTGCAACTCCCCCAATCAGTGGGAATAGCAGGGTATGCAATACACTGACCTGCAAGATTTTGGCTAGAGCACAAGAACCGAATGCTGACGTATATTTCGCAACTAGCGGGCGCCCAGCAGCATCCCACTATTTCGTTGGCGTTCAAGGCTCAAATTTCTTTTACCTTGACCCTCACAGCACTCGCCCTGCTGTACCGCACCATGAAGAGAACGTGCCATACTCAAAGGACGAGATAGCTACCTACCACTGCCGTAGACTGCGACGGATTCATGTCACGGACATGGACCCAAGCATGCTCATAGGCTTCCTGATCAAGAACGAGGAGGATTGGGTGAACCTGAAGAATCGCGTCGCATCGGTGCAGGGAAAACCAATCGTCCGTGTTATCGCAGGATTAAAACCCGATATTTATCACGGAAGACAAGAAGCGCTCGACGAAGTAGAGTCACTGGATGATGCTGAATAGAAGCCGAAGAATGCAGACATGCGCGAAACAGGATCACTTGACTGTGGTTTTAGATGTGTTAGAGTACCAAATGAGCTCATACCTGCACAAGGAACCTTTGTTTTTTTTGAAAGTGATATCGAATTCCTAAGAGGTCGGCTGCAGCCGCGAAACAACCCCAGAGAACCGTGTTATGTTACACCGCGTTCACGTCTCGAATAAAACCATAAAAACATTTGGCCCAAAGGGAAATAAAATAAAAGCCATCCCATGACACATTAGAAAATCCCGCGAACACCCTGTAACCCACCAACCTCAAAATCACGGTTGATAAGAGGCAATAAAAAAAAAAGAAACAATCCTGCGCACAAATGAAAAAAGAAAAGGAAAAAACCCCCAACAGCTTATTTAGCAGAAGAAGAGTACTTCGTCACGGCCTTCGTACCCTCCGAGACGGCGTGCTTAGCCAATTCACCGGGCAGAATGAGCCTCACACTGGGAACCCGTTAGCACAAGATCGACCCACAAGAACAGCTTAACATACGAGGTCTGGATCTCCCTTGACGAGATAGTAGATTTCTTGTTGTAGGCAGCGAGCTTCGAGGCCTCGGTAGCCACACGCTCAAAGATGTCTAGAAAAACCGTTAGCTCACCGCTCTCAAGTACCAGAAGTGAACAAATCTTACCGTTGACGAACGAGTTGAGAATCGACATGGCGCGAGTGGAGATACCAGTGTCGGGGTGGACCTGCTTGAGAACTGCACCACTTGTTAGTCATAACCCAACGATCCTCGCCGTAAGTCAAAGCCTACCCTTGTAGATGTAGGAGGAGTAGGTCTCCTTTCTGGTCTTTCCACGCTTCTTCTTTTCACCGGAAGCGGCGGTGGCAGTCTTCTTGCCGGCTTCCTTCTTCTCAGCGGGGGCCTTGCCGCCAGCGGGGGCCTTGCCACCGGTGCTGGGCTTCTTCTCAGCGGCTTTGGGAGGCATTTTGTCGATGAATAGGTTGATTGAAAAGATAGGGTGAGAGGTGGAAGTGGTGAGAAGAAACGGTTGACGTTGAGAGCGAGGATGAAGGATGGAGATGGAATGAGTAGGAGGATAAGAAAGTTGGAGACGCGGTGACGAGGGAGACGCGCTACTTATACCGGCGTGCCAAAGCCCAGTTGATCCTGAGGTGCACAAAAGAAGGCGAATTTCAATACGGTCACGGGCACGTATGATCTGTATGATTAAATGAGGGGGAACGCGTCGGGAGCCATAGAAAACCAGGCAGGATCACGCCAAGATTACCGTACGGAACCGTACGGTTGGGACGGGGAGGCACGCTTAGCCCGATGTGGACTACCCGTATCCCTGGAAGGCTGGGAATCAAAGCAGCGACCGCGCTGCCAAGCGGTGGGAGCGCCGGACCTTGATCTATAAGGTGATTGGCCAGCCCCGCTAAGCGAGAGGGTGATCTGAAGGCGTCTAGCCGGCCCAACGTCACCCGCAGCGCGTCGTTATAAATGTGCTTTGCTCCCTCGCGCTGGCCATCTAACTTCGACACCCTATCCTAACCATTACCATCCGCCGCTCTTCACCCACGCGTTCTCAATCGCTGCTCCATCTGATCTGTTCTCTTCACCTATCCCACACCCACCGCAAAAATGACTGGAGGCAAATCTGGAGGCAAGGCCAGCGGCAGCAAGAACGCGCAATCGTAAAGTCCCCCACCTCCCACTTTGGCTTTGCATTCGAGTCTAACTGGTCAACCTGTGTAGGCGCTCGTCCAAGGCCGGTCTCGCGTTCCCCGTTGGACGTGTCCACCGTCTTCTCCGCAAGGGCAACTACGCCCAGCGTGTCGGTGCTGGTAAGTTTCGTGTTTTCGCGTTGCGATGGTGAACCGCGAGCTCATCTGGTCTAGGTGCCCCCGTCTATTTGGCTGCCGTGCTCGAATATCTCGCTGCCGAGATTTTGGAGTTGGCTGGTAACGCTGCCCGTGACAACAAGAAGACTCGTATCATCCCTCGCCACCTGCAGCTCGCCATCCGCAACGATGAGGAACTGAACAAGCTCCTTGGCCACGTCACCATCGCACAGGGTGGTGTCTTGCCCAACATTCATCAAAGTAAGTTCGGTTATGCCATCTGTACTTCGTCAAGCACGGGAGCGCTGACCTCATTTTCCCAGACCTTCTTCCCAAGAAGACCCCCAAGGCCGGCAAGGGCGGCGCTAGCCAGGAGCTTTAAGCTGTTTTCTTTTCACGTTTGGGATTTGTCTTTCGGCGCGGTTTGGTTTTCATTGATGTGATAACGGGGTTCTGGACTGGGCACCTTTATGGCTCTGCGTTTCTGTTCTAATTTTTATGGTTGTACATTATGTCCACGGACATGGAATGATACCGGCACTTCTTACGGATCGAGGCCTAGGAGACAGTTCATTTATGACTGTCATCCACGGAATGATAAGCTTATGTGTTTAAAAAACGATCTACCTCGCGTAGAACAACTGTATATGATTCCTCGTCCCAGGCTGATCTGGGTATAACTTTCGTTTGTACGTGAACATTGATGTTCTTAGGCGACTTTGTCGTTTCTGGCTGCAGTATAAGAGCTTCATTCGGACTGATCAATTGAATTCAATTCCATTTGTAAACTACTGTACGCTGGCATTCGTTTTTTCTTGGAATTAATGGCTGCCCGAGGCATCTTAAGCAGCTGTTAGTTTCAACTTTGCAAATGGCCGAAGTTTTGACTTACAGGGCAGGATACGTGCCGGGAGATTCCGTTCCCATTTGTTGCCTATAAAGATAATCAGTATCCGGGGTGACACTATGGCACTTCGAGATCTTCATAGACATACCACCTGGTGCAGTTGGTGCTCTGTAGGGGTCGGGATGTTTCCAATTCTCTAGCAACTTCTCTGTCTCACGTATGAGCACCTTGGAGAAAGCATAGCAATTAGCTAGGCTGCTTGGGTAGCAAGTTCCATGGAAGAGGGACCGAATTCACCTTTTGTTGGCGTGGATCGCGCACATCCTTGTTTGCCTCGAAGAGTGACCGAATGTATACGGCCTGTCCGCGCCATAGCTGCCTGTGAACAGCCCAGTCAAGCGCAAGCTTCAGCGACCGACGATAGAGGGAACTGCGAATGGGAAGAAGCCATGGTAATCATTAGTTCCTTCTTCCTAGCAAGAGTGCAATTCGTTCCGAAGTCAACGTACGTGACAGCGCTGGTAGACATGATGGCCTGATGTGGAGTAAAGATTTGTGGCGGTAGGTGTGTATCTTTTTGTTTTGTCCCGGTAGACAAGGATTGCGAACTCTGTCACCGAGTGCTTATCACTCGAATGCGGTGATGCTTCGCAAATCCTAGGGGTGAGGAAATGCCAGGGCGGTGTTAACGTAATAACAATACTCCGGCCGTCATTCGCCGGGTGCAGGACTGCTACGTGCAGGGAAATCCCGGTAGTTTCGGCCCGGGCTCGAGCTGCTTCCTTCATTTCACTGCCCTACGACATCGGCAGAGTTTTGTTTTGCTTCAACGTCACCACAGCTCTCAACACTTTTGTTATTACCAACCCTTCACATCAGCGGTGTTGCTCTCGAATCCGGTTTCCGTTGCGCATTGAATCAGCCAAACCTTGGTCTGCCTTACTTGGTCATCATGGCTTCTCGATTACCACTTCCCCGTCTACCCGAACAGCGCCTCAGGGCAATCCCTCGGGTTGCCCATGGCTCTCGCTATCTGAGTACCGCTGGCCGCCGGAACTTCGCTTCAGCTGCACTCTGCAGGCACCTCAGTCGGCCCAGTGGGTCCTCTACCAGCCCACTGCAAGTTCCCGTCTCAGGGTAAGATTGCTCTTCAGTTTTGCGACTCTTTATTTGACAAGGAAGGCGGGGGGGCGACTATGAAAGGATGACGGATCAGGAGAAACTGTATACTCGCGCTGACATGTCCCAGTGCTCCCCGGTTCGATCTCGGATTCTTTGGGCGCCACCAGGTTCGAACTTATGGTAAATATTTTTCTTCCTCTATGCGGATTCTAGCTAAGCACAGAGCAGCGGATTCCATTGTTAAGGTTCCCCAGATGGCAGAATCAATCACCGAGGGCACATTGAAACAATTCTCGAAACGTAAGGCTACAAGAACCTACCCTCTCTTTCTCTCTCTGATCTCTGATCGAACTTCGTACTTACTTTGCCATAAGAGGTTGGCGATTATGTCGAACGTGATGAAGAGATAGCAACCATTGAGACGGACAAGGTAAGATCTCCGTGCATACAGGCAACTCGATCTATATCGTATGGCTGCATTGGGAAAAGCGTCTGCTCATGCGCAACAGATCGATGTTTCCGTCAACGCACCTGACTCAGGCACCATCAAAGAACTGCTGGTCAATGAGGAGGATACTGTGACCGTTGGGCAGGACCTTGCCAAGCTGGAATTGGGGGGCGCCCCTGAGGCGAAGAAGGACGAATCTTCCGAGAAACCAAAGGAGCCTGCTGCTGAAAAGCCCAAGGCACCGACTGAGCCAGCGGAGGAGACGAAGCCATCGCAGAAGCCTGCTTCGTCGGAAAAGCCGGCAGCTCCCGAGCCCCAGAGCAACAAGAAACCGGCGCCCGAAGCCTCTCAGTCACAGGCTTCTGACACTGCCAAGTCCACCCCTAGCGGTCGTGAGGAACGACGGGTGCGTCTTGCCCTGTAACCTTTAACCATGAGCATTTTGCATGTATACTGACCCGCATCTCACTCTGCAGGTCAAAATGAACAGAATGAGGTTGCGAATTGCCGAGCGCCTGAAGCAGTCCCAGAACACCGCTGCCTCGCTTACTACTTTCAATGAGGTCGACATGTCATCTCTTATGGACTTCCGGAAACTATACAAGGATGATGTCCTTAAGAAATCCGGTGTGAAACTTGGGTTTATGAGCGCCTTCTCCCGTGCCTGTGTTTTGGCCATGAGAGATGTGCCCGCTGTGAATGCATCCATTGAGGGCCCGAACGGGGGTGATACTATCGTGTACCGCGATTACGTGGACATTAGTGTTGCTGTCGCTACCGAGAAGGGTCTTGTCACCCCCGTGGTGCGAAACGCCGAGGCTATGGACCTTGTTGGAATCGAGAAGGCCATTGCGGATCTCGGAAAAAAGGTCCGTTTCGGTGTTGAGATAGTCTGGAGATCATGCTGATGACCAAATCCAACCAGGCCCGCGATAACAAGCTTACAATCGAAGACATGGCCGGTGGCTCTTTCACCATCAGCAATGTAAGTACACTTGCTGCTCTTGATGTCCTGGCCGTTTGGCCGAGCATGTGCTAACGTCGTCCAGGGCGGTGTTTTCGGCTCCCTGATGGGCACGCCGATCATCAATCTGCCGCAGACAGGTATGACGTCCTAGTCACCGGATTCCCGAGAGTTTTGAGTCTGACCGTTTCTCCCTCCTACCTCTTTTTAGCCGTTCTTGGACTGCATGCGATCAAAGACAAGCCCGTGGTAGTCAACGGCAAAATTGAAATCCGTCCCGTATGTTGTTCCAGCCCCTCGTTCTTAAACATACTACTAACACCACCCAACCAGATGATGTACCTTGCTCTCACTTATGACCATCGGCTTCTAGATGGCCGGGAGGCAGTTACGTTCCTTGTCAAGGTTTGTGGATTAATGTACCGGGTTGATTTGGGTGTATTTTTACTGATCACTTTCGATCGCAGATCAAGGAGTATATCGAGGACCCGCGTCGCATGTTGCTCGGCTAGATGCAACAATAAGGGCCTGTTTCGTCCACGGGGTATGTCTCTAAACAACTTGGCATGCCTTTTGTTCTGTTTTGGACCCTGCCAGGTCTTCATGTACATTATCAGTCTGTTGACGAAGGCAATGTGGGAAGAGCGAGATAAGAGGAAATTAACAACCATATACACCTGCTGTGTGCCAAGTCAAACCAGTTTAGTCAACAGTAATGCGTGTGCTACAAGGCCATGGATCATCTAAGTCCCACCCGGTCTTTTAGCTGCTGCGTTTCAGCGCGATTCAATCCCTGAAGTTGGCCTCGCTCGAGCTGGACGAGTACCGGGGCCTCCAATCCTTCTATTAGACCAGACACAAAATCGACTATCGCATCTTGGAGGCGTGGCAGGGGCATTTCCCGGGAGAATGTTTCTACCTGGGTAGCCAGCGAGATCCCCCCTGGCGGTGACCAGTAGTTTGCCATGTCGATGCCCAGTTGCCTTGTCAGCGCCGCATTGAGATTTTCGACCGCTTTAAGAAGTTGTTGGTCGAGGCTCTCGGGCGACCTCTCTGGCAACGGTAATTCTTCAAGAGCGGCCTGCATCAGTAGCCGCGCCGTAATCCGCCTTGGTTTTTCACCTTGCGTTTTGGTGGATGCGTTATTGCAAAGTAGTATGAATTGGGTTACAATTTCGGAGAGGGGTGGTACGCCACGGCGGTGTCCATTTTTCTGTTTGTGGTGGACTTTCTGGTGTCCAGCGGCAGGATGCGCCTCCACAGGAGAGAGATTCTGGGATGTTGGCCAGGCGTAGCGAAGAAAGTTGTTCATGAAGTCAAGAATCTGGGCTTTGGTGCGGAGGTCATAGGGGAGGAATTCGGTATCTTGGAAGACCAACAAAAAGGCTGCATTCAGCTTGGGCGGTTAGTATGATCCCCTGGCAACGTTTTCTGTGCATGGACCTTGTCTGGAGCATACTGTCAATCATATCAAGGGCCCAGGCAACGCTTTCCGCCTCTGCTGTGGACAGCAAGCCGCTTATGGTGGTGGATAGTATGTAGTCCAGGATCATCAAATCCACTTCGATTCGGGTGTTTGCGTCCGCTCCGGGACAATCCATTGTGAATTGAGTGAGCCGCAAGTAAAACCATGGCCCAGGACGAGATTTTGTTTGGCGATGAGTGACTGACCGACGGCTCTCTTGTGGCTGTTGGCTGTTTTGCTCTCGGCTCATCTGATGAGTCAGCGGGAGGGGAGGTCTTGCTGCGTCATGACGTCATCTCCGAGTCACCGCGGGCCCCGCTCCTTCTTTCTTCTTGTTCGTCGATGGCTTCGGGGAAGGGGGTGCGAGGGACGTCTATTGATCTGTTCCTGTCTATTATGTGTGATACGTTGCATCCTGTATGGTGTTAGTGGGTAGGTGATCGGGGGTGGGGGGAGGGTACGTAAATATATAGAGTTAGATAGAGAAATATATATCCTGTATACTCCGGAGTAGGTAATCATATATCCCATATGCACGAAGTCCACTACCACACATATAGCGCCCAGTGGCATGGGCCACGTGACGCGGGACATGGCGTCATAATAGTGCATTACCCTCGTCGCCAAGTTCACAGCATCACCTCGTTTGCCTGATACATCCCCATTCATCACAGCAACAGCAACAAACTGCATCCCACCACAGAGCCCCCCCTCGAAACCAACAACACAGGCCATTGCCGCATGCCGAAGAGATCGACTGGGATAACGCCGGTACTGATCGGAGTCACGAAGAAGCTTGTATCTATGGCCTGGTATTGCTCTGGCTCAACCAACACGGAGTTGATTGACAATCTCTCCAAGCTGGGACTAATCAAGAATGAAAGGGTGAAGAAGGCGATGATGGGGGTAAGAAAGTACCCACCCTTTTACCAGCTCAAAATCACCATGGAGTGTAGGCCGGGTGGAATGGAAAATGCGCACCCGTCCATGGAAACCAAAAGAGACACCGTGCACTTCCAAAGCAGCCGAGGTTCTGATCTCTAGAAACCAGGTCGATCGAGCCCACTACGCGCCCTCGAGGCCATATTCGGACTCACCGCAGCCCATAGGTCATGGCGCCACAATATCAGCCCCTCACATGCATGGGCACGCCTGCGAGTACCTGATTGATCACCTCAAACCGGGCTCGCGCGTCTTGGACATCGGATCTGGCTCCGGGTACCTGACGCATGTTCTTGCCAACCTGGTGACGGGGTCCTCATCCCCTGACCACACCAATGGCCATGTCGTCGGCCTTGATCACATACCAGAGCTGGTGGAGCTGGGCGCAAGCAACATGCACAAATCCGATCAAGGCCGTGGGCTCCTTGATACCGGCGTGGTGCAATTCGTTGTGGCCGACGGTCGCTTGGGATGGAAAGAAAGCGCCCCATACGATGCCATCCACGTTGGCGCAGCGGCGGAAACCCTTCACCCGGTACTGATCGAGCAGCTCCGTGCTCCGGGACGAATGTTCATCCCCGTAGACACGGAGAACGATGGAGGCTTGGCCAGCAGTCTCGGCTCAAGTGGAGGACAGTTTATTTGGATAGTGGACAAAAAGGCGGATGGGTCTGTTCACAAGGAAAAGGTGTTCCCCGTTAGCTATGTGCCACTGACCGACGTGCCCCGGACTTAACAAACCCAATCCCCATCCACCCCAGTACCTTTTCTTCTATTGACTCGATTGCATGCGGGAAGCAAGAAAGGAGAATGAACGAAACTACGACCTATTGATGTATCTCGGATGGCATGTAGAAACCCAATTCTCGAGCAGTGGTTCAACATTTAGGGAATGACACTGGCAGCTTGTGATCCATACCATCCTGCTTTGTTCTGTATTTCTTTCGACAAACTATGGTCGAGTGGAAGGGCAGAGAAGCAAGAAAAGACCGCACGAGCCAAGGGCAGGAAAAGTCGTACACGGACATGCCAGCCCAGCCTTTCACCAATAAATCAAATAAATAACGGTAGTAGAAACTAGCGAAAAGGGAAACCGCCTGGAAAGTTGAATCCCTGACCAGAGAACTTGAACTGTGGCCCACCTTGCTGAAAGAAGAACTGCTGCCCCCCAGAGCCGAAAGGACTCCCCTGGAACGGATGGCCCCTTTGAGATTCGGGGTCATTCGGGTCATCGCCGCTATCGTAGCGTGTTTTTAGTTCCGGGTCGGATAGGACCTCGTACGCCTCGTTGATAGCAGCCATCTTCTTTTCAGCCTCCTCCTTCGTGACGCCCTGAGAAAGGGCCTTATCAGGATGGTGTTGCTTGGTGAGCTGGCGATAGGCCCGCTTGATTGTGCGCTCGTCGGCATCCCGACTGACATCCAGTACCTTATAATAGTCCTTATGCTTCGAGCGTTTTAGCAGCACTTGTGCCTGCTGCAACAACGATTGAACATCCTTGGAACCGGGGTGGTGCTCCTTGGCACTGTTCAACATGCGTATGGCGTCCTCAAAGCGCTCGTCGTCAATAGCCACCTGACTGTTGAACAGCAGCCCTGGTAGCGAATTCGGGTTTGAACCAAGCGCCTCAGAGCAGTATGGGGTTGCCCGTTTGAACAGGTGCGCCTGAATACAGGTTAGCGGGTGCAGAGGGCATATGTGCGCTCGGGAGGGCTACAAACCTCGCGGTAGGCATCACAGGTATGTTCTACCAATGATGTGTAGAGATTGTTGGGAGCCATGGGGTGAATATGCCCGGTCTCCCTCCCAAGTGCCACGTCCTGCTTCACATCCTCAAGCAGGCCACTTTCGTCCCCCACTCCGACAAGCAGATTGATGGCATTGTTGAATTTCCGCACATTCAGCGCACCATGCAACTTCTGTAGTCGTTTAAGTAGGCCCTTTTCACTTCGATAGAGGCGGTTGCACGGTTTTGAATCGGGATCGGAGTGAAGGCATTTTCGAATTTGCGCCATCCCCCGCTCGCTGTCCCCTAGGGAATAGAACAGCATCGAGGACATTTGTAGATGTGGTTCGACCATACCGGGTGAGATTAGCAATATATGAGCTAGGTCACTGATCCCTTCCTCTATCTCACCCTTCTCAAATCGGCAGTGCGCTCGAATTTGCCGCAATCCCAGGGATCCGGCCGCCTTGAGAACGGCCACGTTTGCTTGACTGACACAAGTCTCCCAGTCACCATTATCCTCTGCCGTGTGCGCCTCGAGTGCCGCATGCCGTGCATCTTGTAAGTCTTGGTAGTCAGGGGAAGACTGCTTGCCGGCCTGCTCCAGATCAGCCAAGGCACCCGTCCAGTCAGCAGAATTGGCTCGTAGTCGGGCCCGTTGTAAGAGAGCGCTTTCGAAATCCGGCTTGAGCGCTAGAACTCGGTCGAAATCGCCCAGGGCCTGTGAGCTTTTCCCCAGCGACAAGTATGCAGCACCCCTCTGAAAGATCGTGAGGTAGTTAGTGGGATCCCTTGAGACCGCTGCGTCAAAGTATAGCAAAGCCTCACGAGGTGAGCCACTGGCGAGATTAGTCTTCGCGGAGGCGACCAAGGATGATAGTGGAGTGTCTGGCGGAATCTGCGAAGGACCCAGGCCATGGACAGCCGACAAGAAGGCAAGGAAGGTGGTCAAGGAAATGAGCATCATGGGCGAAGTCCCCTTGGTTTGCGACGTCAAGGAAAGTTTTAGGGGAAGTCGACCATAGCAATTAATTAATTATCTTGAGGGAACAGATTGGGAGGACCTAAGTTGGCAGCAGAAAGTTCCGTAGAGAGAAGAGCAAAAGGAAAGAAAAAAACGAGCGCGAGATGGCAATGTGTTTACATGACCTGGGTCTATCATTCGGCGTGGAGGTAGAAGAAGTATAAGTACCACCCCGGCGCCGCAAGTCTGGCCTTTACCGTTCCGTACCACCTTACGGTATCGTAACGACGGACCGACCACGTGATCAGCCTCCCATCTACACCTCCGGAGGCGCTTGTGGTGCTTGGTCGGTTTCTACTCACTTCCCTCCGAACATGCCATGATGATCCAGTCACAAGCACTAGGCATCTTGGCGACGGCCCCATGGGTATGCTCTCGGTGTCTGCTGCGATCTAGTCGAGTCTTCCTAGGCCGCTGGCCAGTGGCACAGCGGCGACGTCTGAACACAAGTATGGCATCCTTTCGCACCGAACCCCAAACCCCCTTCTACGTGAAACTGGGTTGATTGTTCTTTTCGGAATCTTAGGCGCAAGCCTCTCGCCCGCGCTCTTTGCGCGCGCTAGATCTCTGGCAACGGAGCATTCTACCCTCTCGACGCGCCTGGCCGACATCTTTGATACCCAGATCGCGAGACGAGCCGGCGAGCTAGCACCGGTAGCGAAATCGATAAAGGAATGGGACGATGCCAACGAGGTGCGCTTGTATTAATGGGCCGCGGGAGACTGGATATAACTCGCTGATGACAGCTTTGCTTCTAGTCTATATCAGAATTGCAGACCCTGCTCGATGATCCGGACACCGACGTGGAGCTAAGGACTCTAGCACTTGAGGACTTGGAAACTAGTAAGAGGGCCTTGTCAGTAATTTCCGATAACCTGAAGCAGGCTCTTATTCCTCGGCATCCTTTCGCAACTCTTCCTTGTCTTCTGGAGATTCGCCCCGGCGCCGGCGGAGACGAGGCGGGCCTCTTCGCTTTCGAAGTTTTTCGAATGTACATCGCATTTTGCTCGCATCGTGGCTTCCGATCAAGCGTTATGAAATTGGAAGTGGGAGACGGCTCGGCGGAGGATCGGCTGAGTGAAGCAGTCATAGAAGTCGAAACGGATGGAGCATATGACGTTCTGAGAACTGAATCGGGAGTTCACAGGGTACAGAGAGTTCCTGCCACCGAAACCAAGGGACGGACTCACACCAGTGCCGTGAGCGTGATGGTCCTTCCTAGTTTCCCAGAGACAGGAGGCGGCCCGGACGGCGCCCTCAACATTGAGGATCCAAATAATGATTACTACGTCGACCCCCAGGAAGTGCGCTCCGAGAAAATGCGAGCTGGAGGTGCTGGCGGACAGCATGTGAACAAGACGGAGTCAGCCATTCGTTTGACCCATATCCCCACGGGAATAGCTGTTTCAATGCAGGAATCCCGTTCACAGCATGCCAACCGTAAGAAAGCATGGCAAATTTTGCGCGCAAGGTTGGCAGAAGCTAGGCAAACGGCGAGGGAGCAGGAGATGATGGAGATGAGAAGAGGAGTATTAGGGGGCGTAGCTCGAATGGGCCGCGGTGATAAAATCCGCACATACAACTATGGGCAAAACCGCTGTACAGATCACCGCAGTGGCATCACTCTTCATAATCTGGATGGCGTCTTGGACGGCGGCGACGGGCTTGATACTGTCATGGATAGTGTACGGGCTTGGCTCGTTGACCAAGAGGTATCAGCTATGGCCGCGGAAGAATTAGCAAAGAACGCTTCGAAGAAATAGACACTCCGCGCCTCTGCCCCCCCCCCCCTCTTTTTTTTTACTGCCGTATCGGGATGACATATACGGTGTATTGCAAATATCTTATTATATTGTGGATAGCCCGCATGACTGACTTTGTGTTTCCAAATCCCCAATAGCATTAGATGTATTTTCTTTCCGGATCAACCGTGTCCAACGCCTCCATAGTCTTTTCATACCTGGGAGGGTGAAAGCGTTAGTTGGCGAATGTGAGCATAAAATAAACTTGGGTTCGACAAACATCGTGAACACAATTCCTCCACTCATGATCAGCCTCGCTAGTCGAGGCACAGCCCCGGACCACAGTGTGAACAGCCCCTCATCTTTGAAGATTCTTGCCGCACAGACGAAGCTGTTTTTGTAGTTCTTGCTCGCCTCGAGCGATTGCATTCTAATGCATGTTAGTGCCTGACAACGCGAAAGTCCGTCTTTCAAAGCTGGGGCTACCAACCTGGTTTTCACAGTATCAAGGGGTTGGGTGACATAGCTGCGGAAGGATGAAGGTCAGTATGCCAAACATGGGATATGTTCAGTTCGGCGGGGGTAGGAGCGAGGTGTTGACGAACACAGTGATAAGACCCGCAATACCACCAATGGCGAAGGTACTCGCGGTTCCTAGCTTTTCACCCGGTGCAACGTAGCCCTGCGCCAATTGTTTCAGCATGGTATAGCTTGAAAACCTTGTTGCCGAGTTCGCAGCCTGCCTAGCAGTTGTAGGTATAAACCCCTGGAAGAAACCGCGAATGCCTCGCTCTTGAAAGATCACCTTGCTGCCGTGTAAGAAACCGCGCATACGGGGATTTGCAGATTTCCGGTCATCGATCCTGTATTAATTCTATCTGTCAGCCGACATTTGGTCTTCTTCGCTCGCCTTTTCTTAGATAAACCGGCAGAGGACTGGGGGTAGATTGAATTGGATAAGGTCACAGACAGTTGGGTTTTAATGCTCTCAAACGGGGTTACTGCCAAAAGAGACTCGGTGAATCCAGCCCCAAAGCCGGCAATCACGGTCCTTGGACCGGAGATTTTGCCATTTTCATCCTGCAAGAGAGACTTAATCTTGTCGAAAGCAACAAACCCTGCCCACAAACCACGGCGTAAATACAACGGAAGACGAAAGGGTGGGATGAGACTCACGGATGCCAGCCTTAAGAGAGTTTCCTATGATTAGTGTAGTACACCCGGCATACCATTGCTTGCCGAATGGGGGCCATGGTAGTTTCTTGGAATCATGCAGTCTGCGATTGAGCTGTGACCGAGTTTTCGCGACTTGAGCATACACAGATTAGTTAAGCCCTAACAGGAAGGGGGTCGACCAAGGCCGTACATTCTGCTGGATAGGTGATTGCTGCGGGCGAGTGTTTAGCATTCGTTCGTCAACGCCGGAAACGGGTCGTTTTTACCGATTTCCACAGCACCCGCACTAGAACCGGCGATTATAGACCGGAGACTGCTGGGCTGTATACCGCAATTGAAAGGTCAGCTGCTAGATTTGAAAAGATCCTTCCCAGATCAACATACTTTGCGATTCTGATCCTTCTCTGCGGCGGCCATGGTTCATGCAAGGCAAGTCGCGGAGAAACAAGGAGTAGAGGGCCTTCCCGAGGCACGCGGAGAGTCGAAGGCCGACTTCGGTGCGGAGGCCCAGGAATACCCCTCGCGCAAAAACTCAGTTTGGAGGATTTCTTTGTCATTCATTGTCTTGGCTAGCTAACTGTCTAAAGACTACCTAATGTCAACAAGTCTCAGCGCTCGAATTGACTCGGAAATCCTCCTTTTTTTTTTCTTTTTTCTTTTTTCTTGTCTTTCCTCCCCCCTGTTTCTTCACGGTCTTTTTTGTTGTGTTGTGTTGTGTTTTGTTGTGTTTTTTTTGTTGTGTTTTGTTTTTTTATGTTGAAAAAGGCTGTTTCTTTTTCTGTTCAACAAGAATTGACGGATCCCTTCTCCTGCTTCTTGTCCGTCGGTCTGCTCGAAGCTAGTATGGTGGGTTTCACGGCGACGTTGGGTTCTTCCGCCTCCTGGTCAAGTCAAGTTCAATGACCTCATTGTGGAGAAAGATTAGACAAAGGACAAGGTGCAGACTCAGACATTCCCACTCCTTGAGTAAACAAGACTGAATCAACCGAGGGCACAAATACCCAAATCAGATAGAAGTGTAATCAGCATGCTGGCTGTGCGAATCTGGTGAACTCCTGGATGCGGAGGGGAGGGGAGAGGTGAGGAGTCACACCGCAACCAAGAGAGCAGTGAATAGCATTGAAACAAGAAGAGAAGAACGTAGAGGATAGCTGGGGAATCCCCGGGGCCTTGGCCGTTCTGGTGAAAAAATTTGAACAAGATCCCGAGCAGTATAGCGTAGTCAGCAGAGAAAGAGCTCCGAAGCCTGAGTGGAAGAAACTGACGACTGGCTGAGGGATTTCCATCCGAAACACCACTCCCAAACGCCAGAAACGTGTCATAAAAAACGCCATGAGTGCTCCAGGAAACACAGGATGCGGTGATGAATCATCATATGTACAAAGCTAAAGGGACGATAGCGCAGCCTCATGGGAAACATTGCCCTAAATTGATCAGAACGAGACAAACTCCAAGAGGTTGGCGAGGGGAAAAACAACTGAATAGCAAAAAGGTTAAGAATGAATTCAAGAACAGGGGGTAGAATGGAAGATATAGAAAGCGGATTATGATACAGATCACATCATATTTATCATGCCATTGGAACAAAGATAGGATTTGGGGGAAGCGAATATGAGCAAAGGACTTGGCACAGTTTGTTCAGTTCGGTAGAAATTGGCCTGGAAGGTAGCGATGAACAGTGTCTTGCCGGCCCAAACACGAGCCAGAAGGTTAGAGTTAAAAAAAGAGGATTGCAAAAAGGCCTAATACAGAGTGGCTCTTTCCCTCTCTTCTAAGACACTTGGGTTGCTTGGGCTTTACCCCCCTGCTGCTGGCCCTGAGGAGCATTCAGCTTATTTGTTTCGTTTTGCACGCTGCGGCGTTGACCCTGCCCGCGACCCCCTCGGTAGGAGCCTCGGCCCCGGCTAAATTGATAGTGATTGCCATTGGGGTGATGATTGTGACGACGATCTGAAAGGCCCTGATTGTGAGTTGGGTTTGCTGCCGGGTTTGCTTGTGTGGGGTTTGCAATAGGGCGTGGAATGGTGTCCGGCGAGTCGTATACATAGAGCTTCTTGTCAATGTTTTGCGGGATGGGCTGGATCTCAGTCCCCAATTCCTGCTCAATCTTATACAAATTGAACCGGTCATCCCAATTGATAAGGTTGATCGCGAGACCCAAATGCCCGAAACGACCGGATCGACCAATCCGATGAAGGTAGGTTTCGGCATTTTTGGGGAAGTCAAAGTTTATGACAACATTTACGGCTTGAATATCAATACCACGGGTCAGTAAGTCCGAGCAGACAAGATTGCGGCAGACACCATTTCGAAAGTCATGGAAAACCCGGTTGCGGTGTTGTTGGAGCATCCTTGCATGTGAGTAAAAGCAAGAATAACCCAATTCAGTGATTTTTTTGGCAAGCAGTTCCACTCGGTTCGTTGAGTTGCAGAAAATGATCGACTGATTTATTTGCAACTTGGAGAAAAGGGTATTTAAGCAGTGGACTTTTTGTTTCTCTTCAACAAATGCATAATACTGCGTGATACCCCGGAGAGTGAGTTCGTCCATCAGATTGATTTCATAGGGATTGCGCATGTGTTTGTCCTGTGATGCCAGCCGTCAGCCAATCGGAGTTCACAAGGAGAACACGCATGATTTACCTTGAATGACTTCACAATCATAGGGAATGTGGCACTGAAGAGCATGACTTGGCGATCTTTCGGGTGGAAGGAAAGGAGCTGCTCAATCACAGGGGTGAATTCAGGCGACAGCAGCTTGTCGGCCTCATCCATGACGAAAGTAGGACATTCCGATAGATCGGCAACGCCTTTGCTAGCGAGGTCCAATACTCTTCCCGGGGTTCCAACAAGAATATGGACAGCATCATTCAATCTGATGATGTCATCCATCAGGCCAGTTCCTCCTGTAGTTACCATGACATTGATTCCCAGATGTTTTCCGAGGGTTTTGCAAACGTGAGATGTTTGAAGTGCCAATTCTCTTGTTGGAACTAGGATCAAGGCCTGGGTTTTTGTGCTCTTAGGGTTGATGCGCTCAAGGGTAGGAATGACAAAAGCGGCCGTTTTTCCCGTGCCGTTTTTCGCTCGCGCCAGGATATCTCGGCCAGTGAGAGCGACCGGGATCGTTTCTTCTTGGATGGGCGAAGGCTTTTCGAAGCCCGCCTCGAAAATACCCATCATAAGTTCGCGTTTGATATAGAAGTCTTCAAATTCAAGCCCCTTGGTAGCAGTGACATCCTAAGCCCAGTTAGCGTGTAACTAGCACAGAGTAGGGAAGTCCGAGGCAGGTCAAACCTCAGTCTGCGGTCTTCCATCTTTAGCAGGAGCTTTTATTTGTTCTCTCCATTTCCCCTCCGAGTTTGCTTCCCTAAGGCAACACTATTAGGAGACACTCGCACCGGTTAATACAATTAAGAATGTCATAGTGACATACCCTAAGCTTGTGTTATTCAATTGTGCGGCAAGAGCATCGGCCATGGTGATCAATTGCTTGGATTGGCGAAAGTGGAGCGAGGTATTTTATCTGTCTTGAGGTCGTAGGTTCCAAGATGTAACGCGGAGAAAGTGAAGGATAGTCGTTGAAGAATATGGCGAATGGGAGCGTTGGTGGGCGGGTTTTGTTATCAAATCGGACAGTAGTAGATGTGAAGAGGCGGACAAAAAGAAGGAAGTGGACTCGACCGTGCTGCACGTGCACACAAGTTGGGTTTGGCGATGGGCAAATCGACAGGCTCGGAGGTCAAGCAAACGAACCTGCCGGACAGACAGTAGATGCGGAATTTATCTGTATTATTTTCAGGTTGGTGTCAAGATAGAAGCGGATCGACAAGAGGATTTTCGGTTGTTCTGGTCAAGCGAAGATTTGCAGGGTGGTGAATTTGGAGGGGGTTTGGAGTGAGGTGGAAGCTCAATCTCAAATACTGGAGAGAGGAAAGAAAGGGAACTAATAATGTTACTTGCTCTGGAAGCGGTAACAAGGACCCTACCGCCTGAGTTTTTTTCTTTTCCTTTTCCTTTTGGGTATTGTAATGAAGGTACTGTACATTGATGATGCTACCTACCTACGGTACCTAGGTAGGTAAGGTAGGTGGTATGTATGACGTATGTACAGTACATACATACAGAACGATGATACTACGGTATCTTACCTTACTGTTCTTACCTAGCCTTGTACCGGTTTTCAATACACCCACAGAGGTAAGGTAAGGTAAGGTACCCGTGTATGCATGTAAGGTAGGTATGTATGCAGAGTACCTAGGTACCTATGGAGTATCTACGGTAGGTAAGGCACTCTCCAGGTGGTTTTACTGAGATGCTGCTGGTGATATGGACTGATGCTAACGCCACGCTCTCATGTGAGGTTTCTAAGAAAAGTAGGTATTCTAGGTTGGCTGTTTATTATCATAGATCTCCTTATACCAACGAAATCCAAGCACCCTAGGCTCAGCTGCTGATGACGCCTTTGCCCTGGAGAGAAAGACCAAGAACGGCAAGAGGCACGGAACTTGGGGACTTCTTGATTACCGTCGAAACGACAATCTAGTTTGCCCTCGCTCGGGCTCAGCTAGTCTAGAAAATATCTGTTAGCTATGACATTCCCAGCCCACTGAAGGTTCACTCACTCCTTGACTCGAACATCAGGTGCGAAGCTAATTTCAGCTCTTGACCCTGGCGTGATAAGAATAAACTGCCGGCCAATTGACCGCCTCGCAGCGAGCATCTATCAAGGGTTGGTTTAGCAAATCATGATGGGTCTGGGTTAAGGTAGGGAAATCCCTTACAAGCATATCAATGGCCATCTTTCTATTGATGTGGTCCATATACACATCACTGTAGATTAGGAGGTTAGCGCTGTTTGTCATGGATTTTTTTTTGTCACCGCTTACAATTCATCCAAACAACGGATTGGAGAACCCATGGCCTCCCAAAGTGCCAAGAGTAGACAGACTTGGGAGAATGATTTCTCACCCCCAGAAAGAGTTTTTGCACCACGACCAGTGCTGTCTTTTGTTATGTCAGGCTCGACCTACAGTACGCCATCAGCTAATTATGATAATGGTGGCATTGAGAGCAACAAGGGCAGCACAAACCTGTAGATCAAGTAGTTTGCTTTCATGATCAGTCAAGAGTCGGCCGCGAAAACTCCTTTCACTCAAGAGGTATGTAAATTGTGCTTTGGCACGGGATGAAATATGTGATCTGAAGATTTTCCAACGCTTTTGACGATATTCAAGAGTTGCTTTCAGAACCTGTTGACAGCTCGCTTGTTAACCACAAGGCCCTGAGGTAAAGGACCAGCTCGCTTCTTTTTCCCGGAAAAAAAAAAGGATGCAAAATAATTGAAAAACAGCACAGGAAAAGAATGACGAGAATAGACTTACATTTGCAAGTAGTTTGAACTCTCGTACTTGTCTTAAAGCTCGTTCATGATCAGCAGCAGTTCTCTCGGCTTCAGAAGCAATCTCATCTCGAGACGCTCCTAACCTAGACCTTTGGTTAGTACCCGGCACCAGTATACAGCTCACAGATTAGAACTTACTGCTCATTGTATCGCTGGACGTCTTTGTAAAGCTTGTCAAGCTTTTTGTCCAAACTGTCAGGCGTTTCACCCTCGGAGATGGCGACTCGTGGCGAAACCAAATTAGCCTTCTCACTGTAGTCGAGGATGCGAGCAGCAACCTCTTCTCTTTCCTGGGAAATGCTTTCACTCTCTCGCTTTAACTCCTGGATTCGATCCAAAGCAGCATTCTTGTCGCTGATGATGCTCCGACGTTTCTCTGTCCCTAGGAGTTCCTCGCTTTGAGCAACTCGGACTTGTTCCTTTAAAGCAAGAATGTCGGCGTCTTTTGCAGCGAGCTGTTGCTGTATTGCTTTCAGCTCCGTCATCATTGTTTTCATTGCACTGATGCTGTCCTGCAATGATCCTGAATTAAGACGCTCCTCTTCCTCGGCCTCTTCAAGAGTAGCCCGCAGCACATCAAGATGTCCATCCTCTACCGCTTCTCTATCAAGTGCGCCTGAGAGTTCTTCGACGAGATCTTCCTTCTGCTGCATGGAAACGCGCAAGTCGTTTGTTTTTCTTTCGTGTCTTGTGCGAGCTTGCCTGCAACTCTCCACTTGTGCTCGGGCAAGACGGAGGTTTTGGTCCAAGTCATTTAGATTGCGTTTCAGATCCGACACCACGTCACGTTGAACCCTAATTTGAGAAGCCAGGTCAGACTTCATTCGCGGATTTCCGTTGTACACCGATACAGGGGCCTGGCTTGGCTCGCCAGTACGACTGTAAGAGAGATGAATGCCACGCCGTCTGTCTGCTTGATCAATACAATAGCAGCGTTTTACATTCCTGGGTCTTTGCCCATCGAACAACACAGAGGATGCCTCATCCAGTTTCTCAATCAATAGCATCTGTTCTATGCCATGGTTGATGATCAGTTGGCGGCGGACTAATTCATTGTCGATTTGGAGAATTCGTAATGCGGTGTCAAAGTGAGAGTCTGGCTCGTGTTCCGATGTGTCAAGAATCCCATCACTCCCTATGAATATTGGACACACGCAATTGACTTTCTGCATGATCTTTGAGAGAATATTCATGTCTCTTTTTGAAGTAACGATGAAACTGTTTAAAGTCGCACCGAGAGAGTTCTCGAGTATCGATGACCATTCGGGCCTCAACAGGGTCACGTGGTTTCCAATGGGGCCGACGGGCTGTCTGTTGAATGCTCGCTCCTGGTGAATTGCCCTTAGAAGCCCGGGCATCTTTGCATGAAACCCCGAGTTTTTAATACCCCCTTCTTCGTTGAGAATGCTTAAACGAGATTCAGCTTGCTCCACATCTGCCCTGGCTTTGCTGATCGGAGTAGATGCCATGGTAACCGCCTTGCTGGCTTCTTCTAGTTCCCGATTGAGGCGACCATGCTCGCGTCGGTGCTCATCGTACTGTTCTCGAAGCTGGACAGCCTCGGATCGAGCCTCTTCTAGTTGTTCCTGTTTCCGAGCGTAACTTCCCCCATGGAGTTCAGCCAACCGCTGATTCTCCTCGGTGATTTTCTCTTGCGTTTCGCTGATTCGTGTTTCTGCTGCCTTCAGATATTCCCTTATCTTACGTTGCTCAGCCTGTAGAGAACAGTTAGGACATGCAATAGCACACTAGATTGTTGGAAGCACCTGAAGGTCATGTCGTTCACTCATTTTTTCATCCCACCCAGATTTCATTCTCTCCTGCTCCGTCTGTGCGTCGTCAACTCTGTGCTTGGCTTGTTGAACATACTCCGAGGCAGTTTCAGTTTCGCTCTCAGCTGCCCGAATAGCCACATCAAACCCGTGCAATTCAGTTTCAGCAGTTGTTATCCTGTCGTGGGCGCGAACGAGTTCATCGTCAAGAGAGCTTTTTATCTGCCATAATGTTTAGAAGAATGCCTAGATGCTTTCAAAAAAGAAACCCTGACCTGTTCTTGCTCTTCAACTTGCGCCCAAGCCATTTGACTTCGAGTGTTCCGGAGCCGATTCCTGAGAGATTCATGTTGATCAGAGATGTCAAGCTTTTGTTTTGCCGCATCCCTGCGGTTTTTCAAGTGCTCAATATCTTGCTCCCTGTTCCTGAGTTTTTCTTCTATCTGATCCGCTGATTCCTCGATCAGCCGATAGTCTTGGTCGAGCTGTTCTAATTGAACCCCCTTTACGAAGAACTTGTACTTCTCAGCAGGACTCGATGTGCTCAGAAATTGACGAGCCATATCCTGTGAGAGCACGTTCATCGGATTGTCGAATTGCAAGGTGAAAAAGTCAATGATAGAATCCAGTTCTGCCTTTTTGGTAGATACTATGCGTCCGTTCTCCGCTTTTATCTTGAAGCCGCTGGTGCCGTTCTTCGAAAAGTGGCGTTCTACGATAATTGATCTTCCGTAGTCGTCCGGCATGTATGCACCGTCGCCTTGATTTTTGATCCGTACAACGATTGTAGCAGTCCTTGTTGGGCATCAGTATGCTTGGAATGAGACCTCCGGGGAGTGACATACTCCTTTCCTTCCTTAATGAAGCTTTTCAAGCTCTGGCCTCGATTAGTGGCGGAAGCTTTACCACCGAGGCAGAGCGTGATAGCCGTAAGAACTGCACTTTTCCCACTGCCATTTTTGCCGACGATGAAATTTATCAGCGGACCTAGCTCAACATAGAAGCGATCATGGCACATGAAGTTGTAGCATTCCACCCGCTCAAGGATGCCATGTTCAGCAGGCACATTTGGCTCGTCACTGGCAAAGGAGTACTTCTCCTGAATCACTTGTGTAGCGCGCAGTTCTAAATCATCTTCTTCATCACCAAGGGCCTCGTTGATCAAACCAGGATCGAGTCCTTCATTATCATCGGCGCTGACCCCACTATTGTCATCTGTGGCTAAGGAGTTAGACCTCCGAGTGCGTTTTTGCTTTGTTTTGACGTTAGTTCCTTGGAGAAAAAAAACAACCCCCTCCCCCATTATCAAAGACGGCATACCAAATAAGAACGGACAGGAGAGACTTCTGATTCGCTCTCGTCATCGGATTCTGGAGCCCGTGGGGACGTTCGAGGGCGCTTTAGAGATGGCATTTAGACAAGGCGACACGACTAGAAGAGTCGCTTGAAGTTATGCATAGTCACGCAGGATGAAACCAAGAGCGAGGGGTGGGTGGAAAAAGAAAGAAAGACGACCGGGAGACAATAAGAGCAACGGTTCAGGAGCGCCCGCCAGATAGCATGCTAAGTCGGTTGGTTTCACCTTTGTTGGATGAGCTAATAATGAAGCAAGATGATGGGAGGGGAGGCTTGTCGCGGGTCGCGGTCCCACGCGAGCGAGCGACGCGTTCTTTGTCGGCACAACGGTAAATACTGCCCAATGCTCCCTAATAATAATGGGACCGACACTTACGGCGCATAATTTTTCATTGTACATACATACTGTGTAGTACCTACCCTACGAAGTTCCTGAACCAATTTTTTTTTTTCAAGTACAGTACCAGTTTCAATTTAAGACCATATAGATAAACCTCCACAGCCAGGGATTTTCACTCAATATACTTACCTAAGCCATAAAGTCCATGCTTCGTCTTCAACAAGTCAGCTGGCGAGTAGATCAAGCCTTCATAGGCTCCTCCGAAACATAATGCAGATAGGCACCAAGAAGCTTAGAGCCCTCAATGTAGTTCCTTTTATCAAGCTTCTCGTTTATGGAGTGAGCAGCGTCTGTTGAGCTACCCATAGGCAAAAGCAGAACGTTTTTACCTGTTGCTTGTTCAAAGCTGAGAGTGACGGGAATGCTGATTTTGTGTCAATTTTATCACATCGCTGTTATAGCAGGGATTGGGGGAGAAAGGAAAGAAAGAGAGAGTTGCAGCTTTCGCAGGGGAACATACCTGCCACCTTCACGGGTCATGTCTGGCTCAACGCCGAAAACTTGCTTCACAGCTTTGCTCGCGGCCGTGAAGTTCCAGTGTTTCGGACTGGCAACCCACCACTTCCCGTCGTGCTGGAGCCAAACATCCAATGTGTTCTTACTGTTTAGCTTGGCAAACTCTGCCCGGATGTAGTCGAAAACGAGTTTGTTGACATCTGCGCTTTCCATGTTTGGGACGGTTCGAATGGAGAATTTCCCAATGACCTTAGCCGGAATGACTGTTTTCGCACCGGGGGCCGAATATGCACCTTCGATGCCGTGAATAGACAGGGATGGGTATCTCCATCGGGCCATGAGAGTCTGCTCCTTGGTGGGGTGGATGCCGGTTTCGCTGCCCAATGACTCGTGCAAATTCTCCATTGTGTAGCTGATATCGGGATATAGGCGTTTTTCATCCTCCGTCAACGGCTCGACGAGATCCATGAGCCCTGGGACCAAGATTCTACCGTGCGTGTCGACAAGTTTGGATAGAATTTGAACCAGATCTGTCATCGGCTCGTGGGCAGAACCACCGAAGACTCCGCTGTGCAAATCTTGGGCAGGGCCCGAGACACTGATGGAGTAATAATTACAGCCACGCAGCCCGTAGGTAAGGCACGGCTTCTCGGTCCCAAGCCAGTAGTTATCAGAGATGCAAACGGCATCGGCATCCTTGAAAAACTTCGTGCTCTCGGCTTGGATAAACTCCTCCAAACCTTCAGAGCCATACTCCTCCATTCCTTCGAAGCAACAGAGAAGATTCACAGGTAGCTCGATCCCGGCTTTCTTATGCGCTTCAATCACATTGAGCCAGCCCAATACAGGGCCCTTGTCGTCGGTGCTTCCACGGCCGTACATCCTTCCTTGACTGTCCTCTGTCAACTCGAAAGGCTCCGTAGCCCAGCCATCTTCCTTCAATGCAGGCTGCACATCGTAATGGCCGTAGACCAAGATGGTCCGCTTATTCTTGTCGTTGCCATAACGCGCAATGACCACTGGGGGAAGCTCGAGATGCTCTTTTCCCGGTTGTTTACCGAGCGGTCGTTGTTGTACCTCGGCTCCTAGGGATTCCAGCTCCGAGGCTAGGAATTCTGCCATCTTCAAAGCCGAACAGATGAGCGACTGGTCCTTGTACAATGACACGTACGTTTGATAATCACTTACTTTGAAAACATCTTTTCGGTTCTCATCCTGGGCAGAAACAGATGGGATAGCAACAGCTTTCCGCAACCCTGGTAAAAAAAAAAAAAAAAAAAAAAATTCCCGTTAGTATATCTGGAGGGGAGATATCGATGATTAATAGACGTACGGTCAACGAAAGTAGGGGACAGATTATCGACCCTGAATACCAGTTAGCTAAATCCTGTCTGTGCCGAAATCCCAGGGGCCTGCCCCATACGCTTTTTGAAGCGGCGGAAGGAGGACAGGCAATGGAGGGGATGGGATAGGGGAGATTTGTAAAAAAAAAAAAAAAAAAAAAAGAGTGGGGAGAAAAAGAAGAGAAAACACCTACTGCTGGAAAAAAGGTTCAAGCTGTGGCGCCATTTTCCGATCACTGATATTTCCGTAGAATGAACGACGAAAGGGAAGATGAGAGATGTTGGGGACAAGGTGAGGTGTCAAATGGGTCCGTGGAGGGGAAGGAAAATGTGAAAAGGACTTATTATATGCCCCAAGTGTCGCCGGGATACGACGGAGGGGGAGGGGCATTTGGTCAGCTGCGGAAGAGAATAGAAGTACCCCCGAGTCGATTGCTACCTTTCAGAGCGGGGACGGAATAGAAGAAAAACTAGAGTAGATACCTACTGGTACCTACCTACCTCGCTACCTACCTAGGTAGGAGGCACCTTACTTGGCTACTACTGGCTGGTAATGATCTGGGCCTTTGCCGCATCTAAGCGCTACATATGTATCAATAAGACAGCGCTGATAGGCAGATCGGGTCGTGGGGACTTGTCTAAGTATCTGCTAGGCGCTATCTAGCCCTGGTACCTACGGAGTGCCCACACCGGAGTTCGTAGTTGGTGTTTACTGAATGCTTCCAGAGTGCAACGCCGCTGGCAGCAAAATGGTTCAGATCAGACATGTTGTAAGATTGCTAAAATACAGGATTTTATACACAAGTACCACCTCCCTGAATAGGCCACCGTTCGAGACAGGAGATTCTAGCCACACAGATAGATGTTCATAGAAAATGAGATGGCAAAAAAGAAAAAGTTAAGAGGTGATGATTATCGGCAGTGAGGCAGGGCCCGGTCAGCGGATCTTGGGGAGTCTCACCCTTATTCACTTCTTCCCCAGGACTCCTTGCGTAACTGGCGGTCTTCTCTGGCCATCCGACGTTTGGCACCCCATCGCGATTGGACGGCCTCCAAAACATGTCGTTGTATCTCTTTCTTCTGCGGGCTAGCTTCGCATACCATTGCAATGAACATGGGGGAACAATCGAAGCGCTTGGCCAGTTTCCACCGGCTCCACATCATCGGATCGCTGAGTCGTAGCTTGCGAATCTCCTCTATGTCCGACGGGTTCAAGTGATATTTCTTCTGGGTAGATGCCTTGAACACAGGAGGAAGTTCTTCGGGTCCCTCGGATTTCACCCCAGCATGGGCACGTAGCGCTCTTCGGGCATCATTGGAGGGAAGAAATTTCGTAGGTGTATGGTAGACCGAAGGCGCACTGGAAGGGGGGTTGTGAATGATATTGTCATATGGCTGATTTGTAGGAGATCCAAATGAAGCATCCGGTTTCACGCGCAGACGTTGTTTAGTGCGCCCGTATGAGGACTGATTCCGCCGGGGAGCAAGAGTCGCGGTGTGGCAAGAAGGCGGAAGCAGAAATGGCAAGGCAATTACAGGCCTCCTGGGTATAAGGACTGAGGCGACCATTGCAAGTATAGACAGCAATGTAATTTCCTCGGAGACACAACAGGAAACCAGGAGGGCCGAGGATCAAATCGTCGCGTTAAATCGTAGTGACTACAATAACCAGATACAACTGTTAGCATATTCAAACTTCGTTGTTTAGATAAATAGAAGGGGGGAGTATAAGCTGCGGGGGAAAAGTCCATACAAGCACAGATTGGCTAGGTTGATAGCATGCTTTTGGTTCAATGGGAGATGGAATTAAGATAGGCTGGCCGAAGAGACTGGTGTAAGTTTTGAGATGGACTTTTCGCCCAAGCCGCGCGAGTCCCGTGACAGCCCGGGTAATCAATACCACTGTAATAATACAAAATTATCAGTATCCAGCTAATGTATGTAATGTACTTAGTTACCTACCAGTATCTAAAGTAATGTGCCTTAGGTATAAAGTACTCCGTACCTTATTTTGTATGCACATCATCTAATACATTACATATATACTGTACAATACATGAGTACTTCGAGTGAAATAATACACAGTACCTAGGTACCTACCTAAACTACTGGTACCTAGGCAGGTAAGGTATGAACCCGCTGAACAGTATCCTGAGAAATACCTTAGGTAGGTACCTTACCTATTACCCTCTAGGTTTTTCTCTTTGTCTGGTAATAGATAGGTGTCCATGGATACCGTATATGCATCAGTAACTTTTGTAATTTTTGTGTTAGTATTCAGGCAGATAATGTATATTTACATACCACTTAAACACGAAGAGTCAGAGGACATTGTATCAAAAAAATAAAATAAAAAGAGAGAGGTCTTGAACAGCGTCGATTCTAGCTTCAGGCCGGCACCCTCGAGGCAGCGCGGACAAGGATCTGAACTTATTTTAAAGATGGTCAATGGCAACCTAATAGTCAAAAGTACTTGAGCCTCGCCACACCACATTGGTTGATATAGAATAGTATGTCCATAGCCATAGGGTAGTAAAAATCGTCTCACCCGAGTGAAATTTGTTTTAGTCGCAATGTAGTCAGATGTTTGTAAAGGCAGATTGGATACTTCATTGTTATCGAATTCATTTCCTACACCAAGATCCTCGGACCATCCATGTCTATGCCCGAGCGCTTGCCGCAGCATCTAGGGCCTTTTGTATTCTGTCGCGGAGGTCCGATACCTCTTCCAGACCAACACTTATCCTGACCAAGTCAAATTCCACTCCAAAGGAGCTCGCCTGTATAGACTGGTTAGAAGACCTGAAGTTCTGGAATGGGTGAAAGAAAAGGGTTTTATGCATTCTTGACAAACATACCCAGTCAAGTTCGCCGTAGTGGGCTAGAAGGGTGTACGGCGAGCTGGGTAAATGGTAAGCATGAGCCTCAAATGGAAATATACCTAAGCGATCCAAACCTACCCCAAGGTAAAATTTGTGCCAAGACTAGGGCCTTTCAACACTTCAAGGCAATCAAAGAAAGCGGCCGCAGCAGCCGTAGAATAGAAGGTAACAGAGAAGAGACCACCATAACCACCATTAGGGTTGCGAAACGCATCGTAGAATGGCTTCGATGGGCTGTATTTCGGATAATAAACATTTTTAACTGCACGGCGGCACAGATTAGTTAAATGTTAGGTCCAACAGATAACAACACAAGCTTACCGAGTGAGGAATTCCTTAGCATCTCTGTTATCTCATCTGTAGTTTGATTTATTTTCTCAATTCTGGACACAAAATCACGACTGTTCCGTTCCAGAAAAACAGCATCTTCTGCCCAAAGGTTGTCCTCATATTCTCGGGAAAAGGTTTCCTTCAAAGACTGATAATAACGAGCGTGTGGGTTGAGAACAGCACTTCCTCCCATGACATTGCTATCCCCACTGAATATTTTTGTCAGGCTGCTGACGACAACATCGGCGTATGGTAAAACATTGATGTTGATAAAATTGCCCACCGTTTCATCCACCACAACAGCAAAGTCATGCTTATCCGCAAGGGCACGAATACGTCGAAGGTCGGGCGATTTCAGTAGTGGATTTCCGGGGAATTCAGTGAAAAGCGCCAGAAACCTTTCACCATTGTCTAAACGCAATTCCAAGTCATCCAGATCCTCAGATGAGCCGTTCCCATAGAATAGGCAGCCGGGTCCCCATTTTTCCAGAGTTTTTAGTGTGTCAATGTATGGAAATCCAAAGCATACGCTTTTCATAGCACTTCTTGCACTGAGCAGCATTTGATGCGTACTGAAAATGGCGTTCATCCCTGATGGAAAGATATAAACGTCCGACTCGCTCAGCCCTGCTATTCTGCCTTCCCCAGCGGTCTTTTGCAGGGCTTCGCTCAAATCGACATTCGCCGTTAGAACACCCGCGATTCGCTTGCGAACAGCCACTTTGGCTTGCTGGGATAGGGAGGTGCTGAGATTCCGACCAAAACGTTCTTCAATGAACTGAGCATACTCGCGCCCTTCTTGTGATCCACTGGTTGTGGCTGATGGGTTCGGTGCCGTAGGCTGTGGCCCGGTCCCTCGAACGAGTTCGGTGACCGAGTCCTTCCCCTGGTACCTCCGCGGGCCCTTGCAGATCCTTTGTGACGTCGTTTCCAAATCCATGTCTTTCTTTTCTTGCAGAAAGCCATCTCGCAAAGCGTCGAGACAGAATTCACCTCGGCGACTTGATATACCACTGCCGGAGTGCTGCCACACTTGCTTGGCAATTGGCCCATACTCCTTCGGATAAATAACACCCGATAAGAGTGAGGTGACAGTAGGAGACTGGAGGTCCGTGTGAGAAGGGGGTGCAAGGTCTATGAGCCGAACCTTCAGCGATTCGGCGCCGGATAATCTCGACAGAAAGAACGAATAACATGTTCGTGCCGTTTTCGGAGACGGAAACAGCATAGCGGTTTCTGTTTCTGGCCGCCCGTGGCGCAGTACCACTTCCTTTGCGAGCTCCTGAATGATCGGATGGACAAAGAATCGAGGATAGCCACATTGCATCTTATCGATCACCCACGGTTCTCCTTCTTCGTAGGCAACATTGGCTTTCCATGTCGGCAGGGATACACTGACTGCCTTGCTTTCAGTTAGCAGTTTGGTATTAATTTTCAAAGAAAGTAGCCCGAACAGATCGCTAAGTCACTGGCAACAAGGCAGACGAGAAGCTGAATCTCTTCCAGACCTAAGGCAGAGCCAATTTGGAGGGGAGGGAACAGTGAAAAGCTACGATGAGGGGCAACGAACATGGTCAGTGTTTGGGGGAACAGTGCCCCCAACATCCTGGAGCATTGTGGGCGGAGTTAGATTTGAAGTTGTCCTTGGAGGTCTCGACGCAAAATCGTCAGAATTGGGGTTCAATGAAGGATAGCGAGAATTCCGGGCACTTAGGCATTCAAGCAGCTGGGGAGGCAGATAGGAAATGAGTAATGAGTAATGGCGGGGAAGAGAGAGCGACTTCGGCGACGGGTTTGTACCTAAGAAATGTAATGTACCCACAATTTCACAATTTGCAGTTCCAGATACCACATTCCGTACGTAAACAGTACCGTACGGAGAAGGTACCCAGACATGTAAGTAAGTATGTACAGTACATTACACACCTATGCACGATGGATACCAGGTACTATCACTCTGTACTGTAGGTAGGTATGGTGATACCAGATATTATTATGTACTGTACCTAGACAGAAACATCTACTGCGCTGTCTAGGTAGATACCTTTTTTTTAACCAGGTAGTGCAAAGGTACAGCTCTCTGTAGTGGGTGGCATGGATGTTACATGTGCTTTACATACTTGATTACGCTATCTACCTTACCTAGGTACCAGGTACCTAGGTAATAGTATCTGTATCCGAAGTCTTGAACCGTCATAATCACGTGCAGTTGCAATCCCGGAGGTTTGTCACCGTCTCTCTCTCTCTTTTTTTTTTTTTTTTTTTGTTGAAAGGCTCACAAAACCCAAGTACAACAGGCTGTCGCTCATAGAAATTCACATTTTCTGTGCAATACCCCTCACCTCACAAAATAGTCAATTTGACTTGGCTTAGATTCCTTTACCCTTATTCCTTTGCTACAATTTTTTTTTGGAGGTGCCACCAGGATGTCGCATACTCCAAAGAGGAGAAAATTGAGCTCATCCTCAGAAGCAATCGGTATCGCTCAAATTTCGAAACCAAATGAGGATAATTTCACCATGACCAAACGAGTTCCAAGCGATCGCTCTGCGGAATTAGCACAGGCGAGTGGTTTCTACAAGTCCAATCTCTTCAAGTTACAATTGGACGACCTACTTGCAGATTTGAGACCAAACTATGATAAACAAGTCGCAAGGCTCCAGAATACTCTTCACAAACTGAAAGAAACCATTGAAAACATCCCGGAAAGGCCTGCCAAAGCCCCTCTGGAAGCCGAGAAAGAGTTACGCAACACTCATAGCATTATCGTCCCGTACCCTCAGCCTCGTCCTGTCAGAGATACAAAATACTCAGTTTCATATTTGAAGCCGACAAATGTCAATGTTGTGGGAAGCTTTAGCCTGAGGACGGGCGCAAAATCGGCAGGACCTTTCACGGTCGACCTCGCAGTGACTATGCCGAAGCTACTTTTCCAGGAAAAGGATTATACCAATCATAGATTCTTCCACAAGAGAGCTTACTACATCGCTTGTCTTGCAGCCGGTATCAAGGAAACAGAAGGTCATAATCTCGAGATCAAATTTGGTTTACAAGATGGGGATAGTCTTCGCCCTGTGATTATTCTCACGCCCACGGAGGCACCCAAAGATTCCAGATCTGCGAAACCACAGATTCGTATCATTACGGCAATTGAAGATACACTATTTCCCATATCCCGAACTTTACCGATGAAGAATAATATCCGACAAGGCACAACGGAAACGACGGAGCCTAAAGAATCCACGCCATTCTACAATGCAGCCCTCCGCTCCGAGGCCACGGTGGCACAGTTTCATAAGTCGCTATACTCGGCTGCCCGGAATTGTGAGTCTTTTAGAGACGCTTGTATCCTTGGTCGAACTTGGCTCCAGCAACGAGGATTTGGCTCCTCCATCCAAACTGGTGGATTCGGAGGATTCGAGTGGACAGCGCTCATGTCTCTCTTGTTTGAAGGCGGGGGTCCCAACGGCAAACCAGTCCTTCTTAAATCATACAGTAGCTATCAGCTTTTCAAAGCGACTATTCAATTTCTTGCTGGCAAAGACCTGACAAAACCCCTATTGCTATCTTGCCAAGATCTTCAATCTCCCGGTGATGGACCTGTGGTCTTCGATGGCGTGAAGGGTCTGAACGTGCTCTACAAGATGACACCTTGGTCATATGGATTTCTTCGCCGCGAAGCTGAAACCACCCTGAAAATGTTGAACGAATCTCGTGATGATAATTTTGAAAGAGTTTTCATCTTCAAGGTAAATGAATCTCTGTTCAGGTTCGATCGAATTGCTACCCTTCCCTTGGTCGATGGCAGCAATGTCCTACAAGGGCTGCACAATCAGCGCACAATCTACGAGGTGCTGAAAAGGGCTTTGAATGACCGAGCCGAGCTTATCTATCTTTTTGGTAACTGTGTCGACCCTTGGTCCGTCGAGACAAAAGCCCATCGGAAAGCAGGAGGCGGAAGCCTCCATGTCGGGTTGTTATTGAATGCCGACAATGCTGCTCGTGTCGTTGATCATGGCCCGTCTGCAGAAGAAAAAGAGGAGGCTGCCTCATTTCGATCCTTCTGGGGCGATAAGGCTGAGCTGAGACGCTTCAAAGACGGTAGCATTAGAGAAAGTTTGGTGTGGACTGACCAACCGCAGTCATCCTCCATAGTGCATCAGATCCTGATATACATCCTGCATCGTCATTTGAATTGCCGCGAAAACGAGGTAACGTACATTGGCGATGAGTATGACGAGAAGCTTCGCAGCTATGGAGATGGAGTACTACTGTACTCCAGCCCACCTTTCCAGACCGTTACCGATGCCTTCAGTTCCCTGGAGAAATCAATACATAGCATGGATGAAGTTCCCCTGACTGTGAGGCATCTAGCCCCAGCCAGTTCTTTTCTCCGATATACAGCTCTTCATGCCAGGGCGGTTTCCGGTGCTCGACAGGAATTGGTGAATGTTGTTCTCCAGTTTGAGAGCTCCATGCGTTGGCCAGATGACCTGGGGGCCATTCAAATGACAAAAATCGCTTTTCTCGTTAGGATAGGAGACTGTCTGACGTCATCCGGGACTGCTTCATCCTGCAGAGTGGGACTGGAGAACGAGTCGAGTCCAATCCTCAACAATGCTTTCTTAGAAATTGTCCACGAGTCTGGGGTCACCTTCCACCTACGAATCCATCATGACCGGGAGCAGACCTTATTGGAACGTCAGCTAAAGGCGAAGAGCCCTCGTTCTCAGGCAAAACAAGAAATTGCCTATGCATTGTCGGAGTATAAGCGTCAATTCATTCACACCCCCCGTTTGACACAGGCGATCCGTACTTTGTGCACTCGCTTTCCTTTATTGTCGCCTACCATTCGTCTCCTGAAACACTGGTTTGATTGTCACCTTTTTACGGGCCATGTCAGCGAGGAGCTAGTTGAGTTGTTGGCTGTGCGAACATTTACCCAACCGTTTCCCTGGGAAACGCCATCAAGTGTTATGGTTGGATTTCTGAGAACGCTTCATTTGATCTCGCGATGGGACTGGCAACAAGAGCCCCTCATGGTGGATCTGGGTGGAGCGCTAAGCAATGAGGTCATTGAAATGATTCGCACTCGCTTTTCCGCTTGGCGCAATGTCGACCCGGCGCTGAACTCCGTTGCGCTCTTCGTGGCTTCTGACGTTGACCCGGAGGGTGTAACTTGGACTCAGCACGAGATGCCTCCCAAGGTCGTGGCCGCTCGGATGTCCACGTTGGCTAAGGCGGCCGTGAAGCTGGTGCGAGAGAAATCATCTGCCCTTGACATATCGGATATTTTCCACACCTCCCTTGCGCCGTATGATTTTATTCTCACCCTGCGGCCGGGGATCTCGGAGAGTGGTTCAACCCTGCCGACCAAGTACAAGAATCTACAGAAAGACACGACCCGAGGCAGGAGCAAGGCTGGCGCAGTGAGATCTCTCGTACGTGACTTGCAATCCTGCTACAGTCCACAGCTGCACTTTTTTTATGGTGGCGAACGAGGCGACGTGATTGCCGGGCTTTGGAACCCCCAAATCTTGAAAGCCAAAAGTTGGAACCTGAAGATGGCCTATTCAACATCCCCAGTTGTGTCGGATGACACCGAGAAAACGGGGGATGAAGTGGAGGTGGTGGTCAATCGTGCTGCCATCTTGAACGAAATTTCCCGCCTCGGCGCCCTTTTGGTGGACAGTGTTGAGGCTGGGCAGCATTCAGGGTGATCTATAGTTATAGTATATTTTCTCATAGGCGAATCGACTCCGAGCACTCTGTGAATGCAATCATTATTATTTTGAACTACAAGCAAAGGAATAGAGTCACTGAATCCAACGAAAGATATATATTCTAGATCATAAAAAAAAGAGAGAAAGGGAAAGAAACCAGTTTGAACATTAATGACATTACCTTTCTTCCGGAGCCGGGGTTTTATCGCTCGGACTTCTCGATGGGGGTCTGAGAGAAGGAGCAGAATTTGTCCTTGATTGCCACAACCTCATACGTTCCCTCATCTGAGGTCCTGATCGTTTTCTTGTGTTCGTACGAGATGTCATGCTTAATGTCCAGAATCTCTGGCTTCTTGCCTTTTTGGGGGTTGGAACTCCGGATGTACCTAAAAGCGAGCGTTGTTAGTCTTGTCGCATTGACCGTTAAAGGGAGCAAGCATAAACGTACGTGAATTCAAACGGCGGTGTCCCCCAGAACTCAAAGTGCAGCTCGGCCTCTCCGCCTTCGTGTATGTCGACAATCGAGGTTTGACCCCGGCTGATCCGAACACTCGGCATTTCGTGGATGGTTTTGGTGATGTTTTTGTGAGCCTGGCATTTCCCACTCGCGCCGTCACTGACAGCGGTTATGGTGAACACTCCGGGCCTTTCTGCAATGCGGCGGAAGTCGGTGGTCCGAGAATTTGCTTTTCTGGACGCCCCATCAAATGTATAGAACACGTCGAATGGAGCATGGCCGGAAAGCGAGAAAGACAATCGTTCCCCAACGCAGTAATCAACCTTGGATTCAAGAGGGATTATTGTGGGAACGTCGGATACGGCGACTCTCACCGACGATGTGTCAAAGTCAATGCTTCGCTGGCAGCCTCGTGCATCCCTCACTTTATGGATGCTGACGACGTGCTGTCCCAAATCTAGATGGCGTCTCGGTATAGGGAGTTTATGTCGATTGGATCCGATGCTTGGGATTGATACAATCTCCGCCTTGGCCTTCGAATGGTGCTTGACGGATATTTCGAGGGAAAACGGCGGAACCCCCTCGAGGGTGATGGGAATCAGCTCTTCACCGCTGACATCCTCCTTGCAAAACCCATAAATGTGACCCGGTGCATCAAATCGCGCAGACGGCAGAGGGTTAACTCTCTGGGTCACGACGACGGGGTTAGTCTTCGGATCGTGATCGTAGAGATTATCGCCGATTTCCCGGAATTTGTAAGTGTAGAGTCCAGCTTCGGAAGTGTCCATTTCCATAGAAGCTGCATGTAAAGCTGTCTTCAATGTTTGTACGCGCACAGAAGGCGACCCACGGCCTGCTTTTCGTTGTTGCTCATACTGAATGCTGTACGGTGGGTTGCCTGACAAGCGGAGCTCAAGGCTATCATCGTCTCCCTGGCAAATATCGCGCTTCTCAATAGTGCTGGTGACCCCCACAGGAGCTCCATCCACAGTCGTGATGTGCGGTCGAGGTATCCAAGAAATCTTGAAATCCTTGGCTGCTTGATCGACAGATCCGGGACAAGAACTGTCGGCCACCCCGACAAGCTCGTACTGTCCTTCTTGGTTGACCGACAGAATGCTGTTTTCCTGCCAGAAAGTCTTTTCGATAACTGCAGAATCGGTGCTTCTTTCTCTGTATTTAATTACCCATGGCCGCTCGCCACTTAGTCTGAGTGGAATATCAACTCTCGAGCCTTGGAGGGCCGAATAATCTCGGCGCTTTTCGATTTCACCAAAAGACGCCTGGGGGGGCTTTGAGCGAGCGTCGATTCTTATACTATCCCTAAGGTTTTGTTTGCAGTTCGAACGATCCTTGACGTTTGTGAGCACGAGGCTGTGCTCGCCGCCACCGACAAGCTTGTCAGTTTTGATACTAGCGATTGCACTCTCAGACTTCAAAGTATGCTTCGTTTTCTTCCCATTGTGCACAAGTTCATATTGCAAAGTCCACGGCAGCTCACCAACAAATGCCACGTCCACTGATACCGGTTCGCCGAAACAAGCCCTGCGTACGGCGCTCGAATCAAGGAAATGAGCAGAGGCCGGAGGCTTGACATCCTGTTCTAGGACAGGCGTTCTGTCTTTCAAGGATCGAGGCGCATAAATCGTATCCGCCACGTCTAGAAAGCGGTACCGATAGAAGCCGGCTTCTGATGGTGTAAAATCAAGCTGAGCACGTAGGCCGTCGATGATTTGCGATTTTGTCTCAACGCCCTTTGCATGCTCCACAGTATATCTAAGTCGAAACGGTGGCGATCCAGTGAGGTCCAGATCAACCAACAAGCCAACCGGATTGTTTGCGCACTTATCAAATATCTTCTCATGCTTAACAATAACTTCTGGCTCTGGTGGGTTATGCAGGTAGCAAGATGATGGTTCCAGCACTTCTCCAGGGCAGAAGTGACTGGACACATATTCCAAATTGTACCATCCCGGATCCTTGATCTGTGGCTTCTGATCAAGACTTTTGAGGGATAGCTTGTGAATTTTATTTGGTATATTGTCGGCGCCCTCCTGTTCTTTGCCATTGTATGAGTAGATAAGGGAGAACGGGCCATCTTGGCCATATTGTTGTCCCGATGAGTGAAAATTGACTGGCAAGTCTACGCTCTCTCCTCGAGCGACCTGCAAGAACTGTTGGTCGTTGCAACCGTGCAAGGACAACCGAGGCCTTTCATGGACTGCGAACTTATGCGATTGGGACAAAGAGCTTGCAGATGATTGATCAGCGACATGGGAAGAGGCCGAGTAATTCGCGATATTCCCACAACCATCGTGTACTTCCTCAATCGAGTAAAGCCAATCCCCTCCGACATTCAACGACTCGTTCAGGGGAACTTCGATGATCTGACTTTGAGCCCACGAGACATCCGGCTCTCGGGAGCTGAACAAGGCAGCCGAGTTCCTCTGGCCTATGAGGGGCGAACGTAAATGATCCGATTGGATATTTTGGAAGGAGAATCCTCGATCGAGACGGTTCACCTGTCTGCTGTATTTGATTTTCAAGGGCGGGGTGCCTTCGACCGTAAGGACTAGGTTAGATAGCTCACCCTTGCATTTGTGCGTGAGAGAACTTTTGATCAGCGCCTGGGGACAGGAAACAACGAGGGCATCGGATGTTCGCATGTGAACGTCGAGATTAGACTCATCGACTACCCGTGTCAGGCGGTAGATCCCAGGCTGCCGAACCGGGAAAAGAAGATCACGATGCAAACTTGTAGATTCACGCTTCGACTGCTGCTTTAATTGCTTCAGCTGCTTGGGTGGTATTGAAATAGTCTGGTTTTCCCCGCTATCGAAATCTAGTCGCAAGAGCTCCACCGCAATTGGATCTGTCTGGTTGATTCGGATGGGAAGATTGACCGTATTCCCGTGCGAATTGATACACAGCGGGATTTGATCCGGATTTAGCACGGCAGACCTACATTCGTCAGTATTCGCCACGGCAAGATAGTCAGGCGGTTTAACAGGGAAAACTTACCCTTCTGGTAAGATATGGACTATCTGCTTTCCCAAAATGAGGGATGCATTATGAATGATATCTCCAGGCTTGACACTTCGTTCGGATATGGATAATTCCCTATCATAAGCCATTTTGACCATCCCAGATAACCAGACACCCACCGGAATCTGACCCGCAGGTTAGTGAAATGTCCATAAAAGGTAGACCCAAGGGGGGGAGAGCCTACGGGGATGCGGAACATCAAGAACACATTGCCGACTGCATGAAGAAGAAATGCAGCTAGTGTCGTTGGAAAGGTCCATTCCAGCCAAGGTATACGGAGTGCCTGGAGCCCGAAGAGAAAAACGCCATCAATCGAAGCCCATTTGAGAAACAACCAGGTGGAGTCCAGATCGTCGGAAGCGCTCAGAGATTCATACACTCGCCACGCATGGAGCGCCAAGTAGAAAGCCACGACATAGAGGCGTTGTGACGGGGCATCTACGATCCCGGTTGGAATGAGGGGTGAGGGTGCATCGGGGGCAGCTGGCGATGCGGTCGAGGCTTTCCGTAATCCGGGTTCTTGGGATGTTGGTCGAGGTGGCGGCGTTTTATAAGCTCGAGTTCTTTGCGTTGTCTGCGGCGTTTGAGGGAAGGCAGAGCGGAGTCGGGGAGTCCCGTTCATGGCATGCTGTGGTCGCGGGCTCGCCACGAATAACAAATTTCACTTCAACCTACAACGAGAAATCCCCGTCAGAGATGAACCGTAACGCAGTTGTTTGGCGTGTGCGGGTTGAAGGGGGAGACGGAAGATAGACGGAGGGCAAAAAAAAAGGGAGAAAAAAATATTAAAAACCCTACCTAGCATACAAGGTAATAAACTGTATGCCCTTCCGGGTGTTGAAGAGATTGCCTAGGCCCTCTCCGATAACGAGGCTCAGACAATGAATGGAATGATGAGTCCAACCTGGATTGGAGAGATGTCGAAGGAGGGGGGAGAGGGAAGGATGAATGAATGAATGAATGAATGATGGAAGTGAAATGCCGAAAACGCGTGGAGTCGCGTCCGAGCTGGAGCTTTGTCCAATCAGCGGTGCAGATGTGCCTGCTCGGTGAGTATGAGTACCGGTACTTATCCGTCGCTCTACACTGGCCGTAGCTCTTGGTACCTGGTACTCCGTACCTATGGTAAGGTAGTTTCAACTCCGCTAGTTACTTACCTACCTTAATTACTTCCTTCCCTTCTTCCCTGCCGGTAAGATCTAAGGTACACGACTGCCTCGCACGGCTTCGGCCGACAATTGATGCTTTGTAGTGTTTGTTCCTCTCCCAACGGTTTCATCCATCAACTGCTCGGATATTTTGATTTAATCCATGAGGTGACCCGAACTGTATCCCACTCTCCGGTCTCATCAAGATGAATCACGGTGTAGCCCAGGAGCTGAGTGCCCAGAAACCACCCGGGATACACAGCGTTGGCAACGATTTATGTGGCTCGGCAACCGCGCAGGACAAAGAGCTATGGAACGGTTTTTGCGAAATTGAATCGGAGCCAGTGAGTTGAGGTGAACTATGCATTGTCCTGCTATGTACTAATCTTCTCCAGGCTCTATTCAATGTGATGCTTCGGGAATTTGGCGTTAAAGGAGTGAAGGTCCAAGAGGTTGTGTCCTTGGATGAGGATATGATGGCCGGCCTAAGGTGACTTGGCCTTACTGACCTGCGAGATCTTCTACTAATCCTCTATTATCTGCAAATAGCAAGCCTGTTTACGGGTTGATATTCTTGTTTCGGTGGCGCGAGGATGACCCCAACAAACAGGAAGCAAGCTGCCCCGAAGGGCTTTGGTTTGCGAATCAGGTTGGCTTCTCGCCTCCCCCTAGAGCATATGCACAATGGCTGATGCTTTTCACCTAGACAGCAAGTAATGCTTGTGCGAGTGTGGCCCTCCTGAACATCGTCAACAACATAGAAGGGATTGAGCTTGGTGACAACCTGCAGCATTTCAAAGAGTTTACAATGCCCTTTACGCCTGCACTGAGGGGCGATGCAATTAACAACTTCGAGTTCATCAAACAAATACACAACTCATTTGCGCGGTAAGCATGCAGCCGAATTATTGACAGGCCCATTAGCTCTTGATATTTTGCCTAACCCAAGGGCTAGGAAAATGGATATTCTCAATTCGGACCTTCTACTCAAATCCGAAGCGACGTCCAAACGATCGCGCTCAACTCGACATGCTCAGGATGAAGCCGAGACAGACGCAGGATTCCACTTCATTGCATTTGTACCCGCCTTAGGGACGGTTTGGAAGTTCGATGGCCTCGAACGCCAACCCCAGGCGCTTGGTAAGCGAGTAGACCAAAGGCGAGATTGCGGCTAATTTCTGAAACAGGGCATTACACAGCGTACAATGACTGGCTAGATCTGGTCAAGCCCAACATTCGCACCAGGATGGAAGAATACGAAGAGGGCCAGATTGAGTTTTCAATCCTGAGTCTTGCTAAGGATCCGCTTCTTGACCTTGTGGACCGATTAGCCCTCAATGTGAGACAGTTGGAATCAGTTAACCGGGGCCTGGTCTCTTCCGAGCAGGGAGGGTCGCATTTAGAATCCGCGTCGGCAAACTGTCTTCAACAAACCGTTCTGGGGCCCGACGAGACGTTTGGTCTTCCCAGGGAGCGCATCGACCAAGCCAAGATGCCCTCGGAGCTAGAGGACGAGTACGACACCTGCTCCTTCCAGGACCTGGCTGAGCATCAGCGGCAACTGGTGGCCGAACAGCAGTTGCTCCGAACTGCGATCCGGGAAGAGCAGCAGTCCCTCCAGGCAGAGGACGACCATGTGGCGGGGAGAAGATATGACTACGGGCCCGCAGTCAGGGCGTGGACGCGCTCTTTGGCCCGGAAAAGGGTCATTGAGAACTTGGCCTGACAAGGTCTTTACCGTGGCGGCGACGATCTTTGTATGCGCCTGACAACGCTGTACTGGTTATAATTGAAGGGCTAGGCTTCCGCCGATAAGTGACCCAACAAGACAAATCAACCTAGGTCGTGAGAACTGTCGGATTAACGTAGAGAAAGTGTAAAGGCCGACCAGTCGGTGACGTACCGGAACGTCACCGCCTGGGCGACCAAGTGCCCGCCGCCGCCTTGTTTCCGCGAGGAATCTGATCCGAGGTCAACCTCCTCCGATTTCCGTGGATTGCTTGCCAACAAGTCCCAGCGAAGGTCAACGTTTCTCTTGCCTCTTCGACCGTTGCGTGTGTTGGGGTGCAGATTGTCTTCCGCGGGAGCTTTGTCGCCGCTCCCTGCCTCTCTCGCCCCCTTGCCTGCGGCTGCATAGCGCGTCGCCGCTGTCTTCTCACTCTTTCTCTCTCTCTTGTACACTCCGTGAATTGTGAATTTTCAATCATCACTTGTGACCATGTCTTCCGCCGTGGCCTCGGATGCTCCCGAAAAGACCCCTGATGATTCCTCCAAGTTGAAAACGTTCCTATCAATCCTCCGAAGGTACGGGCTGCTTGCAAAACTGCCCCTTTGTCCCCCCTCCCCCCTGTTCTGGCCCCGAACCGTGCTAAAGCCTTGGTATTTGAACTCCTCTAGGTTTGTCGGAGTGACTGATATAGCGTCCGTTCGCTTCTCGCTGCCTGCGCATCTTCTGGAACCGATGCCCAACCTGGGTACGTTGCGGCTTCTCCTTTCCTGTTGTATAGGTGGCCCACCTTCGAGATCGAGGGACCCCTGGTTAACCGGAATTGGCAACCGCTAGAGTACTGGAATTATTTGGATAGACCGGAGACCTTTGCAAGGTCAGCAAAGTAGCCGAATCATCGACAAGGCTCAAGTTCTGACAGGAGCACCACAGCATTGGTAAATCAGATGATCCGCTGGGACGGATGCTGGAAATCTTAAGGTTCTGGTTCACGAAAGACCTGGTATATATCCCCACGGAACTCCTCTTTCCCAAGTGGCAGGGACGGTCTTACTCACGGCCGCACAGAAATACATCAAGGGCAAGCCCTGCAAGCCGTATAACTCTACCTTGGGTGAATTCTTCAGAGTGAGTCTTGCCTGTCCGTCACTTAACCCCCCTCCATTCCCAGGACTAATCTTGCGGGTACGAAACTGCAGTGCAGCTGGGAGATTGAGGATCTTCCCACGGCGGTCTCAGTACCTTCCAAGTCGGACACCACCAGCGGAGCTTCCACCAAGACGGACGACAAAAACGAAGCGGTCAAGGTATGTTACTTGACCGAACAAACTTCTCACCATCCACCAGTGTCTGCCTTTTACATCGATTGTGAGGAACGAGGCATTTCAGCCCGCGGCTTCGACCAGATAAGCGCCAAGTTCACGGGCACGAGCATTCGCGTGGCGCCCGGGCAGCATAACCTGGGCATCTTTGTCAATATCGCGAGGCGAGACAACGAAGAATACCAGCTCACCCACCCTGATGCCCATCTTGGTGGCTTGTTGAGGGGTGCGTTGGCCATCACGGTTTCCGACACTTGCTACATAACATGTCCCAAGACCCGTATCAAGGTCATCCTGCAGTACCTGGAGGAAGGTTGGATTGGCCGGGCCCAGAACAAGGTTGAGGGCGTCATCTTTCGCTACAACCCGGACAAGGACACCACGACAAGAATTAAAGATGTGCCGGAAGGGGATCTTCTTGCCAAAATCAGCGGGTCCTGGCATGGGCAGGTTTTCTACACACTTGCGGGGACCAATGAGCCCCGGCTGTTGATTGACATTGGTCCTCTCTTTCCCATACCCAAGGCAGTACCCACCGAAGACCAGCAGCTGTCCAACGAATCTCGCAAATTCTGGTCCGGGGTCACGGAGGCCATCGTCGATAAAAAATACGGCCAAGCCACCCGGCTCAAGCAAGAGATCGAGGAGCGGCAACGTCAAAAGGCCGCAGAAAGACAGGCCAAAAATGAGGCGTGGCAGCCTCGCTTTTTTACCGGCGCCGTCACGCCATTGGGTAGACCTGAATTGACTGAAGAAGGGCAGAAGGCCCTCGAGGGACTTCGTCATGGACAGTACGAGTTAGAGGAAAGTGAATTCAAGGGCGCATAGAGGGGTTGCGGTAGGATAATAATACTAAATACACGAGATTGGATTGTATCCAGGGCGTTTTGGCACGAGAGCCTTCCGATCGTCCCTGAATTGGCGAAATTCTGTTCTGTTTACTTTTTCCGTTTCTCGCTGGTTTCGCCAGAGAATTGAGCATATAAATTGGTTTGACCCTTTACACCCCCCCTCCCCTATATAATAATACCAATGTAGCCTTGATTGCCAGTTGTCAGGAAAAGAGAAATCCAGCCATGGTCTTCCTGCACACTTCCTTTCCGAATCCAAAAACAAAAGTAAACCCGAGGCAAAACCTCACTGGTCGAGGAGTACCTTTACGAAAAACAAACCGCTTCGTTAAGGTAGTTCTGGCAACAGCCAAGTCATTACTTTGTACAGCCTGTCAGAACATGGAGAGCGAGGGCAACCGCGGCGACGCCGATGCCCTGACAAAGCATAAACCTAAAGATAAAAAAAGGGTAGATACAATAAACCAATCCGAAGTCCAGCATTATACATGTCTCGTTCCAAGCTTCGTAAGAACAGAAAAGAAAGCCCTCAAACCGGCCCTGTGACAACCGTGCGCCTGCAACCGACACCCAACCCATTAAAAACTAGAAACAACCATGTAATCATTCATTCTAGGCATTGGCCGAGACAACCTTGTTGAACCCTGCAGTGACTGTCTTCGTTATGTCCTCGTTCTTATGGGGAAGAAGAGACAATGCGTAGGCCACATCGTTCCACTGTCGTTCGGTCTCACATCGAGGGAGTCGGGCGGCGAGCTTGTCTGCTAATTGTCGGGCATGTTTCTCCTGTAACAAAGAAAAAGATAGATTAGACGGGAATCCATTGCCAGGCAGATGCCATGGTATCAGGGGACGAGTTTCGTTCGGACTAACCTTTTCAACGAATCCAATCAAGAATTTAACAATACGCCTCAACGAGGCCTCTTCTAGGTTGCGTTCTGCACTCAACAGACTGAACATGTCGACGAAATGGTTATACACCGCATTGTCCTTGCTGGCCAGTTCGGTGAAGAACATGCGTGCCAGGTCGGCAATTCTCTTATCGTCATCCTCCAGGCATTTGGCCATCTCGCCCAGCTGACCCTTGACTTTGACCTGGCCCGCCAAAATCAGGAACGTGAGGGTCATCAAACAGGTGCGCTTGACGGAGGCATCGTCGTCATTTAATCGGCGGTACAGGAAGTCTGTATTCTCATCGATTAAATGATTGAAGCACACCGCCATGTCACCGAGCGCAATAACTGCATTGCTGCGAACAATTGGGTTTTCGGAGCGCTCCATTATGGTGATCAGGAGGGGCAGATTCTTTTCGCAATACTCGGCCGACACGCACATCAACTTCGCCATGCACAAAGTTGCTGCTGCCTGAAGGTTGGGGTCGAGGTACGTATTGCTGTTGGCACATATCTCGGCGACCAAAGGCCCAAAGTTAGACAGCAACGAATTCTCCCCATAGAGTAGCTCTCGCTCTCGAATATGCGCCATGGCATCGGTGAAGTCATCTTCGGTAGTTCCACCAATGAGGTCCAATTCATCACTCTCCGCAGCCTCGTCGCCGTCCTGGGGCGCAGAGGTGACGGCTTTATTCTTTTCCTGCTCAACCTTGCGACGCTTGAAGTCGAGTTCACATAGCTCCAGGTGGACTATCTGCTTAATCGCAATATGACCAACAACGAAAAGCAACTGAGACAATGCAATTGACGTCGGCTTCTGTCTTGATTCCAGATTCTCGCTAGAAGCTGTTCCGGGGCGTTGTTGTTCGTCGTCGTCCGCAGATGACTTAGACGCGGAACGCTGCGATTGTGGCCTAAACACGAACTTCGTCTTCCGTTTGAGAATGTCGGAGCAAAGGACATCGGGATGTTTGGATAGTGTGTAAATGGCACTAATGGCCTGTTCCGAAACGCCGTACCATTCTTGGCTTTCCGACACGGTTTCGACCATCGCTGCAAGTTTGGTCAGAACAGGATGGTCATTGGCGAGTTTGGGAATGCCGGTTTCTTTAGTTTTAGCCTGGCGACCTGGGACCATCCGCCTTAGTGCAATGCAGGTGTATTTGGCGAGCACTAGGTCTGACTGTCCCAGGTTCCCGAGACCAATCCTTAGCATCGCCTCGATCTCCTTGACCACAACTTCCGGATCGGCCAAGGCAAGCATCCCAAGAACAATAACCGCTCCGCGTCGTTGTGTTTTGGATATCTCCTTCTTCTGCACACCATAGACTTGCCACAATTTGGCTATCACGGCTTCTGAAACGTGGCCCGCCTTCATCATTGTACTGAGCAGTTGCTCAAGACACGTAAGCTCGGCAGGCGTTGAACCAAAAGTCAAACTGATCATGTTTCGAGCGATATAATTTGCAGCATCGTTGGGGCTAAAGGAGTCGGGTGCTTCGAAGAACAGGCCTTTGTAACAATCGATTAGATGCGTTTGAACACCTTTGCCTTCATCGCTATTGCCTTTGGTCCAAATAAGTCGGAGCATCCGCCGAATTCCGTTACGAGATGTTTCGACCTTGTACGCATCCAGCACGACAAAGAAGTCCATTGCTTCAATAGCTTCGCTCTTATTTCGCGAGGACAGAAGCTGAGAGACTATCCCGGAAGCCGAGTGGAGGACCTCGATGAATCGAAGGGCTTCATTGTAGTATTTTCGGGTCAGCTGAAGACGCGCGAGCAGCTCAGAAGTTGCCGCTTGCTCCGCGGCCCTTTTCACAGCTGCGGCCTTCTCTTCATCTGTCATGACTGTCGCTTTTGATGGAGAATCGTCGGGCATTTGCGTGGCGTCATCCAATAATTCGCTGTCAACATGCGATGTTTCTCCGCCTTCAAAACCGGGGGTTTCCGGGGGTCTCAAGGCATTGAGTTCAGCGTCAACAGCGTCCAATCTAGCTGTCCACTCTTTGTGCGACAACTGTCCACCGTGCATGATGCTGAAGGGATGAGTGGAAACTAGTTTAGCCAGCAGTTTAATCGCGTTACGTCGCACGTTGCTGCTCTTGTCTTCAAGACTTCTGGCTGCCAGTTCTGAAACGGCTTGTCGTCTCTTAGGGAACTTTTGTTCCAGGTCACAAATCCTCATGTACACTTGGATAGCTCGACATCGACAGTAAGGATTGATGTCCAGAAAACGCTCTTCTAACACGTCGAAGAATGCATTTATCTGTGTCTTGTAGTTGTCGCTTCGCTCTTCCTGACGACTGAGGTCAGAGATAAGATTACCACACACCTCAACGACGGCGCAGCGGAGGGTATATGACTATCAGCAAGTTAGTTGCTTGTTGGAACAAGTGAATAGGAAAGGATCAGGTATGGTGTCGTAATACTTCACTATCTAGTTGCTTGGCGAGGAGAGTCATTTGCTTTATTATCAAACGCGGAGCAAGTTCCGACAGTTTGACGATGAAGGCAGAGACCGATTTGGGCCCTCTAGTATCGTTCGAGTTGAACTCCTTATTCCCAAGTTCCCTAAACGAGATTAGCGGCTGCGCAACTGCCACAAGTGATGCCATAAATACTTCAATATTTCATCAGAAAGTTGCGGGTAATCATATTGCTCCGCAAGAATGTGCAAGAATTCAGCCATAGGCTCAGATAGGTGCTCGAAGTACGTTAAGCTTTGCACAATAGATGTCTGGGCACCTGGACACCTAGTTAGCTTGAGTTTGGTGAAGCTGGTAGACCAGCGCTTACCAAAGGCATGTCCGTGATGCTTCACTGCAATGCAAAGAACTTTGAATGCATGCATCCTGATGGCCATACTCTTCACTCGCTGTTCGCTCTCCAAGATGAGGTAAATGGAGCGGGTGAACAGATTGATAAAAGTGTCGCGGTCAGATGTTGTTAGAAATATCCTGGTCAGTTTCAGTTTCATAACTTTGCACATGGTTTCCATGGATATCTGAATTTGGGTAGTCCAATCCCAGTGTCCATCTTTAGCGCTGGCCTTGGATTTCGATGATTTCCCTCCACCCCTTCGAGCAGGCGCAGCTTCCGCAGGTTTCTCAGCCGCTTTGACTTCAACGGCTGAAAGAGCCCATTGGAGAAGAAAACCGTACATCTCCAAGAGCTGTTTGTGATGCTGAATACCATCTTGTTCGTCGGACTCGAGATCTCCGTGGATAGTGTCCGCTTCGACGGACAAGCCGGAAACGACTAGATCGAGGAGCTTGCTAAGAGATCGCGTAGGAAGAAAGGAGGAGTACCTGCGAAAAAAAAATAAATCAACCGTTCAGAATTGGTTCCATACGGCCCCGAAATATCGGGGGACTGGGTTTCGGGCCAGGGCGCACTTGAGAAGGAATTGGAGAGAATCAAAGAAGGATGATCGAGTCAGTCCCTCGGGGCTTTCAGCTACCCCATCCACAATGGTATTTAAGACATGGTCGATCAATGTCGATGACAGATTGTCGGGGTCGGTCTCGCAATCCAACAGTTCCGGGTCGGCGTCAGGAGTCGGAACAGAAGTCGGGTCGCTCAGGTAATACTTGAGGGATTCATTGATATCGAACTGGATCCGGTCTTCCATGGTGGGCGACTACGAGGAGAGGATTCCTCGGAAGACGCGTGCGGCGTGGAAGACGGTTGATCGCTTGATGACGACGGGGGTTGATCGGTCCGGAGGGGGAGGAGGGGCGCCGGCCAAAAGAAAAAGAAGTCAAACAAAGAGAGAAAACGCACGTGGGCTTTGTTTGGAGATTTCCTGTTTGGTCGTGGTGTTGCCGGCGCTGCGCCCTTACCGTACAGGTATTGATCAATATGAGGTGGGTACCCTAGGTACAGTACAGTACTATCTACCTTAGGTAGGTACATACCTACTTGCATACCGCCCGTACCGTACTCATTACTTACCTCCTACACAGACATACATGTACGGTATGGTATTTGATACCAAAACATAAACACACACTATACTGTTTCGGGCGATTTTTTGCGCGCGTCCGGGGAACATATCGACCTTCTCTCTCTCTCACTTCCTCAGACTTTCGAGTTCAATGGCAGCTGAAACCCTCTATACACCTCCTGCATCCGTTGACGTACGCGTCAGCACCCTCCCTTAATTCTCCTGCCTGCAGCACCTGTCACACGTCATCATTTGTGTCCCTCCGACTCTGACTTCTCTTCGCCTCTGCCCACTCCCGCAGTGCATGCGAGTGTCGCCAAAGCGCAAACTCCCCCGATCACCCGGGCTCTCCGTCGGCTCTCGTTCCTTTTCTGGCCCGTTACCATGTCTGCCCTCCATACGGCACCAGCTGGTTTCTTCGAGCTGCAGAGGCCCGGTTCTTGGAGGCCAACACGTCCCTCAACGAGGCCCAACCATGCGGGTGCAGACGGCGTGGTTGCGGATAGCGATGCGTCGGCAGCACAACCCCAAGACCCAGTCGGTCGTGAGGAGGAACTCGGGGACGAGGATATCGATGATTCGGTAAAGGAGGACATGCAAAAACTCGAGGACACATTCCCGGGGATCTCAGACCGGTTTCGACTGGTCAATAGGATTGGCGAAGGTATAGTGAGCCTAGGTGCATTTTGGCCCGACTCGTATGGCTGATCCATTGCGAATCTGTAGGGACATTTTCCACCGTGTATAAGGCGGAAGATTTGCTATATGACCATTACAGGAACGACTGGGACATGTTCCAAGACAGCCACAATGACTCCTGGGCGAGTCCGCCGTCAAAACGGCGGCGGTTGGAAAATGAGAGTGGCCGACCATTACCCCCCAAACGAAGGAAGCCCCGATACGTGGCGCTGAAAAAAATTTACGTGACAAGCAGTCCTCTTCGCATTCAAAATGAACTTGAACTACTACATGATTTACGTGGATGCCGATCCGTATGTCCCTTAATCACTGCCTTCCGGTACCAAGATCAGGTCGTGGCTGTCTTGCCCTTCTTCCCTCATACGGACTTTCGGATTCAATATCGCACTTTTATGGTTGCAGATATGCGACATTACTTCAGGTCATTGTTCACCGCACTACATTCGGTTCACAAGCATAATATTCTCCACCGAGACATAAAACCGACGTAATCCTACCCTTATCAGACCAACCGTTACTTTGTGTCTTTCCGAACGCTAACGACGATACCGTCATCTAGAAACTTTCTCTATAATCCAGAACTCCGGGAAGGCGTTCTAGTTGACTTTGGTCTGGCGGAAGTAAGTCCCTAGAATACACCTGCACCACAAACACATCTGGGGAAACTAACTAATCAATCCTTCGCAGCGCGAGGGAGCTGAGTATACTGGCACTTGTCTGTGCGCTAACCCGGGCTATGTGCGCCGCAGTCGCTTACTGCAAAGTTATTATTACACCCATTGTTCGATGACTACGCCGTCCGCAGGACATCCAAAAAATGACTCTAGGCCGTCAAAACGGGCCAATCGAGCGGGAACCCGAGGCTTTCGTGCACCAGAGGTTCTCTTCAAGTGCACGTCTCAAACAACCAAGATCGACATGTGGTCCGCCGGGGTTATTCTTCTAACCTTACTTGGGCGTCGGTTCCCATTCTTCAATTCGGCCGATGACGTTGACGCAATGATAGAAATGGCAAGTATTTTTGGCACGCGTCGCATGAAAACTGCAGCTGTCATGCATGGTCAAATCTTTGAAACAAATATCCCGACCATCGGGGAGAAAGGATACAGTTGGGAGAAGCTCGTAAAGTGGGCCAGCTGTGTGGAAGAGTTGACAGAGAGCGAGAAACAGGCTACGCGTCTTCTGGCTGGTCTCATGGAACTGGATCCTTATAAACGTATGAGCGCTAAAGAGGCCCTGCAACACGAGTTCTTCACTGAGCCCATAGACCACGATGTGGAGTGGGGGGGAAATCCTGAAGACAGCGCAGACACTGGGGAGGATGGGGAAGGGGACAGAGAAGAGGAGGAAGCAGACGAGGTGGCCATGGTTTAGAAAACAAATCTCAGTTTATGACAATGATAATCAACATCGGTATTAATGCAAAGCTTTGCGGCATGATTGCGACCTTGTGGTAGACGTCAAGCAATGGTGAATAGGAGATCATGGCTTTTACGATTATCACCACGCTCCCAGTAGGGTATTTGGTTGTCGGGCACAACTCTAGGAGCCATTAATGTGTAATAGAGTATGAGATTATGTATTCCCATCAAAGGGCCGTGATGATGCTGTTAAGGGGGGGTGGATGAACACATATATGCGCTGCTGGTCGCGCGCGGTCGATAATCACATTCTATACTATACTGCCCAAGACAGAATCGGAGTCATTCCTCGTTTGAGCCTACAGCGAGCTCTAACTAGCCTCTCCAAAATCGTAATGGCCAGTTTGGGCAGCGTGCTGAGTAGCGCCTTTCTCCCCCGTAAATATCCCTCCGCAGGTATTGCAACGAATACGAAACCCTGCAGTATCGGTGTAGTAATGCCTGCCCTGCAGAATCTTACAAAGAGCCAGCGCCTTTTCTAGTACCAGGCCATCGGCCGAGTCAAAGACTTTGGTGTCGAATTCAGGGGGGGCATCTGTATGAGCGAATGGGGGAGCGGAGGGTGATAGCGCTATGGTATCATAGTGGATCCCGGAATAGACTAAGATACATCGTGTGGGCGGGCCCTCGTTGAAACGGTCAACTCGAAGCGTTTGCACATCGATCGAGCATATCTCTATATCAAAATGTTTGCTCAGGATGCTGAGCTCAATCCCTCCCCCCCATGAATCTTCGTTCTGGATCCAACGACAATAGTCGTCCGGCCGCTTGTCTAGCACCGCTTCCGAATACAGATCCGGTCTCTCTTGGATAGTTTGAGCAACGACAGATCGAAGTTCGTTCATGGCATCCATGCCTCCCATGAGAGCAGTGCCCACGGCGCGAAAGAGACATGAGTTATCATCGGGCATGATGCGCAGAATGAAAGTGCCCGCATGCTCGGAGGACGCGATCTCGGGCGCGTCGTCCGAGGTGTTCTGTGGCTTGTGCGCAGGGGATGGCGGCCCTGTAGGAGCAAGAGATTGCGAGGGAACCGAAATGGGGGGTCCGCCACTGCTGCCCGAATCCTGAAGCGTGTCGTCCCCCTTCCTGGTGACTATCAGTTGTTCGCCGTGGAGGTTGATCGCATGTTCTTGTAGGCTCGAACCAAGCTCGAGCCCATCCAGCGCGAGAGGTTTGAGGTCGGGATAACCGTATTTTACCTCGTAGGTAGTTAACCCGGTTGCGTTCACAACTTGATTCCGGAGGTCACCCACGGTTGCCGAGTCGTCGAGAAGGACCGTGGACTGCCCCTCCGGGCCGCGGATTCGAAGCTTCATCCCCATGGTGCAAGTCGGGTCTTATCGTCGTATATCGAGGGAAAATATTGCGGAACACCGAGAGTATAAATGTGTGAGGGATTCAAGGATGCAGAGAATCGAAAGGAGGGGAGAGGGAGGAAGGCAGATGAGTGGATTGAATGAAGTAGTTGAGTAGCAAGTGACCGGCGATCCAGCACATGTGGGGCATGGCACTCCATCGGCGTCGCCATACAACGACGTAGGGCACACTATACTATTTTCGGGGGGTAAGAATCCGGGGAATAGCCCCAACCTTGTGTCTACATAAGATATATAGATAGACAGGGATCTATATGGTGAACTTGAGCAAACATTCTTGGAGATCCTCCGCTTGCGCCTCGTTACTTCCCTGTACTGTTTGTACCGGTGTACCGTACGGATGTACAGTACGTATTGCATGTACTGTACATACTGTCATGACAGGGGTATGCGGTAAGGTACGGAAATCGTACCATACGTCAGGTACTTAGGCTGAGTCAGCATGGCTACTTGCGCGAACCTCGTCCTCTCCGACAACTCTTCCTCCCTCCCTCGCTGTTCTATTATTGCGCTATTGCGCGCAGTGTCGCCTGGTTGCAAGTCGCTCACCGAAAGAGTCTATAAGCTTGCCCCAACCCCAGCCCGTGGTCCTTGCGACTGTAGGTTGCCTTCAAGATGGAGGAATCGGAGCCGTCGCACGTCCAGCCCACTTCAGAGGCACCCGTGGATTCGGTCGCGAACGATGGGAAAGGTGGACCGATGCCCGCGACGGGTGGTGTCACTGATGAACAATGGCGGTTGATGATGGATGTGGTAATGGCCATTTATGATTTTCGAGAGCACGAGTGAGTTCTTGGCCCTCCTTGATCCTGTCGCATCAACCTCCCAGGCTAACCGCTCCCGTCCTTTTATCAACAACGCAGTGGCCATGACCCGTCCAAACTGTTCCAGCGCAGCGTTAACAAGCGCAATGTTCCTGACTACTATGATATAATCAAGGAGCCGATGGCCCTGAGCATCCTGAAACAAAAAATCAACAAGAGAGAGTACAAGCAATTTGCCGAGTTTGTGCGAGACTGCGCTCTGGTAACTATACCTACCCATACTATACTCCCTCCCTACTTCCTCCTGAGAACATGTGGGCACCGCTCTTCTGGAACCGCGCGCGCTGATTACCATAGATCCCCCATAACGCACAAACCTACAATCGCCCGAAATCTCAAGCATATGAGGATGCACTTGTCATCAAGGTTGGTTGCGCCTTGGTGGTGATTCCACACAAGACCAATTTGGTTTTCTGACAACCCTTCACTCAGGATGTTTTTGTTGCCGAGTTCCAGAAGCTGGTGAACCAGGGAATCATTTCCGCTGAAGAAGCTGAGCTTCCGGACCTCGGCGAGATCCCCGAGGCAGACCCTCTTCCCGAGGAGGAAGAAGAGGACGACGAAGAAGACGACGACGAAGACGAGGACGAAGATTCCGACGATGATAGTCGACGGAAGAAAAAACGAGGTCCGCGATCGGGAAGCAAACGCGAGGGTAACAAAGACGACAGTCAAAAGCCCAATGACCCCGAGCTGAGAAAGAAACGAGGCCGGCCGCCGCGTGTCGACACACCAATGGAAGCCCGGATTAAGGCGGTTCTCAAGGGGATTCGGAAGCTCAAAGGACCGGGGGGGCTCAAAGTGGGACACTTCGAGCGTCTACCAGACAAGAGTACCTACCCGGACTACTACGTGGAAATCAAAGAGCCCATCGCCATCGACATTATCAAGCGGAAGTCCAAGCGGAAGAAGTACAGCTCGGTTGATCATTTCATGAGAGATATGGATCTCATGTTCAACAATGCTAAGGCCTACAATCAGCCCGAAAGTCAAATATACAAAGACGCCGTTGATCTGCAAGTGGAGGCTCGAAAGCTTGCCGAGCTTGAGAAAAAGAAGCCGGACAGCGAATATCTCATGGAAGATGGGCGCCTACCCCTGCCCGATGGGATACTTTACAAAAGCGAGCTGTGGAAGGTCGGCGACTGGGTCCACATCCAAAATCCCAATGACGTGACAAAGCCCATCGTTGCACAAATATATCGCACATGGCAGGACGGCGACGGGGACAAATGGATCAATGCCTGTTGGTATTATCGCCCGGAGCAAACGGTCCATCATTTTGAAAAACACTTCTACCCCAACGAGGTGGTCAAAACCGGCCAGTACCGAGACCATCGAATTGAGGAGATAGTAGACCGGTGCTTCGTGATGTTCTTTACTCGCTACAATCGTGGGCGACCCCGAGGCCTTCCACCTGATAAGGATATATACGTCTGCGAAGCCCGGTACAATGAGGAAAAACACAAGCTGAATAAAATCAAGACCTGGGCAAGCTGCCTCCCGGATGAGGTGAGAGAGAAAGATTACGAGATGGATCTCTTCGACGTGCCTCGCAGAATCAAAAAGATTCCCAGTCCGATCAAGCATCTGCTCAAGAATGAGGCAAAGGAAACGGACGATCTTCCAAAACCCACCTGGGGGGCTGAGAATGCGCCCCCGGCAGTTGGTGCTGTCCATCGTCGCCCGCGGGATGAAAATGTGAGGCCTCCTTCCACCCATCTTCTATCCAAGTCTCGATAGACAAACTGACGGTTCGTTCTCTGTGTCTCTAGGAATCTCCGCCTCCAGAGCCATCGCCTTCCCCGCCGCCATTGCCTCCACAACCATTGCCTTCTGCCCCCGTTCGACCACCGTCGATCAGTCAACCATCTGCACGACCGAGTGTAGAAAGTCAAGGCCCCAGTGCTATAGCGGCGGCTCCCCCACCAGCACGATCCCCGGCTGCACCTGTTCCCCCGGCACAGCATTCCCCGGCCCCCGTCGCCCCAGTGACTTTTCAACCACCCCAAGTGCCGTCCGGCCAGCCGTACCAGCCTGCCTTGCAGAGACGTCCCAGCAACTTTGCACCGCAGTCTTCGCTTCCTGTCGCGTATTCGGCTTCTGCAGTGTCCCATCCTTACGCTCCTACACAACCGTCGCCGTACGCGCCTTACCAAGCCAGTCGCATGGCAATGCCAGGTGCAGCGATGTATAACCCCAATGCTCCTCGTCCCATCGAGGTCTTCCATCTAAGTGATACCGCAAACACGGCGATCCCGGAAGATATTCGGGAGCAGTTCCACTGTGACGACCAGGGCCGTGTGCTTTTCTTCTCTTCCCCACCGCTGGATATCGTCCCACCGGTTCAACAAAGACTAGGCCACTCACTCAAGTATCTAGCAGCCAAGGAGGAGCGGCGCAAACTTGTTGAACATAAAAAGCGCAAGGAATGCTCTGGGCGGGAAGAGCTCGAAAAGAACACCAAGCGTCAAAGAGCCGATGACGAGACGGCTCTTGCGGCCAAAGTAGAGCATATGACTGCCCTGGCAATCGGTACCATGGCAAATCAGATAGAGCTCGGTACGGACTCTATCTACGAACTCCTGTACCCTGCTCAAGCAGAGAAGGCAAAATCAGTTGCGACCCGGTCTCGGGAGCAGATGGCTCGTACCGATCATGCTTCCCAAAAACGGACGGCTCAGATCTTAGCGCATTCCGAGGAAGCCAGCTTTGTGAGCTTGAAAGGCAATGCCATGTACATGCATGGCATCGATCCTGGGTCCTAACCAGGAATCAGAAACAAGAGCAGTCTGCTTGTTGGAAGCCGCGCGCTCTTCTGGTTATTTGACATGGAGGAATTGAGGCTTCCCTCCCTTCTTGTTTATCGGGGGACGCCCGGTCGAAGAGGAAGCCACATGAGTCTGAGAGCGTTGTATCGCAGTGATGGGTTGGTTGGATGGAATATATGGCGCACGAGTTCGTGTGTTCGATCGATCTGAAATCGAACTTTGGGAGACTATCAGGACAAGATCGTGTTCGTGTTTAGATTAGCGTAGGCTTAACTAATGTATGGGAAGCCCCATTGTCACTCATATTTTTTTTTGTTTTTTTCATTCGGCGATTCGATGAGCTAGGGATAGGGGGTACGTAAAAGACAGCAATGAGGAGCGCAAGCCAAATCATGTGAATGAATATATTAAGCTGGCCTTTGTACATGAACATTGTTCGCTAAGACAAGATATCGCGAGAGAGGGGGGAAAGGGGAAAAAAAAAAAAAAAAAAAAAAAAAGGGAGGTAAGAGTCTCACAAGGAGAGTCCAGAAAAGTCGTCAACTCGTAAACTGGGAAGTGAGGACCGATAAAGAGATGAGAGGGTAGGCAGGGAACCAGAATACATAGAATATACACGTCCCAAGGCATGTAGAGGAAGCAAAGAAAGGGGAAGAAAAGAAACAAAAACAAAGAAGAGAGCACAGCAGATTGGAAACAGATCTACGATTAAATGTTGGCTCCTGTATCAAATTGTATGTCCTGGAGCATCAGCAAGTCGTGGCATCCCAACAATCCCCCCTCGGATTAAATGCAAAGACAGGCGGGGGGGAATGGTTCTCACAGCCAAGCGTGAGGGGGGTTTTGTAACCTCCAAAACACTCGTAAACAGACCCAGAATTTGTCTAGTTTCCAAGTATTAAATGCAAGAAAGAAAAAGGTTGCGGTGATTTTCCAGAAATCGGTTAACCATTCTATGCCAAAGAAACCAAACGATGAAAGAGAAATCCCAATTGTAGTCGCTCCAAATGGGCATTTGAGATGATCTTTTGAGGGAATTTTAGAATAAGCTCGTATGGACTGATACCGGCGTGATATTTTCCTTTTCAACGGGTCTTTTTGGGGGATGGAAAGGGGGGAGTATTGTTCTTGTTGAGGGTAGCAGATGTCACAGGAGGAAGCTAGATTCCGCTGCGCTGAAAACAACCCGGGGTTTGCCATATCACCAACCATCCGGTAGGTGGTTGTTCAGATTCCATAGTCAATTAAGACTGAAAGCCGGGGTTGCTTGTCGGAGTCGAATCCTCGTCATTGGACTCTGTCTTGTGCATACCCCATGAGGCACTGCTGCGCTTGTTGTTGTTCTCTTCTTCTTCCATGGAGAAAACTAAATCGCTTTGTTCTTCGTCAATTTTGCTTGTACTGACGGGTGACGAGACAGTTCTGTCTAAGCGACTATTGGCGCCCGAGGATGACGAATGACGAGCGGACCCAGGGTGGAGAGACATGCCGCTAAGTTGCTGAGAGATCATTGACGTCGACGCTTGTCGGGAAGGAGAAACAAACGTGGGAACTTCCCCAGACAACTGGCGGCTGCCGATGGGACCCAGGCTGGGGCTTCTCGTTTCCAGGTTCAATGAGGACTCGCGAAGAGGTGACCCGACCTGGGGGAATGAGGTTCCATGGGCATCTTCTTCTTTTTTCTGTCGCTGCTTTGCAAACAGGGCACCAAACCGAGAGGGACTAGACGCCAGGGGCGAGCCAACCTTTGACAGGCTGGTGCCAGTCATCCCAAGCCCGCTGAGATCACGATGGCTCGAACTAAGCTCATGATCAGTTCGAGATAGACGACGGAGCCGCTCCTGCGGCGTCAGCACGTCATCATGTAGGTTGATTGGCAGGAAATCTTCTTCCATGGGGAAATTGCTTTCATCCCAATCGTCCAAAGCTGTGGGTCGAGGGACACTGGAAGAGAGCATGCGAGGCTTTACAGGCCGTTGGGAATGCAAGAACCGCGGGCCCAGACCATCTTCGGGTACTCCAGGAGGGGAAGATCCGATGAAGGAAGCCTTCCTGGCGTCTGGTCCGTACGCCGTGTCGCGAAGATTCCGGAGGGCGTCCGACGGAGCCCCTATTCGTTGGGCAGGTGGCGAGAGCTCCAATCCAAATTTCGAGGGCATGGAGGCGGCTACGGGGCCATAGCGGGCAGCATGGGAGATTCCTTGGCTGTCAAAAGACGCAGGCAAGGGAGCGTCAAGCGCGGTCAAGTGGTGATGGTTTGGGGACATGGGGAAGCGCAGGTCTTCAACCGGCGAGCCATACTTAGAACCGGTATCTGAAGCCAAGCCCGTATCGATCGTAGGAATAGCATCGTATAGCGGTGGCGGTGGCTGCGACTGCTGTTGCTGCTGTTGCTGCTGCTGGGGGTGTAAAGTAGCGAAGTCTTCTTGGTGTGAAATCTGGGAGGCATAGCGAGGATCGTGGCCATTCATTCGTTGTTGCGAGAGCACCGAATTGGTCAGGGCTGAATCTTGGTTGACGTATGCTTGCGGATTGACCCGGCCACCCAGGTTGAGATGGCTTCCACCCATCGCACTGGGTCGATTGACCCGCCGCCCATCGGGGAGGATATGCGCCAGCGCGCATTTAGCGCCGAACTTGCAGTTTCCCTGGAGCAAGGAGAAGTTTTAGCCATATGCCAACGGTTACGAACTTTCGCCCCGTTTCCAGCGGTTCGTACCTTGGTAAAATATTTACACGGCGCATAGTCGATCGCAGAATCGGTAGAATGCAAAAAGGGACAGGCAGGTCCAGCCTGGCAAGCTCCCTGGCGGTAGAATTTGCAGGGCACATGCTTGGTGTCTGTTGCGAAGTCAGTCTCTATGAAAGTACAAGACAGAAAAGAAACCCGTCGCCCTTCCGGCGCCGACGAGGAACATCGGCCGTGAGGCGGTGGGCCTTCTAGGAAATGGAGCGCGTAGGTATCATAGTTGAGCGTAGAATGGCCGCCATGGTCCCGGGGGAAAGACCTACTGCTTTGGTTGGGGGGGCTGCGGGCAGTCATATCGAGGCCAGAAAGATTGCGGGAATGACCGTTCTGCAGAGGTTGAGCCCCGGATGGAACGGGGAGAGGAGCGCGACTTTTCATGACAATCGACGAGGAGGGGAGAGAAGAAGAAGAAGCCGGAGGATGGGGAGATTGCGAGAGGCAGACAGCAGCATGGCCAGGAAGGAAACGAGAAGGAGAAAGAGCGAGAACTGAGCGAATATCCGGAGGGGTTTATCCACCCGGTGGGGCCATTGGGCCAAACCGGTTGGCGGTGAGCCTCGCGGTCGAGGTCATCACTTTGTACCTCCGGACAACCGCCGCGCCGCTGCGAGCCTGCGCGCGTCGGGGGGTACTTCGCAGGTACCTGCCATTCTCTTGGAGGGCGGCAGGTATACCGCCGGTACCGAGTACCTAGGAGGAGCTGCGAAGACTCGAGGTTTCTGCGGTACCGGGTACCCGGGACTCTAAGTAGACTACCCGTCGACCACCAAGTATATATTCCCGGTATACACCTCCACCCTCCGTAGTAATACATGTACATACTTTAACTAGTTACCACAGCAATACAAGTAACAAGAAACGCCCATTCCTTTGCATTTCTGACCTGCCGACATGATAATCCCCCGCGCATGACATGGCTCGACAGGTGGTGGCGTCATCTTCTCACGCTCCTCGGTCATCTGTAGACGCCCGGGGAACGATGACCAGCTCCACTGACTCGCTCTTTGCTCATCTGATGCTACCTGGCCACCCAGACCATGCCTCCCCTCGAAGCTTTCATTTAAACATTCGCGCTCCCCGCCGATCATCGCTCGTTTCTCCACAACCCTCTTCCGCTGTAGTCCCCAGCTCCCCGGCTCTGCCCCAAAAACCCTTCTCGCGCGCGCGCGCGCTCTCTCTCTCTCTCTCTCTCTCTTTTTCCCTCGGAGTAAAAAAGCAAAGAAAAAAAAAAAAAAACCAAATGATATCAAACCCACAAAATAAAGCTAGAACTCCTCTACTAAAATGAGTCTCCTTCGAGCCCTAAGGATTCCTGCGTGCCTGGGTTAGTGTACCCATGCTGTTCGATGCAGGGGATATTATACGCACCCAGAGCTCATCTCGACTCATGTCCCCTGGGATGTCCTCCGAGCACCTCTGCCACAAGTCGAAACAAATCCGACGGCGGGTGTTGGCATGCCTTTGCCACAGTCTCCAGTCTCTACTGACATCGGCCAAGCTCTCCTGGGGCATGCCACCAGAATCGAGCTCCCCGTTCCGTGACAAGTGTGTGAGAGTGGATTCGATTTCCTTTTCTAACTGATCGATATCACGCCGGAGTTCGCAAAGCAAGGGCCTTGTACTAAGGGCTAGCAGCTCTGCATGCGCCCTTTTTTCATCTTCCTTGAGGCGGTCGAGCTGTTGTCGCAGTTCCTGGGTCTCTTTATCCGTCACAGCCATTGTTCCTGACATGGCATCGTCAGGGCCTTCCTGTAGGGCGTGGTAAATGGTTTGTTTCCCTGAGCCACCCGAACTCAGCGGTTTCATCACACCCCGGGGCTCGAATAGGTGATAAAGCCCACTAACCGGATGTTCTCCCTGCAATCTTCTTGCTGTGATGTAGTTCCTTGAGGGCCTTGCTCGCGTAGGCTTAGAAAAGAAGCGACCATGGTTAGATGCAACATCCGAGTTCGAAACCATGGACTTTCTCACCCTTAGTGACTCCGTTCTGTAGATTCATCGAGACGTCGTTGGCCTGCTTAGAATGAGCCACGGAGAACAGAAGCTTGTCGCGATCACATTCCAACTGACCGAGTAGGGACGACTGCTAGAATTGAGCGTTGATCAATGGGAGTATGGGAGAGAGAGGGTTGAGATGTTGGGGAAGAACAGGGTCAGATGGGGCCTATACTTCTGCTTCCCTAAAGTGGCCGGTGGCAGCCCAATTAGCCGATTGCTCCAATGGCTCAGCAAGCAGGCTTACGAAGGTATTCCAGAATCAACAGAGCCCCTCCTTGGACAACTGATTGGGATTAGCTATATACTCGACGACCGGGGGCTATTGGCAGCCACCGGCTTACCATCCCCGGAGGATTTCCGATTTCCCAGTTCTGGAGACATGGTGGGTGAATGATGGGCGTGAAGATATGACAAGATTGCGCGAGCCGATGTATGTGAGCGGTTGCGGTGGGTAGAGGTTGATTACTCGACTTCTAGGTACAGAGGCTGGGATCAACGCACGTCACGTGCAAGTAAAGATCGCAGCTTCGGTTTACATGCTCCATTTTGACCAGGGAATTCCGATGAAGATTTTCATGGTCAACATCAACCTGCATACCCCTCCGACACGATACAAGCAAACCCCAGTCGTTCCAGTTATGAAGCACAAAAAAACCTTGAAAAAAAAATTAAAGAGATGAAATGGAAGAGGAAAAGAAGCATAAGCTGGAAAACCAACAAGAAAGTGAAGAGAAGAGAAGAGAAGAAAAAAAAGAGAAAGGAGGAAAGCTGAAAGTCAAAGTGCCGGCTTCATCTTGCATTTACAGATCACTTTCTTTTTTACCCCTGGGGTCATCAAAGCAAATGACTAGCAGACGACAAAGACCCCCTCCGGAATGCTGAAATATGAAACAACCAAATGATTTAAGACACAAATCGACCTAAGGGGTATCACATCACAGTCTAAGAAGGCGTTAGTATCGGGGTTTACTCCAGGGGGAAGTCGCAACACTTACGCAATCGTTGTCTTTCTGGACGGATGGGACCCCCATTTCCTCGAAAGTCTTCGGGCCTTTGCTCGGTTGGCTACTCTGCGGTTTGGCGGGCGGTGCTGCGGGCTTCTGGCTAGTCGAGCTCGACGAAGACGCAGGAGGCTTCGGGGTGGACGGTGCACTAGAAGGCTGCATGGATTCGGCACGGGGCGGGAAATTCGCCGAAGAGGGCGAGGGCATGGCTGGCCGTGGAGAGCCCACCGGGCCGCCGCCCTGAGGAGACATAGGTCCTCTCCCCGGTCGGCGGTCGGACATATTCTCAAGCCTCTGGGGACGCCTGCGAGCATCGGCGTTGGAGGACTCAAGGGGCGCCGAGTATCCAATGTCCAGCGTGGGAGCTGCCGACACAGGACTGGTCGGCCCGGCGCTTGAAGTCCCGGGAGCGGGAGATCGGTAACCCACCGGTCCAGGTCCGTACGATGCGGCACGGTTGTAGCCGGGCCCATTGGAGCGAATGTTGGGGTTGATCCCAAAGGCAGAACTCGGTCGCGGGTCGGGCATGGCGTAGCCGGGCGGGTACACAGGCCGGGCGCGTGACGATGGCCGGTCCGGATATGGAGCATTCGCTGGCGGGGCACTATCCGAAAGGCTCATTCTGGAGGGATCGGGCATCTCGATGTTCTCCGAGGTTGATTGCACTGAATCACCTCGCTGGTGGGAACCATAGCGGGATTTGATGCGGGCGATGGCAACCTGTTCATGATCTTTCCGCGATAGGGTCTTGGAGCGCGAGATACTGTCAATCCGACCCGTCGCATCTTTGTTGCCATTGGCTGCCGCCTTCGCATACCAGCTTCGGGCTTCCTTGATATCGGATGGAACGTAGATGCCGACCTCGTAGAAGTAGCCCAGGGCAAACTCGGCGGTGGGGAAACCGCTCTGGGCGGCACGCTGGGCATACGTAAAGGCCAACTCGTCATTCTTGTCAAAGACGCCCTCGTGGCCGCAAAGGAACCATTTGCTGATGGCCATTTCCGCCTCCGGTTCCCCTTGGCGAGCGGCCAACGCGTTGTAGTGTAACGACAGGGCTGGGTTGAAGTCGCAGCCAAGCTGGCATAGTTCGTACGCGGCGCCCATTTTCACCTGGGCCTTGGCAAATCCGTGATAGGCAGCTTTCTCGATGTTGACCCGCGCGGCATTTAGATCGAGGGGTAGGAAGTTCTCCGGGACGTTCACCTGGGGCAGCTCTCGCGCCAACAGCATGCCATAGACCTGTACACCTTGTGAGACCTTGGAGTGACCCGGTGAGCCAGAGACTAGGAAGAGGGCTACCTACATAGGCACCTTGCGGGGCATTCTCATCGCATGACTGCGCGGCAAGGTTGATGTAGTCCAAACCCGTTTGGTAATCCTGCCGCTGGCCGTGCTGGCCCAGCAGAATCATCATACCTAGACGCTGTGGTGCGGAGTCAGCAGGTGGCCCGGACGGCGCTCTCGAACCAAGACCGGGGCGGGGGACTTACGTAGAAGGAGGCAGAGTCGGCCAGGGCGACGCCTTTCTCGTAGTGACGAATGGCCTTCTCCGGCTCTCCGGAACTCTCGAACTGCATTCCAATGCGGTATTCGGCCCTGGCGTACCCTTTCTCGGCCGCCCTCGAGTAGGCGCGGAAGGCCTCTTTCTTGTCGATGCGAAAGCCGAACTTGCCGAATTCCAACCACATGCCCTTGATGAATTCGGCCTTGGGGTGGAACTGGTCGGCCAGGAAGTTCACGATGTTCATGGCATCGACCTTGAGCTGACGCTCCACCTGGGGCGTTTGGGGACGCGGCGGCTGGATCAAGGACAGGCGGGCTTCATTCTGCGTGGCGGCCTCGACGTAAGCAAGAGCATCCTGGGCCCATGCCAGCTGCATCTCCGGGTCGTTCGAAGACAGCACGGGCATGCGGGCCTTCTCCAGGCTGGCCTCTTTCTGCTCGTCGGTCGGAGGCACATTGGGCGGGGGGTTGCGAAGGACGGGGAACGGGGAGAAGTTGGGCGACTCCATGGTGTCGTAGACGGCAGATTGCTCGTAGTGGGCGGCTTCGTAGCCGGAGGGAACAGGTTGGCCTTGGACGACGGCGGCGGAGGAGGTTCGCTCGGGGAAACGCGATCGATCATATTGAACGGGAGCGTGTTGACTGCGGTGAGGGCTTCGGGCCTCATGCTCGAGGTGGGCAATATTGTCCTGCATCGTCTCCGGAACTTCAGGCATCACCCTGGAGATTATTGGTAATTTTAGATTAGCAACAACATCCACCTGGAGCCAGAAGGGGTTGGAAGTAGCACTAGTCCGGCGTAGTCGTCCTTTACGGAGTAATTTTTTCTTTTTTCTTTTTGGGGGGGGGGGGTTTTTTTTTTTTTTTTTTTTTTTTTATTTCCCACCCCTTCTTGGATTTAATCCGCAGCTAAGGATCGGGGCGGTCGCACCTTTGAGGAGAAGGGGATATGACTTCTGGCATGTAAAAATCATCTTGGCCCCCTGGATACCATGTAGCACCCAGCCGTGGCTGACCGCGACCTTGCGGAGGCCTGTTCATCGTTGGGCGCCTTTTTTTTTTCCCCCCTCCGTTTCCGAGACTATTTGGTTTATTATGTTTGGTTCAATTGTTTTTGATTATTCGCCGGTTCTTTTTCGGTTGCGCGCCCCTCTTTGTTAATGGGGGATTCTTTTCTGTTCGGTTCTGTTCTTTTAATCTGTGGTGGATAATTTCGAGAAGGGGGAGAGAGGGGAGATATTATTGATTATTGGGGGAAAGAGAAAACAAGACCAACAGGGGGAGGGGCAAAAAGGCCCGCGGGGAAGTCGATGGAAGGGGAAGGGAGAATACGATGGCTGATATCCACCGTGAAACGAGGACAAGAGACTAGAGTCAATAGTCCGGAGCTGTCAATTAATTGCAACGGTTCCAGGAGGCAAGGAGTCGACCAGAACAATACGACGGAGTTACCTGGATGGTGTTACAGAATCTACTGACGTGGAGTAGATACTCAAATACTCATCACTATCGGCGACTGAGCTAAAATATTACACGGCCTCTATTAATAAAATCCCATGCAAGAATCGCTCCCGACCCACCGCAGGCTACGACATCCGAGTACGGAGTAGATGAACCCTTCCTCTACGCGGTACAGAGTGTAGGACTGTAGGTACCGACGGAGTACCTTATGTATACTGTTTCGTGTCGATCGTGGCTCATCGTGAGACCCAGCCATGATGAGACACAGCCCTGATGATGATGATGATGATGATGATGAGAGGCAGAGTCAGAGGCAGCAGTCCAGCAAAAGAACCGCCGGGGTTGCCTGAGGCTGCTGAGATTACTTAATCCCCGATCTCTGGACAGAGAAATCACCTGCATCGACCAGCAGACTGCCTCCGCACTGTAGGACGTAAACAAAGAAGAGGGAGAAAACAAAACATAGAGCGAGAACTGCTCATCTACCCCCATGCTATGGACTTGAGCTTGCCTCGGTTCTAGACACATGGTCCAGCGTCATGGAGCTCCCCCCAGAAGATTTCACTTTCAACCACCCTTACTCGCCCTACGAAATCCAGCTTCAGTTTATGCGTGCTCTGTACGCCTCTCTTGAAGAGGGCAAGGTTGCGATTTTTGAGTCGCCTACCGGTGAGGTCCCCCCTTTCGTTCGCGGACAATGTGTTAACCCTACCCCCAACTAGGCACGGTGAGTGACCTTGTTGTTATCATTGCTATCGGCACTCGAGGGTCACTGGGCTTCTGACCCCGTCGCAGGGAAAATCTTTGAGTTTAATATGCGGATCCTTAACCTGGCTACGCGATCACAAGCGTAGGGCTTTTCAAGAATTAGTGGAAAACACCACATGTCAGTGCCAGACCAACTTGGATAAATGGCCAATTCCCTCTAACACTCTGTCCCTCAGGCGATGAGGATGACCCGGAATGGATGAAGGAGTTCGCAAAGCGCGAATCAAGCCGGGCCATTGCCGAAAAAAAGAAAAGGCTTGAAGCGAGGCTGGCAGGCATAAGGCAGGAAGAAGAGAAGCTCAGAATGGCTCTCGAAAGCTCCGAAGGTCCCCGGAAACGACAAGTATGACAGGTGCCTACTTCTTGCTGTGGGGACCGCGGTACTAAATTGATCTACCTAGAAACCAAGCGCCCCTTCTACGGGTCTAGATGTACAGAATGAAGATTCTTTCGCATTGGATGACTACGAAAGTGGCGACGAGGAGCAAACAACCCAGCGAATGCGATCAGATCAACCCAGCGGCCTGTCTGCCAGCACTCTAGATCTATTGGAGCAGTTCAAAGGGAAATACTCAACGAAACCTACCGAGGAAGATGACGGCGAGGGTTTGGCCAGGATTTTCTATTGCTCTAGAACTCATTCTCAATTGACTCAATTTGCAAGCGAGCTACGGCGCGTTGCCATCCCGTCGAGCGTACCAAAGGATCTCAGTCCTGATATTGCAGGCGAAGAAGAACTCGAGGAGCGGATTAAGCATCTATCGCTTGGATCCCGCCGGAATCTGTGCATCAACCCTAAAGTCGCTGCTTTGGAAAACCCAACCGCAATCAACGAACGATGCCTTGAGTTACAACAGCCGGGCGTTGCAGCTCAGCATAGATGCCCCTTCCTACCGTCCAAAAACGACGAAGCGCCACTACTGAAGTTCCGTGATCACGCGCTGGCGACAGTCAAAGACATCGAAGATTTGGGAAATATTGGCAGGAAGACCGGGACCTGTCCCTATTACGCATCCCGATCAGTCATCAAGCATACCGAGGTAGGCTATTCGTCTAGTCCTTCGTGACTGTTTTGCTAATACACCAAAGATCGTGACGCTTCCATACCCCCTTCTCCTCCAGCGATCAGCAAGAGAGGCTCTAGAAATTTCCGTCAAGGATCATGTCGTCATTATTGACGAGGCGCACAACCTGATGGATGCCATATCCAACATCCACTCAGTCACAATCACGCTTTCACAGCTACAAACTTCGATCGTGCAGTTAACAACTTACGCGCGGAAGTTCAAGACGCGCTTGAAAGGGAAGAACCGAAGTTATATCGCACAGGTTATCAGGCTTGTCAATTCGATTGCGGATCATCTTCGGTCTCTTGAAAAAGCTTCTGTTCCGGAGGGCTGTGTGCAATCCTCGGATCTTATGGCTGGAAGAGGTGTTGACCAAATCAACCCATACAAGTTGTGCCGGTACTTACAGGAGAGCAAGCTGGCTAGAAAGGTTGATGGCTACGTCGAGTTTTCCACGGAAAAAGCAGATCACCAATCTTCCTCGAAACCGTCAACACCCGTTCTTTTTCACATACAAAGTTTTCTCCTGCCGTTGATGAATCTCTCAGCCGAAGGACGACTATTCTATGCGAAGACATCGGACGACATTCAGCTGAAATACATGCTTCTCGACCCAACGAACCATTTCCGAGAGATCGTGGAAGACGCAAGGGCCGTCATCTTGGCAGGTGGAACGATGTCTCCAGTAGGAAGAACCTCCTCCCATCTTGGTTACTGCCAGTGAGCTTACTTACATGTTCAGATGGCGGACTATTCACATCATTTATTCTCGTACGTCTCGCCCAGTCGGCTGGATACCTTTAGCTATGGTCATGTCATTCCGTCAGAAAACCTGGTTGCACATACTCTCGGCAAGGGGATCCTCGGGTCTGATTTCGATTTCACGTACGACAACCGAAATTCCGAGAAGACCGTAAGCATTGCCGCTAAACGTGGAGCCCGTTGTCTCGTCTGACCACTATTTGCAGATTGCCGATCTAGGGCGGACCATCGCAGCATTCTGCCAGGTGATCCCGGACGGTGTGGTTGCCTTTTTCCCAAGTTTTGATTATCTACACCAGGTCATAGGGACATGGAAAACCCCCATAGATGGCGACAAGAGCAATACCATCTACAATCTTATCGAGCGGAAGAAACCCATTGTGTACGAGGCCCGCGAGATGACAGTCACAACTGAGGAGCTCCTTCAAGAGTATGCCCGCACCGTGCAATCGGGCCGGGGGGCTCTGCTTTTATCGGTAGTGGGGGGCAAATTGTCCGAAGGCATTAACTTTTCGGACAAGCTCGGGCGAGGGGTTTTGATTGTCGGGCTGCCTTTCCCGAATATACGCAGTGCGGTGTGGCAGGCCAAGATACAGTACGTCGAGCAGAAGGCCTTCGCGCAAAGCTCGAGCAGCAACCGGCAGGCAGCCGCCAAAGCCGCGGGCCGGGAGTTTTATGAGAACGCCTGCATGCGGGCTGTGAACCAGAGTATTGGACGGGCCATCAGGCATCAGAAGGATTACGCCGCCATTGTCCTGATTGACAAACGGTATCAGAATGCTAGTGTACAAGGGAAACTGCCGACGTGGATTAAGCAGAGTATGGCGAGTACTCCTGCGCAGCGGCCGGCAGGGGCGGCAATAGGCAGCCTTTCGAAATTCTTCACTGAGCGCCGAGAAAAGCAAGAATCATGATCGACAGGCTGCGAGTGATGAAGGGAATGGAATAGAATAGACCAAGCGAGTTCTAGGCCACTATGGAGCACCTTAACGGAACTAGAGTAAAACTAAGGCGTAGGGCGCAGCCAAGCAAAACGCTCTTTAGTCAGCCCGTAGCTGAATCACGTGCCTCACCGCCTTGGTGCGGCAGAAAAAAGAAGGGCAGGGTTTGACCCTATTTCAGGGCAAGCGAACGGTTTAGCGCACAATTCTACCCGCCCCGGGCCTTGATTTCAACATCTGCGCCAGCAGCACCCACGACCGCCATCCCCCATCGCCAAATACTCAACCCGGTCTTGTCGTGCAGAGCACCGTCGACAAGATGCCTACCCGTTTCTCGAAGACCAGGAAAGCGTGAGTCTATGCCAGTTCTTCCGATCGCCTCGAAAAGCGCTTGAAATGTTGGCGTTGCCGTGAAATGCGACAAAGCCGATGTTTTCGCTCGACCCTGCTATATTGAACGTCCCCCGAATGAACACAACGACTGACTGAGTTTTCTCATAGCCGCGGTCATGTCTCCGCCGGTTACGGTCGTATTGGAAAGCACCGTAAGCATCCCGGTGGTCGCGGTATGGCCGGTGGTCAGCACCACCACCGCACCAACCTCGACAAGTACCACCCCGGTTACTTCGGTAAGGTCGGTATGAGGTACTTCCACAAGACCAACCAGCAGTTCTGGAAGCCCACGATCAACCTCGACAAGGTACGTTGAATACTTGGAAATCGGGCGAGCGAAGCAAGGAAACCACGGACACCAATCGCATGGGGAAGGGGAAATAATACATGATGATGCAACACCATGGAGTGAGGGGAAATTGGAATGAGCTGCTTCGTCTTGATATATTTCTGGGGGATCTGATTTTGGGAGCCTTTGCTGATGGAATACTCGTTGCAGCTGTGGACCCTTGTTCCCGCCGAGAAGCGTGAGGCCTACCTGAGCGGCCAGAAGACCGACACCGCCCCCGTTATCGACCTCCTTCCCCTGGGTTACTCCAAGGTCCTCGGCAAGGGCCGTATCCCCGAAGTCCCCGTCGTCGTTCGTGCCAGATACTTCAGCCGGGATGCCGAGAAGAAGATCAAGGAGGCTGGTGGTATCGTTGAGCTGGTGGCTTAGATGGAATGACAACGGAAGGACCAGGTATTGGGCGGGTGCTGCACTGACCATGGTCAGTGTAATAGAGGATCAATCTCATCAGGAAGGGATTTGACAACTCGACAATGGGAGCCGCGGATCGAAACGCATTGGTCCGTGTATTTACAAAATAAAAGGGTCTTTGTTTGCGATGAGCATGTTATGGCCTCCAGACGCCCTTACGATTTCACTCTATTAAACAAAATACCATCAGTGACGTTTTGACTTTTCCGACACTTCGCCTCACTCAATTCTATACGTCATGCCTTCGCGTGTCAAATCTTTGCGTGCTGAACATGTGCCCTTGCCAGTAAATCTTCTCGCACTGATGTTGGAGCCAGTCCGTAAACGTGCCCCGTATTGGTCGAAATGTTTCACACTCGCCAATATCACCGATAGTGTTGGACAATTTAGCGTCACCTTTCTGTCGTTCTTGTGGAGTACGTAGTGTTAGGATAGTGTGCCCTGAGCTTGCGGTGGTCAAGTCAAACGACCCCAAACTTCGTATCTCAATATGAACGGTCTTACGTCTATTATCTTCACGAGGCCAAGTATCTACAAGGTGAACCCAAATGGAATATGTACACCGAGAATATATAGCAAAGTAAACTCAGCCCAGGGCTATTTATATCTTGGCTTCGCGGACTGAGCCGGGGCTTTTCGAGTCTCCTTTGCCAGCGTCTAGACTTTCACGGATGAATCGGACTGCTTCGGCAATCATCTTAGGGGTAACCTCATGTGCAGCATTCTCATCAATGATATCTTCCAGAGTCACCGCACCATCGGCAAACCACCCATTCGGCCCTATGGTCTGTTTCAGCCAGGTGAGAAAAGCCTCTCCCCGATGGTATGGTACCAGTTTATCCAGACCTCCGGACAAATTGAGTATCTTTTTATTCGCCAGGCACCGATCGAGGAGAGGGCGCAAGATCTGCTTTTCCTCCTCGTTCGGTTCCCGCAAAGACTCATTGCGCGACAGGTCCGGCGTGGAGCCCAGATAGCTCAGCAACAAGGCGGCAGGGTCATAGTTGCAAACAACATCGAGGAGCGTGGAAGGGAAGGCCTCGGAGCCCAGGAACTGGGAGCCCTGAGGGTTGCTCTCTGTCCACGATGCGAGCTTTGACAGTCTTGCCCGATCTGCCATGAGACTGACATAATCCGGACAGCCGATGATAACCACGCCAGCACTCACGCGAGGCTCGTGCATGATGCAACTCCATGCGGCATGACCGCCTAAGGATACACCAAGGACAAGGTGGTCAGAGACCCGGCGTTCGGAAGTTGGGAATAGAAACGACGGAAGATAGTCCATCAAAAGTGATACATCCCGGGCAGTACCCTCTGCATGGCCATCATGTCAGTTTCGGAGCGGGACCCGCGAGGCGTGCTCTCCAACAACACTTACGAAAGATGGAAAACATGTCCTGTGCATGTCGAGGATTGCCCTGTCTCCATGCCTCGTTTCCGAGGGGATCGACCAACCTGGAGCCATGATTCCTCTGATCGAAAGCCACAGCAACCAAGCCCGTCACAGGAGCCTTGGTATCGGCGGCACGATCCTTGAGTCTTTGGTTCCAGTCCCTGATGACAGCACCGGCTATTCCGCTCATGCGCTCCTGCGTTGCCAGTCTGGGGTGCAGAAGCCAGAGACAAGCGACCTCGGTCGCCTGCGGGGGTAGTTCTTCGAGACCAAAAACGGTGGTGAGGATGCCCGCAATGGGATATGTTTTGCGCGAAACGGATAACGGGCTGGAAGCCGAATCCAATGTATTCAATGGATCAGTCATTTTGATTTTCTCGGGTTCCTGTTCTTGGGGGAGCTGTTCGAGAGACAGATGTGCAAACCAAGAGGATAGATGAATCAATCAGGTAGAGAGATGTTCCGAGAAGCAACCGAGGCAAAGGGTGGACTACAGTAACTAGACGCTCGTAGCTGCGGTATGTATGTATGTATGTATGTATGTATTCCCAATACACCACCCCAGTACATACGGGGAAACAGGGGGGAAAATTATCAAACACCTCGACAGTACCTATAATGTACCTGTAATGTACCTGTATGTATGAATGTAATGTACATTAATTCAATGTTGAGGTACCTCGAATGCTTTATGCCTGGGCTGGGATTGCAGTCAGGCCGTGCTTTAAGGGAACTAACGACCTTAATTACTGTCCCCAGTTGCTGCCGAAGTCCGACAATCGAGTGATCGTGAACTTTACGGCGGATGCAGGCCTTCCCGCGCAATTGATCTCCATCCCAAATCCCAGCAAGGGGTCTCGCCCCGATCTCTCTTTATCATAACTGCTCCGTACTCCGTACTCCACCGCGGGTTGGCAACAGTTGCTGCTAACGCAACGCTCCTTTCAAACTCAAACCGTCCCTTTCTGACGTCTCTCCTTTAATCGGTCGGTTCTTTTTGCCTGGAATTCTTCTTCTGTCATTTATTCCCCTTCCCCCCCTTTTTTTTTGGAGTCCCGCTTCTTCGTCTTCTACCCCCCCCTGGACGGCCCTTCCTCTGAAACATGAACGTTCATCCAGCCCCCTGAGGTCGGTTTCACATTGAATCAACCTACTTGATCCGCATGTATGCCGGTCCCTGTGCCCCTGGGTTTTGTTGTGTTTGACTGACCCCATGACTTGACGAGCAGCAATTACTATGACGGATTCTACGGCTACTCCCTCGGACACGAGGGGCCCCGAAGGTGCTTCGATTCACTTGAACTCCGGCGGATTCGAGCCTCTTTCGCTTTCGTTGCCCAGTCACTCGAGACTGTCCTCCCCTTTACCATCTCCGACTGGAAGCAAGTCCGCGGCGCCGGCCAACAATGCAGAATCCGCAGATGAGCGGGATAGGATGGGCTACCCTCCCCCGGTAAAGCAGGGCAGCAATGCCATCCACGATCAAAAAGAAAAACCTACGGGGATTGCCAATGGGATTCCGGAGGGGGGTGATGGCGCCCCTAAGAGCACACCAGCCTCCCTGAACCCTCGTCGACCGATCGATCTGGCCGCCAACTCGCAGAAGCCCAAAAGCCTGAACTCCCAACAATCTCACCCCGGGACACCCGCTACGCCTCGCCGTCCAAGCGTCCAATTCACCCGGGACGCTTCTGAGAATGACCATGTCCCGGAATTGAATCCATCGAGACCCTCTTCTGCCATGGGCGATGATGCCGATCCGGGGTCAAAAGGGAAAAACTCCATCTTCACCAAATTAAAAGCGTTTGCCGCCTCGCCATCCTTCACCTCTCACTCGCGGTCAGCCAGTGGCGCAACGATCGGGGACATTCGACCGATGAACCATGACCTGGCCACCCCCGGATCGGAACGGGGGGAGTTTCGGTTTCCAAATACCTTAGAAGAGGAAGGGAGTGATGTGGACGCCGACGCCGAGGAAAGTGCTGGAGAGCAACATGCTCAACATCGCAAAAAGAAGAAACAGTTACGGCGGCCCAAGGGCGATGAGTCTGCTCCTCAGACCGAACCGAACACGCCTAAGGCCGTAAGCCGACCGTCCTTCAATCTCACCGGCTCCTTTGCCCCTTTCGAGAATTACCGGCCGAACTTTTTCCCCCGACGGAACACCGGCGACTACGCCCAGCATCGTGAGGGAGTGTCGGAGGATGAAGGTCGGGATCGTCTCAACCGGGATACCACCTGGAGGCGGAGAAGCGCCTGGCTCGCGAACTCGCGCGGCATAACCCATAGTGGGCGACAGCTTGATCCCCATGCGAACCAGGAAGATAGGCGGCCGAGTAATCTCCGGCGGTTGACTGGGTTTGGGCCGTCCGAAAACGCGGAAGGCCTTTCGGCTCCTTGGAGGCGACATCGCGCGGACCGTGGATCCAGCCTGAGTGCCCAAAGATGGCGACAGATCAAAGCTGGATTGAAGCTGATCGGCCAGCGCCGGAAGGCTGACAGCACGGTGGACCATGCAAAGTCGGCCGAGCTGCTAGCTGAGCTAACTTCGGGGGTGCCGGCAGCATTGATTCTGGCCAGCATGTTCCAGCGTGATGAGCACGGGAGCAAACGAATCCCCATCCTTCTTGAACAGCTCAAGGTTCGAGTCACAGACAGTAAGATCGACTCGCATTCTGGAGATCGTCACTTGGTGTTCAGAATTGAGCTCGAATACGGCAGCGGCATGACTCGTATGAAATGGATCATTCATCGGACACTCAAGGATTTCGCCAACCTCCACCTGAAGTACAAACTGCATTTCGGCACGCAGAAGTACATCCAATTGCGGAACACAGAAAGTGGGCAGAATCTCCCGCGATTTCCTCGAAGCGCGTTCCCATACCTGCGTGGTGTGCGCGGCCTAGACAGTGACCTGGAGGACGAAGAGGAGGAGGGTGGCTACGAGACAGCCGCAGAGGCAACGAGTGGTAATGAGAGAGCTGGTAAAAGACATCAGCACGCGCGACGGCAATCATCTGCTGGCCCGTCTCGCCGGCAATCGACTGTGACGAACACCGAGGGAGAGGGCGCTGCTGGAGCTGCGAGTACGGCAGAAGCAGGCCCGTCAACCAAGAAGGAAACCTACCCGGAGAGGCAGAGAAAGAAACTGGAGTCCTACCTCCAAAAATTGATCCGGTTTCTGATCTTCAAGCCCGATAGCAACCGCTTGTGCAAGTTCTTGGAGCTGTCGGCGCTGGGAGTTCGTCTTGCTGCCGAGGGAAGCTATCATGGCAAGGAAGGGTATTTGATCATCCAATCATCCAAGGGCCTTGATTTCCGGAGAGCCTTGACTCCGGCTATGGTAAAGAAGCGTCATTCACCAAAATGGTTCCTTGTCAGACACAGCTATGTCGTTTGTGTTGATTCGCCCGAGGAGATGAATATCTACGATGTGTTTTTGGTCGACCCATTTTTCAAGCTACAAACACAGAAGATCAGTATACGCAATCAGAAGGCAAAGGAGCTGGCAAAGTCGGCGAAGGAGTCGGCCAGGCATCCGCAACATCATACGCTGAAACTCGAAAACTCAGAGCGGAAGCTCAAGCTCCTGGCCCGGAACGAACGCCAGCTTCACCAGTTTGAGGACTCTATTCGGTTCATGGTAGACAACACCCCCTGGGCAAAGCCTAATCGATTCGACAGCTTTGCTCCCGTGCGTCACCACTGTTTTGCCCAATGGCTGGTTGATGCTCGCGATCATATGTGGGTGGTTTCCCGTGCGATCAACCAGGCGAAAGATGTCATCTACATCCATGACTGGTGGTTGAGCCCTGAGCTTTACATGCGACGCCCAGCTGCTATCAGCCAAAAGTGGCGGCTGGATCGGCTTCTCCAACGCAAGGCCCGCGAAGGAGTCAAGATATTCGTGATCATGTACCGGAACATCAATTCCGCCATCCCGATTGACTCGGAGTACTCCAAGTTCTCCCTTCTGGACCTGCATCCCAACATCTTTGTCCAGAGATCGCCCAATCAGTTCCGACAGAACACTTTCTTCTGGGCGCATCATGAAAAGCTATGCATCATCGACCACACTCTGGCTTTCGTGGGCGGTATCGATTTGTGTTTCGGCAGGTGGGACACGCCCCAGCATATGCTCACCGACGACAAGCCGACCGGGTTTGAGACACCAGATGGCCCGAAAGATGCAGACCACTGTCAGCTATGGCCCGGAAAAGACTATTCCAACCCGCGCATTCAAGATTTCTACGATTTGGACAAACCATACGAGGAGATGTACGACCGGAACACCACGCCCAGGATGCCATGGCACGACATATCAATGCATGTTGTCGGTCAGCCCGCTCGGGATCTCACGCGCCATTTCGTTCAGCGCTGGAACTACATTCTGCGCCAGCGAAAGCCAACGCGGCCCACGCCGTTTCTCCTGCCTCCACCAGACTTTGACGCTGCTGACCTAGAGGCTCTTGGCCTTGATGGCACCTGCGAACTTCAGATCCTGCGGTCTAGTAGTGCGTGGTCGACTGGTACTTCGGACTTGACGGAGCACAGCATCATGAACGCCTACGTCAAGTTGATCGAGGAATCCGAGCACTTCGTGTACATCGAGAACCAGTTCTTTGTCAGCACATGTGAAATCGACGGGAGGAAGATCGAGAATCTAATCGGCGACGCGTTGGTGGAGCGGATCACCCGGGCGGCGAAAAACAAAGAAGCCTGGCGCGCTACCATCGTCATCCCCCTAATTCCCGGGTTTCAAAACACCGTGGACAGCGAAGGCGGGACAAGTGTCCGTCTGATCATGATGTGCCAGTACCGGAGTATCTGTCGTGGGGAGACATCGATATTTGGACGGCTGCGAGCGCTCGGCATTGAACCGGAAGATTACATCCAGTTCTACAGTCTTCGGTCCTGGGGAAAGATCGGACCTCACAAACATTTGGTCACCGAACAGCTGTATATCCATGCCAAGTGTATGATTGTGGACGATCGAGCCGCGATCATTGGGTCTGCAAACATTAACGAACGGTCCATGTTGGGATCCAGGGACTCGGAGGTTGCAGCGGTCGTCCGTGACACCGACATGATCTGGTCTACCATGAACGGCCGCCCTTATCTCGTCGGACGATTCCCCCACACGCTTCGGATGCGTCTTATGAGAGAGCATCTGGGCATCGACGTGGACGAGTTGATGGAGCATTCAATGGCGACCGAGGAGGAATTGCGAAGAATCGAAATTGCCGAGGAGGACTCGAAACCCGCGGAGGACCGCGAAAGGCTGGACTCTGAGTCTCTTATTCAGGAAAAACAGACGGAGCGGGATATGATTGAGCGTCGGCATCGGATTCAAGACGAGTTTCTTTCACGCTCGGAAGACATGCACAGTTTTAACCACGATGTCGATTGGGAGCAGAGCAACAATCCGAACCTCAAATCCAACCGAAAGCTGACTGCGGATGCGCGAGTGACCGCCAATCAGGAGCACAAAAAGGACGTGGATGGGTTCGGGGCCGACAATCTTAACGCTGCTTCGCAGGGCGGATGGGGAGACGCCCGTGATACCCAATTTCTGGATACGAAGACCGAAGTATTGGTTTCTCCCGTCGCGAGCGAGGGCAAAGGCACTGTACAGCAACCGAAGCGTTCGCAACAACGACCCGGTCAGAATGCCGATGAGAGAGACGGCCAGAATAATTTGGCTGCGACGGTCAATGATGTCGAATCGAGTCCCATCGCTCAAGGATCCCCGAATGCTCGCTATCCGGCACTGGCGTTCGGACAAGAGGCCGAGAGTAACAGCGGCGGCGTCGCTCCCCCATCCAGAGACAGATATGACTCCGACAAATACCCGCATCCACTTGGCCCAGACATGAAACATATATACATCGACCAGGATTGCATGCGAGATCCGGTGATTGATTTGTTCTATCTAGACACATGGCATGCCGTCGCAGAGAAAAACACAAAGATCTTCCGGAGCGTTTTCCGTTGCATGCCCGACAGCGAGGTGAAATCCTGGAAAGAATACAAGGAATACACAGCTTATGCAGACCGTTTCACCGAGCTGCAGAACCAGCAAGGGGCCAAGGCAACCGCCAAGTCGCATCTGCAAGCTGTCAGCCCGAACATCGAGAAACAGGCGACGGAAACCATCCAGAGCCCAAGCGACCGTTCACCATCTGAGCCGACGAAACAAGACACGTCGCCAGTGGATGAGAAGGCCAGTCGCAGGATCAGCGATGTGATGGGCTCGGGTAACGCACGAAACGGGCGACTTGATGAAAGTGGCTCATCTGGCGAGGATGCCGAGAGACAGCGATCTGATCCTCCGGTGGTTGAATATTCGGAGGCGTTGAATCGGAATGCCACAACCCATTCCCGACGGCGACGGCGAAGAGCAACAACTTTGGGATCAAAGCGAGAATTCCATGCCTCGGATGAGATGATGGATAGGCAGCGGGCGGAGAATCTTCTGGAGCAGGTTCAGGGACATCTCATTCTGTGGCCCTATGACTGGTTTGTGACGCTCAGTGTCCGCTGTACATCTTCCTTGTTGACCAATTATTCTAGGCTTGAGAAAGAAGAACAGGGCGGAAACTGGCTTTACACGTTGGACCAGATTTCCCCACTGGAGATATAGTATGCCATCCCCCTTCCATTCCAGAATTTGGCGAACTCGATGCTGACCCCGATATAGCAATTAACGTGTTAAGTCTCAAATACTATTGATCTTGGGGTCTCATGCCCTGTCGAAGGGTGCAGGCTCCTGCTCTTGGATATTCACTATTTCTTCTATACTGGGTCGGGAAACCCTGATCCTTTGGCATTTTCAATTTCATTTTGGCCCCTTTACACCGTCCCTTCCCCCCTCGTCTTGTGTTATTCTCATAGCAAGCGGGCGTTCTTTCTGCTAGTACTGTTCCCCCTTAATAATGTAATTAACCACCTATTTCTGCCGTCTGTGCATGGGTTAGCAGTTCCGCCCAAGTAAATATAACAGGGACACTGAAAAAAATGTCGATGATATCATGGCGGATCTTTTTTGATATGTCTATTATATGCCGGAGGTTGCAGTTGGACCTCTGACGGCAGAGGCAATGCGGGCGCGCACTTGATTAAAGTCATCAAAATTGGCTTGCAGGCCATGAGCTAGCAAGCTATCACCGGAACTATCATCGGTCGAAGTCTTGCACGCCCCTAGTGACGCACTGATTAGATTATATGCATGCTCAAACGCCCTTTGAAGATCACGAGTGCGCGTGCAGGTGCGCCCGAGGTCATTCATATAATTGGCCGGGTCTTGTATGCAAAGCCGTGAAGCCGTGGCCACATTCCGCCTGGCTGCAGCCGTCCTTTTGAGGTTAACGAGGGCGCGCTGGCCACGAAGGAAGGCAGGCACATGCTCGGGATCGTAGTTCTTGCAGGCATCCTTGACGTTATCGGCGTTGAAGCAGCCAGGAGGGTCGACGGAGATCCCGGTGGTGGTCAAATCCACCGTGACGCCGTAGAACTGGAGAAATTCCAGGAGTTGCGCCCCGAGACTGTCCGAGGACCAGAATCGCCCATGGTTTACCTTCAGGAAGCTGACGAGAAGCATCACAAGGGCGTCCGGCCCGACGGAGCGGCTGTGGCTGCCAAATAAACCCCGAGACTCCAGAATCAGACGGGAAGTCATGTACAGCGGCCGGACTGAGGGATACTCGGCATGATAATCCCGGATATACTCGATGGAAGAAGGGGGACCTTCCCCGCAACGGAACTGTAATTTCAGTCCGGTTGGTCGGTGGGTGGCTGTCAACACCTGATTTCGTTTGCCGGCCACGCGGACTTGATCTCTAAACAATGAGCACTGTCGGAGGGTGTTCTCGACGCCACGCAGCAGGTCGACGTAGTACTGAAGCACCTGCGGGCGTGTAGCACTGGGTTTTCGATCTCTCTCGATTGACCGTGCTGAGTCCGGTACTGGCAAGAGGAATTCTAGGTCCGAATGGCTCAGAGCAAGCCCGGTACTCCAGGGCCCGATTAGGCGAGGTGGACGAGGCAAGATACCAGCTAGAAGACCGGTGACTTCCGCGACGACCTGGGCCACCTGACTTTGCTCTTCAACCGTGGGGGCCAGGTATCTGTCAAGCGCGCGCACCTCTGCACCGAGCTGCGCGATGCCGTCGAGCTGTGTATGGCCTGGACCCACGTAAGCCATCCATGGCGACTGCGCCGGGCGGTCTTTTTTGCCGCTTACAGCCCACCGCACCGGCTCACCCCCCAAACCCCAGGAGGGAGCGGCGGTGCTTTGCCTCGAGGATTTCGACTTGGCGCATCTGGCCGGTTTTGATGCCGAGACAGGTCGAGGTGTGACGGTTGGACGTGGTGGCTCCTCCGGGACCAGGGCGGCTTGTTCCGGCGGGAGGGTTTCCTCGGAGGAGGAGTTCTTGTCGATGACTTTACGAATCAAACCAGCTCGATTCAGCGATCGGTGCGCTTCAAGAGTCTTCCGGAGGCTGTTGTGGAAGATCGCCGGTTCCCGGGAGCAGAGGCGAGAGCCGTGAAACTCTCGACGGGACGATAACGAGGGAAAGCGAAGAGAAGGGCGAAAAGACAACGGAAGAAACGGGGTTGAGCGAAGAGAGGGGAGAGAGTGTCTAGCGAAGAGAGAATCGCGCATGGTCGCGCGATCAGCCAAGCAGCGCAGCAGGCATTGCGGAACAGTAGTCGCCGACCGGGACATATACCGGGGGAGCGCGCAGAGGGAAAAAGGGCAACACGCAGTAATAATAATGAACGACCGAATCGACGGCCAAGGTCACATGCTGTGCTGCCTCAGGCGTGCACGATCACGGGGTCTCCGCCAGCCCTGAGCCGCTGAGGTAAGCGGTCTGGATTTCCGGCGGTTCCTTCTTCTACAAACCATCGCATCTGGGATATCATTGTCAGGTTACTTATCCGTCCACACTCGTAGCATGGACTGTCCTGGCCATTTCCCGTCGGCGTTGGGCAGCCCGTTGGATTAGGATCATGACGTAGTAGGAAGTTCGGCCCTTCTTCCATCTTCTCCCACTTTTCCCGGCGTCGTCATCATTGGCACATCATCGAACAGAGTCCGGTTCTCTTAAGGAACTTCACCCGTTGCGTCCATCTTTTTCATGGCCACCAATCATTGATTTCCTTTGACCGGTCACTCCCGCGCCCAATCTACGGAGAGAAGGCCAGCTCTCTCTCATTGTATGCGTGGAGACCCGACAATTATTGGCCTCGGAGTTGATTCCTCAGGCCCTCACCGCCTGGACCATTCCATTCCGCGCCCCGCCTTCTTCGTCCTTTCACTTTCCTGCGTTGTCCATCTCGCCTCTCTCCGGTCAGGGAAAAAGAGAGAGAGAGAGAGATAGACACACAGAGAGAGAGAGCACGAGCGCGCGTGTGAACAAGTGAAACGAGAAAGCGTGCTTGTGAGTGAGTGACCAAGAGAGTGTGAGTGAGACCCGTCTTTGACATTTGCGGTATCTCTCTTATCTACCTGAACACTCCTACATCTCAAGCTTTCACGGACTACACGCCTCTCCCCCTCGTGTTATCTCTCCCCAATCCATCTTTTCTATTCCTCTTCATTCACTCCATCCTTTCCTCGCGACTTGCAATCTTATTCCTACCACCCTTCTGTTACCACTGTTGAGCATGTGAAAAACACACACACATACGCACAGAGACACATCCCCCAAACATTGGAAACCAGAAGAAACATGCAAGTGTTTAACTGACTGGGAAGACCTTCAGAAGCCACCATTTTTGTTGACTGCCAGCAATTCCACCCCTGCGTCGCTCTCTTTCTCGTCATCGCCATCCGACCCGCTTCCGTCATGTACCCCTCCAAGCAAGACACTCCCGGCCGCCCACCCGCTGAACAGCCCTCGGTGCTGGTCGGAGCCAGCATGGACTCCCCGGGCGCAGATTCCGGCCTGAAAGCCTCCCAGGCTCCATTATCCCCAGGAGACTCTTCTGCCGCTGCCGCCACGAACCCTCGAAATGAGCAGCGATCGGACTCGTCTGATCTCCCCGCCACCCCGGCTCAGGCAGCCAAGGATGCGAAAACCGGATCCGAGCTGTTACGTCGATTGAGTCTCAGGGGCGCTCCTCCCGTGCTGGAAGCCCATCCCCGGGAACAGTATCCCAGTCTTAATCTCAGTGGGCGAATAATAAGCGCGGCTTTTTGCATTCCCTACAAACTCTATCTACGACAGGGCCATGGCTGGGTGCGTGACTTCTATTCTCCTGCGCCTGCGCCTGCGAACCAGACATGTGGAGACGACTAATTTATTGTGCAGGAGCTCAAAACTCGCCCCGGAACATCGGCCCTTTTCGATTCGTTTGCATACCTCGGCTCCGACGAGACACGATGGTCCCATACGCTCGTTGGCTGGACTGGCGAAGTTGAACCGGTCCATGACACCGCACCCTCTCTAGAGCAAATTCCTTCCAACGCCAACGGTGTCAATGGCGCCTCGGGATCTCTGAACAAGGCGGCGGCGCCCGTGCCCGTAAGTACCTCTCACCGATCACCCAGCCACCCTCTCGTGGAAGGGGTCTCGGTTGGCCCGGAGGATCGGGAACGGCTTGATCGACGGTTGGCCACCAGTCGATATGGCAAAATCTCTCCTGTATGGCTGTCAGCTGAATCCGAGGTGCCCGATGATACAATAACGCTGGCGGATCAAGGCCGGTGGAGACGGTATGCGGAACGGGAGCTATACCCTCTGCTTCATTACAAGCAGCATGGTCCAACCGATGGGCGGTCGGAGCGTAAATGGTGGGCCGACTATGTTCGCATGAACCGGCTATTCGCGGATCGGATCGCACAAGAGTACCGAGAAGGCGACATTGTCTGGATTCACGACTATCACCTTTTCCTTCTGCCCAGCATGCTGCGGCAAAGGATCCCCAACATCTACATCGGCTTCTTCTTGCATGCCCCATTCCCGAGCAGCGAATTCATGCGCTGCCTGGCCAAGCGCAAGGAGGTTCTCACGGGCGTCCTGAGCGCGAATATGCTCGGTTTCCAAACGTTCTCCTATTCCCGTCATTTCTCCTCGTGCTGCACCCGCGTTCTTGGGTTCGATTCGAACTCCGCCGGGGTCGACGCATACGGCGCTCATGTCGCCGTGGATGTGTTCCCCATCGGAATTGATGCGAAAGCGATCCAGAAGATTGCTTTTGGGAACCCCGACATTGAGAAGGCGGTTGTGGGTATCCGCAAATTGTACGCCGGGAAGAAGATCATTGTCGGCCGAGACCGGCTGGATAGTGTTCGTGGTGTTACCCAAAAGCTGCAGGCCTTCGAGTTGTTCTTGGAGCGATATCCCGAATGGCGCGACAAGGTTGTGCTCATCCAGGTAACCAGCCCCACCAGCGTGGAGGAGGAGAAAGAGGAGAACAAAATTGCCAGCCAGATCTCCAATCTGGTCTCGACCATCAATGGTCGTTTCGGCTCTTTGAGCTTCGCCCCCGTCAAATACTATCCCCAGTATCTATCCCCACAGGAATATTTCGCCTTGCTGCGGGTCGCGGATGTAGGTCTAATCACCACCGTCCGCGATGGCATGAACACGACCAGTCTGGAATACATCATCTGTCAAGAGAACAACCATAGCCCTCTGATTCTCTCCGAATTCTCCGGAACGGCCGGTACGCTGTCCAGTGCGATTCACATCAATCCCTGGGATACCGCGGGCGTTGCGGGAGCCATTAACCAGGCTTTGGAGATGGCGCCGGAGCCCAGGCAGTCCCAACATCAGAAACTCTTCAAGCACGTCACTTCAAATACCGTGTCTGCTTGGTCTCAGCAGTTCCTCACGCGCCTATTGACCAATCTTTCCTCGTTTGACCAATCTGTGGCGACCCCGGCACTCGACCGGGCCAAATTATTGAAGCAGTACCGCAAAGCACGGAAGAGGCTCTTCATGTTTGACTACGATGGGACACTGACGCCGATCGTCAAAGATCCACAAGCCGCCATACCGTCAGACAGGGTCCTACGGACCATCAAATCGTTGGCTGCGGATCCTCGCAACGCCGTTTGGATCATCAGTGGACGAGACCAGGCCTTCCTCGACGAGTGGATGGGTCATATACCCGAGCTGGGATTGAGCGCCGAGCATGGATGTTTTATCCGCAAGCCACGCTCGGACGATTGGGAGAATCTGGCCGAGCGGTCCAACATGGGATGGCAGAGGGAGGTCATGGAAACATTCCAGCACTACACCGAGCGGACACAGGGGTCCTTCATCGAACGGAAGCGCGTGGCTCTCACGTGGCATTATCGACGCGCAGACCCGGAATACGGCGCCTTCCAGGCTCGCGAGTGCCGAAAGCATCTGGAAGAAACCGTCGGGAAGAGATGGGAGGTTGAAGTGATGGCCGGAAAGGCAAATTTGGAAGTGCGACCGACGTTTGTCAACAAGGGGTTCATTGCCACGCGACTTGTGAACGAATATGGAACGGGTCCCGGAAAGGCACCCGAGTTCATCCTGTGTTCGGGCGATGACTTTACGGATGAAGGTAAGCTCCCCCTTCCCCCTAACCCGGCAGAGGTCCCTTATCGTTGTCAGAGTGACTGACGTGATTGGTGTAGATATGTTCCGAGCCCTGGCAAAGTTCGATCTTCCCCAAGGTCATGTTTTTTCGGTGACCGTTGGCGCCAGTTCGAAACAGACCGCCGCTAGCTGGCATCTTCTCGAGCCCGCTGATGTTATTGAAACGGTCACGATGTTGAACAGTAGCGCGAAGCAAGACTACTGATTTAAGTTTTGACATCGATCGGCCTAGTAAACCGCTCAAAGGACTTTTTCTTCTTTTTTTCTTTTTTCTTTTTAGTCGGACTCTCGGGACATTCCATGCATCAAGACAGACGAAGAAACTCCCCTGAGAGGCCACCGGATATCAGCCGTCGGACGAGCTTCCTTTAATACTTTTTTTCCTCGCAGGATATTCAACTGTCATCTTCAATTTTCCTCCTTATTTGTTCATGTCCTTTCCCATTTTCCCGTTTTTAATCATGTTCATAGAAAGCCGTTGAGAAGTCGTATGTACCTAGAGAGGGAGAGAGAAAGCATAGAGGCCGGAATGACGACAGAAGACATCAGAAAAACCGAGTTGTTGGTTGCGAGGGAGTCTATCTATCTATCTATATCTATACATATATACCTCTACAGTTCAACGTGCTTGCAAAGTGCCGAAAATACGGGGAAATGCGGAGATCTCCCCGGAAGCCCGCAAAAACCAGCAGACCCCGTTCGGCACGCGCTTCCGACTCGCCGGAATACTTCTCGGCCTTCGTTGCGAGTGGGATTCCTGCTCCCTGTTCTTCTCCACCAAGCCCTTGTTTAATGAGGACTAATGGCAATCCTCCTGACGATGGCCTTGACTCGGCCCTGTTTGACTCATTCAACCTACTTGACCCACGCAGCGTACCTACTCGGTACGCACGAAGAAAATTTACTTTGCCTTGGTCCATCAGTGCTTAAATCCTAGGGTCAGTCTCTCTAATTGCGCATTTTCTTTTCTTTTCTTTTTTCTTCCTTCTTTTTTTTTTTTTTTTTTTTTTTTCTTTTTTTTTTTTTTGCCTGCTCCAATCCCTTCTCTATCTTAGACGACCGTCTCTTGTCGAATGACTCACGAGATATTCCAGTTTGAACTCATCATTCAGTAGCAGCCCTCTGTCGCCTAATCGCTCATCTTCCCTCTGCGGCATTGAACCTGGAGTCGATGGCAATCATGGATGCCTCGTCGCACAACGGCCCGCCAGTGCCCAACTCCGAGAGAGAGAAAACCAGGGATTCGTCTCTAGATGACATAGGTCACATTTCCTCTCGAGTTGACCCCGGCGATGAAGAATCGGGCCTCGACGAGTCTCAACCGAAAGAGCTCGCCAAGACCACTACTAACGGTAGTCATGCTGGGGCACTGGCTTGGAGGACGCTATCTCTCGTCCGCACGAGAGAGTCAGGAAGGGATGTTGGCCCTGCTCCCGACGGCGGTCTCGCAGCCTGGAGCCAAGTAGGGCTAGGGCATTTTGTCATATTCAACACGTGGGGGTACATCAACAGCTTTGGCGTCTTCCAAACCTATTACACCGAGAAACTGGGACGGCCGCCATCCGATATATCGTGGGTGGGAAGTATCCAGATTTTCCTCCTGTTCTTCATCGGCACCTTTTCCGGCCGTGCTACGGATGCCGGATATTTCAAAGTCACTCTGGCAGCGGGGGCCTTGTTGGAGTTGTTCTGTATCTTCATGACCTCGTTGTGCACGGAATACTGGCAATTATTCCTGGCTCAGGGTGTCGGGCAGGGCATCGGCTGCGGGCTTATGTTTTGCCCGACTATTGCCCTTATACCCACATATTTCACCACGAAACGTGCGATTGCCATCGGCATCGTAGCATCGGGGTCCGCCACGGGAGGCCTCGTGTTCCCGGCCGTCGTCATGCGCCTGCTACCCCGGGTCGGGTACGGGTGGACCATGCGAACCTTGGGGTTCATTTCCCTTGCCACGTTGACGCCGTGCCTGGTCTTTCTGAAGCAACGGCTGCCTCCGCGCCGGAGTGGCCCCCTTGTTGAATGGGCGGCCTTCACGGAACTTCCCTACGCGCTTTTTGCCATCGGCATGTTCCTCAATTTCTGGGGCCTCTATATCGGCTTCTTCTATATCGGCAGCTTTGGACGCAATGTCATTGGCGTGTCTCAGTCAACTTCAATCGACGTTCTTTTGGTGATGAACGGCGTCGGCTTGCTTGGCCGGCTGATCCCTAACCTAATGGCCGATTGGTATTCTGGCCCTCTGAATATGCTGATCCCCTTCAGCCTGGTCACTGGGGTCATCTCGTATTGCTGGACAGCAGTGGATGACCAAGCGGGCCTGTATGCGTTCAGTGCTTTTTACGGTCTTTCGGCTGCCGGAATCCAATCCCTCTTCCCAGCCACTCTGAGCACCCTCACGACGGATCTGAAGAAAACCGGTGTGAGGATGGGTATGGTGCTTAGTGTGGTAGCGGTGGCCGCTCTCATTGGTTCCCCAATCGCGGGCGCTTTGATCCAACAGGGGAACGGCCATTATTTGTATGCCCAAATGTTCATGGGCAGTGCTATCATCGCCGGAATGCTGACCCTGTTGGTTTCGCGAGTGGCCAAGTTGGGATTTGCCTGGCAGCGAGTATGAGGCAGGGAGGGGGGCGGGCGAGCTGATGGTGGACAAGGGCCATGGGGTTCGTATGTAGGAGATACCTTAGAAGCAACGTATTGAGACCTGAATGCATGCGTGTAGATGGACTGACTGATGGAGGCGAGAAGACGACTGTCAATCCACGGCATGTGATTGGCGGGGCGGATGAGGTAAGATCGTGCCTGAGGTCCTTCACCCCGCCTGCGCTGGGAAATCTTCGGCGTGACTCTTCCTCTTCCTCTCTCTCTCTCTCTCTCTCTTTCTCTCATATCCTCCCTCTCTTCCGCTCCTTACCACATCTGCTGTTGCTCAACGAGCATTCCAACCCGACGGAATTAACTTGCGAAGAACCCCCGTTCCTCTCGCCAGTGACGTACTGTTTACCCCTTCCCCGCCTCGGCGCTGCCCCTCGTTTACTAACGATGATAGATTTGTTCAGATACATCCTCCGCTGTCGGACAGCGTTAACCCACCCCTTCCACCTTGATCTTTTTCTTGGACACTCCTTGGTTCGCCCCGCAATTTATATATCATGGCACCCCGCGGTCGTGCAGGCAAATTTTCCAAGCCCTCCCGAGGAGGTATGTGCAGAATGGCAAGACACAACGGGAGCGGGTCCGAACTAGATGGTACGGAGCGCTGACGGATTTGTGCCGGGAAACAAGGTGGAAAGCGATTTAGTCGAGATGTCCAGCCGGTCGACAAAAACGGCAACCCCGTTGGGCTATGGAGAGTATGTTGGCTCGCGCGGTAGAACCCGCTCCTGTTTCGTATGGGACTCGAACCTTCTAACGCTCGATTGCAATCTCCCGCTAGGAACCCGAGGAGGACCCCGACATGTCGTCATCGGAGGGCGAGGAGGATACCGAGTCAGAGCAGTCCGGCTCGGACGAAGGCCCCCGGGATGAAAACGACCCGGCCGGTCCCAGCTCCGCGGAGGCCCCCGAGCTAACGCGCGAAGAACGCCGTGCGGCCGCCAAGGCCAAGAAGCAAGCTGCTATCGCGAGGCGACAGAAAGTTCAACCCGGCGATCTTCCGCCGTCCGACGACGAGTCCGACGACGACGACAGCAACAACAAAAACACCAGTAACAACAACAATGGAGACGAAGACCTGCCCGCCAACCCGAATCACACAGCCAAATCCCGTTCGCAGCTGAGCGGAGAAGCCCCCGAAAAGGCGGCCAAAGATCCGTCGCAACTGTCTCGGCGGGAACGAGAGGCCATCGAGGCTCAGCAGGCCCGAGAACGCTACATGAAATTGCACGCGGAAGGCAAGACTGATGAGGCCCGTTCCGATCTGGCGCGTTTGGCCCTGGTGCGGGAGAAGCGGGAGGCGGATCGGTTGCGCAAAGAGGCCGAGAAGGAGGAGAAGGCCGAACTGGCCAAGGCCCGCGCAGAGGAACGAGAGGCGAAGTTGGGCGGAAAGAAGAAGGGCGCGCCCAAGAAGAAATAAGCAGTTCGCGATGGTGACAAAAAAGGATACGGAGGAATCCTTGTCTCCCCTTCTTCGACTCCCTTATGGTGTCTCTGTCTCGGGATAACAGAGATCACCCGACCTTCTTGCTTGGATTTGCTTGGATTTTGGCAATACCGGCATGATTGACCGACCGGTACCATCATATCACGCTCATATTTTGGAATATCTTGAATAAGACCTCGACATAGATTTTTGTCGTCTTGAGTGCTTTCTCCGGGCGAAAAGCAGCTGAATGTAGAGTAGTAAGGCACTAAGGCTAAAAGAAGCATTTACATCTATATAGCGTGGGAATGTACGTACATTATCATATGCCCTTCGACGCCTAAATGTCCCCGAAGAGAGCAGAAGAGAGATGGAGCAAGAAGGAAAAGGGAGCGAAGAAAAAGCAAACAAACATCAATGCAATATGCAACCGAGCGCCTTGACCGTTGCGAATGTACTGAAGTCTCCCCCAGTTTTAAGGGAAACCGCAAACATGCATGAGGAACACCGAACAGAAAGATCGCCATAGACACCAGCGCCGAGTTTGATCAACTAAAGTAATTGTGAATGATCGTCAACAAATAAATGCGCGCGCTCGACCGATCACGCTCCCCAGAACAGCCCTTCCACGCTCCGCCCTTGTGCAACAATGCCCCATCCTGCAATCAAACTGACAAGCCACATGACTGCGAATGCCAGAATAGGGAGCAGGAGGAGTTCGGTGTTGTGCAGGAACGGCAAGGCATTGTAGCCCAGGAAGGTGATGTAGGTGTAGTATGTGAGGGCGGACAGGTAGAGAGTGTTTCCAAGAAAGGTGGCGAGGTAATTGCTGGGACTGCGGGTGAGAAGCGGCAGGAGAAGGAACTGTACAACATAGAGGTGAAGATACAAAGGGAAGAATGCGCGAATGGAGACCTAGAGAGAAATAGAGCCCCTTGGTTAGTCTAATCGTTCCAGGGCGTTGGCTGGGCCTTAGCCCCATTCTGCAAGGGTTGTCCGGCTCACATCGAAGCAGTATCCAAACTCCAATTGATCCTTTTCGCCCGGCTGCATGAACAGGCCTTGCGCTGCGCCGCGCCTCCTTCCGCGTCCACCCCTGAACCCATTCAAGGATGCCGCGGCTCCGTTGGGACCGAAGAGCCGGCCGATGGCAAAGTACCCCACGGTCGACACCAATAGCGACGAGCCGACGAAATGAATGAAGATGAACAGCAGAGACAGGCGGACTATGGACCCGAAGGACGGCGCATATGCGAGGCCCCATGCGAGAGCTGTGAGGAGAAGGAAGAAGGATAGGAGATAGGTAAATGACGGGTCCGGACGATGCCAGGTGTTTTTGGTTTCTGTTTGCAATTAGTGTTATGACATTAGATCTCATGATTTCCATGTTGATATCAATAGCGGGAGGAATCATGAAGCCGGGAGGAAGGGTAAATGAAACGTACGTTTCTACGAATGAAAAAGTCGGATTAGCAATGACATGCAGGGTGTGGTTGTGCTTCAGAGTGTCCACTCACATGATAATATATCGATTTAAAGACCTTCTTCGGAGCAATGAGGAGTGATGTCATTTCCCAGATGGCCATCTCAAAGTCCATCTGGGGAAACTTGAACATTCTAGAAGGACATGTCCTCCGGTCAGTCGCAGATCAACCAGGTGCGCAGACACCCAACAAACGGATATCCAAGGCAGGGGCAGCGGGCAGCCCACCGTTTGAAAAAGCGCGGCATTCGTATGCTGGAACCGCGGCTGGCCGGCGTAGTGCCGCCGAAGTTGGAAGGACTAGCATGTTGGCGAGGGACGGATATGTGAGGATTCATGTTTCTCTTGTATCTATTCTGTTTCCGGGCGAGGGCGGGACTGGGGACAGGATGGAAGGCAGCCCGTGGAGGCGAAGGGCAATGACAAGGCAGTCAAGATGCTGGTTATTGATGGTTCCTGATGCGATTGCCCTTCCGGTGCAGGTGGCGCTTGGCGGATCTGCTTATGTCAGCCGTTCCGGGGGAACTTTGTCCCGCTGCCCTCATCGCTTCATACTCCGATTCATGCTCGACCAGAGTCGGCAAAGAAGGAGTGTTTCCAGTCCGGACTGCAGCCTATATGGCTGTTCCATACATCTTATCATGGGCGTTCACATCTGTGCGATTCTGGATCAGGATGTGCACCGCTGCCCTGCTTCTATTCCAGGCTGCTGCGTGCAATGCAGTCCCAAACTCGCCCCCTTCTGTATTGATATCAGCTCCTGCTTCAATTAACTGTTGCATGATTTCCACATGTCCAGTCCACGCTGCAACTTGTACGGCTGTTCCATGTGTCTCTGCCTAGACGATTTGACTCGGGGGATACGCTATGAGAGTGTCTACTGCTTTGCGATTCCCTCTCAACGACGCAATGCGCAAAGCTCTCCATGTTCTCCGGGAGACACCACAGCTCCTACTTCAAGAAGGGTTTGAACAGCGTCTTCGTGTCCATTACTAGCAGCGGCTGGACGAGTTTCATGGCGGTTTTTGAGCTGTCCATACTCCAGTGGACCTTTCCACCTGGCGGAGGGTGTTGCAGGAGATCTATCAACGCCGGACAGCATCGGTGCCAACGATATGGGACTTCCCGCTGCGGATGCCTTTCGCTTTTGTTGATCTCATTTCAGTCTTTTCGCCATCCTTTCGTTGTTATTGGCGTATGGATGTTTGTTGGGGCCCGCTGGCAGCTGCACTAGAGCAAACTGCGTCTGACGATCGCAGACTTATGATTGGAGAAGAAACTCCGTTGGAGCAGACACTGACGATGGCGATGGCCACATTGTTCGTTGACGATATTGCCAAGGGACAAATTGGCGATTGATAGGTAGATAGATCCATAGCTGTGGGGACGGTTCAGATGAGGAATATGATGTATACCGGGCGGAGTACGCTGTAAGTCAGTCGGGCGATGCGCACGTCCATTTGCCGGCGGGGGCATCGGTGACCAATCCGAAATCGAGACCGTACGGGGTAGGAATATTTTCTGATAATCTGTGTTTGATCATTTAGACGGTGTGTGGATAATGTCCTACGATGGAAACCAAGAGCAAGTACTGCGGAGTAAGCAGAAACGGAAGGAGAGGTCAATTCAACTACTGACAGAAGTCGGTCCTCCGCAGTTGCCAGTTTGACTGAAAAAAAAAAAAAAAAAAAAAAAAAAAGACCCCACTGCAAGCTGCAGGAGCCTGAGGCAGGAGGGTCTGGCCAAGCGCCCCTGATTATTATTATTATATTATTATTTTATTAGTATAATTATAATCATTATTATGGGGGTTATTCCAATTATTATATAATTCTGTAATTCTAATTCATTCCAATTCGAATGCGACGGAGGAATCGCATGATAGTTCCATCTCGCTAGTCGCTCTGGTCCCCTTTCTTTTCCCCTGACCTTCCGGACTCCAGATGCTTATCCTTCGCTCAAACTGCTGGTCTGTCCGTCCTTTACTTTTCTCTCCCCCCCCTTCGTCCCTCCGGTCTCCTTCTCTCCTTCTCTCCCTCTCCCCCTCTGGTCTCCCTGCCTCCTCCGACAAACGTGAAACACTGACCCTCCCCCGTCCGTCGATTAGCACCGCTTTCAGTTCCCACTCCCCACTCGACAATTGACCGTCACGCAGAAGATTCATCCATCGAATTACACAGAGTAACGTCCGAACCACTCTACCCGTCCGTGGGAACGATCGCCCCGTTCCCCCCCTGCTCTCCACAACTGCCGAAACACGCGAGACAATCCTTTTCTTCCACGCAATGACCGAGAGGTGACAGCTTACCTTTGCTGTGCCCGAGTGACGGCCCCTTGGATTTCCGAACCTTCACAAAAAAACAACCTTGCCATTTGCACGCGCGGGTTCTCGTCGCGGGGGTGTTGCGCTCTTGCTAGGGATTCACGCGGGTGGAGCGGACCAAAGTCGATGGCCCAGCTGCAGACACCACAGCGTACGGCTCTGGAACTGCCATTGATTGAGTGACCGAGACAGCAATTCGAGGCGCCACACATGTTGACTTGCAGCTCCAGCCAGTAAGTGAGTCGATTGACGCCGTTCGATAGTGTACGAATGTCTACGCAGCACTCCGATATGCACGGAAACCACTCTCCCCCGCGGACGCCGCCGTCGGGGGCCAACAACCACAAACCGACCAAGAGAGGGCGTCACCCACGTCCTTCGGTGCGCGAGACTTTCTTGGACGATTTCAACCCGGCGGACAACGCCAACAGCAGCAATGAGTCCGCCGACGAGCGGGATCCGCATGACCTGTCCTTGTCGCCGAAGCATGCAGCCCGGACCTCCATCGTCGACAACATGCTTCTCTCTCTAGACCAGTTTGCGTCGGGCTCCTCTGTCCTGGACGATTACCGGTTGTTCAATTCCGTTTTCGACTCCGACACCTACGGCCGCAATTCGCCGGATTCCATGCCCCAACGTCGCTACCGAGGCCATACGGTTTCCTCCTCCCTCTCATCCGACGTCGAATACCCCTACGACGAATCCGCTGCTCGCGGAGCTCAGGCGGGAAGAGGCCGTCGGAGCACCAGCAGCTCCAACTACCACTCTAGTTTGAAGAGATTCGGAAGTGCTCGCAGCAGAGACGGCCCCGGGTCGCGCGGGCAACAATATGATTATCGAGTCAATTCCAGTGGCCCGGCCTCTGGCGCGCGCACAGGACGACAAAGCAGCAAAGGCAGCTCTCCTCCCCCGGATTTCGGGCCCGCTCTTGCCAAATACCCGGCGGATTCCCTGACCGAGAGGCGGTCCGCCAGTTTCGACTTTGGCTCGAGGACCCCGTTCATCCCTTTTGCAGATGTCCCGGCAGAGTATGACTCGTCGGCCTACGACGGACTGGATGCTGCTCCCACCCCGAGCGTTCCCGCGGGCCCGCGCAAGTACCAGACGTCGTCTTCACAGGGCGATCACTCCGGGACTCTGAATCCCCAGTCCTCACGCACCCCGGTGGCATCGCGACGAAACAGCGTGAAATCATCCCGAAAGAACCACCGACCGGAACACCTTGGCCCCGCGACTCTCAGGGGCCGCGACACTGACCTGACCAATCTCGGCGATTCAGGTCTGGAACCTCCGCCCGCCATCCCGGCATCTCTCGACCCGCCGGCCCCGAGCCCTACGATATCCTTCAACAAACCTTCTTTCCCCCCTCCACCCGATCCGACCCCCGTGAAGGAGCGCCCGGGATTCTTTCGCCGTGTCTTTGGGTCGTCGAAGGCCTCCTCTCCCGGACCGTTCGAGACTGGCCAGGCCGATGCCCAGTTTCTCCAGGAAAACGACTCCAAGGAGAGCCATGGCCTGGGCACCAATTCTCGGATGCGCAGACAACCCTTGAAAAACACCGCCGGGGCCGCCAACACGGGGCGAGAAGGGGCCCATCAGGTGGTGAACAAGAAATCGTCATTCTTCCGACGGCGGAAGAAGTCTATCGTCGACAGTGCCCCACCGCCCGTTGTCCCGACCCCGGACTTTGGGCCGAGAGCAGCGGAAACGAGTAAGCCGGCACCCAGCCCTGTGAGCAGCCTAAGAAAAGTGATGAACCCTTATATAACAGATGCCGCTGGTCCACCGATGGACAAAACGATCGACTTCCCCACCCCAGGCGTTGGTGGTCCGCAAGCCCCCGAGGACAGGGGGACTCGAAATGGACCGGCCCAAAAGCCCACCGCACCAGCCGCCGGGATCTCGAAGTCCAAGTATAGCCTCTATCCTGCGATCTCGTCTGCTTCCGCGCCTGATCCTTCGCCGTTGGGGAGCCCCGACGGGGTCGAGGATGTTCGCGTCAAATCCCCTGGTTCAGACGCCGTGTCCTCGCCGGAGAATAAACAAGAGCCGCCAGTGGCCAGAGAAGACGTACGGTCTCGCGACAGTGCCCCCGAACGAGCCGACGTCGATCGAGCCCGCGATGCTCTGCAGAACATGCTGATTCCCCCGGAGAACGTTGCTCCTTCGTCACTCTCTCCCGTAATTGAAAACTTCTCGCAGAAAAGCGCGTCGCCAACCGAGGGCCCTGGTGAATTACATCCGCTGGGCCCAGGAGAACCGGCTGAGGGTAAGGACGCCTCGGACTCGGCTGCATATGAAGATAAACAGGAATACTTCGGCAGATTGCCAAAGCCGACGTTGGACACTAGCGGATCTCCTGCAGCCTCCACCTCGGAGGTCTCGAATTACCACACAGCGTCTAACACCCCCATAGTCCCGTCAGCGGATCACAAATTCGCCGAGGCAGGCGAAAAGAAGGCCGAATCCGGCGAAATTGCCGTTGAAGAGTCACCCCCATCGGACAGGGAACAAGCGCAAAAGCTCTACGACAATCAGGACCAGGTTGCAGGCCGCGAGCCCCCCGCGGCGTGGCTGGGTGACCCGGACCGCTCTGCGATTCGAAAAGCGTACATGGAACTTTTCGACTGGTCGAACATGAATATCTTGGCCGCCCTTCGAAGTCTCTGCAATCGGTTGGTGCTGAAAGGCGAGACGCAGCAGGTTGATCGGGTTCTGGACGCTTTTTCCGCTCGATGGTGCCAATGCAATCCCAACCATGGCTTCAAAGCTGCCGGTACGTTTTGAGGTCTCTCGAAGTCGAGCACTTCACCGGAAACGATAATTGCTGACCCATCCGTAATTAGACGTTGTGCACACTATTTGCTACTCCCTGCTTCTATTGAACACTGACCTGCATCTTGCCGACATAGAGCAGAAGATGACGAAAAACCAGTTTGTTCGAAATACCATGCCGACCATTCACCGAGTGGCTGTCGATGCCGCTCCCGAAGGCTTCGAGGGCCTGCGGTCAGGCAACAAATCCAAAAACCCGACTCAAGAGACCTCGCACGCTGCGAATGATGAGAGCGGAAAATCCACGAACCCGCCTGCGAAACTCGTGAATCGACTATCTCGAACCGATCTCTCCGTGAAACTAGCGGGCGATCCTGAGAGTGACAGTGGCCCGTTAGTCAATGTGCCGTTCAATGGGACCATGAGAGCCTGGGAACAGCAGCTTGAGACCGTCCTTCGGGACTTTTACTCTTCCATTCAGAAGCAAAGGCTTCCTCTGCATGGGGCCCAACCCGAGAAGGAAGGACCGCGTGGTTCGTCAAATAATCTGCTGGGCCCCAATCCGGGCGGCCTTCGCCGAAGCCCCAGCACTGTCAGCAAAAGCGGCTCCGATATCTACCCTCGCGGTCGCTCGGCAGACTCCCGGTATGGCACGGCCCGCTGGTCCTCCAAGCCTCGTTCGCGAGCAAGGTTATATCCTCCTTCAGCTATGGGCTCGAGCCGGACCAGCCTGGACGACCAGTCGTCTCTCTGGAGCCCATCCGCTTCCAGCACCTGGAGCAAGTATTCTTTGGGCAAGCTGACCTCGGCGTCCGTCGACTCGTTTGGGTCAGACTACATGCGGGGGGATTATCAGCAGTCGATTGGTTTCGCCAATGCGCTGAGTCAAGCCATCATTCGGGAGGATTATGCTCATTCGATCGCGAGCTCGGAGGATCCCGAACGAACCATGCCGCTTCTAGAGGATGAGACCTTGCAACTGGCCGGTGCACCGTGGGCCAAAGAAGGAAGCTTAAAACATAAACACCACCTCGATTCCGTTGACAAGAGATCGAAGGATCGCAACTGGAATGAGTGTTTTGCCGTTATCCAGCAAGGATGGATGCGCCTCTTCTCTTTCAATTCGTCCGCAAAATCCGGGCGACAAAAGGCGAAACAGCGTCAGCCTGGCGGCGTGGTGGTAGGAGGAGGAAATTGGACCGAGAACGCAGAAGAGATCTGGAAGTTTGTACTGCGCCAGACCATTGCAAGCGCACTTCCGCCTCCGGGATACTCCAAGTCCCGTCCGCATGTTTGGGCGCTGAGCCTGCCCACCGGTGCGGTGCATCTCTTCCAGGCCGGGACTCCGGAGATCGTGCGCGAGTTTGTGTCGAGTGCCAATTATTGGAGCGCAAGACTCTCCAAGGAGCCGTTGATCGGAGGAATCAGTAATATTGAGTATGGCTGGAGTGATGCCGTCATCAACAGTGCCTTGATATCGCCCGAGAGCAGCCGGACGCCGCCGTCCTCGTCTGGAGCACGCCCGAGCATCCAAAGTTCGATCCGCAGCTCTCTTGATCAGCAGGGAGGGGTTCGACCCAAACTCCCGGCAGATCGCGTGCATATCAGCGACTGGGCCCCGCCGCAGCAGAGTATGATGGCCTCCGTCCTTCCAGAAAACGAGCAGTTGGCTGCCTTGCGGGCGTACGTCAAGAATGTGGAGGATGAACTGCAGGGACACAATGAGCTCCGACCCGCGATGGTTCTGGCCTTTTCGCCTCGACATCCCAATGCGTCCAAGGCGATGACCAACTGGGAGCGCAAATCGTCTTATTTGCTCCGAGAGATTGTCAAGTTTCGCACTTACATCGACTCCCTCCAGGCTGGTATTGACCAGAAGAACAAAATCCACGCAACTCGGGAGGGTGAAGAAAACACTCCAGACAACCCTCCCGATGACCCTCCCGCGCAAGAATCATGATACAATATCTATAACTGTGTTTTTCTTTTCTCATGGCATCGTGTCATGTCATTTTCTATGTGCATCCCTCCACCCCAGCCTTTTCTTTTCTTTCTCTTTAGATTTCTGTGTACAGCTTCATTAATAGTCGGTGCGACTCTTTGACTCTATTCTATTATACTTTCTTTTCCCTTTCTTTTTCGCTGTTCTTTCTTTCTCCCATCTTTTTTTGTCTAGTATGATAGGACTATTGACACCACCCTTTGAGCAGCTGTAACGAGAAGTGATGGGCGTTATGAATATTTTCCTTTGTGGACTGGATATAGTCGATGTGAATCTACCTGAAAAATTCGAGTTTACTCTCCTTCTAGCACGTAGCATCTCAACAAGGTGTTGAGTGATGATGTCGCAGGAAACACTGGAAGACCTGGGATGACGTCGAGGTCAGGTGGTCGCGGCAGGTGTTGATTGGGCGGCCTGAGGTGTAAACAAGTCACTTCCGCCGCTGCACGGCCGCCTCTTCCTTCCTCCAGCTCCCAACGTCGCCTTCATCGCCTCACTTCGCGACTTTCGACGACAGTCCATGACTCGGTAAAACCCATCCACCCGAGGAAACGAGCTCAGTTCACCTCTGGCGCTCAACGCGAGAGTGTCAATCTGCTGAGAGCCTAAGCTAGATAGACTAGGTCTTTCGCGCTAAATCGACCGTCTAAGTGGGTAGGCTAGCAACGCAAGTCGCCAATTCGAAGTCAAAGTGAATGTGGAGAAAACAAACACCGCGCCCAGACATCCGTCACCATGTCGACAGGATCCGCCCGTCCACCACCATCCTCCCCTCCGATCAACACCCTTGATGCGACCGAGGACGCGCCTCCGCCGCGCAAACTATCTCCCCTCTGGATCCCCGACCCCTTCGGCATCGAAGACGATCCTTCGCCTGTTGAGGACAAGTTTGGTGGTGCTACCGATTTCATGGTGCAGGAGGACGCGCCGGGTGATCCTCCCCAGGACACAATGGACACCACCGGATCGAACGGCGGATTTCAGCCTGCACGAGAAGAAGCATTGTCGGACACGAAACGAGATGAGAACCCCACAAACGGTGAACAACTAAGCTACGACGATGCAAACACGTCCTTCAACCTACCTCCCTTGCCCGATCACGATGATAGCAGCCTTTTGCCCCTATCCAGCGATGAGGGGGATCATGAGCGAGTGGACGATCAAACGATGATGGAGGAGAGGGAAATGCGAAGGAAACTGATGGACATGGAGTCAAGCTTTCTACCGGAGCCCTCGACGATTGAAGTCGCTGCACCGAACCCCTCTGCGGGGGCCGACGACACATACTTGGTCGGGGTCCCCGTTGAAAACGCGCCCGAATCCACCAAGCCAGATAACACAGAATTGTCCCTTGTGGCACCCGACGGAGAATATAGTCGCGACATCGCCTGGTCGAACGATGAGGCCTCAATACCACAAACCCCTGATTTTAGGCCCAAGGACGACACCACACTCGGCTTGGAAGCTACACCTGGTGCGTCATCCGACCGGCAAGGCGACAACACCACCATGCTAGAAATGGACCATTCATCCCCTGCAGCCGAAGCGGCGGCGAGGACAGTGAACCGGAATCAATCCACCGCCTCCGAGGATACGGACGAAACTAGCCATACTTCCCTTGACGACTCAACAGAGAGGTCCTCTGTGCCCTACCCAGACCAGTTACCACAGCCGCAGAATCACGATCTTGGGGCCACCTCACGAAGCCTGTCACCCATGCAAGCCAAACCCTCACAGGACGGCAATGGCAATGACACCGAAACCGCATCGCACGCAAACAGTCAAAGGAGCAACCGCCCGAAATACCTGACCAGCCGCCACTCATCCCATCGTCTTTCATACTCCTCCGCAGCAAGCAACAATACAGAAATGACGGCTAGCGATGCCACGCTAGGCGCTGACTATGCTCTTCATTCGGGAGGTGCTGTGCCGGCAAACCCCAGTGGCTACCAGTCTGGGCAACGAAACAACCTGGCAAGATCGGTAAGCCTGGGCAGCATGGCGTCTGGTGTTTCTGGCTATAGCGATGAAAACTTCCTAGAGAAGAGAAACCCTAGTAACACTACAGAGGGAGGACTGCATACGCTGGACGAAGAAGATCCGCAGTCGCGACCTGGATCATCCTATCCCCAGAAGCACCAGCAACCGCCGTACCACGACGACTACCAAGAACAATATTCACACTCCCCCCAACCACCGGCTGAGGATGCGTCGGGCCCCATAACCCCAAAGGCCAAACCCCATGATGAGAGCTTTCCTACCGATACCGCTCTTGCAGAGCGTGTCAAGGACGTACAGGTCCCCAGCACATTTGTGAGGCAATTTCGAGAAGATTACGGTGGTCGCGGACTGTCTCCAGATAAGCGTGCGGGTGCCACTCCTGCCTTTGCAAGAAGCGGTAGGACCATGACCCTGAAAGAGCAAAGTAGCACCATAGATCGGCTCTCGAAGGAGAATTTTGATCTGAAGATGCGAATCCATTTTCTCAACGAGGCCCTCAATCGACGCTCGGAGGAGGGAATAAAGGAGATGATTTCGGAGAATGTTGAATTGAAATCTGACAAGCTGAAGTTGCAGAAGGATAATCAACAGCTGAAGAGGAAAATGCGTGATCTGGAGAAGCAACTGAAAGACCAACAGTCCGACAAGGAATCTATGGTCAACCATGATCCGGAGGGTTCGGACGATGAAGACCGGGACCCGGCGCAAGACGGCGAGATGCTCTATCTGCGGGAGAGGGTAGAGACTTACGAGCTGGAGATCGAGCGGCTGAGGTCTGAAAGCATCGCCAGAGAGAGTGAGAAGAGGAGACTCGCCGAGATGGTCAAGTCCCTAAGTGACGGGCGGCCGATGGGTTCAGACGTGGGAGCAAGGGAGGAGCGGGTGAGTTTCCAATCTACTTCCAGGCTATGGTTTTTGCCGTCTTTGTGCTGAGTCCCTATGTTACAGGATATGTGGAAGGACATGCTTGAGGCAGAGACAGCAGCCCGGGAACAGGCCGAGGATGAGAATAAGAGACTCCGAGATGAGAACCTACGCCTCCGGAGTGAGATGAGCTTGTCGATGGTCCCTGCAAGATCAGGCCAGCGTGGTCGAGTGGGCTCGACGGCCTCATATTCGGCGGCCTCGGACAGAGACTTTGCTCGCCATACAGTTACAGGAAGCTCCTCTAGTTCAACCTTAGTTGTGGAGCTCGAATTGTTGAAGCAAGAGAATGCCGAGTTAAGGAAGGAGGTCAGCGCTCAGACCTCTATGCTCACATCCCGCAACAAGGAGAAGGAACGGCTCTACCAAGAAATCGAGGAGATGAAACTTGGTCAGCGGCGCGACGGCGGGCGGTCGGTGACTGGCGATAGCATTTTCGACCGATCAGCGTCCCGAGCTCATGGAAGATCGTCCTCGCGGGCCAGTGACAGAACCGGGCCATCCCCGGGTGACGATGCCGAGCGAGAGGATCTAGAGGCACGAAACGGGCAGCTGCGTGACCAGGTCTCCAGCCTGAAAATCGAAAACCAAGGCCTGCGGTCCGAGCTAGACGAGAGTCTCAGAAACTTGCAACATCTTCAAGAAGAGTATCAGACAGACGTGGACCAGGCAGAGGAGGTGATACAAGGTGTGGAACAGGAACGCGACGAAGCCCTCCAGGAACGGGATCAGGTCTTGCAAGAACGGGATCATCTCTTGCAGGAACGCGAGGAACTCATCCAGGTCCGCGACCAGGCCATCGAGGAAGCGGAAGAGCGCCGAACTATGTTCCAGGAACTCCGAGATGAGGCTCAGATGGAGATAGAAGATTATGACAATGAACTTGGCATCAAGACGGATGAATGTGGCCAGCTGGAAGAAGAACTGAACAAACGGGACGAGAATCTTAGAGCTCTACAGGCAGAAATGCGTTCCGCGAGCGAGGGCATCATACGACTGGAGGAAGATGCGCAGAACAATCTGCAGCGGTACAAAGCTGTCCAGCAGGAGCTTGAGCATTGTAACCACGAGATGGAGTCGCTAGAGAAGAGTCTCTACGAGGCAAACACGAAGGTCCAGCGTCTCACAGTCCAGATCGAATCCAGCCAGAACGAAATCGCCTTCTTGCGAGAGGAGCAGGACGGCGACAAGATCAAGATCGGCGACTTGGAATCGGACCTCAAGACATATAGCATGAGTCTCCAGAGCGAGAAGGAGAAGACCAGGGAGCTGGAAGAGCGCCTGGCGGAGGAGAGACATCAGCGCGAGGTCGTCGGGAGCAAGGAGAAACAGGAGGTGCAGCGCATCGTGAACGAGCTCAACCGCGAGGCCTTCGCAGCCAAGGAGGAGGCTCGCCGGCTCAAGAAGAGCCTGTCGGCCCAAGAAATCGAAACCGCCACCTGGAGGGATCGGCTCATGGACTTGGAGAACAACCTTCGAGAGACCCTGGGTGACCTGACCGGCAGCCGGTCCAGCTTGATCACCAGCATCACGAAATTACAGAAGGAATTTGAATCCACCGCCCTGGAGCTTGAAAGCGTGCGCTCCAAGCTGGACGAGAAGGAGTCATTGCTGCGGAACCGCGATGCCCTCCTTGAAAGCCATGCGCTGGAGACCAAGAAGCTGTCCGAGATCCTGGACCATGAGCGTGTCGCGCGGCGGGCGGATAAGCAATCGTTCGAGCAGTCGCTGAAATCGCATCAGCAGGCCTCGCGAACCATCACGCAGAGCAACTCGCGCATCTCGGAGTTGGAAAGTGCGCGGAACCAGGATCGCAAGCGGTTCACCAACCTGGAGCAACAGTTCCGAGACCAGCTCAGCGAGAGGAACGCAATGCTCCTGACCATCTGGAAGCGGCTGTCGGCCATGTGTGGACCCGACTGGGCGCATTCCAACAGTCTGATCAATGGAAATCTCCCCAGTCAGGAGGTCATCGGTAATATTCTTTTCTGGCCGGGATTCAGTCGCAATCTGATGCTCGCGGTCAAGACCGTGGAGGCGGTGATCTCCGGCTTCAAGAATCGCATCAGGGGGGTCGAGCGGGACCTAGCCAAGCAATATCAAGTCCTGGAGCATGCCTGCAGCGTACGATTCAAGCGGGTGGAGCGCATGGAAGAGTCCATGATGAATATCCGCGCACAACGATACAGCCAGAGCCAGTCGGGCATGTCGCCGGAGCTGGCCAAACTGCGCGGCGAGAACCGACTCCTCAAGGCCGAGCTGAATCTGCGGCAGCCTCACTCGCGCATTCGGGTCCCTACCTCGGCCGCTGCGGTGGCTGCCGGCATGGGGTCTCCCTCTTCCCGTTCACCTACGCGCAATCGAAGTGCCGAGTCCGATGCAGAGGCCCCGTCCTTGGTCCGACATAACTCGGCGATCGAGAACCCCTCGCAACCTCACGCATCGCGAGGTCTTGCGCGGAGCTCCACCTCCGGCATCCCTCAGCCCTCTCATGTGTCCTCGACGACGACTCTCGCGGAGGGCGCCGGGGCCATGGTCCACGGCTCCCGGTCGCGACCTGCGCAAAACGATCCGGGAAGCAACGAGAAGTGGATGCGTCGCTTGCACGAGCTCGAGAAGAGACTGAAGGCTGAGCGAGAGGCCCGTCTGGCAGATCGGACCGGGGCACGACAGCGACTCGAGGAGCGGGATGCGGAAAACGAGAGGCTGCGAGCCCAGCTGGACAGACAGCGCGCGCAGAAAGCCATCTCGGCCGGGCCATCCGCTGATGACGCCCGAGGGCTGAAAATCGGGAGAATCCAAGCATCTGGCGACGGCTACTCTGGTCATCGGGACGAGAGCTCGAGTGAAGGCGAAGGCATCTGTGTCGACATCGAAGTCTAACTTTGCCGGGCTCTCGATTCAGCCTGACCAGTAAATCACTTGTCTGTCATCAGCGCTTCTTGTTCTTTGCGTGTCCGTGTCATTGTTTCTTGTTCTTGCGTGCACCATATACCCTTTAGTTTCGGCCATTGCTTTTCGTTCGGTCTCTTCGATGTCTATTGTTACTGAAGTTTCCAGGCTCAGATTCTGGGTCGTGATGACTACGAATGCCCGTTTAGACGTGGTTCACTTTGTTACAAACATATCCATATGTGTATATATATATAGACAGGCGTCGATAAACCAACACCAGCCAGTTGATGTTCTCTATTTTAAACCCTGGGGCCGGTCGTAGTAAAGATGCTGCAAAGAGTATCAAGTTGTGTCCACCGCTGAATCAATACCTGTAACGGATTTTCCAGACCGCTCAAACACTTTCCCTTTTCAGCTTCAGTGCTTAAAGTAGTATAGTTTTCAACTTTCGCCTGTTGAATAGTGCGTTGGCGAAGTCTAGAGTCGGCGGCATCAAGTCCCCGACCATACAGGACCGGCGCTTCCAGGGTCCTGGGGAGGGAACTGGAGGTTCTGGAGGCAGCAGCCCTGGTAACCACCTGGCCTGCGACTTCACCCGCCTATAGCAAACGGCGAAGTCCCCCAGCAGAATCCGACATAGCTGCCAATATCACCAAGAACATAGTATTTCCCACAGACAACCCTAATCTCATTTCAAACGGCCGAGCTGATACATTGCAGGCTCTGCGTACTGTGTATCGAAGTAAAATCGCGCCGCCGCCTGGCAACAGGATACCAGATAGCAAAGACAACCATGACCAGGACCATAGGAGCCGCATCAAGAACATAAAGCGGCCATTCATGAGTCAGGAGATATCCAACCGCCCCCTCGACATACTCCACAACACGGAAGACCGAGCGGACCAGAATAAGCAATCCAACGGCGTACAGACAGTATAGGACTTTGATCCAGTGGCGGAGACTCTCACTGAGGTCTCGGGACGAATACGAGGAACTCCAGCGTCGATGGAACACAGCGGTGGCGGTGATGGATCCAGATAGGAAGACGACCTGGACTAGAAGCTCGATGATCATGACCGTTTTGCCGGTGCGTTTGGTGGACGCGCTGGCCGTGGTGGAGGAGAGCATGGAGCCGACGACAGCCTGGATGAAGAAAGACGCAACGTCTCCGGAGACGAAGAACCCCGTAGTGCAGCGGGGAGGCAGCATGAATAATTCCCGTGCTTTGAGGTTCACGATGACTCGTTTCAGGGAGGCGTAGATCGAGGCTGCGAGTAAGGCTGGGGCTAGGAGGATTAGCAGTGTCTGCACGATATACGGCCAGATCCGCCCGCTGTGGTGGTGAGCGATTGTCCGGATAGCGAAGCGCCGGTCTCGACTGAGAGTCGGTTAGCTGGTGATTGTATTAATACCCCACTGGCTGGGAGAAACTAACGAAGGGCTGGACACTTACAAAGATATCCCAGGATGAACCAGAAGCAGAACTTCCCATTCGTCCCAGTCATTCGCCAGCAGTGGACGATCGTGCCGATTGCAAACAGACTGGCGAATATGACACCCGCCACGAACGATGGGAGGTATGGCCAGATGTAAGTGACATTGTGTGTCTCGAGCTGCGGCATTTCGAACAAGATCAACCGAGGGCAACTAGGCTGGTGATAGAAGAGAGAATCGGCGGCTAGAAGGATGGGTACAACGACCTCTTGGGGTGACTGTTGCTCTTATATCTATCTTCATTTGCGAGAACAGTGGAACAGGATGGTGGACAGCTCGATGTCTGAACCGATATAGAACAAGGTCCCTAAGTCTCTAAGTCAAAGCTAGAGCGTTCACAATGCCATTCTCGGAAACAGAGGTCCGAAATCCCTCAATTCAGCCACCAACGCTGGAACCTTTAGCTCAAATTCACGCCCGATAAACCGCAGGATCGAATCGATCCACTGGCGCTGCTCGGCTGGCGCAAAGAAAATTGACCGTACGATGTATAGGAATGTGACAACCTGGAGAAGCAAAGAAGATCCTCGAGCGGCTCCACAGACATCGCAACGCTAACCGTATTTGGCATTCTACTCCATGACTCGATAGCCTGAGGCAGAGTCGGGATAGGGTGTTCCGGTGGATGGTAGAAAAACAGACACGTATAGTGACATATGTACATACATAATACAGGCATGAATTGTGTCGTGTCTCCGTGGGTTTCTTTTCTTTTCGTGTCCGGTCTTTTTCTTCATTCGCATAACACTCACTCAGCTAGGCAGTATATCCTCAACGCAGCGAAACCTTGAGGGAGAAGTCAACAATACCGCATCCCTGGTGAATCGAGCTGGTCGAGATGATGTCCACATCTGGGCAGGCATAAGAAGCGGCGTTGCTTTCATTCAGGCCGCCGCTGACTTCGATGAGGAAGGAATGTTTGCTGGTCGCCGGATCCTGCTTGAGTTGCCTCGCGGCCTCGCGCACGCCCTCCGGGGTGAAATTATCCAGCATGATCACATCGGCGCCCGCCTTGATAGCCGAAGTGGCCTCCTCCAGACTCTGACACTCAACCTCCACTTTGGTCGCGAACCCTCCGGTCGCCTTGGCCGCCTGCACCGCACGGGGGATCGCCGCGGCGACGGAGTCAGTGGCGGCAGAGGCACCGCCGTCGCTGGCAGCCGCGTTGTTGGCACAGGCCCAGACGTGGTTATCCTTGAGCATGGTCATGGTGCTGAGGTCGTGGCGATGGGGGTCGGCGCCGCCGACCAAGATGCCGTACTTCTCGACGACGCGGAAGCCCGGCGTTGTTTTGCGGGTGCCGGCCAGGGTGCCGGACCAGCCGTGGGACCGCAGGGCCGTAACCAGCGAGGAGCTCTTGGTGGCGATGCCGGAGCAGCGGGCGAGGATGTTGAGGGCGACACGCTCACCGAGGAGGATCTTGCGCATGGGACCGCGGACAGTGGCGCAGTGTTTGACGGGGGCGATGGGTTCGCCTTCTCGGACGTGCCATTCTACTCTGATGATTTGGGCGTGGTTAGGTCAAGAATACACATATGCACCAATCGTGCCTATAGTCAAAGGCATATCTTGTATGCTGTAGATGCATGCACCGAGGGGATATAGATATCGATCACTATCGACTTACGTGCAGCCTAATTGCGAGAAGACTTCGTCGAAAAAGGGCACACCGGCCACAACGCCCTAAGTTTCACGCCGAATTTCCTTAGAATCTATACTGCAGATGATACACCGGACAGGTAAAGTGTAGATACCTTGCTTTTCCCCAGCAGACGAGCCTCCCCCTCGGATTCTCCCACGACGAAGCCGCCATAATCGAAGCTCGGGCAGTCCTCCTCCAGCCAGGAAGTGATCATATTCTTGTAATTGAGCGGCAGCAGGTGCCGCAGATTGCCATATTGAGATGCCATTGTGCGAGAAGGGGGGCTGTAAGGGCTTGTTGAGTCAAGGAAGCGGACGCCGGCGAGGATGTTTCTTCACTTTCTCCCCCGCGCGGGGCAAGACTCTCGGGAGGTTCCGTGATGTCACGTGCTGTGATGCATCCGCCGGGAGGATCCGGTCAGATATCCATCGGAGTAGTTCGTTCGCTAGGAGCAAAGGAACCTAGCTTGCCTAGAAGTTTGGGCGACACTCTTCGAGATGGGGACTATTCCCGGGCCCCGAGCGCAGGAGTTGCGAATACGAAGCCGAGAGCACAGCCCTGGCCATGGTGCTTGGACGCTCTGATCAGGGCCATTGCAGTGCCCCTACGTGGACAAGTCGTGGACACAAAGAACACAACACTGCCTCACGATCAGGCAGCAGGATTTGCTTTACTCCATACGGAGTAGGCGTCCCATCGTTTAGCATAGGGGATACGATATGGTCCCATCCTTCCTGGACGCCGTTGACCAGTATCCCCGGTGTTAATGGACATTACGGAGCAGGGAGACAATGTTAATGCAGATATGCGGGGTAGAAAAGGGGAAGTACTAAGGACCGCGTGGTTGTAATAGTAACAAGGCCTACTACGCAGGTCAGTAAGTAGCGTGTCCTCGGTGCCTCGTACGAAGGGAACTCTTTATCGATCGTTATTGCCAAGCTTTCTCGCGAGGCTGGAGTTCCGTGCCGGAGTGTGCAGCCTCCGAACGGGCGGTATTGTGACAGAACGTGACGCTGTGCCCGAACAGGCCGTTCCGAAGTCTCCTGGTATTTCCGGTATGCGTACGGTACAGGTATGGTTTCCTGACCGGCCTGGCTCACTTGCCGTGTCGGGCTCGCACTCGCCAGACCTTCCGTCCTCTCGACCAGGCCCTAATGTACTCCGCAAGGTAGGGACGGAGTATGATCCTTCATCTTTACGGAGTATTAGACCGATCTTCCTGACAGGTGTTTGCATATATTATTTTGAGAGACCAGTATGCGACATAATCCTCCGCCATTCCTGCCAGCACCACCATGACAGTGCCTTGCGGACCGAACGGAGCAAGGCAAAGACATGTTCCAACCCCAGCGCACTAGAACCGATGGCTGCATTCGAGAAGTTCTTGGCGATTCAGGAACGGAGAGTATGAGCGATTTTCCCTGCTGTCGACGATGACGCAGGAGCATGTGATTTCTCCTTGCTCCGGACTACTGCTCCGGTTTTCGACAGAATCCCTTGGTCTTGGAAGTCCCCTGTTCTCTTCAAGAGGTGTGACAACTTGATCAAGGGAAAAGTGTGCCGAGTGGACTAGTTAAGTCTAACTGCTTCGATAATAACTAGTAATCAAATGAGTCTCCATTCTAGGCCCACATCGGATACATATCACGGATTTGAGGGCAATCGGCACATCAGCTGATATGTCGGATGATTTACTCCGTCGCCTCTGAGCAGCGCGGAAAACACCCGCACCACAAAAAAAAAGAAAATAAAAATCGCTAGCTCATATTTCTCATCCTTACGCTGTAGATGCAAAAGTCGATCCAAGTTAACTGATTGGTCATAGCTAAGCGTCACAATAATAGGTCAACGCAATTGCAATCCGTCCACCGGTATGATCATGATTGTGTGCTTTGTATTTTATTGCGCGTCTTTCCAGGCCTTGTACACGACCTTGCTACCGTATTTCTCGCCCTTCTTCAAGACCACCATGTGGCGCCAATCCGGCTCGTTGATCGCATTGACAAAGCGACTGGGCTCGATGCAGAATCCCGAGAAGGGCTTGCGGGCAGGATTTCCCTCCACGGCAGGCACGTCGGTGCCTTGGCCGGTATAGAACTGGAACGCCGGTTCGGTACTGTGAACCTGCAGGTTGATGTGCGATCCCGGATGGCGGAATTCGGCCAGCAGTCTCAGTGGCTGCTCGCGCGTGTCCAGGCGGATACTGGCGACATCGCGGTCCATGACAAACACGTCGTCGAACGCCGGCAGATTCGGTCCGATGGTGAATGGCTCGGTAACTCCGCGGGGATAGGCCTCGATCGTGCCGGAGGGGATACCGGTCTTGTCCAGCGGCAGATAATTCTGGGTCGCAAGTTTTGCCGAGGTTCCGTCCACGGTCTCGTCGCCGCTGAGGTTGAAATAACTATAGAAAACCAAAGACCATCAGCAGCTAGAACCTTGCGTCTTCGCCAAATAGGCTTCTTACCTGTGGTTGGTCACGTTGATCACCGTCTCGTCACACTCGTCGCCCACCAATTCGACTTCGTATTCCATGGACAGCACCGTCCGGGTGACGTTCCCGTCCGCCTCCTCGTCCGTCGTATAGAAGACCCTCAACTCCACCGTGCCGGGATATCCTGCCTCGAGGTGCTCGCTGCGGTAGGTATACAGCAGGGCATCTTTGCCGTTCCGCCGAACCAGGAAGGGACCCTCGAAGTCGCGTCGACCCCAGCCTTGGCTGCCGCCGTGCAACGCATTCGGGGCGTCGTTGGTTTCCAGCTCGTACGCTTGGTTGTTGAGGCTGTTGATCTTGCCATCCCTGATGCGGTTGGCCACGCGACCGATCGTCGCGCCGAACCAGGGGGCGTTGTATTTCTCGTAGTGTTCCTTCTTGGCGAAGCCCAGCACGATGTTTTGGCCGGCGACGTTCAATTCCTGGATGATCGCCCCCAGGGACGTGAATTTGACGGAGGATGCTTGGGCCATGTTGATGCAGCGAGATGGATCGACTTTCCAATGGCAGCGTGAAGGACTTGGAACCGTAGAAAGGGACAGGGACCGGGGTGTGGATATAAAAGAAAACGAGGGGCAGTGGTCTGCTACCCCGCAATCCGTCCTCCGGAGGCACGCTTGACTATTAGCCTAATAAGGGCGAAGCCACGAAGTCCACAGGCTGTCGCTCATATTTAACCGTTCATGGCAAATTGGATGGGCGACAGGAATTTTCCCGACTGTAGATAACCCTTGCCATCTCTTCATCGACACTTTCTGGCTGGCGGCACTTGAACTGTGAAGCTCTGCTGCTCTGCCGGCTTGACAATTACCCCAAAGGGAAAACTTCCGGGGGTGTATGCCTCAGGCAGCAACTCCAGGCACCTGAATCGACAAAGGACAACCGGTCAAGGTCAAGTCCAGGATATCCACTGAGTACATGTACAATGTACATAGCAACTGCTCCAACGGCCCAGGAATTACCTACCTTGACTCCAGCTCCAGGGATCAGGTATTTGGACAGTATGGTATGGATGTCATGCTGTATGAATGTAACGGGTAATGTACATACTGTACCATTGTACATGCATTAGTTAATTGTGCTGCGCATACGTAGCGTCGAGAAGAATAATGCCAACCAACTTGCCTGCAGGTTGGCAGGGAAAGACATGTGATCTCGGATCGGGGTCCGCGGACGACACGGAGGGCGCTCGCCCCGGCGCCGAGCCCGACGGCCACCTTGGGTTTCTTGGAATTACCTCTGACATGATATGATGATTATTATTATTGCTGGTCTGGGATAGTTGCTTTTGCACATACGATTCCACATGGTGCTTGGCACCCCGTGCGTTACTTTAATTTATTCTGGTACGCACTACTTTATCCAGTAGTACCTTAGACAGGCAGTACCTCGACTCCTGTACTGCGTATTGTTACTATGGATCAGTACTAGTCTATCATACCTTTGCCTTCTTGGGCAATATGCAACGGTTTGTTTACATCCAGATTACGTTGGTATCTGTGTATCTAGTTCGGTAGCTAAATTCGGAGTCTAAAGGTCCTTAATACCCCTTCCTGATGACCTCATGCATCATGCATGCTGATTTCCTAGCAAGCCTTATAAAATACAAATAAAAATTCTAGACTGGGGGGTGTAATTATCAAAGCCTTTGGGACTCGAGCGTGGACCAAAAGGAGAAAAAAAAATAAAAAAATAAAAAAAGGTTCCGTAAAAGTCTCCGACATGATTACCAACTCTTACCAAGCCCACTTTTCTTTCTGTTGGACTCTACCTGGAACCGTCCCTGTAGCTAGCATTTGTCTCGTCTGAGTTATATCTTCGGAGTATGTGCCGTGAAGCGTTGTAGCGTCTGCGGTGATTAGAAATTTTCTATGTCTAGACCTGGGGTCAGATGAGCTCGACATTAACACCTACGCTAGGTGGTGAGGAGTTCGAGCAAATGAAAAGCGTCTATGAATACGAGTACGACAAAGAGACAGGAGCGTTAGAAAAACAAGAAGGGGAAGAGAAGAGGATTAAAAAAAAATAATAAAAAAGAAAAAGGAAAAGAGTAACCCAGACAAGGAAATGGCCCAAAAGTAAAATGGCCGGAGATCCATTTACACCAAGACTCAGACTGAATCGCTGAATCAGGCATTGATTCTACCGTAATCCGGAGCGAAACGAACGGCAGGTTGGATTCCCCTTCAGGCCTAAGGCCAACTTCCGACTGGAGATTCGGAACTCCGACCGGGGTTTGCACCAGAAGTGCGCGGTGTAGAATGTTGGCCTTGAATCCCATGGTCGCGGAGGTCGGCATTTCGGCCACTTTTGACAGTAACGGAATTATGGGCTTACGGAGGAATTTTTTTTTTTGTTTCCCTTGATGGGTCGCCGGAGTTCATTGAATCAGGGAAGAACATTCCATTTCCACGAGAACTAGTCCGCTTGGGCTGACGGTGGGTTCTGACCTCTGATCCGGTCGTATCTGGAGTGGAGCCTGGACCCTCCCTTCTTTTCATCTTGGTGCCCCAGTCCGAACGAGGGAAAGGACCAGGGGGTGCCATTTGAGGGCCATCATGACATGGACGACGATCGATGGAAAGCAGAGCACGATCGGACAGAAAGCAACGTCCAGCATGAGGTCAGAACGAGATCACCAACCGTGAGTTCACTCGACGTGTCATGATCGGTCGTCGCGCATCCCCATCGGGACGAGAAGGTGTCATCATTTGCGATGCGGGCCCGGAGATAAGACGAGCGCCGCGGACTTCTCGTGCGTGACTTCCGATTAGTCATCGGCCCTGACAAATCGAGACCATCTGGACTAGGTAAGTAGACGGTCTTGCATCGGTCAAAGCTCGGGTGGGAGCGTTGGCGAACGGTTTCAGAACCGTGGCTCGAGGGGCATGTGCTGAAGAGTATGTGAATCATTATATTGAAATGACTCTCGATGGTGTCATGGTGATATCTATCCCCAGTCCCGTCATCGCAAAAGAAACAGTAGCCAAAAGTAACAGGAAGGAGGAAAATAAGAACAAATCAAAAAGTACCTTCCAATAACTCCGTTGTTCCAGACACTGGTTTTAGATCCTGCTCCCAAACGCCCTCAGGTGACTATCTGGTAGACAGCCCCCAAGCTCTTCAAAATAGACACTGTACAGCCCGTAATCCCGTCCCTCCCTATACCAGAAAAAAGATCGCCATTTAAAAAAGAAGTATAAGTAGTCGAATGATAGGACGAGAAAGAAAGAATGAGAATGACATGTATACTATACATGCATCACGTCATACCGCGTAGCCAATGGGTGCTGATCAAAAGCTCACGTGGAGGCGATTTCGGGCGCGTTGGCATTTAGGAACTGGCTGATATCTTCGTAGTCATTCTTGGTGTCCATATACGACGAAGAGACCATGCAGTTCATCGGGACTTGGCGGTTGAACATGGGCGATGAGATGGGGTCATCAAACGCGAAATTCGCATAATCGGGTGTGGCCATGAGGTCCATCTCATCGTACGGCGCAAAACTGTTGTTGGACCATTGCTGTGGCGCTTGCAATGCGACGGGGTTCACCACCCCTTGCATGGCTAGCGGCGCCACGTATGCCGGGTTGTTTGGCGTCATTTGTGGCTCCGACTTGATCGTCGGCCCTTGTGTTCGTGAAGAAGGACTGAAGGTGGTGGGCGAGGGCGGCAGCGGTCGAGAGAAGGCATCGGAGAAGCGCGACGGTACGACGGGGGATTGTGCGGTCTCGGAGCTGCCATCGGACGAGTCCTGACGCTGCATGTGCCCTGCATTCTGCTTCCACAGTTCTTGCTGCATCACATCCGGGTTTTCCTCAAAGTGTTCGCCTTTTTGGCGATCCAAGACCCCCAGTCGAGTAAGCACATCGTGGGTGAGCGGGTGACCGTTGGGTTCGCATTTCAAGAGCTCGCCGGGCCACCCTTCGCCTTCGCTGGCGCGGCGATACAGGTCTTGCAGAGCGTGTACTAGCCATGCTTGTTGTTGTTCCAGCATCTCAACGTATCTGTTGGTGGTGGCAGAGGTCAGTTAGCGCCAATACATTCCGCAAGGGACCATGCGAAAATCGCAATCAAATAAAACAAATCAACGGCAAGGTGCAAGCTCACCCCTTGGGGTACACTTTGTCATGAGCCTTCTTCCTCTCGCCAAAGACGCAGATGGCATTGTCCGCCTTACACCGACCGCAAGGATTGCCTCCGTCACACTGCACCGGGTCAGTGCATCAGAGCGCGCTGATGCGTTTTGATTGGGCCGTGGCCATGCTTACCTTGGATTTCTTCAGTCTACACCGGTCACATGCCTTACAGACCCTCTTGCGAACATTATTGTCCGAGTGGGAGTGGTCTGACGTGGGTGACGTTTGACGTGCCGTCATCGTGCAAGAATTGTGTGTATGGGAGGTAGGCTGAAGGGCTGGTGTAGGTATATATGTGGGTGTGTGTATGTACGTATCGAGAAAGAAGATCCCGCAACCACCGTATAGTAAACGGAATATATAACACAGTCCAGTAGGGTTGGGACAACTTTCTTTCTGAATTCCCCAGAAGTTTCCACGGATTAGGGGGGATGGAAGCAGATAAAGAACTCCCGGGACTCTTGCCCTCTCGTGGTGTTGTCAGCGCCGATGATCGACAAGACGGTTTAAGGTTGGTCGATGATCCAACGATGTCGGGGAGGATAAGGCACAAGGTTTAAGAATCAACGGGCGAAGGGTGCAGGACCGACGCAGAGGATTGGATCATGGAAGGGTAATGAATAAGAGCCAGCTGGACAGACCCAAGAAACCGGGCTGGGAAGGTTGCAGTGGTGGAAGATGGTGAGTAACCGCCGAAGTCAAAGGTAGGAAGTCCAGAAGGGAGAGCGAGGGTGCCGGTGCTTTTTAACTAATTGAAGCTTATGGCGAGGGTATTCCTTATGTATTATTACTGACGATTAAGCTGGATTGATTTGTATTATTATTATTTTTTATTTTTATTTTTTTTTTGGGCTGCTCCATCACTAATTACTCCTGTCAGGACGGAGTAATGCTGAGGCAGATGCTGGATCTAGTTCCAAATTCTAATTAATATTATTAACGCCGGACGCAGGCGTGCTTTGGCCGGAGATCATTGGCTTAGCTAAGGTTGTGACGGTGGAGCCGTTGGTACGCTTTACCTGACCGTCAGGTATCCGGTATCGGGTATCGGACCTGGTACATGGACATGGTCGGCCGACAGCCCAATTGCTGGGGGAGCACTCTGGAAGGTATTGGGTTATGCTGGTGTTATATGGTTTCATTTCTTTTATTGTTTATTCCGAATTCAACTAGAAGACTCATTCACCTAGGGAGGTCCATACCTTATGTGCATAAGGTACCCTTCCTGATCTGCCGGCATCAGAACGACCACGTACAGTACCTTACGTGACCGGAAGATACGAGGCCCTGGCGCGGGTAATGTTACCAGCCAGATACCGCTTACGGAACACGGAGCTGGCAGTCGGAGCCTTGGCTCGGACCTCGGAGGTGCCAACTTCCCTAGCTGGTGTGGGATTGCCTCATCCAGCAATCTGCCTGGATCTGAATTTTCTTTTTTTTTTCTTTTCTCTTGTCTGCTTCCACACGGTTGACTCATAAATTCCACCCGCACCATTAAGGTTTTGTGGACTCGGATCGAAACCTGCTCAGATTGGAGCCGTATATCCGAGTGGATTCAGCTCGATTCCGTCCAGACACGTCGGTCTCATCGTGAGAAATGAGAATTCATGTCTGGACTGCACGAGGTGAGACTGAAGGATGCTTGTGGGCAGCGTCATCCAGAATCATCATGATTAATTATCAACATCATTGCTACGTCGTACACCCAAGTGTTGGTGATTCACTAATCACCAACTAATCATTATTAGTAGTTCACTGCTACCCTCCGTATTGCATGAATCAATGCCAATGTCAGCTCAGACTTGCATAACCCGGCATTACGGCATAAACCCACCCGTACAAGAGAGGAGACCAGAAAAAAGAAGAAAAAAGAAAAAAGAAAAACGCTGCCGAATTCCACTCCGTCGGCAAACGCAGACCGAACGGCGACGGAGCGTCTAGTCATTTTGGCACTAGTTCGAATCATCCTGGCCCCGGCGAGGGAATTTAATGATTTTAATCGCTCATGTCCCTGGAACGGGTCACGAGCCTGGATATTCGGATGATTCTTCTCGAAAGCTTAACGGCGGTCCGGTCTTCCTCATCCCTGCACCATATCGGCGTCTGTCCTGATTCGCCGCGCCCGACACTATGCTGGCCTATGCTATGCATCTAACCGGGGCATACGATGCGACGTGGTCGCCGACTTTGATGTCACTTCATGACGTTCTTTTTTTATCTCCCTTTCCGTCGACTAGAAGTAGCACACCGTACAATGTCAAATAGGCCCTGAAGATTATTTAATAATTAACCTTGACGCCGGTGGTGCGATGGCTCCCATGGGTGCGGGTAGATCATGCTTTCCCGGTTCAAGATCGTCTGTGTCCCCCCGTCTTTCCTCTTTCTTAACCTCTTGATTTTTGTCTTTGCTCTCAGAGACTTGACGATTCGATGACCCAAGGACTTGCGATGCGGCACCGAGGCCGGCACCGCCTCCGAGCCCTGGGAACTCCTACTCACATCGATCGGAAATTCGGAAAGATCCAACCGTTCATGATTGACTCTACACTCGCTTATCCCGTTTGATTTTCATTTCTATTTTCCTTTGTTCATCCCTCAGTTCATAGCACTATGGAGTAATCGGCGAATCGCCCTCGACTTCTGGCCGAATCGCCGAAGCATCAGGCTACGCGTGGGACGCAGGGATGCTCTAGACCCTGATGGCCGATGGCATGATAGCGTCATCCCGCATTCCAGGAGAAACCGACCCACCGTGACTTGAGAACTTGAGAACTGGTAGGTAGCCGATTCAACCTGCTTGGTTTGGCTGGGAGCGGGTTCGGCGCAGGGAACTTTCTGGACGGCGATTAAACACACGCCCTTTCCTTGGCCTGCCGGGCTACTTGCTTTCTTGCATTTGCATGACTTCATCATTGATTTTAGTCTTGCCCAGGATGTTACTTCGCTTTTTCAAGTCCCCCACAATATTTCGTTTACCGGATGGAAGGTATACCGATTTATTTTAAGGAGGTTTTCTTTTCTAATCTGAGAACGAAAAGAAAAGAAAAATTAAAGAGAAACCGCAGCAATAGAATTACATAAAATACATCCATCCGTACACTCAATCCCGAGGGGTATATGAAATATGAACATCCACAGACATCAAACAAAGAAAGAAAGTAATCAAGTCAATTTGCGATTACCCACGACAGCATAGGCGTCTCCATATACTGGGCCTGGGTGTATGTAACGACTTCTCTGGCCCCGAGGACTTGGGTGCAGCCTCCTGATACAATGGCTTTTCGCCTTTTTTGAACATGCCAAGAAAGCTCTGGCGCGGAGGTTTCACCTTTGGCGGATCGGAATTCACTGCTTCATGCGTGGCGACGTCGGAATTTTTCTCGACCGAGGGTCCCAGGGGTTGTGGCGCATGAGTTGCAGACGCCCCTCTCTGATAATGAAGCCGGCGAGCCTCCACAACACGACGGACTAGAACTATAGAAAAGTTAACCCCGTTGTCTGATTCGGCTGGAACGAAGGAATGACGTACGCGCAAATGTCTCCTCGATGTTGACCATCTCTCGAGCACTTGTCTCCATGAATCCGCATCCATGCTTCCGAGCGTATTCCAACCCTTCCCGCGCACCGATGACGCGACCCTCCTTGAGATCGCATTTGTTCCCTGCCACGATCTTGATCGGCGGAGGCATGCCGACGTCCAAGCCCTGAGCATTGTCTCCGAGTTCCTTCAGCAGCCGTTGGTTGTCTTCCACGCGCTGTTCCGCTTCGATGTTGATCAATTCCATGAAATCATCCAATGCACCCAAACTGGAGACGTTTGTTATGTCGTAGACGAGCAGGAAGGCGTCGGACTTCAAGTTGGATGCCGTCCATAGCCCACGATATTCCTCCTGGCCGGCCGTGTCCGTGATGGATAAGAAATAGGGGAGACCGTCGATAGTCCGTGTGACCGAATACGAATCCTCTGCATTTGCGATATCAATCCCGGCGTTAGATATGGTGGGGAGTTCAACGATTCGAGGTCAAGGGATTGGATAGGGGTAGTCTATATTTACCGATGGTGGGATCATATCTGATATCGCGCCAGGGGTTAGCCTATCCTGGGCCAACGCGGAAATCCGGGGAAAAGTCAAGGGGAAGAGGGCGACATACTCGTGAATCCACTGAGATCGGACCAACCGCAGGGTGATGGACGATTTTCCTACGGAGGTATGTGAGATGCATGCCAATATTGTCGACGCGACCAATGGGGCTGCAGGTTTGCCAGCCTGGTCCCTGACTCGACTAGATCGCAAAGATGAAGTGGAGCTGGGACCAACGTCCAAACATGACCAGGGCATTCATTGTACAACATACCGCATCCACCATCCCCGCAAATTGTTATGGAAATTCTGTCTGGCGCGTCCGCCATCGTGCGGAGCAGCCGGGAGACGAATTAAAAGAACGAGAGTCGAGAAAGGAGATGGCGCGGTTCCCGTATGAACCGTAACGCCAAGGGGGAAAAATAGGTCAAGAGTGAAATTGAGTGGGAATTCGAGGATGGGTTGAACCAGTCAATCCGATGAATCCAAAGGGTGGAATAGAGTCAGAAAAGGGAGCGAAGGCGGAAGAAAGCGTGGTCGTTGATCAAAGAATGAAGATCAATTTCCTTCCAATCTCCGAGATAACGAGCGTTGATGAAACATCCATGAAGTTGACTAGATTTCTTCCCCCCGGAGAAATCCCAACATGCTGAAAAGGGGAAGGAAGAGGGAGAGAGAGGAGAAGGTGAGTTGAAAGAAAGGGAGACAAAGAAGGCGGGAGAGAAGGAGTTCCACGGAACTCCAAGTAAGGGTGGGTAAAAATTATGAAATAGAAAAGTAAAATAAAAAAGAGCCCCTGGTTGGAATTGATGCCACCAGAGAATCCGCAGAATGCAGAGAGAAGACAAAGGCATTAATGGGAAGTCATCTACGTAGACCGGGGGATTAATTGCAATGTTCATTGGCGTGGCTGAAGGAAGGCCAGAGTCATGAAAATTAATCTATCTCGAACCACATCGACAGTCCAGGAGATCCATGGTTGATGGCCCAACCGAGTTCATTATTATTGCCTGGGTCGAATCCACCCCAGGCTCCTTCACAAACCGGCAGGAGCTGTCCAGTCTCGAGTATCTTGAGTATCTGAAGACGAACACTGATATACATCTTGTATACTCCGGAATGCGAGTGAATCCTCCCCTTCGCGCCAGATGCACGTGATCTCGCCGGGATGACGACATTCGGTTCTTCCGTTGGCTTTGGCTTTGGCTTCGTCTCTTCTGTGCTTCTCTTCTCTCCGGATGATTTGATCCCATCAGATCTGGATTCCCATGACTTGCATTGCAAGTCGATCGCAGCGTCATCCGTCTCCCCCTGCCGAAGATAGTCTTCCGGTCGCCCTCTCTCTCCCTGCCTGTCCTCCACTCTTCCTTTCCCTCCCCCCTTCGTCTCTCTCTCTCTCCCTCTCTCTGTCTGTCTCGCTCTCCATCTCCACCCCCGAATTGATCCATCACAAACGCCATTGACCAACCCCTTTCGCCGTCTGACACATCGCCGGGGGACGGTGCTACCCGCATCCTTTTGATTGGCACAATATCCACTTTTTTCTTTGACGGCCCGCGCTTGCAGGTGACATTCCCCTTGTTCTCGCTCTCCATTCGTATACCCTCCCATTCGCCTGGCTCTTGGGCTTTTTTCCCTTTTCTTTTTCTGTTGCTTCTCCATCGCGGTCATGATGATGTTGATGATGTTAACGATATTGCCCTAATCTTGCCTGCGATCATTTCTACCCTCTCCGTTCTCTCTCTTCCCTCTTCCTTCCCTTCTCCTCCCCCTCCCCCCTCTCTTATTTCCCTCTTACCCTCTCCTTCTCTTGTATAGATATTAACACTTGGAGGATTCTGATTTCCATTTCTCTGGCTTGGTTATTGGATTATTACTATCTTATTTTCCCCCTCGCCTTCCATCTGATTATTATTTTGAATCGTATATTGCTTTACATTAAGCTGTCGAATAGCTGTTGCTTCTCGCAATCGATCCCCTTTTCTTCCCCACCGCATTTCGGCTGTCCTGCCTCCCACCACCTTTTTTTTTTTCTCGTCCGGTCCATCAACTAGCTTGGAACTGGAAGGGAGCACCGTCTTTTCCAAACAACCGGGTTTCTTGTGTGGGCGGATTCCCCGTCTTTCCATCCTTCTCTGGCGTGGATGCATCTGCCCCATTGGTTCCAATCCCCTGGATCGAATCGATCGGGCGTGCTTATCTGGCTAGTTAGCCGATCGCAGGATGGACGGGTACAATGATGACTTCTACAATTCCCAGTATTATTTGCCTCCATCCGCCAACAACCACCTGGATCAATCTCGGCCAGCCGACGACCAACATGGCCAGATGATGCCGTATACCGCTCCCGACCACATGCAGGTCGGGGGTTTCTCCTACCCGCCACAGAGGCCGGATATGCTGGCCTCCAATCCCCCGTTTATGTTCCAGCCTCAACCATCCAACTTGCCTCTACAGTCCACGGGCTACCAGGATGGCCGCGTGCCCAATATGATGTTCGCGTATGATCCGCTCTCCATGTCTATGGGGTCCGGAAATCCATTTGCCTACGACCCGTCCCCGTACCCATCCACGATGCCGTTGGATCATAGTCGTACCCACGGTCAACCCCTCGATCACCATTCCGCGGCTCAATACGAATCGTTACAGTCGCATTCAATGAATATGGACCATACGGCGCAATATGCGGCGATGCAAACTCAGACGACGTACCCCAGCGCGTACTGGGCGCAGTCCCAGCCCCAGGTCCAACAGCAACCAGTTCAACCCCAACTCCAAATGCAACCTCAAGTCCAACATCCACCTACTCCCGAAATCCCTCGTACTCAGCCGGTATCCGCTGTTCCTATATCAGCTGCAAATGCCCCCTTGCCTGTCGACCCGGCAAACTCGCGTAGACGACCACGAGCACTACAGTCGTCCGCGCCAGCGCCAGCGCCCAGTGCACCGGCTTCTCATCGGTTCATTCAGCCCAAGAGGCCATCACCAGTGAAGGGTGGGTTAACTCCATTTCAAATACGTGCTGCACCGAGCTGATGCGGAGATCCGCAATCATAAAGCCTCCTCCTCGACATCACATCCTAGATCGGTATCGCGCGGCGAATCCTCGCAATATGCTAGCATCTATTCGACCAGTGGCTTTGACATTATGGGTGTTTTGGTAGGTTCCACGACGCACTTCTCACCGCTCGACTGCTCGAGAATGAGGCCTAAATCCCCATCCACCTTCCTTTACAAAACTCGTCTTCCGTCTGTTAATATTCGATCTTTAGGCTGAAGTGGTATCGCGGCCGAACCCTAAGATCGACATAGGCGCAGTTGATTTGTCATGTGCATTTGTTCTCTGTGACATAACCAAAGAGGACCATCCTATTGTCTATGTCTCGGAGGCTTTTGAGCGGCTCACAGGCTATACGGAAAAGGAAATAGTTGGCCAAAACTGTCGCTTCCTACAAGGGCCAGATGGTGTGGTCCAACAAGGCATGAAGCGGGCCTTTGTCGACCAGCACACTGCCTTTCGCCTGCGATCGACCATTGAGGATAGAACAGAAATCCAAGCCAGTATCATCAACTATAGGAAAGGTGGTCAGCCATTCATGAATCTGATCACAATGATTCCCATCCGATGGAATTCCAGCGACTATCGATTCTACGTGGGGTTCCAAGTCGACCTCGTCGAAAAGCCTGACGCCGTCACCCGGAGAAATCCAAGTATGATTTTCCACCCTAATATCTAGTCCTCGTTGGTGGACCCAGAACTGACCCATAGAATTCAGACGGTACCTACATGATTAACTACCAGCGCACGCAATTGCCCAATTACGTGGTGCCTGCTTCCGAGATATTCCGCACCAACCCCGAACTTGGTGTCATGTTTGGCCCCGAAGAAGTGTCCACCGTCTTGGACGGAGTCCAAACTGGGGATCCAAATCTCATGATGTACCTGGAACGAGTATTAGTCGAGAATACTGACGACGTAATACACGTGCTCTCATTCGAGAGCGAATTCCTCTATCTGTCTGCGTCCTGTCGAAAGATCCTAGAATATGAGCCGTCCGAGTTGGTGGGCAAGACCTTGTCGACGGTGTGCCACCCTAGCGATATTGGACCTGTGGTTCGTGACATGCGTGCTTGCACGACCACCGAACCCATCAGCATGGTGTATCGGATCCGAAGGAAGCAGGGCGGATATGTTTGGTTCGAGTGCCACGGATCATGGCACATTGCGGATCGGAGACGGCAGTTCATGGTTTTAACTGGGCGAGTTCGTCCAATCTATTGCCTGGATCAGGTTGCGAAGCTTGGACGGGGCGGGTTAGCTGAGAACGACATCTGGGCCAAACTATCCAATTCGGGAATCATTCTCTTTATGTCTTCGAGGGCGCGGGCAGTTCTTGGCCGCACGCCGGATACCCTGATCGGCAAAAGCCTCCAAGATCTGATCGATGTGCGTGGAGAGGCACAACGAGCTCTAGGACTGTCTCGAAATGGCCAGCAAACCACCTTTGCACATAAAATCCGCCACCGAAAGGGCCATATGCTGCCGGTGCACACCACATTGTACCCGGGTGATACCAAAGAAGGGATGAGGCCTTCTTTCCTCGTTGCCCAGATCAGTTTCCCCCGGCCGCCGGCGAGCGCTTCTCCGGGACCCTCGAATCGACTTGCTCCGGGCCAGTCCACTCGGGAGGGACCCAGTCGATTACCCTCGGGGAACCAGCGCGACCCATCATCCCAGGAGACTCTCTTCACCGAACTGATACCAACGAGAGGCTCAAGCTGGCAGCTGGAGCTGCGTGATCTGGAGAAACAGAACCGGTCTCTTTCCGAGGAGCTGCAGCGGCTGCTTACGCGAAGGAAGAAGCGCAAGCGCAAGCTGAGCACCGTGTTGGCGGAGAAGAGTTGTGCGACCTGCCATACCAAGCGAACGCCCGAATGGCGGCGAGGGCCCAGCGGAAATCGCGATCTTTGCAATAGCTGCGGACTTCGATGGGCCAAGCAAGTTCGAAATGCGGCACAAACGCAGGCACAGGCACAGGCACTAGCACAGGCGCAACAGGCTCAGTCTGCCGAGCGCGCTCGTGCCAGCTGACGATTGATTATACGGAGTATTACTGCACATATTTGTATTCCGACATTGGAAACCAGAACGTAAATGTCCAAGCAAAACCACCAAAGGACAGGGAGTCAAATTGTTTCCTTGCATGCATTCCAAGGCCGAATTGCTCCACACGGGTTTAATTGGAGAGGGCACAGTTGTCACTTTCTTGTATGTACAATATGAAGTTGTTTTTTTTTTTCCTGTCTGCGGTACTGGAGACGCCAGACACCGAGAATGGAAGGGAATCCAAGGGCCATAAATTCGATCACACTCGTAGAGGCCAGACTCCCAGTTAACCACCTCCTCTCGAGAATTCTCGGCCCGTAAGGCTGAGCAACCTGGAATTGAACCTCATTGGTGGGATACGGAGACCCTGGTTGTTTACGCTGTCTAGGGTAGGGGGCAGCCCCTTGATTGTGTCATTTAAACGTGTGGTCCATTTCTTTTGCGTCCCTTGAATCGGGGTTGCTTTCTGACTCTCCTCCAGATACTCATCCATATGAGGCATTCGATTTCTACCACTCTCGCCATCACCGAGCTCTTCTCCGCCTCTGTATGGGCGGCGACCTGCTATCACAGTAATGGAACCAGCCATACGACGGATGAATCCAAGATATGTGCCTTCAATGACTTACAAGGCCAGTGCTGTGGCCTGTCGGACATTTGCCTGAAGAATGGCCTTTGCAAGACTACTGGCTCCGTTACCTCCTACTGGCGGGATACATGTTCTAATTCGAACTGGACCCTGGCGCATTGTCTGCAGGAGTGCACAGTATGTTTGCTTTGATCCATCATTCTCCCAGGTGAAGATGAAGCTGGCTGCGATGCCGTCGCTGGCAAGGGACAATCTGCGACCAACGTGTGGCTAACATCCACTCTGATTCAGGGCCATGGGGGGAATTCTCTGATGACACCATGCGACGAAAAGAATAAAGACTACTCTCGAACGTGGTGCTGTGGCACCTCCAAGGCCTGCTGCGATACCGACTCTGCGATTACTGTTGATGTGAATCTTTTCCTCGAGTCCACCTCAACAACTACCAGTAGCACTTCAGCGACTTCAACTTTGGCTCTAGCATCTACGTCTACATCTACATCAACCTCTCCCTCAACGTCCTTACCAGATACTTCATCGACCTCCTCAGACACCCAATCATCCGCAAGTCTTTCGCAAGGTGCGAAGGTGGGCATCGGCGTTGGAGTTGCCGTGGCGGGAGTGTTGATAATCATTGCCCTGCTATGGTTGTTCCTCATGCGCCGATCTCGAAAAACCAAGAACCTGGGGTCTGGCGCCCGCGCGGCATCAGCCAGTTCTTGGGCGATAAGACAACCAATACCACCCCAGGAACTTGGGGCGAATGATGCCCATGAGGTTTCGGCTAGTGACAGAGATACGGTGCATGAATTACCTGGTGAGATGGAAGTGCGGCGTTAGGGAGTGGTGGCCAGTAGTCGGTAATGGGAGCGGGTAAAACAATACATATAGAGTATACTATCCGGACTCTTAGTCCACTTTGCGTTGCATTGCCCTATAATTACTCAGTCATCTAAGGGCGAGCTCAGGTTTATTTTATAGTTGGTAAGCAAAAAGCAACGAGAGGTAAACACCAATCCAGAAAGAGAAAGCATTCAAGTATTTTGAGGTGTCTAGAAAACCCGGGATATAATGTACAAGTCTATAAGTGAAGTCTAGTGCTCTCTTCTCTCCAACCATCTCTCCAACCAGCGTCTCTCCTCCCTCTCGACGTCCCATCCCTCGCTCCCCTCGGCCAGGCCGACTCCGCCCCGTTCATCGACCGCAATGCGGACCTCGGCAGCCTCCATCGCCGTCACGCCGCCACAGCGCCGGATCAACCGATCGTCGAGATCCAGGTACTCGGCGTAGCGCTGCAGCCGCGCCCGATACAGCAGCGACACCAAGGCGGTCGACCGCGTGTGGCTCTTGACCAGGCCCAAGGTGGCGCAGGCACGCAGGATCTCCTCGGCCGAAGCCGACTCGATCCAGGCGGGTCGCGTGTACGCGCGGGCCAGCAGATCCAGCTCCGGCTCGGAGCCCGCGGCGACCGGGCTCATGGACCCGGAGCGGGCGACCTCGTGCGCCGTCAGCGCCGCGCGCTTGCGGGCGATGCTCTGCGTGCGATCCTTCTCCAATTGTCGCGGCACCCGGCACGTAAACGGGGTGACGGCGCTCCCGAGGGCCAGGACGATCAGCGGGGTGAACTCGCCGCAGACGATCAGCATCAGGGTGAAGGGGATCATGCGACGGATATCGTAGGCGGCGCGGCGGATGAGCTGGAAATTGGACCGGCTGAGGTGGAGGGCGTGCACGGCGTCGCGGAAGGCGGCCGCCTTGCCACCCTTGGCCGGTGGCGGCGGAGAGATGGGCAGGTAGGGCGCGAGACCGAGCGAGGAGCGGAGGGGGATGGAAGCGCGGTAATTGTGGTAGACGTTCTTTAGGCCGGTCTTGTAGAAGGAGAGATAGGCGCGACCCATCGCCACATAGCGCTTGAGCTTCTCGGCGGCCGAGGCAGAGGATGCAATGGCATCGGGGAGATTCAAATCGGCCGGGCGAGTGCTCGGGGGCGGGTTGACGTCGTCGGCGAGGGAGGTAGTAGCGGTAGAGGAGGTTGAAGGGGCGGCGGAGGTAGCAGGCTGGGCAGACGAGGAAGGGCGGGAGTGGGATTTGGTAGAAGAGGAATGGGATGCGTAGCGGCGCGAGGTGGCCAGCTCACGATGCCGGAACAGAGAGACGAGCGGAGCGACGGTGTATGGCGGAGGACGAGCGAAGAGTGCTCTGCGAGGGGCGAGAGAGACCGACATTCCGTCCGAACAAATGATTGAAAAGGACGGAGACAATTGATAGAGAGGGGAGATGGCGGAGGAGGGGGGAGAAGAGAAAGTGGAAGACGAAGCTGAAGACTGAAAGTTGAGAGACCCGATCTAGATAGAGGCCTGAGGCAGACAGGGAGCAAGGCATTCAGGCATGCAGGTATCTAGAAGTTGGCGCCCCAGGCTGCCAGGCCCCCAGGCACACCCCACCCCGGATGGACGCAAGCGGCAAGTCACGGGGACGAGGGTTTCTTGTTCTCCTGTTTCCTTCTAACTCGTTCCTCTTGACATCATCAGTTCTTCCCGTGGCATCTCGTTTGCCGAGCTTTGTCTCACGTTGGGAATGCAACCGTCTACCTATAGTTACTTAGGCCCTGAGGTCTGACTCATCTCCACCGACATTGTCGATTTAGATTGAGACGAGCCTTAAGACCGTTCTTACTTCTTAGGTACATCTACTACCCAGCTCGTCAATACTATTGTTCCAAATCCTCGGATCTTCTCTTTCCTACTCTTGGCCCTGAGAACAATTAAAGACCAGGATGTCTCTTTCCTTCTCCCTCCCCACAGCCCTCATCCTGATTGACAATCAGTACGGCTTCAACCACCCTACTCATTGGGGTACATCCCGCTCCAACCCCTCCTACGAGGCCAACTTGGAATCGCTTTTGGCGGCCTTTCGCGATGCCATTCGGCGGTCTTCAGGGGATGATAAGAATGTCCTAGAGATCATTCACGTCTTGCATTCTTCCTCTTCGCCATCGTCTCCGCTCCATGCCGACCACCCGGGCAACGGTATTAAGCCCTTTGACTTCGCTCAGCCTGCGTCTGATGGCTCTGAATCGGTGATGTGGAAGCATGTCAATTCTAGCTTCATTGGCACTGATCTGGAGGTGCATCTCCGAGCTCACGGAATCCGCCAAATCATCGTGGCCGGTCTTACCACGGACCACTGTGTCTCGACCACGACGCGCATGGCGGCGAACCTGGGAGTAGTCGACCGCTTCCCTGAAGGCCCGATCGCCATTGATGCCAAGACAGGCCAACAGGATCCCGTGCCTATCGACCACGGACGAATCATCCTGGTGGCGGATGCGACGGCCACCTTCGCCAAGGGTGGCATCGACGCCGAGACCATTCATGCCGTTTCTGTGGCCAGTCTGCAGGAGGAATTCGCGGAGATCATGAGCACCGCAGAAGTGATAAAAAGCCTTGAAGAGAAGAAGCCCTGATCGAACTAGATGCCATACGAAGTGGATGCCCTACTAGCAAGATGAGCCAATGTCAAGCCTGTTCCAACTATTCTGCCTTATCTTGACTCAATGCCATGCACAAAAACTGCAGTTGTAGGATAAATTCCGCCATGCTCGGCACATTCAAAGGGATAAAAAAGCAAGGCTACGCTACAGTTCCACTTCCACTGCAACGACGTGCTCCGAAGAGAAGCCCGTAACAAACAGCCGCGCTCGTTTCGGCGAGTCAGTTGGGACCATAATGGCCGAGCTACCGGTGTGGATATTCTTTCCGTCATCCTCGAAGATCAGGCGGGTTTCCCAGTCTGCGGATGCCGTCCCATTGGTCGTTGCCTTCTGTTGCACATGCCAAACCATGACTCCATCCTGAGCGTTAGGATCCGCATGGGACCGGGTAAGGTTCGCAGCTCCCAGCAGTCCGGCCAGAACATACCCACTGGCGTCGTCAGAAGGGGTCCGGTGAGGGTCAACAAAATAGCTAGGGTTATCAATCGTGCTGTCAAACTGAACCTCATCGAAGATCGAAATACTGCGGTTTTTGGAATCCGCTCGAGCCCGATACATGACTCCTCCTATGGCACTACAGAGGAGCATTTCTTCCTCGGTCTGACCGCGGCCTATACCGTTGCTGTTTCGGACCCCGCTCAGTGCTGTCGTGGCATTGATCCCAGCTTCCGGGTCTGGAGACTCCAGCTGGTCCAGTCGGGCATGGACGACGTTGGTCCACTGAGCCAAGGGGTAAACATCTTCGACCACACGTTTCAGACCGTGACGATAGTAGTGGTCATTCGTCACATAAAAAGAGGACGGACTTTCGGCGTAAACATCATTCGGCGTGACGATCATTGGATGGCGAATGGAACGCACATGCCTGGCAACCCCGGTCCCCAGGACATGGTGAAAGAGCTCGATCTGTGAGCGGGCCTTGAAAGTCTGCTCCGTCCCATCATATTCTGGGTTCGGTAAATGGTTGACCGCAAAAATATAGACGGCATTAGACCGGCCCGGGTCCGCTATCACATCGATTCCATGCGTGACGAATGGGCCTTCGAAATTCTGGAACCTCAGGCGACTTGATTTCAATGTCTACTTGGCCATGGCACAATCAACTCAGTCCGACTTCTACCAAACAGGAGAGCTATAATTGCCGAGTAACGGATCTCACCTTGGGATCGATGACATGAAGTGATCCAGCTGTATCTCCAGCTCCTTTCACGTTTCCCAAAGGGGGAAACCACTGGAACCGCGAAGCATAGGAGTCCTCACATGCCGTGAAGATCTTCCCGGCCGGCTCATAATAGTGCAGATCCTCGCAGACCACGGTATCCTCGATCTTTACGAAGGACGGCTCCGAGGCCAGTCGCACCGCAGGGGTTGGTGTTCGAGACACCCCCAGCACCGTGAAATAGTGGACAACAGGGGTATAGTACCTTGCCACGCAGGCGCAGAGGATCGCTAGGCGGATAAGCCACCCCATAACTACCGCAATGTTCGTGCCTGTCGGGTGAAAATTGAGCTCGCAGATGAGTGAAGAAGAAGATGACCGGGCCCTGTGAGAAGTTCGGACAAGCTGATGAAAAAAAAAAGAAGAAAAGAAAAAGAAAAGAAAAGAAAAGACGGCCGAGCACGCAGCAGCGCGTAGGAGTGGGAATGAGCCGACGGCCTGCTCCGACAATCCGAAGCCAGACGGATTCCGAGTCAGTGGGTTCTCATCACCCATTGTGATTGCTCCTCGGGGTGGAGTTTTTCAGCACGGTGGACATATTGCGGGTGTCGTGATTCGTGACGTCCGGTTATGACGATGATCTCTGCGTGTGGAGTAGGTGGAGACGGGGATGGCAATCGGCTGCGACCGATCATTGAATCAATCATCCTCGGGTCTTTCAGTAGTACTGGTCGGAGGCCGCTGGTCCGGGGTTACAACTCCGCAGGATATATTGGGACTTGTGACAATCTCATGTTGCGGGCAGGAAAAAGAGTCCGACGATCCCTCGGTCCACGGCCGGCGAAAGGCGATCTACTGGGTAAACATACTAGCCTACGACTTTGTAGATAAATCCGGGATTGTAAATCAATACCATAAATAGAGAGCTGGGAAATGATACTCTTCATAGCGCAAAAACAGAGCTCGTTGATGAGCAGAACTACGGCCAATTACAGCACCCTGATTCCACTCTTTGGCTGCAAGAGTGGCGAGAGCAACTTGTTGCCCTCCATCCGTTTCAATGGCAACTCCCCGAATTTCCTTGCCGCAGAGAACAGAAAGAAGACAGGCGCAAGATCAAACTAATCGAAGAGACGGGTGAGAGGCGAATAAAACAGAAAGAAACAGAGATTATTAGAAATGCTTTCTCGCCGGTTTCCCTCGCACCAATCAAGGGCGGGCCGACCGAGCGTCCATGTATTCCTGATCGCTGGCATCCAAGATGTCATATTCCTCGTCAGTCAAAAATCCGGCCTCCGTGTCGTCGTCCCCGAGAGTCAGGTTTTCCACGTCCTCGAGAACATCCCGCTCGGATGCAGTGGAGAGGGGGGGTGCCGCTGGGGCCGTAACCACCCCTTCATGGGTACTGGACTCTGGCGACTCCTTTTCCAGCTTGGGGAAGATCATTTGACTTCCACTGCGTTCATTTTCGCGATCTGCTGCCGTTGGCGTGATCTCCTGGTGGGCATTTTCTTCCACGGTCTTCGATTCAGAAGGAGCCGGGTTGACCGTAGAATCATCGTCCCGGACTTGAATGTCACACCACAGCCGATGGCCAAATGGCATGCCATTTGACAGCTTCAGTCGCCAGTACGAGATGGCAGTTCCCACCCGGCCAGGGGCTTTCAGGGTCACGGTGAAATCGGCGCTCTGGCCGGGCTCCAACGGTGCCGATAGTTTGTTGCTCTCCATAGCAGCAGAGATCGAGTTGAGACTCAATGGGTGGTTCGTGTCAACGTTGAACATGGAGTCGCCACCAACGAAGCGCACATCACTTCCTACGGGCCACGCAAGGGGGCCAGGGTTGTAGAGAGTCCAGGTCTGCTGGAACACTTTGTTCGGAGACACGACGGAGCCATCAGGAATGGTGTCGCGGATGAAGAAGGCCTGATAGCTTGAGGCCGGGTCTCCGGTAGGCAGCTCATCGGCCTTGACGCTATCCGTGGAAGGCGAATCGCTGACAATCTGCTCTTCCTTGATGGCCGCCTTTTCGGATGTGGTCTCCTGGGCGGGTGTCTCAGGCACAGGTGGCGTAGAAACAGCCTGTGTGGGAGTAGAGTTTTGAACCGGGTCGCCTAATGAGGCAGCCGGCTTGTCCAGCCTGTCTTCCTGGAGGGTGCTGACGGTGACGTTTCGCACGGGAGTCTTGAGCATGACCATGGGGTGCGTGCGGTTGTGGAAATTGGTGGGAAGGGCCTCGCATTTGGCGCAGAAGTCAGTATCGTAACACACAGAGCACTTGTAGCGAACCCCGGTGATGTAAGTAGATCGCGACTGAGCCTTGCAAAGGGGACCATCGCAGAAAATGCCAAAATGAACCTCGTGGGACTGCGGCGGTTCGGCAATTGATTCATATAGAGGAGCAAATCGATGGCCTGGGTGGCGGTTGGATGCATCTGTGTGGCAGCTAGAGCAGAAGTCCCAATCAGGGCAAGTGAGACACTTGTAGCGCACACCAATGATGCTCTAATAAAGTGTAAGTTAGCGCCCAAATGGTGGAGGCAAAGTGGGAGGGGGGATTCGGATCTCACCTTCTCACACCCGTCGCAGATGGCGGCATGCTGGTGATGACGTCCGGGCTTGCAACGAGACAGAACCATATTCTTCAGGCAGAATTGGCGGTCATGAAGAAGAGAAAAGGTGTGGGCAGGGTGATGACCATGCGTGTCCTTCAGAAGACAAGTGATGCAAAGATCATAGTCCTCGCAGTCGGCACAAGTGACCATTTTGGTCTCGTCGAGTTCTAGTGCAGGTCAGTTGGTGTCCTAACGTTCTTCCATATCGGGAAAGGCTAGCTGGACATACCCTTGAGACAGCCGTTGCAGATACGCTCATCGGCATGGACCACTGGCGCAGCAGATAGAGGGCGAGGAATATCTTCCGAAACGAGTTCAGGAACGGCGGCGGGTTCTCGCTCCTCAGCTTGAACCACTCGAGGAGGAACCTTTTCGGTGGTGCTGTTGGTGACAACCCCGTCCTTGACGCCTCGTTTAATCAACCAATGGCCCTCATCTGGACAGGTGACTCCGTTGTCTACACACTCGAGACACAGATCATAATCACCATTCTCACAGATGCTGCAGTGGTAATGTTCATTAGGAATGGACCGACCACAGTGGTTGCAGTCAATACAGTAAACCTCCGTAGGGGACGTGTGGGAGACAATGGGGGTGTTCAAACTGTCCTGGCCTAGCACGAAGTCACGGTACTGGGGCTGAGGGGCCGTGAAAGTGTTTACTGGCTGCACGGGTTGTGGCTCAACGTCGGCAGGCTTGTCTGCACCCTCCACCACATCAGGAGTGTTCTCCGAGAAGTCATTTGGCAGAGCCGGTGAGGATTCACTCTGAGACTCGGGCAGCGGAGGGCTGAGAACGGTGTCAAGGTAGCTATACTTGGCCAGTTTCTGCTGCTCCTGTTCCTCAGAAAGCGGGGGCTGAGAGCCCTCGCCGACGACAGTAGCCCGAAGGCGCAGCTTGAGTTTAGCCTTGGCAGCACGATAGAGTTGCTTGTAAATGGCGGGGTTCTCGCTGTCCAAGAGGATGAAAGAACCGGCGCTGTCGGAAAAGCGCTCGAAGATGACGTTAACGTCTTCCGGGATGCCAAGAAGTTGGCGGAGCTATGACATGATCCAAAGACGTCAGCACCAATCAACAAGTCAAAGGATGAGCGTTGGTAATAGCATCTTTATGGGCTCCGGTATTGCAGAGCTTCGTTGTCTCGGAATTTCCGGTGATATTTGCAAACAGAAGGGGAAGAAATAGAGAGCCCTAGCGACGGGTGGGTTGATGTAGAGCGTACGCCGCTAGGTATGGGGAAAGGACCCGGTCGGGACTGGCGGGTGGAGACATACCTTCTGGGGCAGAACCCGAGCTCCCAGCTCTCTCAAGGGAACCTTGAAGCGTCGATTGCTCCCATTATGAAGCACCTTTAGGGTGATGATGGTATTGGGAGTGACCGTGGGAGCAGCAGGAGGAGCAGGAGTTGACATGATGGAAATCGATGGGGTTGAGAATTACAGCGCTGGGCCGTCCGATGTACAGAGGATGACTATGGGATGATGATAAGGAAGACGGCACGCTAGTGAGTGACGAGGACGATAAGGCGAGCAGGGGCTCGATGATGAATGCAGAAGATGACGGGATGGGGATGGGGATGGGGAGCAGTCCAACGAAGGACCAGCAGATGTGAGGCACGACAAGACAGGAAACCAAAGAGAAGTGGATGGAGAGATGGAGAGAGAAAGAGGAGACGAGACCGAGGTGAGATGGAGAAGAAAAGAGGAGGAAGAGAGTTTGAATGACGAGTTTAAGAGCGAGAATTGGCTGCCTGGCGGTCATCTGCTCTCGCTGCTTCCGGTCGAGGCGGTGAGCCGTTTTCCCGGAGGCGGTTTGCCCCCCAGAAGTACCTCCCCGTGCACCGCCAGCGCTATGGCACCGCATGTACCGTTGGGCAGGTTACAGATATGCGGTCATACCTCCCTGGTCCGGTCGGGGATTCCTATGAAGGATCCTCTCGTTCAGCATCCCGGAGCTTTGAAATAGATCGATCGCCCTCCTGAAGGCTCAGGATGCGATGTGTACGATCAAATCAAACATTCACCAGCCTTTCTTCCCCCCATTTCTGACAGGTCATACAAACATCGCCGAACAGTTGCAGCTCGACCGGAAACAATCCTCCCCCTTCTTTTTTATTTTTATCTTTCTTTCCTTTTCTTTATTTTTAATTTCCTGCCTATTCCTGCATGGTCCCAAATCAAACGGATCGAATCGAAATGTAAAAACAGAAACACATCACCTTTCCTGCCACACCTACTTACTCCCCGGTCCAACGACGGTGGCGGAGACCGCTGGGATGATCAATGCACAATTACGTAGGAATCCCTGCAGCCAGCAAAAGCGGGGAACCGACGACTCGCCGGATCTCACGTCGGTGGGATTGCAGGGCGCAGAGGGAGGGATACGTAGGAGCAGGTAGGAGTGGGTAGGTACTTCTGCGTTGAGGGCATTGCCGAATCATCCTTCCCTATCATAAGAGAGACGGTATCCATACAAATCATAAGGCATCCCCATACACACAAAATCACGGCCGACGAAGAAAACAATCGCTAGTAAATGCATGGAATCCTAATCTAACCACATTTCGGCCAGACAGACGGGGCGAGGTGCCAGTGGCCTGGTATCGATCCCTTCCGCTGATCGATCTTGGAAAGAGACAAAATTGACGGACAAGGGGGGAGAAAAGATAGAAAGAAAAAAGATAGAAAGAGAGAAACAGAAGATGGATGCTCCGGCAAGACAAGGTGGCCATGAAAAGAAAAAGAACAAGAGTCGTAAAAACAAATGGAAAAGTTGGGGGAAAGACCAAAGACCTGGACATGTCCATGAAAATGAAACAGAAACATTATCAGAAGAAACAATACCATAAAAAGACCGGAGATAAAAAACAACTCATAAGATGGGGAAATGAATCAATCAAATGATAGCTTGCGATAAGTCAGGGAAACAAAAACGACGTTCGCAAAAAGAGGGGACATAAATGTGAAGTTACCCCGATACTTCCACAAATACTATTTTCATCGTCTCCATCTCAATTTGTTTTGGGGTTGCTGTCCCATTACTGGGAAGCATAGTAAACGCCGCCCGGAGGTTGAGGATAGTAATAGGTTGGACCGGGAGGTGTCATCATGCCACCCATCCCGACAATTCCGTTAGGCCCGGGAGCACCGGGCACCGCAAAAGACGAGTTCGGATGCATCTGCATGGCGTCGTAGAAGTACACCGTGCCGCCGGCCTCGTGGGCAACGGTCCCCGCTTGCGAGGATTGTTCAGTTGATGCGTGAGCTCCGGGAACCATGTATTGCGCGTGTTGCCCGGGAGGGAATGACGGGACCGAGGCGCCTGGACCTCCGCCGGCATTGTACGGCGCGTACTCGCCCCCGGAATTCGGATAGAAGACCGTACCGGCCGGATAGGGAGCCGGGTAGTAAGCTTGGGGCTGTTGGAATCCGTATGGTTGGAACGGTTGAGCATGGATTGCACGATCGGGTATGTGGGAGGACGGGGTCACGGATGAATGAGCCGAAGGTAGAGGACCGGAAGCCTCTGGGGCATACATGGGGCCGTTTGCGGGCATCGGCACCTGGTGATGGAACGGCTGTTCCTGCTGGGGCTGAGGGGGGTTGAAGGAAAAGCTCGCCGGCGTTTCAATGTCGGCGACAGAAACTGCCTTCTGGGGACGAGGTTGATGCATAGGGATTGGAGCCGGGCGGCTCTCACGATAAGCGGGATTCAAAGTCTGTGGATGAGGAAGAGGGGGTGGCATGGTAGATTGAGCTGCCACTGCACCTGCAGGTGGCATTCCTCCAGGGGGACGAGGTGGAGGGAGCCGAACGACCGGTTTGCCATTTTCCGTCGTTAATATAGTATGCCGTGAGAGAACCGAGCCCGCCGGTGAGGGATACCCTTCCTGCGAGGCAGTCTTTCCGACCGACGACCTTCGACTCATCGAGACACTCGGGGTGTAGGAGGAGCCGCCATAAATACTCGAGCGCCGACCTCCATAGAACCCCCCTCGGCCACGGCCACGGAAAGCCTGCTGGTTAGGTCGGAGTGCCCGCGGTATAAATATGAAAGATCGTTCCGTGGCAGGGAATATATATCTGGGGTTTTGTCCCGGGAGCGAAATCCGAACAGGCTTGTCTCGACGCAGAGGCGGCCGGTGCTGGGGCAAACGGGTATGCTGTTTCTTCGCCACCGCAGGATACGAGGCGGAGCTAGTCATGCCCGGCAGGAAAACCACAACAGGCACGTTCCCAATCAGGGTCGTACTCGAAAACGATCTGTTCGGAGGGGATGACCTGGGAGCCGTGGGGACAGGCCTCGGAGGGTGGTTGGAGACAGCTGCCGGAGCAGTAGGGAATGTAGATGCGGGTGTATCGTCTCCAGCAACTGTGTCGTGGAGATCATGAGTCCATTGCCCTCCGCTAGCAGCTGGTTTCACGGGATGCCTGTATCACGGTTAGGGTCAACACAGTTGGTTCATTGAGAGCGGATGCGTGAGAAATGACAATGGACTTACCGGCGCACGTTTCCGTCCACAATCAGGCCATAGGGCCTCGATTTCGACTTGTTGAACGGCTTGAACCCATTGGTCATCGACTCCGTAGATCGCTTATCGTGAAGGAAGAAGCTTCCCCGCGTCGGCACGAACGCCGGGTTCTCGTCTCTCTCCTTCGAGTACTTCTCATGCTCACGACGTTTTCTCTCGGCAAAGGTTTCTCTTCTCGGTTCCGTGGGCGGCGCGGACGGCGTCCTTCCGGTCTGTTGGCCCGTCTCCCCTTTCATGTGGTCGAAATGGATCTCGGCCACCTCGTCTGTCTCGCCCGATATCTTCATCCCGTTCATCATAGCCTCGGTGTCGGAGATGGCGTTGGCCACAGCCCGTTTGCCGGGGGAGGCAGAACGAGGCCTCCCCGACAGGTGACTTGCCTGAGGCACACGGCCATTGACCGGATGGCCATTGGTGTCGGCCCCCTGCGGGGAAATCGACACCTCATCATCGCTATCATCACTTCCCTCGCCATCGGCATCGTCGTCTTCTTGGTGACTGATACCCGAGCCTTCACTCAGGGAGTCATCATCCAATTCCCCATTTATCGAGCCTTCATCCTCGCCCTCCTCCTCTCGCCTTCTGCGCCGGCTCGCACCGATGTTGTGACGACGCGGAGCCATTCACGCGGGTATGTGAGTAGTGATAGATCTGGACGGACGGTGGTCGGGGATGGCGTCGAGTAGGGGAACGGCGTAGCTGGAACGCGGTTCAGAGGCTGTCGGAATGGAAGCACCGACCAGAAACTGCGGCGAGACCGGCGGCCTGCAAGGAAGGGCCACGGCGGGCGGGAACGAGACACTCCCAAGTGAACCAAGTGGATAACGGATGGTCAATAAGACAGACGGACGACTAGAGTACAGGGAGTTGATGGGAATCCGATGCGCGGGAACAAGGGCGAGGAGGGACGGGGGGAGCAGGTGGAGAGTTGAGGAGAAGCAATGGATTTGGTGGTTTCGGCGATGAGCCATGACATCTCTTTCGATGTCAACCGCCCCGATCGGGTTAGCGCCCACCCAAACCACATCAGCGATTCTAGAACCACGAATTCCGAGGTTTCGCTTGATCTCCTGGATAAACTACGTTCTCCTACGGCCTCGCCGGTCAAACATTCTGGCTCGGGGTGGCGTTGCCTTCGACTCGACGCCCAAACGCATGTTTATGTTTGCCCCCGACCGACAAACAAAGCCCCGTTCTTGCGCCTTAATCTCTTTTTTTTTTCTCTTATTTTATTGATTATTATTGTCCTTATTATTAACCGCGCGCAAGGATCGACACCCCGTTGCTGCCTGACTAAGCCCCTCTGTCGATGCGTCCACATGCGCGGATCTACTGGACTTGATACATCAGAATACCAAGCGACACACGGCGCATACGGTGATAGAAGAAGAAAGAAAATAAAAAGAAAAAAAGAAAAACTCCCGAAAATAACTTCTGATGGTGGGTATCAGGGGTCCAGGACCATATCTCCGTTGCTTCGACAGCAACGACTGACTGTATGAACAGGCTGCTGACCGTGGCTATGCAAGGTCTGTTGTAGAGTGAGAATCGGACCCTGTCGTGATGGCAACTAACTAGAAGGAAGCTCGGGGTTATACCACTAAAAAGACATAGGCTGACCACCTCCGGGTTTCATCTTGCGCCTTTCTCCAGCAAGGGATCCATGGATCCAACAAGAGTCGCCCTCGACCGTTCTTGAGAGAACGAGGTCATTCTTTCGCTCTTGCTGTGTAAGTAGCCTTTCATAATGAGTCTCTTTTCTATGTCTTCCATCGTCGACACCTCAATCGAAAGTGGTTTTCTTTCCCTGGCCCTCGACAATGGCACCGCTCAGTTTCTGCACAGTTCCCTCGTCGTATCTCGAATATTCCGGCTTTCTGGGCTTCGCAGGTCGGCCTTGCTGTCTCCCGGCTGAATTGTCAGCCCCACTGACCTCCCCAAAGTCATTGCCCTTGGCGTCTTTCTCTTTGCCAAATCGCTTCTTGTACCGGGTGGAAGCATCTTCTGCAAATTCCATCCGCATGCGTCGACCTAGAAGCTGGTTCACCCACACCCTTCTCTGTCTCGGTTTCTTGGGCTTTTTACGCTCCTCGGCCTCGGATGCGGAATCCTCCTCATCCTCCTCGTCTTCGTTGACCATCATAAACCCTCTCACCGCTGCCTCCGCTGCCGCAATGTCCTCAAACTGCACCCAAGCATAGCCCTTGCATTTCCCGGTGTCCTGAAAAGTCGCCACATGTACATGCGCCACAGTCCCGCATTGCGCGAAGTGCTCTTCAATGGCTTCCTTCGTAGTGTCGAAGCCGAGATTACCGACAAATATGCGCCGCGAGGGAGGGTGGCCAGACGATGTGTTGGTACCGGCATGTTGACCATCCTGCTGGCTTTTTTCCGGTCTTCCCACGAAGCTCTTCGCATCCTTTATCAACACGCGCCGTCCGGACACGAGCTGCTCGCTCAGACCCAGGGCCTCCTTGGCGGCCCTCTCGGTGGAAAAGTCGACGTAGGCGAATCCCTTATTTTGCGCTTTCCCAAATTTCTCCGCGCCTTTAGGCATATGAATTCTGGTAATGGTGGTCTCGGCAAATGAACAGTTGCTGGTAAAGAACCGGCGAATGTCATCCTTGTTCACGGAGAACGGCAGATTTCCAATCCAAACTCCATAGTCGGAGCGTTTCGCGGGAGCCTCCTGGGCATTCGCCGGAGCGTCCGTAGTTTGTTCCGTGGCTGGCTCTGATGTAGTCTCGGAGGTGTTCTTCTTAGCCTTACGCAAGGCCTTTTTGGACGGAGGCTCAGGAGCAGAGACGTCAATCTCGATTTCGGCTGCTTCTGGCAACTTGCGTTTCTTGTGAGTTCCTTCACCAATACCGGCCATTTTGGGTGTTGTTCTTCCGACAATTATAATTATTGAGGAACCAAAGAGAGTAATACAGAACGAAAAAAGGGTGTATCGATATTCCAGTCACAAGTAGATGTGTAGAGAGAAAGTCGAGTGATGATCAATTCGTCGACGGGAACTTTTTTTTCTTTCTTTTTTTTAAGACGGGCAGAAAGCGGCCGCCCAGCCGCCGTCGGCTTCTCCGTCCGGGACTTCTTGGCGAGCTGCATCTCATCCATCCGTCCCAGACTCCGACGCTGCGCTTCTCGCCATCTCCATCTCTTTGTCGCTCAACCCCTTCTATCCTTGGAATCGTCGATTATAGAGACATCCTTCTTGAAGAATACTCGTGTTATTTAAGGCTTTCTTTAGCCACCCCTTTTCACCATGTCTCAAGACGCCGACGACGCTCGATCTGTCGCTGAAAGCTTACCCGATGCCCCTACCAAGCAGTCATACCGATCTTTCAAGTAGGTATAATCATGTGCGACGTTGCAATACCCAATACCTAACCTACTTGCAGGAAGAAGTTCGCGAAACTCAAGGTCAAGTTTGAGCTCCAGATGAGGGATAGCGAATTACTCGTCCGCGAAGAATTGCGTATCCAAGACCTCTCGAACCGAATTCAGGAGCAGAACGAGTGAGTTGACATCATATGATTCCCCCCTTCCCCCATTATTCGTTTCGCGATCACTCAATTGACTCCAATGCAGTCAGCTTCTAGAGGTCCTTTTGGAATTCAACGACAGTCTTCACATTTCGCCCGAATTGCGGTACGATCTAAGTGCATCCGGAGATGATGCTCTTCTGCCGGACGGTGAAACACGACCTTTGCCGTCGTATAACGACCCGGACGCGGCACAGTCGATGTTAAACCACGCCAAAGATGAGGTTGCGACCGGTAATATGACTGCTGACAGCTACCGTGAGCTGGAGAGCGCCGTCAAACAGGGCAAAGCATTTGCGCCGCGGTTAGATTATACCTCGCTGCTGAAAGTCCCCCACACACTGCCACCGATGGAGGAAGAGGATATTTCGGCGGATGGCGTGTTCGAACAAGGTCTTGGGTTCTTCACGTCAGAACACGAAACGGAACATTATTTGGCCATGGATGCTAAATTGGGCGATGAAACCGCAGCCCTGCAACTCAGCCGGGCCCCTGAGAAGGCGACGTTTGCCGATCGGGAGAGAGAAGCGAGTCTGCGAAACTCGATCTCAGTTTACAACTGGCTGCGGAGAAACCAGCCTCATATATTCTTGCAAGACAACGAGAATGCTTCCGAGAAATCCGGCTCCCGACCATCAAACCTGCGCACCTCCAAGAAAGCGCCCGGGGCTGCTCGAAAGGACGAAGAATTCAATGATGACGACAGCGTCTTGGATGCCGGGCCTACACCCTCAGGTGCCAAGGGCAAACGCAAGCGCGACGACGACAGCGCAGGTAGAAGCAAAGGTGGGAACAGCCGTTCCAACCGAAAGAAAAAAGAGGAACCCTCTTCTGCCGCCAAGCGCTCTTCAAAGAGGTCCTCCGGGGTGGGAGCTTGAGCTGCCTGCCTGGTTGGTATCGGTTCTCGGTGCCTGTGTAATACTATTAGGAAGATCTTATTTCTTGTTCTGTTTATTTTTTGTTTTCCCTTTCGCATAATATACCTTGGTGCGCTGACGAAAGCCAAGTGAAATTTAAATGAAGGTTTGGTTTGATTGCGCTGGACAACGATATCTCTAGTTTCTACTCCGTACTTTGTCGGGCGATGTGTGCTTAGTTTCCCAAAATGTTCCACATAGGACTAAAATTTGTTATTTTGCATTTTTCTTCCAATCCAGTGCGCAACCCCTGCAGAACATGTCTCGTAAAATCCAGAAAGAGGCCGACTTTGTACTTTGTACTTTGTAAATCGATCATGATAGGGCTTGGCGTGCACGTGTGCCTCCACATTCTGTTTGTTCTGTTTGTTCGGTCCGAGAAAGTCTTCTCGTCTTTCCTGCCAAAACGTTCCATCTTTGTAAACGATCGGGATCGCCGCCTGCAATAATAGCTCGCAAAGGAAATTATCTACCCCCCAATTTTCAGTGCTCCTCTCGGAAGCGACCCTCATAGAGAATGGCTATTACCATTCTGCCTCCAGTTGTGGATGATGTGGATATCCCATCCGACTCCGACGTCGATTCGATGTCCGTGGACTCAGATGGCGGGGTCGGAATAGCGGCAGGAAGAAGTTCAAGGCCGGGTAACCATTCCGGCCTTGTAGGAAATACAGGGATTGTCACGCCCGGCGAGGTCGTGACTGACGACCCCCAATGGATGAGGTCAGTTTCCGCCATGCTCCCATATCGGGAGTGCGACAGCTTCATATCACAATGACGCGAACTCACCTGTATACAGAGGACACGGTACCTACACGAACCCCCTCTCGACCTCTATCATAGCCACCGTTGCCGGAAACGTTCAAAAAACCAACAAATTGCTTTCGGTCCAGCCCCTTCGAGCCCGTTACAACCCGGAAATCGGTGACCTTGTGGTTGGGCGTATTGTCGAGGTTCAGTCGCGCCGGTGGAAAGTGGACGTGGCCGCCCCCCTTCTTGCGCAGCTTCCGCTTTCCGCGATCAACCTTCCCGGCGGTATCCTGCGTCGGCGCACAAGTGCGGACGAGCTGCAGATCCGGACTTTCTTCAGCGAGGGTGATCTGTTGATTGCCGAGGTTCAGAATGTACACTCGGATGGCGCCGCCTCGCTACACACCCGATCATTGAAATACGGCAAACTGCGAAACGGCGTCTTTCTTGCCGTGTCCGGGACCGGTGGCAGCGGCGCGTCGCGCTCGAATGTCAAGGGCGGCATCGGCGCCGGGTCTGCTGCGGCCGGCACCACGGGCGGAGTCGTTCGGTCTCGGAGGCAGGTATGGACCATCAGCACTGCCAACGGAGGTGGGGATGTGGATGTCGTGCTGGGAGTGAACGGCTACATCTGGATCTCGAAGCACGCGGATGACACCGCCGCCGCGTCTTCTACAACCGACAGCGTCTCGATCACGCGCATGGAGGAGATGGTGTCGAGCTCCATCTACTCCAGTCAGAACGACGAGATCCCCCCGCAGACGCGACGAGAGATTGCCCGACTGGCACAGTGCATCCGCGTCCTGGTCCACGGAGGAGTCCGAGTGGACGAAGATACAGTGATGGGAGCATACGAGGCTAGCCTGCAGGTGGACCTAGAGGTCGGGGATGACGATTACGATGACGACCACCGGGGAGAAGGTCGAGAATATCTGGAGGGTAATAAATCCCGGAGGATCTTAGAGCTGGCGTTAGAACGGACATGAGAATCTGCTTTGGGACGGTTGTGTGTGTATGCTTGCGACGAGATTAGATACCCCCCTTTGGTAATAGAGTTCTTCACGGCGATGCAACCACCGGACAGGTCAGGAGGGTTCAATAGGACTCAACAATAGTTGTAATCCTTGGACTATAAGGACTATAGGCACTATAAGAGTGCTGGACGTCACTGCGGCCTGAGGCCCGATAAGCCACTCCCCGCATCACGTGGCGATAGGCGCGCGGTCATTGGCTTCAATGCCTCAATTCTTCAATCCTTCAGCTGTTTCTTCGCGGTTTCACTGGTTCGAGGAGCCTCGGGAGAAGATGGGAGCCTGATCATCTGCCTGCGCCGTGATCCACCAGGAGGAAGGAGCCGGAAGACTCTCGCTCGTCCAGCGTCATTCGCGCAGTTTCTTATCGGCCGGACTGCGATCACGGGGTCCCTCGTGCCAAAAGTCTAAAAACCGACGGACTTTCCTCGTCTCTCGTCTTTCTTTCTTTCTTTCTTCCTCCCTTTTCTCTCTTCTCCTGACTCTCATCCGAGCGATCAGTTCCCGTCCTCGCAGTCTGATTTTTCACAGTTGGTTATACCATGTCATTCGTATCGGAGAAATTATTTTTACTGTCGACAACTTCCATACCTTTTGCATAGCGGGTCTGCACACCATTTTGGCTAGTCCCTACTTTTCTACTTACTCACGGACAACCACCAACCACCAACCACTCCCCCTTCTCTGCCTCGATTATATTTGCCTTTCGGGAATCTCACCCGTCTCCCTTCCCAATCTCCGCCTCTTTTTCGTTCCGGTCTCTTTTCTCCTGGCCACTCACCATGCCTGATCTGCGTCGTCAGGTCTTCGAGAGCGGCAAGACGATCTCTCGCAAGGCTGCCTCGCGCGAAGGGTCTCGTCGAACCTCTCGCGCCAACTCTGCTCCAAACTCTCGACAGTCTTCCCAGAACGCAAGTAGACATGCGTCTGACGAGGAGGACGCTGGAAATCTCAGCGACGAAACTGCATTGAGGTGAGCCTTTTTCCTTTTCCTGGGATTTTCCCCCCTCCATTCTCTTTTCTTGTTCCTGTCGGATCCCTAGTGGCGGGATGATGTCATGGTAAGAAAGAAAAAGAAAACGAAAAATCTAGGTTTACTAATGACGATTTCTATCCGATAGTATTGGCTCTCTGGACGATCTGACTGATAACCCTGACATCGACAATACCAACTGGGCGGAAGAGCTTAGTGACGTCGTCGAGGACATTTTAGATCGGAAGCGCAGCAGTATCTTGAGCCGCGAAGAAGCATACGCCGCATTCTGTCGCCTGTCCAAATGTCATTACGTCGAAGAGCAGATCCGCTCCCGAGAAAGCGATCTCTTGGCTGCCTTCTGCCGGAGCGTCAAGTTTGAGAACAGCGTGCGCGAGACCACTAGAGCACTCCGCGCCCTCGAGCTCCTTGCCATCACCGCCTTCGACAACACCATCTACGAAAATGTCGAGTCCCTACTCACTCGTGCGATCAGGGACTCGACCTCGCACATTGTCAAGGCTGCCGCCATTCATTGTCTCGGCGCATGCACCATGTTTGGAGGCGCCGGCGAAGAAGGCATCATGGACCAGATGACATTCCTCTTGGACATCGCAGCCTCCGATGGACAGTCCATTGACGCTGGCGATGATCCGGCAAGTGTCACGGCGGCTCTTCAGGAATGGGGAGCCATGGCGACCGAGATTGAAGATCTGGAGGGTGAAAGTGAGGAAGCCGTCCAGATCTTCATGGATCAACTGAACAGCGGCGATTCGTCGGTTCAGATCGCCGCGGGCGAGAACATTGCGCTTCTGTATGAGAAGAGCTACACCCCCCAGGAGGATGACGAGGATGATGAGGAAAGTGAGGAAGACTCGGACGAGGAGTCCTTCATGAGCACTCGGGGCGAACGCGACGGCCCCAAGCTGATCAAACGCTACAATGCGTACCACAACACGCATGAGTTGGAGAGTCAACTCCAATCGTTAGCCACGGTGCACAACAAGCACATCAGCAAGCGGGACAAGAAGAGCCTACATAGTAACTTCGCCTCGATCTTGACCACGGTGGAGAACCCTCGGCGCGGGCCCATGTACAATACGGCGATCGACCAAGAAACCAACCGACACTACGGCAGCAAGCTCACCGTCAAGATTGGCCGACAGGGCGTGATGAACATCGACCGCTGGTGGAAATGGATCCGACTCAACTCCCTGCGCCGCATCCTCCAGGGTGGTTTCGCGCAGCATTATTACCAAGGCAACCGAGCTGTCCTTGACAGTCTTCCAGTCATGGTCCGTCAAAGCACACCGGCCGATCGAGATCGAGGCATGGCCAAGAAAGCCGCCCGATCGCGCAATAACCGACGATGGGCCGTTCATCAACAATCCGATGAAGAATAAGGTCGACAAATGACTGGTTTACTAAAAAAGAACGGGTGGATAAAAAGTGGCACAAGGGTATAACTTGAGCTATATGGGCGTTTTGTTTTTGCTTTTTATATTTCCTGGTTTGGTTAAATGCCATGCTCGTGTTGCGTTTTCAGACTTAGTTAAAGAGGTAGAACTATCATTTGTTCATTGTAATTTCTAAGAGGTATAAAAATCGCACGTTAGAGAACTCTTCCTATATAAAACTCTTGGTTTATATATCGCGGACGACTATTTTCTATACATCAAATATTTAGGAGATTGTCTCAGAAGAAAAATCTAACTAGTAGAAGTAGAAGAATAGTACTCTCTGAACCGAAAGAAATGGGGAATATAAGTAGAGGAAGGGATGAAATCAAGGTCAAGTAAACTTCAATAAAATGTACAGTGCACACAAAAATAGCCCCTGCACATTTGATTCTATATGTCCCACCCAAGAGAGATATACAAAAGACAGTAGATAGATACCTAGGTAGCTTCGCTACTGTTCAAACACCGGGACCACACCAGACCAGCTCCCTCGGGACCGTTCCTCCCAGTATCCGTCCTTGCCGGATTTCAACCGCCAGGCGACTTCGTCATCGCCGCCGTCGTCGTCCACGCGGGTGAACCACCGTGGCGTCCACGACTCGCCCGTGGCTTCCATCTCGCGGCGGCGCGCGCGCTGGCCCTCCTCGAGCTTCACCTTGACTTCCTCGGCGCGGTCCACGTCGCCGTCCTCCAGGGCGCGCTGGTCCGGTCGCAGACGCGAGTCGGTCGAGGGCAGCTTGTTGGATTCGATGGGGGTGATTTCGTTCAGGGCCGAGGCGAACGTGGTGAGACCGTAGTGTTTGGGGGCGTTGGACACCAGGGGCCCGGCCTTCCAGACGGTGGTGCCCGTGGGCGAGCCGTTCTTGGTGAGTTGGAGGGAGGTGGTCCAGGTGCCGGTTAGGCCCAGGGGGAGCTCACGGCCGGACGAGTCCACGGCCTTGGTGCTGACTTCTTCGCTGCGGCCGGAGAACATGCCGCCGGCCTTGAAGACGGAGACGGTCTTCTGGCCGCTGGTTTCGTTGGCCAGAGACATTTCACCGACCGGCTCGACATACTTCTCGCCGGCGATGATGTTGCGCAGGAAGCAGGTGGCCGAGGACCAGCTGAAATGCTCGCCGGTGGTGTGCAGGGTCAGGCGCATTTTGCCGTCCGTGATGATCTCAGCCGACTTACCCCAGAACTTCTGCGTCGGCATGGGGGATTGGGCAAGGCTCCAGTCCTTGCTGTCCGCCTGGTACGCCAGCTGCACGGGTCGGTGTGAAACCTTCTCGGCGATGAACCGGAATCCGAGATCTTCGCGGACAAGTTCGTACGTCTCGCCGAGCATGGGGTTGAAGGGCTTGCGGATCGCGCGCTCGCGGACCCGGCCGTTGGACAGTGACGAAAGGGCGAACGCGGTCACGTAGACAAGTCGCTCGACAGGGTCGGAAGCGCTGGCTGCATGATCGAGGAGGGGCGAATATTCCACCACCTCGGCCGCACGTTGCAGGAGAGACAGCGGTTCGTTGGAAGATACCGGCATAGAGATTTGCGACAGATCCTTGCCGACATTTTTGCGGAGGAACCCAATCAGACTAGGGGGCATCACCGTGGGAGCAGTGATGTTCGAGCGGCGAGGCACATTGCTGAGTGGCAACGGGGTGAGAGACTTGGGACGGATGGGGAACAAAGAGGAAAAGCGGTCGCTATTGGGTGCAGGGACGTCGGATTCTTCGTCCTCGCTGTCTGAAGGCGCGTCATCGATCACCACGTCTTCCTCGGGCTTGGAAGTCGCAGCGTCGGGGCTCGTGGCGCCGTCGGCGGCTTCGTCGTCGCTGTCCTGGATGGTCAGTAGGGGAGACGCGTCGCCACCGTCAACGGCATCGAAGAACTCCTGCGACACGTCCGACTCAAAGCTGCGGCGGGATTGGATGGGGAGACTGGGCTGCTGCTCTCGCCGCTGCTTGCTCTCCGCGATCAGAGTTGAAAACTCGCTCACGGCATTATCCAGGTCGCGGAGAACTGTCAGCAGATGTTCATGAATCTCTTCAATCTGATCGGGGTGACTGGAAATACTGCTCGGTTTCCGATCACCGGAGAGGGAGCCAGTATCGCCGGCGCCGGGAGCCGGCACGGCCAGCTGAGAGGACGAGGAGGCAGCGACGGCGGTCGGAGGCCGTTTTTGTTGGGCGGCCGAGCTGGTCTTGCGCTTCCAAAACGGGCGCTTTTCTCGCGATTCGGCATCACCGCCGTTGGGCTCGCGGGGAGGAGGGCTCGGAGATCGGGCACGAGGTCGCTCAACTGCACTGGCGCTGCTCAAGTACTTCGGATCCGTATCTCTCGCCAGCCGACGGATGAGGTCTCTCGACCCCGATACCTGGCTAACCAGTCCTTCAATACGACCCCACTCGCGATCATCGGACACGGGGGGTCCGAAACGCTGCGACGGCACGCGCAGTAGCGGCTCCGGTGACAGAACTTCTTCGGCCGGGGTCTTGGAAGAAGAGGCCTTCTCGAGGGCTCGTTTCCACGAAATGAATTCCTCGTCGTTGCTTGCACGTAAGTGCCAGATCTCGGTGCCGGAGTCGATGGAAATCTCGCGGGTTTTCTCATTACACGCCACGGCCGCCAGAGAGAGGGGAATCGAGCCTCGCAAAGCGGAGGAATTGCGGTCGTGATAATAGGACAGGGTCGAGGTTTTGAAATCCAGTGAGAAGAACCGTCTTGCCCATCCCTGATGCCGCTTTCTGCGTCGCTTGTGCAGGATGCCGGTGTGGATCAGGCCCGAATCGCAGTCAATAGTCTGCGGGAGTGATTTGGCCGTACTGTTGCCCCGTCGCCGCGAGGTCGTAGTCTCGGGCGCATCCGTCGCCTGAGACGGCTGGCTGGCGGCATGAGGGACCGGGACCGACTGCGGAGGCAGCGCCGTGGGGTAAGTGAGCAGGACGAGGGTCACGGTCTTGGAGATCTGTTTGGAAAAGGTGTTGTCAAACACAAGCGCATAGTTTCCGCCCTCGTTGGCGGGCACGTCGTAGGTGCCCTTTACGATCTTTTCAGCCTCGCATTTGCCGAGCCAGCGGATCTGCTTCAGGCCGAAGCCTGCCAACCGGTCGAGAATCGAGGCGGATGAATTCGATCGCGAGCTTCCGGTGGATGGCAGGTTTTCGGTCGAGTCGGTACTGTGAGAATCTCCGGCCGATAGACCATTGGAGCTCAAGACGGCGGAATGACCGGGATGCTTGAAAATTCCGAAATTGAGGGACTTCTTATGCGGCTGAATGCTCCAAGAGATGGTATGGCCGGGTTTGACATTCACCCAGCGAACAAAGTAGGACTAGACACAAGTAATTATCCATGATTGACTGTCAGCGGAGAATTCGTTTTAACCCTTGGAGATAGGGGAGTCCAGCCAGAGTCTGCAGGTGTCAGTTGCTCCGGAGGGGGGTGGGACTCTGCATGCATTCTCCCCTTACCTTGCTATGGATCTCCAATTCCTCCATGGCCGCCATATTTGCGCGGGGGAGGAAGCAGCCGACACACTAGAGTGGAACGAGGCGGAATTGGTACTTGAAGGAGCCAAGTACACGGAGGAGATAGAACGACGATGGAAAAGAAGAATGTTTTCGATTCCCAAGGAGGGCGATGAGGATGCGTGGCCGGAAAGGACGGACAAGAGGTGGGCGAGGCGCGGCTGATGTCAGGTTGGGGAAACAATCGGGACAGGATTGTTGGATTCCCCACTGGCCAAGATCCCGAAGAAGGACAGGGAAGAACACGCCCCGGATAACCGACGATAAAGAACGAAGCCGAGGCCGAACGGGGAGGTGGGGTGGCAGAGACCAGAACGAGAAAGGAGTGAGTCTACAGAAAGAAAGGAGAGGAAGAGGGAGAAATGCGGAGAGCGCGGAAGCTCAGGGAGGCTCCGCGGGAATCACATGGCGAGTTCAGCCGCACCCAACTTTGAGCCTCTGCAGGGCCGAGGATTACAAGAAGTCATTCGCTTGTGCTTTGCTGCTGCATCTTTTGATTTCGTCCCAAGAAAAAATAAGAATAATAAAGGAAAAGGAAAAGGGAAATACTGGTGACAGGGGAAAAACATCAATCACCAAGCAATCAACACCATCCGAAGCCATGAGCATCAAGAAATATTACAGTATACAGAAGAGTAAATAAGAGAATCATCCCCTTTCCCCGTCGCTCAACCCCTATCTGCGTTTACCCGCCTGCATGTTGGTAAACATCAGTTTGAATCCATTGCAGAGCGCCCGCATGTCGGGGTAGGGATTGCGTTGCAGTTCGTAGCCCTGAGGGATCACCTTCACCGGCCAGCTGTGGAGCTGGGCGTTCTCTCCGGCCTTGAAGCAGAGGAAGAAGTAGCCGGCGTGCTTGGTGTCGATACAGAAGGAGTAGGCCGACCGCTTGGGGTTGGCTTTGGTGTAGGTCTCTAGCCAGGAGTCTGCGCACATAAGGTCAGTTCCCAAGTCGGGTAAACAAGACGATCGAAAGAACTAAGAGGAACTTACAGGTGGCATCCTTGCTACCCTCCTGGTACTTCTCATGTAGTACCATTTCGTCCACCTTCTTGGCCATCGCCTTGACGTGGTTGAAGATCAAATCATCCAGATCGCTGTAGGTGTATCGACCGCCCACCTTCAGAACGCGCCCGACGGAGAACTCGTTCTCCTTGTCCAGCTCCAGCACGTCGATATGCTGGAACACGCCGTCCGAGACCTTCCACGTCACCGCCAGATGGTCATGTCCCTTCGAGGACGGCCGGATCACCACGTCGCCCCGGCTCTGCGACCCCAGGAACTCTTCGGCCTGGGTGGAGTTGAAAGGCCGGAACAACGGATGCTTGATAACACGCATGGCGCGCCCGCCGCTCTGGGTCTGCTCCTGCATCGACTCGCGATCCTGATGCTCCTGTCGCTCGTCCCATTCGCCCTGCATGCGATCCTGCACCTTGCCCACCGGTCGGCTGACCTGCTCCTCGCGCAGCGAGACGTTGCAGGTGAAGCTCTTCCGGTTGAGGAAGAGCACCTTCGCCGGTACCGTCTGATGCGGCGAGTATAGGGTCCGCACCGGGATGTCGTATCGATCCGTGAGCTCCGACTCGGGCACGAGGGCGTCGATGCCGCAGTCCAGCTTCCCGTCAATGTGGTCGTCCGACACGCGCTTGATAGAGATGGGCACCACCATGCCCTCGGCCAACGTATCCGCCGTCTCACCCGTGAGCATGGTGAAGATATCGTCCGTACTGAGGAAGACATACTGCTTGCGCAGCTCCTCGTACGGTTGCTGGAGCTCGGCTCGAATCGTCTCCAGAGTGGCTCGTTTGCGCTGGTTGAGGTTCTTCTCCAGTTGCTCGGCATACTCTTCCAGGATCAGGTCGTTCACTCGGTCCTGTGCCTCTTCACGGAACAACTTCCGCACGATCGCACCCGGTCCGTTCTCGTCCGTCTCCGCCTTGATATCCTCCTCGTCCAGCTCCAAGGCATCGGCCGCCATCTTTCGTGCAATGTCGTAGTCTTCCGGGTGCACTCGGGTGTTGTCCAGCGGGTCGGCGTCCGGGTCGGCGTTTTCGAAGTCGATGTACAGGAAACTAGCGCAGTTGTTCCACACCTTCACGCCCATGGCCGGATACTGCGCATTCACGCCCAGCAGCTCTACTCGGTTGTTCACGACGCCGCCGTTCATGTTGACGATCTTGAGCAGATGGGCCGCCTTACGCGGGCCCAGGCCACATACGTAGGGGAGAAGATTTGCGGTCGCCGAGTCAGTGACAGCCTCGTTGATATCCACACCCACCAGATTCACCATATCGACCAGTGCCGTCTCCAGCTGCTTAAGAAGCAATTCCTGACTGACCAGCTGCTGCCCCGGCTTGAACTGGATGGAAACAATATCCCGACCCAAAGATGCATACTCCTTCAACGGATTCTGTAGGTACTTGGCCAATGCGACGCAGTAGTGTGATAGGGGAGCGAAGCTAGGATGATCCTTCTTGGCCCGCTCGCTGTGCTGGTAGAGTCGCGCCACCTCGTCGTTGACAATCACCACCTCCAACCGATCGCTAACCTCGTCATCTCGGTCGTCGGTGTACGGAGCACTGCGCAGGTCTTTCTTGTCGACAACATCGGTGAGAAGCTTATAAAGCCGGCGAGTCTCTGGGGACGATCCCGAGACGCCGATAACGTCGGGCCGGCGTCGACGAACGAGTTCATCAAAGCCTGCGACATCCTTGCCATCGGGGACGCTGCGATCCCGGTCACCAATCGAGAGATCCGTAAATTTCCCGTTCTCTAGCACGCGACCATCTTCTTCCACGTAGGCCCAGTGGATCGGTTCCCGTCCGACAATCCCCGATCCCATGGATAGGGCCAGCACCCGAGGAACGGTACCCAGCACCATGCCCTTGGGCTTGTAAGGGGCTTGGTCTAGTCGTTGGGAGAATGCCTCGCGACATTCCTTCGCCACGTGGTTCTCGCATTCTTGCCGGATGTTTTCTTTCACGCTGCGGTTGATCAGACGCTCCAGCTTCCCCAGGGCCATGTCCAGGACGTCCCGACGGGCGCGGTTCCAAGCGTCCGCGAGTTCACTGTAATTATCGGATTCGATATCGGGGTACAGACGTTGGCGGAAATTGTCGAAGTGGTCAAAGCGAACCTTCACCTCCACCAGACCTTCCTCTTCGGCCTTGAGCATGCGGAGGTACAATTCCGGTCGACGGGCGATGTCGCTAAGCTGCTGGTTGCGCAGGTATTTGAACTCGTAATACGGATGCTGTTCATCAATGCGTCGCAGGCCCTTCTCGGTTCGGAAGCAATCGACGGCGCCGTTCATGTAGTAGGCCTGTCGGATCACCTTACGCATCTTGGGGCTGACGACAATCTCCTCGGCAAACATGGTTTTGGCCGCTTTCAAAACGTGGGATGAATTGGAGAAGTCATTGTCCACCAGCCCGTCGGCCATTTCGTCGGGTCGATCGACTGGATCTTCTGTATATTGTCGGCGGCCCTCTTTGAGAGCATTCTGTGCGAACGCATCCGCAGAAATACCAAATGCGCGCACTACTCCGTAGGCCTTTCCGTTCCTGACACGCTCGAAGAAAGTCTTGCTTGATGCCTTCCGTCGTTGCGTCTCGCCAGTGGCTTCGCCGTTCGTCAAGGCCATGTCTCGCAGCTGAGACGCATATTGGAAGTGAATATAGTCTTGCACGTCTTGAAGCTCCTCCATGGTGACGGCAGCCGGAAGCATCTCCTCTACTACCGAGTCGTTGACCTGGAACAGGCTCTGCAGGTTGTCGTAGGCCTTCTGAATCGTATTCCGTTTGTCCACAAGAGCCTTGAACTTGAGGTCATGGTCGAAGATATCCCAAAGATCCGTCATGTTCAGGAGCTTTTCCGCCTTGGTGGTGAACTGCGAGGCATCTGCATCGTAACCGGCCCCGTCCACGGGAACCTTGACGGCGTGGATCATATAGTCTTTCCGGTGCTGGAAGATGAAAGGAACTTCCCAGTCGTCTGTCACCAGGAACTCCAGAACTTTAGCAACCGAGCGTTGGAAGGGTTCCCGGAGCTCGGGCTCGAGGCGCTTTTTCAAGAGCATGAGGTTCGAGATCCAGGCCGCCTCCTCGCGGAATTGCTCCTCGGTCAAAGAGACATCACGGTAGGGCTTGCGAGCAATCTGGTGTCGTTCGGGCTCGTCTAACAGACGGATTTGGTTATCCTCCTCAGTCAACATCTTTTCGGCCAGCTGCGACGGTTCGAAGACATCCTTCAGATCCAGGTGTTTTTCCTCATCCACTTCCTGCTCCTGCTCTTGGTCTTCCATAGCCAGGGCAAAATAGTAGTCGTCTCCATCTCCGAACGCGGCGCGCATATCCTCGAGAGCGTTCTCATCCAAGCCCGTTGCATCGGTGGTTCCCAAGTTAGACATGAAGTTCTTGGGGCGGGCGATTTCCAAATCCTCTTGTTCCCGCTGGCCCTCTTCATCCGAGAAAACATCTTCCTCGATGAAGTCATCCATTTCATCGTGCATCGGCCTCCGATGGCCGGGCCTGCCATAATCGCCCGCCGGCTCCTCTTCGTCATCGGAGTTGAAGATGTCATTGATGCCCTGAGATGGTTGCCGAGAATCACCGCCTTTGTGACCACGCTTTAGACGCTTGAATTTGGACTGCTCCAAACCAGAGAAAATTAGCCGCGTTGCTTTCTCCCCCGGGGATTGCCTCTCATCGCCCAAGAAAGTACATAGAAAGAGACTGGTGGCGATCTTACCTCGGCAGCGGCCGGGGGTGGGCGTCCCGGGTCAAGCTCTCCGATAAGCTCCAAATCTTCATCGTCCAGATGCTCATCCTCGCGCTCGCGTTCTTCCCTTCGGCGCTTCTTTCTTTCCCGTCGCCGCTCTGCGCGTTCTTCGAGCTCCTCATCTTCGTCGACGATGAAACCTTCGCGAACCTAGCAAACGGAGGATAGGTCAGCAGCAGGAACTGGGTAGATTCAAACACCGCGTGGCTTACTGCGCGAGCGGCCTCTTCGTCGTCATCCTCGTCTTCGTCTTCTTCACTCGAGTCGTTGTAGTGATTCGATTTACCCGCACCCTGACGGGCGCCCCCTTCGTAGTCATCGGCGAGCTCCTCCTCATTTTCATCATCATCCAGCATCGCCTCCCCCTCGATTAGGTCACGGGCGCTCATCTTGGGGGTTTCCGGGCAGAAAAGGTTCGGGATGTAGGGAGAAAAAGATCGTTGTTGTCGAAGTGAACAAAGGAAAAAGAGCAAGGATAATCAAAGACCGCGACGGGATCCACCACCGAGACCAGCAGCAGATATTATTCCCAGCACAGAGAGCTCGGATAAGAGAAGGGAGAGGATTGAGAGGGAAGAAAGAGAGAGAGAGAGAGAGGAATGGATGCAGAACAAGAAGCGACGAGCGACTTGAGCGAGGCTTGCGGCCGGAGCCGTGGCGCAGCTGCTCTCACCGCCCGCAGGTGTGGCTGAAGACGCGACGTCACGTGCAGGGACGGATCAGGTGATTCTTCGTTCAATTCGCCGGGAATAAACCGAGGTGTTCTACGCAGTAAACAATATCTATAGTTCCAAAACTCTACATTATACAATACACAAACTAGACAAACACTGGGATCAGCTCGAGACGGTCAGATTTGGCGTCTGGGAGCGGCTGGCGCTGACGTTAAGGGTGGATGATTGCTATCAATAGTTCTTTTGACTATTGACTTTTCTGTCATCCGTAGTTACTCCGTAGGACTCCTGACGTTCTCCGCCCACCGTCTGCTTTATCTTCGGCCGCCGCTCCGTTGTATTGCTATTTGATCATTGTCTAGCCGTTCAGAGGGAGTGACTCGAAGAGGTTTGAGGGAAAGAGTACCGAGTAGAGAGTAGAGTAGAGAGAAGAAAGAGAATCAAGAGAGTAAAGAAAACTACCCCACCTGCAACTGGCGTTGGCGCCGCATCTCTCAGGCCCTCAGGCTCCCAGGCGCTCAGCGCCCAACCCACCTGGTTTGTCTCACCAGCGAGTCTATTCTTCCTCCGTCCCATTAATCAGTCCGAACAGGGCATTGTCGGCGCATCTGTTCCATCGTCGGCGCCTTGCATTTTTCTTTCCATTTTTTTTTTCTTTCTCGCTCTCTCTCTCTTTTAAATCCATCCCGTCTCCCTCTCGATCCCCTCTCTCCCCCTCTTTCCCTCCCCCCTCCTCCTTCTTCTTCCCTAACCCAAGGGACACGCAACCTGCAACCATGGCCGACCAATTCAAGGCTCGTACGCTAAAACGCAAAAATGTCAAGGGTCTTGCCCTGAACGCCGCCCCGAAACCGTCGGCCAACGCCTCTGACGGCGATGCCCAGGCTCCCGGCGCCGTCGGAAACAGCGAGAACAACCGAACAACAGACACCCTGGAAATTGGACTGGAATTCCGACTCGACCTCCGCAGTGAAGATTTGGTGACTCTGAAGGAACTGGGCGCGGGAAATGGCGGGACGGTCTCCAAGGTTATGCATGCCTCCACGAAGGTCGTGATGGCCCGAAAGGTATGCGCCGCACTCCGGGTGGATTAGACCGCATGAAAGCCGGCTCACTCACTCATCACAAACGCAGATCATTCGAGTCGATGCCAAGGAGAAGGTGCGCAAGCAAATATTGCGGGAGTTGCAGGTCGGACATGACTGTAATTCCCCGAACATCGTCACTTTCTACGGTGCCTTCCAGAATGAAGCGAGAGATATCGTCCTGTGCATGGAATACATGGATTGCGGGTAAGTAGACAGTTGGACGTTGCCGCCTGGATTGAGGACTCTAACCGTCGGGTTTCTCTAGTTCGCTCGACCGTATATCCAAGGACTTCGGTCCCGTCCGGGTGGACGTGCTGGGCAAAATCACCGAGTCGATTCTGGCGGGTCTGGTCTATCTGTACGAGGCTCACCGCATTATGCACCGCGATATCAAACCGTCCAACATTCTCGTCAACTCGCGGGGAAACATCAAGCTGTGTGACTTTGGCGTGGCCACGGAGACCGTGAATTCCATCGCCGATACGTTCGTCGGAACTTCGACCTACATGGCGCCCGAGCGGATCCAGGGCGGTGCGTATACGGTGCGATCAGATGTCTGGAGTGTGGGATTGACGGTGATGGAATTGGCCGTGGGCCGATTCCCCTTCGATGCGTCCGATGCGTCCGCCGGGGACCGCGCCAGTGCCGGACCCATGGGTATCCTGGATCTTCTGCAGCAAATCGTGCATGAGCCCGCCCCCAAGCTACCCAAGAGCGATGCATTCCCTCCCATCCTGCACGAATTTGCGGCGAAATGTTTGTTGAAGAAGTCCGAAGAGCGGCCGACGCCCCGAGAACTATATGTACGATGCCCCTGGGTTATATCTCTCCCCTGTGTTCCTCTCCGCTAACACCTGAATTCAGGACAAGGACGCCTTCCTGCAGGCGGCGAAGCGCACGCCCGTCGACCTGCAAGAATGGGCCATCAGCATGATGGAGCGACACAACCGGAAATCCTACTTGGCTCCGGCACCGCCCAAATCCCTCAGGGAGGAGGCCTCGCAACCCAATCCCAGCCCGGCTGCTGCCCCCAAACCCGTGTCCAGCAAATCCTCTCGCACGCCGCAATACCCCCCCTCGTCCGGCGATATCCCCTTGAACATGCCTGCCGAAGTGTCCTCGTCCCATTCCCGCCACTATCAGTATCCTTCCAACCCGTCGCCGCGGCCCGGCCGGTCCAACCGGTCTCCGCTTCTCTCTCTGGAGCACTTGTCCCTGGAAACCAAAGACGACGAATATCGCTCCGGGCGTCGTCCGTCGCGCGCACACCTGGTGGATCCCATCTCCGCCGTCGATGCCCCCGCGCGACCTTCCATGAGCTCCCGCTCGGCCAGTTCTCACAACACCAAATCGCGGATGCCTCTCCAGTCCTCGACGCACCCGGTTCGCGCCGCACCACCGCCCAGCGGACCTCCGCCCCCAGTGCCCACATCCAGCGGAGCATCGTGGCAGCGCCAGCCCGGTTCGATGCGCGGCAACCACATGACGGGGGCCGTCTAAACCAGTGGACTTTTGGCTTTATCGATATCATCCACTTGGCTGTCAATGAACATAACCTCCCCTTTTCGCCTCTTTGCCGCCAGCCTGGCCAGCGATTGAACCTTTTATCTCCTCGCTCCTAGAGCCCTCCTTCATCTGTCGTTCTTCTCCCTCAAACGTGTTGATCTGCTACGTAAGCCCTTTGTTCCATCCTAGAGAACGAAAAATGATCGGCCTGTTTCTTGCGCCGTGGACCCACCCCATCCCTATTCCTGATGATTTCTGCATCGGCAAGGCGTCTTCATTCTCCCTTTTGGCTTATCTGTTATTTTATCTTTGTGCTTTGTGTCTGGTCATTTCTCGTCTGTTACGCCGCTTTGTGTTTCCTGTCTATGTTGGTTCCAATCACAAATTGTCTTTGGTCGACGCCAGTATTTTGTCAGCTCAGATGTCATCTCGAGGCTGGAACTCTTGCATCTGAGTCCCATTTGTTTGATTACGGATTTCCCCTGTCGATACAAAGCGCAGAATCAGAATATACGAATGTTTTTTTTTTTTTTTTTTTTTTTTTCTTTCTTTCTTTCTTTTGGTTTGATATCATGTAGATGTCGAATTCAGCGAGCACTACCAACGTCGTTTCTCGGATAGATTTTTGCGCGTGAGGGATGGTAGGAATGGAGAGAGACGAATAAAAGCGAAGAAAGGAAAAGAAAAAGACAGACAGACAGACACCGCACCGAATCATGCACAGGAAAAGAAACGACACCGGTCCACGCGAGTAAACAGCCAAGCAAAAAAAAGAAAAGAAAAGAAAAGAAACCCGTGAGAAGAACATCATGTCACAGAAACCAAACAGCAAGAAGCAAATCAGACACCGTATACTGTAGTCACACCCATACAACAGTTTCGATCAATCGTTCTACAAAAAAGACCTTTTGCATCGTCCCTCTGCACCCGATTCCAGCGACACCCACGGGAAGATTGAGAAAGTCGAGAGACAATAAAAAGTAGTAATAAAAGGGAGAGATATAAAGAGACAGTTATAGAAAGGTAAGAGGGAAAACGTCAACAAGAAGAGAGTTATTTCGTCGCCAATTCTTGCCCGGGGCCGGGAAGAGGAGGCGCGATGTTGGGCCGCGGAGCCAATTCGACCATCGCCGGCGTCTTTCCTCCTCGACTGGTCGTCGAGCCTCCGCGGCCAGCGACTCCTCCGCCTCGACCATGCGATGTAGGACCACCTCCGCTCGGTTTGTCCTGTTCCGCTTGCTGACGAGCCGCCTTGGTCCTCGGCCGCCGCGGGTTGCCTCCTCGCGACCCGGGACCACGCAGAGGAAGGCCGGTTTCCTGCGATATGGGAACGGCGGCTGCCAGGGGCACTTGATGCTGGGTGGTTGGCGGTCCTCGTCCACGACCTCCGCGTCCGCGGCCACGACCACGTTTGATTGTACCGTCGGCGCTGTTGAAGAAGAACGTTAGCATTACCTCCGACGCAACCACGAGGTCTGATATGGGGAATCACGTACCGTTCCACCTGCACTTTCTCCCCCTCGGGCACCAGAGGTCCACTGTATACGAAAAACCCATCTTTGCTGGCCGCGGCCTGTTCCTGCCAGGCTAACTCGCTGTCGTCCACGAAGGGATCGTCTCGGTCGTACTCCTCCATCTTCTTCTTGCGGCGTTTCTTCTTCCCCTCCGCAGCCTCGGGTCCGTTCGTGCGAGCCGCCGACGTGCCCAGCGCCCCCTCCCCTTCCAGATCGCTGTCACGATCCATTTCGAGGCTCAGATCCTCGTCTGCGCTCTCTCCAGCCGAGACTCCGCGGCCTGTCTTGTCATTCCGTTCCAACGCAGCACCTGCCGCAGCCACGCGGGCCAGTCGCTCCTTATGGGCAGCAAGACGGGGATGTAGTGCTGCAAACCCATATTGCTCCTCCGCTAGACGAGCAAAATTGACAATTCGATCGCCATTGCCCTGCAAGGGGATATGCAGAACGATACTAGGTGTGCGCCGCGAAGAGGGGTCATCAGAGGCTGCCCCATCGCCCATGCCGAAAAGCGCATTGGAGATCAGTCCGGAACCTTGGGGTAGCGGGGGCGGGGCTTCTTTAGCTCCGCGAGCAGGCTTCGGCGATGAAGGGTCGGATGACGGCGCCGTTGGAGGAGCTTTGTTTTCCTTCTTGGGAGCCTTGACCTCGGGGGAACGAGCAGGAGGATCCGCGTCGACGTCCATGGGAGTCGGCTCAGGCGATGGCGCCCGATGATTATTTGACGAGACCGGCTGCGAAGGCTCCGGCATCGACGGCGGGATCGCCGGCGCAGGCTGGGGCTGCGGCGACTTGTTGGGAGGCGGAGATCGGTGGGAGGGCTGCGGCGGTTGCGGATTGGGCGCGTAGGGTGATCGATGAGCATAGGGCGATACTGGCTGGTGTTGAGGGGGGTGTAGCGGCGGAGGCGTAGGCGCGATTACCGGCGTGACAGCCGGGGAGGGAGAGTAGGCCGAATGACCATGTCGGGGAGAGACATACGGCCGGGGAGCATAGAGCGGCGGCGACGAATTCGTCGGGGGATCGATTATGCTGGCAATGGCCGGGGACGCACTGGCGCGGAATGGTGGTTGCGGCGACAGCGGGCGCGCCGAAGGGCTGAAGGCAGAGCTAGGAACCGGGGTCGAAACCGGAGCAGGAGCGGGACTGGCCGTGTCAAATGCCGAACGAATGGGATCAAAATTCTGGCCACTAGTCCTGGTCGGCGGCGGCGGCGGCGGAGGTTGAGATTGAGGGCGCGGGGGCGGCCCTACGGGAGCCATCGTATGATAGGAGACCGCCGGCACCGGAGCAGGAGGGGGTGGCGTGGGGTGGGACGACGGCGGTAGCGACGCGGACGACTGCAACGAGGGGGCAGGTCCTTGGTGCAGGTGGGATTGGTGGTGATGGCTGGGAAGGGCAGAGGCCGGGGGAGGAGCCGGAGGACTGGCCGCGGGGGTGGTAGGAGCTGGAGCTGGGGGAGCTGGAGCTGCCGGGGGAGTTGGAATTGGAGCGGGCGCAGGGACGGCAGCTTTCTGCTCTGGAGACGTCCCCTCCAGCTTGGGCTTCTTGCGAGAATGGGACGCAGAATTCGTCGACGACTGAGCGTTCGGCGTGGACACGGATTTATCGCGTTGGCGCCGATTGCCCCGTTTCGACTCCTTCTGATCCGGGCCGTCCTTATCCTTATCGTTCTCCTTGTTGCTGTCCTTGTCCTTGGTTTTATCCTTGTCTTTCTCTTTCTCCTTCTCCTTCTCCTTGGATTTGGTGGCTTTGGTTTCCTTTCGGTCGAGATCTCCCTCGTCGTCCTTCTTGCGACGCGACCGTCGGGGGCGAGATTCACGGGGTTGGGCGTCGACGAGAGAACGCGGGTGGTGATCGTCCTGAGCCGGCCAGACGGACGGCTCCGGGGACATGATGGAGGGAGACAATTAGGGTGCGAGCATCGAGATCGTGACGATGGAGGATATGAACAGTGGCGAGGTGGAAATGAGTGGCCGGCAGGAACGCGATTTTTGATGGATCGATGCGAGGGTTGAGCTGTCGGGAAAATAGACTCCAACACACAAAAAGACGGGAAGAAAAGGGAAAAGAGAAGCCGGAAAAACGAGAGCGAGAAGGAAAGAAAAACACGACTGGATGGAAGAAAATGGAATGGAAGGATGGGAGGGGATGGGGAGGGACAGGAGGATGGAGGATGGAGGATGGAGGATGGAAGTCGCGGAGGAAGAGAGAAGAAAACACGAACGGGAAAAGGAGGAGGAAAGGAAGGGAGGGAAGGGAAGAGTTGAATCTGGACGAGAGGGAGGAAGCGATGGCAGAACAGCAACCAGAAAACGAAAAAGAAAAAGAAAAAGAAAAGAGACCAGCAGGAGGTCACGGCGAGAGGGGAAGGCAGCTGATTGATGGATTGATGGATTGACGGAGCGATTAATTAATGGCTTGAGTGCTGGAGGTTGATTCCTCATAGATTATCATCTCGTCGCATCTCGTCGACGGTTACATACTCCGTCCATGCGGTGGGTGTTCTGCAGGGCGGGAGTTACAGGGAGGTCTCGAGGGTACATCGATACCAGCCAGGCAGACAGCATTTACAGACTCTTTCGAACCGCACTCTAGATCTCCGAATCTCTGGATCTTCCCAAGTTCTACCGCAGTTCCTCCGTCGGATCCTCGCAGTCTCGTTTGATATCAAAGGCGAAATCAGATGATCCGCCCTTCCCCAATCGGGCACATTCATCAGGTGATGGCGCTATCCCCCGTCGGGACTAGTCCGCCTCCATTTAGCTTTTGAGCCGCATGCTGACTCAGCCCTTAGGTCATTCGGTCCCCGCGCTAGTCCGCCTCGGGATAGCTTCATTGTCGACCGTTTCGGACATTTCTTCCTCGCATCTTCGCCTGTCCGCGCGTGCTCAACATGGCGTTCCGTGGTCAACGTTTTGTATTGGATCTCGATGATGAGGAGGACCAGGCCCCGCCGGTCATTGATCCTCAGGATTCCTCCTCGTTCTCCCTGCCTGGGATGATCGGCGAGATCCGCGAACGTGAGCCGACAGCTGCCCCCGCGCCTCCGAAGCCTCCCTCCGCCGGTTTCCCTGCACATCGTCGTCGCGCCAAACCGTCGGCTTTCAAACAGCGACGAGATGCTCCTTCCACAGCCCCAGCCCCGGCTGCATCGGTCTCCGGTCCGGTTGACGAGAAGACGGAAATCGGGCAAGAAAACAGTCGCCACCTAGCAGCCATGTCCGCGGATCAAATCCAAGCCGAGCGGGAGGAGCTGCTGGAATCCATGGACACGTCCCTCTTGGAGAAGTTCCTTCGCAGAGCTCGCATCGATTCTCCAGAGGAATCCTCGACTCCCCGGCCAGGTCCTTCTGCATCATCTCCCCCGCCGACGACACGCTCGACAGAGCCCACGCCCTCTCAACAGGTCCCATCTGCTCCCAAACCCACCATCAAGCCTGAATCTGCGCCGCGCAAGGACCAAGACAAGGCAACTTCTCAGCTCGACGACCGAGCTCCGACACATCTCCCCGACGATCTACACCCAGCGTCCGAATTTCCCACCGACGGGGCGGTCCACTTCCCAACTCCGCCCTCCCAGTCGTCCACCATGCCCAACCTCGACCCATCATCCCCCTCATTCCTCTCCGACCTGCAAAAGCACTACTTCCCCAACATCTCCCACGACCCGTCCGCTCTCTCCTGGCTCAAGCCCCCCTCTGCGGAAGCCGACGCTCCCGACGCCGAGTCCGCATACCACCCGGCCAGCGAAGCTCAAGCCGTTCATCCCGCGAATCTCCGTTTCTCCTTGGTCGGCACCGTCCTTTCTCCCAGCACGTCGCTGGCGCTGCCCACGACCCTCGGCCTCCACCACCACGGCAACGACCCGCACGCCGCCGGGTACACGATCCCAGAGCTCGCGATCCTCAGCCGCTCCTCGTTCCCCGCGCAACGGTGCGTCGCCTGGCAAGTGCTGGGCCGGATCCTGTTCCGTCTCGGAAAGGGCGAATTCGGCGAACGCGGCAGCACGCTGGTCGAGGGACTGTGGTCCGTCGTCGAGCAGGAGCGCGTGGTTGCCGGCATGCTGGCCGAGGCGGACGGGGGGTCATCCGACACGAAACGAGATAAGGAGCAAAAGGCAGCCCCAGGGCCCTCCGGAGTTGGCAGCGGTATCGGTCGTCACGCAAGTGCCAAAGCGTGGGCCGTCGAGGGAGTGTGGCTCTGGCAGTCGGGAGGTGGTGGAGATCGAGGGATTCTGAAGGAGGGAGAGTTTCGATCGCAATAGTCTCTTTTCTCTTCCTTGGTATTTTTCTTCTGCCATGTCTCCTTTAGTGGCTTTTTAAAAGGCAAAAGTGTAATTTAAGGCTGGCCTGGCGACGTATGGCGCATGGGGATGGTCTATTTATTACCACGTAGTTAGTATTCGCCGTGATGAATGAAATGACCAAGTTTATGTTTATACTTTAAGACGATGCCTTGAGATAAACTAACCCCTCTATGTTATATTGATATTCAACGCAATCAATTACCAGGCATCGACATAACTAATCTACCCATACACGACAGAACGCCTAATCGTAATCATAATCCTCGAACATAGCATGGCGCATTGTACATACAGATTCGCAAGCACAACAAAAAAACAAGAGCCAGAACATCCATCCATCAAGCACAATCCCCGACCTGAATCCCCCAGATCTTCCAGCGAATTTCCTCTAAAAAGTCGCGTCGAAGCCACGGGCTATCCGACTGTCTTGCCGGGAACGAACCCTCCGTCTCCTCGTCCGTTGTTCGCGCTCGGTCGTCCGACTCGCTTTCAATCCAGCTGAACAGAAGTCGAAGCTGCCAGATGCGGTCGCGGACCTCGTCGGGGTCTGCGCCGCGGCCCAGCATGGCTTGGATCATATTCTGCGCGGTGCTTTCGATCACGAGTCTGCTGTCGACCGCGGATTGGCGCAGCCAGGGGGCGTAGGATACGGTGCTTAGGTTGGATGGGCGGGCGCGTGTGGGGAACGACGCCGGTAGCACCAAGGCCTTTTCGCGGGCGTCGAGTCCTTGAAGGGATTTCAGGTTGAATACCCATTCCCACATGCTTTGCGCGGGCGAAGGAGGCGTGCGGCTGACTGTGCCTGACGTGAGCAAGGCGTTGAGGTTCGGCCATGCTGCCGGTGGCAGGCCCTTGCCTTGGTTTGATATCGACGTGGATGACGGGAGCACGTCCTGCGCCTCTCCATGTCCGGCGAGGGTCGAGACGAATACCGACGAGCCTGTGGGGTTGTAGTTGGTCTTGCGTCGAAGGTAAACAGACTGGTCGCCGAGACGGAATTTCTCGCGGAGGATGGGGTTGTTCGTGAAATCAAGCACCAGAGGCCAGAAGTCGGCACTGCTGACCTCGACTTTAGCAATGTCTCCCAGGTCGGGCAGCAGGCAAGGCGCGGCAATCTTGCGGCTTTCGCCGTTCAAATCCGTCAACGTGATCGGGATGGAAATAGGACGTCGAGAATCAATGTCGCGAGGCACCAGGCAGCGAGGCTCGGCAGCAAGAACCCATAAGTGACGGAATGCCTGAAGGTGGCATTTGTTGTCAAGCACCGTAGTCGGGAAAATCGGATACAACGAGCAGATGAGTGAGGCGATCGCTAGATCGGAGGTCCCCAGGGTGTAGCTCCCTCCACCCAAGAACAGTAAACCGACAGCCATGTGTGATGCCATATGACTGCCGTACGGCGTCTCGGTGTCTACACGACCATGCAGAGAGCGCAGACGTCGGAAGATTGCCAGGTCTCCAGTCCCGGCCATCACTGCCGCTGCTGAGAGCGCAACAACGTCTTGACAGTGTCGAACCGAGTTCCGCGCGAGCTTGCCATCGTAATTCACCACGGGTAACCTGCAGATGCGGATGAATTGATCTAGGTAGGACAGTAGGAGATCTCGCACTGCAGTCTGCGCGGAACCAGCGTAGCGGAGACCTAGAGTGAAACAAAGACCGGCGATGATGTTGAAAAAGGGCATGTCGTCGCTCTTCAGGCGCCGGACACCAGCTAGACGATAACGCCGACGGTAAACCCTTGGCAAGCTCTGAATAAACCATTCATCGCTGGCTTGAATACTGTCCCACATGATGATGTGCCGGGCAAGGGTGCGAAGAAGGAACAAGTCTGGCCGAACATAGTCAAAACGCACGGTCGTATCTGGTATGTTAATCTTCTGTGCCAGGATCTCATCATTGGTCTTCATGAAAATGATTGCCAGGGCAATCGTCGCGCCCGCAGTAGCCCGGTCGAGTATATGGGCCATATCCACGTTCTTGGTTCCCACCGCGACAGCCAGTAGCCTCTCCACGATGTGCATATCTCGCATTCCTCTGAGGTCCTTGCCCTTACCCAAGTTGATGAAACCAAGCGCAAAGCCAGCAGCCAAGCGGTAGCCTTCGTCGCGCAGATCCCCGTGCGATGACGGAGATCCCTCTTCTTGTTCCACGTTTTCGATCTCCGACAACATGACTTCACTCATTCTGCGATGCTGCGAATTACAGTAGAGCAGGCCGATTCCCATGATTCCCGCAGTCTGCGTCAGCGGAGACAGATTGAGCTCGGCCGCACCAAGAGGAAGCATTCTTGTGACGTGCACCGATAACAGACGAGTGATCAGGGTATCCATTGTACCAAGATAGGATGCGGACAGGCCAAGCAACAGCCCAATGGAGGTCATTGTATGCTTTGGTGTCAAATACTTGAAAGCTACCCATTTGGCCAAAGATTTGAGATGTCCGTTGAGGCCTAGTGCAAGCAGGAAACCAGCGTGCCTGTTCGTAAGGTCCTGGGGCTTGTTAAAGAGGATCCACGATGTATCTATTCCCTTGGAGTTCCTCGATATAGCAAGTCCTGTTGAGACGCCATTATGGAAGAAGGCCCAACATACTTTCTCCTCGCTGAATGAAGCCCGGTCGGCGCTGACGGTCACGTTTGAAGGCTTCATAACGCATTGCAATGAGAACGACGGAATCGGTAGTTTCTCGGTCAACAGAGGTAGGCGTCCGCTGAAGGCTAGCATAGCCCGGCCAGTGGGAATTGACAAGGTTCGTAATGTCACAAGCTGCACCACTTCTTTCTGTGCTTCGAGGAGGTCCGAGTCAGTCCATTCAGGCTCAGGGGCACACTCTGCTATGGGGGCTTTAGATTGGTTTAGTAGTCTAGCAGCCTCGATAAAACGCTTGTCTTCACGGAAAATCAATCTCGTTACGGAGAATCTATCCGCTTCAGCGGACGCCTCAAAAGAGTTGATCGCGTCGATATCCAAAGCTGAGGTTCCGATATGATGGAAGTCACGCATTGCCTCGTGGGACAAGATAGGCTGCAATGGCGACGACGGGGGCCCATGGTTGTTGGTATGCATTGAGATGCTTAGATCTTCCCGGTCGATAAGTTCCAATAGCGTCGAGCTCCACGACGTGGAAGCATGCATTTGTGACTTCATGATAATCTCGTACAATGGCGTGGCAACTCCTTCGGGCAAAGTCTCAATGATGCTTCTAGTGAATCCCCAGCGATAGAGGAGCTTGATGCGCTCGAATGCCGTTGATAGGTTGTGCACCTCCGAGAGAAATCCATCCAAAGCCAGAGTCCTTGGGGTCAGGATAAAACATTCTTGCCACAGGCGTCCCTTCCGAGACGTCCGGTCGGATGCAGTCACCAGGCTGAGAAGCGTAAGGAATCGCGATGAGTGTTGTCGCCATGCACTCTCAACATGAGAGAAGATTGAAGGGGGTTGGAACGGCTCTGGGGGTACGTCCAGCGTGGAGATTTGGGTGTTCTCGAATTCCCAGCGGTCTATGCTGGACATCTCCATGCCATAATATGAGCCTTCGGCCCATGTCCAAGATTTCCACCCCAGCCATCCACCAATTTGAGCCAACACAGGGGCCAGGAGTCCCAGGGATTTGCGCGACAGTTCGTTCTCGCAGATGGAAAGCTTCTGTTCTTCTCGGAGAAGATGCAGGCCTACCAGGATCGTACACAGAGCAGCGCGACGTGAACTTTGGCTATAGGAAAGCGCTGTTGGCAGATGGCCATCGTTTCCCACAATCGCCGCGCCCTCAGGCGTTTGCAGGAATTCCCGAGTCAAGGCTGCACATCGAAGCAGATAGGTGTTCTTGCGACAGGTGGATCGGTTTGTGTTTTGCTGTTCGGTTTTCGAGGCTCGTTTTCCGAAGTTCGCATTCAGAGCATCTTCGGCATCTTGCTCGACAATCCATCCCCAGGAGCTATTGTTCATCCAAGGGGCCACGACTCCAGCATAAGCTGATTCCTGGTCCAGCATTGTTTCCCAGCTTTCCAGGTCGACATAGCTTCCGCTACTTGACCGCAGCAATCGTTTCTTTCTTCGCGTCGGCTTTGCGGGCGCTGGTGCCTGTTCGTTCTCGATGAAAGGCACCGCCATTGCAAACAGCACAATGACCAAACTTGTCCATTCTATATCGGTCTCATTTGTCTCCTTTCCACGAAGCCATTTCACGGTTTCCCACCAAGCGGCTAGCATTCCTTCGCCGGCTTTTTCGGAATCCGGCAGTATGAACCGGAAGACCTTAAAGATAGTCTTCACAAGCTCGTTATGAGGCTCCATCTTAATCTGGAGCTTGTGTCTCCTTCCCAGAGAGTCCACCAGATCGAATTTCCCTTGAGTAGAAGGATGGTCGATCCTAGATATAGCGATGGACGAGTCTGCCATGGTCCGGTTCATGCCACTTTCTCTCGGGCGGCTTAATGTGTTAGACGATATACCGTATGTCTCATATAACATGAGATTCTTAGGAATCTCAACTGGTATAGGATTTGTCCATGGAGTCTGCAAGCATAACTCGGATTTCCCTTTATCCCCGGTGCTTAAGGTCACAATCCGCAGAACCTCTCCATCTACGATCTTGCAGGCATCTTGTACACCGGGGAAATGCTGGATGCCAGTTGCTTGTACCACCAAGGACCGTTCCTCGGAGCTCGATCTCTTTTTTGGCTTCTTAGAGAAGAGAGTGTCTTTTTTAGGATGCGTAACCTTGTCTGCCCTGAGATTGATCACGGACATGGATTTTGCATCTTGGTCCACAACGCAAATGGCCAACGTAGCCGAATTTCCATTGGGTTCATTCCCGGTTTCAAAGGGACACAAGGTAATGATCTTCAGGCGTCGGGACCACTTTGACTGACTCGATGTCTGAAAGGTGCCAGAGAATCGGGACGAGAAGCTCTCGACCTTGGATAGCAAAACCTCTTCGGGGAGACCCGACGCAGACTCCTTCAGGTCCATATTCTCGAAGCCTTCGAATAAGCTTTCATCATTCAACTCCTGTAGAAGTTTATCAACGGGGGCGTCAACAAAGCTGCTTGTGGTGCTGTAAACGGAACCATTTCCCGGCGGTAGAGATCCTCGTGGATTGAAACCAAAGCTGCCTCGCGTGCTACTAGCACCTATCGACTGCCGTAGACCTCCATGAGGGACAGAGCTTGATTGACTTCCCGTCGCAAGATCAGAAAACGTAAGTCTATCTGGGCCGGCCGCAAGGTCGGCTCTGGCGAGCAAAGAGCTCACTCTCCGCGAAGTCTTCAATGGCACTCCGATGTCGCCGAAATCCTGTCCCAGTTTTGAGGCCAGATCATCTTCGTCTGGCTTGCCCTCGACCGAGTATTGAGACTGCGACAGTCCCGGTGTGCTCCAATCGTCGCCTCTAGTTCCCAAGCTCTCCCTAGTAGCAGATGGGCGAGCCCCGGGGGTCGTCGTTCCCGTTGTCATCCCAAAGTGGGAACTTCGTCTTTTTGACCGAGTGCCACCTGTTTCCCGTCTCTTCTTCTTTTGAGGGGGCTGAGCGGTTTCATCCTCCCTGTATCGTGCAGTCCATATGGTATACAGCCCCGTGTTGACATTGACTGTTATCACAATTATCAAAGGGCCAGTGGCTAAACTTCGGCTCGAATGAGAAAGTTCATCCTTAGGGGAAACATATACTATCTCATCTGCGGGATCCAAGGTATCAAACCCAGAAGGTCTACTGTTCAAGCTACTAGCCTGGAGCCAGCGCGACGTCTGGTTGGTCACCACGAGTCCCATCTCGGAATGAGGATCCATGAGCGAGAACACCCTAGGAAGCTTTGCATGTTTAGGCGACCGCGGCTTCAAGCCAGTGCTTTGAACGGGGGATATCGTTAGCGAAGGACGCTTCCCTTTTCCCGTGGGTACTTCTAGAGATTGGGAGGCGCGAAAGTCCGTGATTGTAGGTTGAGACGACATGAACGAATTGGGTGGCGCCATTGGATAGAAACTGGGCTCTTTGCTATTTTTATCTTCTTCCTGGACTTTTCTTTGAAACAGTAGGCCTCGGGGTGTTGCGAACACGGAATCGACCTCAAAGGGAAGAGGAACAACATGGCTGGTGCCCGTTAAGAAGAATATGTGCGCCTGCGACTTGAGCACGACCACCAACGCTCGAGATAGTGTGCTGCCATTTTCACCAGTATTGGTCTCTTGGGCCCCTCGTCCACGAACGCTCAAGGTCACACCTGTGGCTGCAACCTTCGACTCGCCAGGTGAAAGTGGGCTATGCGGACCGCGATTGCGGCCAGGGTCGTTGTTTACTCGGGGCCTTCTCCTTTCTCCCCCCGCCCCTTGTTGAGCTTTACCATCGGACCTCTTGATCTTTCCAACGGAGAAGCATGTCAACAGGGCATGTCGAATCTCTTCTTTCTCGAGGTCCAGCCGAAAGACTCTCTTCACCACCCCCGCACGGGACCAGACCACGCAGCTCTTCGTCCATGTAAGTTCGTCCTCCACTAGGCCATCTGGGCCCTCTTCAACACTTGTTGTCCATTCATAGAGGTTCTGAGATGGGTCCGGGGGTAGGAGCTTTTCCGCGACGAGGAAAGGTATGGCCGAGGGTTCGTGGAGGCCAAGGGAACGGACTGTAGCCATTGTCGGCGCGAAAGCTTAGACGTAGTTGTAGGATCTCCGGCACTGTACGCCATGGGATGCACCCATGACCATTTTCAATTCACGCGGCCAAATCGAATCGAGGTGAGGGCGGCGTTGCGGCGTAAGTTGTTTGGGCACGGAGTGGAATACTCGGAGGTGGGTGGACGCGCGAACGCGGCGGGAGCTTTGAATCAGCTGCTTTTTCTTCTCTCCGCAAACCGTCGCTTCTCCCCTCAAAACAACAACTCACTCTCACCCAACCCTCAGTCTACCACCATCTCTCCTCGAGCAGACTACAGATCAACTCTTCTGATCCGAATCGGCGACCGTCTTTCGCTCAATTGACATTTCGTATCTTTTCTGGGGCCTACACCGTGGGTGAACTGTGGTTCGCCCTTCCTCTTCCCTTCCCCCCGGTGCTCAGCAAAGATCGTTCAAGCGCCATCATCCCTGCCAAATGCCTTCCTTTCCATCTAGACCTCTAGTCCGGCCCAGGGACAATGGTCTACAGCTAAGGTATGTATTTCAGCATGCGCGAGAGGAATGTTGCAACACTAACAAGAATCCTTTCATCAGCTATCAACTTCCTCACCGTGTTTACGCCGCGAAAGGCTACCCCGTCCTCGCCCCAAATGGGTCCTCAGTCATCGTGTATGGCTATGAGAATGGCCTGAAAGTCGTTTGGAGAGGAGGGAAAGCGTTCGGTCCGCTCAAACAACCCGTCGAAAGCCACAAGCCGCAGCAGGTCAACGGTAGCGCGGACGATGCGGTCATGATCATTGATTCCGATGAGGAAGACGTTGTTGAACCTCCCAAAAGCGAATCTCCCACTTTTGAGTTCGAGGATGAAGAACCAGAGGTCGATCCTGCCCACCCATACGAAGGGGTCCTGCGTGAAGTCGATATTCCCCTGGCAAGCAGGGTTCTCGAGTTGGCCGTGCCTCACATTTCCCCTGGGGCCGCACGCTCGTCACTCGACCCTTTTCCTCCAGTCCTGAATGATACCATTGTCATCGCCGCCGTTTGCGCCGACTACTCGACTCGGATTGTGGCTTTGCCTTTGGCCCCTCCTCATCCCTCCAAAACCGATGTCGCCTCGTGGGTTCAGACGCTCTCGATCAGCGGAGGCGTATCGCATCAAGAGATCCCCCGTGGAGTGAGCATCACTTTCACTTATCAGGAAACCGAGCAGACCGATGAATTGCCCAGGACTCGAAGCCGTGCAGCATCTCGATCCAAAGAGACAGGCAGGTGGGATCTTCTTGTGGCGACTCATTCCGCGGAATCGTCTGGTCTGCTTATATTACATCGCATCCACATTGCGGAAGGATCAGGAGCTCACCGATTCCTTGATGACGAGATTGAGACCAAACGTCGCTACCTCCCGACCCCGGCCAAGAGCATCTCGTTCAACCCATCCTCTTATCCATCCCCTCGACACTCGACATTGCTTGTTGCGTTCCACAACGGGTGTGTCAAGATCTATAACTGCTTTTCCACAAGACCTTCCAGGGCCTCGCGACGATCTTCTGGTCCTCAGAGCGACTTTGAAACGTCCGAGACGGAAGGCAAGTGGCTTATCACTCTCTACCCTGGTTTTGAGGCGTCCTCCGCGCAGCGCAAAACAATCATCCATGCGGAATGGGTGCTTGGAGGGCGTGCTGTGATGGTCCTCATGGCCGACGGCGAATGGGGAGTATGGGATATCGAAGGAGCGGGTCCAGGCACCGCCAAGGGACCTCTCCAGCGCCAGTCCAGCGTCCAGGGGGTAACAGGCGGCTCTCTGACTGCCTTTTCGGTCAGCGGCCGTATTCTGAGTCCGCTCCCCGGGGGCAGTCGAGCTGAGGCAAGCGGATCTTTTGTTGAACAGAGACCGAAATTTGCGCCGTTGACTCCGTCCACGAAACGTGTGCGGGAAGATACACTACTGAAGGGCGCCACTGTCGGCTCGACCAACCCGTCGTTATGTGGCGAGATCTCAGTTTATCAGACCAATTCCTATCGGGATTCTCTCCCCGACGAATCAATCCTACTACGCCATGGCAACCAAGCTGCGGCAATTCCCAGTCTCCTGTCGCTATGGCGGAATGCCGTGAAGACCACGGGGACTTTTGACGCGTCTAACCGCTGCCGAGTCTCTGCCATTCAGGACATTGTCTTGATGGGTGAACATTTGAAGGGCATCGGACATCTCCCTGCTGCCTCCCGCCAAAGCCGTGATGCCCAAGGTGACAGCTTCGATATTCTTATCACCGCCGAACACAGGATCATGATAGTCGCTCCCAAGCTGAGAGAACCTGAACCAGCCCCCATCTCTCGGCTATCAACAAGTCAGACACCAACCACAGAGACTGATCAAGTCATGCTTCGACGGGGCGAGCTTGACGTGGAGGGAATGGACCGGCTTCTAAGCGGCATGACGGGTGGCAATCGGTCTTTGCGCATCGGAAGTCCCACCAAGCGGACGCGGATCTTTTCATAGGATCTTGAACACCTGATATCTCAAGGCCAACACTAGTTGCCGTTCAAGCCGTTCAGCTCTGAACTTTCTGAGCCTGCACCCGAGGTATGGTTGCGAATGTAGGATAAATATGGAGCCTGACCGATCATGGCGATCCAAAGATACCCAATTTGAACATCTTCAAAGTCGTTTCGCCTTCCTTATCCCGTTTCATTCTTTCTCCCTTATACTTCCACATTCGCGCTGCAAGGTGGAGCGCAAGGCGAGGACCATGCCTTGAAATCCTTTCTCCGGAAGGGATAAGCTCTGTATCGGATGCGATATATTGAATGGGCTTAAGCCCTTCCCATCATAGCCAGTTCGCTGGACCTTGTGAGCCATGACGGTGTAACCGTCAACCCTTTCAGCACGTGTTGGATCCCTGTCTGTCCTGTTTCCTCGTCCTGTCGTTGATTCGTCCAAGCCTCGGCGGGATAGATCCTGATAACCTGTGGGCAACTACAGGGACTCATTCTATCCTGGACATGTCTACATCAGTGTCAGTATGAAGGGGACGGGCAGCAGTCAACTCGGAGCTGAACGGGCATGGAAACAAGAGAGAATGGGGACATCTCATTGTAGACGGGTTAATTAGTAGACCTGACCTGTTGCGTGGAATCGTATTCGACGCAATGAAACCTCTGCTTGTTTATCCAGGTAAGGACGCATTTCCCCAAATCGACATTCTTGCCTTGAATCCTGGCCCTTCTTTGCCTGTAATGTAGACACTGTAACCGCACGTGATCCCTGCGGAGATAAGATCTCCTTACATAAGCGCCGATAAGATCGGAGAAGCATCGCGATCCCCGCCGTTCATTATTAATGGAATTCCCCTCCTCCGCAACAGCTGCGCCAGACCATGCCGTGAGAACGAAAGAAATCAGCACTCAATTGACCCTCTATCCTATCCACCGGATCCCAAAATGGCCGAATCCACGAATCCCCCGAAACGGAGTAAGTCCACGCTGTCGCAGAGCATGCATCCCCTCCCTCCACATCCATATCCATCCCACCCTTCAATCAATACAATACCAATCGACGATCCCAAACAACTTCCTAACCTAGAACCAATCCCCCCCCCCAGTCTGGGCCTCCCTAATCACCAACCTCGACTACCTCCCGGGCCTCCTCACCCTCTTCCACTCCCTCCGCTCCACCAACACCCAATACCCCTTCGTCGCATTCTACACCTCCTCCTTCCCAGCAGAGGGCCAAGCCGCCCTGCACGCCCGCGGGATCCGAACCCAACCCGTCCCGAACCTCCAGCCCGGCCAGAGCAGGGAGTACGCGCACGATCCACGCTTCCAGGAGACGTGGACGAAGCTGGTGGTGTTTTCGCTGGTCGAGTATGACCGCATCGTCCTGCTGGACGGGGACATGCTGGTGAGGCGCAATATGGATGAGTTGATGGAGATGGAGCTAGATGAGGGTCAGGGCGAAACCGAGGGCGAGGAGACGGGGAATCGCGTCTTCGCGGCAAGTCATGCCTGCGCGTGCAATCCCCTGAAGAAGTCGCATTATCCGAAGACTTGGTATGCACCCCCTCCCCCACCCCGTGGCTGAACGCTGTCTAGCGACCAGGTGCTCTGAGTCTCGCTAACGCTCACCACGAACAGGATCCCCTCCAACTGCGCCTTCACAACACAACACGCGACGCCCTCCGCGGCGCAAACCTCCGGCGCGCCGTCGTCCACCGGCGTGGGGATGCTGAACAGCGGACTCCTCGTGGTCGTACCATCACAGAGCACGTTCTCCCTGATCCGAGATGCCATGGACACGCCGTCGCGGACAGCGGGGTACGACTTCCCGGACCAGGAGCTGCTCTCGGACGTATTCCGGGGGCGGTGGGTGGCGCTGCCGTACGTGTATAATGCGCTGAAGACGCTGCGGTGGGAGGGGGTGCACGATGCGATCTGGCAGGATGAGCAGGTCAAGAACGTGCATTACATATTTGCGAAGAAGCCGTGGCATGAGGACCCGGTGGCGGAGGAGGCGGAGATGGACGAGACGAATCGGTGGTGGTGGCGGGCGAATTTGGAGCGGCAGCGCGGGGAGCGCGAGGGGGGAATTACCGATGGGTATTGATGGCTACTAGACTATCGGGGCAGGCTGTTTGCTTGTTGTGATCAGGTTTGTGGGTTTGGTTCATCCAATGTATATACAGTAAGTACTTTGCCCCAACTCCGTCGCCGGAGGTGGTTCTTATTTACTTGAAACGCCATGGAATAGACATCAGATGAAAGCACCAAGTCAGGAAGAGTAACCAGCAAGATGACAACAGAATTGGTAGACTATATATACAGCCTATTTAGAGAGAGAGAAAGAAGACAGATGAATAGACATAAAACAAGATCCAAACAGAATATCTAATGCAACACAAATGCGATCTGGGAATGTATCCTAAAGCACAGTTCCCCCGTCTATCCAGTATATCCAAGGGAATCCAATTCCTTGCGCACTGACTCTTCGGTTTGGATCTTCTTCATCTGCGTGTCTTCCAGCTTCTCCCCGCCCGCAAGCCGCATTTTCAGCTCGTCGATCGCCCGGATCTTCTTCAAAAGTCCGCGGATCTTCTTTTCCTGCGCGGTGGGGGCACCGGCGGCGTCGTCAGCGACGTTCACGTTCACGGGCGCAGCCGCCTTGGCCGGAGCTGCCGCACCGTTGGTTTGGTTGTTGGCGTTCTTGCGCTCGGCGTGGTTGGCCTTGGAGCGGTTGTTCTCGTGGCCCTTGTCGCCGCGGCGGTCCGGGCTGCGTGCCGGCGGTGCCGCTTCTCCGTCCTCCCCGTTGGGGCTGATCTTCTTCGCCTCGCGCTTCTTCTTGTTTCTGGCGGCCGACTTGGAGAGCTTCTCGGGCTGGTCGGCACCGGGGGGAAGAGCAACGCCTCCTCCAGGAGCGGCTCCCGGGGGAAGGAATTCCTCAGCGCCCGGCACGTCGCGTCTCCGGGGTTTGCCGAATCCGTTCAGAGAAGAACCGCCGTTGGCGCCATCCCGAACGTAGGCGGCACCGCCCTGATCCTCTCGCTTGAAGGCCAAGGGCGTCGTCTGACCACGAGCGCCGGGAGGACGGTACGCGCCGGCCGGCTTCACGGGCGCCTTCCGGGTGCTGAGATACGCGGCAGCCGAAGGGTGGGGGGCCGGGAGAGGGTTGAACGGATCGCTCAGAGGGTGCTGGGTGGTCGACTGCGGTCTCCAGCTGACGTCGTAGAGCTCGGTCATTTCCTCGTTGTACATCAAAGCCCCGCTGACGTGCCAGAGACGAATTCCATTGTCCACTCTGAGACGAGGGCTGGTGGTGGCAGTCAGAATAAACTGGCCGTCAGGGGACCATTCGCAAACACTCGCGTTCGACGCCTCCACGGTGGTGATCTTGAAGTAGTTCTTCTCGAGGTCGTAGAGGTCCATCTGGCCCGCCAAGTTTCCGAAGCCAGCCACCAAGACGAACCGGCCGTGAGGAGAAAACTGGATGGTGTTTCGAGGGGCCAGGGGGAAGCTATGCTGGGGAACACCACGGAAGTTGAAGATGGTGGTCTTGGCGGGCATGTAACCGTACACAACGCCGAACTCTTTCGAGTTGGGAGACCAGGTCACGTCATGAATGGGGCCCTCCTTGTCTATCAATGAATCAGCACCTGTGGCTCCAGGAACGAAAAACAGAAAACATACCCAGGTCCACACGGGAATCAAATCCTCCGCTAGCACCCAGAAGGTAAAGAGTGGTCTCGCCGTAGTAACTCTTGCCAGAGCGGTCGACGTCGGTCTGTGCAAGCACAATCAAGGTGTTACCGGAGGCATTCCACTTCAGCTGAACCTTGTCGCCCTTGAAGAAGGTCTTCTGCGAGACCGGCGCGCCGAATTGCGGCACCATAAACACTTTGACGGCAGCGGGTTGTCCCTATGGATTCAATTCAATCAGTCAGATGTTGGCAGTCATTGTTTCATAGTTCAGAACTGACCTTGCGCTCGGGGATAAAGACCGCAACCGCTTGGTTCTTTCCGGGCGACAGCGCAAAGTCGCTAACGCCTTCCACGCGCAGCTTGTTCCAGACCTTCGACAGGTTGTCACTTTCGTAGAACTGGACCTCATTGGTGACCACACGAGCGCAATGACGCTCATCAGACGTGTACTGAAGGTTCCAGCCTGTCTGCGACTTCTGAACGTAACTGCCGACGATCGTGTGCTCGTCTCCATTGCTGTCAGCAGGCGTCTCCACCACCTTCCACACCTTCAAGTTCTTGACGGCGTCACCGTTGGCATCCTTGGTGGGGCGCTGCCAGGTAATCAGGTAGGTTCCGAGCGGCGAGAATCCCAGTTCAAAAACGTTGTCGGCGGGGATACTGGTGATGGCATGGCCGACGGAGGGATCAACGATGGTAACCCTGGGAGGCGATCAGTCACGGGGTCTTGTTTCTCTGGCGACTGCGGAAGATCGGCGAGTATGCTTACTTGTCTGGAGACGCCCACGCAAAATACCGGCCGCAGGGAGAATAGGCACTGCAACGGAGGTTCCCCTCAGGTCTGCAGGGTGCATGTAGGTCAGCCAATTATTCGAGTCGTCAGATAGTAAGCGTGGATCCGGCATACTTCTCAAACCCCGACAAAGGCCCATAAACGGGAGCTGCATCAAAGATGCCAATGCCCTTAACAGTTCGGTCTGCGAAATTTCCAAAGAGTCAGTGATTTTGTTGTCGAATGCCGGGCGCATGCTCTAAATGGCTCGAAAACCACTCGAACCCTACTCGAATCGAGGAGGGAGGCGAGGGAGACGAAGGTGAAACGTACACGCAAGCTGTGTAGGAGCAGCCATGTTGACTCTAGTTTAGCCTTCTCTTCTGTGTAAAATCGAGTTTATCAAAAAGTCACAATCGCAGTGGAACGTGCGCGTGCAGGTGCAATGTTCCAAGACTTCGGCGAATCCGGTCTCGTGAAAGGTACTGAGTGGGATGCAGCCCGGCGGCGCAGTGAGTAATACCGGGGAGGATGGCGCGAGGAACTCAGGTAGGGCTGGAAAAGATGACGTCTGGACGAGCGTCTGGTAGCGGCCGAGACGTGGAGAGCGAAGATAACAACAATCGACCAAATTGGGGGTGCTCTGGAGCTGCGGGCAATGCGTGGCGAGATGTTGTTTGTCTGACGCAGCAAAGACACACAAAGAAACCGACGGGTTGAAGTGACAACGAAGGCAAATTGGAGAAGTAGTCGGGTCTCCCAGAGAATCCTCGATGCTAGACAAGTCAATGCCAGCAAAAGATGAGACAAGGAAGACTGGAGGGGATTGCGGGTGGGGAGGACGAAAGGTGGTGGTGGTGAGGGAGAGCGTTGGAGGGTGAAGAAAAGAAGGGAAGAGTCGAAGTGGGAAAACTCGAGTTGGTTTTCGCCGCAGCCCCAAGCAAAAGTGCGGGCAGAACCAACTGCAGAACCGCCACGAGGTCGATCTTCTCGCTGTCCCCCGGAGGTTTTTCTGCTGTGCAGTCCCTCGGGCATTCCGTGTCTTTTTTTCGGTCGTTTGAGGACAATCGATTCTTTTGGCTCCGCATGGTTCATTGTTAATTGTCCATTGTTCCTATCCATGGACCTACGGCGGACCGGCACTCTTCTGGTGAATCAGTTCAATTCGATCAAAACAACATATACTAAGCAAGTGAACCTCCTGAGAAATACTGCCTACTATCCTACAAATTCCGTGAGATCAATCCAGCCTAAGACGAGCTTCCCAAGCTCTTTTTCCGAGAATCCTTGGTCCGATCCTGGCCGTCCCATACAATTACAATTTCCGCACGCTCAACTTGTTGCTGAACAGACCCATTGAGGCAAAAGCTTATTTCACCTTTCCTTTTCCTTCTCCTTTTTTATTATTTTATCGTTTCTTTTTTTGGTGTCACCTCTGCGTTCATCTGGTGGTTCGTTTTCTTCCATTCTTCGTGAAACACTCCGTCGATCAACCGAGACGCTGCTCGCTGATCGGATCGCCAGGCACATCTGGATCCGACGGCGTCGCCATTCGGGGAGTTCTCACCGTTGTGTCGACCACGTCACGGTCATAGGTCATGCCGTCGACCATGCGAGCATCTTGTGCGGGCTCGGGGGTGACTGATCCCGTCGGTGACATCGCAGAGGGCGCCCTCGCGCTATCGCCCGACAGATGAGAGAATGACGCAATGGGGTTGGATCGACTCGTTGGACTGCCCAGGGAGGTCGGGCGACCTCCAGAGGAGGTGCGGTTGAGCCCGGGATGCGAGATGGGGCCGCTGATAGTGCTGGCACCCTCTCCAAACCCGACCAGACTGGCATCTCCCTCGCTGATATTTCCCACGCTGGATGTGCCGTCGTCGGGGTCTTCGCTCATCTTATCGACATCGGGTGCATCGCTGCTACTGGCCCAGGTCGTGCGGGCTCCCACACTGCCCGTGGCGCTAGCGCTACCCACCGTGCTTCTCTCTTTCAGTCCCATCCCGCTGTCGAAGTAGCCTGGAGTTTGCATATTCGGGGGCACAGTGGTCGGTTGGGAAGTAGTCGAACCCCCCGCCCGCGCGGTGGCCACCCGTTCTAACCCCGCCAGGCGAGAAATGCGATCGGCGCGTTCTGCTTCCAGAGTAGTGGAACTCAAGGAGGTGGAAGGCGAATGGTGCGCATGGCGACCGTGAGGTAGAGGCTGGCCTTGATGGCCGTCTTTGATGGCGGTTGTGGACAGAGCCGAGAGGGAGGTGGTTCCAGAGTTCGGGGTCCCTCTGACAGACTGCCGTTAGTGGACTAGATTCAAGCGATCACAGCAAGACCAGAAAAGAAAAAGAAAGAAAAAAGGGTCAACCTTACGGGCCCATGTCCGAAGGAGTGACCGGATCCGAAGGGGGTGGAGGAAGGTTAATCAAAGTCGGAGTTGTCATGGTTGACGCTGGTGTCGGATTGCGACTGTTTCAAAGTCACGATGAGAAGAGAAGTGAGCGAGAAGAGGTTAAGTAAAGGTCGGTCCTAGATAAGGAGGGAGGGACAATAACAGGCTAAGAAGATAAGAGAAAAGGACGTAGTATCTCCCGAAAAGAACCTGAATGAGAAAGAAGAGTCGGTATTTGAATGCAATCAAGAGTCAGTCAATTCGAGGGTCAAGAGCACAAGAGCAAAGCAATCCTATATGAATGGCGTGAGCTGTGAAGGTGATCGAGACGGCAAATCGAGCGTGGGATGGCGGCGAAAAGAAGACCCAAGGCGCCGGCTCTCCACAGCCGGGATTAAGGTTTGGTTTCAATAAGATTCGAAGGGGGAGAATGGAGTTATGGAACCAAAGTCGAGGATGGCGATTGGAAACACAAAGTGAGGCTGCACCGCGACGTCATCCGAGACAATCTAGACGCTGCGTAGAAGACCCAGCAGGCCGCGCTTGACTTTCCGTTCTGCGTGAGGGTTCCTGGTTCTGAATTCGAATTCTCAGGAAGAGATCGATCGAGGCAGTCCATTCCATGCGATATCGCATCGCACATCCTCGCGAGGAAGAAAGAGAGACGGCAAATCCCCTGATCGGCTGACGTCACCGTCACGGGTGCAGGTGACCAATCAGACGGGGCCTGAGTCAGCGCCATTGTCTGTACTATTTAGGTAGATAGGTAGATAGAAGGTATGGAGGTAGCCAGGAGTAGATACGACAGATCGAGGGATGAACGCTACGAATATCTACCATGATCCTCTCTACTCGGTCGAACACGGGCGGCATACCAATCGTAAATCGTGCATCATCCTAACCATGACGTACAAAGCTATATAGGACACAATCAACCCCCTCCCCTTTTAAACAGTTGCCAGTCCCCACTCGGGATTATCATGTAGCTCCCTCCCCCTTGCTTCGCCGTTATGTGCTTACCATGCAGCATTCCATTAGTTACCTAGTGGCTGGCCTTGCGGTTTTCATAGTGACCGCGCAGGTCGTCCACCTCTTTCTGTAGGCGGGTCAGGTCGGCCAGAATGTCCCGCGCATTCGAGGGTTCCGGTGTGAATGCTGGGTTCTCCTCCGCCCGTTTCTCCGACCGGAGACTCGTAGAACGAGTCTCGTCACTGCTGTGATTACTGGACCCCCGGGTGCGCCGCGGAGGTGGAGGAGGGGGCAGGGGGTTCTGCTGTGATGCCCGCTTATTCAACGATGCCCTGGGGTTAGAGGGCGACGTAGAAGCCGACGTGTCCGCGACCGAGGTGGACGATTTCGACTCCGACGTTTGGATGGAAAGAGGAGGACGCTGGGAGGAATTCTCGTCAGAGGACGAGGTGTCGATCCGCGCATCCCGAGTCCGAGCCGGGTTTAATGACCAGGAGCCCGGACTCGGAGGAGGCGATTCGGCCGTGACATCCACTTTGATAGGCGGCATCGATAACCGTGCCATGTTAGCTTTAGAATGCGTCGTTTTGGATCGCCTCATCTGGCTGTGTCGCCGCGCGAGCGGTGGCGTCGGGGGTCGTTTGTGCTGAGATTGGCTACGTCGCAAAGACTCGCCGGGTCGCTCCAATTGTGACTTCTCTCCCAGTCCAGCAAAGTAGCCTCCCTCCGACTGAGCGGGTCGCGGTGACAGGGAGGCCTCCGAGGGGGACCCATGGAAAGAATAGCGGTTGGTAGGCCTGGCCGGTTCGGGCTGAGAGAGGGAGGACGCCGTGCCGGAGGTGGGACTGATCAACCTTCCATGGTGACTCTTCGGTGGAGGTGGAGGGACCTTGTCGCGGTTACCTGAGCGGCTGGCAAGAGGTTTGGGGTCTCGTCCGACCCCCGGGAAGTGTGCAATGCCCGGATGCGCCGGCGTCTGGGATACGTCCGTGACGCTGCTGTTTGTCGTACGGGTGCCGCCGTGAGGGGTCAATGATCGGATAGATGCATTGGAGCTGGCAACGGGGGCATTCTCGCCGAGTGGCCTGGCGTTCTCCTGTCCTGGATACTGGTCGTGGGTTCTGCTCCTCGACGGTAGCCCAGCAGGTACCCCGAAGGCTGTCGCAGAGACGGGAGGGGCGGAGGGGAGACCTGGTTGCCGGGTCCGGCGGAATTCTTCGTCGGGAAGTTCTCGAGAGAGATTTGAAGGGTTTGAGGTAGGAAACTGAGCTGGCTTTCGCCGGACCCCCTCATCGTCACTCAGATCCGAGTGTTGACGGAAGGGGTCGGAGACAGACTGATCATCCGAGGACAACGAATCGTCGTTGCTCGGCGTGGGATTTGGGGAAGGAAAGTCGGGGATGCCATTCGGATTGAAAGAGGTATCGGGGACGGTATACGCAGGAGGGACGGAAAAGTACGAGCTCCCAGAGGTCGAATGGGATGAAGGAGGGCCTGCGGGATCTGCGATGGTCAGCCTTGCAACTTCATCCAACGAGTCGATACTTGGAGAACGCGGCAATGACGGGTCCAACTCACCCTCGGGCTTCTTAGGGCGGAAAGGATTTAATCCAGACATCGCAGTGAAGACGGAGGGCACTGACCATGAGAGCAAGGGACGATTGAGGGGGCGAGGAGGATGAAAGGGACAAGAGTTGCCAACGTCGGCGGAATGAAAGGGTGTTGACGGCCGCTGACCATCCGGCTTCCGGGCAGCTGCTACGCGTTACGCTCTGCAGTGCGCTTTACAATTCGCTTGCCTACCAGCGATCAACGCAGGGAAATTCGTGGCCGTTTACATTCTCCCGGGATTTCCATTCTTTTTTAAACAATCAATCGCACAGAATGACAACATGCAAGGGCTCGAGGGTTAGGCAACGACAGGGGGAAAAGGGGAAGAAAGGTATATGATACAGCGAAGGCAACAACAGGAAAAGAATCAACCAAAACAACCCAAAAAATAGGATAAGAATAAAATAAAAATGAGATCATCAATGCAAAAACCACCGTCCCAAGAAAGAAAGAAAAAAAAAAAAAAAGACAAAAGAAAAGAAACACCCTGGATGGTACACAATGAAAGAGATAAATGGTCATCACAATTTCCTCCCCCACAATCCAATGTCCGAGAAAGAAGGGTATCAAGTGGCCCGTTTATTATGAAACCTAAGAAAATCACATCTGTTCGCCTCCTGTACGGATCCTGCTGGTATTGTCGACGGTCAACTGTAGACTGTAGACATTTTGCCGGTCCTTGATTTATTCCTCCTCATACACATGCCACTCGCCGTCCCCGAAGAACGACTGAGCCAACGACTTGCCACTCTCCGTGGGTTGGCTGAAGGCCATCTGCTCCTTGGGGATCTCCATGCCGTAGATAAAATTACTGACGACGCAATCGAGGAGATCCATGGCGATTCCTTTGCGCCGGGACGATCCGGAAGTCCAGATGCGCGAGATTCCCACGATGGCGGGATGCGTCTCTGCGCGGGCTGAGACCGCCGAGTCGGTGCCGTTTGGCTGGGCGGACGGTTTCTCGACTGGCCGCGACTCCCAGATCCGCTCCGTCAAGCACGCCCCGACACAGCGACTATCCTTCATGTGTAGAAACACCTTGTAGCGGTCGACCTTCTCCGACGAGCCGTTCGTGCGTAGGTGTCTAGGCGTTTCCACCTGGCTCCATAGGACGTCGTCCTGGATCTCGGGAGACGACAACTCCTTGCCAATCACCTCCAGCACCTTTTTGGCCTGGTTTTTCGCGGTCGGAGATGCCTTCCGATCGACGATGACCACGTATCCTTCCTCAAAACGGGTCGCTTCGTAAACCCATCGCGACGCATTCGCTCGCATAAACGCCTTGCCCAAATCCACGCCCGTCGAGTTCATGTCGTGGAACTTCTTGTGTAGCGACGCATCCTCCGCGTTCGAGGGCACGTATTCCATGCCGCAGGTCGAACACGTCCTCCGCACTTCGTGGCCCAGGTCGATCTGCATTTGCTTCAACGCGGGTGGCGGCTGCTGCTGCGACTGCGGTTGTTGCGGTTGCTGCTGCGAGGGCTGTGACGTGGCCGCCTTTTTCTTGGGGGCTTCTGTCGACGCACGCACGCTGTTCGAGTTGACCTCGGTGAGCGGCGTGCCATTCCCGGGGTCCTTGGTGGAAGAATGCTTGCGCTTGAGAAAGGAGAAAGTCGGTTTTCGCGTGTTTGCCGGGGGAGGCGACAATCGAGGCGGTGGAGATGACGGCGGGGTCGATAGATCGTCTTCTTGCGTGCCCTCAGAGAGCAGAATGGAGTTGCGACGCGACGGGCTGGACAGCACGGCGGCTGAAGACTCGCGGATGGCGTACTGCAGGCTATTCTCTGCCTCGTCGGACTCGTTCCCGGACGGCTGCTGGACGCGTCGTTTTTTGGCCGCCGGGCGCTGGTCGTCGTCGTAAACCCGCCATGAGGGTCTACCGTACGTTTTCATCATAAGACCTCTGGAGGGGAGCGAGGAAGGGCAGATTTCCAACGTTAGCCGCAAGTGGTGGGATTCAAGGGATGGGGATGGGGACAGGACCGGGGGGGGCAAACACGTACCGCTTGAATGAATTGGTTACAGTCCACGGCATCTCCTTTCTTTCACGGCATGAATTGGACTGAGCCGAGCATGGATGACCTTAGGCAGGTAAAACTGAGAGCAGGAGGGGAGAGGGGAGAGAGAATGGGGACAAAAAGGGGTGGTGAGCGAGGGTTAATATTAAGTATGGGATTAATTTAGGAGTATTTATGATGCCGATGATGATTGATTTTATTTTCACGGAAGGCGGCGGCGCTGATCGACAAGTGACGGAACGCGTGCGAAGGGCGCTAGTCCGCTTTTAGTCATATTGCTCTTCTTTCTGCCTTTGCTTTGCTCTCTCTCTCTCTCTCTCTCTCTGGCTCTCTGCCTTGCGCCCGGGACTGGCTTACCTGCGATGAGTTGGATTCCAACACAAATGATTTCGATGATTCCGCGGATTTCGCTGATTCCACTGATGCAATTCGGGTTGGTCAAGGCCAACGGAATACTTCCACCCGATCAACGGTCGACCAGAATGGGGAATCAAGGGATAACTAGGACAACTCCTGGTCCACCCTGGGCCATCCCAGCAGCTATATATCCCCCAATCCTTCTGACGGTTGGATGGGCGCCGATTCTTGGCGGATGAGGATCGGGAGAATTCTAATCGAATAAGGAGCGAACCGTCGCAATCAAATCAAACCCACTCAGGGAATCGCAGTGCCTAGAAGTATAAATCCCCCCTGGGGCCACTCACCACTGGTGACGGTTGTGGAACTTCCAAACACGGTCTCAGCAGCCTGTCTTACTTCTTTTCGAATGTCGGGTTCTGGACTTCGCCTCCTTAAATCATGAGCAACGCCCAATCGATGGCCACCAACCACATCAGCCCTACCTCATCCTTCGCCGTCGGTGGTGGGAGGCCTGTCGACAGCTGACCAGGTGGCGAATCACCTCCTGAATGATTACACTTAATCTATCTCACATCACATCCCCATGATCATGGAATGATGCTCTTTCACCACCCTTCTCCCCACACTATTGACGCTGTGTACATTCATGCCAGACGGCTTTCCCAGCCTCGCTCTGCCCTTGCTGATGCTTCGCCCGTCCTTACTGGACCACCGCTGCATGCGTGTCGTCACGCCGGCCTTTTCCTGCTCTTTTCGTACGGCGTAGCTTTCCTGACTTCTCTCCTTTTTTATTTTATTTTTTTTCTTACCGGTTTGCTGCTGGTTTTTGACGAACCAAAAATAAGTATTGTTGTAGCAATAATTCAATCAGTAAAAATAAAAAAAGAAAGAGGCAACAGCTGGATTGCATTCCAATCAAACCCTCTGTCGGATGCACTGGCTATCCCTTCTGGGCTATGAGATCCGCGCGAGATGCCATTCCACCCTCCAAGTATCCAGGGTGCTTCCGGAGCTCTCGATGACGGGCGAGTCATCCTCTGTTCGCTTCGATTCTTTTCTTTTTCCAACTCATCGGTGCGGTCATCACCGCCGAATGGGCGCCCGGCCAAATCCAGTAATCGCCCAGTCAATCCCAATCTCCTTCCAACCTGAAGCCAAGCGGACGCTGGACAAATTTAACTGACAGATCCCATTGCATCGCTGTCCTCCTTATCTGTAATTCCTCTCCGTTTGTTGAGGCCCCTCAGGCTCTCTCCGTCGATGCAAGAACCCTGGAAGGTCCGCGAGATCATCGCCCCCCCGCCAAGTGGATCAACGGTCGATTGGCCTCTGATTGTCCTGCGTCCTGTATATACCGGTCCATACATAAGCCGAGCCAGCAGAGAAATCCCTCTTTGTGCTTTCTCCCGTTTGTGAAACGACAGATTAGCCTACGTGGGACTGGTCCGTTCCGGCAGGGAGGCAGACCCCTACACACCGACTTTGGATTTGATATATCTGTCCGTTGATTAGCTCGCGGGGCTTGGTTTGTAGCATAAGAACTATCATGTTGATTACACTCGGGAGTTCGCCCCCACGGAGTCGACAATAATGACTGCGTTGGCACGACGGGTCCCTCGTCAGCGAGGTGCCCAAACCCCGTCCAGGGGCGGGACCTGACCGATGTCATAGCTCTCCAACAGAGTAGAACAAACGGGGAGACAAACGCAAGAGTGGCGAAAAAGGCCAGAGATTGTCACTTCAGTCGCCGATCGGGATCGAGAGGACCCTCTGCCAACCCAACCGCGGACTGGGGAGAAGGTGAGACGGAGGTGGGCAGGGCAGCTCCCAATAATGGCCGGGGGAAAGGAGCAGGTGCATCACGCAGCGTCGCACATCGAGTCATCCCAAAGGCCGCGGATTGGTTGTGAAACGCGCCTGCGTCGCCGTCTCCCACTTAGATTCATCGCCTCTAACTGGAGACTGCGCGTCCATTGTCAAGCAGACCTATCGCGCCTTGAGAAGGTTCGGGCGTACAATGTGAACACGAGGGTGAGTCGCTCAAGTACGACATGTTGCATTGGCTTTTTCTTTGTCGGACATCCTGCTGCCCCCTTTTTCATTTGCCCCTTTCTTGGTGAGACCCGGCTCTTTACGTTGTGTATGTATGGATGTATACGCAGTATGTACTTTATTATTGTGCGATCGCTCGCTGATGTATTCATCTCAGGGAAGAGGTTCTCTGGCCTCTCGTGGGAGGCGGGAGGGTCTGTCGCTCAGAGACGAGACTACATCATGGGTTCAACAATCCGAATGTCCCTTTGTAGTGGGGAATACGAAAAGCGATTCATGACCCATGCCACTTTGTCCCCTTTGTGATGTGCCCAACTACGAGGTGTGATCAATGACGAATCGGTGGAGTCAATCGCATCATCGTAGTAGATAGAGCATAACGTTCTCTGGGGATGCCCGGATGCATGATATTTCCAGATGCCCGCAATATCCTGGAATGAGAAACATTCAGAATAGCATACAGGGTCTGGCACGTCGCCCCTTATCCGTTTGAGCCAGGACTGGCTCTAGATAGGACCAGATCTCCAGGACCTACCGGACTGCGTAAGTTCTCGAGCTGACTCTCCGTATGTCTTCGGATGAGACTCATGGTTTTATGTTTAGACCATCATAGAGAAGAGACTATCGCCAACGTCAAGCTAGCAGGATGGGACGGTGTGATGGCTCAACACAGAGCCCCTATCCACAACGATCTGGGCTTCTCAAATAGTTTGACCGTCGACATTTCCTCCAAGACACTGATACTCAAGGGATTACATTCGCTGATATAGAGACGACAGAATCTGGTTCAACCTGCGTTATGGGTTGAAACCAGGGGGTTGCTTTCTCAAACCGGTGCCAGCCTCATTCTGAGCAACGTTGTCAACTGCCCCAGAAGAATGAAATATCCAAATAATCTGCTATGGCTCAGAGTCTAGGTTCTTGACGACTACAGACAGTTCATGGAACTATTGTAAATGGTGAAAACGTCTCAGTAGATGCAGCCTAGTATTTGGACGGTATACATATATAGCATCACACCATGCCCTCTCACCACTTGCAAAGTCAAGACACTCCATCCATGCCTTGACATAGGTTTCACATGAAAGTCAGGGGAAGTACGGAGTAAAGAGTTTCGATATTTCTTGCAGTTTGGCTCTAGAAACCGCACAGCCAGCCACGGTGTGCACATCTATCCATGATGCTATGCATTTTGTTCCAGTAGAACCAAAGCTTATAATCCCTCTCCATCAGACGTGTCTTTTAGACTCGTCCGGCGCCAGCCAATTCATTGGCATGCCCAACCAGCGAGCGAGTGGCTGGCTGCAGCCCATAGGCTATCCTCCTCATTGCCAGCCAGCCATTCGGCAAGGGATGAGGCCCTGTATAGTTGTTATCTCGACTGACATGTGCGGGACGGTCCTCGGCTCCGCATCCCTTGCGCTGACCTTCAAGACATTCGTAGAAGCTACTCGTCCAGCTGGTTCAGGATCTCGCAAAAGACCTTCCCTGTCGTGAAGCAACCCGACCCCAGGGCCTACAGAATCTACTCTCCCCGCCACCAACTCCCTCCCAAGCCAGGCTAGATACGCAGCTGGTCAGTTGTTCCTGCACGTTAGGGTTTCGTTCGCTGCCGGTAGGAAAACCACGGGATATATCCCGATCGCCAACTGCAAGTAAGGATGGATCAATACGAAGGCGTGCATCGGTCGACCCAAAGGAACCCGAGCATTTGAGTTCTTATTCCCCCGCTCGTCTCTTTCAAACGCCGTTGGGAGTTTTGTTCGATGTCTAGCCCCACGAGTTTCCTCATACTTTCTTCAGAAGGCTTTGGTCCGGAGGAGTGACAACGGATTTTTTTGGGCTCCGGGCGTGGAATACGAGATGAATTACTCCGTGTCTACCATGGTTTCAGAGGGGAAAGGCGGAAGTGTTGTACGGAGTGGACATTTGCGGAGGAGTCTCAGATCACCGGAAAGGGAAAGCCACGACTCCATCGGAGTGGTGGTGAGACAAGACGAAAACAGGAAATCCATCGGGGAAGTGAACGGTCGGACCTGGGTCTATCAATCATCGCAGTCCGTGGAAGCAGCCTAGTGAGGTCGTTAATGCAGGAAGGGACGGGAGGGTGTGAAAGGAACGCGAGCGATGCGCAGTCCGGAGTCGCCAGATGCAGATGCAAGAGATGGAAGAAAGGCAGAAGAGGGGAAGCGGAGGCAGAGTCCAAACACCAGAAGGGGCACACGGAGTTAAGTAGAAGAAGTTTCCGCCGATCGGAGACTTTTTATTGAGCGAGAGAAAGGATTGATTGATTTCATTGATTTCTGGCGGGCGGAAAAAGTCGCTCGGCGATCTTTTTTTTTTTTTTTTTTTTTTTTTTTTTCTTCCTCCTTGCCGTTTTCTGCGCGACTCCAACTCAACCTTCAAATTGTTCTCCCGTCGTTTCTCTCTCCCCTGCTCAGAACTGGGATTGAGTGCAAGAACCCGATCGAAAGAGAGGGATATTCAAATCAGACCAACCCAAGTTGCCGGGGTTTAAAGACGACCGACGACGCAGAAACATCCCCACCGGAAATCCCCTCATCCTGCGGCTGTCAGCTTATCCTGCAGCCGCTTCCTTCTTGCTCTGCGCCTCTCCGGACTTCCTTTATTACCGTTTGTCGCTCTCTCGGTCCTCCGTCTCGCCTTCGCTTCTTCTCGTCGCCTTCTCCCGGTCGTATATACAATCCTTTCTTATAGATCTTCAATTGGTCCTTGTCAGTTCAATATGTCGGATTCTGTTCAAGTCGCAGGCAAGAGAAAGCGTGCCAGTAAGTAACCCGACTCTATCCAATGATTGGCAGCCAAAGGGTTCTATCTATCACATTGGGCCTTGCTGTGTCCCCTTCCCATCCCTACATTGCGCCTTCTCCAGTTCGTCACCTCGACTTCGCATCGATTGCATGCGCCTGTCCCAAGGAACAATCCGCTTGTGCCACATCCGGCGGGCTGGACCTGATCCCTTCTCCCTCTCCCCGCCTTTCCATCAATCAAATCCATTCCTCTCTCGCCCTGGATCCCTTTCGCGATCGTCAAAAAAAAATTCGTTGATCTGTTGCTTTGCCGTGCAATTACATCGAGCTGGATCAGATTCGATCGTCGAAATATTCCATGGATGCTAACGAAACTCGACTCGCAGGGACCCAGTCTTGCCCTCCTCCCGAGCTGCCTCAGCTGGTCGCCGAGCAGCATGTCCCCATCTCCGCCCACGATAAAGAGACCCAGCGGTTGATCGTCGTTCTGTCTCATGCAAGCTTGGAAACCTTCCGTGCCTCTCATGGCGGACGCAGCGGCACCAACCGTGATGAAAAATACTCCTTGCTCAACAGCGACGAGCATATCGGTGTGATGCGCAAGATGAACAGAGACATCAGTGAGGCTCGACCGGATATTACCCATCAGGTACCGTCCTTCCCCCCTCCAGGTTCCGGCCTAGGGTCCTTGTCCGAATGCTAATCACTGCCGATAGTGTCTTCTCACCCTTCTGGACTCGCCCGTCAACAAGGCCGGTAAACTTCAGATCTACATCCACACCGCCAAGGGTGTCCTGATCGAAGTGAACCCTAGCGTTCGCATTCCCCGTACTTTCAAGCGGTTTGCCGGCTTGATGGTCCAGCTGCTGCACCGTCTCTCGATCCGCTCCACCAACTCGCAAGAGAAGCTGCTCAAGGTGATCAAGAACCCCATCACCGACCACCTGCCTCCCAACTGCCGCAAGGTCACCCTCAGTTACGAAGCCCCCGTGGTGCGCACCCGGGACTATATCGAATCGCTGGGTCCCAAGGAGAGCGTCTGTATCTTCGTCGGAGCCATGGCCAAGGGACACGATGACTTCGCCGACACCTTCAAGGACGACACCATCAGTATCAGTAACTATAGTCTGAGTGCCAGTGTGGCCTGTAGCAAGTTCTGCCACGCCGCCGAGGAAGTGTGGGACATCGTCTGATCTGCGGGCGCTATCGGTTCCATCTTACTCGAGAGACGCAACCTAAGTGTGACGAGGTAACGACTTTTCCTTGCAATGATTCATCCGATGGAGAGCGCCACAAAGACGGGGGGGAAGGACGTCGACCCAGGCGTCGTTTGTGTGCCACTTTTTACTTGTCTCTCGCCCTCCGGGAGGGTGGAGGGGGGAACACGCTGCCTACAAATCTCCTATGCATTTCGGAGCCTTAGTTTCTTTCTTGCGTTTCTCGTTCCTTGTGCGATTTGGTGACCTTGAGAGCTTCGCGGCGCCTCGAGCCCACCGTCCCCAAATCCAGGCTTTTGTTGGTGAATTTGGACATTTCAGCATCTGGCAGGCAACAGGTCGATGCTTGACCCCACGCAGAATGGCGGCGGTCTAAGCTCCCTTTGCCCTTTGTTGAATACAAAAAGTATCTGCCAGGTCCAACTCTCCAGCCAAGGTTCTGCTTTCTTCCATGATCCCCGTCTCGTTCGATCCTCAGCAGGGGCAGGGGTGCTGTACAGCTATCAGGCCTGTTTGTTCATACCTTGCGCGCATGCTGATCATGAGACCATGTCGAAATATTCCAATAGAGAGGTATATAGGTATACATCAATATCTTGAAAGAAATCCGAGAGCAATGAAAGAGGGGGGCTGGTAGTCCTCGAAACCACATGCATAGCTGCCGTTTGGATGATATCATTGCCACTCCCCGGTGCAGTAGACTAGCAAAAACAGGCGTAAACCCAAAAATACTTGGTGTGTACTCCATTTGCAGTAAGGGAGTAGGAAGAGAACACTCCGTAGGGAGAGAAGAGAAAGAGCCGGAATGATTTCATGAGGGGAAGAGGGGCCGCTGCCTGAGGCTGCCCGCAAGGCATTCAATTCAGTCATTCAGGCGATCTTCACGGCGCGCTCTTCCATCATCTTCTCTCATTCCCAACATCCTCCGATTCCCCCTTTTTTCTCACCCCCCTTCGCTTTTTCTGACTCACAAATGGCCTCTCGTCCGGGTGGATTCCCAACTCATCCAATCCTGAATTCATCCCGTCCGTGAACATGGAGAAATCCATCGTCCTTCGATCGGGTGGTTCCGGTGGCTGGGGATGGAGGCCCCCCTATTCAACGTGGCATGCAGATATCCCAGGCCCTCTCCCAGGGTGGATCTCCCGCTTCACTTTGTGCCGTTGGTCAACTGGATCAAGATTCGGTGATGGAAGTTTCGGTCACTGACAAGGTAAAATTAATCTAATCGAATCACTAGGGAAAAGCCCCGGGGTAAGGAGCACGATGATATGATAATGATCTTGATAGTGCTAGATAATGCTCAGAGGACATGTTCGAATGGGATCAACATGGGCCCATTATTGTCTTCTCCAACGAAGCAAGGACAGAGAACCATGCACCTTCTTTTTCGCCTTCTTTCTGCGACATTATTCCGCGAAACGAATGACTTCTTCCGTCCCGGTTTCTCATTCGTTCAGCCCGCCTGGCGTTTGATCCACGACGCAGAAACGGAGTGGATGTCGGTTGGCGGTCAGATAGCACTACTCGGCGACTAGCAACAGCAGCAGTGCCCAAACTAGCAGTGAAACGTACCATCAGCCAGTGGTGCAGCCAGCGAAAGGGAAGGAAAGCCACAAGCTGCCCCTCAGTGGCTCCCAAGATGGTGCACTTGACATCGCCATCTGCCCCTTCGTTGTCCCGCCGTCATTGGTGACTTTGGTGACCAGCCTGCAAATAGGAAGAGAGCATTGGCTTCCACCCCCTAGGCCCAACCCGGATCACGGTGGTCTTTGCGAAGATTGAATAAAAATTGAAAAAAAAAGAATTGACTAAAATTCAACTAAAGTGGACGATTTCTAATAATATTATCATTCTGCTGACCGCGGATTCCACTACATACTCCGTAGGGAGTTTCAACTTTTCCTTCGCTTTTTTCGCTTTGTCCATCCGGTCTCCACCGCTGCCAATCCCCATCTTCCACTTTGACTTGGGTTTGGTCGCCTCACCTCTTTCGACTTCTGACATGATGCGGTTTGCGCTTGGCTCCTCTGGTGCAGGATCCACCGTTTTCTGATAGGCGCCCCATCCGATGTAGACAGGGCCACCTACAGGACCGTCCGTCGGGCCTCCCCCACGATGACCTGGCGGTTAGGAACTAGAGACTAGGGACGAGCTTTCTCTCTCTCCTCCTTTCCCCTGGCTTCACCGATGGGTAGGAACACTTCCCTTCCGGTCGAAGCCTGCAGAGCCCGGGTTCGGTCACTAGACTGCCTCATGGAGACTGGGTAGCCATTCGGACGCTTCGCGGGTCTATGCAATCATACCTGCGGTGCTAAGCCGTACTCTACATCATTGGAGCAGATTGCTTCCTCCGGCATAAACCCTTTTTTTATTAGAATTAGAATTATTTGGTTAGCGTCTGACAACTTGTGATTGGATGCAAAGTTGGGCATTCTTGGGAAGAATAGTTAACCCCCTTTTGGGAGCTTGGTCTGGAAATATCAAGTATATATCTTCCCTCCTGTTTTCTCTCATCTTCTCTTCTGATCAAACAATCAAACTGCTGTCACTCTATCATTCGTGTGTTTCTATAAACCCTCTCCCACACCTCTTCCTTCTTATTCTTCTTCCCTTCAATCACACTTGTCATCAACCTTCCAAGTCGTGCTCTTGCCTGTGAACACTGGTTGAACAGGTTACAGTTTGCATTTCCAGTCGTACCACGTCCTCAGTCCTGGTCTTGCTACTTTGTCAAAGACTCGCTGTACTCAGCGAGTCAACTTGCACATCATACAGACATGCCTGTCTCTCATCTGACCCTGACGGTCTCGCACCTCCCCACCTCGACGTCATTCTTCCTCTCCTGCCTACAACCCCTGGGCTATCAGTTCATTGGCCGTCATGACGACTACATTGGCTTTGGCCAGAATGCCGGTGAGCCGGCCGACTTCTGGATAACCGAACAAAAACCTGGGTAGGTAATCCCTAACTATCCTCCCCATGGGGATTGTTTGTTTCAGATGACAGGGAACTAACCTCCACATACAGAGTCCCAGCTGGTGCCGCACATGTTGCGTTCCCTGCCCCTTCCAAGGATGCAGTGGGCGCGTTCTTCATCTCCGCGCTGAAGGCTGGCGGAAAGATCCACGGCGAGCCCAAGACCCGGGATTCGGAGTCGGGTTACTACAGCGCAGCTATCGTCGACGTCGACGGCAACAGCATCGAAGCCGTCTTCCGACCCAGCACTTCGTCCGCCCGCTCGGAAGTCAGCAGACCGGCTCTGGCTTTGCTCGAAAACGGATCCGTTGTCTCCAAGGCCACCAGCAAGGTCAGCTCGGTCAAGCCGGAAAGCGTTGCGCCGCCGAGATCCGAAGCCCGGTCTCATGTCTCCAGAGGAATGAGTGCCGTTGACCGAGAACGATCTGCCCCCTCCGAAAGAGGCGCGCCCTCCGTTTCTCCGCGAGAGATCCAGCAGGCTCCGTCGCCGACGTACGTTGTTCACCACACGACCCAGAAGACCGATGACGGCAAGGCCGCGAAGACCATCGTCGGCACCCTGATCGGAGCTGCTGCCGGTGCAGCACTCGCATATGCCATGGCCAAGGGCGACTCCGAGTCGTCGTCCGAGACCTCGCCGCCGCCTCAGTATTCGCCGCGCGACATCGCCCAGCTCATCGCCCCTTCGCAGGCCTCGTCGCAGACGCACGAACCGCAGGCCTTCCGGGCCCTCGAGGCGCCTCCCCCAAGAAGCACCTACTCTCAGTCCGAGATGCGCCCTTCGCTGACCCGCAGCGTCACCTCGAAGAACCCCCGTGCCAGCACCATCTACGAGGGCACGGAATACGTCCCCCGGGGTGGCGGCAGCGTCTACATGGACGATAACGGCCGTCGCGCCTCGGAAGGAAGCGTCTACAGCTCTGCCTCACGGGAGGTGCCTCTGCGGGCAATCGAGTATCCCCCGCCTCTCGACTCGCGAGGCTACGCCAGCACGTTCATCAGCAGCTTCCCCGATCGCTCGCGGGCGATGGACAACGGCAGCGTGTACTCGTCGTCCACCATCAAGCCCTCCAAGGCCAACTACCAGGACCACCACTCTTCCCACCACAGCTCCCACCAGTCCTCGCACCACTCCTCTCGCCATTCCATGACGCGATCCCACTCCGGCAGCGCCGCCTCCTCCGTCCGCAGCGCCCGCCACGCCCCCGAGGGCTCCGTCGCGTCCTACCGCAGCGGCACCAAATCCAAAGTGACAGCCCGCGACGTCCCCCTTCCCGAGAGCGTCATCGACGGCTGCGACGTGAACACCCAAGTCACCCCCGATGACTCCATCAGCCAGGTGGACAACTCCGAGCGCCGCTCCTCCTACTCCCACCACTCCCACCGGTCCCACGCCTCCAAGCCGGCCTCCCGCGTCTCCTCCAAGCACTCCAGCAAGTTCGACGAGCCCGTCCGCCCCAGCGACAGCGTCAGCCAGGTCTCCAGCCACGCCCCCAGCCAAGCCTCCAAGGCTTCGCAGCGCACCATCAAGGCCGGTGGGGGCAGCATAGCGGGTGGCTCCAAGGCCGGGTCGAAGATCAGTCCCAGCCGTCGGGGGAGCCAGGTTGCCTAGAAAAGGGTCTTTCCTTCTTCTCCTTCAAATTGTTCGATCTACAGCTGTCACTGTCACACCTTCATCATTGCATACTACCTTCAACTACGGTCACCAGCACCGAGACACACACACAACAGTCCAACGAATTTACATGTAGCATGTTCCTCCGCATTTAGGGGCATTGGGGCGTTATGGGAATTCTGGATTTTTTTTGACTTTTTTGTTGGTTTTGTTGGCAATATAATATTATGGTATCTTGTTTTTGTTTCGCATAGAGAGTGGTTTATTTCCTCTTTTAATTTTTGCCTATCAATGAATCAAGCCTTTGGATTCCAGTCTATGTCATTGTCATCCCTACTATTCTATTCTATTCTATAACTTCACTAGTATCGCTCAATCATCCAAAGCACTAGATCCCTATGCCTGATTGGGGCAGGTTAGGGGGTCTAAATCCGTGTTCTTGCTCCGATGACCACCTATCAGTAGCCCATGGAGACAACAGAACTTACTAGGCAAGTAAGCCGACGACGCATTAGGCAGGTGAATCCGACTCCAACGTGATACAACCGAGACTGTCTCCAACCACATTCTTAAGATGATGCATTACCACCCCAGTAAGGAAATATATCAACTATAAACAAACAAGTGCCTCGTCCTACGTTCCTACATGAGACATACACAGATACCTACCTACCTACCTACCTATCTATGTTGTCATCTCTACGGCCATTTCGACGTAGGATACCCTTTTAGGAATTTGTCTGACTGACATCCAAGCAGGGGGGGGTCCTCATGTGAACGCCATGGCCCATTCACTCTGGGTTAATAGTTACCAAAGAAGTTAAAATGATTAAATACAAACATAAACTATGTACCAACCGTAAGGAAACTATAAACAGACTCAGAGTATGATAAATCATCATTGACTGCGCGAAACTATCCAACCAAACAAGTCTATCACCCACGTCCCTAACCCAGTGCGATCATGACATCTCTCAGTACCAGCACAAGGGCCTTGCTGCTTTGGGCCTAGTAGAGAGAGGTATGGCTTGAACCGTAACCTTATGCTAGGTCTTGACCTTAGCTCTAGAAATACCGGCAATGTTGTCTTAGAATCAGGTCATGCATGTCTGATGGTATTTGTCCAACTCCACTAAAACTCTCCCGTCTCAACGATTAACTTCGATTACGTGGTGAATGCTGCTTCTCTGAGTGGTGTGCATTTCACCCGTGTCACGTAGGATGCAGAATTAGGCTGTGGAGAGACAGGGTTTAACTGTCTGGCCGTGTATAAAGGAGAGCTTCTCGACGCTGCATTCTGCCATTCTCAAACTGCCAGGCTTGTATATTTCACCATCAGAAAGACAAGATGGTCCCCCTGCCCTCGCTTTCGCCCGAGGAATACGCAGAGCATCTCTCTGCCTTCCTCGATGAGATCCAGTTCTCGATGCCCCAGCCAAACCCCGACCTCTCCATCGACAAGATGGTGATTTCGCATTTCGAAGCCCAGCCCTGGGACCCGGTGCTGATCAACAAGGCAACCCGCAAGGCCGCGCGATCCGCGGAGATGATGCGCATGGTCTATCCGTACGTCGACAGCGAGATCAACATTGCGTACGGGATCTTCTGCACGTACATGTTCGTGATCGACGACAGCGACGAAGCCCTGGATGCAGAGCTGGCCAGCTTCGAGGGCACCCTCTTTGAAGAGAAGTCGCAGCAGTCGCCCTTCCTGCAGTCTCTTTTCGCCTTCCTGAACGATCTGGGCTCGCACTTTGGTCCCTTCTCTCGCACCATGATCTTCAAGTCCATGATCGAGTTCATCACCGGACGCTTGATCGAGACTCGCTATAAGGAAATGCAGCCGCCCAGCGCGGCGGTCAAGTTTCCGTACTACCTGCGCCAGAAGACCGGTGTAGCGGAGCCGTTCGCGCACTTCATGTTTCCGGAGAAGATGTACCCGGAGAATGAGTGTCTTGCGCTGTATATCTTGATCCTGCCGGATCTGTGCGACATCATCAGCTTTGTGAATGATATCTTTTCGTTTTACAAGGAGTCGATCCTGTCGAGCGAGGTGAACTATTTATCGAATGTGGCCATGGTACAGGGGATCCATGTGTCGGAGTCCCTGAAACGCACCTCGAAGGAGGCGGCCGAGAGCCTGAAGAATATCCGGGCCGTTCTCGCGGATCACCCGGTTATGCTTGATACTACGATCCAGGCCGTCTGGGGATGGATCGCCAGTCATATCAGCCAGGCTCGGTACCGACTTTTCGAGCTGGATCTGCACGTCCCGAGTGTCGATGGACGTATTTTGGACACCCAGAAGAACCGAGCAGCCGTGGCGCATTGAAGACGTTTTTGTCGGCTGGAACCCGTCAGTTGATTGGTTTCAATAAGTATGTGTCTATGATGGATTAGTTGAATTGAGGGTTACCCTGAAAGGGTATGACAACAGCGTGATGATCATGAGTATGCATAAGATGTCATATACAGCTTTAGAGAGCGTATTGCCATGGTAAACGATGATGGTCAATCACCGAGAAAATCCCTCATATTCACTAGGGGGGTTGTAGCTTGTTCACCATCCATTCTGTAGTGCCTAGAGGATGATCTCACCTGAAGATGTCCCGCAGCAATCAGGTCCTCATGATCAATATCCCAGGAGATGACCACGCCAATATCGTCAAGGATAGGGTGCATGGCTGCCTGAGAAAAGAGAATGATGCGGGTTGGGCTGAAGTCGAAGTTGAGAATGCAGAGTTCGACAGGGAAGGAACGGGGTGGATGGGAAGGGCACGTGCAGAGTCAAAGTACACTGTCCTCCGCAGTTCGACTTGATATCTACGAGTCAAATCACCGGTCAACTGTTGATTCGGTCTTGCCCACAGTGCTATCTGATACAAACACCAATTCCTCCATCCCCAAATCTCCCGCATCCCCTCCGGCAAGCCTCAACGACCGCACCACGTCCTTCATGCCTCCGTCCAAACCCCCACCCAAAGAGAAAACGCCATCCTTGGGCTTGTGTATTCATCACGTAATTTGTCCGACTCCGTCGTGGAAAGAAAAAAGTAAGAAAATGCCATCAATGCATGTTGGTCATAATGATCGTTGGATATGACATCTCCTGCCGATAGGAGAACAAAAAGAAAAGGGCACCGGAAAGAAAAAAGGTAGTTAAATTTCAAGACAACGCGCAAATAGGTTCATGGTGAAAACACGAAATAGCAACGGATCTACGATCACGGTACGCCAGGCTTCGGATCTGATCTAACGGCGAACGAAAGAAGACGCAGAAGCGATTGGGAAGATCGAGGGGTGGCCGTGGAAGGTTGAAAGCGAAGATCAAATAGCGTATTTGCGGGTCCATTCGCGGGCGGTCGCCTCGTACCGAGGACGGTCGGTCTTGTAGACGTGCGCGATCTCGGGCACCAACGGGTCATCCGGGTTGGGGTCTGTAAGCATCGAGCAGATCGACAGCAACACTGGGGACGTTAGTTTGGCATGCGAATATATGGCAGATCGAAATGCGAACCTTTAGAGATCGTGAGAGCAGGGCTCCATTGGTCTCGGAGGATATCCAGGCAGATGCTGCCGTTCGAGTTGATATTGGGGTGGTAGATGCGAGTGGTGAAGTTGACCTTGGGGGGCTTGAACGGGTAGTCGGTAGGGAAGTGGATCGAGAGGAAGAAGACACCTCCGGAGTATGGGGAGTCACCCTGAAATGTGTGCGTCAGTACAAGGTCCCAATAGAAACATCTTTATTTTTAGCCCGGGCGCCGGGCGCAGGGATCCGGCGTCTAGCAGACAACCCCACCCCGACAGCGGCTATGAGAGAGGGTGAATACTCACAGGACCCATTATCGTCGCTTGCCAGTGAAACTAAAACGAGGAGCATATGTTAGCACTGGAGTTTGCGGGACGGTTGCGATCGAGGATATCGAAACGGCCTTTGAACTGGGACGCCCGGCCGCAAGCGGCACGAGGGAACCAGACCAGGGCCGCAATACAACAGGACAGAGGGGATTCGTACCAGATCCTCTCCTGCGGGGCCAGCAGAGCAGGAGGAGGGGGGATCACTGCGAAGAAAAAGTTAGTTTCTTTGTATACATGCAAGACCGACCGGGCGAACAGGGGAGGGCGCCATGAGGCCCCGCGGTCGTGGCGGGGTGATACCGCCAGACGGTGAGGACCGGCACCCTGCGCCCCTTTTGCGTTGGCACACTTACCGGCCTAGATCAGCGAGTTCCTTGTTGATTCTCTTGAGAGCCATTTTGCAGGGTGTGATGTGAGAGAGGAGTCTTCCACTCGGTTGAGACAGAGGAGGGGGGAAAAGAGCGGGTATCGAATCTGAAGGTGGAAATCTGCACAGCACAACCCCTCGTTAGTCGGACAGGTCGAGAGGATGGGGAGAGTGAAACGAACGAGAAGAGAATGCAAAAGCGAAAGCCAAAGGCAGCAATACGGGCAAGAAAAGAAGGGGGACAGGAGGCAGAAAGGGAGGCAGGGGAAAGACTCACCGTGGATGATTACGTGGGAGGCGAAGAGAAAGAAAGAGGGGAAGGAATTTGGGCTGAAAAAAGAGAAAGCGAGCGAGAGCGACAGAAGGCGCCAGTCACGCCGTACCGTATTTTTGCGCCCGTGACCGTATTGTACTGCGCCACACCACAACTTCGTACCTGGACAACGCCTGACATGTACTCCCTACTCCAGAGTAATACTCTTTCTTTTACAACTATGTATACTTCCTACCCGTTCAGACGGTGTAGTCTCCGGAGTACTGGTCAAATATTTCTCTCATACAGATATGCAGTCCAGTCAACACATCAGAAAGCGGCGTCGCCACATTCTGATCACAATCGGGCAAAATGACTGGTCAGATCCAACCAATTTTTTTTTTCGCGGTACCTTTTGGAGAACAATGGAGAAGCGATCGAAGGAGAAAAGTGAATGTGGAAGAGAAAAAAAAAAAAAAAAAAAAAAAAAAAAAGGCCCGTCAAGACCGACCAAACTTTCCCATTCCATGATTAATATTAATTCGTTGTGGCGACGGCTAAGATCTCTAGTCCCTGTCCAGCGCCAGTTCGGGATTGAGCCCGGATCATCATCGTCATCGTCATCGGTTCGGGTGGGCTCTCCTACGGAGTACACTCGAAGTACCGTCTGTGTTGAGTGGAAAGTGCTGGTTGCCGTGCCCGATGGCCCATACGGTACCGTTCTCCCGGTAATCGCCTTACCGTACGACAGACAATTCACCGGCCCACGTGGCGCAGTCGGTCACGTGGGCTTTCTCGAAGGCTCTCCTATACTACATAGTAGACTGAGGATATGGATGGATTTCCTCTTGATCGTAGGATGGAATACTATTTACAATGTCTAATGTGTTATATTTAGACAAACGCCTGCACCCCCGTAATGGCGCGTCCCAGGATCAATGCTGTCCAATCATCAGCCCTCGACTAGACATGGATGCGACGGAGAAAGGGAAGTACTCACCGTGAATATCACTCTGCCCCTCGTACGTTTGCACGACAAACAAATTCGCCGAATGTCTCGCAATTCCGTACTCGTCGGCGGTTGCATTACCGCCAAACACCTCCTGCAGTCTATTCGACAGATGACGATTAGCGGGGAAAGCAAAATGAGAAGGGGAACAGCCAGTCAGCCACGTACATGCGGGAATTCGTTAGCGCCCGATCGCAGTTCTGTCGCTTGACCATCGAGATCATCTCCGGCGTGGACTTGCCCTCGTCCTTGAGCCGGGCGACCTGCGTGGCGGCCAGGGTTCCGTACGCCGCGTCCGTGGCCGCGTCCGCCAGCTTCTTCTGGATCAGCTGGTACTTGGCCAGCGGGTTGCCCTTGAACTGCTTCCGCTCGAGGGCGTAGGTGCGCGCCCGGCTGAGACAGTCCTCGAGGGCGCCCATGGCCCCAAAGGCAATGCCCAACCGCGCGCTGTTGAGACAGGTGAACGGTCCCGTCAGCCCCTGCACCTCGGGGAACATGTTCTCCACCGGCACGGGACAGTCGTCCAACTGGATCATGCCCGTGATGGATGCCCGCAGGCCGGTCTTGTTCTTAATGGCGGGGGTCTCCAGGGTACCCGGGGGGCACTGGTCACGTTCCACCACGAAGCCGCGGATCTTGCCGTCCAGCTTGGCCCACACGATCAGGACGTCGGAGATGGGGGAGTTGGTGATCCAGGTCTTGGAGCCCGACAGGAGATAGTAGCCCTTCTTTGTCGGATGCTCGCGAGCAACCGTCTCCATGGATCCAGGATCCGAGCCGTGGTTGGGTTCGGTCAGGCCGAAGCAGCCTGCGAGCTTGCCCTTGGCCAGGCCCGGGAGCAGTCGGTCCTTGAGCTCCTGTGTTCCGAAATCATGGATGGCCGTCATCGCCAACGAGCTCTGCACCGACATGCCAGATCGATACCCGGAATCGACGCGCTCGACCTCCTTGGTGATCAACCCGGAGGCGACGGTGCTTGCCCCTGCGCAGCCATATCCGTCGATGCTGGCACCCAGAAGACCCAACTCTCCCATCTCCTCCAAGATCTTGCGGTCGTAGTTTTCGTGGCGGTAGGCATCTGAACCAGACGGGAGCAGGTTAGCGTTTTGTTCCTCTAGACTATAGCACGGTGAAATGGGCGGTAGAAAGGTGCGCACCGAGGACTCGAGGGAGCAGGCGTTCCTGGCAGTATTGTCTGGCCGTGTCCTGGATGGCCAATTCCTCCGCCGTGTACAGTTCCGATGCCGCCAGCGGATCTTCCCAATTGAACGCCGTCGCAAACCCCCGGACCGACGCAGGAGTCTGGCAGCGGCGGGTTGCCGATTGAAGGTGGCGCGAGGCCATGCGGAGCATGGATGGATGCATTGCGCAACTGTCAGAGAATTAAGGTGGGATAAAAAGAAACAGAATTGATAAAATAGGAGATCTTCAGAATCTCAATCGTGCGCTGAATTGTCCAGAAGACGACGGAGCTCGATATTTAAGTCGACGACCTGCGTCACCAACAACGTGATGATAGTTATTGCGGGGAGAACTGGCCGATTTTCCGAAGAACGCAGGCAAAGAAGGCCCGCCTCGACCTCGGCAATGCCACTCGGCCCGCCTTGGGCTCCCGCGGAAGACTGTCCACGCGCATTCAACATAGCCGCTGAACTATAGACATTGTCCAGTTTTCATAGATTGTTTGTATGCATTGTTACTGGATTTACACCTGGAATCCCTATTTCTTAATGTATTTGGCAGTAATGGCTTTATGTTCAGCATATAATCATGATTGTACTATATAACTATCTACAACGCCCCGAAGAGCGTGTCCATGGTAGCATGGCAGGTGCAGGTATCTGCAGTTCATCAGATTTCGCTCTCGGGCCCGTCAACGGGTATATGGCCTGTGTAATAATCAGTCCGGCGCATGGAACCATTTGTCGCATTGTTGTAAGTGTAGAGAGGTTCCATAGGCCAGACCGGCAAGATTATGCTTGTGCGCTCCTAGTTTCTGATCAAGACTTCAGAAGATTCTGGACTTCAATACGTAGTCCATGATGCTGACTTCATCCTTTATATATAAATACCAGAACGCTGGTGCAATATATAGTAGCATCAAGCAGGCATCTGGGACTGCAAGAAGTCAAAAACCCCAGTAGGAAAATAATCCTCGTCGAATCCCCACAGATCGGGCATCATAGGATCCAGAGAGCCTTCAGAGAGACCGGCCTGCGCCTGGAGTTGCGCGGCTTCGGGATCAAAGCCATTGCCGCGCTCTGCAGACAAGGGAGCCACCCCAAGTAGCGGAGGTGGATGAGCAAGGATGGTGTCCCCTTCACCCAGCGGCTGGGCACCCGGGATGATGACAGGTTTGAACATCGACGAATGTTCATGCAGACGCTGTCCGGCTGACTGCTGGGTGCACGCATTCCGCTTCTCCCATTCCTCCAGTCCGGTGAGCATTTTTCTCAAGCCCCGGGCTATGTGGTGGCTAAGATGTCGGTCACTCGCCCTGCGACTGCAGGACACCATCAGCTCGACAACTCGCCCGACCAGTGCACGCACATAAGCAACGTTGATGCGTAGACCGGCTGATGCGATGGAGTTTTGTTGGCCTTGGCTCCCGGGGATGCTGTTTGAGCAGACTTTTGCCGCGATTTTCAGCAAAAATACAGCGGCGAATGTGATCATACTGTGGAGATACAATGGAACACCGACCAGCGCGGTCTGAATGTCTGGTTCGTCCAGGACGACCAGCAGCGTCTTGATGGCCGACTCGATGGCCAGGTTTGCGCGCTTCTTTCGCTCGGGAGACATCGAGCGGGCCGAGATTGAGGAATGATAAGTCCGTAAAGCCACGGAATTTAGTTGTAGGCGAGAAAAATGGTAGTGCAGGTAGACGGCTTTATAAGGATACGCACCAACATATTGACTCCCGGCTATAATCCCATTAGAAAAGGAAAGGAAACGGGGGAAGGGGGAAAGATGACAGGTGTTGGTTATACATACACAATCGAGGCAGCCACGAAGATTTCCAGGTTTCCAGATCGGCATCATACTCATCAATGGTGTCAAACTCGCTCTCCGGGACCTCCAGGTCGACATCCGGACCGAAAGCGTGATATATCCTGGTGAGAATAATGAACAGATCGACCTGACTATGCAGTCGTAGCTCGGCCTGTGTCGATGTGGGGGATAGAGTAAATGCGTTGTGATTTTTAATACTGTGATCCTCGTGGATAATCGGCGGGCGGCCATAGGCAATCGAGAAATGATGCTCCAACGTCTAAGGGTGACAGGTTAGCAGCAGACCAGGAACAACAGGGATAGCAATGCCTACATAAAGAAGATACCATAACCGAGCCTGCTCTATATGTTCTGGCGAGCCTTGCGTGGCTTTCCTATAAGACTGATGGAGACCAAGTTCCGTGGCTATACGTACGCAGTGGCCGGACAACTTCCAACTAATGTCCGCCAGCCAAAACGCCCCAATACATAATGCACGTAAATCATCCAATGTATGGTGGTCAAGCATAGATGCCGACGCTAATCGGGCGAATTCGTTATAGCAAATGTCGAAGGTTCTCTCTTTGCCATGTATATGGAGGGACGTCACGGTTAGGATGGCGGCCGTGAGCATGGTGGAAGAGTTGCGGACAGAAGTGAGATCTTTATGTATGAGCGCCATGCCGTCCCATAGATATCGGTTGAGCACCCGGTCAAAATAGAAAAAAAGGTCTTGCGCCTCTTGTATGCCCACCAGACCTCGGGAGATGAAATCGGTGACAAGGGCCCTGTCGTAAGCGTATTGTCGCTTGGGGGTATTCGCCTGGATCTCGCTCAATTGAGTCACCTCATATAAGCTCCCCATTGGCGCATTGACTATCGAAGAGACGCCATTTTCCTCCCGATCAAGGGCAAACTGCGACTCTTGCTGGAAGGACTGGGGAGCCGTGTCGGGTCCGTCTGCCGCCGTGCTAGCAGTGATATCGACCGAATTCGTTCTCCGATCGTGTCCAACCGCGACCCCAGTATCTTCCGTAGACACGGTCGACTCTTTTCGATCCTTCTTCTTAGGCGGCGGCTCGGTCGAGCGACCCGCCGCTTGGTAGTATGCGAGGTTTGGTAATTCGGCTTTGCTTAACAAGTCGGCCATGGCAAGCTCTATCGTGGTTTTCCACCTGTGAAAATCCAAACACGGTCAGTTTATTCCGGCCGACACATACATTTGATCTTAATACCGGGAGGGTAGAAATTACTCCGCTTCGTCATCTAACAGGGTCTGAAGACTCTTGTTGACGACGCAATCTAGACCCATGCGCCGACAGCGATGGCAGGTCGACTCGCCCGCTTTCATGTCACATTTCACTTTATGCCGCTTACACTCCGAGCAGGCCTTGATTTTCCGACTGATTTTGGGAATATGACCGGCGTTCTGCTGGGGATCATTTCTCATGGCAGGATGGTGCGCCGAAGCGCCCTGAGGGGACGAGACGGACGACGCATCGTCATTGGCGTCAAAATGAGGACGGCTTCGTTTCATGACGCAAAGAAATTCATTGCCCGAGCCAATGCATACAACATTAAAGAAGGTCTAAGGCCTACCCCTCTGGCCCACAAGAAAGGCCGTTACGGAGAGTTGGAGAGGGGAGGGGTTTCGGAGACTGCGAGCAAATCGGGGAGCGAGGTGATGATCGGGAGTGCTTAGATAACTTAGGATGCATTGGAAGAAAGCGGCACTAGTGCCATCCAGGGTAGTCAGTGGTCCATAGCGAGAGCGCCTAGGCATGGTGAGTCTTGGGGACTTCTGCCGATGCCATCAACTCGGGTCGCTCAGTTTCCCCGAAGACGGAGCGAAAGAGACGCGGAGCAGTGGGGGAGCCACGTGATGCACCCACCCGCCGGCGCTAGTCCCGACGGGGTTTAATGACGACCGGCGCGAAGTCGCGTCGTCGCGACCGACGGCTGCCTCGAAGGCTGCATGCTTCAACCTGGAGGTTTTGTGAAGACTGGCGAAAGAAGGACTTGACATTCTCAACTTGTGTTTTTTCTTCCTTTTTTCCTCGAGTTTTCCAAGTGTCAAAGCTTTTGCAATGGGTATTAAACGTAAGTCGAGCTCCCTTTCCAGTCAATTGACACCTGACGCGAGCTTCGATACTAATCGCCCTGGCAGAATTATACTCGGTTATCTCAGAAAACGCCCCCGATGCGATTAAATCGGGGGATATCAAGAATCACTTCGGTCGGAAGGTCGCTATTGTACGTTATCCCCCTTGGTCATGCTGCTGTTGAACAAACCGAAGCAACTAACAGATGTCCCTTGAATCTAGGATGCGTGCGTTGTCTCCGAGCATTGAAAAACTCGCAAGCACTAACCCAAACAATGCAGTTCTATGAGTATCTACAGTTTCCTGATCGCCGTCCGATCCGAAGGCCAGCAGCTTATGAGCGACACGGGCGAGACGACGTCGCATCTGATGGGCATGTTCTACCGCACGCTGCGAATGGTAGATAACGGCATCAAGCCCCTATATGTATTTGACGGAGCTCCGCCGAAGCTGAAGTCCGGCGAGCTGGCCAAGCGTACGGCGCGGAAAAGCGAGGCGACGGAAGCGCACGAAGAGGCCAAGGAGACGGGTACGGCGGAGGATGTCGAGAAGTTTTCGCGACGGACCGTGCGCGTCACGAGGGAGCACAACGCGGAATGCAAGAAGCTCATCAAGCTGATGGGTATCCCCTATATTGACGCGCCGACGGAGGCTGAGGCGCAATGCGCGGTTCTCGCCCGCGCCGGGAAGGTCTATGCTGCCGCGTCGGAGGATATGGACACACTTTGCTTCGAGGCGCCGATTCTCTTACGGCATCTTACGTTCAGTGAGCAGCGGAAGGAGCCCATTCAGGAGATCCATTTGAACCGTGCGCTGGAAGGCCTCGGTATGGATCGGAGCCAGGTGAGCTATATCGTTTGAGGCGTCCGTTCAGCGAGAGATGCAGACCCCAACTAACGCGACGCAGTTTATCGATCTATGTATCCTACTGGGGTGCGATTACCTCGAGCCAATTCCCAAGGTGGGACCCAACACGGCGTTGAAATTAATCCGGGAGCACGGCAGCCTGGAGAAGGTGGTCGAGGCCATCGAGAACGACCCCAAGAAGAAATACGTCATTCCCGAGGACTGGCCGTACCAGGACGCGCGCGAGCTGTTCCTCAACCCCGACGTCCGGGACGCCAGCCACGCCGACTGCGACTTCAAGTGGGATGCGCCCGACGTGGAGGGGCTCATCGACTTCCTGGTCAAGGACAAGGGGTTCAACGAGGACCGGGTGCGCAACGGGGCTGCTCGGCTGCAGAAGAACCTAAAGTCGGCCCAGCAGTCCCGGCTGGAGGGCTTCTTCAAGCCCATGGCCCGGACAGACGCGGAGAAGGCCAACCTGAAACGCAAACACGACGAGAAGCTGCAGGAGCAGAAGAAGCGCAAGAAGGACGAGGCGAAGGCCAAGAAGGAGGCCAAGGCCAGACCTCGCGGTGCCGGGTAGACGCGAGGACGAACCAGGAGGATCACTCCGTAGGAATCAGAATAATATTTATGGGCCGAATGAAAATCAACAAAATCAAAGCAAAAGCGGGCAACTGGGAGCAAAACAGGCGTTGAGCGGAGACCGGGATTAATTGACAACAACTTGCGTTCGGACGAGGCGTGGCGGTTCCCTATTGGAATGCCAGCGTCCAACCGTCCCTGTACCTAGGAATATGCTGTACGAATGAGATAATTTTTCCGTTAATTTTGATTTTATTTCGAGAAAACCCGCCGGGTGAAACACTGTGGGGAAGGCGGATTTTGGGTATGTTTTGGTCTGGTTGGGGCTGTTGTGCAGGATCTGCCGTGGGAAGTCAATCGGAGCCAGGGCACGATGCGTGTTGGGCACAAAAGCCATTGGCCGTGATCCTGGGTCCCTCGGGGCTGCGAGCACGCCAAATCATCATGGGCGAGACTGGCCTCTTGGGTCTCTATTTCTGGGTTTGGACATGACGGTGCTGGCGGTTCTGGGACCTGAGTGTGGCGTGCATCGGAGGTTCTGCTGTTCGACTGTGCTACCTACTCGGGGGTGGTGATAGGGCTCGCTAGGATGGGCGTACAACATTCAAATCAATTAATGTACTCTAGTATTCTATTTCATGACTCTACGGTGGATTCTGTATGTAGTGTATTGGTTTTAATTTGATAAAGACAATGTTGAGGTTCTACGTTGAGAGATCACAAGAGATGGGTCTAGATCTATATATCTCGGCTGTCGGATGCCGTCATTGCAGAGGATGATACCCCCAACCCACACAGACCAACCTGAGAGCATTGCACCTCAATGCTGCAGGAAACAAGGCAGATGGAATCTCCAGACCCTCTACTATCGATAATGACCCAATAACCCCAGGTTTGGTGGACAGATCAGCCGTTGCGACTGCGAGCCAGATCACCAATCATCGGCACGAGAGAGGCCGTGATGAAGGTGGATATGATCCTGGGACCGACATGTCGTGAATCGGAGCAGTTTGCGGGAGAATCCCCAGTAGCGACCGATATCTTCTCCTGAACCTACCAAGCAAGCGTGCAATTCCCTCGCAAAGCCCGCAACCCGAGGGGTGGTGAATCTCCATCAAGATCGGGACCCGGAGCCAAGACGCGGATGTGCCGGACGAGGGCGAGAAGTAGATCACGCAGGACCCATCCGACACTTCTTGTTTGATTTTCCCAGTTCCCACATCTATAACGCTCTGAGACTAGCTCTATTGCTTCTATTCTACTGTCGTCACCCAAGACAGACCAGCAGGATGAACCCAGTCCCAAGCGCGGACGTACAGTAGCAACGCATCAATTCCTACGGGCCACCGCCCAGGCCACCCATGGATCGTGATCTATAACACCGGGCGATCAAACCAATGACACAGACGAGCAAGCTGCCATCAGGGTTCAGACTAGGCCGTTCAAAGCAACGACGAAAGGCAATGGATACATCATGCCACCCCGTGACCTTGGGTTTGGGCACGAGGTCTGGTGAAACCCTCGTCCGGAACGGGGGGAGCGTAAGTCTGGGTCTGGGTCGGGGCTGACATGCTACAAACGTACAAAGACAGAGCTCGTCCATTACAAATGTACAGCTCACGAGGGATCATGGCTCGACGGTCGATGCAAGGGACCGTTCAGGGGGTGGCATCCAGCTTCTCCATGTCCTCCAGCTGCTGCGCAAGCCGTGAGGAGGTCATGAGCTTGATTGAACGGCAGTCCCGTGCAGAGACAGCTCTCTCTCGCTCTCTCCCCAGCCATGCGTGGGGATCCGTAGCTCCAGAATGGCAGGGAGAAAACCACCCACCAGCGGGTATTGTAGATGGAGGACTCGAATGATTTATTCAGGGATTTTTTTTAGAGGTTGAAGGGACTAGAATGGGGATTTTGGGAAACGCGTGTGGAGGGATTGGGCATGCGATAGTCACGACAACGCGATCATTTGGGATAGGAAGAAAGGAGCGAAAATCAGAGTGGGAAAAAAAAAAGAAAAAAAAATTATTGTACGAAGGGAAATGTTTGGAATGCGCATAGACCAGCATCTTATTGAATTTACTGCACTAGAAAGGGGAGGACCCAGACGAGAGAGATGGATGGGGGAAGGAAAGCAGCACGCGTTGAAGAATCATGAGGGAAATCCTTTTCTACGGCATTACGAGAAGAGAAGAGACGCTCGACCTCAACCGAGAAAACCCACGGCCAAGAGCAAACCACACGAAAGTCTGATAGACGACGGGCGAGCACAGCGCAGAAGAAAAACAAAAGGCAGAGGGAAAAAAAGAAGGAAAAAAAAAGAGGAGACGGGCCTTGACGTGTTGTGAGAGAGAGCGAGTGATCCTGTGTCAACACCCGCGGCCCTATAAAGCGCGCATGCCCCGCGGCCTTCCACCCCTTCCGTCGTCGTCTGCTTTTCTCTTCTTCGATTCCCACCCACCATCCACTCGACTTTCGCTCGATTCTCGACTATCTTCATCTTCCTGTGTCGCTTGACTATCGTCCACTTGCTTTATTCTCACCCATCACCCCTCTAACCCCTCAATATGCCTCCCAAGAAAGCCACTACTGCCGCGACCAAGAAGGCTGCCGGCTCTGGTCACGCCTCCTACCGTGGTATGTTTCCCCTGATCTTCCACCCCCACCACATCGCGTAGGGGTGATTCGGGTACTGTCCTCGTCGCGAACGACTGCTGATTCGTGTAATATAGATATGATCAAGGATGCTATCCTGAACGTGAGTTGATCACGCCATCGCCGAGCTGGCCTTGGGGATGACGGGCGCGGGCGTCAACCGTCTGCGACCGGGACACGCCTCCGCGTCGTCAATCCCCCCAACGCCGCGTCGGACTCGCTTGATTTTGTAATTACTGTGATCGCTGACTCTCTCTTTCCCTCCAGCTGAAAGAGCGCAACGGTAGCAGGTAAGCTGAATTTAATTTTCCTCCATCATCGGACCCGGGTGAGGGTTGCCGACGTGGCAGTCGCCTGCTTCCCCTCCCGGACGATGTCCAAGTCACGACTGGAGACTAACGCTCGTCACAGCCGCCAGTCCATCAAGAAATACGTGCAGGCCAACAACAAGCTCTCGTCGGCCACCCCGGCTGCCTTCGACAGCCAGTTCAACAAGGCCATCAAGACCGGCGTTGAGAAGGGTGACTTCACCCAGCCCAAGGGTAAGTTTCTCCGTCGTCGCGCGTCCTTCCATTCCTTTGCATTGCTGTTCCTGGTGTCTCGTTGCCACTGTGCCTGCGCGTGTTCACGAGGCTTTTTATCGCACTGTCATTTTTTGTTGGTTAGCTGGGGGTCCCACTGACGCGTCTTGTTCTCAGGTCCTTCCGGCCCCGTGAAGCTCGCCAAGAAGGAGGCTGCTCCTAAGCCTGCTCCCAAGGTAAGCTCTTATCTTTGATGTCTGATCAAACCCTTGAATTCTCGCTGACCCCGACCAGAAAACCACCACTGCTGCCAAGCCCGGTCCCAAGAAGGCCGCCGCGAAGAAGACCGAGAAGTCTGAGAAGGCCGAAAAGCCCAAGACCACCAAGAAGACCGCCACCAGCGGCACCACCGCGAAGAAGCCTGTCGGCCGCCCCAAGGCCAACACTGCCAAGCCTCGCAAGGCCTCGACTACTGTAAGTGATTGATTTCCCCGGGTTCTCGACGCGAGACGTACTGACCGCAAAGCAGGCGCCCGCCGTTGTCGACCAGCCCAAGGTCATCGGCACGACCAAGTCGGGCCGGGTAACCAAGACGACGGCCAAACCTGCTGAGAAGGCCAAAAAAGCGGCTCCCAAGAAGAAAGCCACCTGAAGCTGAGAATTCTCCGTTGAAATTCTGAGCGATTGCGTGATGTTTTTCCTTTTTCGTTTTGCTTTCCGCTTGATTTGGTTTTCGTGACGTGCTTTGGGTGATATCTTTTGGGTTTATCCCTTCTCTCTTCGGTTGTAATTTTTTTTTTATTTTCCTCTTGTCTATCGCTACTTGTTCTTGCGAGGACTGTGTTTCTGGGATACGTTGGTTGTTCTTTCGTTTTATCGGCAGGAAAGGCGTCTAGTGGTGGATCTTGCAACGGGAAATATCTTATCTTGTTTTTTAACTGCTTGGTCGGTTTGAAGTCCCGGTCTTCGGACGAGGGTTGCAACGTCGAATGAAATTACTTGACCATTTTTCATGTGTTCCTTGCCATCGTACGGAGTAGAGAGGGGATGCTGATCATCCCCGGTGGATAGCAATGCATGACGCCGAGCGGCAAACGGAGAAGGGAGAATGTTGATCATACGCAGCCCACCCACTACTCGGTATGAGCGTTGCGAATTCCCAGGATCCCTGTCCACGAGGATGCACGGCGGGTTGGAATGGGTATTTGTGAGGTGTATACCTCGATAGCTGTATAGCTGTATAGTGTATACGGCCCGATCCACGGGACAGGGCGGGAGCGTAACTCCGAGGATTATTCTTATTTATTAGCATGAAATCAATCGTACTGCGTATTCATTATTTACTCAGCACCTAGTACATGGAGAATACAGGATCCATTCCAAAAATAGCAGAGAAAGAGCACTATTCGTTATTACCCGCCAATCTTACCGTACCCACTTGTGCCTTTATGTAGGTAGGTAGCCAGTCACCACCGTAAAAGCTGCAGCTGCGATAGGTAGGAAGACATCTACAGACACGAGGAGTCTGGAATTAGCTCGAGAGTCTGACACCCGCCGCCACACCGACTGGCTTTGCCGGAGCAGGGGGGAGGAGGGGAGGGCTCCTACTTAGTAGGGCTCATTGCGTCAGGGCGGAGGCGAATTACTCGGGTGACGTTGTGTACGTGTCGAGTCTGTCCGGAGGGTGCATTAGAACGAACATCCGGTAACTGGGGAGTGGACTGGGGAATTGTCAGTTAATATATTAACTACCTAGGAAACTAGCTAACCAATTAACTAACCTGTGGTATCACTGAGTCAGAGTGCCTCTAAACACATCGTCTCCTTATCTCGATCGCACGGGGGATTCCATCTGAAGTACTGCGTAAGGGCCGTACGGTTTCCGTGCCTGGATTGCGTCCCGCTAGACCGTGTTGGGGAACCTCCGGCCCGCCCTGGAAATATGCCGACGGACATAAAACGTTATGCATTCTGTGGTTTCTGCAGAGAAGATCGGCTTCGGAGAGGGACTGCGTTCTCTATTTTGGAATCGGTTTGTTGATAATGGGGATATGGGTACTCCGTAGGAAGAGCAGTCTACGAACATGTACATGTACCTTACCTCGCTGGAGGAAGGTCAGCGGCGAAATGAAGGAAATTTGCGGCCTAATCATACTACGGATACTTGGCTGCCGTACCCACTCGATGTTTCCGCTGGGAATCCTTTCTTGATATCAGGAGAAGACGATGGCTCAGTAGGATGGGCTGCGTTGGGACTCTCGGAGTATCCTGAGTATTCGAGACATAATGGAGAACGAAGATGGACTGGCATATACTCTATACCAGTAGACCAGCATGTAGAGTATGCCATACCTGGCTACTGTGCCTAGTAATTACAATCTCCACCGACTGGGTCCCTTTCCCCTTCTTTGGACGCCCACCAGCCTCGCTGCCATCATCGACGAGGTTAGTTCATCCTGACCTCCCGGGGCCTTTGCCAGAAGTGCGCTTTCTCTCTTTCCTCCCCCCCTCTCTCTCTCTCCGTCTCTCACCATCGCCCCCCGGGAATACCTTCATTACCAGCCTGCACTCCTTATACGGGCGGATTACCAGCAGTCGCCGCACGCTCCTTTGACTTTCTGGGGGCCCGGTGGAATTACGAATACCAGCAGCCCCAATCACTTCCGCCTGCTCGTCCGGATCTTTTCCAACTTTCTCTCATCCCATCCCATCCCATCCATTCCACCATCTCTTCCCCTCTTCCCTCCTTCCCCCTCCCCTCCGGTCTTCCTGGTCAGTTCCCTCTTTCTTCGACCAACTCCCGCCAGCGTATCGCCTGCATCGCTTCATCCGATCTATCTCGACCCCCCTTTTCTTTTTTCTCCGTCGACTCGGCACACGCCTGGACCCAATTCATCCATCTCACCGGCCTCCAAACACCGACACGTCGACGGTGCCGGATTGACTGCCAACTTTCTCGTCTCTCTCTTTACAGGACCATGCCTATCGGTCGCTAAATCCCCCTGCCTCTCCGGCTGGCCACTTCCGCCCGACCCAGGAACTTTGTTCTCGCACTGGAACGTCCGCCATTGGCCGCCCACCGCTGTCCTTCCCATCGAACCCCCTTCCGTTCCGACTCCTTTCGTCGCTCGACCCCCAAGAGAGAATCGACTCAAGTCTCTGGCAGGCTGGCCGTTGCCTCGGACTCGTAAGCCGATCGCGGTTTAGATCCCCTCCTGATCTCCTATATCCTGTCCTGCTCTTCTTCGCCCTCGGAACTCTCCCCGCCGGGAGTTCAAGCCAAGCCGATCATGCCGTCCTTCTCTAGTGACGGCCCTTACCAGTCAGCCACCGCTACCGCTACCCATCCTCGACCCTTCGACTCGCCCCAGGGAAAACCGCACGATAAGACCTCTGTCGGCAACACCTTCCTGTGGACCAACTGGCCCAATGGGGACGCCAACCACAGCGACGGTCCCCCGAACGACCGTCATCATCTTGCCAATGGCAGTGCCTACTCTCTGAACGGAGGACCCCGATCGAGTGCCAGCTCTTACAACCGGGACCTCCCGCATTCGAAAGACGGAAGCATGCACTCGCTAGGAAATGGATCCGCCCGAGACCCTCGAGACACGGGGAGGCCTTCGATGACGCTGGACAGGGAATACACTCCGAGATCCTCGGATGTCGGCGCGGGTGCTGGTTCGATGACTTCAATGTCCGGCCAGCAGCCCAACGGCACGTCGCCGGGCCCCCGTTCGCTCGGTGGAAAGCCCATGGTGAACGGTGACTATTCCCGCCCCTCCGTTGATGAACTGGCATTTTCGGACTCGACAGGCAATGTGACCGGAACGCGCTTGTCATCCTCGCAGCCCGAAGACGCCGGCCACCTCTCGGCGGACGCCGGACGGTTATCCCCTCCGCCAAAAGGACCCCATCGCTACTCTTCTCCGCCCGTGCCGTCGAGCGTGGACGGCCCTTCTCAGCAGGATCCGAGCAACCCCGGCATTCGACAGCGACATACCCTTCAGGTTCCCAGAACGACCAGCGGACGGCGCAGTAGTCGAGACCACTCCGAGGATACTGCTTACAGCAGTGGCCGCCTATCGCCCACGACGGGTGCCCGCCGTCCGTCCTTCAACCTTGGCCGCCGGGCCAGCCGAACAAATCGCTCCGACACGTTTCCCGACGAGATGAGTCCGGATGACGACGCGGCTCGATGGGCCGAGGCCATCAAGCACAGGAGGGCCTCGAGGCGAAAGCGCCGGGACGACGACGACGACGAGCGCGTTATTGTCGGAACCAAGGTGGACCAGAACCATGTGAATTGGGTTACGGCCTACAACATGCTTACGGGAATTCGGTTTACCGTGTCGAGGATCAACGCGAAGATGGATCGCGAACTAACGCCGGCTGATTTCGAAGCCAAGCATAAATTCTCATTCGACATGTATGCGCCAGTTCCTTCTACCCTCCCATTTGCTCTCTCCGTTTTTGTTTTTCTTTTTGCTGATCGTGGCTCCTGAAACAGAACTGGTAACGAGTTGACGCCCTCCGCCAAGTACGATTTCAAGTTCAAAGACTATGCGCCGTGGGTTTTCCGAAGTCTCCGAAACAAATTCCGCATCGATCCTGCCGACTACTTGATGTCCCTGACCAGCAAGTATATTCTGTCGGAACTGGGCTCGCCCGGTAAAAGTGGAAGCTTTTTCTATTTCTCGCGGGATTACAAGTACATCATCAAGACGATTCACCATTCGGAACACAAGCTGCTACGCAAGATCCTTCCGGAATACTACAAGCATGTTGAGAAGAACCCTAACACGCTCATCTCCCAATTCTACGGCCTCCACCGCGTGAAGATGGCGTATGGTCGGAAGATCCACTTCGTCGTTATGAACAACCTCTTCCCGCCCCATCGGGATATCCACCAAACGTTCGATCTGAAGGGATCTACAATTGGTCGTGACTTTCGCGAAGAGGACCTCGAAAAGAATCCCAGGGCGACTCTGAAGGACTTGAACTGGGTTCGAAGAAACCGACAGCTTCAGTGCGGCCCATCGAAACGGGAGTTCTTCCTTGCGCAGCTTGAGAGAGATGTGGAATTGCTGAAGAAGCTCAAGATCATGGATTACTCTCTTCTGGTGGGAATCCACGATGGCGAACGAGGCAACGAGGAGAAGCTCCGTGACAAGACGTTGCAAGTCTTTTCACCCGGAGGTGACCGTGAAGAAGAGGCAAATCCCAACATGCTGATGCGAACACCCTCCAAGCTGGAGAGTGAGCGCAAGGCGCGCGAGTTACGGATGTCCCTCAAACGAGAACGTCCGGTGCCTCTCGATAAGGCCACCGCGAAGATGCCGGAGGAGATCCTTGACGAACGCAAATTCCATGTGTTCTATTCCGATGATGGCGGGTTCCGTGCAACCCATGAGAACGGGCAAGCCGGAGAAGAGATTTACTACCTCGGAATAATCGACTGTCTGACACACGTGAGTTCTACCGCTGACTTGGATCGACCTACGTTGCTAATCTTGACCTTCCGTCGCTTCTAGTATGGAACCGTGAAGAAGATGGAACATTTCTTCAAGGGACTCTCCAATGATCGGACTCAAATATCACCAGTTCCCCCGGAAGGGTATGGTGATCGTTTCATCCATTTTATCAAGGGTATCACGATGTCGAAGGAGGAAGCCGAGCGACACCGGGAGTCCCGGGTCTCTGAACAGCGTTCGTCTTCCGTTGAAAGGACAATGCAGGCGGCTGAGAAAGAGGCGGCTAAAGATGTGTCAATAGCCACCCCTCGAACGTTGTCGACTGTGCGGGACCCGGCAGACCCCGGCGGTAGCGTGCCTGCGTCGACTCTACCCATTGTCGATGAGGCCGGCGAGGCCAGCAGTGTTGGAGGCCAAAGCCAGCACAGCCGACAGGGCCCGTCGCCAGTCCCAGAGAAGGATCTACCGCCGCTGCCCAATCATCACCATAACCATCACCATCACGCTTTTGGATTCGGCGGAAAAGGAAAGGCGGTGGCTTAAATCAAGCCCTACAACCGTCTATTCCATCCAAAGCAAATAATCCAGCCATCTTGTGATCCTCTCAGGTCTCGATGGTCAATTGGTCGATTTTCATGATACCCACTCCGTACCTGGTCATGCTTTGCTTACCTGGCACATTTTTTGGCGCCCCGGATTCTTGGCTTCCTAATTCCGCGATGCATCTTCTTCCCCGTGTTTCTTTCGGAAACCACTCTTGTGATAGTGTTGATGTTACCACGATTGATGTGAGTTTCTTGTCTTTTTCTTCTCTCCAGGGCGCACTTGCCGCCCATCTCGGCATCTCTCTCTGTCCACTTGATATCCCCCTCAGCTTTGGTTTTGAATTCGTCTTGGTCAAGCGTCACACTGTCCACGAAACACCTTTCTCTCTCTGGTTACCCTTTATACAACCCGGCAAGCAGTCTTTGATCCTGTGTACTATCTTTTGGAGGGCCTCCGGGGACTCTTTATATTTCCTTTTCTGTCTGTCCCTTTCGCTGTGCCCTGATCAGGGCCATTTTCGACATCTCAATGTCAAGGGATCTACATCCCTTGGTCTGTCGAGATATCTCTCTTTACCACACGGGCTCAGTGGATTGTCCCAGCTCTTTCTACCTTTTCTTGTACTACATACACCACATTCGTCCATCATTTCCTTATCTGTTTTCCAGTCTCTGCTACTATAACCGCGGTCGATCTGTCGACCGCGCTGCACTCTCTTCTCTGATTTGTTATACTTTCCTTCTGACACATTCCATCCACACTCCCTCTTATCTCCTATCCTGTTTTCTTTCATTTTCATTTTTTTTTCTCTATATTCGATTTCCTTGCCTCTTCGTTTTTGACCTACTCACCACCTCGTCTAACCCGGATATTGTTTGCCATCACTTGAATCACTGTTTCTATTCTCTGTTGTATAATTTGAATGGGGAGAAGCGAAAGCATCGTTTGTCGTGAGCAGGTTTGAGCGACTTAATTATGTCAATGTTTTAATTGTTTTTTATTTTTTTTTTCCCTCTGCTTTTTCTCTTTTTTCGCATGTTCATCTTTTTTTAACCTCCCTCATTCTTGATTTCTGTTTAGAAGATTGATTGATAGAAGAAGTACAGCGCTGCAAACAAGCAAGTCTCTAGAGAATTGATACCAATATGCTCTTGTTCTTATCTATCTCTGTTTGTCTGTATCTTTAAATGGAGTGTTTAGTTGTTTTAAGATTGGATTGGACTTGATGTAGTTGGCTCGTGGGTAGGGTAGGGAATAGGGAATAAATAAGAGATAAGAGTAGTATTCATTGCTTCCTTTCAGTCTGTAAATCACTATCAGTACCTTACCTTATCATTCATGAACGATGAACGAGCATGGCAGAAAGAATAGAAACAGGAACGGAAACGAAACGGAACCACCTCAGCCTCGACCTTGATCTTGATCTCGACCTCAACAGGCCAAGACAGGCCAAGACAAGGAAGGGAAGGGAAGGAAAAGAGAATACAATAGAAAACGTAATGATGGGATGGGATGTAATAAATCGCAAGGCAACGCAACGCCAAAATACATGCAGACAGACCTCACCAGCATTCCGATCAACAAGACCAACGACGATAGATACGTAGAATAGAAAGAGACTTAGTATGAGAAAAAGAACAAGGACAAGGACAAGGAAGAAAGAGAACAGAGACGGGACGGACGCCAACCAACGCCATTTTGCCCTTGTCAATTTAGAGGGCGGAAATCAGAGGGTGGGTTGTTAAAACAAGGTAGATGGTTCGAGGGGGAATAAGTAGCGTAGAAAGAAGAAAGAGACCGTGGAAAAGAAGACCTGCACCCTATCGTAAACCCATCACTGATTGGTATATTGAATGATTATGACCCCACGGAAAAGAAAACTGGAATCGCAAAACTGGAAAACGGAAGATTGTGTAAAAAGAAGAATCCAAGATATCAAGACAAGTCGCATGGTGGGCCTTATTCCGCTTTGCCCTGGGTGACCTTGGCGGCTTGGATGGCTGACATCTTCTGAGTCCAGCCTTGAGTGGGTTGAGGCTTCTTCACCGTGCGGAGGTCATCGGTGGAGAATCCGGAGATGCGCATGTTGTAATTTCGCTCGAGGACGAGTTGGATGTCGCGCATCTCCAGAGTAGACGAGGGACGGAGTTTGGCGAGACGGCAGGCGGCGGTGATGACGTCGTCAACAAAATCATCCGCCATTTGGATGATGAACTGCGCGCGAATTAGCTGTTGTAAATGGAAGAGAGAGAAAATGGCCTACCTCTTCGGCATCTGGGGTAAGACCCTCGCCTTCGCCCCCTCCAGTCACTTGACGAACCAGAATATCAAGCATCTTCTTGCTGAGTACGCGCTGACCTTCACCCTCGAGAACATAACCAGGGTGCTTCTGGATCGCAGGCTGCCCCATCATACCCATCGCACCGTGGCTGGGACCTCCCGAGAGAGTTGGTCGAGATGGCGCCATGGTGACAGGCTCGGGAGGGGGAACGTTCAGGTTCTTGGGGATAGCCATGTTGATATTCCGCGCGGAGTTTTCAGTCGAGCGGTTGGGGATGTAGCCTTGAGGGTGAGCGTGCGAGTTATTGGCAGCTTGTGACATGGGCTGTTGCTGGCCCACGTTTGTATTGGGAGGGGTGCTACTGCCGGTATTGTTGGAGTAGCTCTGCGCAGCCTGGGCCATCGCAGCCTGCTGGGACAACGGGCGAGGGGGACCTTGCACGGTGACCGGTTGTGTGGCTGTAGGTGTGGGTGTAGAGCCATCCAAATTGGGCACTTGGGTGAACGTGACCTGGGATCCGGGGGTGGCCTGCTGAGGCTGGGCCTGCACAGGCTGCGGTTGCTGGGGCGGTTGCTGAGGAGGGATGCCTTGGACGGCAGGTGCAGGAACAGGGGCTTGACCCGTGGGCGTCTGACCTTGTTGGGAGTTTGATGGAGACATTGCCACCTGTCCAGCCTGATTGCGCGCGGCGCTCACCGCCGAGGTGATGGTGTGAGGCGCAGGCGTCGGCGCTTGTCCAGGATGCATTGTATTTTGCGGATTTGCCGGTCCGCCGGGACCTGCAGTTGGCGCGGGAGTTGGTGCAGCAGCAGGAGGACCGGGCGTGGGACCGGCAGTATTTGGTACACCCGTCCTATGCGTCTGCGCCTTGAAATTCTCCTGCTGCTCCTTGAACTTGGTCAAGAAGTCTCCGCCCTCCCGGTACAGCTTCTCCGCCGCCACCTGCCGAGTCTTGAAATCCTGCAGATCATCCTGGGACAGGCTTCCGGACGCCTGTCGCTGGGCAAACTGCTGACGGAGATCATTCGCACGCGCCCGTCCAATCTCCTGTTTCTGCAGCGCGATCCCGTATCGTAATTTGGCTTCCGGAAGCCATGTCTGCGCCTGCTCGTGACTGATGTTCGGAGGGAGGAAGAAGTGCAGACTGTTGACCTTCTGCTGGATCTGGGGGAGAAGCTGGGCAAAGTTCTGAGGGTTGACCGACTGCGCGCGGGCGACCGGCTGGCCCTGCGCGGCCGCTGTCTGCTGAATCTGCTGCTGTTGCATCTGACGACTCTGTTGAAAGGCCCGCATGCCTTTCATTAGATTCTGCGAGATCTGAGTAAGTCGGGTATGGGCGTGCTGATATTCGGAACTCTTTGGGTCTCGGCTGTTCAGAACCTCCCAGAAGTTGCGCACCAGCTGAGTGTGTTGAGTCTTTTGTTGCTCATTGAGATGGGGAAGCTTCTGGACCTGGTCGGTGCGGATCAGGTTTGAGTGTTGCGGAACCATAGGCTGCGGCGCCGGCGCGGGAACCTGAGAGCCTTCCATATTTTTTTTTTCTTTCGTTCCTCCTTTTTAGTATAGTCCAAGCAACGGAATTTGCTTCAGAAATGACAGCCGGGTGTCCGGCTGATAGAAGATGAACCGGAAAGCGAGGTACCTTCCAATCGTGCCGCGATGGGAGGGGGCTGGGCGAACGAGCGAGTCGCGTCCGGCTGTCCGAGAAGCTTGAGGCGTGCCGACTTTCAAAGAGGCCGAATGAAACGAATGAAGCACCACTGAATCGAAGACAGCTGGTCCCCGGCAACGGGAAGGAGAAGGCGTGGATGCAGCGACGGCGGGAGGCTGAAGGACGACGAGATGAAGTCCGTCCGAATTCATTGGCGGAGGCGGTGCGGAGCCGCAGCCTTGGCATCAGGCATTCAGGTGCTCTACATTTCTATGAGTCTATGAGGTCGAAGTGAATGCACTGCTATTGTCTCCTAATTTATTGTCCTCGTAATTGATAGTGAATTCTGTGGGGTTTCCACAACATCATATTGTCTATTCAAATGAAAATCAAGTTGCATTGAACCGAACACTTGCATGTGCATCAAAGGGAAACTGGCAAGGGCAGTAACAGAATTTACCCTATCCTTGAAAGTCCTGCTAGTGAAAACCCGAGCTATTCTCAATAATCAAGCATCAGTAAGCTGAGAGAAGCTGACAGTCGTACAGATGGGCATGTGCGCCCATCCTCATTGCACCTAGAGCCATGCACAGTGGTGTATACATGTGCGAGTTGCGAGCGAAGCTGGTTACCGCCTGCTTTTCATTGACTCAATTCGCCGAAATGTTTGCTCCCTTGCGGTTAGTTTCAGCCATGGAGGCCACTAACACTGCAGTCGAGTGTTAGCCGTATAAAACCTTGGCCGCAGAGCATCGTGGTGGCGTTTCAGTACTGAAACCAGAAGTGAGCTGTCGTTTGCGCTACTTCGCCGACATCACCTGGTTTCTGATAATTATCCCAGCCATAGTCCCATGGCTGACGCGGTGATCGCCGTTATCCCATCAACTCTCCCAAGTCACGTTCCATTCCATGGACGCGATTCTCCAAGACTCTTTTTCTCCTTTCCAACTCTCTGATCTCTTCCATCTCGCGCTCAATATCGGTGTCCGTTACCTCCGCCGTCTCCGGCTGTGCGACAGGAGCTGTATCGTAGTCATCGTACTCGTTTCCATATGAGTGGCTCATTTGCTCCAACTCGGTCGCGTTTTTGGCCACACGCTCTTCTAGTTGAAGAATGGAGTCTGTTATCAATTCATGACGGTAGCGGAGGCTGGTGATCTTTTCATTCGCACCGGGAACCGGACTATAGGTGATGATTAGAGTTTGAAACTGGTGAAGTTCAGGCCAGAAACCACTTACTAGACACCGCAGAGGATCTCCGCGCCTCGAAGTAGTACGTCGAGATTGACTTCGCTGCGACCTCCCCGGCTGGAAGTACCGGTTGATCGTTTGATCTCCTCCATCATGTCTGATCCCAAGACCCTGGCAACGGCCGACTGATTTCTATTATTTCTGGCCGAGTAGATGCGACTGGCCATAGACTCCCCCTCTGCATCCGACGGCAAGGTGGTCCCGCGCCGCGTGGTTCGTCGCTGTGAGGGCTTCACGGAGGGGTCTGTTTGAAAAAGAGCTCGCTCATGAGCCTCCGTATCCCGAATGAGCGCCGTGATATCATGGGACCCTAGCAGAGCATTGGTGAAGATGCGAGGTGGGGGGAAGCTGCTGAGGGTTAGCGTGGTGAGTGCAGTAAATCTAGATGGACGACAGTACGCACGGGAGCTCTGAAATGGCATTGGACGAGAGCGCGATCTGCTCAAGATGGCTTTCGAGAAGCGACATGGCGAAGGGAGGTATGACTGGGTTGCTGGAGTCGGACTGAGCATCGGACGAGGGGGAAGCAGCAACAATCGGCAGACGATAAACAACGCCAAGAGCCGGCAGCTGCCTGCATGCCTCAGGCCCCCCAGGGATCCATGACCTTCTCGCGGCGTCGGCGACTCTCTTCTCTCTCTCTCTCTGCGGTGGCAACGCAGCAACTATCGACGCCAACCGCATGCACCAGACCAGGCAACGTCGCTACGGTGTACAACTCGCGAACCACCTCCCCTCGGTCTCTCAATCCCTGTCGACCCGCAAAGACGAGGCTCTCCGTCCTTTCCATCCAGTCTGCAGCTGACCCGTTCACCTGAGGTAAGCTCTTCCTAACTCGCCGCGCCCTGACTAAGCTGCTCGCTGCGCTGGTTCTCTTGCGTCTCATTCCCAAACCAACCATCAACCTTGACATCACATCACCACCTCATCACCCTGTCTTCCCCCCAACTGTCCTGCACAAACCATCTTCCCCATCATCTCATTTTTCATCCGGGTTCTCCCTGGGTCCCCCTTGGCATTCTTTGATCCTGTGAGATTGTTTCCAGTGCCCTGGTCTTCCAATTCTCTCCCCCTTCTTCTGTTTCCGGTACCCGCGATCCTCGTTGCTCAGGCTGAGCTCGCAGCTGAGGAACTCGAAAAGCACCAGAAAGTCACCCAATCCACACGTCAACGAAAATATGCCGGCCGAGAGGCGCTCTTTGAGATCGAACAGCAAGTCAGATACCTCTTCGTCTGCTAACGGTGACAAGGGTCGCTCTACCTCGCAGAGCTCCAGCTCCAACAAGGACAAGCCCGCGCTTACCCGCGCCGCTGCCAACAAGGCCAAGTCGTCCAAAGCTGCTTCATCGAACAACAGCGCGTCCAACTCCGGGATGGGCGAACAGCGAGAACAGCCGCAAACCAACGGCTCCGATCCGACGGAGAATGGCGTGAATGGCTCTGAGGACGTGGAGATGGGAGAGGATACGGCAGGTGGGCCTACATCCTCATTCAACGCCAGCAAGGATCGGAAAGGTGACGAGAAGATGACTGTTGTAGTGCCCCCCACCAAGGGTTCGAGGCTATCCGGCGATAAAGGCCAGGACCAGGAAGGTGATGTCGCGATGGAGGGTGCCGAGGGCGATGAGTCCCAGAAGCCCGAACCCGAGGTTGACCCCAAAACCAAGGCCATCCAAGGTTGGTTCTCCCCCCCCATCTCCCTGACTGCATCCCCGATGAGATGCAAAGATCCGAAATGCGCTAATGACGTCTCATCTCGGATGACTGCAGACATCAAGACCAACTTCTCGCTCCTCGAGCGTGCCGTCGCCCATTTCGATCCTCGATTTACCCTCCGTGTTCTGCGATCGATATCGTCCATGCGCAAGCACATCAGCTCGGATGTGCTGGCCGAAATCATAGTCGAGACGTATCCCTCCTCCAACTCCACCGCATCCTTCTTGCTCGAGGCCATCAACCAAGCGGGTGCTTATGGATCGTCGAACAGCTCCAAGATGGAAGTCGAGTCGGAGAAAACCAAGTCGACCCCCAAGGAGATCTTGCCCGAGATTGATACGTACCTATCTATACTTGTCCAGATCTATCTCTACGATAGAAAGGAGATTCAGAAGGGTGCCCAGTTCTCGACGAATCTGATCGAGCGTCTGCGGACCATCAACCGCCGCACTCTCGACTCCCTGGCCGCCCGCGTGTACTTTTACTATTCTCTCTTCTTTGAGCAGATTGCCCCTCTGCCCCCGTCTCCTGCCGCAACGGTCACCTCAATCCGCCAGCCGCTGCTTGGAGCTCTGAGGACGGCTGTGCTGCGCAAGGACGTCGACACCCAAGCGACGGTGATGACATTGCTGCTGCGTAATTACCTGTCCACATCCCACATCTCGCAGGCAGACTTGCTCATCTCCCACAACCGCTTCCCCGCCGCTGCGTCGAACAACCAGATTGCCCGGTACCTGTACTATCTGGGTCGCATCCGTGCGATCCAGCTGCAGTACACCGATGCTCACGGGCACTTGATCGGTGCCACCCGGAAGTCGCCGTCGAGCCACAGTGCGCGTGGCTTCTACCAAGCTTCTCACAAGCTGCTTGTGGTGGTCGAACTTCTCATGGGAGACATTCCCGATCGAGCAATTTTCCGCCAGGCCGCCCTCGAGCGCGCGATGCACCCGTACTTCCTACTCGTGCAGGCCGTCAGCGTGGGTGACCTGGATGGTTTCCTGAACATCGTCAACACTCACAGTGCCACGTTCCGGAAGGATGCCACCTACACTCTCATCTTGCGTCTGCGCCAGAACGTGATCAAGACCGGTATCCGCATGATGTCTCTGTCGTATTCCCGCATCTCCCTACGGGACATCTGTCTCCGACTGGGACTGGACAGTGAGGAGTCGGCCGAGTACATTGTCGCCAAAGCCATTCGAGACGGTGTCATCGAGGCCAGTCTGGACCACGAGCGAGGATTCATGAAGAGCAAGGAGGTCGGAGACATCTACGCTACTCGGGAGCCCGGCGAGGTATTCCACGAGCGTATCAGAGCCTGCTTGGCTCTGCATGACGAAAGTGTCAAGGTAGGTTCCTAGCCATTGACTGGCCCTCACTGAACCCTCGAACATTTACCGACTAACTTCTTCCGCAGGCTATGAGGTTTCCCATGAACCAGCACCGTCTCGAGTTGAAGAGCGCACAGGAGGCCCGGGAGCGGGAGCGGGAGTTGGCGAAGGAGATCCAGGAGGGAGATATGGATGACGAGGATGCCGGGGGTGATTTCGACGCCATCTAATCGGTGTGAAGATCGCCATAATCATACGGCATCCTGGATCCTGCCATCTCCCTTGAAGTTACGGGTTTACAGTGGAGACTTTCCCTGTGTACGTGTGCGTTATCTGCAGGTTCTTTTCTTTTATTTTTATTGTCGTTCGGGTGTACTTTGAGGGGGAAGGCAGGATTGAGCTTGCTGGCGTGGTCTTGCATGTCTTTTTTCCCCATATAAACCAGATACTGGGTCATTCTACCTTGGATGCTGAAGGACAGGGTCGTCTTGTAGATGCTTCCATCCGGATTGTCGGGGTGTGTCTTGATGGGCGAATGACCCTGGATTTCTTGTAATTGCGTCGAATTTCTAGACGAGGACCATCAATTTCGTTATGTCTTGTATAATGCAGCATGATCATTCGGTGTAGAGGAACCATAATAATACTAAAAACAAGAGCAATAAAAAGGATGTGTTGATGCTGGAGCTGTCCCGTTCCGGCCCGAGTCCAACTCCGCCGGTCGAAATTCTTTTGGCCGTCGACAATTTGCGGCTTCTCACTTCCGCCGTCCATCCGCGCTGGTCTCTCCAAACTTTCTTCCTTCTTTCACCGTTGCTCCGTCTCCGTTCCTGTTGTGTATAATATAATTCCATCCTCTCACATTCTTATGTCGTCTTAATTTATCCCTATCCCCTCCAATTCTTCCATTGGCGGAATATGAAAGCTCGAGCCGTTTCGGCCTCCGGGCTGGTGCTGGCAGCACGAATCCCGCCATCGACACTGGTTTGCTGGCAATGCCTTCGCAATGACCTCTTCTCGAACCGAATCAATCTTCAGACACGCCAGTATCATCCCACACGCCGGAAATCCGCCTCGCCGTTTGGGGCCGCTGTCTCCGCGGCGCAAACGATCTTCAAGGGCCTACCAAAGGCACCGCCGGGCATCTCGGTCGATCCGTTGAGAATTGTGGGAAAGGAGCTCAAGTTCTTGAGCAAAAACATTCGCCAATTGCTGGGATCTGGCCATCCCACCCTGGATAAGGTGGCAAAGTACTACACTAAGAGCGAAGGGAAACACATGCGCCCGATGCTGGTGCTGCTGATGTCCCAGGCGACAGCGTTGACTCCTCGAAATGGCCGGGCGAACTCGGCGCCTTCTCACACTGTGAACGAGTCCATCAGTTCCTCCACCGTGCTCGCCGACACAAATCCCGATCTCAATCCACTCGCGTCGTCCTCTCTTGAAGGTCAATACGATTTTGCCGGCGACGAGAACATCCTGCCTACTCAGCGACGGCTGGCCGAAATCACCGAATTGATCCATACCGCCTCCCTCCTTCACGACGACGTCATTGACAATGCGGTCACTCGTCGGTCCTCCAGTTCCGCCAACCTGCAGTTCGGAAACAAAATGGCGGTGCTGGCCGGAGATTTTCTATTGGGTCGGGCTTCCGTCGCTCTGGCGCGGCTGAGAGACCCGGAGGTGACGGAGTTGCTGGCCACCGTTATCGCCAATCTCGTGGAGGGAGAGTTCATGCAACTGAAGAACACGGCCGCCGACGAGAAGCACCCGGTTTTCACCGACGAAACCATCTCGTACTACCTGCAGAAGACCTACTTGAAGACCGCCAGCTTGATCAGCAAGTCGTGCCGTGCCGCTGCCCTGCTTGGTGATGGGTCGCCCGAGGTGGTCGAATCCGCCTACTCGTACGGACGGAACCTGGGGCTGGCCTTCCAACTTGTGGACGATATGCTGGATTACTCGATTAGCGATGCCGAGCTGGGCAAACCTGCCGGAGCGGACCTGGAGCTGGGACTTGCAACCGCACCGCTTTTGTTTGCCTGGAAGGAGAACCCCGAGCTGGGTTCGTTGGTTGGCCGCAAGTTCAGCGGGGAGGGCGATGTGCAACGGGTAGGTTGACCCAGTATCTTTTTTTTCTTATTTTTTCTTTCTTTTTTTTTTTTTTTTGTTTTGAATACGTTGAAATTATGCGAGGCTAACCAGTGGAATCATCGTAGGCTCGTGAACTTGTTTACAAGAGCGACGGTGTCGGAAAGACCCGTGCTTTGGCCCAGGAGTATGCCGACAAGGCCATTGCTGCCATCAGCGGATTCCCCGATAGCGAAGCGAAGGCCGGTCTCATGCAGATGTGCGAGAAGACGATGAACCGACGGAAGTAAACCTGCCATCATAGAATGCCTGACGATTATCAGAATCCTTCGGCGGTTTCCAATTTGTTCCCGACATCGACGAGGAAACAATCGACCGAGAAACTTTTCTCCATTGAGCCTTCGAACAATGTCAATGTACCACTATTTTTGTTCCACCTGTACCATTGCGTTCGCGCCATTCTGTGTCTGTTTACTTCTTTTCCTTCGACCTTGTTACATGTTCTATAGTTTTCGATTGTGCTGGGATGGATGACCGGGAATTTCTTTTTTTCCTTTTTTTCTTCTTTTATGTCTCTTCTCTCTTCTGACGCGACCACTATAAACGGGATAGAAGACTGGAATGCTACCGAGGAATGCGTGATATACAGCTCGGTCGGTGTACATATTCTAGATAGGGCTATCTATATACTGCGTATTAATAGTCAACCAGAGTACCGCGTGGATACCGCCGAGGTACTTCGACGCCGCCGCCGGCGATACGCCCGGGCGGTGAGCGTACCGGGAGCGGCGGAACAGTGTTGTTCCGGTCTAAAAATGACGGCGAGTCGCGGATGATTCGGCAGCGGCATGAAATCATTGGCTGGTCACCGCTGAGGTACGGCCGGAGTACCTCGCAGTACTTGGACCAGCAGCTGCGCAAGACCCTCGTCATCCTTCCCAGTCTTGCGTCCGACTTCCTCCTGGTCCCTGATTCCCTTCGTTCGGATTTTTCGACACATGTCCTCTCCCCCGCCTCTCTAAGAGCTGGTCTCATCTGGTGCTGTGTTTGGGCAGGACCTCCCAGGAACCTACTGCTAGCTAGCTAACTTACTACCCATCCGACCTTCCGACCAACCTCCTGCTTTGTCTCACCCTCGCTTCCTCCAGGATGGGCCTTTCGTTGCTGTCCTTCTTCTAATCCGACCACTTCCCAATGGGTTTGCTCGCCAGTTTTCTTTTCGTCTACATCCTTGGGGGACTTACCTTTATCCCGCTCGTCCTGTCGCTCCTCTTCCTCCATGCTTACTTGACCCTCCGATCCCCCCCACCGCCGGCCCAGAAGCCATGCGACCTGCCACACGATCCGATCCGGCGAGCGACCGACGATCAGTACAGTCTCAAATCCGGCACCGATGAATTGGCCGACAAGTTCCATCGCACGCACGAGCCTGACGTCGCGGCCGGATACTTCGCCGTCTGTCGTGAATATGTTCCTGGTGGAGTCAATGGGAAGCCTCCCGAGCGAACCACGCCGGCGGGTGAGGTGATCGCCGCGGAGAGCCCCAGCGTCTACCAAACTATGTACAGGAGTTTATTCGACCGCAAGCAGACCCCGACCATCGAGCCGTCCAAGGCGAATGGGAGAAATGGGAAAAGGGCGCGGAACGTTTTCTTTATTGTCTTGAGGTAATTCTTCCACAGTCCTTCCCCTGCGACCCTTTCCATTCCTTGGCACCACCCTGGAGTTTAGCTGCTAAGCGCCATGTTACAGGCATGGCCACTTGATGCTGTATGACGATGAACACCAGGTGGAGGTGCGCTATGTCATCTCCCTCGCCCACCACGACGTGAGCATCTACGGCGGGGAAGGAGAGATCCAAGAGGGGGAATTATGGCTGAAGAGGAATGCCATCTCCCTGACACGGCGGTTGGAATCGCTGGGAGACCTGGGCGGACCAACTCCTCCCTTCTTCCTCTTTTCCGAGAACCTGTCGGAGAAGGAGGATTTCTATTTCGCCATGCTCCAGAATCAGGCTCGAATGGGGAACTCGTCGGACGGCCCTCCCAAGTACCAATCCTTCGAAACGAGGCACATCATTGCCTTGGTCCAGCGTTTGCATTCTTCCGAGGAGCAGCTGCAGACTCGATGGATTAACGCCGTGCTGGGAAGGTTGTTCCTTGCCATGTATAAGACGCCGGAGATGGAAGAGTTTATTCGCAAGAAGATTACGAAAAAGATCTCCCGCGTCAATAAACCGAACTTCATCAGCCGGATCGGCCTGCAACGGATCGACATGGGCGAAGGTGCCCCCTTCATCATCAATCCCCGACTGAAGGACTTGACGGTCGACGGGAATTGTTGCGTGGAAACCGACGTTCAGTATACGGGCAACTTCCGCGTGGAGATCTCCGCCACGGTGCGCATAGACCTGGGTCCTCGGTTCAAGGCCCGGGAGGTCGACATCGTTTTGGCCGTCGTGCTGAAAAAGCTCGAGGGTCACCTGCTGATCCGGTTCAAGCCCCCTCCCAGCAATCGTGCCTGGATTTCGTTCGAATCCATGCCGAACATGTCCATGGACATCGAACCAATCGTTAGCTCGAAGCAGATCACATACGGCATCATCCTCCGCACCATCGAGAGTCGGATTCGGGAGGTTGTCGCGGAAAGTATTGTTCAGCCTTTCTGGGACGACGTGCCGTTCCTGGACACTTTGTCGCAACGCTTCCGTGGAGGAATCTGGCAGCGGGAGATCCCCAAACCCGAATCCGAGACCGAGATCCCGGATGAATCTGGCGAACAACCTCAGGAATCAAGCGGCTCCAAAGACGAGTCGATCGAAGTGCTGAAATCCAAGGATGAGCGCACGATGAGTGCACCTGCACTTTCCGAGCCTGCGCCTCCCGAGTCACTGAAATCTCGCAAGGGCTCCAAGGGGTCCATAAAGGAGAATTCGGGCCCCCATAACACCAGCGCCTTGTCGTCCGCCATCGAAAAATCCGGTGGCTCCCCTCCACGGGCAATTCGATCCCAGACCTTTTCTCATGCCGCCGATCCGGTGGTTACGGCGGACAACGTGAACGTTGACAAGGCTACGTACGACGGCAAGACCGACGAGAAAAGCAGCGCTACTAGCGCTATGATTGAAATCTCCAGCCGATCTCCTCCGTCCTCCCCGGCCAAGACGCCCGGCGGTTCGCCGCCTGCGGACAGCCAAATTGGAATGGACGGCGCTGCTGCACAGAGTCGGGATCCGTCGATCGTCGAGTCCATCGAGAGCGTCGGGGAGTTCAGCAATGACTCGCCGCGGCGTTCCTCTTCCATCCACCACAAAGCCAGCGACTCGTCTCTGCACCTCAGGAGTGCTGCCGCCAGCTCCACCGCGTCATTGAATAGCAGCAAACCGCGGCGACGCACCACGTTCGAGACCCTGACCAAATCCATCACCTCCGCATCCTCGGACAACAAAACCCCGGGTTCCATCTCGATCGGAACGGCAACCTCCGTGGCCAGGAAATGGGGCTGGAACATGTTTGGCAAGGGCGAAAACCACAATCAACCCGAGCCACCTCGTCCTGCGGGCACCCCGGAGGAGCCTATCGGACGCGGCCATCCGCTACCTCCTCCAGGGACCCCCCTGCCACCTCCCGAGAGATTTGCCTTCAAAAGGAATTCTGGTGCCCCGCCGAAGCGCAAACCTGTTCATCCCGACGGCCCTCATGGGTCGACCAAAGACGAGCACAAGAGGCCCGTCTCCAAGCCCCCTTTGCCTCGACGGAAGCCGGTGTTCAACCCGGAAGACGGCGATCACGTTCCGGACGAGCTGTTGGTCGTCGAGGCTCCCTACGATTCAGCTCCCAACAGTCCGGCCGTCGACGTGACTCCTGATGTGGACCTGCCTGAACCGCAGAAGGGGCAACGCCCACCTTCTTCCGAGGAGACGCAGACCAGCGCTCCGACAGTCGAGGGACATGATCAGGACACTGAAGATCACCATTCCCTGGGTCATGGTAAACATGGTATGGAGATCTTATCGGCAACCGATGGGATTCTTCCGTGACGGGAATGGTGGATGACTTGGGTGAAGAGGCTTATATAGACCGGAGACGGCTCGGTGTTTAAGTCGTGATCTTTTCTTTTTGCGAACCCGACATGGTGTCTTGGGAAGCGGGCGTTTGAGAATTTGCGATACTTGCTTTCATGGGAATAAACCAGATCCGACATTTCTAGCCAAATCCATTGCTCTTCAAGATTTTGGGACCGTCAGTATTCTGTAGTGTGTAGATCAAGTGTATAGAGTAACTGTAAATACTTTCTAGATCGGCGTTCAGGAGACAACGCGCATTCCTGGAGAATTGAGCCGGATTCAAGCCGGATTTGCCACTGACCAGAAGACGGCTGCCTTCTCAGCGTGCAGACGCAAGCTGCAGACGTACAAACTCCATTCGTGGGCCGAGCGAAGGCTGCCTAACGCATGACGACGACCCAACTCGCAGGGTCTTCGATCAGGAGGCGGTGCCAAGACCGGCGATGGGCCTCAGGCGTCAGCTTTCCCGCCAAACGTCATGCCCTTCTCTTCCCCCCGTTACGCCTCTCGTTACTCTCTTTTGTCTCCTCTTCTCCCCTTCCACTCTTTCCCCCTTTCTTCATCTCTGCCCGTCCGTGTCCTCTTCGTCGGACGTTCCTGAATTGCGCCGTTTACTTTCGGGTCCACCGGCTCCCGCCGCACAGAACCGGTCGCCTACTCCCCTGATCCTCGTCGGCAGCGAGTTGGCCTGCAGCCGCCAAGATGAGTCGGTACGTTTGGATCTGCCACCGCTGGAGGAGGAGTCGCCGGAGGGATGCATCGGAAGAGATCACTGACCTGTCGCGGACAGAACGGAGGCCGATTTGGCGATTAACATTCGCAAAGCCACCAGCATCGGTAAGTTGCGTCCCGACACATGGCACGTTTACGACCGCTGCCGCGCGCGATCACTGTGACTGACCTGATTGCAATTCCAGAGGAAACCGCTCCCAAACGTATGCTTGCGCCCCGATTCCTCGCTCTGCCTTCCCTCTCCCATTCGGTTGACGCGATCCGCACCGCCGTGAATTGCCGGCCCTGATTAACGTGGCCGTCTGCAGGTAAACATGTTCGGAGTTGCATTGTGTACACATGGGACCACAAGTCGTCCGCCGCCTTCTGGGCGGGGATGAAAGTGTAGGTGGCTGTTGGAATGGAATCTCCCCGAATGCTAGCTGACCCGCCTCGACAACGTCTAGCCAGCCTGTCCTCGCCGACGAAGTCCAGACCTATAAAGCGCTTATCACAATACACAAGGTTTTGCAGGAAGGACACCCGATAGTGGTTCGGGAGGCGCAGCAGCATGCCAATTGGGTGGACAGCTTGATGCGCGGTGTCGGAGGAGATGGTATTCGCGGTATGTCAGGGACCTCAGGGGGAGGGGTCATGGACCCGGTGGGTAACATCATTGCGAGTGCTGACTGGGAGTACTAGGTTACGGTCCTTTGATTCGCGAGTATGTCTTTTTCCTCGAGTCCAAGCTGGCGTTCCATCGCAACCACCCCGAATTCAATGGTATGAGATTGATCGAAGGACGACTGTCGGACATTGCTGAGGTGATATAGGTCTGTTCGAGTACGAGGAGTATATTAGTTTGAAGACGATCAACGATCCGAATGAGGGGTACGTGTTATACTCCGGCTCGACTGGATGACTGGCTAATGAGCGGCTTAGTTACGAGACCATTACCGACCTCATGACTCTGCAGGATCAGATCGATGCGTTCCAGAAGTTGATCTTCTCGCATTTCCAGTCGGGAACGAACAACGAGTGCCGGATCTCCTCGCTGGTGCCGCTGGTGCAAGAGAGCTATGGCATCTACAAGTTCATTACCAGCATGCTGAGGGCTATGCATACAAGTAGGCAATATTCTTGTTGTGAGGATGGATTCCGGAAGCTGATGTTTGGATCTCTATAGCTACTGGTGATGCCGAGGCCCTGGAGCCCCTTCGAGGTCGCTACGATGCCCAACATTACCGTCTGGTTCGGTTTTACTACGAATGCTCGAACCTGCGCTACTTGACCAGCCTCATCACGATCCCCAAGCTGCCCCAAGACCCGCCCAACTTGCTGGGCGAGGATGAAGAACGCCCGGCCTTGCCCAAGCGACCGACCAGGGAGCTCGAGGCCGAACCCACTCCGCCTCCGAAACCGTCCGCCCCGGAACCCGAGCCGATCAGCGACTTCTGGACCACCGAAGCCAAGCGCCAGCAGGAGGAGTTCGAAGCGGAGCAGCGACGCTTGCAGCAGCAGTGGGAGGAACAACAGCGCCAGCAAATCCTTGCGCAGCAGCAGGCCCAGAATGACTTCGAAGAGCAGCAGCGTCTCCAAGCCGAGCAGGCGCGGTTGGCCCAGGAACAGCTGTTGCGCGACCAGTTCAGCACCCACACCCAGGGCCGGCTGGCGGAGCTTGAACAAGAGAACTTGAATGCTCGGGCGCAGTTTGAACGGGATCAACTGATGCTGCAGCAGTATGATCGTCGCGTGAAGGACCTGGAGGAGCAGATGAACCAGTTGACTTCGAACCTGAACTTGCAGAACTCCTCCCGAGACGACCAGATCCGGTCGCTGCAGGAGCAAGTCAACACCTGGCGGTCGAAGTACGAAGCCTTGGCCAAGCTGTACTCGCAGCTGCGCCAGGAACACCTGGACCTCCTGCAGACGACCAAGAGCCTGAAGATCAAGGCGGCGTCAGCCCACGAGGCGATCGAGCGACGCGAGAAGCTGGAGCGCGAGCTCAAGACCAAGAACCTCGAGCTTGCGGACATGATCCGTGAACGAGACCGTGCCCTGCACGACCGGGATCGTCTGACCGGCAACAACAAGGAGGAGGTGGAGAAGGTCAAGCGCGAGCTTCGCTTTGCCATCGAACGGGCAGAAAATGCCGAACGTGCCAAGGGTACGGAGATCTCTACCTTGTTGTCGAAGTACAACCGGGAGATGGCGGATCTGGAAGAAGCGCTGAGAGTAAGCAATGGACCTTTTGACAGAGAGATCCAAGACTGACACCCGTTACAGAACAAGAACCGCGCCCTGGAGGATTACACTAGCAAGAACTCGGAGCGCCAGGGTGACCAGGACCTGGCCCTTCGTGAGAAGGACGAGGAGATTGAAGTCTACAAGTCCGGAATGGAACAGGCTCTTATGGAGCTGGAGGAGCTGAAGCTGGTACGTTAACCGCTGGGATAATATTTTTTTGATAGAATCTGTCCGAGAAGCTAACTGGAGTAGAACCAAGGCGATGCCGACAACGAGCTGGACGACCAGATCGACGCGGTGCTGCACAGCACAGTATCGAAGATCACCGATATCATCGACTCCGTGCTGCAGACCGGTGTGCAACGCGTGGACGACGCGCTGTACGAGTTGGACTCCTCCAACCAGGCCGGAAACCAGAACGCCTCGCCCCCCTACGTGCTGTCGCAGATTGAAAAGGCGTCCGCCTCGGCCACGGAGTTCTCCACGGCGTTCAACAACTTTATTGCCGACGGGCCCAACAGCACGCATGCCGAGATCATCCGGACCGTGTCCATCTTCTCGGGCGCGGTGGCCGACGTGCTCAGCAACACCAAGGGATTGACCCGGTTCGCCAACGACGACAAGAGCTCCGACCAGCTCACCAACGGCGCGCGCAAGGCCGCCCAGGCCACGGTGCGCTTCTTCCGGGGACTGCAATCGTTCCGACTGGAGGGCCTGGAGGCCCTGCAGAAGACCGACGTGGTCATCAACAACAACCTGGAGGTGCAGCGCGACCTGCAGAGTCTGTCAAAGCAGGTGGAGGCGTTCGCGCCCAAGAGCAGCAAGCTGACGACGAACGGCGACCTGGGAGATCTGGTGGACAAGGAACTGCTCAAGGCGGCCGACGCCATCGACGCGGCGGCGCAGCGATTGGCCAAGCTCAAGAGCAAGCCGCGTGACGGGTACTCGACGTACGAGCTGCGCATCCACGATTGGATCGTGGAGGCGGCCATTGCAGTGACCAACGCGATCGCGGAGCTGATCAAGGCCGCCACCGAGTCGCAGCAGGAGATCGTACGCGAGGGGCGGGGCAGCTCGTCGCGCACGGCGTTCTACAAGAAGAACAACCGATGGACGGAGGGCCTGGTCTCGGCCGCGAAGGCCGTGGCGTCGTCGACCAACACGCTGATCGAGACGGCCGACGGGGTGATCTCAGGGCGCAACTCGCCGGAGCAGTTGATCGTGGCCAGTAACGACGTGGCGGCCAGCACGGCGCAGCTGGTGGCGGCCAGTCGCGTCAAGGCGACGTTCATGAGCAAGACGCAGGACCGACTGGAGACGGCCAGTAAGGCCGTGGGGGCGGCGTGCCGGGCTCTCGTACGACAGGTGCAGGATATCATCCGGGAGAAGAACCAGGATGATACGGAGAAGGTCGACTATACCAAGCTTAGCTCGCATGAATTCAAGGTGCAGGAGATGGAGCAGCAGGTGAGTTTCTTCTGGCTTCCATTGGCCCACGAAGCGTGGGTTTCTTTGTTGTTTCGAATGCAGTCTAACGCCACCGACAGGTCGAAATCCTTCAACTCGAGAACGGCCTCGCACGGGCCCGACAGCGTCTGGGTGAGATGCGTAAGATCTCGTACCAGGAAGATTAGAGGAGACTCGATTCCCGTCATCCATGGATGGGGAGAAGTCATCTCTGCGTGGCGGTCGGTGGCGGAGTGTTTTGGTTCCCCTGGATGTTGTCTTGCTGTGCCTTTCTTCTTTTCTCCTTCTTTTTGGTCCCTTCCATTCCATTTTCTAGGCGATCATCTTTTCGAGGGTTTTCCATGTGCATATCATCTTCATAGTGATCCCTCCATCCATCTAGCTAGCCTTTATTTGTACTTTCTCTCTTCTTCTTTTTCCTAGTCCCATTGACACACCGCAAACCCATTAGATATAGATCCCAATCTCCCAAACAACTAATCCCAAAGTCCAAGACCCCAATCCATCGGAACTATCTTCCAGCCTCTTTCCTTCCCCACATTCTATCCCAAGCAGCCACTAACCACCGAGCCACCGAATGGACGAAATAGACGGAGTCGAACTAGTGCAAGCCATCGCGATCCACCCCCGGCCCCGGACCCAGACCAAACCATAACACGCGCACTTATTCTTTGTCCTGTTGTTTTTTCCGGAGCTCCAGAATCTGCAGACAACCTGCAGGTCTCCACTTTGCCCGTTCCGCTGTCGTCGTGCGTCGTCTCTTGGCGGCGTGACATTTCTTTGTTCGTCGTGACGTTTCCGTTCCGCTGGAGATGACTGATGACCGACGGATGCTGGTCGGGGCTGTGCGAGACCACGTTTTTGGAGTGGCGAGAGGCGCTGGTCGGTCGGTCCCGTCTTTGTCTTTGTTTGTGGGTTTGGGTGCGGTCTTGGGTTGGAGATGATCTGGTCAGGTCTGTGTGCTGGACGGTTGATTGGTTGGTTAGGATGGGATGCGGTTGAGGACGGTCTTTTCTGTCGTTGGCTTTTGGTTCTCTGTTTCGTTGGGTTGGTGGACTAGGGATGTAGATAGGACGGTGCCTGGGTTGTAGGATGGATATCGGATGTAAGATGCAGGGGTATGAGTTTGTATGGGCCTAGACTAGACTCTCATTCCATGTTCGACCCGAGAGACTGGACCTGGTCAGGGGACGGAGAGTATTGGTCCCTTTCTACCTGATCGGAAGAGAAGATGCAGGGTCGTCCCGGTCACACTTGAAGCCACGTTCACGGTTTCACACGTGGGTTTGGTCTGGGGTTGATCTGGCTCTGGGTGCGAGACGTCTGGGCGTGCCCACTCCCCCTGTCTCTTTCTCTGACTGCGGGTGATTGGATTGATCTGGATGGAATAGCGCTGGGCCTTCGATTCCTGATTCGACGCCCAGGGAAGGGAGATTCTAGGTCCTGAGGAACGGAAGTTAGTTAGCGCAGATAGACATTGGGACAGGGAGACGAGGCTTCGACGTAAACTCTACCGACCTGAGGAAGTCGACGAAGACGAAGCTAGAACGATTCTTTGATTCTCTCGTTCTTTCTTTCGACTTTCCTGTTCGAGACAGAGTTTGAGCTTGGCTCTGGATGAAGATGCCAGAGGGATGGTAAGTTCGATAGGATCCATCCCTCGCTCATCCAATCAATGAAGGACGAGGGAAGGTAGCCAAGCGGCGACCAGAGGGATGGAAAGGCGATGCAGAGAAGGTTGACTAGCCATGATCCATGGACCAGCAGGAAGGCAGTCCCCTGACCAAGTCATGCCCAGACGACCGAAGATCTACAGAAGATCCCAAAGCACGAAGATCCGGAAGTAAAAGTTTCAATTGAGTGGCATGAGCTAATTACAGTCCCCTGTTTTTGTGATTTTCTGCTAACGATCCAGCTCAGCACTTGCGCCCCGGTACCTTTTCTCTCCGATGGCGACTTGGATAAACAAACGAATGCATCTGTATAGCCACAGTGCGAAACAACAAAGTAGATACGAAAAAATAGCACCGAAGAAAAGAAAAAAACCCCCATCAACAAGTAGACAGGATAAACCTAGACTAGTAACCACCCCAGCCAGGTACTCCATTCCCCAGACAAGCCTCCATTCCTCAGAACGAAAGAAAGTCAAAAAACGCCCACAGTCGAGTTCCCCAGTCATCACTCGGACCGACTCCCCTCCAGAAGCTCCGTCTTTGTCGAATCTCACGGATCCCCGAACTCAATCCATCGCTCCAAACGGCCCTGTCCCGAAGGACAAACAGCACCGTAGCGACGTCTGGTTCGACGGTTCCCGAGATGAGAAAGACAAACAGCCCAGAAAGAAACAAGTAGTCGAATCAATGGCGAAGACAAGAACAAACGACCGGCAGGGGAGGAGTGTAGATAAGAATGATAGACAACAAGAGGAACAGAAACGACGAGTACAGAAGAAATAAGAATTTGCAAGAAAACAAAACAGAAAAGTCACAACGTCCGTTCAATCCCAGTACACACTGACTTATCATCAGACCAGAGGGTTGTTCGACAGACCTGTCAATCCCGAGGGAGACGAGCCGAATGACAGTCCCATGCTGGTCGAGAGGAAACGTGATGCACAGAAATCAGACGGGATGAGACACGGACGAAAGAGTACAGAAGAAAAAAATAACATGCATAAGACACGAAACTTGAAAGACGTAGAAATGGAAACAAAGATGCATAGAAGAAGAGCAGCAAGAAAAATGAGCAAGGAAATCCCGATCGCTATGCATCGCTGGTATGGCCCGCAGATTGTACCGTGATGCAGATTCTATGCTCGTGTCGTGTGTCGTGAGATCGTAAGTACGTGGCATCGTAAAAATTTCTCTCTTGTGCCTGGTGAAAACCGAAGCTCTATCTTCCTAGTTTGAATGGTGAGCTTTGTCTCCAAGAAGTTTCAGTCTGGGGCTTCTTACTCTCCAGAGTGCTGAGAATGGCAAAAGCAGCTTTCATCGCAAGGTAAGCCTTACGGTGCTTCTCCAGCCAATTCCCTATAATATTGTCAGAAAGGCTAACAGCGACACATTCGAATTACTTACAAAATTTGTGAGCATCTTCAGGGAAGCAGCGAGTCCTCTGAATCAAGTTGGCCTTTTCCTCTGGACTCAAACGAAGACGAGCCTCCAAGAAGTTATAGCAAGTTTGCTGGGTACTGATACGGAACTCATCGCCACGGCCATCAGGTCGGAAGAAGTTGACCATTGCGGCGACAGTTTTGCTTTGAAAGTTAGTAGAGAAAAGATGCTATTGTCATTGAGATAGACTCACGTCATGTAATATTCTTGCAGACCAGCTCGGAAGATGTAGTGATAACCGAATTTCCTGATGATTCTGGTGAGGTCACCATTGGCCTTCTTTTCGTTGATAAGAAGTTCCTGATGAAACAAGATTCGATTTTCGCCAGTCATAGCACGCTCAATACGAGCATCAAGAATGCTATACAGCTCGATGGGGTGGCCCTCGAGGTCGCCAAGAGAGGGAACGGTGTGATGATCAGAGATGGCATTGAGCACTTCTTTGGCATGACGACGGACAGCAGTATCCAGGTTTTCGCCAAGAAGATTAACTCTATGAGAAGGATGAATCATGAACTCGCCACGAGTAAAGACACTGACTTGCGCCACCAAGCGACACATGTTCCTGTGAGACTGATATGCGACACCAATATAAGTGGCCTGCTCTCTCAGATCAGGAGACATGCTCTCATCTTGGGAGACACGACTCAGATATCTCATGATGGTATCAACGAGAGCCATCGTGAAGGATGTGAGACAATAGGATATGAAAAGGGTAAGGGAGAGGCGTGGGCTTGTTTGGCTTGAAGGTTATTGGTGGGAGAAAGTTAAACTGTAGACAAAGTTGAAAGGACGAGGTGGTGAGGAAGGATGGAAAGAAGAGGAAGAAGATCACAGGAGAGGTGGGTTTTATTTTGGGATCGGGGCGAAGGAACCAGTTAGAGATGGAATAATCCTGTAAATTGAGACCTCCGGTATTCACTGCGGTCGTGTCTAGGCAAACAAAGAAAGGCACCAGCCTCCCACCTTCAGCTGAACCGCAGATTCACTTGCCATGTCCTCTCGGGGCTTTCCATTAATCCTGGCCTTGAGACCCTGGCCTTCGAGACAGTGTCTTTGAGCTACTTTCTCCGTGACTCTCTCCCCCTGTCTCTTCTTTCATCCCTCAAACCTTCCCACTCGGACATGCATGATTTCAATTTCTCTCTTCCCATATCTTTCATATAAACATTCTGTTCTACAAAACCAACAATGGCTGCTGTTCCTATCGCCATGAAGTCAACTGTCGAATCCACCGACAAGCTGACAGAGCTGCTTTGGCAGGACGCTTTGGGCAATCTTCAGTCCACCAACAATGAGGTTCTTCTTCCCATCAACATCGTCGACATGATCGGCCAGTGCAATGTGGACAAAATCAAGGCTCGTCTCGGGTAAGTCCACACGAGGATGAACTTACACAGGCGAAACTAAATGGTTCGACAGCGCTCTCATTGGCGCTCCTGTTGTCGCTTTTGTTGATGAGTCTATCAATGCTCTCCGTGTCATGCGCACTCCGGCTTTTTCAGGAACTGCTATTTCGGTTGCCTGTCACGACAGAACATTGAGATTTGAGCATGAGGCTATTGCATCGGCCACCAACGTGCAGGGAAAGACCGGCATACCAGCGAAACCCGCCAAAGTTCCTCGACCGCCTAATGCGTTTATTCTGTACCGTCAGCATCACCATCCAAAGGTCAAAGAAGCATATCCTGCCTTTTCGAACAACGAAATTTGTAAGCTAATTCCTATTTCATTTGACTTATTGGCGGTTGACTGATAGCACCAGCCGTGATCCTTGGCAAACAGTGGAAGGCTGAAACCGAGGACGTGAAGATGCAATTCCGTCATCAGGCCGAGGATCTGAAAAGAAAACACGCCGAAGAACACCCCGATTACCATTACTCCCCTCGCAAGCCTTCCGAGAGAAAGCGTCGTGCCTCCTCCCGCCAGCATACCAAAACCGGCCAGTCCGCCAAGTCGCCCATATCGACTAATGATGCTTCGGACGCTTCTACTCCCGGCATGTACTCGGAGATGGAGATGCCAATGCCCTTGAACGATGGTCTTGCGGGTATCGACATGATAATGCCAGAGCAGCAGTTTGAGTTCGACCACGAGGCCTTTGACAATCTGCTCCAGCAAGTGCAGGAGGACTACGGCAGGGCCAATCCGTTCTCCGAGAGCTTTGAGTTCTCCGACTTCGTTGCCGACTACTATTGAGCACGAAAATACCTGCTGCTTTCTCATGCCTTTTTCTGCTCTCAAACCGCTTCTAAATGTCTTCCTTCGTTATTCTTTATGGCATTGGCTTGATTTTCCATTCCCCTGTACACATATTTGCATGCGCACTGGTCCAGGACAGTGTATTACGGATGTTTCGACGATTTTCTTTGCGTTATCTGGTTTCTTTTGTCCTTTCTAGTTTACCTCTGCAAGGGTGGTGCTTTTTACGGCGTTCATGATCTGACGAAAGCAAGTCGGAGTTTGGTATTGATGAATACATGCGTGCATGCACAGGTGCTTAATTACATACAATTTATCTACGAGCATGTCGGTCTGTGTGTAGTCTAGGATAGGATAGGATAGTATCGTCTTCTCACAATCAGTAAGGCAAGACTAGACACGAAAGCACCGTCCCTAGACCAATTCTCCTCCCCGGACCTCTCATGCCCTATCCTACCCTCTAGATCACAACAAACCGATTATCAAAAAACAAGGAGGCTGAGACCTCCATCCCCCTCCCCTTTCAGGTCCAAAAAAAAAAAAAAAAAGAAAAGAAAAGAAAAGAAAAGAATTCAGACCCGGAAAGTCCCAGTCGATCCCTCCCAGCCACCCAACAACCAACCCACGTGGAACCAACGCGCAAAGACCCGATGCATGCAGCCGCAATTCCAAAAGCTTGGCCTGTCAATGCAGATGCTACTTTGCAGGATGGAGTTGGGTTCATTACTGCTTGGAAGTTTGGGGCTGTTCGGGGTGGCTATGGGGTGGTTCTTTGGTTGATTGCTGGATCATGGCTTTTGTAGATGTATACAGTATCTGACATGTGCCGCTGTAGAGGCTTGGGGATATTTGTTTGCTGCTCGACAACCTGGTCTTATCAATGCCAGTGTCTTAATCCTGATGCGATGATTCCACTGTAATCTACCATCCACCCATCCAAGGACTTCCTCCTCTACCAAAAAGCCAATCCAGAGACAACCATCCTACGGATTCCAATCGCTCGCCCACATAAACGTCGGACACCGCCACTGCGTGCCCTTCTCTTTATTCCCGCTCGGCCCTAGCGGCCGCGGACAGATCCAGAACGCCCGTCCGCAGTTGATCCCCGGTTTCTTGGTGGTCATGCGAACGCACTCCTCCTGGTGGCCTTCGCATGCGGGTGGCCGCTTCTTGGTGAACAGCTTCGTCCAGTCCTCTTTGCTGGCGATCGGGTCGATCACGGTGTCTGAGTCTGGGGGGTGGGGTGGTGAGGGAGGGATGGAGTCGTTGGGTGGGTTTGGAGTCGGCTTTTGGGGGGTTTTGGGTTTGGAAGGGGAGGATGGGAGGGATGGGTTGTTGGGAGGGCAGTCGGAGGGAGGAGTGGGCTTTGGTTTGAAGAAGCCTTGTAGGGTCTTTTGGCCTGCTGATGGTGCGGACGCGGGCGTGGGGATGGACTTGGTGCGTTTGACGGGCGGAGGCGGATCGGGGCGTTCGGTGCGTTTGCGGACGGTTCCTTTTGGAGACTGAGTCTGGTCCGATATGGATGTCGTCGGGGTCTCGGTGGAAGGTTGCATAGATGTGGATGGGGGTTCTAGTGCCGGCGTGGCCTTTGGCGCGGCGGTGGTCGGCTTTCGCGTGAACATGTCCTTGATGCTTCGTCGTTTGTCGAATTCCGGGATCAGACGCCCGGAGAGAGGGAGGAGGAGTTTGTTGGTGTATTCGATCTGGCGCTCTCCGCGGTGGAAGACGCCCGGGGGGTTCATGAGATCGCGGATGTGGACGTCGGTGCCTTGATGGGTTATGGAATCTTTGAAAACGGCGTAGACCGGACAATGGTCAGATCCCTACATTGAATCGTTAGTCAGGAAGTCATCTCTGGGCTAGGAAGAATCTACCATCAGTCCTTCTTGGATATTCGAATCGCAGAACCACTCCTGCATGTCCAGACTCGACAGAACGTAGTCGATCCGCGATCCATAATTCCCTGGCCGCGCATTGATCCTCTGCTCCCAGCACGTGTACATCCCCCGGCGATCCGGATGAAACGCGCGACAGATATCGTGCAGAACCGGCTGCTCGCGGTCGTCGTCACGAGGGCCGACGACCTTCCCCCCATCCAGCAGCTGATTGAACAAGCGACGCGCCGGCGCCGACACAAACTCGTCGTCCGTGGTGGCGCCCTTCCGGATCGCCTCGGCCGCATGCGCCGCGTCAATCTCCCCTCTGGAGATGTTGATATCGCCGGTGACGAAAACCCGCTTGCCCAGGGCCACCAGATTCCGGATGCGCGCGTCAAATAAGTCCAGGAAGCCGTGGCGAAAGGAATCACGCGTTTCATCGCGATTAGCCGGACAGTAGACCCCGATGAGAACGAAGGCCGGAAACTCCAAGACGACGCAGCGGCCTTCCGAGTCCAGCGTAGCGGCGTCCAGCGCCACCTGCGAGAGTTGCTCCATCGTCGGATACCCGCCAATCTGCTGGTCCTCGGGGAGCTCGCGGAACGGAGTCGACGAGTTCGGCGGACATAGCACGCCCGTGAGACCTTCTTCGGCGCGAATGGGCGCGCAGGTTGCATTGCGAGTGTAGATGACGACTCCCGAGTAGCCTGTCCTTGTTAGTGGGATTCTCGCAACAGCTATGGCCCGAGGCAGGACAGACCTTTCTTGACCCGCGGGAGACTGAAGTAGCAGTCCCATCCGGGGACTAGGACCATGTCATCTCGGAGATCCTTCCGTTGGATCTTGGTCTCCTGGAACACAACGATGTCGGCCTCGAGGATGTCGAACATGGCCTGGACGGATTAGTAAGTGTGTATGGCAACAGGGATGAATTGACGGTACCTCGAAGGTGCGTTTTCCGCGCCATGGCTCATACGAGAACGGGTTTCTAGACACTCAGCCAGACGATCGATGCCAACACCGCGAGACAAGCATACCGAATCCCATTGACTGCGTTGACGATGCGTTAGACACGGGTATAGTCCGTCGGGGACGAGGCGCTTACCGTTCCAGGTGGTGATGCGAAACGCCATGGCGAGAGGGCACAGCAATTGCGCGTATCCCAGCAGTGCACTGCAACGAGGATACCACAGCAGAGCACCACCGCAACACCGGACGCAGGATGACTCTGATGATGATCTTCGTAGCACACGAACATCGCCGAGGACGACGGGAGTCCACGTGACCTGACATCAACGCTGACATAAGCACCGACAGCCAACGGGGATTGGCGGAATGAAATCACGGGGCCGCTAAACCTTCGTTAACCGGAAAGGCGGACGTCCGAGATAATCCCACTCTCTTCACTGACTCCTGCACCGCTGCAACCAGGCAACGTCTGCTCTTCTCCTGCCATTATGTTCCCGCAACGCACCATGCTCCGTCTGGCCCAGCGCTCTGCCCAGCAGACTCGCTCCGCCCCCGTCCGCGCCGCCGTCCAGCGTCGCTTCAACAGCACCGAGGGCACCAAGTTTCCCTGGGCCGCCGACAACGAGTTCAACCGTGAGCGCGAGGCCGTGAAGCACCACGCCGCTGCGACCAGTGGTATGTTTTCCAGATCTTGAATTTGGCAATTGAGCTCCAGTGTGGCGGGAGACCGACCGCACCGCTTGAATTGAGCTAGCTGACGCAATCGTTGGGCCGTGATTAGACCTCTGGCGCAAGCTCTCCATCTAGTACGCCTCCCCCCTCCCTCCGGGCCCTGACGCAATTGACTCCCCCAATTGAGTCCTGTGCACAACGAGCAACCCTCAGAGCAGCTATACTGACCTGTCTAGTGCCGTCATCCCCGCCCTTGTCCTGGGCGGTCTGACCGCCTACAACCTGTGGGAGGAGCACTGGGAGCACTGGGACCACATGCCCCCTCTCGAGGAGCGCACCGAGTACCCCTACCAGAACATCCGGGTGAAGAACTACCCCTGGGGCGACGGTGACAAGGTAAGTTGACCCGGGCCTGAAGTGGCGTGACGTATGCTAATCGTATGATGTTTTCTAGACCATCTTGTAAGTTGAACATGCCATGCTCAATTGCATGGCCATTGAGACGCCGCGAAGATGCCGGGCAATGCGATGCTAATATATTCTCGAACAGCTGGAACAAGACCGTCAACTACCACAACAAGGACAAGGCCACCTAGATCTGTCCTTGATGGATGGGACCATGGCTTCGGATAGTCGTGGCTGTTGGGGGACAATCATGTATATTTATCTTGGGGTCTTGGGGAAAGATACAGGTGCGAGGGGGAAGCTTAGAAAGAGGGAGGGACTGGAGAATGGAGATCGAACACTATCCTGCTTATTGACTGGTTTCTTTTGTCGAGCTAAAATTCAACTGATTGATTTGGTTGTAATCTATGCTATTTAACTACTGTTTGGACTTGGACGGAGGTGAACACCTCGGACACTCTAACATGCGATGTAGTATACAGCCCATCTTGAAACGTCATCAACTCCGCGCCGCCGCCCCCTTCTGCAAATCCAGATACTTCGCCGCATAATCATTCGCCAGGACCAAGTCCCCTGTAAGATGCATGACGGTGGCCTTCTTGGCCATCATCTCGCACTGGCCCTTAATATCCTCGATCTCCTCGAACTGCTCATACGCACAGTCGAGATACTCCAGCGCACGGTTCATATACTCTTTCTTAGCCGGCGAGTTCGCGCTGCCCTGGCCCTGGCCCTGAGCCCACAGTTTCCCGGCAACGCCCATATTCGCATCCACGAGCAGCGAGTACGCCCTCGCCGCCAGGTCGCAGTCATTCGCCTCGAGGACCTGCGGCATGACGCTCTCGACCAGTTCCGCGGCGGCCTCGAACTCCTTCATCCCCAGCAAGACGGCGGCTAGCACGGCGATGGATTCCCAGAGCCCCGGGAGGAGACGGGCGCGGTAGGCGATGCTGGCGGCGCGCATGGCGAGCGAGAACCCGCGCTGCGGCTGGCCGGTCTTCTCGAGGATGGCGGCCTTTAGGCAGAGGAGCTTGACCTGGGCGCCGATGTCGAAGTTGTCGGGGTGCAGGGACTGGGCGGTGGATTCGACGAGGTGCAGGGCGCGGGAGTAGTTGGATTGGCGGATGAGGAAGTCGGTGGTTTGGAAGGCGAGGAGCAGCGAGATGTCGGCGTCTGGGAGCTGGATGGATTCGAGTTGGGAGAGGAGGGAGGTGCAGGCTGTTTTGTTGTCGCTGTTTTCTTGTTAGATGGGGACGGGGGGAGAGGGTGGACTTGGGGGATGATGGCGTACCGGTATATTTGATGTCGGAGTTGGAGGATCCCCGAGAAGAAGGTCCAGTATTGGTTGGCTTTGAGGGGTCGGAGTTTCTCTGGGGCGATCTGGTTCATGAGAAGGGAGACTTCTTTGTAGCGGCCTTGTTGGGAGAGCTGCACGAGGTAAGTAGATGGTTAAGGACGAGGAGGGATGACGGACCAGCTGGCAGTTGCGGAATGTGCTTTTGAGATAATCTTCGAAAGGAGATCGAGTGGCGTAGCATTCGCGGAAGATTTCGTTGCTGAGCCACGAGAGATGCGAGACGCCTGGAAGGTCAGTAAGAATAGCAGAGTCTGGTTGATAGAACGTACCGATCCGCGAATATAGTGCTCCCTGCAGAAGAAGTTGCGGCCCCATGGAGTTCGCCAGGTTCTTGGTGACATTCAGGTGGGAAGCCCGGACGATGTTCTCGATCGAAGCCGCAAGCGACTCTCCCTAGACGTTGTGAGAATCAAACCAGAAGAAACAGGGAAGAGCATACATTTTGCAGCTCGAGCTTAGCTTCGCTGAGCAAGGTGGTACTCAGCAAACTCCACATCTCGGTTTCCTTCGACTTCGCCTTGAGGAACGCCAGCCCCTCCTTTTCGTTGCCCAGCATGCCGGTATTTTGCACGTCCTTCATCTGCTCCGGGAACGCTTTGCCAAAATGATACAGCCAGCTCATGCAGAAGTTCAGACAGTTCATGTCATGGGATTCGCGCGCGATGGATACGGCTTCCTGCATCGCCGAGACCGCCTCGCTGTAGCATCCAAAGTCGGCCTGCAGGATTGCGAGATTCAGCAACGCGTACTGGTACGAGCTGCGGTCCCGGCTGTGCATGGTGTAGTCGAAGTAGCGATGGAGATTGTCAAAAGAGGACGGGTAGTCTCCGGCTCTCCAGGCGTCAAGGAATCTATAAATGTCAACGCCGCTCAGCTTGCGAGGTTGGACACCTACCGGAGATAGTGGACTAGGTTTGGTAGCGTCACGCCCGACATTACGATTTGCTCCAGCTTCGTCTTCATGCCGTCGGGAACTCTCCCTCCCAGTCCTGGAATCGTTAGCAGCTACCATCATGAATGCAAAGCTCGCACGTACTTTGCAATTCTCCGATCTGAAACTCCAGCAGCCGTTCGACATCTTTGGTGCTGACGTACTGTTCCTCCTCGTCGTCATCCTCAATATTCCCATAGGCCACCCGAGCAAGAGGACTACTGGCATCCAAGCCCAGCTCGAGGAGATTGATATCAATGGTAGCCTGCTCCTCTGCGGGATTTCTGCGCGCCCACGCGCGATACGTAGGCAAGCGGTACTTAACAAAGCCCTTCCAGAGCTTGACCGAATCATGAAACTGCAACCTGGTAAACTCCAGCTGGGCTCGTCTCACAAATACACCCAGCGGGGAACATCGCGACAGACGCATTGGGCCGGATTCGGGGGCAAGGCCATTGTCGCGGTCCCGCAGCTGATCCTCGCGCGTCTTGACCAGGACGGCCGAGACGTCGGAGAAGAAAACCTCCAGGGCATCGCACGAGTCGATGGACCAGATCTTTCGCAGGAAGAGATCCCAGATGGAGCGACCGGGGATAGAGGAGGACTGGGCCGACAGGGCGTCCTCGAGGTCTACGATGGACACGGAGGATTGCTTTTCGCCGGCACCCGAGGTGGAATGCGGGTTGCTCGCGTCCAGGGGACTCAGGCAGGACACCAGGAAGGAGAGCACATGGATGACCGATGAGTTGGGCACGACTCCTTCGGTGTAGATGGAGACGAGACACAGCAGGGCGATTTTGGACGGGGTTAGATAGCGACTCATTGTGGATGTAGATGTCGCATTTTTTGCTCTTCAGAGATGAAACGAGGGGGGTGATTATGGGGAGTTGGACAGCATCTGGCGAGTCTTTGGGATAGACAACGCGTCAAGAGGGATGCTTGAACAATTAATTGATGGGAAGGCTCCTGGGGATGCGACGCGATCGAGAAGGTGGGGAGAATTTTGATGGACGATAGCATATATACCATTGTTTACTAACGTTAAGCACATACGACCACAGGGTGAGGAGAACAGGGCTTCCCGTCCGCTCAGCCGTACTTAAGCCTCACGCCGGCCGGTTAGTAGTTGGGTGGGTGACCACCAGCGAATCCCGGCTGTTGTATGTTTTTCTTTCTTCCTTTTTTTATTTTGTTTGATTCCTCTATTGATATGCAGTCTCATGATGCCTGCTTGTAAACAGCAATTTTTGACGCGTGGGTTTCTGCACCGGCAGCGTACAACCCGTATGGTCTCGCTGCTGTGTTGATATAAACTCCACTAATGGCCAGAGTAGATCACTCCAGGCTATATCGATGCCCGCATTGCAGAAAGGTGTTTAAAAAAAACCGTATCCTGCAGGAGCATCTACCCAAGGAACGATGCCCAGCCCAGCGCTGATCTGTTGAGAGTAATAGAATATCACGGCAAGATAAAAGTCCACATTGTATCCACATAGTCTGGTTTATAAATGCCATTGCAGAGGATTCATTCATCTGAGCCCTATCTTTTCTTGCCAACTCCTTGTAGTATGAAGATTCCACCGCCAGTCTTGGGCCACTGCATCACCATATTCCCATCCATGATTAGGATTTCATCCAGCCCAACTTGAAATGTACGCTTTTGTAGGCCGATGACAAAGGTTTGTTTATGTGAGCCTTCGAAACATTTCAAAAACCCAATTTCTTTGTTTAAAGGACAATCTATCGGCCTGAAAAAAAGAACCTTCCCAAGAGCCGCTCGGTACGATGGGGGTTGGGTTTCGGTTGCAACAGCTAGCATTATAGCTCCATCGCTTGTTGTGAGATCATAATCACGATTTGCGAGCTTTTCTACTTAGTTACTGAATGAGTCAGAATGGGCAGAGCACCAAGGCTTACATCAGTACCATGATAGAACAAGGCCCGGCCGTAGGGCCCCAGTTTCATGATTGGAATACAACTGAGTGTTGACTGCTGTTGATGGTTCTGCATGGCATCTTGAACTTCTGCCTTTACCGCGTGAATGAGAGGATCGCTTGCTGGAGTACAATCAATGATTTCGAATCCGCGCTCCTCCATTTGATACTAGCAAAGTGTCGAGCATTGACGAGAATGTCAAGGTGGGTGACCAGGTGCTTCACTCTCATGCGTAAGGTAGCAGATGTGATCATCAGCCTTCGGTGGAATTTGTTGCAGTGAGAAGAGCTATTCGGTACGCAATTTACCCTATTTAACTAGAGTTAGCCCCTATTAGCTCAGTGGTAAAATTGCAATAGAACTGGGTGGCTTACAAGTGCATCGTCCCCTAGGGTAGGTGCCTGTCTGACTCTTGATGGGCCTTCAGTCAGCTGTGCAAAGACCCAAATGCCACGCCTGTTTTCTTTTGATGGGGATTTGTTGGAACCCCGCTATCTTATTCCTTCATTCGTTCTTATCATGGTTTATTATGTATCACCCACCTCTCCATCCTTCCGTTTTGTACAATTTATAAACATAGTCCGGTCCTGCACCCCTTCTACGTTGAATTCCATCCTTAAAGGCTTTAATATTCCCATACCATACTAAACCGATTATGAGTGTCAGGCATTTCTCCAGTACAAGATTGCAAATAGATCAATGCTGATTCTGGTTTTAGAGAGGCGATGATGCGCTGGCTGGTCGGCCAGAGGAGAACCTCCCCAGTCATCGGTTTCCTCCAGTAGCCTATCCACGAAAAGTCTACTTCAAAGGATACTATCTTTCAGTTTACAATCAACAAACTAAAGAATACGCATCACATATTGACAACGATGTCCCCTCCACAGAATACGATTCATATGAAGTTCCGGCTGAATTTACCGTTTACATCCGAGGGGCCAGTGTGTATTTTGCCCAGGAGGAGCACGCTGAGTTTACAGGTCCCCAGGTCGCACTGTAGCTACTGTAGCTACTGCTTAGCATCAGTTATTACCTCGCAATTCAAAATTCTGCATACTATCACTGTCTCTCTTATGATCGTCGACAAATCGAGTATATGAGCATTGGCAGACGACGGAGATGTGCCCGACACTCCCCGAGCCTGGTGTTGGTGACTACTTTGCCGATATTCTCCAGAAAAAAATTGTTCCCCTCTTTTATTTCGTCTCATATTTTCTCTTTTAAACAGGGGAGAGTGTTCGACCAACGAAGTTCTACAACTGGGGAAATCACGAATTACTTAATCTTCCCACCATATGAAATGCTTGTTTGTCTCCCTTGCAATCATCTTGGGATATCCGTGCCGAAAAGATCACCCATGACTTGGAAGCTCACTCTTTCGAGGAGCCAACAGGGATGGTTATAGCTACTCCATCTATGGCCCACTTCGGAAGACAGAAAATACAATCCCGAGACTGGGCCTTGCGGGATCATGATCCTGTTTGCTCATAATAGTTTCGAGAGTAACTTCCACGCACCGACCTGTAGATGTTCAAGACAGACTAACCGAACTTATGATGTAAGTGTACTAACTCCCTCTGTCAATCCTATTCCTTGAAGAAACAAATGCACTCCATCCCAATTTCGGAGACTTACCAGGTAACAGCTACTCGGGTCCGGGATGTTCCCAGATGATCGCAACAAGTCTCACCAACGAGCGCTGTACAAACGATTGCATTTTCTGGCCATCCAGCCCAGAATTGAGCTGTACCTCGGTAGCACAAAGACGTGTCCTTGGACAGACACGGTAGCTGCAGAAAGTCCTGCCTCTCTCTCTGAGGTGGCCTGTACGCTTCGTACAACCGAGCTCTGACAAAGTTGCACCGAAAACTTGGAGTCCAATCAAAAGATCGAGATACTTCGGACCCGACTGAACAAGGCCACTCTAGACTGATCTTCTCGCTTGCAGCGAGAACAAAGAAGCTGGAAGTCGATGACAGCCGCGAATTCCGCAGAAGGCAGTATGACAAGGTTCAGAACACGAGCGACGAAAACCTGGGATATTGGTTCTTGTCGAGCTTCGAACCAATCAGGCAGTGACAATCACGAAGGAACATTTCGAAGTATGCGATCACATGGATCGCATATCGAGCTGAACATAGGAAGCTTTCTCCTCGGATAAATACCATGACAAGACGCCTGCCATCCAGCCCACACCCGGAGCCACAGCCCCATGCACATACCCAACCTACAACATTTCCCAAACAGGAGATAAGATATGATCATCCGCGGACATGAAGTATTCTCCCCCATCCTGCGGGTCGGGGAACTGATCAGCGCCGCCGTCGTGGTGGGCATTCTCGCCGGCTACGAACACCTCGTCCATCGTGGCGACGGGCCCCAATCAGGCCGAATCATATACTCTCTCGTGATAGCGTGCATTACTCTTCTCTTCTCGATCCTCCTCCTGACGCCCTTCCACTGCACGTTCTACTTCTTCGCGCTGGACTTCATCTTCTTCGTATGCTGGATGGTTGGCTTCGGGTTGATGGCCAATGCAAGCCCCCTTCCTCTCCTCCCTCTCCTCCCTGTGCTGCTGGTTAACTAACTCTGCTACAAGCTAACCGCCTCCGACGGATGCGATTCCCGCTGGATCTGGTACAACTGGGGCTACTACTGGGGTGGATATTACGACACGACGCCGCTGGACGAAGTGAGTCCTGTTCTTGTCGGCACAGGGTATTGTCCGCGATGGCGCGCAAACCTGGCTTTTGCTTTTATCGGTGGGATACTGTGGTTGCTGAGTGCTATTCTTGTGAGAGACACTGATAATCCTTCTCCTGGTGGGCTGGTTCGGATTGCTAAAAGAAACAGGGCCTCTACGTGGTTCTGGAATATCCTCGAGGTGGTGGAGATGGACAGGGGAGAACGAAGAGACGACTGCAGAAGGTGACTCGTTTTCAGAGGTATGTTCATGTTCCTACGCTATTCTTTCACTGATTGGTAGGCGTTTGTAAGACCATGCTAATGTTTGATATTCAGAGGACGAGAACCAGTAGCGCAGCCTGAAACTGCACAGACGAATGTTTGATCGTGACTTGTGTTTCTCGGAGGCTTGGAGATCCTGAGCACTAATGGGTTTGGGGTAATGGCTCTGGAATATTCTCAGATTGTAATGATCGTATACTGAGCTTTTCTACTTTATGTAATGATAATGGACGTATTCTTTTTTTTTTTTTTTTTTAATTCAACCGCCGATGGCAGAATAATTTTCGTTTGCTTTTCCGTGGAGAGAGTGCAAGCTCGTGGCGATGAACATACCATGAACAGCAAAAACACGCATGCTAGCTGAATTGGGTCAGGTAGTCTGATCATGGCTGTCAGTACATTGACTTATGCAATTAAAATATGGTGATATAAGCCAAGAGAATGAACTGACCAGCCTTACATAGTACTACGGCATAACTTGCTATATCAGTATGTAGAATTTCCAAGACACAGGATGCTGTCGATTATTCCCGAATCCTGTATGGATTAAGCCGCTTTCCCTTGTTTGATTCACCTCAATGCTTTTCTCTAGTGTCATTCTCCGCTTATGGTTGGGTATCAGCCCCTTTCGATCGCACGATGTCGAAATTGGGGTCCTTTTGTTCTTCCGCCGAGTCGTCGGAAGAAGGCTGACAGGGCCACCAGGTGTCTCTTTGGACCAACCAGTGGCCAAAATGATACGGCCCCACACATTAAATTGGGCATTAGGAGATTGCATTCCATTTCAAGCCTGATCATGTTCCATTTCGGGATGCCGACTCAGAAACTCCAGCCCCAGGGCTGCTATGGTGGTCACCCAACTTCCGCCGATCGGCGGAGTACGCGCCCTTCGCGCGGGACATAAAGCACAAGATTTCCATCCACTCTATTGCAGAATTAATTTGCAGGAGCAGAGCATCTCGTGCGTTACTCTATTTAATAGTTTACGCCTCGCGAAATGGCTCAATCGGATACGGACCTTGCATATTCTGCAAAGGAAGAAAAGAGCGACTCTTCCATCCGCGGAGAGAATGCGTCAACAAGCCCCGATGATTCGGGATCAGGCACGTCAGGATGGATTCTCTTGATGACAGTGGTAGCTCTGGCTTTGAGCATGTTTCTTGTGAGAATTACATCCCACCCCTTCTTTGTCTGCGTATTGCTAATGCTGTGGAAGGTCTCTCTTGATATGGTGCGTCCTTACCTCCCTCGATCGATTGATGCTATCGTCGCCAAGTGAATACTAATGTCGCCGACCTTTCCCTAGACGATCGTTGCGACGGCTATACCGAAGATAACAGATGAGTTTGGTGGAATTGAATTGGTGGGCTGGTATGGGTCGGCGTTTTTCATCACGCTGGGAAGTTTCCAGGCGTCGTGGGGAAAGACATACAAGTATTTCCCTCTGAAGCCGGCCTTTCTGGTGGCGATTGTTCTCTTCGAGGTGGGCAGTTTGATGTGTGGTGAGCAATATCCCTGGAAATTGGTTTGCTGCTGAAGTCGGTTACTCACGCATGGCAGGCGTGGCTCGGAACAATACGACCTTGATCGTTGGACGCGCTATTACCGGCCTCGGAGGTGCTGGAATCTCGTCGGGAGCGTTTACCATCATCGCTCTGTCGGCGCCTCCTAAGCAGAGACCAGCGTATATCGGCATTTTGGGAGCGTCGTACGGAATCGCCGCGGCGGTCGGTCCTCTCCTCGGAGGTGCCTTCACAAGCCACGTTTCCTGGCGATGGTGCTTCTACATTAATCTCCCCATTGGAGGTGTCGCGGGAGGAATCATCCTTCTGTTGTACCGCGCGCCTCCACCACTACCATTCCTAGGCGAGCCACTGCGGGAGAAATTGCTGCAGCTGGACTTTCCAGGAACGATGCTCCTTGTCGGGGCTATGGTTTGCTATGTGTTGGCTCTAGAGTGGGGTGGAATCTCGCGACCGTGGAGTGACTCAACCGTTATAGGAACGCTGGTCGGCTTCGGTGTGCTGCTGCTCAGCTATATGCTGGTGCAATGGTATCAGAAAGATCGGGCGGCGATGATCGGCCGCTTACTGCGTGAGAGAAACGTGTTTATCGCGATGATCTATATCCACCTGCTAGCCGGTACCTTTTTCCTGCTGGTGTATTACCTGCCCATTTACTTTCAGGTCATTTCTGGCGTGTCTGCGGCCGATAGTGGAGTTCGCAATCTTCCTTTGATTCTTGCTCAGAGTGTCGCTACCGTCTCGTCTGGTCTTGTTCTGAGTCGCGTCGGATACGCAGCCCCGTTTCTCCTTTCCGGAGCGGCGATCACGGCGATAGGCTCGGGACTCTTGTACACCCTCAAAGTTGGCTCAGGCTCCGGGGAATGGATTGGATTCCAAATCCTGACAGGTCTCGGTGTCGGATGGTGCTTCCAGGTGCCAGTCGTCACCGCGCAAGCTGCAGTGTCGCCGGAGGATCTGCCCTCGGTCACCTCGATGGTCTTGAGTATGCCTCTCCCTTTCATTATGCACTGTTCTCAGCTAATAAATTGATAGCGGTTCAAACTATCGGCGGCGCAATCTTCGTTTCGGCTGGCCAATCGGCCCTTTCAAATGTCCTGCTACGCGTTTTGCCCCGTGAATCCCCCGATCTCGATCCTTTGCAGGTCGTGACCACCGGCGCGACCGAGTTACGGGCAACCTTTCCTTCGGACCAGATTCCGGGAATCCTCACAGCATATATGGAAGGAATTAAGGCGGCCTTCATCATTGCGACGGTTGCATCCAGTTTAGCGACCGTGGTTTGTCTTGGTAGTCGATGGAAAAAGCTCTCAACCTCAGCCACCGCGGCAGTAGCAGCTTGAGGTGCGAAACAACATCGGCTTGATTGAGCTTGTGACTTGAAATACTGTAATAGTAACAGTCTTAATGCAAATGTTTTTTTTTTTTCTTTTTCGTTTTTTGAATAAGGGTGTGGCGTACTTTCGCAGCATCTTTTGACTGGATGAGGCACCATGAGACCATGAGCATGAATGTAGAGAAACAGCTGTCCATGGCCTGAGTTGAATGTCTGGCGCAGTTATTAGGCAACTAGGGCGTGGGCTAGGCATTTTATATGGCGATTTACCATTTAACGGCTGTTAGATAAATCCCCAGTCCCAGCCACCGCTGAAGTCGGCCAAAAATGGAGACTGTGTCAAGGAGGGATCCGTAGACCAAAGTTCGGAGATCAACTCTGGCCCAGCCTCTACGCCGGGAAAGAAGTTGATGTCATCTAATCGAACAGAGCCTGGATCGGGAGGAATTACTTCCTGCGAAGATGCCGTCTGAGTCCCCTCGACTACATTGGGCGCGATTTGTAGCAGACGACTGGAATCAGGTGCATCACTCGAGTTGATCCTACGGTCTAGAAAGACCGTCCCAAAATACGGAATGACCAGCTTGAGGCGATTGGATTCCTCTTCGGGGTTTCTCTCAGCGCCATTTGAAGAAGTATCCGTTCGGCCAGACGAGAGATTCTTGAGGGTTTGCAAGACACTCAGGGCCCGTGACGCAACCTCGTCAGGCTGTGCCTGCGCCAGTTGTTCCAGAATATCCATGACCTTATTAGCCGGCTCCCAGTCCTCTGGAGTAGGTTTTTGTCGATTCTCCGACCCCAGCAGGTTGATCAAAAGGGTCACGGCCGCAGTGAAGGCTTGAAAATCCAGCGACTTGCAACAAAAGCTCTGCCCTGTAAGACTTCGGATGGCTATGTAGCATGTGATCATATGTCTGGATGCTTCTAAACAACTCTGCCGACTATACTCATATCGCTTATGTGTGCTCGAATCAAGCATAAGCGGCAGGTGTAGCCATGCTGTTAGCTGGAAGTGCCACATCTGGGTCATTAACTTGGCGTAGCATTGGGCAAGCTCCGGCGTTTTAGCGGACGGATCAATCCCGTCGGTGTTGATTGTTGTTGGATCAATATCCCCGAGTTCGGCGTCAATTGTTTGCGTCTTTCGCATCATGTCTGGTGAGTAGGTAGGAAATGTCTGGTTTCGTTCAATGATCGAGCCGGCCGCTACGAAAAGCCTGTTCATGTGAGGTGTTTCAATGTTTTGTGAAGCGGATTGCTGATCGAGAGCACCATCGCCAACACCGTGGCACATTCCCAGCATGAGCGAAAGATAGCGGTCGGCGAAGACAATGTGTCTCCAGATGCCTTTCGCACGTGCTAAAGATGTCGAGCCCTCTTGCGACGCCGGAGTCGGTCGATGAAGCCCCATAAGTTGGGCTACATTCTGGGCGTGTCGATAAGACAGCCAGGCACGTCGGAGCTTGCCATCGTTGTTATAAAAGACACCTTGTAGAACCAAACACTCCAGTCCATCGACATTCCGGATCATGGAATTGTGCGAGCAGATCGACGTTGTAACCAAAGCGATACATTGCTGCGTAAACTGCAATGGTGAGCAGGGAAGACCGAGGGAGCTAGTGTCATATCTTGGTGGCAGTTGTTGAAGACAGACAATAACCCACAGCAGCGCTTTTGCAATGACTACGGGGTGGCTTTTACGAAGAGCAGCCACCGGTTTAGAGAGCAATGATTTCTCTTCGTCCCCAAAGCACTGCACTCGAATGAGCCACCAAGAGTTGTTCTCATCCGCTAGCTTGTTTACTGTGGTTTGAGACGGCAAAAAAGCCAGCAAGTTCGCCCGCAGATTCTGCACCTCTGGGTCAGCTATGTCGTTCCGAGAGCTTTGATGCTGAGTGTCTGGTTGGTGTGAACCAAGCTGCAGCATAAGTTAATAAATTGCGCGCTTCAATGGATCCGAAACAACCAACCACGGTGTTATTGAACAGCGACAATACGGGTGCGTTCTCATGAGCTGAAGGGGTTATAGCCGGCGGGCTAGCACCTCTATTATTGTGGTCCACCAGGGATGGCGACGGTTGCCGATCGCAGGCATCTCCATTGCCCATTCGTTGTAGAACTTTTTCCAACAGCGATTCCACGCGGGTCATTCTCTCGATAAGAGACCCGCGATCTGATTCACGCGGATTTTCTGGCTCTGGCAGGTCCTGACTTCGACAGACGGACCCACGGGATTGGCATTCTCTGCAAGTCAGGTCGCCACTGTTTGCGAAGTGGCAGCGCACTTTCCGATGTTTACCTACTTGGTGTCAGAGACCGACCATTGCAGCGAAGAAATCAGGGACAGATACATTCCCAGCAACTGCGGGTCCCCTTTCGGACCTTCTTTCGTGGGGGCTGCCCAGGCGAGTCATCGGGATTGGAAGTCATATCCCTCTTCGGGTTGGCTGGAAGATTCTATAGAGCTGGCAATGGAATGTACATACCTTAAGGTAGGCAAAGGGGACAACAGACGCATCGGCGATGGACGCGGGCTGGTCATGTGTGCGCTAGGCCCGATTCGATTCGACACCTGAGGCAGACACCGTGACCTGCCCTTCCTTCCCTTTTCGTCTCTTTGCATTGATCCAACTTCTTGTCGCTTTCTTGACTCCCTCGAGATACTGGAGGTCGTTCCTCTTCTACTTATCTATCTTTTGGTTGCTACTATGAATCACAATTTGGTACCTCGATCGACCACTGTTGATGCTCCATATGTGATGATATATTTTAGGAAACCGAGAATGCCCATTTGTATTTTCGAGGAAAGTTGCCTGGTAGCCTCCGTTATCTTGAGCAATTGCGATCAACATGACATCTCTGAGAATAGCCGACGCTGACATCTCCGATTGCTCAGAAGAGCTGACTAGAGAAGTGAGAGTGACATTTCACAATGATTTGGAGAACAGCACGCGGTTGACCCGGATGCAACAGGCGGCTACGGATTTTCGACCGGTGAACAAGAACGAGTAGAAACAGGTCAGAAATTGGTTCAAAGAACTGGCATGCTTCGGGCCGATCTCTTTTGGCTCACGGCGAGCATGGCAGACCGAAGCCTAAATAAGTACGACTGGATGAACGAAACCACTGGTTTAAAATACTACTACTTCGCGGTCCAACGGCTAGCGATTGACCTCAACAGTTTGAATCATGTTGGCCACTCCCTTGACACAATTATACGAACCCTCTGGGACTCCCGTGTCTGCGCAGCCCTCCCTCATCGAGAGGGATAGGCAGCTGATGCCGACGTTGACCCAAGACCACCCACCCGCATCGCTTTTTGTCCCCGACATCCACCCCAACGTCATTGCGGTCTCTACTGAAGTCAACGAGTACTTTCTACAGCGATGGCCCTTCCGGAATGATGCCGAACGGGCCAAGTTTCGCGCCGCCGGCTTTTCGCGCATGACGTGCTTATACTTCCCCAGGGCGTTGCAAGATCGGATCCCGTTTGCGTGTCGCCTAGTCACTCTTCTTTTCTTGGTTGACGGCATGTCCCCTTCTTGTTTGACTGTGTGACTGCTCGCTGACTGGGGGTTCATGAATTGAGATCTTCTCGAAGAAATCTCGCTACAAGAGGGGTCCGAGTACAACGAGAGACTCATCGCCATCTCCCGCGGAGATATCTCACCGGACCGCACAGTCCCCGTTCAAGCCATCACCCATGAGGTCTGGGAAGACATGAGAGCCTGCGACAAGGTCCTGGCAGATGACCTCCTCGAGCATGTATCCATTTTCATGCGCGCTCAGACGGAGAAGGCCCGCCTCACGATATGTGAATTGGGGAAATACTTGAACTATCGTGAACGGGATGTTGGGCAAGGGTAGGCCATTGTATCATCCTTCTGTTTACCGGACGGTTCTATGAGCTAACACCCGAAATTCAAAGTCTACTTTCGGCACTTCTGCGCTTCACGATGAAGCTGCATCTCAGCGATACCGAGCGGCGCCAGGCGGCTCCCATCGAACGCAACTGTGCTAAACACATTGCGATTTTAAACGATATCTACAGCTGGCGCAAGGAACAGCTCGCATCACAGAACATCCACCAGGAAGGCGCGGCTGTCTGTTCGGCAGTCCAAGTCCTGTCCAACGAGGCGACGCTAGGGTTCGCAGCGGCGCAGCGAGTACTGTGGGCGATGTGTCGCGAGTATGAATTGGTGTACCGGCAGCTAGTGCAAGAGGCAACCCCTGGCAGCAGTGATAGTCTCCACAAGTACTTGCGGGGACTTGAGTATCAAATGAGTGGCAACGAGCGGTGGAGCGAATCGACCCCTCGCTACCACGGTTGATAGCTACCTGGTCTCATGGCAACATTAAGTTTTGACCACGGCCTGACATTCTCCACCATGTCTTGACCCTTAGCTTATAGTTTGAGAGCAGTTGCTGAGAATATGTCAGCCATTAGTACTAGATAAGAAATGCACAAGACATGCACATTCATTTCTGAGCAACTGCATCGCCGACTACCATTTCAGGAAGTCGCCGAGAGACAACCAAGGCATTGGCTCGGAAGATCAACCGTGGCAGGAATAGGATGTCCATTTAGCTATCTACCCCACTATCCCTTCGTCACATTTAAGCCGGGTGCATAATGCATCTAGCTCAGAGTTTCATCCCTTGAACGGGAGACAGGAGGCGTCAGCATTCCTTGCTCAGCCCCTTGGGGCATGACATATCATCCTCGTGGATAATAGGTGAGAGAAAGGTATCTGTTAGTTCGGAATCCTAATAAGGAAAGAGTAAATTAGACTACCGAGGCTACGGGACTTTGCCACGCGGGACTTAAGTCTAATTAACCTGCTATGGGTGGGTTAAGTTTCGAGATCCAAACTTAATTAGGAGTTTAGCGTACTGCTTACTTTAAGATGAAGCAATAATGCATTGCTTGATGGTGAAGATGTCGTAGTAGCTGGGATGAGGAAAAGGACTATGTCTGCTTCCTGGTATACATACTATAGCTGCACAGGCCCGAAAGTATGTGTAAAAAGTGGAATGAATTATGTTTGGTGTTTAGATATCAACAAATAACAATACTAGAAGAGTATGTTAGCTTATGATAGCTTATAAACTGTAATTCAACTGATTCAACCCACTCAACCAATATATCAGCACTTATTTTGGTATATAAGCACGGTGCTGCGCGTTGAAGTCTATTGATTTGGAATTTGACAAAGATAAGCCTCTGGGTAGATCAGACAGTACGCCACATGACTGAGCACAAACCAATTTATAGAAGCGCAACCCACTCTTACTTAGGTAGGTAGGACGTGACAGTGGCCTCGGAATCGCCGAGATACAGAATGTTTGCGACGCTGCGCGATTTAGACAGCCAAAGTATGGTGGCCACCGAGGCTTCGACGGTGCCTCCGCCTTACAATCGCCCTCCACATATCGTCTGTCAATGGTGCCGTAGTAAAAAGGTATATTCTGTTCCTGGACCTGGAGATTCCTTCCGGCTTACCCGATACAGTTGAAGTGCTCGGGATTCAGTACCAAGGGATGTGCACGTTGCAGAGCATCGAACGCCGAATGCGTTCCAGTGAGCAGGTCATCGCGCAATGCTGCCGTCAAGAGGAACCAGAGGATCAGACCTACCGGCCAAGATCTTACCAGCCCTCCAGATAACCTAGTCCGAGAATCCTCGCACTGCAGTCCGCCGTTTGATATCCACTCCCCTTCTTCTGAGAAACACCCGTCGGATGGAATCGCATCTTGCCCACCGATTGCACAGCTTGAAAGTCTTCCAGACTCAGATCCAGACTGCTTAGAGCACTTGCCATATGAGCTGCATCATTCCATGACACAAGAGTTCCTACCCCCGCTTCCAATCAACTGGAATCTTGATGGCAATAAAAGCAGTCCAGAGAGTATAACCCTGGCATCTAGCAGGGATGTTAATGACCAACCCGGGACCCAGAATCTCGAGGCGTCCTGGAAATCATTCACCGACAGTATAGGAGAAGAGTGTGGGCCGCGCTCGGATACAAGTCCCTGTCAGTGTATTCATCATGCACTGGAGATGTTGGACGACTTCTGTGGCCAGGAATATACGCCGGGGCCCGCGTGTCTCGGGGACAACGGGTTCATGTTACAGCGTCTGGCGACCTTGCGTTCCGGGGTCCGAAAACTGGAGTCGCTGACGGCCTGTTTCAGATGTAGGGGAGCCCAGAGACCAATGACCCTTTTCGTACTGCTCTCCGAGCGTCTGGTTAATCATCTCCTTCTTACCCTGGAAACCCCAATTCCGGACCCAGTCTCCGCTGGGCTTTTTGCTTCTTCTGTCCTGATACGACGCGAAAGTAACGGAGTATGGCCTTGCGTAACCCCTTCTACTGCTTTCGAAAATAGCACCGACTATCCTGTTGATGATAGGGATAATATCATGACACTAAGTTGTGGCACGAATAGCCTAGACGTGACGGCTGAGACTTCGTCACTTCTTACTCTCCTGCGCTTAACGACACTGCAGCAACTCCGCATAGTGCTGTCAAAGTTGTGGGATCGCGCGCAGATGGAGCAATGGGGCGGCCATCTCAAGACTCTGAGACATCAGCAGAATCAGTTGCGTGCTATGGATGTCGCCATGAAGGCTCAATTAACGGTGGAGGCAAACTAACGGAATGAACGGACCCGTTAGAGTGGAAGATACAACATATCTTCTTGGACTGGGTCGGGAGCTGGCTATGTCGAAAGACCAGTTGAGCCGACATCCGCAGGGAAAAACCGCACCGCCAGGCTGGGTTTCCACCACATGACGTGGATGTGACTTTCGCTCTCCCAGCCTTGTGCCGGGTTGACCATCCCGGCGTCGAAGCGAAAGTGCATTTTCGCGAGAATCAGAGAGATCTCCATCATTGCAAAGCTATTCGATCGTTAGCGAGCACAAATCGTCTAAAAGGACCGACAGATTAAGGTGAGGAAGACACCAACTTCCGTCCTAGACAACCCCTCGGACCCAGAGAAAACGGCTGACTAGCTTCTTTGGTGTCGGAGCAGTCGGGATCCAACCATCGTTCTGGTTTGAATTCAAATGGGCTGTGAAAGTATCGCTCGTCTTGAGTGACCGTCCAGGCGGATGTGTAGACGTCAACCTGCCACGTAGCATCGACCAGAGTCAGTCAAATCCGCGTGAGAGCATGTTGCAAATTCTACCAACCCGCGAACATACATTACCCGGTATATGGACCCCGTCCACCATAATCCCTTCGGCAGGTGTCGTGCGAGGAAAGCCTTGGGAGCCTGGGGGATAGATGCGCAGTCCTTCCGAAATCACCGCTTGAAGATAAGGCAACTTCAGGGCGCTGGTAGCATCAATGTCGGACCAGGAGTGGTAGCGATTGCGAATCTCGGAGCGCAGCCTTTTATAGACCGGTGGGTTTGTTAGGAGATGGTAGGTGGTGGCAGCCAGGAAGGTGGCCACTGTTTCGCCACCTGCAATGCTGTAATCGAGTTAGTCTTCAAGGGTCGGATGGAAAGAAAGCACTAAAGAGCATACACCAAAGTCGAGGTGTGCGCGCTCAACTCCTCTAGATCCATTTTCCCGTTCTGCACCCTTTTGATCAAATGGGACATGAAATCGGCCCGGGGGCTTTTCGAGTCCAATCGACGGGCGACCTTGTCGCGACTGTAGTTGGTATGCTTGTTGCGAACGCTCACCGTGAGTCTCGGCAGGATGAACTTCCCGATTGCAGCTAATATTTGATAGCGACGAAGGTTATCGAGGATCGTGATGAAGTAAAGATGCTCTTCAATTAGGTCAGACCAGAAGTGAGATTTCCCGGCCTCGACGCAGTGGAATGATTCCCCGAATGCCATTTCTCCCAGCATATCGAACGCCAGCATCTCAAACCACTTGATCATGTTCAGTCCGGTCGAGGACTGACCGTCCGTCCCGAGCCGGCCGATGAAGCGGTCCACGCAGTTGTTGATGATGCTCTCCTGCTCTGTCAGCGCCTTGGTGGAAAAGGCCGCGGCGAGAGACCTCTTCATGCGACTGTGCCGCTGAGGGTTCCTCTCACTTCCTACGCAGAGAGAGCGAAAACCGGAGCCGTATATCTCATAAAACTCGCTCTTCCCCACCGGCTTTTTCACCGGCCCGTATATCGCCTTCCATGACTCGACCGATGCGCAGGATAGTTCGTTCGGAGCTACCCGAACGACATCACATGTGCGCGTCAGGTGAGTACAAGCTCCAGTCGGCTGCTGGGACAGAGGCTCACCGTATTGCTTGTGCAGGTGGTCGATAGCTCGGTGGAAGCGACCGCCTGTCGAGTAACAGATACGCCAGGCCTTGAGTCGATGTAGCTATGTTCAGCCGATATCCCCAACGGCTTGAACTGTATGATAGGCTGTCTTACAGAGGATGTTCGGGCCCAGAAGGGACCGGGAAAGGCTGCCACAGGATGGAAAAAAAGGTTGAACACGACCACGCCCAGCCAGTAGATGATAGACTAGGGACGAGGTTCTCAGTGACGAGGGAATTCTCTGGTGATCTAGCGAGAGGAATTTACCAGTAGGCCCACAGTCAGGCAGAACAGTTGAAGATCCGAGACCGCCGACGAGAGCCGACGAGCAGGGAACGAATTCGTGTCCATAATGCTTTGATCAACAAGAATTATGAAGCTCTAGATATGTGATCGAAGCCAGAAAGCCTCTGAAAACATTCAAACATCATTTTATAGTGCTTCCAGGGATTCATTCCGTTGAGATGTCCAAACGCGCCATTCGGCGGCTTCCGAATCGGTTGCGCGCCGAGCGACCAGACTCCATAGTATATGATTTTTATTGGAGAACGGGTCCAAAGGAGACATTTCTAGTTCATGGAGACCGCAATGTGAGGTTGTGCGATATTTACTGGCCCAGAAGGACTGGAGTTTCCCAACATCTGGAACGCGTCTTCGAAGACTGTTATGATTATTGACAACATTTCGGCCCTCTGCCTCCAGACAACCGGAGTTCTTTTCCGAATAGAGATTCAAGACATCGTGGAATGGCTGGGACATTCTGAAATAGCAGAATCAATGGAGATGAATAAAGGACGCGAAATCATCCATTGCATTGTCGTTGCTACCTTTACGCTAGTGGTGACCGAGGAATCCATCGACATGTGAAGAAAGCATTCCAGGGAATAAGACACATCAGTTCCGTTGCTTTAATTGAGAAATAGCGATGTAAACTGATTCTAAAATGATGCAAGAGAAGAGAAGGAGAGGGAAGTGGATGGACGCTCGATGGAAGCCCCACCTGATCGGGAAGGCACCCGATCACTGGACCGTCTCCACGCGCTACGGCCTTCTCGTCCTTCCGCCGTCCGGACCGCGTCTTCCGTGTCTATCAATAGCTGAACGCTGTACGGACCGTCTCGCAACACACATCCAATTTACTTTCCCCTCACCCCTCACCAGCTTGGCGGCTACGTAAGGATTTGTGCTTCTCCTCACGCGGGTCGGATCAATTGGGAGGGTATAAAACCCTTCATATACGACATGCCCCATGGATGAACTTGCTTTCCCCTCTTTTTGCTTTCTGGTCTGCTTACCACCGACCAATTTGTCGCGCTAGGATTTAGTATGGCTGATACTGCGGGAAAGGTATGTTTCTGACCTGTCTCGCTATGTCAATTGAGTTTCTATCGCAGAGTGAATGTTTGCTAACAATCCTAGACTATCACTTGCAAGGTACGACTACGACTCAATGCGGGAGACTCATGAAGCTAAACAACGCAGGCTGCAATCGCCTGGGCAGCCGAACAGCCGTTATCGGTTGAGGATGTCGAGGTTGCTCCACCTCGGGCGCATGAAGTCCGGATCAAAGTCCTTCACACGGGCGTTTGCCATACCGGTAAGTTCTCCGATGAAGCAGATTCGGTTGCTCCTAACAGTGAGAAGATGCCTACACGCTCTCCGGCAAGGATCCCGAAGGCGCGTTTCCCGTGGTGCTCGGCCACGAAGGCGCCGGAGTCGTCGAGTCCGTCGGCCCCGACGTGACCAACGTCAAAGTGGGCGACCACGTCATCGCGCTTTAGTATGTCGCTCTACGCTGCTTCGAACCAAACTAACAGGCCAGCACGCCCGAATGCAAGCAGTGCAAGTTCTGCCGATCCGGCAAGACCAATCTGTGCGGACAGATCCGCGCCACTCAAGGTCGCGGCGTGATGCCCGACGGAACGTCTCGATTCCGAGCGCGCGGAAAGGATCTCCTCCATTTCATGGGCTGTTCGACCTTCGCCCAGTATACCGTTGTCGCCGACATTTCGGTGGTCGCCTACACACCGGCCTGCCCGACCGATCGCGCGTGTCTTTTGGGATGCGGCATTACGACGGGGTACGGGGCTGCGACCGTGACGGCGAAGGTGGAGGAGGGGTCGACCGTTGCGGTCTTCGGTGCTGGATGCGTTGGTCTGTCGGTCATCCAGGGCGCGGTCAAGAACAAAGCGGGTATGATTATCGCCGTGGATCTGAACGACGACAAGGCGCCGTGGGCGTACAAATTCGGCGCCACCCATTTCGTCAACCCGGCGAAATTGGGACGTAAGAACATCACGGAAAAGCTCATCGATATGACCGACGGGGGATGCGATTATACGTTCGACTGCACTGGCAACGTGAGTGTGATGCGAGCGGCGCTTGAAGCCTGCCACAAGGGCTGGGGCGAGAGCATCGTCATTGGGGTTGCGGCAGCTGGCCAGGAGATTAGCACCCGGCGTAAGTTTTGCCAATTGATTCAGGTGCAGTCAGATGCTAACTTGCTACTGTAGCCTTCCAGCTAGTGACCGGTCGCCAGTGGAAGGGCTGCGCATTCGGGGGCGTGAAAGGACGGACACAACTGCCGGGACTGGTGGCGGACTATTTGAACGGGGATCTCAAGGTGGACGAGTTCATCACTCATCGCGAGAGCCTCAGCAACATCAACGCGGCATTCGAGCAGATGAAGCAGGGCGATTGCGTGCGGTGCGTGGTAGACACGACCTTGTAGTAGATAGAAGCGATAAAGAACAGATAGTAATGATAAGACGATTGACGAGAACTACCTACCTACTCTACATCATCCGTAAAGCATATACTCCGGAGTATCTTCAATCCTCAAAATCACGCCATATCCTGCAGATGCGAAAAACCCTCATACTCATTGAACCTACCCAAACCGTCGGACGGGCACCCGAAAGAGACAAGAATCCCAGGCCGGACCGGAAGCGATATACAAGTCGAGTAATCTCGTCCCGACGCATGGCGCGGTGGAGACCCCCGCGTGAGGGGATCGATCGATTCGATCGTGAGGGGTTTAATTCAGTTGGCGCTTAGCAGTTAGTAGCTTACTCGTAGCTATTGAACTGGTTATATAAATGCCCCTGTCGCTGATTACCATCCTCAATTACTATCCTCTCTATACCCTATACTCTACACCAACCCACCACCAACCTCCTTCCAACCACCAACAAACAAACACAAAACCTTCAAAATGGCCCCCTCCCTACACCCCCTCATCGACAACGGCCTCACCAAAGGCTCCCCCAACTTCTCCGGCGGTTCTCTCCACTGCAAATGCGCCTCGGACCGCGTCACCGTGACTCTCTCCAGCAACATCGCACACAACCACGCCTGCGGGTGCTCTAAATGCTGGAAACCCTCCGGCGCATTGTTCTCCGTCGTCGGGGTTGTGCCTCGCACCGCTGTTTCCGTGACGGCGCACCCCGAGAAACTACACATCGTGGACCCGGAGGCCGTGATTCTGCGCAACGCCTGCAAGGGCTGCGGGGTGCACATGTTCGGACGCATTGAGAAAGAGCACCCGTTCAAGGGGCTGGATTTCGTGCATGCTGAGCTCTCGAACGAGCAGGGGTGGCAGGAGCCGCAGTTTGCGGGGTTCGTGAGCTCGATCATCGAGCAGGGGTTTAACCCGAGTGGGATGGACGAGGTGCGGGCGAAGTTCGAGAGTGTGGGTCTGCAGTGCTATGATGCGCTGTCGCCGGTGTTGATGGATTTGATTGCTACGTTTGCGGCGAAGAAGGCGGGCAAGTTGCCGGCTCATCTTTGAGGTAGGAGTTCTTTGGATGGTTGAAGGAGGATAGGATGAATGGATGGATGTATTATGTGGATTTGGTTTGGGTTGGGTTAGCGTGAGGTGTTTGTGGGTGGTTGGGGATGTATCATGATAGGCGTTGATGGTGTTTGTGGTTATGAGATATGATGATGATAGATTTGAATGTCGAATGCAATCTTCTGATTGAGTCTACATGTTTGTATATGGTCTAGTAGAGTTATGATGCGACAGCATGTTGGACACATTGATTTGAATGAGTACACTGTACTAAGGAAAATAAACAATTGAAAGAGATCATTAAATTGCGTTTTGTAGCTTACTATAGTCAATAAATGCCATATTCCTCTACGGAGTATACGCAGGTAGCCTGTCAAGTGTCAACGTCAACGTCAACTGTCAAAGCACCTGCTGGTGCAAAATCTACAATGAATCCCCCGCCAAGTCCCTCGAACCTAGAGTAAAACAGTCCTTTAATAAACCAGAAGAAATGACAGGATCCCCTTAGTTGATCCCTCCAGGGTGCATCATACATGAGTTCGCTGTCGGCGGCTAGCCACCCCATCTTCTAACGAGGGCTATACCTATGGAAAACCCGACAGCACTACTCCATACAATCCAAACCGATAACAGACAGAGCAAACCCTGCATAAACCGACACATCCGTAACTACCGCAGCACCACAGAATCCGAAACAGCTCCACCGGCCGAATCAGATCCACCACTCGGAGTTTCAGCGTGCCGGCCATTCCGCATCCAGCACGGACAAAACCGCTGCAGAAGCAGGTTAATTAATTCCCTGACGATCTCTCCGTTCTGGATCCGGAGCCGACCCTGCCAGCAATCAAGATGGAATGGTCGCTTGTAAAACGCCGAAATTGCTCCATCTAAAACGGAGTCTCGTCCGTCAGGCCACAGCTTAGACTATGCAATACGGAGCATGGCTCCATTTGGGCTCCATACGGGGTAGTCAGTCCATCATGGTTCGGGTTCTTATAAAGGCCCTGCCTGGCTCTACGATCTCGAGAACCAGCTCCCACCCACATTCCTTCTCGCTATGAAGTTCTCCCGCTCCTTCGTCACCCTCGCCGGCCTGGTGTCGGCCCAATTGGCCGCGGGTCTTCCGCAGGCGTCCTCGTCCAGCGTGGCGCCGACGCCGTCCGCCACCCCTGGCTCCTTCGCGTCGACCTCCGGTCTCCAGTTCACGATCGACGGCAAGACCGGCTACTTCGCCGGGTCGAACTCGTACTGGATCGGGTTCCTGACCAACGACGACGACGTGGACCTGGTGTTCTCGCACATGAAAGAGTCCGGGCTGAAGATCCTGCGCGTCTGGGGCTTCAACGACGTGAACGAAGAGCCGCAGGACGGCACGGTCTGGTACCAGAAGCACGCGGACGGGAAATCGACGATCAACACGGGCGCGGACGGCCTGCAGCGTCTGGACGTCGTGGTGTCGTCGGCCGAGAAGCACGGCATCAAGCTGATCATCAACTTCGTCAACTTCTGGGACGACTACGGCGGCATCAGCGCCTATCTGAAGGCGTATGGCGGCGGCGATGACAAGGCCAACTTCTACGCCAGCGACGAGATGCAGGCTGCGTACCGCACGTACGTCGAGGCCGTGGTGTCGCGGTACTCCGACTCGGAGGCTGTCTTTGCCTGGGAGCTGGCGAACGAGCCGCGCTGCAAGGGCTGCAATACCACGGTGCTGTATGACTGGATCGAGAGCACTAGCAAGTTCATCAAGTCGTTGGATTCGGAGCACATGGTCTGCATTGGAGATGGTGAGTCTCTCGATTGACACTGGGGAAAGATGGAGCTAATTCGAGCAGAGGGTTTCGGTCTGGATGTCCAGTCGGACGGCAGCTACCCCTACCAGTACTCGGAGGGCTCGGACTTTGCGAAGAACCTGGCCATTGAGACCATCGACTTCGGCACCTTCCACCTGTACCCGGATAGCTGTAAGTCACCACTTTCCCTGATCCCAGAGCACAAAGGCTAACCAAACAGGGGGCGTGTCCAACCCGTGGGGCAACGGCTGGGTCAGCTCGCACGGCGCAGCCTGCAAGGCGGCCGGAAAGCCGTGTCTGTTCGAGGAATACGGAGTGACGTCGAACCACTGCGCGCTGGAGAAGCCGTGGCAGAACACGGCGCTGAACACGACGGCCGTGTCGGGCGATCTGTACTGGCAGTACGGCGACCAGCTGAGCTCGGGACCGTCGCCGGACGACGGAAACACCTTTTACTACGGCACGGACGAGTTCAAGTGCCTGGTGACGGACCATATCGAGGCCATCGGGCGGCTTTAAGCGTAGACTGGTGGAACTGTTGGTGGACTGTAGTAGTACTTAGTGGTAGATGGGGGCCAAAGTTACGCAGATTCGTCAGAAGGATTCGTTTCAGCCTCGCGCACTCGGTACTTTACCTAGGTTAGGTAGTTACGAGGTTTTCTTTTGGTCTAATCTTTTCGGACTGTTGACTACACCCGTCACCTGACGTAAGACCAGGCAGCATCTCCTTATTTGATCTTTCTGTCTATCTTCTATCTTCTATCTTCTATCCCTGACCAAACCACCCGAATAGTATCAGCATCAACACAATCACAATGGGCAAACCACAACCCCAAGACCTGCAAAACGACAGCCCCGAGCTCCCTCCTCCATCCTACGAAGACGCCATCATCCAACCCTCGTCCTCCTCCGCTCCCCCCAGCGCCCCCTATCCCGTCGACCCCCCGATCCCCTCGCAACAGCCCTACCTCAGCATCAACGCCAACACCCGCGCCTGCCACCAAGTCACCCTCTCTCCGTCCCTGAGCAGCGACGCCTCGGCCCTCCACGCGCTCATCACCCGCCAAGCCGACGTGCCGGCGCGCCCGCAGCTCACCATCCGCGGCACCCACACCGTCACGCGGTCCGAGAACCACGGTCGGAAACACCGCAGTCGCAACATCACCGACTTCGACTTCAAGGTTGACCTGTCGCCGTATGTGGTGGGGCCCGCGGGACCGGACGGAGATGCCGACGAGGGATGGCATGAGCTGAAGGTCGCGGCCGACGGTGACGGGGCGAAGCGGTATCGCGGGGGAATCTTCCGGTCGAGACGGTGGAAGGGACACGGATGTTGTGGACGAAGAGGGGCGATTCGATTGTCGGATGGCGACGAAGAGAATGTCGGGTTGGTGGGCGCAGAGGGAGGGTCGGAAGGACGAGGCGAGGCGCCCGGGTTGATCGGCTGGTGTGATCGGTTCTGCGAGGATCCTGCGCCGGTGAAATCGTATGTTTCTTTTCCTTTTATGTTCTTACCTCCATTGGATGATTGCTAACGATAAAAGGTTCACATTCACACGCACCGTCTCGGGTCTGGACTCGGAGATCATCCGTTCAGCACTGAAATCGCACCTGCGGGCGCTCAATTACCGCGGCAAAGTGGAGGTCTCGACGTCCATCGCCAACAACTCCATCACCATCTACTCACCGCACTGGATCAACCAGGCGCGCAACAACAGCTGGATCTTCTACGGCTGTCTGCTGCTGCAGCTGTGGATTGTGGCGTGGCCGGTCCTGTGGCTGCTGGAGCGCAAGTACCGCGTCGTGGAGTCGGAGTGGCGATTCTCGCGACCGTCCGGGGCAAGCGGGAAGACGTTCGCGGCCGGACGCAGCGAGGCGGAGGTCGCGAAGGACGTGGCACCGGTGGTGACGCAGGCGGCGTGGGAGAAACGCAGGGCTGGGAAGGTGTTGACCCCCGAGGAGGTCGATACGTTGCGCCGGTTGGAGCTGGAGGGACGCCAGAGGGGAGGCCGCGTGATGGTGGTCAACTTTGGGGATATGGGCGAGTGGGGGAATAATCATTATACGTTTGCTGGTTGAGATGTTATACCCTTTGTTAGTTCTTTTTTTTGTCATGTGCTGTTTAACCTGGCGAGTAAGGGAGTCAATGTAGGATCAGAATCATAACCTTGTCCAAAGCCTCGACCACCTTCCGGGATCAATCTGTAGACCAAGTAAACAATGGCAGAACTCAACACCGCCAAGACGACCGCCCACTCTCACTTCCTGAACCTCCGTTTCAACCCTCCCACCAAAACAACTCCACATGTGTTCTTTCGACTCTCCTGGCAGCACAGATGCCGATAATCTGAATATGAAGCCTCCTCGATATAGCCAGTAGCAGTGTTTCTCTCAGACAATACCTTTAAAAGCCAAAATCACCATTTGGCACAGTGGGAAGCCGGAATATGTTATGGCCCTTATATATTTTGTTGACTTTCCTTAGGTAGACAAGGCAGTAATCCTAGATTGGACTACCTACCGGATTACAACGTTATGCCCTTCTAGTCAGCCTATTCATGCTGGAAAATAGAGGGTCGATTATAAAGTCCCCACTACTAGCCATAAATGATCGATTTGAATCGATTCGACGTGATTTAATTCCATTGGAATTACTAGTATTCCAGCTTTCTCCCCTTCCGACCCTCCCCGCAAGGCACTATGTACTATCGGGTATATCCACCCCGCAAACGCGAGAATCATAAATTCAAAGGCAAGAAAAAATCACTCCACCAGCGCCATCACCTTCTTCCACCACGTATCCCTCGGGCGGGGCGGTTTTTCGGCCGCCACGATCTCCGCCAACCCGGTCTGCAGGTCGACATCCTGCGGTCTCCAGGCCCACGGGTCCGACCAGAACACCGCCTTATGGCCCAGATACAGCACCAGGAACGCCGGGATGCCGATGTACGCCGTGAAGAAGTTACTCGCGGACCACTCGGACGGGAAGAAGCACGTGAATCCGTTGATGAGGGCGAGGAAGAGCGCGCCGGCGAGGCCGATGTACATGCCGTAGGGCTGCATGATGGAGGAGTAGGGCTTTTCGACGCCTTGGGTGGAAATGGCGCGGTTGAAGCGGAAGTAGACGATGGCGCAGCAGATCCAGGAGATGAAGCCGGAGGTGTTGGTGAAGTTGATGAGCCAGTTGAAGACAGTGTTGGAGCCGTTGGAGACGGCGAGGTAGGCGAGGAGGGAGAAGAGGGAGGATACGGATACTGCGAGCCAGGGCACGCCCCAGCGGTTGCAGGTTTTGAAGACGGAGGGGGCGTTTCCGGAGACGGCGAGGGAGTAGAGCGAGCGGGAGGACATGTAAAGGAAGGAATTGCCGGCGGACCAGGCGGAGGTGAGGATGGCGGCGTTGACGATGGAGTCGAGCACGGGGATGCCGGCGTTGGCGATGGCGACGACGAACGGCGAGGAGGAGGCGTCGGTGCCGGAGCCGTAGACGATGGCGTCGGCTTGCGAGGAGCAGATGACGCCGATGGCGAGGGCGCCGAGGATGTAGAAGAAGACGAGGCGGTAGATGTAGCGGCGGGCGGCGACGGGGACGTTGCGGCGCGGGGATTCCATCTCGCCGCCGGAGATGATGATGAGCTCGGGCGCGAAGATGAATGCGATGGCGCTCTTAACGATGCACTGCAGGAGACCGACGAAGCGGCCGGCGTCGCCGGACACGAGATAGGTGTTCATGGCGCCGTATTCCTTCCAGTAGTGGAATCCAAGGCGTTGACGGTTCGGCCCGCCGCCCCAGAAGAGAATGAAAGAAAGCAACAACAGACCGATCAGCGTGATGATCTTGATGCCGGAGAACCAGAACTCGGTCTCGCCGTAGAAGCGCACGGGCAGGAAGTTCAGCAGCACAATGACAACCAGCATGATGGTGATCCAGACGGCTAGGTGCACGCCGGCGTCCCAGTACTCGATCACCATGGATGCGGCGACGATCTCGTACGGCACCAGAATTCCCAGCGAGTACCAGTATAGATATCCCATGGCGAAGCCGAGACTGCGCGAGACGTAGCGGAAGCCGTGGTAGGACATGGTGCCGCCGTGGACGGGGAGGTAGGCGCCGATTTCTGCGATACCGGTGACGAGGGCGTAGACGAGGGCCGAAATAAAAATATAACCCAGTAGTAGGGATAAGGGTCCGCCGATGTTCAATGCCTGACCGGATCCCACGAAGAGACCGGTGCCGATGGTGCCACCCAGGGCCATCAGCTGCACGTGGCGGTTCTTGAGGCCGCGCTGGGTGACTTTGTATCGCTCGTCCAGCAGGTCGGCCTCGATCATGGCCTGCATGGTGCCAGACTTCCCATCGCCGGCGGACTCGACGGGGTAGGGGGCCTCGGATATTGACTTTTCAGGGGCCATGGCGACGGCAATTGTTTGGGTGAGAGGAAGAAACGTTCTAGAGGATGAGAAGGAGGGAGGGGCGGACAGTTATAAGCGACAGGATTATGGTTACATCCTCAGCGCGATAAACAGAAAAAGTCAAAGATGGGACGAGGCAAAATCAGCGGACTCATCGCGACCGAAGGCGGCAGTCTGGTTGGACGGCCAAGCAAGGGGGATGATAAGACGATGCGGGGAGCGCCACTGGCGTCGTTGGTGATGGAAAGAAGAGTCAGGCTGAGACGGAGTACCGGAGAGTTGAAAGAGTGTGAAAAGGACCGGAAAGGTACTCTCCGTGGTAGACCTGACCAGATCCCTATGACTTCCCGTGCCCTAACAGTCAATAGGTATATGAAGGAGGATACTACTTATCGCTCTCGTATCGCCAGCCCATGAGAATGCTGAGTCCACCGGTCCGGCCACCGGTCCGGAGCCAGCTTATCGCAAGCGAGTCTCGAATTGCAGATAAGACGATGGCCATAGAAGCATCCCATGCAAGGGGTAAGTATACTTCTTGGGAGGTATTATGATATGATATGATATGGCCTGACCGGGACTTACTTCCGGCCTGCATCCGGTGCATTGATCGCGACATTGCCATGAATCAAGAAGACGGAATACAGATGAAAGGAATGCCACTATTGATTGATCCATGGTGTCATGTTGCGACCTGGCATGGTCCCACGTTTTTAGATTTCTCCAGATTCTCGGATTCTCCACTTTATTCGTTCTCTTAGGTAATGTTTTTATTTCCCCGGATTTTTCGTCGCTTTCAACACGGTGCCTGACCCAGTTAGACCGCGTTAGCTGCGTAGGCTCAATTGGAGATGATTGGATTCTTGGAATACACTCCATTGCCATCGCGGAAATCGTCGGCTATTCGCGGATTGGGTTCTGCCGACTACGTTATTAGACTGGTTCTTGGAAGGACATCGACAAAGATATTCCATCAGATTTTTATGATCTTGCACTCCCCGTTGCCTTGTCAAATCCCAGAGGCAACAACCTTCATTCAACTCGGTCCAAAGGCGTCTCTCCCACGCCGCTATCAAGAGGCTGCTTTATGCCATCCACCCTATCATCCGCTGTATCAACATGGTAATTCCGCACCAAGATTGGCTGCACGACCACGCAAAGTGAGGGCCTTTTGAACGTCGGCTGGTATTTCTGGGGCTGGCCAGGGCGTATCAAGATTGGTTGCTTGATCACGCAAACTGAGGGCCTTTTCAGCGTCGGCTGGTATCTCTGGGGCTGGCCAGGGCGTATCGCACATCCATGGGTGACAGAGGCACTTGGAGGGCGAAATGCGCTTGGAAGCATCCACAGTGAGCATTTTGCCAATGAGATCCAAAGCAGAATCAGGAATATCGTCCCAATAAGGTGATGGATAGTCGAATCTACCCATCCTGATCTGCTGGGCGAGGGTATAGGGGCTTTCCCGGGAGTAAAGTTCGTCGGAAAAGGGAGGAAAGCCACACAGGCAGATGTACAAAACAACCCCGCAAGACCATACATCGACTCCAAACCCATATCGACGTCTGACTGTCTCCTGAAGGATCTCCGGGGCCACGTCTGAATAAAGTTAATAACTGCATCAGTATATGCCAAGGGATGAGGAATATATACAGCTTGGAGTTCCACATAGAGTAGTTGTAAGTTCATCGAGACTCGGCTCCGTGCGAATCTGTTTTGCTACCCCAAAGTCACCTAATTGGATTGTAAGGCTCTTGTCCAGAACAAGGATATTCTCGGGTTTGATGTCTCGGTGGACCCATCCACGGCCGTGCTATTTTGTATCAGCTTTCACTCGATGTGGGCCAGGATCGAGGGAGAAGGCTCACCAGAAATTGGATAGCAGATATTAACTGACGAAATACTCTCCGTGTTTCATTCTCAGTGAGCTTTTGTTTGCTGACAATCCAGTTAAAGAGCTCCCCTTCTTCTGCGAGATTGAAGACGAGGGAGATGTTATTCTTTTCGAAGTCTGCGAAAACATTAATCATCCTCATGAGATTTGGATGGTAGTAATTTCGAAGCTCCCGTAGCAATTGAATCTCATGAATTAAGGGATCATTGAAACCCGATGATGCGAGGGACTTGAGAGTCTTGAATGTTTTGACAGCACATGCCACATCTGTCACCCTGTTGGCACAGAGGTACACAGTGGCAAAATGACCCTTACCGAGTTGTTGAATTACCCGGTATTGCTGATGAAAGTTGGTCTTGATATCATATTGCTCCATAACCTCTGCAAAAGAGATTTCGTTACTTGTTTGAGCTTTGACTTGAGAATCAGATGGACCTTCCGACGGTGTTTCTTGGATAATCTCAGCTAGCCCGCTCATATTCCGAGACGACTGTCGTTGTAAGGGCTTCCCGGCAACTTCATCATAATTAACATCCAGACGTCGCACCAAGTGTTGTAATCCTCTCTCGGAGGCAATGATGAAGGCACGACGCCCCACCAGTCCGCGAGGCAGAGTAGCACCATGATCGGCGAGAAGGGCCATGATAGATTTTTGTCCGCTTCTCACAGCCATACTGGAAGCCGCGTCCCCCGATTCTGTCTCCACCGTCAAATCTGCCCCAGCTTCAACAATCATGCGAACGGAGTCGATATTCCCGCTGGATACAGCAGACATCAATGGAGTCCAGTTGCTGGATGCTTTGCTGTTCACATCGGCGCCTTCATCTAGTAGCACACGGATAACGCCTGCATGCCCGTTTCGGGCGGCCCTTTGCAAGGCTGTTTCATCCGCGTAGTCCTTGGCATTAACTGCAGCCCCTAGTTGAAGAAGAACCCGTACATTCTCCGCATGTCCAAATGCAGCAGCCCGGATGAGGGCGGTCTGTCTATCGGACCCTCTGCCTTCAATGTCGTGGCCGTTTGCAATCATCTGTCGAAGTATTATCGGAAGATCAAAAGCTGCGGCAAGGACGAGAGCCGGGGACTTGCGCGGGAATTCCTGGCTCCAGTTGGGATAACTAGCAATGGAAAGACTCCACACTTGACTGGTCATTTCAATCACCGTTGGATTAGACAAAAGACGTTCAAGGTCAGGAAAAAGCTCATTCGCATCAAGGAGGCTCATATCTGAGCCCCAATGTTTGGCAGCATAGCCAAGGAGAGGATACTCTACCAGACGCTGTGTCATCGCCGCATCGTTTGTACAGAATCCGGATGAAAAGTTTGGGAGCGTCAGATACGCCAAGCTAACTTTAGTGAGGCTCATCCTAGCAGCCATCAGTTTCTGACCAAGGCACCGTTCGAAGTATTGTTGGACAGTGTAATGGATGACGTGAATGGTTTGCGACTCGCTATCAACGGTGATGAGGCCTCCGCAAGCCCCAGTCAAAATTTCTTCATCGGGCAGATCATCATCTCCGAGAGCCATGTCTATCGCTAGCTCTTGCGTGGCGTACATATGTTGTAGCTGCATGACTGTCAGGTTCTCATGAGCACATATAACCCAGAGCAGTACTGTCTCTGCCAGCTCCACGGTATCAGCAGGCTGGTCATGAATTCGTTGAAGGGCTTCCGCGTAGGTGTCATCTAAAGTTGTTGGCAGGGTACTCAAGGCCGACCGCACTGCCTTCCGATTAATCTTGGTGGAAAGAGACTCGAGGTGCAGTTTGGCGAGGAGAAACCTGTTGATCACATATCAGTCGGGATAGTTTCTCAATGTAGCGCCAGTTCCATACATTCCGTGACATTCCTCGGTGATAGAAGAAATGATCTCCTTTCTCAAGTCTGGCTCAAGTCGAACGTGTTTCGATAGCCTGGGCTGTTGACTTATCTCCGAGTTTAAGAACATTGTGATGTCCTCGTCCCGAGCAAATATCTCTACTTTCTCAGCCGAAGAAAAATACCCATCGAAAGTAGTGGAGAAGCGCGAGCTACATAAAATCTTAACGTTCGACCCAACAGAACGAATGATTGAGAGAGCCCGGAGAGCCTCTTCCTCGGACTCGGAACATTCGTCCAGAGCATCAATCACGACAAAGAGTGTCTCATATGTCGATGTCACTTTGGCTAGTAGATCCACGAGCTCTTTCGATGTGGGGCGCGTGCCATATTTCCTGTGCGCATTGTATAGTGACAATACTTCAGATGGAATTGTGTCGCTTTTCGAGTGTTGGAGCGCCTGTATAAGTAGACTTGAAAGAAGGGCAGCAGGGGTCTGCTCTTTTCGGCGACCGTAATTACAGTAGATGTGCGTGTGAAGAGTGTTCTTCGAGACCGATTCATGCTCAAGAGTGTCAACCACGATTGACCTAGTCATGAATTAGCTATAATTCCAAATTCTGAGACGCATGGGTGAAAGCTGACATTAGTCGTGTTTTGCCAGCGCCAGCTAATAAACAACACTTAGCATAGATAGAACGCAGTGATCAAGAAACTTACGCAGGCCTGGACACCAGACCATGCTGATATTGCCCAGTAGCCAATTCTGAAGTGTCTCATGCTTGATGAACCAGATACCGGTTCCGGCCTGCACACTTTCTAGGATCGCAACATGTTGCTCCCGGAATGGAAGAGCGCCAAACCAGAGAAGAATTCTATGGTTCTGGTTCTCCTGATCTCTTGAGTGTGTGTGATCAATCTTTTGGTCCATATCCATTATTATCTTGTGTGATGACTGCGTCACCCGCCTTAATCCATGCGGTTAGTACTCACTAAAGCATTCAAATAAGCCGGGGAAAGATATGGAGAAAGAGACCATACATAAGATCGTTCTGCATGACAAGACTCAGATGGCTCTTCAGACGTTCCAAGCAAGCAAGCTTCTCCGAAACGTCCTTCTTTGTGAAGGGCCATGTCAGAGGCAACGACTTTTGACGCAGCTTAGATTGTGGACTGAGCTGTGCGACGATGTCCTCTAACATATGCTGAAAAGTGGCGAGGGGATTACCTGGACCAGCAAGGGATTTGATGGACAAAGGCTTTTCTACTGCGTCTTCGGCATCTTCGATGCGGTCTCTGAGCATCTCCAGCAGGTGGCTGGTGCCTCGCAGCTCATCTCGAAGTTTGACTCGATCCGCGGCGCCGGACTTCACGCCTCTCAGATAGTCAGTTGCCTTAGCTGCCAGCTGCAGTACAGCGATAATGCTGGCGGTGATACTCAGAGGGTCGCTCATTGTGCGTGGGAAATACGAGGCTTAGAGGAGCTGAGATGGGCTGAAAAATGAACGAGGGGTTCAGAAAGATACCTAATTTCGTACAGACAGTGTAATCTTACATCATGCATTAAGAAACTTAGGGCACGTAGATACATGAGCTGTAGTACCATGCGTTCAACCAGGCTTTCCCATCTCGCATTTAGTATCCGGGATTGTGGCCACAACCGAAACGTGAAAGGTACCCCTAAAAGATCAGCGATAGAAATTACAGGTATCCTCTCAATCACAGTGCGCTTCTCAGGAAGACACTCCTCTTTTGAGGCCCATGACTCAATCCTTAGCGTGGCGCTAATGCTTTCATATAGCACTGGCGTTATCATTATGCCGCAAGGCTGGACAGTATCGGTCCAACTGCGAGTTTGTTGGCACCCTAGTAAACAGCATTGAAAAAATATCAAAAATTTGCTGCTCCAAAACAAGTTTATTTCTATTTAGCACTGTATGAGTCAAATGAATGGGCAGGATATCGACAAGGCTGAGCCGCGGGCCAGAAAGAAGATCCACCGGACGCCGATCCATCGTTAGTCACGGGGCAGTGCAACCGTCTTTTAAGCCTAAACAACCCCGACTCCATCGCTTCGCTTGCAACTTCCTTGAAAACACGTCAAATGAGCATGGATCAATCCCTCCATCCCAATGTTATTCTTCGATTGAGCTATCCTTCGCTCTCGGAGCACTTCATCGATTTGATCGGCATCCAACCGTCTATCGAACATGTAAATACAACCAACGCCCGCTTGCTGGACCTGATCCACGCCGAAGCTCTGCCACCGACTGTCTATAAGATATGGCTGCCTATTGCACTGAAGCACTGTCCGCACATTCTATCTACGACCTTACGCGATCCAGTCTCGCACTACATCCGCGCGATCGGCATCCAGCAGCTAGCTCGCATTTCGCGGAGCGCTAGCTGGAAAACGCGGGGATGGAACGTCCTGGGCAATGTGGAAGGAATTAGAGATATTGTGCAAGACCTTTCTATCATAGAGATAAGGAGCTTATTAGATGCTATCGCGCAAAGCATACGTCGCCCAGACGAAGATTTGCCAGCCCACATTGAGCAGCTCGTCCATCTTCTTCATGATGACAAGTCGTCCCGATCCATAGGGCACTACCTGGACACTCTCTTGCCGTTGTGCACGTCGCCCTTCGTGGAGAATGCTTTGTCATCTCTTCCAGAAGGGCGGCTAAACCATCGTCTATTTGACAGAATTTCTCTGCGCCATCCTGCGTTGTTGCGACGAATAGCTACGGGTCAAGTCACCGTGTCTCATTCTGCACAGAAGGATGCAACCAAGTACTGTATGCGGGCAATGATCTGGTCTTTGACACCATACACGCCTGTCTATTATAAACCTGACTCTGCGCCCTCACTGCCGGGTATTCGTTTTATTCTGGACTTGCTCCACACGATGGCTGAGAAGGACCCGAAGAAGCTGGAATTATCGTCGATAAAGCCATATATTCACGACGCACTCCGTCATATTTGCCGACAAAAAGCTTACTTTCAAGAAATATATATATTGTTTGAAAAAACGCTTCCACTCGTCGCGATCCACAGCGACGAAGAACTTACCGAGCTACTTGTCACCGAGTTGATCCGTTGCTGGTCGATTGCCGGTTTTGGTACCGCGACTGAGACAAATTCGCCTTTGGAGACTCTACCTCACCCGAAGCATCCATCTCGGCCCTCGACGGACGATAAAGACCGTCTGGAAGGTTTGTTGATAGACGTTTTACAACGGTGCTCAATAGAGATATCGCAAAGCGACGGCGAATCATCGTTTGAGACAATACAAGACATACTGGAAGACATCGCAGCGGAAGCTCGATTCCCGTTCCTCAAGCTAGTCTGCCGCCATTCAAAAGATATTGAGATCGACTTGGACCTCCCTCCAACAGGAAAGGAAAAGAAACTTCTTGCGATTTGGCCCTACAGCATAATGGAGCTCCTGCCTGCCGCCGACATCAGACGGCTTTTCGACAGGATGTTCCTGATTCACGGCTGTACTGAGTATGTACCTGTACTTGATGGGCCGGATAGCATCTTGTCATGGCCTGCTCAATGCCAGCTGAAGGCTCGATGTGAGGCCGACGTGGCGACAACGGACCACCATTTCCCAACGACCAAAGCCGGTATGTCAATCTCAAAATTCGATATCAACTGCGTCTAACAAAAATAGGGATTTCCGAGATGAGAAAGAGAGCAGAAAAAGAGAAAGATCCTAAAAACCGACTATACTGGGGGAAGCAAGCCTTAGAAACCGCGCTAGTGAGCAGATCATTGGAGCTGATAAGTGAGGTTATACAATGGTCAGCACGATTTGTGCGGGATAGCGTAAGTCTTCATATACTTACTTTTATCAACAATTTGGACCACTAAACCTTTTAGGCTGTGTTCCCCGGATTAGTGGAGACCTACGTATCCAGCGATGAGTTGCCTTTGCTCCTAGGATGTGATGAATCCCGGTTTTTAGGTAGACCGAGGACATTGCATGCGTTACAAGAGCAAAGAGAACACGCAGACAGCATCTTAATGAATGTACTTAGAGTACTAACGAAAGCATCGAAAGAGCCATCGTACAGAGCAGGCACTTCCCGAGATTTAATGCCCTTCATTGGCAAAATTGTGGAAAGCCGAATGAGAGCATTGCGCCAGTCTCAAAGCAAAGGGATTGCAAGCCAAGCTGACCTCGTCGCACTGTTATTAAACCCACTGATAGATGTTATCCTGCGCTACGACCATATCGGAATCGAATTGAGCTGGTGGAAAGAACATGGTGTTGTGATGTCGGCGTTGGGAGTTGACCAATTCAATTCGCAGGTCTTTTTATCCTTTATGGACCACCTAACCCGGCGCCATGACGAGTATTGGAAGGCTAAGCGCACGCAAGAGAGAGATAATCACAATAAACATGTCGGATTTCCAGAGGGACTGACTGTACGGCATCTTATACCTTCATATCTGATACCGCTTGTCCTTGAGAAACCAGATGCGACACCATATACTGCAACCAGAGTTCATGCTGTCCTCTTTGGTTCAGTTGATGTCTTGATGACTCCTGTGTCGAAATCCCAACTCGAAGATGATACGGCAGTGGATGAACTGGGCAAAGTCATATTCTCGTATATCTCCCGTTGCAGTCGCAAGCTCCAGGCTGAGCGAGTGTTACGTGTTTGGAAGTACTATGCCACAATTCTGGAGCCGTACCCAGATCACTTGAGCATGTTTCGACAATGGCTTGCCAGGAAGGCTAAAGAATGGAACTTGCGGAAGGTCGCCTGGATCATCAACCCCACTTCAATCCCAGATTGGCACTACCCAGATTCTACCTCGGGAGCTGACGCGGTGAAATGGGATCCCTGCGGTCATGCTGGAAAGGATGAGATAGCCACTCCCCTTACGGTTCTTCACTGCCGCATGAAAGGTGAAGTTCCATTAACCGATGTGGTAACAGAGCAAATGAAGCGAATTCGTGGCCCTGCACAAATTTGGATGTCTGATGAACAGTTGCTTCAGAATATGTCATTGAAAGAGTGCGATACGCTTGTCCTTTCGGCCTTGCTTTTCCTCGGAACCCTGACTAATAAACCACTCCTATCTGAGGCCTTTCCAACCTCAGAAGCTGCACGATGGCCGCCTATTGTTCTAGACAGTCGTTTTGTCTCCTTGACAAAGAAAGGAACGCATAACTCGATTATTCAGGCAACCCAGGCCATCAAAAAAGGGATCAAGTTTGTGCCTGCACAGGCACTACGCCATCTGATAACTTCGTTGCTTGATAGCCTACCACAGGCCCCTGCTTCCAAATATTCAATGCTCTTCCAATGCATTGTGAAGTTGATCAAGTTGTTCCCCTCGATGGACCAGCCGCAGTTGGGCATGGACTTTGTCTTGCATATCATCAAAGATTTCCCTGACGATTCGGCATATCATCGACATCTGAGAGTGTCCGACTTGGGTAAAGCTCTTGATCCCCAGCATGCAGTGTTACTCATGCAGTCGCTGGCAGACTTTGTATGTGAACGACTGCGTAGTCCATCTGAATTCGTCAAAGTCACAACGGTCAAGATGGTGGTTCAACTGGTCGCAGCGGCCGAGTTCATCCCCACTAGAAACAGCCTGTCCATCTTGCAATCCATCTACGAAGCCTCCTCACATACTGACGTCCGGGCCGAGGTGGTCTCAGCAATACTGTTTCTTCTTGAACGTGATTCAGTCCAGGCCGACAATCTATATTCGTTTCTCCGCGAGCTAACGCTTTCGGCTGTTGGACCCAATAGAACGGACCAGATATCTAAGTGGACAATTGCTGAGCAGGAAGGCAGGCTTCCCGATGTCTCCGATTTCTGTTCGCAGCATACCATCGAGCTTTTCACGCTCGCTGCTTTCCACAAAATCCATGAAAGCGATCGCGGGCGGTACGCCCAAGACATCCTGCTACCGATGGTTGACGAATCCATCAAGCACCACAACCGCTGGATGAAGAGTTTCCTGCGCCACTTTGACCTGGCCCCTGAAGACTTCGATATTGACTTTGGCCCTTTTGTCCCTGACACTGTTAATTTTGTGCTCAATATTTGGCACGACTATTTACCCGCGTCCTTCCTTGTCCACGACTGTTTCTTCGCCGTAACATACACTGCCAACGCTTCATTTGAAATAATCAACTCCCATCTCACCACCTCCCCCAAAGCCAGTTCCCTAGAAAGCACGGCAGCCCTTCAGCACTGGAATGAAGTGTTGGATTCTCACCGCAGAGTCAACCCGTTCCATTCTCTGCAGGTCCTTCTCTCGCGAGACTTGCAGTCCACCCTACCACAAAACACAGGAATCACCGACGAAATCATATGCCCGGAATATCGACATCGCGCCGGAATCGTGGCACGCAGTCCAATGAAGCATTATAATCTTTCCCACGAACGCATTGCGGCCCATTCCGTGCTTGTGAACGGCTTGACAGCGCTGCGCGGACCTCGCGACGCCCCGGGGAACTCAGTGGATCGACACAACCTCTTCAAGACTCTGATGCAGGATATAGTGGATGATATTGAGACATTGAGGCGCGAGAACAAAGGCAACGCTATTAGCGCAAAACTTCCATCTCCTATACAACTGCAGGCAAAGCTCCTCCCGGCCCCAGACTTCAACCCCCTCGTTGAGGACCCATTGAGCTCGTTTGCGGATGCACTGGTCGAATTAATTGGGAAATGCACTGATCCAATGACAGTATTGGATTCTCATCACATCGAAGTCATGATGGGCACAGTTGATACCGATCTGACCATCCCTCTGGTGTTGAAGCTGGGAAGTGGGTTGGATATAAACACCACGGATACGGCAACTTGTTTGACGGTGAAGATTGCGGCGAAGTTGCTGTCGAAGGTAAAGAGGGCTGACATTCTGGCGAACGAGGATCTGGTGATCCTGTTGACGACGTGGAAGGAGAGTTCGAATGAATATATCAGTCGAATGGCATGGGTTGTTACGGGATGAAGACACAGCCTTGGACAAGTGGATCTAGTATATTAAGCATTACTTATCATCCTCAGATACTATACTATACTATACACGTCTCCATATATACTCTAACCCACCTATAATACAGTCCAACAACCCCATAAACCACCCAGATAACACTCTCCCTAGCGAACAATAAAAAACCCACTCGCTCCAACCTGCCGATCCCTAATCTCCGCCGCCGTCGACCTCACCCCAATCCAATGCAAAGGCACATTCTCGACCATGCGCTGCCCCCTCGACAACGCACTCTGATACCCCTCTCTCGTCTTCTCCATCCACGTCCCATTCGCCCCTTCCCCGGCGCCCTTCGCACCAACCTGCTCCGCTCCCCACGCCGGATGGTCCAGCGCGCTCTGCGCATACGTCGCGTCGCAGGCGTCTGCTAGCAGCGCCGTCTCGGCTGCTTGTTCTCGCGCGACGAGGAGGTCTCGTTCTGTGCTGGCTGTTGGAGGGGGGAGGGTGGGGCGAAGGAAGCCCATGATGCGGATTTGGAGTTTGCATTGGGTTGGGACTGGTGCTGGTGATGCGGTTGGTTTGGGCTGTTGAGGTGATGGGGGCGGGAGAGGTTGTTTCTCATCCCAGATCGGTGGTTGTGGTGATGATTGTGGGTGAGGGTATGTTTGAGGAAGAGGAGACGGGGGAAGGGAGGCGTCATCGGCGTCTAATAGACGCAGGGATACAGTCCTGCGCATGGTCTGGGACATATTGACGCGGGTTTGTAGTGACGGGTCCATGGACGCCACGGAGATGATAGCTTGTATCCAATATTGAGGTCGTTGGCTCTGCGGATTCGCATCAAGGAAGCGAGCCCAGCCGAAGAAAACACCATGTAACTGATCCGTGATGGAATCAGGGACTTTCGCCAGGGTGAAGCGCAGATCGTCTGACTCCGCTACTGCCTGCGACGGAGTCCCGCGCGCCTTAAAGTCCATCGGGAAAGGCGGCTGCGGGCCTAGATCAAGGGACTCTGTAGTTTGGAACTGCCCCTGGCCCTGGCCCTGGCCGTAGGCTGTTGTTTCCGGTGCGGCCTTGATCATGCCCGCGACGTGATTGCCGACACCGCTGACGGTGATGGCCTTCTCGGCGGCGAATTTCTTTACCGTGCTGGGCGAGTAGCGGTCGACTTTTGATTGCACCACCGCCGCAGCAGGCCCGATGACTCTGTTCGCCGTGGCCTGGGCATACAAGCCGAGGACCATGGCGCCCATTTCGAGCGGCAAGGTGCTGAGACTCGCGCCGCGGACGGAGCTCGGGCTGAGCGAGGTCGAAAGGACACGGAAGACCGGACTCCCGCATAGGACCTTCTTCTTGGGCCCGCAGAGCACAAGCTGGAAGTACCCGTCGCCTGCGTCGGCGGGGATACGCGCGACGACGGTTTCGCGAAGGACATGCGCACGGGTCTTATTGCTGGTGTTCTTGCGCCGGAACTTCTCGATGTCGCGCTGCCAGGCGCGTTCGTCGGCAGGTGGGACCTGGTCTGCGTGCAGGGCTAGGGACGGCGTCACGTTGATCCAGTCGTCGTTGAGACGGAGGAGGGCCTTCGTGCGCATGCCGGTCTTGCCGGACCAGCCTTTGCTTTGGAGCCAGAGGGTTCGGTCGGCGGGGAGGGGGGCGTCGGAGAAGATGGAGAGGGTGACGGAGGTGGTGCTGCCGCGGTAGAAGACGACGCCGTGGGAGTGGCGCAGGATGGTATAGTGTTTTGTGGATTCGGTGGGGTGGGCGATGAGGCCGCCGAGGAAGTGGCGCGCTTCGCCGTAGGCTTTTTGCACGGCGGAAGGCTCGGAAGACGCGGATGGGGCCGGGGGAGGGGGGGTAGTTGTTGGGAGGACATCTGTAGCAGCGCGAGGGGGTGGGTTTGAGGGATTGGGTGTGAGAAGGTCGGGATTGCTGGGATATCGGGGGAGGGTTTGGGCGGAGACGGTGGAGGTTAATGGTGGTCGGAGGTTGTTGGAGGACTTGGACGAGCGGAGGACCGGTTCGGTTGGGTATTGGGGAGGTGGTTGAGACGGACCGCTTGATGTCGATGGCCGATATGAAGTATAGGAAGGGCTTGGAGAGCGAAGGTCGGGACTAGGATATCTCGGCAGCGTTTGCGAGCTATCGCTAGGCGTCAACGGTGGCCGTAGGTTTCGTTCATTCGGCGCATAAATGTCGGAATTGCTAGGGTATCTCGGTGGGGCCTGATTCGGCCGGGCAGGCATCAAAGAAGGGGGAAGGTTTCTCGCAGGAGAGGGCGCACGGAAGTCAGGCTGGCTGGGGTATCGATGGAGAGTTCGTGCAGACGGGGCTGGTGACGCGTGGAGGTGATAATTAGGGGGTGGAGTGGGGACGGACGTCACCCCACGCGTAACGCCCAAGTCATCGTAAGGGACTGCAGCCGGAATAGGTTTCCGGCGGATGTCGGATGGCATGACGAAGCCTAAACCGCAGGAATCATGATAGAAAAGTATAGAGAGTGGAGGATGAAGTGGTTGACAGGAGAGAATTGGCCAATGGGCTGCAAAGGCAGCCGGAACTCTGTCGATCCTCCGCAGTCACCTGACCGATAAGATAAGATAAGATACCATTGAAGCCTGAGGCATCAGTATGGATACATTCTATTCCCACTACTATGGTGTTTTTTGGTAAACAGTTCGTCCAGAGCATCGGTTTAAGAGAGTCATTATACTCTGTGGAGTTCTGAGATTTTAATGCTAAGCATCATCAATACTATTCATGCACAAAGCATTGCCTTTGAATTTCAAACCAAACGTGAAGCAGTTCTTCCTCAAAGATATTGATTTCAAGCTGCTCTATCTCACATGAAATAGCCCAAAGATTCAATCAAGGCACAAGAGTCAGTTTTTTTTTACCAACATCTGGACAAACAACATTTTTCAGGGTGGAAGCGTGACATAGCAGCAAAATCTGACGACTAATCAACCAAAGAATTTGGTCTGTTGACAAGAGGTTCCGCGGTTGCTGAGTGAATGAGAAAAGTACCAATTCCACCCTGTGGCCTTGTTTCTCTCTCCTCTCTCTCTCTCCCCTCTCTCATTACCCATACCTATGAGCATCAGTCTCTCCTCTTCCATGCACATTGCATCCAGCTGACTGCTCTGTGCTTCACATCAGCTATTTCTACCAGTATCATCCACTTCCCTTACTCCCAGGCCAAACGAAAAGCTCACCAGTCGACATTCTGGGTTCTTGGAAAAGATGAAGTGGACTCAGGAAAATGAGCACCTTGTATACCGCCCTACCCCACCATTACGAAGCACACAGTTCTAACCTAATAAACCAGCTCTTGAAAGTCATGTTCGAAACCCAGAACATGCACATCGACTTCGACAAGATCTCCAGCGCCTGGCGTAAGTCCCAACATCTATCCTGCTCTCTGCAACTTTCCTGATCAACCAAATCTACAGCTGGAGACGTCAAGCCCACCCCCAAAGCCCTCAAGGAGCACCTCTCTAAGTACCGCGGCAAGGGACAGGGAAGCGTGACCTTCGGAATGTCTTCGAGGTCTGCTCCTTCGACCCCTCGCAGAAAGTCCAGCGCCAATAAGTCTGCTGGTGGTGATGAGGCCGGTGACAACGATGTTTGCGATGACGGTGCCATGACTCCTGTCACTCCCACCAAGCGTGGCGCTTCTGGCGAGGCTGCGACCCCTCGGAAGAGACGGGCTACTAAAAAGACTGCCAAGGAGACTGAGATTGCAGGTGATAGGGATCAGGCTTAAGTTTGGGTTGATCTGGGGGTTACGAACTCATTTTGGATGTTACTTCTTCTTGGAGAGAAGACAGTTGGAGACATTTGGAGATTTTGAGAAGACCTTGAGAGAAGGCTCGTGTTCTATTGTTCCTATCAAAATGGAGGTACATGTCCATCCTGGTAGCTAGTAAGGCGGAGATTGAATACGATGGACTTTTTACCTGAACTGTTGAACAAGATATAGTATCCGTAACATAGTCTTTTGAGGATTTCCTTCCCTTGAATGACAATCTCTGCTCCAGTAATCTCTAAGTAGAGGGAATCAAATGGATTGGGAAGAATTTTGTAAGCCATTAAATAAAGGCTGTTCTGCACTTTCCTGCGGCGACTGAAAACAAAAGGCTCTTGCACAGTATACCTTGTGCATCAGAAACATCTGTTGAAAAGAATACCGTCTACAAAATGGAGCATCAAAGCCTGCCTGAAAAGCCGAAAAGCCCATAAATTCGATACGCAGTGCTCTTCCCGAAGAACGGCTAACTACAACGAAGCAAACTTCATTCCCCTGCAGGATATCAACTGCCCACCATAAAAGCTCCTCCCCCTGTCAATCCCCAGGTACCAAACCCAACCGCATTCTCAAATCATCCTGAGAGAAACATCCCCAGATCCAAGCGACATCTAAGCAAATTGCTCCTTGCTCTCCTCCTTGACAGCCTCTTCCTTAACAGAAGTATCCTCATCCTGGACAGGCTCAGCTTGCTTGTCCTTCTTCTTGGGAGTAGCCTTCTTGGGGGTGGCCCTCTTGCGGGGGGTGGTGGTATTAGAGTCGGCGGCCTTGCGCTTAGCGCCACCCATGCTCAACTTGACGGTGTTGGTTCCATTGGAAGCTTTGCGATATTTAGACAGCTGCTCGCAGAGGGCCTTGACGGATGGTTTGTCCTTTTCATCACCGGCTAGAAAAGGAGGGTCTGTTAGCATTGCGCTGCGGATGATAGGGCAGTGAGTAGACTTACGCCAAGCGTTTGCCACTTTTTCCAGATCAATGAAAAGATCCTGGGTTTCGAAGATGGTTCTCCACAGCTGTTGGTGAGGTTAGTATAGGTTCGTTTGTTTCTGGGGAGGGAAGTTGTACGATCTGTTCGTTCTCTTGGGACCATCTCATCTTGGCGGTGGGTTCAGGAAAACTTTTGAGTTCTTAGGGAGTCTGTGACTGATGAAATATTGTAGGAAGAGAAGGATGATACTTGGTAAGGAAGTAGAAGATTAGAAAGTTTATGAGCAAGTGTAAGAAGAGGATTGAGTGGTAGAGGGTACAGTGAGTGGACAGGAGAGGGTAAAGAGAGAGGTGAAAGAAGATGTAGAAGGTAGTGAAGAAAAGAGAGGGTGGTGAGCTGTTACTGGCCCAAACTATCTGGCACCAGATGGCTTCGTAGCCTTAGACCGCTGTGAATGCTATGACTCCATCTTGGAGTCCACCTTTCCTTGTTGTAGTCTAATATTTCACGATGTTGTTGTCGAGCTTTTGGGCCACTCTTCCTCGAGAGGAAGCTCTTTGCTCATTTCTGGAAAGCATCTCTGCTGTTCAACCCGTTGAGGTCCTGCCTCTTGGATAACCCTTTGTTATAACAAGAAGACAAAGTCTCGCAAGATTCTACATGCTATTTATGGTTTATACTGTATGCACGTTAGTCGTCTATCTTACATTGTCGTGCTAACCGGTAAGACCTCTACCCGTTCTAAATAGTTAGGGAAAACTGGCAAAAAAGCGGAATCGGAGACTTGCTTTTTAATTGCGAGGACAGTTCAAACTCATTCCCAAAAGTTGTTCGGGTTTCGAAGAACTTCTCCAGGAAATTTCACCACCTCATCAAGCCGTAGGTAAGGACCAGCCTCAAGTAACTCCTCTGGAACATCAGAAAGCAAGCGTTCCCAGTTCAAAACAAAGCCCGGGTTATCTTCCGCTTGCTCGGCTTCATGACTGTATCCCAGGGTAGCGATTTGCGCACAAAAGGCCTACCCAGACTCCTACAGTGAGATAGAATGATTGCACTGCCCACAACGCTGTCATGCCTCATAGACAACCACCTCATTTGATTTATCCAGCATGACCAGGACCGCCAACGCAGTGTGTCTCTCCGAAAAGCCCAGCCATAGCCGAGCATCCATGCGCAGCCGCTCTCGCGAGTTGATATTCCCCGTCTCAACAGCCCACAGCGGACGAACCATCTCTACCCCTTCGTCTGGGCCCAGAACGTAGGACTCGTCGGCTGCCATTTGAATTCCGCCAGTTAGAGGCCAGATTCTCGCCATATTGAAAGGAAATATTCGATAGTCGAGTCCCTCGGAACTGTGTGTGTCATCCAGCATTTTATCCACCGCGCGGGCGAACGCAGTCAGAGTTTCTGTCTGGAGCTTGAGGATGAGGACTTCTTGCTCGCCGAAGTAGCGCACCCGATAGAAGCCGTCACAAAATCTTTCTGCTTCGAATGCTGCAGGAGATATGTCTGTGAAGGCGATGTATTGCGAGGCGGCATTTCGTGTTCGGAAGGTGCGTCTCTTTTTCTTGATGAATTCTTCGGCGTCCTTGACGTTTGTGTAGGTGGCTGTGTCGAAAGTTTGGACGTTGTAAAGCCTAAGGGGATCCATTCTGCTTGTGGTGAGCGTGGTTGTAATTTGAGGATTGTGGTAGGAAGATGGCTAAGGAGTAAGAAAGTCCTTACGATGTTGTTCTTAAAAGGCCTGGGATTGCTGATGCGTTTGATAGCCGTTTGGTGCCATCATGCAACCGTTCCTGTTTGCATCAATGAAGGGCTAGACCTTTCTACAGCATCCACTTCTTTGACCTCATCACTAGACAAAGCACGCGAATGATGCAGCGTTTTGGTATGGGACCTGATCTGCCGAAGGGTGGAGACAAGAAAAGTCGGCGATGCAGAATTTGACGATGACACGAATGCAATCTCGGGATCAAGCTCCACGTCGCGGTTTATCTCCTGGTGGGTCGTCTCCTGGGTGATTAGTCGCTGGCGATAGAAGGTCCAGCTGGACCAAGACACAAAAATAATGATAGTCAATGGGACAGTGACGATCTAGTAGACCCACAACGGTGTCCTGGTGAAATGCGGGAGAGTGAAAAGAGTCTGTTCCAACTTAGACTTGTCCTGGTTTCCAAATCTCAGGGGAAAATGCGTGAATACTCACTGCGATAGAGGTGTCCGGGAAGAACAGCGTGGCAAGAACAGTGAGTGATTTCAAGGCAGAGCCATCGCGCTTCGACGCCTCTAAAATCTTCTTAGATTCGACGGCAACGGAGACCCCGAGCATGTTATCGCGTTGCGATAGCAGTCCGTATATCTGGTCGAAGTTAGCAAGTCTTTTACTTTCTGTGGATCCGATGTCGGCGTACAGCAGTGATTTGATTATCGACTCGCCGCTGATAGTAGGTAAAATCAGCCTGTCGCAATTTAAACTGCACCGCGATATTTTGAAGCCACTGGTCATGCTCATTCTTCAGACCGACAGCCAAGCTGGAAGACCGTGAGATTGGTTCTTCTAGATCCTTAAGCGTCTTCTGAATTGACTCGAGATAGCATTCTAAGAAGTCCAAACGACGACGAAAAATCGAGACATGAATCTCTGCTGCGTGTCCCAGTCGAGACAGCTCGCTGTCATGAGCCAGTGCTTCGACCGCTGGAATCTCAAGCCACCCGTGCTGCCCTGTTGCCTTCTCAATAGCACTCAGCTCACGACGGATCTTTTGCACGTACGGAAAGTTCTCATTCAGACTGATTTCGAAGAGAAGGGTGAGTACAAAGAGTGGGTGACCGACTAAGCGCGAGTGGCGTTCCTGAAATTGTTGAAAGAGGTCCTGATCGTGCGGACTGACTCTCAGAGCTAGGACTAGAGTGCTCCTACTGGCAAAATCGTGATGCACGGCGATAAGCGAGGCGAAGCTGCTGTAAAGTCGAATGGAAATGATGAAGCCTCAGACTGTTAGGATAACGTGGAAACGCCTGGGAAGATATTGCCTGTATGTTCATCATAGTCAATATCTCGAATCACACAACCCGCCGAAGATCGATACTTCCATGCGTCAAACAAGCCATCAAACAATGGAAAGTGTTGAGGGAGTATCGAGAATGTGTCTCTACTGATGGAAAGCTCTAGTGTCTCTGATGCCGACAGGAAATCCCCGTGTGCTTCGAGGTTCGTTGGAATTGTGCAAGGAAAGCTTTGCAATCTCCATGAGCAGAAGTCGGGTGGTCATTTGGTCAGATAAAGTACCTACATCCATCTAGCTCGACCTGCAAATCCTGGAGAAGAGGCTGGATTGGCCTTTGTTGTTAGTGTTAATCTGTGTTCGCAGCCACCAGATACAATCGGACGTACTGATTCTTTAATCCAATCACTGATTTGATGTTCGTTGAGCTGCTCGTCATGATACTCAATTTTTCCAGACTGCCAAAAATTCCTCGGTAAATCATAGATGCCTTATGATTTCATGTCAGGTATAGACTTACGCGATGACGCTGAAAATCCGCAATCTTACATTCCCCAAGATTGAAACGGATATTGTGTATGTCGTGAATTTTGAGTGACAGGACTAAGATAAGAACAAGGAGACCACTACCATTCTCTTACATCCCCAATACTGCTTATATATTGTTTGTATCTCTACAATCAAAATACCGTCACACGACATTTGATGGTCTTCAGCTGCCCTGACCGTGTCACGGCAATACGTGTCGTCGCTAATTGATTGGCAGCCGTGGAATGTGGCGGCTGATACGGCGCCTTGCCTCGGGGTGTGTGATATAGGCAAGTATTTCCGACGGATGATTTGGTATTATTCTCCTGGCATATTCAGTGTACTCCAGAAGCCTTTAAGTGGAAGTGTTGGTGTGCTCAGATGATAAAGTCTGATTGTTATGCCAGCCTGCAACTTAGGGTTAAAGCGATCTCGTGCTGCCAAGGATGTAGAGTTTGAGACCAGCTTTAGTTCTAGCGACATCTGGAATTTCCATTTTAATGAATGGTTACTGTCCTTCAACGTCTATATACGATTAAGCTAATTAATAATGCTATATTGATTACTGCTACAAATGTGGAGATTGATTATGGTTCAGAATTGAGTGCATTTTTTCATGCCTCTGGTTTCATTTGGATTGTTTTCTTTGGTTTTGTCTTTTTCTCCTTTTTTCCTATTTTATGATGTTATGGAAAAAGAGAAAAGAATATCAAACTCCAAAACACCGGGCCGATGAAAGATCGTGAAAAGGAAAGTGGCAACATTCTGAAAGACGAATAGACCGAAGGAAATGGTACTACTTTCGAAATTGTGGCCACCACCTAATCAGTGAGCCAGGATTCAAAATATGACTGGGAGAGTAATTTACCTTCTCGAATGCGAGGTGACGAAGGAACGATCATCCCGAGTGTGGCGAGAGGAGGTAGCACTGGGGGCATACTTATCGCAGGAAGTACGGTGAGAGGAAGCCGTGCTACCAGCGTAGTATTCTTCGCGAGAGCCCCGGCGAGAGCATTTGCTGGGAGCATAGTTGTCCTGAGACCCGCGGCGAGAAGTGACGTCAGAAACATAATCATTGCTACATCCGCGGCGACTGGGAGTCATGCTGGGAGCACGGTGAGACACCACACTGTCGTCGACCTCTTGAATGCGAGAAGAGAGCATAGTGCATGCATCCTGGTCTCTGTGACGGGTGCTCGCCTTGCTACCAATTTCACTGATACCAGCGCGAGAGCCAACGCGGCTAGTGAGTTCGCTGGCCGCTCCGGTGCGGGAGTTAGCCACGCTAGAGGCCACGCGAGATCGATCGTCTCCGTGGCGAGAAGAGCTAACCCGGCTCGACGAGTCTTTGGGACGATGGCCGCGAATAGTGCTTTCATCGTCATCTCGGGTCCGGGTGCTAACTTTGGAGCTGCCATGATCACGTTCAGGGTGAGAGCTGCGGCGAGTTGCCTTGCTGACGCGGGTCCCGACGTTGCTGACGCTATCGGAGGGAGCGATAGTCTTTAAAGTAATGACAGTCCGCATATCATCGTCGTCGTTGGGATCGATATCCCGGCTAGAGCGACGCGAGCGGTTGGAGCGATGAGTAGAAGAAGAGATGGTGGAGCGACCATCGCGGGGGGCATCGGGAGCGGGAAGGAGGAGCTGGGTCGGCGACTCACACCTAACGACAGAGTCCTCGCCAATATCCTCAAGAACGCGGCTAGCACCAGTAGACCTGCGACGGGGCTTGATCTTGGAGGGGCTGTCCATGCTCATGTTGCTGATTCTGTCCTGCAGATCATCCATATCACCAGACCCATGAGAGCTGCGGCGCGTGGGCCCAATCTCGCTCGGGGAGCCACTGCTCACAAAGAAGGTCTCAGTTCGCGAGTAGTAGGTGTAGGAGCCTCTTCGGCCGCTGCTAGAAGGAGCCACGGAAAGGCAGTTGGAGCAGCCAGGGCAGTCCTGGTTGCACATGGGACGAGAGCTCATCGTAGACATTGTGTAAGTAGAGTTCGAAAGATTGGTGTTTCCGAAAGGAGTTTCTGCGGAATTCTAAGAATCAGGGGTTTGTGAAATCAATTGTACGTTGAAAAGAGTCAATTGTATGCACGATTGAAGCTTTTTCTTTCGAAGTCTGTTGAGAATGAGTATTCGAGGATGTGTTTGGTGTGAGTGATGTTGGTGAAGAAGAAACGGCAAAGGCGTACCTGGCGGCTCTATTTATAGTAAAATCTGGGGATTATAGGATTTGGTCTCTGTGTTATTTACTTGGAGAAGCTCAACCAACCATCACAAAGACTATCGCGTGAATAGTTGGATTAGTTCCGATATTGCGAACAGCGTCTCATCGAGTCAAAGAAGCTTCACCCGGATGGACCCAGGATAAACGTGAATAATCGGGGGGTTACACAGAGAAAAGGTATCTTCAAATCTGTTATAGGACCCTTCTTTGGGAGCCAAATACATAATACAACAAAGAAGACATAGGCATGTCAAACCCATTTCCGGGAGAGTGCCGTGCTGTCTTGGTAGAAACACCGGAAATCACAGATTTCGGAGTCCTGGCAGTGCTGCTCCCCAACTAATCAAATCTATGATGACAGCAATTAAATTTACTTGAATGAAATTAAGCCTAGCAATCAAATTGCTCAATAGTTTGATAGTCACCGTAAGTCATAACTTTGGAGTGGACGAGGACCGCATTGGAGAGCCCGAGCCAAGATGTAATAAGCACATATGCTCGAACGTCCATGCTCTTTTTCATTTTGAGTATCTAATCACCTGTAATGCTACGGTAGCGGAAAGATGCAGACTCGAGGCAACCGAGAAAAGTGGACGATTCATTAAGCATCGTGGCGGCGAAAGAGCATCTACAATTGATCCCACTGTGGGTCAATCGATGCGCCAAACTATAATGGGAAGGTAGAAACTAGTTCAGCGACGAAGGGTGCGACAGGATACCGAGGTGTAAAATGTGCTAGTTGGAACTTTTTGTATAGAAATTTGGAATCAATGGCATCCTGAGGGAACAAAACGTAGGGCATGGTTGGTCCTAATTAGGTTAGCGTATTACCGAAGATGGAATCGAGGGGAGTCCTATAGAAGCCTGGCACGTACTCCAGGAAATGAAGATTTACAATTGTGAGTAGAGTTCTAGATTATTGAGTTGACTGACAGTGAAGGAATGAGTTTTAGCCTCAAAAACTAGATATCTATTTTGATTGTTTTTCTCGCCTTAGAATCAGATAGCTGAAGCAAGACACAGAAACACGTAAAAAAGTAAGGAATACAAAATAATAACTGTGGCCAGAAAGTTTAAAGCTAGCCTAGTCTTTTGGTCCTTTATTTTGACCACAGTGCAAGATGGGCTGCCAGACCCTTGGCCTTATCACGACCGTCCTTTATGGGTAACATATCACTCGTGGAAACCCACTCAAAGGGCCTGTGGATCGTACAGAGCATCATACAAAGCGGTCAGATGAGTGAACACATGCTGGACAGTTGGAAAGGCATCTTCCGTAATTTCCTCTCCCTCAGAAAATCGGAGACCTTCCAGCAGTGCCAAAGATTGGGAAGAGCGATAAACACCCTGAAAGTTTTCATCGCCGACAGCTTCCTGATTGTCGTAAGCCGCCGCTATTTCTTGTTCCTCGGCAATTCGAATCTTTTCCAGAAATGCACGGACTTCAGCATGGTGTGCATTGTCCTGAACGTCGTCGTAGTTGATGCTTTCCACATCCTCGGATACCGACGACGCTAGGTCACGAAAAACGTCGATGACGGGGCTCACTGGGCCAGGGAAACTGTGAATATCGCCGCGGATTTCAATATTGGAGAAAGAGGCCGGGCGTGCATCCCATGGAATATCATCTTCTTGATCGCCAAGCCGTCCGTGTTCGAATGGCGGTTCGCACTCCTCGTCGACGTCAGACTCACCAGAGCCCGACCCATCAGTGATAGCCTGATATGCAGGTGCAACCTCCATCGCACGGTCCCTCTGCAGGTTAGCATAATACCGAGTCTCATATCTATCCATGGTTGTGATCTCTCGGCTCGCAGCGCGGAAATCGAAGAAACTGTCTTCGGTCTCATCGTCGTCAATCGAGGACCCAATATCGGCATAATAATCTTCATCATCAACGGATAGAAGGTGAAACCTCTCATTACACAACTGCTCAAGCATGGAGGGCTGATTGTCGTCGTCTTCATCATCAGTGGTCATCGAGTCGTCGTGGTCGAATTCGCCATGATGAGAATCGTAGGTGCGCAACAGATCTGATGGTCTCATACGCTCCAATTCGGGGAGCATGTCCAGATCCGTCACTTCCTCGGTGATATCTTCAATGCATGGACCAAGAAGCCCGTGGTCTGAGGTAACATCAGACCGACGAGAAGCCAAGGACTGTTCTTCGTCATAGTCTGTTACCACTACTTGTGGGATTGGAGACTGCCCGTTAGGCACCAACTGATCAGTACAGCTGTCGCTCTCGAGGTGTAGCAGATCACCTTCTCCGTTACCTTGATCAGTGTGATCAATATCACAGACTTCATGAGGCGTATTGGCGGAAACTAGCTCAAGAAGCAAATTGTCGATGTGATCACCCAGAGTGTTCTCGGTGGAACCATTGTTCTCGTGATGAGAGGGGGCATCACCATTGACATGAATGGGAGCGTCGAAAGAGGAAAAAAGACCAGAAATCAAGTCAGGGCTCATGATCAGAGCATCATTAGCAGACATCGCAGAAAGCGAATCAATTCCATACTCCGGCGGCTCGTCAGGAGGACTGTTGTTCTCGGGCCCGGGGATATTTTTACCATTGACACCCATCGGAGTATCAAACTGATGAAACAATTGAAAGAGCCAAGTGCCATCATCACTCGGAGCATTATCAGCAGTCTCGTCGTCAGCATGTGGGGAACTATCAATTCCATTGACATGAGCAGCAGAAGCCACAGAATCAGTATGATCACTCACGGCCGTAACGCGCGAGAGCGATTCGCGCTCGGGCTCCCCACTAGCGCTCGTATTCTCAGAGTGGGCTTCTGGCATTGTACGCCGGGGAGATTCAGCGCTGTATGGGGGTAGCTCTTCCAGCTCGCGCCATTCACCCGTGCCGTCGGGGTAATCAACAGGGGAAAGATTGACGAAACGGGGCTCTTCGAACTCAACGTACGCTGGAGGAGGGCTGATCTCCGAGGGATTTCGATTGTCGTTCATGTTATCATAAACGCCTTCTCGATGGGCTTCGAAAAGGGCTTCTGCGTGCTCCTCTAAAGCGGATATTAATGATTCCACCGCGCTTGTCCAGTAGTCGGACATCTCTTATAGGTTTGAGAGATTGGAGATTGGAGATTGGAGACCAGGATGCACAATCTGATACAATGAAATGAGGTGAAGCAACGAGTAGAACAGGCTGTTGCCAAAACAAAGAGAAGACTCAAACTGGAACCCTTGGGTTGTTATATAATGACGGAAGCAGGGGAAAGTCCGGGTCATTTCGGTTACACATGTAGCTTATCGATATGAAGCGTAATGTTCCTGTTAGCCTATGTCAAACTTCTCGATGGATATTAACTTGTCCATATCTTTTACGACCAGCGGCTTAGACGTTTCTAGGAACTTATCGTGAGCTGCAAGTTTATGACGGGTCACCCCATAGCGCTCATGATAGAACGTTACTGAGAAAGGGTAAATTGAATCAGAACATAGTCGGAATATTACGTAGACGAATGGTGCTGGATTTGATACTGTTGTCAACTACTTGGTGTTGACTATCTCTCAATTACGATTGGTTCAAGTACGAAGAAGGAGATTACGAGGAATCATAGATTTCAAAAGTATTGTATGCATATCAGAGAATACTGTTTATTTATTGCCCTCAGATCGAGGGGCTTTTGCTTTCAGTACAGAGTCAAATAATTCGACAGCAAAATAACAGGATAAGAATATCCAAAAGAAATCACATACGTCGAGTCAAAACAACCTTCCAAGAATAACAAACAACACGCAAGGCTTCGCGCTCTTTACCGAATCCAACTGCCCAAACGACAAGGAGAACATTGAAAAGTCCAATTAGGGCCAGAACAGCGATGGCAGCCTTTAGCAGATATCGATTCTCAGCCAGAGGAGCTTCACCCGGGGCTTTGATATCAGAACATGGGGTGTCGGAGTGGGATATGGTGAGCACGGTTGGCCCGGATTTACCTCTGGATCCACGAGGATATCGCCTGAGCGTAAGTAATTTCTCGGACTCAAGCGCACGAAACACAATTGTAAGCTCAGAATCGCTCATCTTTGAAAGCTGCTCGAGGCTCAATGTGATTGAGGGTACGAATGTGGAGGCCGGAGAGGTTCGAATAGAGGGCAACCAAGTCTTGACCAGCATTTGTTGAGAACGCGACTCGAAGTCATCGATAAGTGGGCGAGAAATAAGATCGCCGTCATCATTCTCAGGCTGGAGGGTGCTTTTCTCGTCGTCCTCGTCATTACCGCGCGGATCATTCTCGCCTTTGATAGTCTCGAATACTAGAGATCTCTCAGAGTAAGGTGTAGCCTGTCCATCTTCTTCCTCGTTGCCGCTGAAATCATTGCAGTCTTCAGTGGCCTCGGCGGCTTGGACAGTATCGGCGTGAGCCACGCTTTCCACTTCATCCTCAATATTTCTCGCAAGTTCAACCTCATCGCTTATCCCTTCTGGCTCATGTGCATGATACAGCCATTCCTCGGGGCTTCTCGGGCGGCGTATCAATAGGAGAGCTCTTGGGGGGTTGGTACCCACCTCTTCCACAAAGTCAGCCGAGTCACCTTCGAAAGCCTCCGAATTCTGGAATTCTGGGGCCTTGAAAAAGTGGGCGTCATCAGTGGGGGAATCTTCAAGCTCATCTAGTTCGTCCCTCAAACTAACCAGTTCATGCATCCCGATGGTCTGAACGATGCTGGGGACCTGGAGGGGCTCATCCAGAGCATCAATAATTTCCTGGCACTCCTCTTCTAACCGCAATAAGTCTAGATCCTGTGGTTCGAGGCTATCAGTCACTTCACCTGTGGTGACCGAGGAGGCGTCTCCCAGCTGCTCTTGGAGATTGTGCTCGGAGCTGATTGACGCGGTCTCTTCTGTCTCGTGTGCTTCAAATGACGCGATCAAGTTCTGCTCAATATCATCGATTCTGATCGACGCGCGGCTCCCGGACATTCCAGTCACTTGGGATTCTTGGAAGATGTGGGAGTTGTCCGGTGTATATTCCGTGTCATATTCGACTGGCCCTACATGCTCATAATTATCAAGGTCAGAATTTCTATTTGCGTAGACAGTATTGGCCAAAGGAGAAGGGATCGACGGGCTGGTAGAAGCCTGCAACTGTCGATAGAAGCCAGAAAGAAATTCAGAGGCATCTGACTTACAATTATTGGTCTTGAAGACATTACTTTCCACAAGAGAAGAGATTGACCGACTGTTAGTTGCCTCCGGCTGTTCAGAAATATACTTAGCGATATCGGCATTCTGGCTTTCGATCCCGTAGACAAGGTTAGTCACATGACGAGGAATCGATGGGCTGCTAGTAAGCTCGGGCTGGCGACGAAAGCTAGCCATGTACTCAGCGACATCGGCATCATATCTTTTGCTGTTGTGTATAGGGTTGGCCGCAGGAGGGGTCAATGTCCTGTCATGAGCCCCTGCTTGTCCATCAGTCGAACTGTTGTCAGAGCTATCAGTGTCATGAGCTCCATTCTTGTCGACGAGACTCATATCACTGGACTGGCTGGCAGTAGCATCTGGCGATTGGTGGAACTTGGGAATGGCCTCATCATCACTATCGAGACAGGTTAAAGTATGGTTCGAGATGGTCTGAGCCATATTTAATTGACCAGATGTAAACGAGAACTTTTGGTTGAAGTCAAGGCCGGCCATATGATGGCGAGGTAAGGATTGAATAAACCCGATGCCTTGGCTCTCGTTATCAAACTGCATCAACTTCATTTTGGCTTGTAGAGACTCACAGCTAATGTTCAACACTTGGTCTTTGCAATTGGAGTTTTCGACAACATGAGCTGGGTGGGGTGGTGAGTATGAACGAGAAGGTAGAAGGGGCAGCGATCAAAGCAGATGGTTTCCATTCTTTATTTATACAATAGATGCCTTGCACGTATGTGGGGAATTTCCATATGTCGAGGCGAGAAGAATACATTGTATGATGTCAGGGTTGCTGGAAGTTTCCAGTACTGCGTATCAAGCATTCAATCAACCTACGGAGACTTCCAGGATTTCTAAGATTGAACGGAACTGAGTGATCTGACGACAAAGTTACAAACTTAAGAATATTAGAGTCTTCAGATAGAAGATCTTGTTATTCATACGGGCAGAGTGAATCCAGACGTGGTGCGGCCTTTGGGTCTATACAAACAGAGATTGTTCCAGTTGAATTGATTCCACAAGCATGGCATTTGAAGTTGGTCTTGCTCAGCAAGAGGTATCATGCATAGCTCGAACATTTGGTTTCGCTTGATGAAGTGAGCCAGGTTAGTTGCTCATAGGTATCTTCATGGACCCTGAATCCCCAGCATTCACTCCAAATAAAAGCAAGCGGTACCTTCTAGTATCCTCATTGATCTGCGGGTTAAACCAGGAATTGAAGATAAATGATTACTGTTTTGATAACGATGTTTCACTACGAACACGGCTGACTAATCATGAATGGCTAACTATTCATTACTTTATGCACTTGGCTGGCTTTTGCTTTTTTCCCTGACATTGAATCTATGCAAATCGTAACCTCGGATCTCGATGCCTCAAGGTAACTATTGGTAATATTTCCCTTGTTTCAGTCACTCCAATCAAAGAAAAGAGACAATATCCAAACGAAGAAAGGGTAACACGGCAGCCCAACGACCATACAATCAAGGCAAAGGAAATGCTCAGATTCCCAAGGTCCAGATCAAACTGAACATGGAAAATCCCAGAATCTAACCTAGCCCGTGCCGCCGATCCTGACTGGGGAAAGACTCTCAGCGGTCGAATCTCCATGACCAACCAGGCAGGAAGAGGCCCGATCAAGAACGGTCGTCGAAGTGCTACGATCGGCTCCAAATTGCTGACTAGACTGTACCAGGTAGCTATCCTCCGACAGGCCTCTCTAAAAGCCGCTGATCTGATTACACTTCTCACAGAACTCCTCAGGTGTCGTTGGACGGTAATCAATGCACCACCAAGGGATCGACCAACCCGGCACACGACGGTATGGAAGCTCGTTGACATAGTCCTGTCTCACTATATAGAAACCTGACACGCGGCGCTCGGTGATATGGGGAATCGTGTTTGTCAGTCGGCGGATGGAGACGAGTGAGTGGTAGAAGGGAGGCTCGTCGATAATCGGCACGGCGATTTTGCGCTTCTTCATTTCAATGAACTTTTCCTCGGGCATGGGCTCCTTGGAGTCCCATACAGCCCGAGCCTTCTCCTCCGCAAGCCGCTCTTGCTCCGCGCCTCGCCGTTCGTCCGCTCGCTTCTTTTTAACGAACTCCTTCACTTTACTCGACACAGGGTAAAGTGCTGATCTGATCGGTGTATCACTAGGAAAGGCACCGGGCAACGCGTAAGGGTATTTCGAAGGGTAAGCATGGCAGTCGCAGGCACACGCCTGCTCGAACATCAGCCAGCTTGTGTGGGGCTTTTCGTTGTAACTATGATTGCATCTTGGGCAATGCATGATTTCAATCTGTTCGAATGTGCTCCGAACCTTGGACACGCTGGATAAGTTGAGGAAAATAAGATCCTAGAAATGCAGCAAATGCAGGCGCTGAACACGACGGTACTTTTTATAGTCAGCTGAAGGTGATTAAGATGGTTTTGTAGCATACGTTGAACCGAAAAGTTCCGTTTGAACACTAGATTGGTAGGAAATGTTTGGGGGTCAAAATGCTCCTCCCTCGAGAATAGTGGGGGGTTCCCTTATATGAGAAAAATGTCTTCCGTCTCATTGTTTGTCTTCAATGACTTTGTACGAGACAAAGGGCCATTGACACATAGACCATTCTCTATTATGATAAAGAGCATTTTCATGTTACTCTCATGGATATAGGCTCAACTTCTCTTTGTACTAGCGCTTTGTATTCACCATGGATTCCAAAGGGAAACCGCAATGATATAGTAATAGCAACAGCTGTTGGTATGTATTTTCATGACACACATATGACCGGGGGAAAGTCAAAATAATGCTAATTTTTCATTGGCGCAGTGAAAAGGGTTGTCCAAGTCCGGTTCTCAGAGCTGCCTGGTTTCCAAGCCATCGCCCCAGCACTACATTGACTTGATTTGACTTTTTCAGTTTGATACTTCTACTTACTTAAAGAAGGTTCAATAAAATGAGATAGACCATTCTAAATGCCCCTTGCTGGTAAGATTCTTTGCCCCCTAATCGAACATAGACGGCGACAAAGTGGACCAAACAATGACGGAAACAATACCAACAACAAAGAATTATTACCTTACAGGGTATTCAAGTCCGTTTAACCTGACCATCAAGGTCAATTAAAATTCATTCATTCTAATAATACAAATATCGAAACAAAAGTGCCTTAATACTGGCGAATTCTACCTTGTCCCGTTGGCTCCTACTAAGGCATTCTTAAAGGACATAGCTGGTGTCAACCCAGCTCTGCCAATCAGCACCCAGGATCTCGGAGATGGAGATCGCCTCGTCGAGCTTGTGGGAGAAGCTGACACGGTCACCCTTGGCACCCTTTCCGGTGTTACCATACTCGGCATAGGTGACGTTGTCGGTGTTGGGGCTCGCGTCGGACCATTCAGCCCAGCCGGCGGAGTTGATCACATCGGACATAGAGGTCTTCTGGAAGACAACACGGGCATACTCGGACCAGGGACGGCCTGTGATGAGCGGTTAGGTCTTGAATCCGGACTTGCCGGGAAAAGGAGAAGGGAAAAGGAACGCACCAAGGTAGTAAGTTCCGGCCTTGACGGAGTCGCCGTCGGCGGCCTCAACGGTCGACTTGTGGATCACGTAGTAGGACTCGTCGGACTCGGATCGGCGACCGTTGGCAGTGATGTGGGCAGCCGAGGGACCCTCGACGACTCGGATGTCACACTGGTGGAACCAGGCGCGAGCGCTTTGGCCAAAGATGAAGTCACTGGATGAAATACGTTAGCTTTTAGATTTTGAATGATTGGTATAGATTTCAACCTACACAGCACCCTGGATAAGGGACTTAGCGTAGATCTGGTTTCCGGACTGAGCGAGGAGAGTGTCTATTGTTGGTTAGCACTGAGCGGCTTTCCTTGCTGAGAGACGGAGTTTACCCTGGTATCCGATAAACTTGCAACCGTAGTATCCCTGGTTCTCGCCGTAGGCGCTGACGGCCAAAGCCTGGTGGCAGACCTGACCACAGCTGTTCTCGAAGTTCAGGTTGTAAACGGACGAGTTCTCGGCGTGGTTTCGGACGGTAGCTATATTAGAAAATCTAATGTTAGGACGATGATGAAATAGCGCAAAATGGGAACACGAACCGGTGTGGTCATCATTCTCAACATCAGCCAACTTGATGTTGTGAGTAACCTTGACAAGGTTCTTTTCGTAGGTGGTGGTGCTTTGTACTGTTAGTCGAACATTCCTTGGGACCTCGGAATAAGGCAAACATACTCCTCCGTCTGACCGTAGATGAGCAGCTCTCCCTTCATCGAGGGGATGTAGACCTGCTCATCATAGGTACCCTTCTCGATGAAGATACTCTGCGTAGTGGTAGCGGTGGTGCTCAGGTTGCCGACAGCATCGCTGATCTATTGCCCATCAGTATGCATCACCTGACATGCCCATGCCCTAAGTTGAGCAACTCACCGTGGTATAATCACCACCAGACTTGGCAACGACAATAGCTCCAGCAGGAGCAGTCATACGGCTCGCTGCCAGAGCGGTAGCCGCGAAGAAGGCCGACGTGAGAACGGACTTGAACATGGTGATAGGTTCGAGGGTTCGAGTTTCAAGTTTCACGAACAGCCACAAGACCAGCAAAGATCGACACGATCGACAAGGGAAAAGACGGGATGAAGAAGAACGCAAGAACTGGGCACCAGATGCCTAGCCGTCTTTATAATCCAAAGGTGCAAACTGAAATAACCCGTTGCCGATCGGGAGGAACTTGCTGCACGGCAGACAAAATCCACTAAGCCTCGCCGGTGGAGTATTCTGGAGTTTCGCAGTGGAGAGAATAATTTACTTGAAGTGACCAAGAAATTCGGGAAGATTAAGGACACTGATTTGAGGCATTTGATTTGTCGGGTATGAAAGATGGTGGAGATAGTGGCCGAAGCTTGTCGCAGTTAAGAACGGAGACGGAGGTTAAAACCAGGGATGTCTCGTGCCAATTTCGAATTTTCGCATCAATCATAAAACGCTCGCCGTTGTTAAGACTTGTTTTAAGGAGAGATGGGGCTGTGGCATGATATGCAGCCCTACGACTTATCTTGATCCGGATGGATTGGTGGATCCCATGCCGCTCAATTACCGGCAGGAGAGAGAACATATATAACCTCAGATTAACCTTGATTGAATCTTTAATTGTCTACTTGCAGATATATCCACTATCGCATCCAATGTCATCGTGGACGTATCCCACCAAGTCTATTTGGAAAAGGGGTTTTTCTCCAAAGCTTAATTTCCTTATACAGCTCCCCCAGACGGTCCTCAGACTTGTTCCGAATAATCCCCGAGGGCTCTGATTCTCCGAAATGAGCGCCACAAATTACGCCAGCTGCTGAACACCGGCTCCGAGACGCATCCTCAGAGTCTATAGCTCCCAGGGGATGTGCTCCGTGGAGATCCGCAAGTGAGGATAGAGTCGGACTTGATCTTCCGTCGGTTGACAAAACCTTTGCCTGCGAGCTATGATGTTACATTTATCTACTTGGTTCACCGACGCAGCCCATTAGGTGCTAAGAAAATATTACCTGAAATGGAAGGATAAAAATCCGAAGCATTCCAGAAAAGGAAGGGCGTTTGGTGATGTGGATACCAAAAGGGGTGATATGCCCATGCCACAGGGGAGCTCCATGTGAGGCATATTTTCTGCCTACTAGGCGTGACAGATCTTCCCAACCATACTATAACTATTCCAAAGCAAGTCTCAATCAGACTCCCGAGCCCTTCACCACGACACTAACACCCTGCGTCTGATCCTGACTCTCACTCCCATTCTCACGATCGCTATCCGTCTCTTCTCTCCCATTTGCGAGGTCATTCTCGTCCTTGACCTGCCACGTACTCCATGTCGTCGTTGGTACAGACGCCCAAAACAGTGCCGCAGCGACGATAATATTCGTTAACAGGGACACATCCTTCGAAGCGCCCAGGCCATACGAAATCGTACTCGCCAGCGACTCGCCCCCACGCAATAATGCCGTCGAGAACGTCAGGTTCTCAATACTTTGATCAAACGTTCCGAGAACCCAATACCCCCACACCGCGAAGGCATTATATGGCACGAAAAATAAGCAGTAGACGCCTACCGCACGACCGTAGCCCGGGGATCCGATGTCGAATGTCGGATTTGTTCGTCCGTATTCAGCCTGCACGACTAGGTTGTAGACATAAGTAGCGGTATATGCTGTGATTAGGAGGATCCAGCCCACTCGCGCACGCGTTGACCGACGACCGATAAGCTTGCTATCCAGGATCCAGCCAAAGAAGATGTTGATGCCCAGTCCGACCCAAGTGACCACGAAGGCGGCCAGGGCTCGTGCACGCACGGTGAAGTAAGTCGCCAGGTAGTTCCCCTCGTAAGTCTGGGCCCATTGACTAGTGAGGAAGATAGGAACGAGGGCGGCGATTTCGGGCCGTTTGCAGACGCGCCAGAAGCCGCAGAATCCTTCTGCTATAGTGGTTCGACGGGGCAGGATAGGTCGCGTGCCGTCGGTGCGGATGAGCTTGTTAACGGGACTGACAAGAAAGGCTAGCGGAAGTCCGAGACATTGTAGTGCGATCAGGATTAGGTATGTGTCTGGGCTGATGGTTCCTTTCTGGTCGCTTTGCACGTTCAGGGCTAGTTCGATGGAGGTTCCCACGATTGAGCCGATTTTGTTCAGGCCGAACCAGATGGCGACTTTTGTTTATTATTTCAGCTCTAAGTCTTAGAAGAATACTTAGAGAGCCTTACTGTAAGTTCCTTTGCGATGTTCCTCGGGATAACCAACTCCAATGGCCGCCTCAGAGACCCACAGTGCCGCCGCCTGGGGAGCGTCAGCTGCAAATAGACTTGTACATTGGTAGGTGTTAACTCACAGAGAAGCCGCACGTCGCTGCCCCAAACAGCATGAACCATTGAGTCCCGTAAACGCTATTGGTATACAGAGATGCCGAGTAAGGGGCATATCCAAGGGTCCCAAATACCAGCACCCATTTCAAACTCCATCTGTTGCTCAGAACAGCGAATACGGGACTCATGAACACCATAATTGCGAAGGTGATGACATTCGCCGCATTCACGAAGAAAGGTGTAGCCAGACCACCAGCCCCAAGGTCTAAATTTAACGGCAATCAGATGAGATTATCTCTATATACATCGGTGTTGAAACTCACTTGATAGAGCGCCCCATATTCCAGGTTGCGTGAAACTGACGAGACCGATGAGAATGGCGTTGAAGAGTGTGCCGCGATAGAACGCGTGCAAGTTGTTCCGAGGGACACGAGGCCCATCGGTCAAGGAATTTGCCATTTTTAGTAGTGTATAGTTTGTAGCGTGAGTTGATCCGAATTGATATTGCGATTATAGAGGAAAGCGCGTTCAAATATAAGCTATCATGCAAGGAATGCGCAAGGATAAGAGTTGATAGCGTGATCGGTCTTGGAAGCATAACCTGAACATCAACAAGACTTGCCTAATGAAACTATCGTCAAGAAAGACACAGTGGCCGAGGTTTAAGCGATATGACGGGCTGGTGTCATGTTTAGCGGCATTAGTCTAGATGATGCCATCACCGGCACACATCACCACACCAAGGGCAACTGACATGGATGACAGCGTAGGCTAGGCCCAGCCTTTGATAAATAGTGAGCTTGGCGTGGGCGATCTGCATCGGCAATACCCCTATTGTTCTTCTCGCGGGGAAGTACTTGCCTTGATATGTATTCTTGTCGTGATTCGCTAATCGCTAAGCAGCGGCATAGCACGTCATATTAGCTATGGCTTATAACATAGCTTGTACAGTCCGCAGTTTCGACAGAGTCTATATGCTTGCTGAATCCAATTACTCTCAAGCGTGTTGTTTCGATAACTCCAGAAATGCAAAAGATTGGAAGCATGATTTGCCATTGCAAAGAGGAAGGGGGAGTCAACCTTTTGCGTTTCGTCTTCCACACCAGTAGTTAATACCTTCAAGGTAATTCAATGACGTGGTTATGTGGTTTCTATTCACCACGCAAAACGCATGTCTCGAAAGGACGAGCAAGATTGACTGTCGCTGCTCTGGGTGTGTTCCTAGGTAAGCGCAATAGGCGGGAGAACCAAGAGGAAAGATAGACAAGGACCTAGATACCCATTCTTCGAATCACATGTCAGTGGAGATACGAACGAACAAAGACTCCTGGATTTTGTACGACAACGACGATGCGAGGAGTGGCCTTTCATATGCCACCTAGGAATCGACCAGGTTCGGGGTTGCACAGAGTCCATGTTCGATGCCATTTTCAGCGATGAACGGAACATTTGAAGTACAATTTGACTCGCGGATTCCACTGGCAAGGATGTACCCAGTCATGCTCACCGTGGAGACCCAGTGTCGCGTTCTTTGAATGGCTTTGATTCGCGGGTTTGATGAAGCTATTTGACTCTTCGATCAGGAAAGGAAAGCAGAATTTCAATATAGACTGCTGTGGCTTGAATAGACAACAATGACCCCCCTAGTGCAGTGAGAACCTTCTTGAACATAAATAAGCCCAAAGTCCGACTAAACCGCCTCTTCTTGCGTCTACCTCGACTCTCCCTCCAAAATTGAACATTCTCATCATACTCAAACCATCAACCTAAACTCACTATGAAAATGACTTCCACCCTCCACAGAACGACCCTCAACTTTCTGGAAGTCTTTGAAACGCTGAGCTTGGAAAAGTTCCTTTCCGTGCTAACCCCTGACGCGGAATACATAATCGCCCCGGCCTCATCCTCTATGCCGGTCCTCAAAGTCGGCGATAATTTCGCCGAGCATGTCAGGGGCCTCAACTCCATTCTTGACGGATTCCCGATGTTCCCGAAGGAGATCTTGGAGAATGAAGAGAAAGGACAGGTGACGATTTGGGCGACTAGTTTGGCGGGGTTCAAGGACGAAGTGAAGGACTCCGGACTGTCGGAAGAGGAATGGGCTTACAGAGGGGAGTATATAATTATTGTGACGATGGATGAGACTCGGGAGAAGATTGTGCGAGTCGTGGAGTTCATGGATAGCAGGTTGACAGAGAGACTCAAGGTGTTGTTTTCAAGGGCAAAGAAGAATTTGGATAAAATTAAGGCGGAGGAGAAAGAGCAAGTGGGTGACCGTTGATCGCTTGCTTTTGTTGCACTCTCGCTAGTCCTTTTTTTCTTTCTTTTCTTTTGCAGTTCGCTATGGCTTGGAAATTATGATAGGCCCTCAAGTCAAATTGTTCGCAACCATTCTGCTTTTAACGTTGATTCGTCGTGTCGTCGGCTCGAACGTGGACTTGAAAAACACACGGATCTTGGAGAGTTCCATGTCATATAGATCCCTGGTTCCCGCCTCTTTTACGATGAATCGGGCCATGAATTTGAAAGGCTTGCATCTTTGCAGAACCACATTTTCCAACTGGCACATTACAACAATCGACGAAACGCCCTGATAGCAAGGATTTACATTCCTAGCCCTCCAAAAGCCAAGCGTTAGTTCCTTCACATGAGTTTTTCTTTGTTGGTTTTGTATCGCTAGATGCTTCAGGCGGTGATGACCATTGCAAAACTCGCTCGAATTCCGTGTCTCTTGTAAAGGCTCTCAACAGGGTCGCTGTTTCTGATGAGTAGAGCATGTCAGTTTGATGTCGATAACGCGAGGAGTCGTGTTTTCAATATAGCAATATCATAAGCTTTACCTTCTTGTTGACTCTTGAGTTCCTTTAGCTCTAGTTGAATATCGACCAAACGGCGTGTTACTGCGAGTAAGTACATCGGTTAGTAAGGAAAGCTATTGGAGCATGCAACTGCTTCATACCGTTGTGGATCTCCTCGCTAACTTTCGGAGCCTGTTCAGTCAACGGAAGCTCTAAGGAAAGCTCCTTCGCATATGCAGCTGCCGTCAGCGCGGCATATTGTTGCCATCGATGGTTCTGATTCTCGTCGGTATAGGAGCATACGCCCCGAATTACCAGGCATGGGAATTGGTTCATAATTCCAAACGCCTCTGTCTCAATACAGCATGCACCCACCTCGTCCCGAACTCTATCCCTCACCCCCGAGTTCTTGATCGCGTGGTTCCCCGAGACAACAACGCCATAATGCACTTCTGGGTCGGGCATGTACTCTTCCTGTCGGGTGGCACACTCTGCACACTTCTTGGGCTTGCGTGGCTCCTGATCCAGCTCATGGAGCGGGTCGTTTTCACGTCCCTGGTATCTCCATCCCTCGGGATCCAGCACATCTCCATCGAAATGGCGCACCAATCTGTGGATCTGGCTGCGATTCCGGAGTCTGTTCCGCTTCACAGCACCCGTCGCTCGGACCAGACTCTCGGAAGGCTGGTTCAGCCCCCCTGTCACTTGAAACCCGTCTGTTTCGTCTTTTCCGAAGTCACACTGCACCACGGCTGCGAATCGGCCCTTGGCTTCGCTTACAACCACGTCGCCCAAGCGGACATCATATTCCTCACTTGGTATGCCGGCGCCGATCCCTACCATCAAAATCTCCCGAACGTTAGGGAAACTTTTTGTCAAATTCGTTGCCACTGAATGCGCCATCATCCCGCCGGTTCCGCCCATGCATGCCATCACAACCCGATGCTGTCCGATGCCCCCTAGCACGTAGCTGTTGGTATCACCTGGGAGAACTGCAAGTGGCGGGTACTCTTCATCCAGCATCTCAGCCGCAGCGGCTGACTCTATTGGCAGAGTGCATAGCCAGCCGATCGTGTAGTCTTCCCTTGTTGGTCCTGATGAGGTTTGACTGGACATTGTGGAGGTTTGGTCTGTTATGTCTTGCGGGTACATAAAAACGGGATTTTCTTAATGTTGAGACGCGGAGCTAATCAATTGTCATCGATAGCAGTCGGTCAAAAATCAAAAACTGACACCAGGTCGGCTGTGAAAGTCGTCTGCCGCCTATTTTGGTTAGGAAGAAGTCAATATACTAGACAGGGGAGCTTGGTTAAGCGCCGGGGTGAGTCTCAGCCTGGCGGGAAGCCAACGAATAAGAATGCCAGGTTGCCGTTCTTTGGGACTTAATTTGCACTTTTATTATTAACCACCAACTTGTGTTACCCTATAAATAGCGCAAATGAGGGGTTTTTCGTGAAATCCACCCTAATTGGTTCAAGTCTGTCCATGATGGGTGGACGTGTAAAAGAAGATGCCCAAAGCGCTCTACTCCCGGGGAAAAGGAGTCGGGTATCCAACGTCACGCAGAGGTATTCATGAGGAAATATGGGGTTGTCATAAGCAAAGAGATATGCTCTTGAGGGTTAATTCCGGGCATCTTGTTGACATCTAGCCTGTCCAGTGCCTGAACGGATTGAGGTATGAAAGCAACTCTTTCCGGCGTGCCTTCCTCGCAGCCGCCTTTATTTGTCGGTTGGCACGGTCATCATTCTCTGTTGTTGATCCGACATGGTAATAGCCGATGCAGCCCAAAACACCATACAGGTTTGGGATGGCTCCTGTGCGCACGAGGGTAAAAGGCGCATCCTGAAGGAGATCTTCTGAGATGGGACTGGCCTTCCATGGCACCTCCACGGAGAAATATCGCGGTCGTTTGATTGATAGTAAGGGTGTGAAAAAGTCGACTTCCTGGGCGGGAGGCAGCTCCTTGACTTCACCCCGATAAAGCACCATCCAGATCTGGAGATGCTGAAGGCCTTTCATGCTGGCTAGTATCGTGCAAAAGCTGGCCCAATCTTGAACCCACTCAGGATGCCTGTCCATGTCCACGAACCGGACCTCGCCAACATACGATAGTTCTAAAGAGCGGATTTTGTGAAATTTCTCAGGCGAAAGAAGAACTTGGATGGCGGGAAGTGTCAGGAGCGTTTCGGGGAACTGCCCAAAGATGTTGATCATGTTTTGAGATGGTAGAATTCCAATGGCTTCGGAATATCTGTGAGCAGTCAGATTCACCGATTCCGATTCTGTGGTCTTCATTCATAATGAAGGAAAATACATTTTCTGGCAGGTTACTAGCAAATGTAGTCTTTCTTGTCGTTCCGGTATGACTTCTTCCGAGATCGTCCAGCGGGGTCTTCCATAATTCTCAATCCCCACACCAGCGCAGTAAATCTCGTCTGTACGATCGTTTTTGGAGTATAATGTGTGAAGATTTTCATTCCGGTGTGGGCAGAGGCAGTGGAGGAGGCCGGAGTTCGTGTACTTGATGAAGTGGATGGTCATGCCGCCCAGGACATACTCGTATATTCGCAGCCGAAGCTCGGGGGGTATTCGGAAAAGGGGGCTTTCACATTGATTGTGAGGTTTATGGCTCCAATGATCCATTTTGATCGCTCTCGTTTCATATTCCCGTAAACTCAGGAGGAAATGAGATGTTGAGAGAGGAACAACAAGGGTGGCAGTTTTCAAAGCCGTGGGAGCCTTGCGAGTTGCGACCCCGACTTCTGCCGATTAATCTGTGTGACATGAAAGTCCAAGGCAGCCGGGGTCTACCAGTCCGGGTCTGTTGGCACGGAAATGCTGGACTATATATCTCTTTATTAATTAATTCAGGCAGCGAGAAAAACCAGGGTACATTTACTTTCCCATGCTCCATTAGCCTTCGTTTGCTCTTCCATTGATGACTACAGACGCAGTTCACACAGTTGTTTCAGTTGCCTGCAAAGGTTTATGAGTTTGTATAGAAACAGAATGTGTCTATTCAGAGGTTTAGAGTGCTCAACATAAGCTCATTCCCCTTTCCCCCCAACATCTTGGATGACCGCATGGCGGATAATACGCCAATTGGATTTAGCCGAGGTCGGGACAGGCTAGTCTCGAAGTGGCCTAGCGCTAGTTAATAGTCACGTGCTTTACTGGTCTTATCTCCGGCTATCTCCACACGATGGGGCCGGATACGTCATGCACCCAGTCGACAACGTCCCAAATTTGGAACTCATCAACAACCTACAGATCATCCAGACTGACGCCATGCTCCGACAACATCGACTTCCTCCGTTCCTCCGTCCCCGACTCACCTGGCGATACCTCCTTTCCTCTGCTGCCGTCCTCTACATCACCTATTGCCTCCTCGCCGGGCAGCCATTCTTCTCCTCCGATATGCCCCCTTACTCGGGCCCCTATGCAGTGGGGACTGTCGATCTCGAGGTTCCACGACCGCCACGTCGCGCTGGCGAAGAGTTCTTCCGCGATGGGTCGCCGGCGTTCGAGTTGGAAACCGTCCTGTTCTCCGTGTACTACCCTGCGTCTGAAGGCGTGGAGAGCACGAAACCTCGCCACCCGTGGATCAGCAAGCCGGTTTCGTTAACAGCCGAGGGTTACCTTTCGTTCGCCAACTTGAATAACTTCTTTCTTAACCCGATTGCGACACTTGGCATTTGGGGTCTTGTGGGGGGGAGGGAAATACCTGCCGAGGTGGATGTTCCTCTTGCGTCGAGTGAGAAGGATATAGATCGAGAGGTCACACCTGACTTGATGGTGGAGCCGGAGGATAAGTTTCCGGTTTTGATCTTTTCTCATGGATATGCGTCTTCTAGAACGGATTATACCAAGTATCTTGGGGAGCTAGCGTCTCGTGGATATGTGGTTGCTGCAGTGGAGCATCGAGACGGCAGTTGTCCGGGAACGATGATCATGCGGACGGACGATGGGTCGGAGAAGCCGCTTTACTCTTTCGGGGCCAGTGATATAGAGAGACTGAACGATCTCGATCGTGCGGAATTCAAGCAGCTGCAGCTTGAGATGCGGCAGCTAGAGATGGAAGAGACATATCAGGTCTTGAAAGCCATCAACGAAGGGAACGGAAGCGATATCTTCAGCGCAAGCAGCCGGAATGAAGGAGAAGATCTGGAGTCATGGAAAGGCCGACTCGATCTGGATCGCCTAACAGTGGGAGGCCATTCATTTGGCGCAACGCTTGCGCTTCGCACGCTGAAGGGCGCACCCTCGGAACAGTTTCCCGCTCGGGGTGCGATCGTGCTGGATCCTGGAAAGTCCAGCGGACCGTTGAACCACGACGTTGACGTGCCGACGTTGATCGTACACTCTGACTCCTGGTCCCGAAAGCTCACCATCTTCACGGGCCGACCACACTTTGACGTCGTCAAGGCACTAGTTGAGGGCATTATCCAGCGCGGCAAAGATGCGTGGTTCATGACTTCTGTCGGCACATCGCATCCTTCGGTTACGGATGCTCCTCTGATTGAGCCACTGCTACTGAGCTGGACGACAGGGGCGACGATAGATGTCAAGGAGGGAGTGCAGCAGTATGTGCAGACCTCGTTGGAATTCCTCAAGTACTTGCAGGATGAGCAGAAGAGGGGGATTCTGCAGGAAACGGTCAGCCATCCGGAATATGACCAGGACATTCGGGATGAGAAGCGAAGACGAGAGCAACACCCTGACGTGGAAAGATACTGGCAGATTCATGTCTCACCAGTAGAAAGATAAACATACAACCCCACATTCTTGTTTATGGCCTTCACCGAACACGTTATGAAAGCACCGCCTGTAATTTTATTATCACTCTTTCGCCGTCCTGTATATAAGTGATTCATTCTTACATTGTGAGCAGACTATACATACTGTTTCCCAAAATTTTCCCTCAACTGAGAGGTAGTGTAAATCAGTTCTAGATATGAATATTTTAAACATCCATATTACTGACAAATTGTATGGCAGAATAAACGAACAGTTATATCAAACTGCTGCTCCGCTTAAGAGCGACATCCAACAATAACATGGCGTGAAACAAGGTCCCAGAGACCCGGACAAGCCTTATGACATGAGCGCCCGCACTAATCAAACAGAAGAATCTAAAACACCCCCAGACGCCTTATCTGCCGAGCCCTCCATACCCGTCAAGCATTCCCGGTCCCTAGTCCGAGATCACCGAGAACGGGCTCGGAGAGATCAGGGATGCATGACCTGACACCTGACCTGGAGGCCGGCCTAGACAAAGTCACAAAGCAAGGGAGGGCTGATTACGCGGTGCTTCTGACACCAAGCATATCTACTATGATGTGCAATTGAGCCATGGACTTCCATTACTCTGGAGGTAATCTCGGCTGCAAAGGTGGGGCTGGTTCTCGGGGGTCACGCAATCCTGCTTACGTCAGACGTTTGAGACGCCAAAAGCATGCGTTTTGCCCCTGGTAGTTATGTTTCATTTCCTGCGTCTGCAAGGCTGATGAGGATCGACCATTCGTGAATTGGATCGCGGAATAGATGCAGTCCACGTAGTCATTCCTTCATCTGAGGCTTTGCTGCCATTGCTGTCTTGGCGGTCTGAAGGGAGGGGTTCGGGGTTGCTGGGTTACTTGAGTGGCACGCGCAGATAATCCCAAACAGCTGCTGGAAAAACAAATGGACTAATCCGGACAGTATAGACTAGATGAGCCGCCGGGGTTTATCCGGGCGCGGGCCGGCCCACTGGCCGGGGACTCGGGAGGCGCTCCCCATCCTCCCCATGTTTCAGGTTTCTCATCGGGTAGGGCTGGTGGCGAATACAGCTACGCAGTACTAACGACATTTCTTGATGATTTAATTGGTTTTGGACTAAATGTAAGACGACAAACTTCATTCGTGAAATCGAAAAGTGGGAAGAGAAGAAAAGAAAAGAATCATGATGATGAAGAAGAAGATGATGAAGTAGAAAAAATAGAAGAAGGGGAAAAAAAGGAGTAGAAAAAAAAGAAGAGCTTCATCCTATGCCCAATCGTTGCGCCTCACATGTTTCACTCGCACATGATTCCTCAGATTATACCCTCGGTTAAAAGACCTATGGCAGCGTCTGACGGGACATATATGCGACCCCGGTGCCACATGCTTCTCCTCCAGATGACGCATGAGCTCTGCTTTGCGGTTGAAGGTCCCGGAATAGTCGCAACCGACCCATTCACATCTACGTGGCCATGGATTCTGAGATCTGAGAAATAAATATCAGCACTGATTAAGCAACTCAAAATGAAGATCATGGAAAATTAACACACCTAGTTGGCAGTTCAGGAGCCAGCTGCTCGAATCCATGTGCAGGTAGATGAGTAGCATTGTTAGGACGAAAGATGTTCGGGTTATCCTGTAACTGCGGAGTAAAGAAAGGTGGCTGCATAGCCGTCTGCAATGCGATTGTGCAGTCACGGACTGGGGTCTGACCCATGAAGGGCGTTGGCTGACTCGATTGGTCAAATGGCATAGCGCAAGGAGAGTCATCCCAGAAGGTCGGAGGGGTATTGTTGGGTATTGTGGGGTCAATCAAGGTATTATGCGCAGGATAGTGTGGCATATTGCTTTGGTCAGGTTCTGGTGGGGATTGAAAGACATTGAAGCTGTAGTCTCCCGGGGGGAGAACGGGCTGTAACCCCGGAGGCGACATTCCCGCATGGCTACCCCTGTTTGAGCAGCGAGTGGGGGTGTTTGGGTTCTGACTTCCCTGAATCCAGGTCATTGAGAAGAGCTTCTAGGGCTTGGTTTGCTGCTTGGGTGTTTGGGAGTTCAACAATTTAAGACTCGGGAGCACTTAAGGCGAGAGACCTGAGGTATCAGAAAATTACAGAATCGTGGGGGTTCAACTGATCTTTATCATCCATAGGACTGCTCATCAGAACACCCACGAAATGACGATTTACAAGATGGCATTTAATCTCGATGGAGGCGGCAAGAGGCTGAATTCTTCCCATGGGGGTTTTTGGATCAGGCCAATGAAAGACTGGCATGGCCCTCGAGTATACGCCTTGAGCAACGAGCTCGAACCCAAAAGTTACCAACACTCATGTTACGGATATTACCGGAAAATCTAAACCGGAATGTGACGAGGGGCCATGATATTCTCTATCTGCACTCCATCAGGCCGGGATCGTCACAGAGGATGCAAGGGGGCACTGCGGCTCGCGAGACGAGCTCTTGAAGGGGTTTGATTGGGCGACACATTCCTGGCCACTGGCCGTGAGAGTCCGAGGCTTTATTCATGCAGCAAATTTGCCTAGCTTTTCTTCTGACCAAATCTCGAACGTCTCCCGTCTGCCATTCCACCTTCCCGACCCATTCACTGGCACTTAATCTCAGCGTTTCATCCTTGAAACACGCACAGAATGAGCTGCTCCGAGTGGAATGCCTTGAAAGGCGAAATCCAACGCTTGTACATCCAGGAGAACAAGAAACTGGCCGATGTGATGCAGATCCTGGAGACTACGCGTGGCTTTCGAAAGACGTAAGCTCTGGCAACCCAGTCAGGTCATGTGTAATCAACGTCTGACCACAGAGAGCAGAAGGCGACAATATGAACGGAAACTCAAGATGTGGAAATTCGAGAAATACCAGATGACCACTGATAAGTGGAAGGCTGTTCGACGGAAGGTCGAAAAGCGACGAAAGAACAATAAACAGAGTGACGTGTACATTAATGGAGTCCGTTGTCCATCGCCAAAGCTACGAAGGGAACTGTCACGAACATTTGAGTCAACCCTTGAAAGACTCGTATCTGGTATGCGAGAACCGGTGTTAAAACCTCGCTTAACGGGCGCTAATAATTGACAGCCCCGTCACCTCCGATGCCTGAAGGGATAGTTGTTTGCTCCCCTCCATCTTTCGCCGGGCCCTCAGGACAGGTGAGCCTGCCATGGCAGAGATTCTTGCATGGGTTTCAGATGAAAAGAAGCAAAGGTGGGCATTGAATACATTCCTCGGGTTTACCCCTACTGATTAACATAACAGGGCTTATGCTGGCTAATCCTACCTCATTTTGGTCTATGCCGCTGCAGACCACAATGTCAATGAATAGCCCCGATCGAAGTATCATGCCCGCTTTAGTCGCATGGCTGGCGGACCCTGCCTCCAATGCCACGTCGAGGACGGCACCCAGTGTGAAAGCAAAAGCAAGCCTCCGTCTATTGATGCCTGGACCATGCGACCATGAAAATATCTGTCACATTGACTGGACCATTGCCAGCGAAAGCGAACCTCATATGGAGAAATATCTGATTTTTCTTTTCCTACTGTCCAATAAGTTTATACAGGTCGGTGGACCACGGCAGCAAGGAATGGACCAACTAGTTCTAAAGCTTCTTTGTGAAGCGGGAACCAATACGTCTCGGAAGATTAAGGATATTTGCTCTGTCAATGGTGTCGCAACTGAAGCAATTGCTGAGGTGCTTTTTGGAGCAGCAGTCAGGTACCAGGACTTCACTTCCATGAAGATACTGCTGGATGCAGGTATAGATCCTGATACACAAATTGATGGCCATTTGAAGGCTTTGGGGTTTGCCGCTGCCATTCAAGATCAAGCGCTTTCGATTACAATGACCCGTCTACTCCTGTCGTATGAATCATCAATCAACCGCCAGAAAACACTAGATTCTGCTCTAGTGACCGCTATCCAAAGCCGCAAATCAGAACTCTGCAAGATTCTTCTCTCCGCCGGAGCTCGAACAACACACGAGGCGATCTTGGCGTCAGTCACTTCATGCAGTTCTGAGAATGGGGTTGAGGTGCTCAGAATAATCATCGACGCTCACGAAGACGTCAACGACATGTTTGACTTGGAATGTGGAACAAAGACTCTGCTTGGGTTGGCAGTGGAGTTGAACAATGTTGCCATCGCCGAGTCTCTTCTTCGACGCAATGCAGATGCAGACATACCACAACAGATTCTGTTCGAAGACCAGGTTGTTTTCACCAGCATAATTGGATTGGCAGCTCGCAAAGGCCTCAACAACATGGTTCAATTTCTTCTAGACGCTCGTGTGGACGTCAATGCTCCGACTGCGAAGTATCCTTTTATCTCCCCAATTGTACTAGGTCTCGCTGGTGGCCACACAAGCACTGTGGAGGCTCTAGTTCGGAGTGGGATTCACTTCAAAGCCACTGAAGTTGCGATGGGGCGATCGCTTATTGACAGAGCAGTCGACAGTGGGGATTGGGAGCTTTGCCAAATTATATTGGAATCAGGGGATGGGGTCAACACCGAGGAATCGTCAGATTTCTACACTTCCAAGTTAATGCACATGTTACACAAACGGGACTTCGACACTGCATCTAGGCTCTTAGATCTCGGTGCGAGAGTCAATGACTTGCACAATCAGGTCCCGAACACGGTACTCGGGGCATCAATCATGGCCGGGCGTTTAGACTTGATCGATCAGACACTCATGTCGGGGGCAATGGCAACAGGGCATGATCTCATAACGTCTATCGAGAACATTAAAATTGCAAAGCATTTGGAATTCACCGGCATACTGCCCTATATCATGTTGGGCTCCGGACAGGTCCTTTTGACAAGATCAATCCTTGCACGGAATGCAGATCTTGTTCGCTATCTATTAGTTCACAATGTCGACAGGCAATCCAATCAGACGGTTAAGTGGCAAAGATATCTTTTGCATCGAACGCTGTCGCAGGCATCTGTGATGCAAAAAAGTCTCCACGCAGACCTGGAGAAATTCCTATCCCCAGTGGAAGCTGCCATCACCAGCAGAAACACCTCACTCGTTAGATTACTTCTTACTCGAGGAGCTATTGTCACCGAATCGATATTGAATGCTGCTGTGTGGGACTATCTGCAGACGGACAGGGATAGTACGCTTTATGAAGTTCTCCTAAGGATTCCAGAAGAGTTTTGTGCTCCCACTGCGGTCGCCATGGCGGCTTATGCCAACGATCTTCCTCTTCTACAGCGTCTTTTAACTGCGGGAATCAAACCGACAGGCGAACCTCAAGTCCTGAGCCATGCCAAACACGAGGAGCTTTTGCACGGTGGGGATTCTACAAACCGGTCAGGCAAGCCAGGATGGTGGCATGACTGGCCACCTCTGAAAGGCCAGACCGTTCTCCTCATCCCTGCTGCCAGAGGGGACTGTGCTCTTTTACGCGCTCTTCTTGATTCATATACTTGGACTGCCTCCGAACTTGGTCGCGCGCTCACTATCAGCCTATATTTTAGCAACCTTGAAGTAGCGCAAGAGCTCCTCAAGATGGAGCCAGACATGAGCGAGTCCCTCGTGGTTCACGGGACCAGATTAATCCCGCTATGCTGTTCAATCAAATTCCATGACAAATCTCTAGTTCAAACCCTGCTATCGCACGGAGCAAGCGTCAACCCCATCACAACACCCTCCTCAGTATGCACGCCCTTACAACGCGCCGTGGAATCCAACAGCTCCGAAATCGTCAAGACCCTCATCACTGCAGGAGCAAATATCAACGCACCACCGCCAAGTCTTCCCGGGGCAACAGCTCTTCAAATGGCCGTGAAGGGAGGAAACGTCGAAATCATGGACATCCTCCTGGACGCAGGAGCAGACATCGAGGCGAATTTCGGCGCCACCGCCTTACAATTCGCCGCGATTATGGGCTACCTCGGCATTGTGTATCGACTTCTCGGTCTCGGAGCAAACATCAACGCCCCTCGAGCTCAGTTCTACGGCCGTACAACCTTAGAAGGCGCAGCTGAGTACGGACGGATTGACATGCTCCAAGTCCTTCTGAACGAGGGCGCCGAGGTACATGGGGACTTTCGATCGCAGTACGTGCGTGCTGTAAAGCTCGCCGAACAGAAAGGCCACTTTGCCGCGGCGAGGCTGCTTAAGCAGGCTGGTGGATGGACGGAGGGAGATGCGCTACAATATGAGGACGAGGTTTTCGATCGCGAGGAGGTAGAGCGGTTTAAGCAGCAGCATCCAGAGAGGGTGGCAGACTTGGGGCTTTGTGATGTTCGTTCCGGGCGACTTTTCGATCAGGACAATCCTATGATTAGCCGGTTGCATTCGAGGATTGGTAGGTGTGCTGGCACATATCAGGCTCCACAGTCTCAGAAAGGGGAGCTTAACATAGATCAGCTGGTCAGTTCGAACGATTATTAAAGATAGGATTCATACAGGCTGGCTTCCCGGCAGGGGTTAGGAGACTTCCTCGCACCTACGGACAGATTCGGGTTGGGTGAAACAGTGCCTTTAAAAAGAAAGAAACAAATAAATAAAACCTCTTCGTTTTTCACTTGTTGAATTAAAATTTATTTTTTCTTATTTTTTTATTTATATTTCCTTCGCATAAAAAAAAAGAACGGGAAAAAAAAGAAAGACGTAGCATGTCCTGGTTTCGATCCAGGGGCCTCCGGGTTATGAGCCCGGCGCTCTTCCTCATGAGCTAACATGCTTAATTGTTGAAATGGTCTGCCAAATTTGCCCTTATATTCCCTTTTTCACGTTCCAGCTCTCATTCATCGCACCATCCCATTCTTTTATCGCATAGACACCTGAGACTATGGCGAAACGACTTTTGCTTGGACGAGAATCCAGTTCCGTATCATCGAGCATGGCGTCGATCTGTCTAAGCGAACCGAGAGAGTGATCGGAAAAGTGTCCCACAAATTTTGGAGATAACAGAGCCTTGAAAATGCATCGCTTATTACTACCATCAAATATATATACCCGGCTATGTTTCAACTCCGATTTTCTGTCTCTAAAGGCGAAAGATTTTCACGAAAACGATTATCATTTTAAAGAATGACCACAAAGGGTGTGTAAGACAAAGCGTAAGAAGTCCGAAAAAATCAAGTCATTGTCTCTCTACCAGCCCCTCGACTATCAAACCGTCAGTACTATGAGATTTAACGCACGAGAGATTTCTGCACTTGTAACCTGAATTTTGAAGATTGGCTTGATTTATCTTCTCAGATCAATGGAAACAAATGAATCCATGCCAATTTGAGCCAGAGAAAGTTTTATGTTCACCTTGTAGTCCTCATGGAACATCAGTTCCTGGGCTTTCTTCCCACAAAACCTGCAAGCTGATCAAGCCCCTCGGAAGATAAGAAGCCGGTCTCAGTAATCTCTCTTTGGATAGCATTCCAGCTTGTCTCTGTGGCATCGTCGGCTCCACAGCCGAAAGCCTAGATTAGATCGATCATGGAGCCGCCCATTTTTTGCTGTATGTGCAATATGCATAGTGTGAATATCTTCATACAATACTAAATATATATATTGCCCCCGCTTGCACAAACTAGTCAACATACAAACAGATGGTTCACCGCCCACCCCACTTGAGATAGGAATTTAAGGTATACTCCACAATGAATCCTTGTTCACAGGAATATTCCGATAGTGATGGCTTGTTTCGCTAACATCCTGTCACGTGTCAATCCCTATATAAAAATTCTCTGTAGATAGAAGCTTTTCCAGTTCTTTGATCCTTTGATAAGTCCTTCGCAGGAGTTGAAGGATTTCTTTTCTTTTATTCTGAGTACTACTTGATCATCCGAACATTTCAGCTAAGATCGAATTGCTTTCAACCCGAGGAGGCCTGCTGCAACATGTCGTCCACAGACGATCCCTTTAGTTTGCGTGATATGTCATATGAGGAATTTACATCGAGTCAGATTCCTCTGTACCACGGCCCCACCGTCAACATCAAAATCGGAGACTCAGCCTACAAGGTCTCCAAGATCCTACTATGCAAACACTCGCCATATTTCAGAGCAATGTTCGAAGGGAGGTTCATGGAAGCGGAACAGCAGTCAGTCGAACTCCAAGAAATCGACGGCGTTGTAACCAATCGAGCTTTCCAACTGCTGCTCCAATGGATGTACCTTGGCCATGTCATTCCTGCCGACGAGGTCGCGACAAGCTGGATAACTTTACTGGTTGAATTTGCCAGGCTGGCAGACTTCCTGAAAATCAACGAAGTGGATATTGCAATCGCGCGATTTATCAAGGACTCAATCGCTGTCAATTCGCCCTGGGAGTTCCTGAGACCGCCTCACGCAAATATCCACCATATCATACCCGAGCATATTCAGGCAGCGAGTCGTCTACCGAGGCGACATGTGGTACGGAGACTCTTCGCTTCAGCATCATTCGACGCGTACATGCACAGCGTGGATTTCAAATTCGCCAACGAAGTTCGAGACATCCAGGATTTTGCAGCGGACCTTCTAGACGAGGTGAAGGTAGCTCTTCGAAGTGTCCGGAATGGCGGCGCCATGTGCGTCTTTAGGGACCCGTTTGATGGCAGAGAACGAGAATTTCGTCCCTAGGACTATGTTGTACTCTCTTTGAGCATACTATCGCGTGAATCTCACCCGAGGCTTTTGTCATGCCTTTTGTTGTTTTCTGTTTTTTGTTTTCTGGTTTCTAGGAGTCTTGCGTTGAGATAATCTCTCATCTCAGATTGTGAAATGTTAAATTGAATTTCTAGCTTGTCAACGCAAGTCGTGAATGAAACTTCTGAAAAGCCTACCTACTTCTAGTAAAAACCTCTAAACCGATCGAGTATTCCGTAATTTCTTGGCATTCCAAACATGTAGCCATCCATAAAATTAGCTACCCGTGCATAAAGTCATAAGGCTTTCGTAGATTGAAAGACGTGTCTGATTAGTCAACGATCGTGTCCGGTGTGATTTCGATGGGATGACATCGTAGATTCATCTAGGGATATATCCAGTGCACCGTTGAAGCTCTGTGCTTGTCGCATCAGTGTGATTCGGTTCGACTAGAGGAATCAATCCTCACCGTATTCCACTGGGAATGATGTTCTTCGACTTACGAAGAAACATGACCGACTTAAGAATCCCGAGTCTCAGATTTCATTGAAGTTGAAAGCATTGTAAGACCTGGATACTTAGATGGTGGCGTAGAACCACGTTATCCCTTGATTCTGCATGGCCATAGCTGACTATTTCAATTAGATCCATGCTCGCATGCCTTCTCATTTGAATTGAGCGAAAAGAGCAAAAGAATTTATCGGGAATGGCTTGAGACTCAAAACCAAACAGAACTATTATGGCTCAGCAGGAATGTTGTCAAGTATGGCTGATCTACCCGTCATCGATGCCACAATCTTGATTTCAGCCGCAGCCACAATTTGGAAATCACATATGATGTATCACATAACGTGACAGGAGAGCTGACGAGCAAACAGAGCGAGTGAAACAACCTGCGCCTCCTGAGTAAAATATGAACCGTGTGAATCTGCAGATCTCCGGATAACAGATCTCATTTTTTCCGAAAACATGTCCGGCTATAAGATGCAACCTCATTGCCTAGATCTCGGGCCTCCCCAGCTGCTCCAGACTACATTGATGCTGGTATTTCGACAGCGTCTGGATCAGGTGCTCCTCAAGCAAGCGTTTTGGCAGCTACTGGTGACTCACCCGGTCCTTCGGATGAGATTGAACATTCTAGTGAGCGGTTTTACTCTCGGTTGCGGGGATCGGACGGAAATTAATAACCAGTAGCGTACAGGGTATTTCCCGTCTTCAGACCTGCAAGAATGCTGGAAGATAGGATACGCCGATAAAAGGCTTAGGGAATATTTCTCACGCGATAAATCCGGGGCGTGGCAGTTGACACCGGGTGGGAGAAACGGCATTCATGAGCTTTTCCGATTCTCCGACTCCTGGTGGTTTCGAATAAACCCGCCCGCTATTCAAATAAGATTAGTTTTGCTGGAGGATGGGTGTCTCATGAACTTTGTCGTGCAGCATTCTCTGTGCGATGCGACAGGTAATTTTAATCCTTTGGCCCAAAGAATGCTTTTACTGACGCTTCCCAGGGATGCTGGATATTCTTCACGAGTACGTGGCACTCCTCCGTGGTAAGCCAATTGGACTACGCAGTCAGCGACCACAGTCTTTGAGGCTTAAGAAAGAGGTTAATGGCAAGAGAAAGGCTTTGCCCAACTCCGGGGAGCTCCTCACGGCATTCAAAGACCAGTACGGTTTTGGCATACTAGGCCTGGTCTGGTATGGCCTCCTGACATGGATCTATCTACTATTTAGGCACTCGAATCCGCGATCAGAGCAGACAGTGCATGTTCCGGGGAGTGTCATAGACCGAGTTAGTGAGCTAGCATTAGAGAAGGAGATTAAGGTCACCCGAAATGACCTCCTGATGGCTACATTACTCCAGGTTGGTAATGCAGCCTGTGCGAGCATGAGCTTGATCTGACATCTACAGGCCTCCCAAAAAGTATTTGGACAGGGCAACTTTGCCTTCGGATTCGTCCTCAGCGTCCGGAAAGACCTCGACTGTCCCGAGGACACCCTACATAATCCCTGGTGGGTCATCTTACTACCTTCCCACATAATGAACAGGTCCAGAAGCGAAAAGAAATGTCTAAATCCCCAAGCCAGAATTCTTGAGCTTGCTTCGAAAATCCGCGAAATCATCATTGTATCCCGCAGTCCTGATTGCATGCGTGCTTTTCTGGCCCACTACGAAAACCAGGGCATGTTACCGATATATCCACGGACGGCCCCTCATTTCCCGAATATTATCGTATCGTCGTCGAATCAGCTCAACTTCCAAAGTCTGGGCTTCCCAGACGAAAACGGGAGATATGTCCGACCTGGTTATGTTGAGTTGGATGTTCAGATGTCAAGTTACATCTTAGAATGGGGATTAAATCATAATGACGTAGTGACCACGTTGAGTGACGGGCTGGGTGGGTTTTATGTACATGGGACGTGTCACATGGAGCTATGGGAGGAGCTGCGGAGATGTACATCCTGTCCTACGTGAATCCGGGTCCTGAATTGGCTGTTTCGAAGTTAAGAGCAGACGGTAGCAAATGGATTCACAGCTCTAGTCGTTTATATCACAGATTAAATGTTCTCGTGTGGCTGTTTGATGAACCCTGGTAAAGTCCAGATTTCTCGCCAACCAGCACCCAACCGTCACTTTATCAATATGACCCTGTTCATCGCGAGAAAACCAAACTGTCCAATCACCGGGGGCCGGCGCATCCAAGCCACGTCTAGTTGATACCACCCAGATATCCTCTCCTAGATTTTTCATGAGATATGCGGGTCCACGGCCAAGGATCCCATCAAACGATCCATATAGCGCACCACCGTGCCCGGAGCATCTGAACGTAGAATCGAGCTCTGCACAGTAATATGCCCCTACAACCTCACCAACTCCGCAAAAGTAATCACTGGTGATCTGCCGGGCTGCAAAGGCTCTGTTGTGATCCATACACGTGACAAATAGGATATCATCATCGATTTCAGCGAATGTGGATCGAGAGATTGCATGTGTGCTGTCGGCAAGGGTGAGGCTTTCGGGAAATCCAGCGTATGTCATGATGATTTTGGCGTCTCGGACCTTAATCTGAGCCACGAGTGACGCTTCTTCGTCTAAGTAGTTCCCACTCCATTCCGCAGAAGGATCCACGTATGCTAACTTTCGCTCGGTCAAGCTCTTCAGGTCCTTCAGCATATCTTCAGCTGCTGACTCGGCATCTGCCTCGTGGTTGAAAAGGACCACGATAGACAATTCTTCTGCTGGCACGTGCAATCTTGCAAGTCGGAAGCCACGCACCGAGCCGCCGTGGCCTAGGACAGGCAAGCCTGCCACGTTGGTATGGAAAAGGCCATTCCCGTATCTTGCGAGTCTATCGTTTCTGAAAAACTGCGGCTCTGCCATCCTGCGATAAGTGCTTCGCGGATCGTGCCAGAGACGCTGAAGATGCTGCTCGTAGGCGATCATGTCATCCAGCGAGGCCACCACTCCTGCATCTCCGGACCATTGGTGAGTTAGTTGCGCCTTGAAGAACCCAGACTCTTCATTTCCTTCGTACCCAACACATGGGCCGGGAAGTTGAGAGTTGTCCTCACAGAGCGCCGCAGTAGTCATTCCAGCCGGAACAAAAACCTTTTCGGACAGCAACTCCCCGATAGAACGTTTCGTGACATCTTCGAGAAGGCGTGCCAAGATGTAGAAGTTCGTATTGGCGTAGGAAAACTGGTCACCCGGTGGAAAATGCAAAGATCGAATGCGATCGAGGACCTTTGCAGCATCGGGGCTCAAGAATCTGGTTTCGGGATGAGCACCGAAAAGAACAGTGAGGGCCCAATAGTCACGGATCCCAGATTGGTTGTTGCAGAGGTGTTGGACGGTTAACTTCGAATCTCTTATCTCGTCCCGCAAAATGACTTTGAGTCGTTCAGAAAGCTGTTTCTCGATATTGGCGTAGCTCGATGATTCCGACAATTGAGTTTGACGGATCGAAAACAGAACCATGCATATCATTTGTTTGGTGATGGAACATATAGGGAATTTTGTTTCGCAAGTCATCGGAATCCGTTGTTCTAAATCAGCGTATCCCCAGGACTGACGACCGATGACTTTGCCATTTTGGATGACAGCCACAGCTCCACCTGGTCCGGGGTGAAGGGATTGAAGTTTTGCGATGGCTTTTTCAACGTATGTGATGCTTGTTTGCATTGTAAGTATAGATCTAAATGCTGGGCGCAGTGCTGAGGTGTTGCTTTTGAAGTGGGGTTTGATTTCACGAGGGGGGGATTCGAATACCCGAGCAGGTGGGTCTCTGCCAGCTGACCTCTGTGTCTGTTCCTTGCTCATGGCCTGAAGTTTCCGGCAATTACTAGGGCAGGTGAATAAAAGTTACTCAGCTGTGAACAGGGATTTTGGAATGATGTCAGAATTGAGTGACAATATAAAGACGCTCTGTTGCTTCCGAGCGAAATGAATTGGAGATTTTCATGGTGACATCATCCCCCACATATCACAAGTCCTGTTTCTTTCTTTGTGCAAGACCATCGACTCTTTTCTTCTCCCTTTCTTCGGCGAATTAACTATAAAGTGTATAACCCCCTGTCCACCTGTATTGAGGTAGGAGGCAGGTAAAGATGTCTCTAAAAATACTTTCCGTCAAATGTCATCCGTATATTACGACTCGTATGCAAATACACCCGCCAAGAGATCGTCAGGCATCAATTTAAAATCTCGGCCCGGAATTGCCTCTTCCCGTCTCCCCACTTCTAATTTTAACATCCACCATCACCCAGACATAATGGACTCCGATTACAAGTTCCAATGTCCTAGGCCGCGGAATGTCCGGGCATGCGCACACTGTCGGGCCAAACGCACGCGCTGTCTACGAGAACTCCCATATGCGCCGTGTCGACGGTAAGAAAATAAGCATCGGTAGCTTACCGCCCAGTGACTAATAAAGGGTAGATGTCAAGCATTGCATTTACAATGCCAATTGGATAGTCGGGTCGCCCCCATAAAGGCGACATGTCCTGTAGCGCCGAAAACAGAGGAAGTTGACGTTGTGTCGGGGTTGTTCGGGGCGCCGCAGAAACCGCCGCCGGCCGATAACGTGGTCAGCTTTCATCATCGCATATTTCAGGAGAAATTCGCAAATTGCGATGAGCCTTCTGCGGACAAATTGCCACGGGAACCTGATGGAACAGGAGCGAGAGCTCCGGTGCTGGATCAGAAGACAGCCGACGAGCTCGTGGAGAGGTTCCGGGCTAAGAGCAGTTATTTTCCGTTTGTGACTGTCCCGGAAGATATTGCGACGCCGCAGCATCGCTTTCTGTATCTTGCCATTTTGACGGTGACTGCTACGGATAACATGGCTTTGATGCGGAGTCTGGATGCTCGGTTTCGGGCTGTATTGGCGGATAGGGTCGTTGTTGCGGGAGAGAAAAGCCTGGATTATCTCCAGGGGTTGCTAGTCTACATTTCTTGGTTAGTTTGCACCGTCCGTGATATAGCAATGCTAACTCTACTAGGGATAACATGCATCTTCGTCCTACGAACTTCCTGGTCTATCAGTATTTTCATATCGCCATGGGCATGGTGACAGAGCTTCGATACAATGATGACTCGTTTCCACTGGCTGATCAGACTCCATCCACGATAGTTGATATCAAGAGTGCATGTCTTGGCTGCTACTATTTGTCTTCACGGTAAGTACCTCAAAATACTAGCAAATGAGGCCTAACGAGTCAGGTTGTCAACACACACCCGACGACCCAACATTGCCGTTCTTTCAGAAAATCTCAAATCCTATCTGTTTGAGCTCTCTCAATCGGATTCGCTACAAGCACAACTGATATCACGCTCTATGTATTTACAAATGAACGTAGAGGCGGCGCATCGAGGGGAGGGAATCGTGCATGAGGTCACGCCAAACGCCTCTCTAGACACCCGTAAGTCATGAACTCATTTGCAGGACCTTAACTCACGTCTCGGCAGCTGCTATTAAAATAGCACATTTATTTCTCGCTTTCTTCCGAGAAAGTACTGCTCGTTCGGACCCGAGCGACACAGCCTATCTCCAGGCGATTGTCATGGCAGCAAACGAATTTTTCAACCATCTCATATCGCTCCCCACGAGGGAACTAACCAAGTTCGGCACCGCAGAGTGGGCCCGCCTCGTCACGGTTATCCATAACGTGTCAACGTCCCTGTCCACCGCCACCAGTCAGCCCGAGCTTATTCCAACTATTCGATTATACGCCCGACAAATATCAGTCCACCTCGAATGCCTCGCCAATCGCATGGGGCAGTTATCTCAATCGGGTCGTAACCCTGGGGAATTTCCAGATATGCTATTCCTGTTCAAATCAGTCTTGGACCTTCTCCTTCCTTTGGAAGCGAAGATAGGGCTTCCTGCTGAAGATGAGCACGACGGAAATGCTACAAAAACACTATTCAAGGCAGGGCAATGTCCAGCGTTGGTGGGATTACGGCAGACGGACTTTTGGACTGCGTATCGGAATTTCTCGGTCGATGTGCCTTCCTATGATCTGGGCATTGACTTGGAGGGGTTGTTCGGGGATGGCTCGGGAATCGAGCTGTCGCAAGATGAGTGGATGGATGCGGCATGTAGTTTGAATATGTGATTCCCAGATCTAATGTATAATGTGAAATGATAACTCCACTCTAACAACAATCTATGACCTTCTAGCAATCGTTGTTCCAACCTCAATCTACTAACAAACGAAGATGAGTCACTGAACAACTGAACCCTTTCTAACCCATCAACCCAATATCTAATCCCTCAAAATCTCCCCATCCAAACCCCTCGGCTGATAATCCAACGCCCTTCTGCCCAGCTCCTTCAACGCCTCCCCTCTCTTCCCCTCCAACCAAAACTCAAACATATCCACGCCCGCAAAAGCACCCCCCGCCGTCCAAATCTTCCCATCAACAACCCACCTCTCTTTCACCCACTCGGTGCCAGGACACTCCGCCTTCGCGAGGTCCAAAAACTCCCAATTAGTCGTCGCCCTGGTCCCCTTCAACAGTCCCGCCTTAGCCGCCACAATCCCGCCCGTACACGTGGTAAACAAGAACTCGACTTCCTCGAGCTTCTCGCGCAGAAACGTCACATACGAGTCAGGGATGTGGTTGAAGAAATCAGGCCCCGGGCCGCCGAGAAGCAGGCAGGTGAGTTTCGGGCAGGTGGCGAAGGTCGCCGTGGGCATGAAGGTCAGCCCTGAGGCGAGTTTCACGGGCTCCAGGGTCGGCGCGAGGTAGACGAATTCGACGTCGATGGCGTGGTCGGCCAGGTCCGGGGGCATGAGGCCGGTGGATTCCAGCTCGAGGAGCAGCTCGCGGGACGTCGAGTAGATGAGGTCGATTGGGCCGACGACGTCCACGGCTTGGAAGTTGTAGAGGGGGATGCCGAAGGTGTATTTCTTGTTGGATGGGGCGGTGGTGGTGGTGGACATTTTGGCGTTGGGATGGATGAATTGTGGTTGATGGTTTTTTTGGGTTGAGAGTGGTTTTGGGAGTTTGGAACAGATTGTAAGAAGACTGACTTTGCTTGTGGAGCTCTGGTCCTTGGATGTCTTTGTTCTCCTTGTTGATGTAGGCTTATTTATACATTTCCCTGGACTATACGTGAAGCTATACATCGTCGCCTCGCGTAGAATTTCCTTCCGCTGCTGATTGGTCGCGTATTCTTGCCGTCCGCGGATGCGGGTCAGGTGACCTGTCGAGCCCTTGGCGTTGAAGGATTCCCTTGTTACTGCTAGCATTTCTTGTCCTATCTTAGATTTGAAGTTCATTGATATGTTTTGGAAGGTAAGGAGAGAGGGCTCTTGGGATATGACTTTCCGCGCGTCAATCGAGTAACTGTTTCTTTCCGAATGGAAACTATATCCCAGCATCGGTCTGACATGTTGAAGTCTTCGAAACTAGACAAATCAATGAAAGAAGAAATCCGAGAAACCATATGAGCTAAGCATGTAAAACAAAGTCACTCTGGTCAAGTCCAAAGCCAAAATCTAGCATACCAAACTAGATATCCCATGATGAGCCCAAGAAAAGAAGGCCGCAAAACAAGTAAAGAAATCAAAAACCTAAGCAATAACCCTCCTCCTCCCTCCATCCAACACAACCGTCTCGCCGTTCAAATACCCACCCCCAAAGCTCGCCATCCAAAGCACCAATCCCGCAACATCGACCTCCCCCCCACCCCTCGTGACCGGAATATGTCCCGCCGGAAACGACCCATCACTCACCCCGGACCCCGGGATCCCAAAACGCTCATACATCGGGCATGTCATATCCGAGAAGAACAGCCCCGGCGCGATCCCGTTCACCCTGATCTGATGCTCTGCGAGCTGCGAGCACCACACTCCTACCATGTGTCGTAGGGCGGCTTTGGAGAGGCCGTACGCGAACCCCGCAGGACGGTCAAGTAATCCGCCGATGGAGCTGGTGATGATGATTTGGGGACGGGGCGGGGCGATAATATCCTGTTGGGGAGAGGGACGGGAGAGGTTCGCGTTTGCGAGGAGAGGGAGGAAGGCGAGGATGGTGTAGTGGCTTCCTGTGACGTTGACGTCGAAGACACGGGAGAAGGAGTCCATGGGGTGGGAGAAGTGGTGGTCGCGGAACTCGAGCAGGGTGGGAGGGGCGGTGCGGTCTGGGTTAGGCGGGAGGGCGGTTGGAGGGCCCACGATGCCGCTGTTGACGAGGAGGAGGTCGATGTGGGTGGTTTGGGCGGCGATGGCTTTGTATGCGGCCTCGAGGGACTCTTTGGATGATATGTCGGTTGGGATGGCGATGAGGGATCCGTTGGTGGCTTGGGAGCAGGCTTTGTGTAGGATGTTCTCGCGACGGCCGAGGATGAAGACCTTGGATGCGTGGTTGGCGTCGAGGGCGAGGGCGATGGTGCGGCCGAGGCCTGGTTTGTTAGATGCATTCACTGGGAGGATAGAGATAGAGGACAGAGGACTTACCGGTTCCCCCGCCGGTGATGACAGCAACGGTGCCTTTGACGGAGAACAGCGAGGATGCGTCGAGAGACATTTTAGCTATAGGAGTGGGGTTGGACCTGGAAACTCCCTTGGTGGATGGGAATGCTGGTAGATAAATAGATGGCACGGGAATATACTTAGTAGCCTGTATATCGCCGTGTTACACAGCCAAACCCCAGACCCCATGGATTTAACTTCATGACGAATTCTCAGACGCACGCATCGTCACAGACTTCGACGTGGCCCTCCCCCAACCAGTCCGCCATTCCGCGTGTTTGTAGTCCGTCCTTGGCGAGCAACACTTGGAAGCTCTATGCGGAATCGCAAGTGATGTCTTTGGCCGTATTTAAAACCCCACGGTTTATGACCTCCGACGGCATTTTCTGGGCTCTGATTCGGACGAAGTGAGAATTCGACTGGTCGAGACCACACTTGAAGAATGCCCATCATAGGCCAAACAGCGCCAAGGACCTTCCGGCCATGCCAAGGGCTTCCGACCATGGATTCATGATGTTCCATCCTTGTCATTCCGGATCTACAAGAAGACACCGAAGACGCCAAGATAGGGCATGATCGGCACATGACCGGATAGCGGACAGCAGACTAGACAGCAAGCGTTCAGATACCAATTAATCACCAGAAGCCAATAAATATATACCTGGCTTCTGAGAACAAAGCAACATTCGTTCCGGAATATAGTATTGAAAGAGTAAATGGAGAGAGGGTGGAAGAACGATTACGGTTTAGCCGGTTGTTAGGTTAAACTGAGTAGAGAAATAAATTATATTAAAAATCTGTCCCAAATGAACGTAATGAGAACAAACCGAATCAAATAAACAAGAATCCCTAAACCAAAACCCCCCTCTCCCTCCACCACCTCACATACCCCCTCGTCACATCTTCCCCTACAGCCCCAACACCCGCCAACGTCCTCGAATGCTCCCTCGCCCTGGCCGTATCTAAAAGCAACCCTCCACACGACATGCGCTCAAAGTTCTCTTCTAACCAATCGGCCCCCCTTACAGCCGGATTATCATCCACGGTACCCGAAAACGACTTCACGCGCTGAATCCATTCCGCGAACGGGACGATGTTACTCCTGGGGACATTCAGCTCGTCAGCTAACAGGGTGATCATTTCCTTCCAGGGCTGGCGGACGGGGTTGTCGATGTGGTATATAAAGTGCGGTGTTTCGGGGGATAGAAGTAAGTCGACGATTGTGCTCGCGACAGCGTCAACGGGGGTCCAGGAGACCACGCCTTGGAAGTCCGGAAGGAGTTTGAGGGTCTGAGAGGACTTGATGATTGCGGGGAGGTGCTCGGATGGATTCCAATATCCGGAGGCGCTGGAGCCGGCGATTTGGCCGGGGCGAAGGATCATAGCTTCGAAATGGGATGGGTGTTGGTGGAGGGTTGACTCGAGGATGCGTTCGCAGATGTATTTGGCTTCGCCGTAGCCGTTGGGGAGGACCCATTCGATTTGGGTCCGTTCTTCAGGGACGATGGGGGTGTCGGTGAGGAGGGGCCGATGGCCGACGGTGCCAATGGAGGAGATGAGTTGGAAGCGGATGGGGTGCGTGCGGAGGGTTGAGGCCTCGCGGGCGAGTTCGATCAGGTTGCGCATGGCTTGGAATTGGGGCTCGAAGGAGGAGAGTCTGCTGATGCCGTTCATGGGCCAGGCGTTGTGGATGATGTGTGTGGTTGTGCGGGTGAGGTCGTGGAATTGGGTGCTGGAGAGGCCGAGGTTGGGTTCGGCGGTGTTGGTCTCGATGATTTGCAGTTTGGAGAGCTCTTGTGCGGTCAGGTCGAGTTCCCGATTCACGAAGGACTGCATCTGTCGGTCAAATGCGTCGTCTTTGGACTGGCGGTTCAGACAAATCACCGTCTTGACGGCAGGGTCTCGAACCAGGCGGGCTACAACATGACAGCCCAAACTCCCAGTTGCGCCAGTCACCAGCACGCCGTAGTCGTCGTCCTTGATAGCAGCAGTAGTCCTCATCGGGACTTCAAACCCCTCAGCAGCGCGTCGAATATATTCCTCCGTGGCCTTCTTCCTCGCCGCATTATCCACGCTCACCACCGGCGAAGTCGGCTTCCCCAACGGCAACCTCTGCTGCTGCTCCCCCGACGCCGTCGCAAAGATCACCCTCTGCACACTAACCTCAGGCGAATACCCATCCGTCCAATCGACATGTCCATAGCCGACCTTATGCAGATCCTCCTCCCACCGCGCCTCGTTCGTAATCGCATGACACCTCCCATCATTAAACACCCACCAGCCGCGGAACAGCCCGAACACGATATCAATCGCAAACACGGGCCTCGTCATCTCCAGCATCATCAGCACGCCGTCATCTCGCAGAGCCTGCCGGATGTGCCGGGTCGACTGCTGCAGGTTCGACGTCGCGTGAACGGCGTTACTCGCGATGATGATGTGTTGCGTGCCGAGGAGGTCATTCGCCGGGGCCTTTTCGATATCATGCACGCGGTACTGCACGAACGGGTAGTCTTTGAAGCGGCGGCGGGCTTGCGCGACGAAGCCGGCTGAGATGTCGGTGAAGGTGTATTCGATGGGGATGTTGAGGGCTGCGAGACCCGGGAGGAACCATTTCGTGCCGCCGCCGGTTCCGGCGCCCATTTCGAGGATCTTGAGGGGGCCGGAGGTAGTGGGAATGGAGGGCGCAAGGCGCTGGATGACGGAGAGCATTTGCTTGTAGCCGGAGACGTTGTGCGGTTCGTCGCCGTACATCCAGGAGACGAGGTCTTGGCCTTCTTTCGTGCCGAATATCAGCTGCAGCCCGTCTTGTTCGCCGCGGAGCACGTTGGCCAGGTGGCTGCCGGTGAAGAAGGAGAGTTTGCTGGCGCCGGCGTATTCGGGGTAGACGCGGGATACCTCCTCGAGGATTGCGGTGCTGGAGCGCATTGGCGCGGCGATGGCGGTGCGGATGATGGTCGATCCGTCGAGGTCGATTAGTCGGGCTTCTTCGAGGCGTTTGTACAGATAGTCGACGAGTTCCTGGTGCTGAGGGTCGAATGAAATGCGAGTGAGACGTTCACCCGGCTGAGCCTTACGGATCGTATCTCCCAGTTCCTCGAACGCCTCGAGGGTCAGCGTCACGCAGAGCTGGATCTGTAGCGGTGCAAACGCATGGACACGTCCACTGCACTGATTCTCAGCTAGGAACTGGTCCGTCAATGCCTTGACCTCGCCGAAAGCTTCCAGAACCGCATCCTGCGAAAGACACAGCTCCGGCATGTCGGAGACAATGCTCGTCACCGACTCTGACGGCGTATCGATCACTTTATCAGAATGCTCTTCCTCCTCCGTCGTGCTATCGTCGTCATCTTCCACCCCCAACGCCGTCTGCACGCACTTGACCATATCCCGGAACGTCTCTGCTTCCATGAGATCCGTCGCCGGCAGCGTGCACCCAAACGCCTCCTCCATCTCGCGCGCCAGCTCCATCGCCATGAGCGAGTCGACCCCGGCATCAGCCATGTGGCCGTCGTCGTGGATCTCGCTGGGATCCATGGCGCAGAACTCGGCGACCACAGCCTTAACGCGGCTGGAGATACTCACGCTATGCTTCTCCTTCTTACTCTTCGTCTCTTTCTTCTCCATCACAGCCTCCCCCTTTGCACTCACCTTCTCCCCCTTCTCCCCTTCCTCACACTCGCCCGGAGCAGCAGAAGCAGCCCCCGGCGCCAAACTCCTCAAAATCTTAACAAACGCCTTCTTCGCAATCCTCGAATACTGCAACCCTAAGAACACCTCCACCAAGCGCCCACTCGGCTCAAACACAAACACATCACTAATATAAAACCCGTCCTCTTGCCGATGCATCGCCAGTACATCCCACTCCTCGGGCCTCGCCGCCTCCTTATCTCCATACTCCGGACACCGCATCCACATCTCCATGCCGCTCGCGATGTAAATATCCTCCCCCGCGCGGTCCGTCATGCAGTTCACCCAGAAGCCACCGACCTGGCTGAACGAGTCACACAGGTAAGGGTCTGCCCAGGTGGCGCCGGTGTATTTCTTAACGACGCGGCCGGCGGAGTGGGTGCCTTTGCCGACGAGTTTGGTGACCCCCCGGTAGGGCGGGGAGTAGGTGACGACCTCGGAGAAGGCGCGGTAGATGGTGCGACCTTGCAGGATGTCGTCGACGTGAGGGTCGACGAGGAGGTCGCGGCAGTGGGCGTGGCTGATGAGACGGGTGTAGCGGGCGAATTGGGCTGCGAGGTCTGGGGAGGACGGGGGGAAGAGGACGATACGGGCGGAGCAGTGCATCATTTGGGAGCGGGCGCCCTTTGCAGGGTTCTCGCTGAGGAATTTGATGTGCCAGGTTTGTTTGGTGCTGTCTATGGCGTGGAGCTCGATCCAGAGGGTGCGCGATGGGTCGAGGCAGAGGGGGGCGTCGCTGGTGACGGTGTGGACTTGGGGGATTTTGGAGGCCGCTTCGGGGAGAGTGTGTAGGGCTTCGATGACGATGTCGAGGAGGAAGGAGGCCGGGGCGAGAGGGGCGGTCGAGGCGACGATGTGGCCGGAGACAGGGTCGATGTAGTTGGGTTGGGAGGTGTTGATTTGGAATTTGGCGATGAGTTGGGCTTTGTCTTGGTAGCCGAGGAAGGTGAAGAGGTTTTGCTGAGGACTAGGAGTTGGGATAGAGGCGGGAAGTGGTTTGTTGTCCATCCAGTGTCGGGATTTCTCGAACTGATACGGTGGGAGAAGCAGGGGTGTGTATTCTGGCGTTTGGATGGGATGGTAGCCCCAGAAGCGTAGATGAATTCCTTCTCTCCAGAGGGCGATGGTTGTGTCGGTGAGGTTCTGGATGCCGGTGGAGTTGGTGATATTGACGGACTGGAAGTGGTGGTCAGGCATGGAGAGAGCCTTGTTGGCCATAGACGTTATAGTGGAATTCGATCCAGCTTCAAGCCATACGCAGGATGGGTATTTCTCTGCCAGACGCTGCACTGCGTGGTGGAAGTATACCGGGCGATGCAGATGATCAGACACGATGCTCATCGGGACACCTGTGACTGCACTTTCCGTTGCACGTTCGAGATGGATAGCGGGTTCAACTAGCTTCAGACCATCTGTGACCTTCTCCAGAGCGGGAATCAAAGAACCCACGAGGCTCGAGTGGAACGCATTGGTGACGGTCAACCTCTTGGCTCTGATATGAGCATGCTGGCGGAGAGTCTGCTGGACCAGGTCAATAGACGCCGTGGGACCGGCTAATGTGAAGCTTCGGGGGCCATTATAGCATGCTATTGTTGCAGGAGTGCTGTCAGGATCTGCTTGATGGGCTTCCTCCAGTAGACGGTGGATGTCTGCTTGATCTCCCTCAACGGCGATCATGGCACCGCTATCAGGGCCCCAATTGTCACGAATAACGGCTGCTCGACGGGCAATCAGACGCAGTGCATCATCCAAAGACAAAACACCAGAGATGCACAGTGCAGTCAGCTCGCCAAAGCTGTGTCCGACGACCGCAGTGACCGCCAATCCACAGTCCATCCAAGATTTGGCGCACGAGTACTGCAGCGAGAAGAGCTGCGTCTGCAACTGCACTTGATCGGCAATTGGGGCACGAGAGAAAATGCCAGGGTATATGCTCTCATACCCCATTTCCACCAGGAGCGAGTCGCATTCGTCCAGATGCCGACGCAGCAGTGGCATCGTGTCATACACAGTCTGATCCAGGCCCACAGACGTCGATACCTGTCCGCCAAAGCAGAGAATCACCGGACGAGGCTTCTTGGCTCGGATGAAATGCGCTTCATTGCCTTGGACGATTTCCTCCAGCTTCGTCTGCAGCTCATCCAGAGACCGACAGCTGAACAAGGCGTGTCGGTCCAACGTCGGATTCGTCTGTCGAGAGAGATTAAACGCCACAGTAGCCAAGGACAGCTGATCGGAAGCCCGCTGACGCAGAAAGTGAAGCAGTTTCTCAGCATAGTCTCTGACGCGGTTCTCGTCAAACCCGCACAGTCTCACTGGCAACGACAGTCCATCCTCATGGATTGCAGAAGAGCCATCATCTCTCCCCGGAGCCTGAGTCAAAACCATCGACGCATTCGACCCCGACGCGCCATAATTATTGATTAACGCAGCCCTAAACCCCACCGTCCACGGCTTCAGTTCCCTCACGATCTCAATACGATCGTCCTCCCGCGCCTGAATATGCGGGTTCAGCGTCTCAAAGTTCGGCTGCGGCGGAATCATGCCCTCATGAATCATCAAGAGCACCTTCACCAGGGCAATCAACCCAGACACCCCCTCGGTATGACCCACGAGGCCCTTGACCGACCCCAACGCCAACGGTTCCTCCCTCTGCGGCCCTCCCAGCGTTTGCCTCACACTCGCATACTCCGCCGGATCGCCCGCCTGCGTGCCAGTCCCATGCGCCTCGACGACCGAGATATCGCGCGGACAGACCCTCGCCCTGCGCGTCACCTTCTCAAGCAACCCGGCCAACGACGCCGCATCGGGCACCACAATCGGGGTGACGTTGTTATTCTGCTCGACAGCCGTGGCGGCAATCGTGCCCAAGATCGGATCCCCGTCCGCCACCGCATCGCTCATCTTCTTGATATACACCGCCGCGAAGCCCTCCCCTCGACAGTACCCGTCCGCCTTCGCATCAAACGGCTTACACGGCCCTGTGGGAGAGACGAACGACGCCCCCGCCAGATTATCAAACGCCAGGGGGCTCATGATCGCGTTGGCCCCGCCGACCAGCGCCGCTCGACACTCACCCTTCAACACAGCCTGACACGCCTGATGCAGCGCCACCGCCGACCCAGAACACGCACTATCAACACAGAACGCAGGCCCTCTCCACCCGAAATAATGACTCAACTTCCCTGCCATAAAGCTCCTCAGTAACCCGGTGGCCGCATACGCCGTCGCAGGATGACAGTTGACATTATGTTCATAGTCAACGGTACAACACGCCACATAGCACCCAATATTCCGATCCGGGTTCGTGTCATGGAAGTACCCAGCCTGCTCGAGCGCCTGGTACGCGACCTGCAGAATGAGTCTCTGCTGGGGATCCTGCGACATGGCTTCGCGGGGGACCTTCTTGAAGAATTTATGGTCGAAGGCGTCGATGTCGCGCACGAAGTTCCCGAACCAGGGACGCTGGGCGTCGGGGCGCCATGGGGTTTCGAAGTCCTTGTATCGGGCTTCTGGGAGGATGGAGTGCTGGGAGAGCCCGGAGCAGAGCAGGGACCAGAATTCAGGCAGGGAGTCGGCGCCGGCGACGCGGCAGGACATGCCGATGACGGCGATATCGGATGAGTAGGACTTGGGCGAGGGGTGCAGGGGGGAGAGGCGAGAGGTGAGGTCCAGGTTGAGGTCGGAGAAGTGGATGATGCGGTTGCGGAGGCTGCGCATGAAGGTGGGTGGGATGCAGCGTTCCTGGCCGAATTCGACGACGATGGAGGAGGTGTCTTGCAGCTGGGTGGTGTAGACGGAGGAGAAGGTGTGCAGCCAGTTGCATTGCTGCTGGAGGATGGATTCGATGACGAGGGTGGTTAAAGGGCCGGAGAGGACGTGTTGTCCGCCGGTGTTGGCACGCGTGGGACGGATGAGCTGCGATGCGTCGGGGAGCTGGAGCGATGCGTCGGTAGAGCACATGGAGAGTAGAGACTGCACGGCGTCGTGGTGTCCGGACCAGTGGTATCGTCCGTTGAAGTCGACTTGACTGCATCCGAAGCTGGCGGACTGGAGGGCATCGTGCAGCTGGAATAGGGTGCGGCGAGGCGTCATGATGGTGGCGCGGTTGTCGTCGTAGCGGACGGTGATATAAGCCTGATGGGTTAGACTCGCAGAGACAGAGATAGAAACAGAAACATACTTCAGGAAACCCCTTGAGCACCTCCCCTAAAGCTCCCTCCATATCCCCCTTCCAGACCGTCGCCAACGAAGTCCACTCTTCCTGCACCTCCATCGCATCCCCAATGGCCCCTAACAGCATGGCCAACCTCACCGCAACACTGGCATACTCAGCCAGTTTCTCTCTACTCTCCGCCGCCGACGCCACGGCCGCACTCAAGAACCCAATACAGAACCCGACAATCTCCCCAATCTCACTCTCCTCGGCATGGATCCTCCCCTCCTCGCTATACGCCTTGCTCAGACACAGATACTGCTCATACTGCGTGAAGTGCGTCAGCATCAGCAGCGGCGCCAGCTGGATGTACGGCGGAGGGAAGGTCTCTCCCTCAATATCGCCGGTGCGGAACCATTCGTGTAACGAGCGGAGCTGAGGCTCACCAGGGATGGTGGTGAGATTAGGGAGATACTGGGTAGCAGTGCGGTAGTAGACAGGCAATTCAGCCAGAACGTCAAGAGCCCAGGCGTAGTGTGGCGAGGAGAGGATAGTCTCGCGCAGGGCGAGAAAGTCCTCCGCCGAGAAGGTGAGACATTGGCAGCCGAAGACGAGGATTGCCTTGTGCCCTGGGGGAGGGGAGAGTTTGCTTGTCATGGTGACTATAGAGGAAGGATAGGAGAAAGGACTGGAATGAGCTAGGGTTGGAGCAGAATGTGCTCATTGCTCTTCTATACCCTTTCTCTCTCTCTGTGTGTCTGTACTCTGTACGAAGATGCAAGATGATATGGATATACGCTGACATTTACTTATTCACCCCGGTGGCAATATATTGCTTTTTCGGGGCACACGGCCGGAGTATCCTGGCGGCATATCTCTCGGCCTGTGCCTTAATTTCTTTTTCAGTCGCCAGTGCGTCGTACCCGAGGAGTAGGCTGAGCCGTCGGAGTAAGAAACATCCATGTGGGTAGAGGGATTTAGTATATGGAGTTAGCATATGGATTGGTATATATGTATAGTATGGAGGTCTGAGACAGATTGAGACGGATTGAAAACGTTAGACGGGGGATTAGAATGTTTATCTCGGCTACGCAGGCTGACTACAGTTGTGACCGTGACTGATATCAAGGAAAGTCCATTACTACGACACAGACAGCTGTGGGCTCTGGATCGGGTTCTTGACTCGATCCAAGTCCTGCAGACACTCCAGCAACTCGCGCAGCATCCCGTCGAACGACGAATCCAAGCATCCATGCGCCGTGAAGAACTCGGTGCACATCATCAGGGGGATAGGCGTTAGGGGGTGGACCTGATCACTTAGCCTCTGTCAAAACAAGATACCATGGATGAGCTCACCTTGAAATACCCCAACTGCCCCTGCAACTTCACCAAATTCACCACCTCATGCGCCGCCAACACACACAGCCGCTCATACTCGATAATCCCCAGCAAATGATCCCCCGTCTTCCAGACAATCGACTCCAGCACGTTGTGCAAATACAGCACCATCGTCTGCGCCACGATCCTTGCGAAAATCAGCATCGAGTCCACCTGCGTCGATGTCGAGAGGACCTGAATGCGATGGCTCAGCAGCTCATGCAGCCACTGATGCCGCGTCCAGAGCCCATCAAACACGTCGCCGTTGATCTGCTCCACAGCGAGCTTCTGACGATGCGACAGCGCGCGCCCACAGATCGTCGCGAGAATAATACACTCGCCGAACGACGACACCCCGCCGCTTCCAGCCGGCGCACTCTCCAGACAACTCCGCGCCATCACCTCCGCCAGGAACCGCGTCACGACCGGCTGTCCCGCCTGGAACTCCTCCTCTGGCGCGGGCAGTCGCGTGGTGATCTGCTTTTTTCAGTCAGCTTCCTCCTTCCCATCCCCTTATTCCCAACTCCCCAGCCCGAACGAACGAAGGAAAGGATGAAATACTCACCAACCCCTCATTCAACGTAAACGGCAACCCATTGTGAAAACTAATAAACCGATCCAACGAATACGCCATCCAGAACGTGCGTCGCTGCTCCTCGAGCCCTGTCCAATCCACTCCTCCCCCTCCAAATGCCGAGGACAGGGGCAACCCATCCTGCTCCCTCGCCATGGTGGCTGGATTATTCGGGTCGTCGAGCTCGTACAGCCGCATCCCGAGAACCAGTCGACAGCATCGTCCCGCGCTCATCCACGCCTGCTGGGGCGAGAGGTGCATGTATTCGTAGATCGAAACTAGTACCCATGCCTGAGCTTGCTCTAGGCCTGTTGTGGTACCTGTCCCCGTCCCTGGACTTGTTCCTATACTAGACGTGGTGGAGGTAGTGGTGGTGGTGGAAGAGGAGGAGGAAGTAATCGGCGTCCGCATGTCCAGAGTATCTAGCATCTGGCGCGTCTCTTGGTAGAGACTATCGCGGAAGGATTGGAATTGGGCGGACAGCGACGCGGCGACGGTCCACATGGCGTATTGCAGACAGGTCTGGGCGTCTGTTTTCTTGCCCTTTGCCCAGACGTGGTAGCGCCAGCGTTGTAGGATGGGAGCGAAGGGGTGGACGCGGTCGAAGTAGAGTTGGTCTCTTTGATTTGGTTAGTTTACTGTGGATGGGGATTTAAGAGATAGTTGGGGATGGGGGGAGAAGGAAGGAAGGGGAGGTACAGATCAGCTCGCATGAATTCAGATACTAGACCAGAGGTCCGCGGCTGCGAGTCCAGCGAGATAGGTGATTTGATGTCGCGGTCGTCGGAGAGGCAGTCAGTTAGAGGGTCTGTTAATCCCGGTAGATCTTTAAGCGGATCGTCCTCCGAGTCCATGTCGACGAGGGAGCCGTTGAAGAGGCTGGCCATTTGGTGGTTGATTTCGGGGTGTTGGTCGGCGAGACAGCGTTCCAGGGCGGCTGATCAGTTAGCTTCCTCCCCTGTAGTATCTTCGAAGGTAGATGGAGTTGAGCGAGGAAAAAAGAAAAAGACATACCGATTCTCGTTCTTAACGTCCGCAACTGCCCCTTCCGTGGCCCTCTGGGCAGTCTCGTCGTGTTGATCTTACACTCGATGCCGGTCTCGAAACAGACCTGGCACTGGGGACGACGTCGATCGCAGCGGACTTTTCGTCGACGACACTCTTCGCAGGCCGAGCCGGGGCGCTGGCGAGAGATGGTGGGGGTTGATACCATTTTATCTTGATCTAGGGGAGTAGACCGCTCGGTTCGTGTCGAAGCCTTGTCTATCCGTTAGGGCTGCCCGTCTATACCGTCTGGTGGCAGAGATGCTGTGTGATGAGGTCGTTACGGGCTGAGTGGGATATATGATGGCTAATTAACGAGATCAAGCGAATAGTTCGAAGACAGTGTTGTTGAGACAGACTCCTGAAGTCTGGTATGAACTGCTGTTGCGTTGCGCTGCGCTGCTGCGTTGCGTTGAACAGTGCAGTCGTGCTGTGGACGGCCCTGTGGTGCTGTAGACCGCTGTGGACAGTGACAGTGTTGTGGACGATGCTGTGAACGCTGTAGTGCTGATGCTGACGCCCAGATAGTGCTTGCTCGACAATTATCAACAGGTTACAGTTTGCCTTCCTTACCTACAGTCCAGGAGCCTTCTGTACCATCCTGTCCTCCCTAATCAAACCCAAACCAAACCATCTACAAATCCAGCCACTCCGTCAGGCTCAGCAGAATCGGCGCTAGAAGGACAGAACCACATCAGACCGGTTGCGACCCAAACATGCAGACTCCCTCCACCTGGACGTGATTGGTGGCACGGCGGTTCAGATACGAGCTAGATCTGCGTCTGACTGGCCAGACCGTCTGTCGGGTTCCTGCCGTGTGGCAATGGCTTTCTCTCAGGAACTGGTCTGGTGGATATTAAACCGGGCTGGTGATGGTGGTGGATGTGGAAGTGGATGTGGATGGCGGTTAGAGTGTTCTAGAATAGATTATCTAGTATAGAATTCTAGTATTCTAGCAGTCTAGTAGTATTCAGTATGCGTCTAATATTAGACTGAGCATCCATCCACCGTCGTAAATGTAAATCAAGGATACAGCAGACAAACATCCACCACCGCAGACTGTACCGTGACACATTCATCTCGCGAGCACTGACGGGCAAAATCAGGTTGCACGATCGACAGCGTCGGTTTAGTTCCGACTAATCCCCTGGCCAGTCAGATGCCAGGAACAGGTCGGACATGAGGTTTCCGGCTCAAGTGGCACAATCAGGGATGGGCGTCGGGCACTCGTGTTTGATCAGTTCTGTGGCTGGTCGGGGGTTTCATGGATGGATCTGGGATCTAGGGATCTAAGATAGGAGTAAGGGGTAACACGGAGGATTGGATACGATGCTGATCAGAGGTATAGGTTGCTCAGGGTCCATCGTCTGCGTCCATCGTCTGCGTCCATCTGTCTGTCTGAGTCTGAGTCTTGCCTAACTGGATTGTCAGGTTAGCAAAATATTCAGCTGTCTATGAGTCAGGACGACAGAATCACTATGACAGCTCATGCAGATACTTCCAACTCGACCAGCTGGTCTACACCCAAATCCTCCCTGCCCAAATATCGACCAGGATCTCATCCCAGCTAACGGCGTCCTTGCACAACAATGGCATTCAGAGGCCACTACAGGACAATGGAGCACGTTCTTATAAGACTCTCCTGCCTCAGTCGGGTCGGGCTATCTTGCATCGCTGCGTCACCGTGCGTAACTCTGACAGTATAACGCTTATCCTCAATCTCTATCCCTAATTCATACTCCACCATGGATACCACTTACGACCACATCGAGGATGTCATCGGCCAGCTGCCTATCCTGAAAAGCTACACCCACGTTCTGCTCTGCTTCCCCCTGCCCGAGGACCAGCGGGCCTCCATCTTGGAGTCCCTGGAATCCGCCGCGCACACCGTCGTGTCCGCGCTGCCCTTCCTCTCCGGGCGAGTCATCAACGAAGGCGCCGGTCCCCAAACCTCCGGCGTCTTCAAAGTCGCACGCTTCCCCCAGCAGGAATCCCCGGACCACCGCTTCGTGCGCATCGAGGACCGCTCGTCCGCCTGTCCGCCCTACCAGGAGCTGCTGGCCGCCCACGGGCCCTCCTCCATGCTCCCCGGCTACCTCTTAGGGCCCAGGAAGGCCTTCCCCGAGCCGTACGACGACTCGGACGATGCCCCGGTGCTAGACATCCAAGCCAATCTCATCAATGGCGGCCTCCTGCTCGACCTCGCCGCGCAGCACAACATCATCGACGCCGGCGGCATCTTCCAGATTGCCAACCTCCTCTCCACCGCCATGCGCGGCGAGCCCATCCCGCAGGCCCAGATCGACGAAGCCAACCGTCCGCGCAAGGACATCATCCCACTACTAGGGCCCGACGAACCTCTCCTCGACCACTCGGACCTGCGTCCCCCCTTCGTCATCCGAACCCTCCCGCCCCTCGAGGCCGTCGCCCCCTATCAATGGCGCTACCTGCGCATTCCCGCCGCTGCCGTCGCGCGCATTAAGTCCATGGCAGACGCACACCCAGAGGACTTCGACGCCTCGACCCCCTTCGTCTCCACCAACGACGCCTTAACCGCTTTCCTCTGGCAACGCCTGATCACCGTCCGCCTCGCCCGCCTGAACAACCCATCCGCTATATCCCGCATCTCTCGCGCCGTCGACTTCCGACGCACCATGGGCCTCTCCCCGGCGTACCTGGGACACATGGTTCGCGTGACTTTCCTGCGCCTGTCGTTTGCCGAGATCACCACCTCATCCCTCTCCCGTCTCTCGTCGTTACTGCGCAAAACCGTCATGGACGTGTCCACCCCCTACGCTCTCCGCAGCTACGTCAGCTACATCGCCAACGAACCCGACAAGGCGAGTATCGCGTACGGCGGGGGGTTTGACCCGGTGACGGACTTCTCGTGCTCGAGTATTGCGCACGTCAAGGTGCCGGTGTTTGGGGACTTGGGCAGGCCGGAGTTGCTAAGACGGCCGACGTATAGGCCTCTGCCGTGCTCGGCGTATGCGGCGCCGATGTTGGATGGGGAGGGTGTCGAGGTGTTGGTTTGTTTGTTGGGGTGGGAGATGGAGGATTTGAGGGGGGATGAGCTGTGGGGGGAGTGTGTGGAGTATGTGGGTTGATTTTAGGAGTTTTTTTGTTGGATGTTTAGGAGTTGGTTAGATAGGAGAAGGGGGTTGGTTAGAGGTAGATGGAGGGAGGTGGTTGGATGAGGTGTTAGGGTTACTGTGTTAGATGTCTTCTTTGGGTATTTCGGTCTGAATCTATCCTATTAATCCTGTTGAACATAAAAGTTATTACATGGACTGGCCTTTGGCCAGCTAGTTTTTTGTCTAGTTAGCAAGACGTGATCTCTAATAAACCCTACCCATCCCTCCATGCCATCGAACGACCTTCCACCCTAATTAACATATTCATAGAGATACATCCTTCAACTCATGCAACCACTCTCCACCTATCATCAAGATACGTTCCCCTCCGGTTTCTTCTCTCCAACCTCCTCATCTCCCTTCTCCCCATGAACAAGGCCCCCCCTCCCATCCTTCCCATCCTCATCCTCCAACGCCCGATTCAAATCATACTTCTCCACCCACGCACTCAACACCAATCCCACCCCAGAAACAGCACACATCACGCCCCAAATGACCCTCAAACTATCGGTATACGCCTCCTTCAACTGCCCCTTCCTAACCCCTTCCACTCCCTCATCCCCCATCCCCTTAATCACCGTCACCAACGCCGCCGCATCGCGAGAATACTCCGCCGCCATGTCTTTCAACCCATCATACCTGCCCAAATTCGCCTTCATTCTATTCTGAAAAATCACACCCCCAATCGCAATGCCAATCGCCTGCCCAAACGCCCGGAAAAACACCACCATCGCCACCGCCACCGTCAGGTTCTTATTCGTCGACGACGCCTGCACCGTACACACAATCGCGGCAGTCAATATCCCCAGTCCCAACCCAGGCGTAATATTCAGAAATATCCAAGCAACGGTACTCGTCCCAGGCTTTAGGAGACACACCAACCCCAACCCTAGAGTGGAGAGAGCCCACCCCACCCACAGTCCCCATCGATACCGCCCCGTCACCGTGATAATCACACCACAGAAGATCGCACTCGGGGCGACCGTAAACGTCTCCGGGAACAGCGCCACGCCGGTCAGTATCGGCTCGAACTCCTTCACCGCTTCATAATATAGCGGGAGGTAGTATAACGCAGACCAGAGGATTAGACCTTGTAGGGTACTCGCGACGAAGGAGACCACCGCGCTGCGATTCGTGAACACAGATGCCGGGATCATTGGTTCCGAAGGGATGTAGATCTCGTAGATGGTGAATGCGATCAGGCCGGCGGATCCAAGGATCAGTGGGAGCAGGGTCCGCCATGAGGACCACGGGTGCATGACCCCGCCCCAGGAGAGGGGGATGAGGAATGAGGAGACGCTGGACACGAAGAGGATGGTGCCGAGGTAGTCGATGCGGAGGAGTTTGGTGCCGAACGAGCCTGGGGGGCGCGGGAGGCGGAAGAACAAAAGGGAGATGGCGGAGAGGCCGATGAAGGGGAAGTTGATGTAGAAGATCCATCTCTATTCTTTCTTAGCCGCAGGTTTTTGGATGGGGAATGGGGGAAAGGGAGTGGATGGCATTGGGAGGGGGCATACCCAGGTGACGTTCTCTGAGAATCCGCCGCCCACGATCGGTCCCAACACCGAGCCGAGACTATACGCGGCGCTGAGGATGCCGTAGTAGTTCCCCCGCAGACGCAAAGGGACCAGGTCGGTGACGACCACCTCCGACAGCATGGCGATCCCCCCGCCGCCGACGCCCTGGATGCATCGGCCGACGAGGATCTCGGTGAAGTTGTGCGCGAGGCCGGCGACGAGGGCGCCGACGAAGAAGAACACGACGGAGATGATGATGAGAGGACGACGGCCGAAGATGTTGGAGAGCGTGGCGGTGCTGGGCTGGAAGACTTTGCACTATTAGACCCGTCCAGACGATGCGAGAGACCTCCTACCTGTTGAGCAGAGCAGGAATGAAGTCCCGCTCCAGAAAGCCTCCATGGCCGAGCCGTTCAATTCGGCGGCCATTTCCTGACCCGTCAGTTCTTTTCTTTTTCACGGACGGGGACTGCACTGGCTTACTGGCAACGCCACCGAGATAGACGTCCCATCCAACGAAACCATCAGCGTCAACACCGCCAAGGTGAAGAAGATGAGCTTCCCCGTCAGCGACAGCTTGAAGTCCTCGTACTCGGCACGGCCAGACGGCTTCTGGTCCTCCGTCCTGGCGGCATCGTCGCCATCTCTGCTGACCTTCTCGTCGGGCTTCGCAGCACAGTCCGTGATCTCACTCATCGTCATGATCGAACCACTGGCATCTACCTCGTATCGATCGAATCGTGATAGGAGAACGAAGGCCATCGAGCCATCGACTCAAGATCATCCATCCAGCCGTTTGGTTGCACACGGAGTCCGGAGTGCAGAAACTCCGCAAAGTAGGGCTCGGGATGGCACGGGACTGTCAGCTTACGGAGTATACAGCCCTACTACAATCAGGAAGCTGAGAGATAATCCCTCGTGGTACAGATGACTGGACCTACGGAGAGTTAATCCTCCTTCATCTTCCCTGATTTCCAGCTCCTCCCCCGAGCAAACCCAGCAGGAAGACTTCGGCGCCCGAACACACACCACACGTAACACACCCCCTATCCCATCCATCCCCTGGCCGTCTCACCGGGAAAATAACTCATGCATCCAGGCCGTTCCGGTCGCACGGCTCGGGACCGTGCATTCGGCAGGGGTAGAGGCTGTTTGCGCTGGGGACTGGTCTAGTCGGACTGGTCTTCTGGACATTGCCAATCGGGCTGGTTGGTCTCGGGGAACAGACAGGAGAAGGAGTGAGAGGGAGGGAGTCCGTCGGGCGGGGATTGGGTTCGGGCCGAGGGATATCATAGTTGATTTGGTTTCTGTTGATTGAGTTTGTTGGGCTGGTTGGGCGGGTGTGAGTCGGTGTAGAGTGTAGAGAGTGAGTGTAGCTGTAGAGTAGAGTCTTGTATAACCCTGTCTAGCTCTCTCTTCTCTAGACCTAGGAGATACCTAGCAACCAGCATCTCAGATCCCCAACAAACGACCCAAACAACCGACACTCTGACAATGGCCACCCCTGAAGATACCCTCTCCATCGCCATCATCGGCAGCGGCATAATCGGCACCGTGCTCGCCCTCGGCCTCCTCAACCACCCCTCCGCCAGCAGCGACACCAGTCCCAAGCCCAAGCTCAAAGTAAAAGTCTACGAGCAAGCATCCTCCATCCGCGAAATCGGCGCCGGAATCGCCTTCACGGCCAACGCGCGAAAATGCATGTCGATGATCGACGCGCGGCTGCCCGAGTGCGTGCGCTCCGTGGCGACGGCGAACGGGGACCCGGCCAACCCGACGAACTACATGCAGTTTGTGGATGGGTATACGCATGCGGCTGGGGACGGGGTGGGCGAGGAGATGGAGGGGAGGACGGTGCATCGACTGCATGCGGGCGAGAGGGGGTTCGAGGGGTGTCATCGGGCGCAGTTTTTGGAGAAGGTGATGGAGTTGATGCCGGGGGGTGTGGTGGAGCTGAGGAAGAGGTTGGTTAGTCTGGATCAGGAGGATGGAGACAAGGTGAAGATGAGGTTCGAGGATGGAAGTCAGGAGGTTGCAGATGCTGGTATCTCCCTATCCCTCTCTCTCCTTGGCCACTATCCACCAGCTAACGATAACAGTAATCGGCTGCGACGGCATCAAATCCCTCGTCCGCCAACACCTCCTGGGCCCTTCCTCCCCCTCCTCCTATCCCCACTACACGCACAAAATCGCCTACCGCGGGCTCGTCCCGATGCCTCTCGCCATGCAGACCCTGGGCCCCTACCGCGCCACCAACCAACACATGTACGGCGGGCCATCCGCGCACCTGCTCCATTTCCCCGTGATGCAGCAAAAGCTGATGAACGTGGTGGCGTTCGTCTCGGACGCGTCCGACTGGCCATTGGACAAGGCGATGTCGCAGCCAGCGACGCGAGAGGAAGCGGCGGTAGCGTTTAAGGACTGGGGACCGACGGTGAAGGCGATTATTAACCTGCTGCCGGATGAGATGGATAAGTGGGCGGTGTTCGATCATCTCGAGTTTCCGACAGAGAAGTATTCTGAAGGGAGGGTTTGTTTGGCGGGCGACGCGGCGCATGCATCCTCACCACATCATGGGGCTGGAGCGGGCATTGGGATTGAGGATGCGTTGGCGTTGAGGACGTTGGTGGGGTTTGTTTTAGATGATCTCAAAGAGGGGGGTGGGGGTGAGGGAAAGAAGAAAGATCTGTTGACGAAAGCCTTCCAGACGTTTAGCAAAGTGCGCCATGAACGCTCGATGTGGCTGGTGCAGAGCAGTCGCGAGGCGTGCGAGATCTACGAGTGGAATCATCCGGAGTTTGGGAGTGACATGGGGGCGGCGCATGAGGATATTCGACGCAGGACGCATAAGATCTGGTATTTTGATATCGAGGGGATGATGGGGGAGTTGGAGGGGGGATATAGATCATAGTAGTCCATCACTAGTATCAAGGGTTAGAGAGGGAAGAACCAAATTATTTATTCTCTCAGATTACAGCCAGTGAAGAAGGTACTTAAAGTGAAGAATAAAAAACAAAAACAAATGACCAGACTGGGGCTCGATCCCAGGACCTTATCGGTGTTAACGATACGTGATAACCAACTACACCATCCGGCCATTGATGAAAAGTGGACCGGAAAATTGATATATGAAGGAAGCCCACAGGATCGTACTACTAGCCGATTTGAATAGTATTCCTTGCTTCTTACTGCCACGCTCTATTCCAGTCCATGTCCACAACGCATCTGATTTATGACTGAAAAAAATAGTAATAATAATAATAATAGAACGCACTAAAAAGATAAAATAAGTCATTCTTATTGAGGCTCCAAATATTAGCATCCTGTGGTTTTAAATGGGATCTACAACGCAAGTACTCGTCATGTCCAGCCAATATATATCTACCCAAACCTCCTATTTAACAAGGTAATTCCGATCTTCGACCAACCTCAGTTAAAAACATGTCATATCATCAATATTAAATACATTACCATCATACTGATCTACCAATCATCCATCAGACGCCCGAATCATATTCACAAACAAAACTCCTAAATCACCGCTGCACCCCATTCCCAAGCCCAAGCCCATCGCTCCCACTCCCATCCGGCTTCCACCACGACCCCGGCGACGACACCCCTCCTGACCCCGGCGACGTACTCGTCGCCGAATACTGCGCCCGGGACGCAGCCACGGCCTCCGCCTCCGGCGACGACAGCTCCACCAACCCGGCGGGATCAAGCTCGCTCGCCGTGCGCTGATGCCGGTTGTGTCCTTCGCCGTGGATCTGTCGCGGGGCGAAACTTTCCGACAGGTTATGCTCCGGCGGGGGTTTCGGGTCCGAGAACCCGTTCCCAAGCACTGGGGCGCCTTGCACGGGGGAGGCGACCGCGGTGCCTGGTGCAGAGGTGGTGGTGGTCGCCGCGTCGGCTTCTTTCTTCTTGCGCTGTCGTCGCAGAAGGAACCATACTAGACCCGCGATGATGAGCGCGCCGGCGACTCCGCCGATTACGCCGCCGACGATGGCGCCGACGGGGCGTGACGAACCGTCCGAGTCGGCGGGCGACGTGGCGCTGGGGATGGGCCGGGTGGGTGAGCGTGTGGCGGGCGTGTAGCTGCGCTCGAAGTAGGGTTGGAGATCGCGGTCGTCGAAGCCGTCGGAGGGGGTTTTGACTCTGGCGCCGCCGGTGGGACTATAGGCAGGTTAGATATTAGATGGTATGAAGCTGATGGTGATAACTGGGTAAGAACGCACGATCCTCCAATCACGGAGATGATTTCCGACGGAACCTTGTAGCTCGTCAGGTTGGGATTGAACTTCGCCCAGTTCTGCTTGACCGCGTTCTGCTTCCCCAGATCCATGTTGTGCATGCCGTAGATCGGGGCGACGTCGCAGGACGTGGAGTTGGTGAAGGAGCCGCCCATGACACTGTTTTGTTAGATCATCCCACTGAGTGGATTAGAAAACGTACATCATCTGAGTCCCGTCGACAACATCGCACGACATCGAGTGGTGAGGAAATCCCTTTCCAGGGCTGAGAGGGTACCTATTCTTGTTAGCTACAGAGCGAGGTAACTGAGACGAACGAACCATTTTATCCATCGAAACGACGGGATCGACAGGATGTAGATATCATCGAACCCCAGACCCTGTGGAACACCTAGTCCCCCATACAGGTAGATGTTATACGACGAGCGATCCTCTGCCCAGGTGACGCCCGCACAGAACCGCCGTCGCTGCTCGGGAACTTGGCCGGTCGCTTTTTGCGTATACCACTTGCTATTGGCGATATCGTAGAGCAGAATCTCCTGTAACACGTCAGCTGCAGACAGACTTGATCGAAAGATAAACGCACATCCATAGGCTGTCCCCTGACAGTCCCATTCTCCGACGGTGTCGTGACCCCCCCGAAGTAAACCAACATGCCCGTATCACTGGCCGGAACATAAAGCATCACACCCTCCGCGCGACCGACAGAATCCGGCCCCGAGGAATTCGTCCACGTATTCTTCAGCATATCGTACTGCAGCAAATGCGACAGCGCGACCGGCGAGTCTCCCCATTCCGGAACCGAATAATTCGACAGCCATCCGCCGTAGTAGTAGCCCACGGCACGGTCCTGCACCGCGACGCCCGCGCCGTAGCTGGCTCGCTTGATCCCGTTCTGCGTCTCGTCGTCGCTGGTCGCGTTCCAGGTATTGTAGATGGCGTCGTACATCCATAACGTGAAGTTGTCGGGCGAGTTGGCGTCGTCGCCGAATTCGCCGCCGTAGAGATACAGGAGTTTGTTGACCGTGTCGGGCCACAGGATGCCGCCGTTCACCGAAGGGACTTTGCTGGGTTTACTGAGGTTGGCGTAGGCCTGGGGCATGCCCTGGTTGTCGACGTCGAAGTCGGCATAGAGGATGCGGTTGTCTTGATGGATGATGTTAGCGATGTGATGCTACTCAGGTTACCGGACGGCAGGGGAACAGGTCTAGGTACTGTACTCGTGTAATTCTCAGGATTCTGGTCGAGAGGGTTGTAGTTAACAAATCCGCCATCGATATACAATCTGCCCGATCGTCAGCAGACCAGAAACCAAGGCATAACCACGAAGCTTACTTCCGATCAATCACCGCCGTCTGATGTCCAAACCGCCTACAGAAGTCTTTCAGGGGATCCTTCCCCTGCTGAGCGGTCACCCGGACCAGCAACGCAAGGGCCGTCACCAGTAAAACCCTCGGAAAGGCCATGGGTCGAAAAAGGAACGAAACGCTTCTGAAGAGAGGAAGAGGGGGTAGTACTGAGAATAGGATCTACCCCAGCAGAGAACGATGGGTCGGGTGAAGGTCATGTTATGACAGCCTCGTTGGAGGCGGACCAAGCAACGTCGGTCTGGCCCAATCGCATGCGCTGGGGGGAGGGTGGAATTTTTTATGATTATTGCTTTCGCTGCAGGTCGCACAGGCGCGGCTGAGGTGATGCATCACAAAGCGATCCTTCTTCCAGAAAGGCAATTTCTCGACAGTCCGCTTATGTATGGACGGGGAATCCGGCACGAGTGTCTTTGAAAGCAACGGTCAGACATGGCCACTAGAGAGAATTATGAACGGAATATGACGATACCTTGTATGGTCGATTGGTTGACAGCCTGAAGATCATCATCGCCGTAGAAGCTGACAACACAACACGGGCCAGTCCTCCAGTGACAATGCAGAATTTGAATCCTGGCGTCGTCGGTTGAAACAGAAACTTTCTTTCATTACAGACTGAAGCCACCTGCACCGCTGCCATCTGGCGGTGGGCATCTGTGCGCTTTGGGCGGATTCTGGACACGTTAGCCATGGCCAGATAAACAAGAGGGAAATATTACAGATCGGACACTCACCAGCCTTACAGCTACGTCGAGGACTAGGAAGACTAGGAATACAATCCCGTCCAAGCTTTACGTGCCGGTACTACTAGTCTGAGAGATCGGCGCCCAAGAACCGCTAATTGATATTGACAAATCACAATCATCTCGCCATGCAGATGCAGCGGATATTAAAATACTCGTCCAATTCATCCTTGCCGTCTATCCTAATTTGCCACCGCGCTTTCCCAGCATTTGCCCCAAGATCGGGCTCTGCGTCAGTTCGTACGCCTCTCGTATGTACGCTTCGTCCAGCGAAAACGGTTTCGCCATCAGATTGGGAATGTACTTGCCCACCAGCTCGTCGACGTCCACGTTTCCCTCCAGGAACCCCGGCTTCAGCAGACACTGCCGGAATCGATCGACCGTGGACCGCAGGTGGCTGGAGTGGAAGGGCACGTCAATCCCTTGAAGGGGGATGGTTGCCTTTCCGCGCTGAAGCTCGATGGGACGCGGGAGACTGCGCGCTTCTGCAAGTAGAGCCTGGATGACCCGCTGGAGTTCGGTCCCGCCGCCGTCTGCGGATTTTGATTCCACCACGGCCCGAACCTGGTCGAGCCCGCTGGCCGACTGGGCGATGTGGTCCATAAGCTTCCCGAGGACATGCAAGTTTGTGGTCTGCAAATTAGTTGTATTCCAGAATGTGAGCGTGCGCGCTTACCGTTCCTGAGCATACATATTGCTCTCCGTCGACATTGAAATTGACGATCTCCAGCAGCTCTTGGCTTTCTCTAGCGACAATATCCACCAAGCGGGCCAAGGCAGATTGATCAAAGTCTGCCATCGTTATTATCCGTTCAACTGGAAAGGGAAAGGAGAAAAAAAGAGAGGAGAGGAAAAGAAAAAAGAAAAAAAAAGAAAGAAAAAGAGGGGAGAGAGAGAGAACGTACACGATCCAACACGCGTCGGATTGGCAGCTACCATGCCGTATGTCATGCTTCCTTGTCCGTCCACCGACGCTTGCATCATCAACCCCCGATAGAAAGCTAGTTCAGCCAAAGCGCCGATGGGAATGTAGCGAGACAACGCGCTGAGAGCCCCGTATTCTCCGAGCGAATGGCCGGCATACACTGCGTCCTGGGATACATATCCTTTGGTGCGCATTTCGCCGAAGACCGCTGCCTCAAATACCAGAATCGCCGGCTGTGCGAACTGTGTCGAGTACAGCAGCCCTCGTGAGTCTGTGAACGTGTATGACGTCGACTCCGGCGTGAGATCTGCCAGAACAGGCTTCAAAATCCGGCTGCCGTCTGGAAGTGTGGCTTCGGCGGTGATGGCGAGGTAATTTTGCTTGATCTTTCGGCCTCGCTTGCCACCAAAGTTGACCGTGAGTTTCTTTGGGTTGTTCCGAACAATGTCAAGCACCGACCAGCCTGTTGCCTATTAGTCTAGTACACAACGCGAGGAATGACATACCGTAAGCCTCATAAAGCTGCGCATCAATGTCGTCCCACAAAGCCTTTGCTACTGGACTTGCATTGTACAAGTCCATGCCCATGCCTTTGCTCTGACTGCCCTGACCGGTAAACAGATACGCCGTACCAGGCTGCTCAACTTCCGCTTCGGCTCGCAGGACGACTTCGTTGTTCTTGCGCAGGACATCGATCGAGAACCGCATTCGTCCCTCGATCATCCCGATATGCCTGAGCTTCACCACCAGCTTCTCCAACGGCAACACCATCGCAGTGAAAGTAGCTTTAAACTGGCGGAGCCGACCGCGCTCGCCTTCTAGCACAAGGTGCTCCAACGCAAATGCCGCAATCGTAGACGTGCACATGCCATGGCATATCGGCCCAGGCAGTTGGGCCAGGCTGGCAAAAACCGTCGACGTATGAATTGGATTGAAGTCCTTCGATACTTGTGCGTAGGCATGGTTGCTGGCGGGCATTTGGATCTCCAGCGTTGATGGCCCGGACCAGCCTGGCGTGTCGAGGTCCGCCCGCCCGCTCGCAACGCCCTTGCGCTCCAGGAACTCAACGACAGGGTTTCCGACGCACTCGTTACATTCGAAGTTAACCGTGCCTATTTGCGCCCACTGCTGGCCATTGATCTGACAGGATACTGTTCCGGTAACCGCCAAATTTTGGATTTTCGTCCCTGCATAGGTGATGTGGGTATCCAGGTTGAAGACGAGTGATCTCCCTACCAGAGGGGGTGCGTTTTCATGCAGGTGGAGCCAATTGCGATGTCTAAGAACGGACTCATCTATGGATGACGACAGGAGAAGCGTTCGTTCAGGCTCTCTGATATGTTGGAAAGTGGTTTGATCGCTCTTGGCCGACCCTCGAATCAAGAACGTAGAGGTCACTGTCATCACCGGTTTGGCTAGGCGACTAATCGTAGCCTCCACAACAATGACCTTTCCCCCCTCCTCAGCATATATAGCTCGAACTTGCGACCGAGAACTGACAACATCGCCAAGACGAAGGGGTGTGGCACCAGGACAATATTCAAACGAATTTGATCGATGAACCAAACGAAGAATATCGCCATTGAGACCTTTTGCGACCAACGGCCACGAGATGGCTTCCCAGGCGATCACGATACCCATGCCGATGGGAACAATAGCTGTCTCTGGAAACATGACTCTGTGGTCCTGGAAGGCGGATCCGACAGCCATGATCATTTCATTGAGCACTTCAGCTGTAAGCGTCACTTCGCGACCATAGAAGGTATCGCGGAGAGACATCTCATTTCTCTGCGGGCCAAACCAGATGTTTTTGTAGAACTCGCATATCCGCTCGTTGCGACGGTCGGTCACCTCGACTATCCTTGATGGTATGCTATGCGGATTGAATTGATAAAGCAGCCTCAGCGCGCTGGCCTTTTCCTCAGGTCGTGCTTCGACCACGATATCAATTCCATTATGCGATTTGAGCGTCATGAAGGATTGTGATCGAGTCTTTTCGGACACTATTGACAACTCGGATAGATCTGCACTGAGACAGACAGTAGACCCTGGATAACTCGTGATAAAGTCGCGCACAGGATTCCGTTGTCTTTCCCGACCTTGGAGTACTAGTCTCTCACTGAGAATGGCCTGCACCCAGACAGGCACAGCGCGACAGCTCCCCAGTCCCAGCGGAGACAGGGATCCATCTTCGGTAGACTCTGAGATCGTCACGGATGACGGAGTGGACATTTCGTCCAGCGGTAGGTCCCGGGCGGCTGATGAGACGGTAGACCAGGAATCTGGCGTGACGAGGCCACTTCCAGGCCCGGGACTGAGGTCATCCTGAGTGAGGTCCCGCTGGAGAAAGTCGGACAGTGTTGACATGATACCGTCTAAGATATCCTTCGCCGATTGGTTTCCGGCATGGGAATACTGCGCCGCAACAGGACCATGAAGAATACAAACCCGCTGGGCATCTTGGTCGACCACAGCTTCGATATCTTCAGACTGCCATAGAGAGTCTTTTTTGAAATAGAACTCAAAGTCGTCATTGAGGGCCGGGATGAAATTGACGGGCTTTTGGTCCAGTCGCTTGGTTTGAAGTAGAAAGAATGACACATCCTCAGGGTTCAGAAGATCGTCAACCCACTCCCGATAAGCAGCAAGGAAGGCGTCCAGAAATGTCTCTGGGTCTTCCTTGAGAATGGCAGAAGTGAACTTAAGGTTGCCTTTGGATCCATGGAATCTCTCTAGGGCACGCGTAGCAAAGTTCATGGTAAAGTTGATGTACGACTGGTCAATCCAACGGCGTTGCGAGCGAATATACATCAGCTCGATCATCCGAGTGAGCACCTCGCCGTATGTCATGTCTTGGAGATCCACAGATTTTCCCTGGGAGTTGCGACCAAACCATGGCCTCGCAAAGTCATCGTTCAATTGCCTGATTATCGTTTCACGATGCTGGCTGAGGTATGCGATGCGATTCTTTCGAGGTAAGCTGAACACGGTTTTATCCATTTCAGCCCAGAAAAGCACCCCTCTGTTGGCGATCTTGTGAATCGGCTCGCCCATTTCGGATTGCACGGTAATGACCCCGCCGGCAGAACCCCCATACGTCTTTTCCCAACCACTGTCAGGGACACCGGGTGTCCGGCAGATCAGGTCTCTGACGGCGGGCGAGGTATGAGTTTCGCGCGCAACCATCATGCGGCTGCCAATGAGAATGCCATCAAATGGCATCGCGGGATACCCCATCGGCATAGACCACGACCCAGTCAGGTATGGGTAAATGCTTTCCCCGGTGCCAAAGCCACTACCTGCGACCAGATAGATGTTGGCCTGTTCACGGACAAGGCCATAAGTGCTTAGGATCGGTGTGTGAAAGTCCTCGAACGAATGATGGCCTCCCCCGCGGCCTCCTGTCCACTGGAGTATGATGGGGAAGTCTGGGTGGTTCTTGGCGATGGTGACAACCTGGCGTATTGCAGCGACAGAGCCTGGCTTGAAGCTGATGTGGCGTATCCCCAGCATTTGGATATACTCTGCCACGACATCCGGAGATGGAACACCCGCACCGATGGTGAGACCGTCGATCGGGACTTCTCGCTGTGAGAGACGGCGGAGTAAGGAGACCTGCCAGGCCATGGATATGGGGTTGGCATATATGAGGTTGCAAGTAATCCCGCGCCATGCAGGAATGCTACTTGAGAGCTGTCGGATGGCCGCGGCCATGTCAGATGCTTTGAAGAAGCCACCTCCGGCCAGTTCAGCATGATACCCGGCATTCATAATGGCTGCCACGAAGTCCCAGTGCTTGGTTGTAGGAGTCATTCCAGCAACCATGACTGGCGGAGTGCCTAGCAACCGACTAAGACGCGTTTCAATCCCGAATGGATTTCCGGTCGTCAGCCTCGGCTGGAACCGGTAACCCCAACTCTGAGTTCTCATAGAGGAGGTCAACAAATTGGGGCAGACAAGATCCCTCATTGTGCCTATTGTAGAGTCTCGGGAATCTAAGTCGGCACCTTGAATAATGCGGACGCCCTGTCCATCTTTCACCTTCTTGATCAGGGGTGCAAGGCCCCCTCGATCAAAAACGATGATGTGTGACAGAAACTGAAAGTTGCTTTGCGAGGGAACAACTGCCCCCGTCAACGCCGTGGGCCAGTCGCACAGTTCGTGAGTGATCGCATCAAATGCAACATGAAGAACGTCCGTGTATCCTTTACGAAGGTCCTGACCGGTCTGTGTGTGGTACACTGGGATCAACAACTGATGAGGGAGAATGGGTCGGTTGGCAAAACGTGTCTTCAATGACTCCGCGGCCGCTCGTAGGTATGGCGTGTGAAACGGTGTGCTGACAGGTAAGAACGAATGCTGGATGGAAGGCTTTCGGCTGCTGAAGGGAACTCGACTCTGGTCGTCGGAGCTGCTCAGTTCGCGCAAATGAGTTTGAAGGCGAACCAAGGACGCCACCGGACCAGCGACCACAAGCTGATCCCGGGCGTTAATCAATGCCAGATGAACTTCTGACCCCTCAGACAGACGCTTGTTGACACGTGCAATAATCGTCTGCATCTGCTCCTTTTTCAATCCCCGCACAGAAAGCATGTATGACGGTGCGCTCTGGTCTGTCTGATCACCCATGGCCGTCGCGGGAACTCTGCTCCACGGGGCATTATGGTGGCAGTCCCAACCCAGCCAGAACAATGCTTCGAGAATGAGCTGAGAGTTTTCGTAAAACGAATCCCACGAGTCCGAAAGGGCTATCACGATAGATACCAATAACCCTTGCGAGTGGCCTGTTGTGGCCCGTAGGATTTGTCGGAGTCCACCCGGGGTTAGGCCAAGAACTTGGCAGATAACCACGTATCGAGCGAGACTCAAGAGTCCAATGACCGGCACACTTACTGGGGAGCCGGCAATAAATGCACTGTCCGGGATACTATCGGGATCTGAAATCCAGCTTTCAAGGTGGAACGGCCGTCCTGCGTAGTAGGTGGCTGTTTCTTGGAGCTGCGAGAGCTTGAGCAGATGAGATCCCATAACTTGCAAAAAGCCTCGCAACATTGGACTGTACGTGGCTTGAAGGTCCGACAGCTCTTGTACGCATGAGCGGCTCGCATCGCCCTGTCCGCCAAAGACCGCCATGATGTGGAATTGACCCCGTTTTGCCTCATTGAACAAGGCACTATTGACAGTTCGGGAGGCTGGGGTACTACCATATGGCTCACAGTCTCGTCTAGCAGACGCACTAAAGTATATTCGTAGCAGATTTTGACGCTGCTCAACGGTTGCTGCCAGCCCACTAATCAGAGTATGGATGTCGTTCCCCTGAAGGAATTCCGACTCCAAAGCCCGCGTAACAGCTGCCAGGGCTACATCGGGAATCTTCTGATGAATGAGGAATTCGATGAAAGCAAGAGCCAGCTCAATCGGGGCCTGGGGCTCATCCGTGCTGGTAGATGTAGATCCAAGAAGAAAGGCATTTTTATGAGATTGCAGTAACGAGAAGTATTCGCTGGGAACGGACAACGTAAATTGGAGGTCATTTTGCTGAAAGCGAATGTCGATTGCATTGGACGAAGGAAAGGCAGACGCGGAACGAGAAAGCGAAGAAGAAGACGTCGAGGGCGACATCGTGACCAGGGAGTCAGGTGACAGGACAGGTACTTCTACCTCCGTCCGGATCATCGCTCTCTGTCTTTCTTCCATCAACGAGGGTCACCACGATCACAGCGACAGATAACGAGAGTGAAGAATTTCGACAGACAATGATATTCCAGTCACTGGCTCATCATTATGGAAGAGAAATGGTCCTTGAATCCAGTCCAGGAAGGATACGAAGGAGAAAACAAACCAGACCAGATGAGAAATGCGGTGATTGTTCCATATATTGGGGTTGCATGGTCCCGACGCTGTGTCAGTGCCAATCCTTCGGGACCTTCTGGGTCTGCATACAAGGTGATTGGACGCCTGAAGAGGTCCCCGAGAGGACAAATCCCACAACTTGATGCATTGCAAACCACTGGGAATGACCGGAATGCTGACATTCTTCCTGTCACAGTCACCTATCGGCGCTCAAAATCATGGTCGCCACCTGCGGCCGGAGTTCGGTCAGACTCTCTTTGGCTCAATCCACTGAAACTCGATCTCTTCCCGCCGCCGGAGTTTCGCAGACGGAGTTTTTAAAATCTCTGTGCCACCCGGATACGATGGCTTTTCAATATCCAGCCAGATCCGTATCCGATTGAATCGGCGATTGAAAGAGAGGTTAATTTAGGTCTCGCCGCTCGGGATCTCCAAGGATGCCTTACTTAAGAGCGGCTGAACCGAAATACATCCCATCTTGATCTGGACGGATGATCTGCATTGTAGAATATCGATTTATAAGAGACCTACTGATGAGTATTACATATCTGAGCTGGCAGTCAAGGTGGTAAACACGAGGTCACCTTCCACTGATCACCAGCAAAGTCACAATGACTATCCATCCTGTTGTCGAGCCTCTGGCAATGGGTCTTCCCAGCCTTGAGGATAAAAGAGAATTGGCATATAAGCTGTTCATTGAGATCTTGGCGTGAGTTTCCGTCATATGGACCTAGAGAAATGCTGATCAGGTAGGTATCAATTGGCGTCGCCGGTGCGATGGATTGAGACGCAAAATGAGCTTCTCAAGAAGAACCCGACCATTCGGCGGTTTATCGAGATCGGACCGCGAACCACACTTGCGACCATGGCCAAGAAGTCAGCTTCCAAGTACGCGGCGCGGTGTCCACAGTCATCGCAGCTGGAATTCCTGTCCTATCAGGACCAACAGGACGAGATTTTGTTTCGATACCCAGAGGAGTCCAAGGTCACAGAGAAGAAGCTTCCTGTGCCTAAACAGGTCTCTGCGCCGGCCTTGACTTCGACCGCTCAGACCCATGAAAAGCCAACGCACGAATCAACTGAATCCGTCGGATATGTGCCCAGTGCAGATGTTACTCTATCAGCTAAACATGTCGTTCTTGCAATGACAGCACAAAAGCTTCAGCGGCCTTTTGACCAGGTGCCAATAGAGAAAACAATCCGTGACCTTTCCGGAGGTATGTTATCGTCCTAATGTTTTTCATCATAGTGCTAACTGCTAAGGAAAATCAACGCTTCAAAACGAGTTGACTGGAGACCTTGTAGCAGAATTTGGAAAGGTTCCAGAAGGAGTCGAGGACATGTCTCTAGCCGCCCTCGGGGAGGCCCTGCAAGGAGGCTTCGCTGGGAAACCAGGAAAGCAGATGGCCGCATTGATATCTAGACTGGTGTCAGCACGAATGCCTGCTGGGTTCAACCAGAACGCCATCCAGGATTATTTGCAATCACGATGGGGCCTGAGCAAAGGACATTCCATCATTCCCATGTGCTTCGCGACAACTGTCGAACCGCAGATGCGATTGTCCAATTTGGATGCGACACAGGTGTATCTGGATGAACTGGTGAACAGATATGCCGTCTTTCAAGGTGTTGACTTCATCGCCGCAAATGAACAAAACAGCCAGAATACGAGGCCTCAGTCCATGGTCATTGACGCTGCTAGTCTTGATGCTTTCAACAAAGAGAACAGAGACTTTCAGCGCAAGCAGTTGAACTTGCTGGCGAAGCATCTTCAAGTCAATATTGATGGCCAATCCGGAGATGCCCAGACGGACACGCGGGAATTGGAAGAAAAGCTGCAGCAATGGAACGCCGAGCTAGACGATCAATTCTTCCAGGGTATTCAGCCGTCTTTCGATGCGAACAAAGCCCGGCAGTACGATTCCTGGTGGAACTGGGCTCGAGAGGAGCTCATTCGATGGCTAGGCGATGTTTCTCAAGACCTTGGCGGTATTGTTCTTTCGAGCATGGACGACCGGCTGCGTAGGACGCTGAATCGGTGGGAGCCGAGCTGCACCGATATCATTCGGTCTTTATTAGACACTCCCAGTTACACGAGCCCTGATATTCGCCCGATGTTGGCAGAAATACTGCGACTTGGAACCCAGGCCCAGCTTGTCGAACCGACTTTCATTTACACCGAGCCACCACTGGCCCCAAAAACCATTGTTTCCAGCACGGGTCGGCTAGAGTATCAGGAGACCAAACGAAGTGCCCGCAGTTACCCTGACGTCGTTCGACAAGGTCGCGCCATATCAAAAGACGGTGGTTCAATGATTCCATTCATTCACATCAAGACTCGGCGCGACGAAGAGGAGTGGGAATACAATCCAGAACTGACAGATACTTACCATGCGACATTAGATATGGGAGCTACCGTCGGCCTGACATACAGTGGCAAAGCGGTTCTCGTTACAGGCGCTGGACCAGACTCGATCGGGGCCATGGTAGTAAAGGGACTACTCGCCGGCGGCGCGCGAGTGATTGTCACCACGAGCCGGGCTGTATCAGACAGTGCTCCGTTCTATCAGGAAATGTATCGACACCACGGAGCTAGAGGCTCGTCATTAACGCTTCTTCCGATGAATCAAGCCAGCAAGCAAGACTGCGACGCGCTGGTGGAGTACATATACGGCGAAGAATCCCCGACCGGTGGCGACTTGGACTATGTTGTTCCATTCGCTGCGATACCCCAGGCTGGCGAGCTGGACAAGTTGAACAGCAAGCACGAGTTGGCCTTCCGGGCCATGCTAACCAACGTGCTGCGCCTGACGGGTCTTGTGCGGCGAGCTAAAGAGAAACGCCGCATCGACACCCGGCCCACAATGATCATACTGCCAATGTCTTGCAATGAGGGTACATTTGGAGGCGACGGCTTGTATTCTGAATCCAAGCTGGGTTTGAAAACGCTGTTCAATCGGTTTTTCTCGGAGACCTGGTCAACATACGTGACCATCTGCGGAGCGGTCATTGGCTGGACCAGAGGGACTGGATTGATGCGGACCTCCAACATGGTGGCGGCCGAGATCGAGAAGATCGGTGTCATCACCTTCACCCAGGCAGAGATGGCCTTCAACATACTAGCCTTGATGACACCGAGAATTGCAGTCTTGGCCGAAGACGCCCCGGTGTATGCCGACCTGACGGGCGGATTTGGAGGGATATGGAACGTGAAGCAGCAAATTGCTGCAGCGCGTCAAAGACTGTCCGATGAGCTTGACTTGCGAAACGCACTCGCAGAAGAAGATGCCCGTCATCAGCAGGTTCTGTTCGGGCCGCAGGACCAGAAAGACAAAGGCAAACCAATAAAACGCGCAAATCTGAATCTCGGATTCCCTCAATTGGCGTGTCATCAATCACTAGCGACTGGCCTTCCTCATCTCGAGGGAATGGTCGATTTGTCTCGGACAGTGGTGGTTGTCGGATTCTCCGAGCTAGGCCCATGGGGTAATGCTCGCACCCGATGGGAAATGGAACACCGAGGTCAATTCTCGCTCGACGGCTACATGGAAATGGCCTGGATTATGGGACTGATCAAACATGTGGACGGAGAGCTGAAAGGGGAGCCATATGTGGGCTGGGTGGACTCCGAGACCCAGTCTCCCGTGAACGACAGCGACGTTCCTGACAAATACCACGAACACATCATGAAGCACGTCGGTCTGCGGCTGATCAGCCCAGACAAGCGAGACGGCTACGATCCATCGCGAAAAGAATACCTGCACGAAGTCGCTGTTGAAGAGGACCTTCCCCCTTTTGAATGCTCCAAAACTACTGCTGAGGCATTCCGACTGCGTCACGGAAACAACGTGGCCGTGCAGTCGGTGGCAGAAAGCGACAACTGCCGCATTTTCGTGAAAAAGGGCACGGTCTTGATGATCCCCAAGAGAATTCCGTTCGACCAGGTCGTAGCCGGCAGAATCCCGAAGGGTTGGGACCCGCTGCGGTATGGAATTCCAGAGGATATTGTGCGACAAGTCGACGATACGACACTGTACACACTGTGCTGTGTGTCCGAAGCATTTCTGTCGGCTGGAATCCATGACCCTTACGAGATCTACCAACACATCCATGTCTCGGAGGTGGCGAATTGCCTGGGCACTGGTGGAGGGCCGATGAAAGCCATCCGGAGTTTGTATCGTGATCGATTCCTTGACCGGTCTGTGAGAGGTGATATCATCCTCGAGCACTTCCTCAACACCACCGGAGCGTGGGTCAATATGCTCCTGCTCTCCGCCACAGGGCCGATTAAGACACCTGTCGGGGCGTGTGCGACCGCGCTAGAGTCGTTGGATACCGGCTGCGATGCCATCCAAACCGGAAAATGCAAGGTGGCTATTGTGGGAGGGTGTGACGACTACACCGAGGAGCTCGCGTACGAGTTTGCAAATATCAAGGCCACGGCGAACGGCACGGAGGAGCTGGCCAAAGGGCGTCTACCGAGTGAGATCTCTCGTCCCACTGCCAGCTCACGGAGCGGGTTTGCCGAGTCGGCGGGTAGTGGTGTGCAGATTCTCATGAGCGCCGAGCTGGCCTTGGAGATGGGTCTGCCGATCTACGGCATTCTCGCCTACAATCAGATGGCGGGTGATCAGATTGGCCGTTCCATTCCCGCGCCAGGCAAGGGTGTTTTGACCGTAGCCCGGGAGGTTGGTGAGGCTAAGAATTCGCCGCTGCTGGACTTTGGTTTCCGGCGCGCTCGGTTTGATGAAGATGTTGCAGATCTCCAGCACCGCTGGTCCGCTCAGACGCTCGAGCGCCCGTTCCCCGAGCGGAACCAACAAATGGAGCAGCTGGTTTCACTGAAGAAGAAAGAGATCCAGAATCGTTGGACTCAGATCCGTCAATTAGACCCCTCTATCTCTCCGATGAAAGCAGCCCTGGCTACCTGGGGCCTGGCTGTTGACGACATCGGCGTGGTTTCGATGCACGGGACGTCCACCAAAGCCAACGAGATCAACGAAGGCGATGTCATCAACACGCAGATGGCCCATCTTGGTCGTCGCAAAGGCAATCCACTGCTCTGCGTCTGCCAAAAGTCGCTCACTGGGCACCCCAAGGCTGCTGCAGGGGCGTGGCAGTTGAATGGCTGTATGCAGATCATCCGCGACCAAATCGTGCCTGGCAACCGGAACGCCGACAACGTGGACGAGCATCTGAGGCAATACGAGCATCTCGTATATCCAATGGAGTCCATGCCGACGACAAAAGCCAACGCAGTCATGGTCACCTCCTTCGGGTTTGGCCAGAAAGGAGCCATCAGCATCATTGTGGCACCCAAGTATCTGTTCGCCTCTCTTTCGCCCGCTGACTATGAGGACTATCGCGCGCGTGTCGGCCAACGACAGCGTTTGACCAATCCGGAATTTGTGACGCGCGTGCTCAAGCATTCGCTGGTTCAAGTGAAGAGCCAGCCCCCTTGGAAGGACTCGGAGACGATGCGGCAGGTTTTCCTCGACCCCAACAGCCGTCTCACGGGCGACCAGTATACATTCACCGAACAGGCTCAGACTCAACCTGTATATGCAAAGGCAACACATGAGCTAAAGGCAGACCGCCCCACCGAGTCTAGTAATGTGTGCGGGCTCGTTCAATCGATGCTGGACGAGGTGACCCGATCTAGCACGTCACCGATCACCGGGGTTGGGGTCGATGTCGAGAGCATCGCCAGCATCAACACGGAAAATCCCACGTTCATCGAGCGTAATTTCACCCCAGCCGAGCGAGACTATTGCTCGACAGCCGCCGACCCGCGGTCTTCTTTCGCCGGTCGCTGGAGCGCCAAGGAGGCGGTTTTCAAGAGCCTGCAAACTCAATCCATTGGGGCAGGGGCCGCGATGCAAGAGATTGAAATTATTAGCAACCACGGCATTCCCAAAGTCATGGTAAGTCCGGTCAATCATCGCAAACTAACGCAACACAACTAACGCGTCTAGCTCCACGGTCGCGTTCAGGAAATTGCTGCTACGAAGGGGATTAGTAAGATCGAGGTGACGATCAGCCATTCAGCAGAGACAGCCATAGCCGTTGCACTCGCGACAGGCATATAGTTGCAGATCTGTTCTGCAAGATTGGCTTGTGAACCGGATGCATGATCCATGATGCGTAGTGGACGCGTTGTTGATGGCGATGATCGTCATTCACTAGTCGCCAAGCAGTTTTCATTATTCATAGAATGCTATTAGCCGAGGTTCGCCAATAACGTTTCATTATTCTGTCCATAAGTCTCCACTGTTCCGGATTTGACAATGGCGCAGGGAGAATCAAGCTTTGTTCTGGGATTGCAGGCAGTACGGAGTAGTTGTATTCATATCCGCCAGATGATGGAACATGAGCCCGCCATGCATTGGGCTGATCATCCCCACAATCCCTTCAATTGGCCCAGTGGGAAAAAATGGATGGCCATGTTGACCTCCTGCTGGGTCACCTTCATTGTGGGATTGAATGCCACATCGATCACAACTGCGGCAGAGTCTATCTCGGAGGAGTTCAACCTGGGGAATGGGTTTGAGTACAACTTCTTTGCCGTAACGGCGTGGAATGCGGCGGCCGCGGTGGTGCCTCTTGCCACTCTGCCTTTGATGGATACGTATGGGATGAGAAATGGTTATGTGGTATGAGTTTCCCAATTTGCCACCGCAGTTCTGATGAATATAGGCGGCATACATTCTGTTCACTATCTTCATCATACCCCAAGCTCTGGCGCATAATTTCGCAACACTCGTCGTCAGCCGGGCTATCGCAGGCGCTTTCGGAGGGACCCTACAAAATTGCGCAGATGGCCTGGCGTCAAACATGTTCCTGGACCATAAAGATCGCGTATTCCCGCTGACCCTGTATGCATTCACGTTGCTATTTGGCGTGACTATGGGACCAGTCCTCGGTGCGGCGGTAGAGCCACTAGGATGGCGCTGGTAAGTTTATGCCATTCTAGCCCAATCCATGCTAACAAAACAGGGTCTTCTGGATCGAACTGATCCTCTACGGGGCATGCATCCCACTTGTCGTCTTCTGCATGAAAGAGACCCGCGGGCCCATTCTACAAGCGAAACTGATGCACGAGGAATCCGACAAATCCGCCGTCCACAGCTTCAAAGACACCATTCTCCGGTCCGCCTTGCTGCTGACCACCGAGCCGACGGTCACATCCTTCACTGTCTGGTCCGCCTTCGCCTTTGGGCTGGTGTTCATCTCCACGCAGTCCATTCCGATCGTGTTTAGCGGCACCTACAACTGGCCTTCCTACACCGACGGCCTCGTGCAGGCCTCCATCGGCATCGGCCAGATCGTCGGTTTCATCGCCTGTCTCTTTCAGAACCGCATCTACACCAACAGCGCTGCTGACAACCCGGAAACCCCAGACATCCCAGTCCCGGAATATATCCTGCATCTTTCGATCCCAAGCACGTCTTTCGCTCTCGCCGGCGGACTGTTCATGTACGGCTGGTCGACGTACCAAACGCACTGGATCGTCCCAGCCATCGGGCTCGGTCTGATCGGGTACGCCATCATGGTCATCGTCACGGCCGTCAGCATCTACGTGACAGATTCCTACGCGGGATTCGCCGCCAGCGCCATCGCGGCCGTTGCTTTTGGGGAGAACATCTTTGCAGCGTTCCTCCCGCTGGCGGCCAAGCCCATGTATTTGCGATTGGGGTACCAGTGGGCAAGCAGTCTGCTGGCTTTTGTAGCGGTGGCGCTGACTCTGGCTCCGGTGGTGTTACTCTGGAAGGGCAGGACAATTCGAGCGAAGAGCAAGGCGATTCAGAAAATGTCACATTCATGTTGACCTCCTTGGGTCACATCATAACTCTGCAGTGGAAATCTAAGATACAATAGTCAACCCCTTCATTTCATGTAAACAGTGATATCCCCAAAGAAATCATTCCCATCATCCAACGTCGCCCTCGCATACCCCTTGATCATATCCCTAACCCTCGCACAGTCCGGATCCGTCGTAAACGGACTACACCCACACTGTTAGCCTTCATCATGTTCCCAATCTACACCCACCCATCACAAAAGGATAAAAAAAAAAAAAAAGAGAAAGGGGGAAATACCTCGACCACTGCACCTCCCCATTCTCCTCCACATTCTTCACCCACCCCTCGCTCTCCTTCTCCACCAGCGCCACGGTATTCCACACCATCGCCGCCGGCCACTGCACGTCCGCCAGGATCTGCTTCACCGGCACATTCGGACTCACAGACAGCACCAGCGTGGTTGCATCCACCTCCAAAAACCCCTTCGGGTCATCCACCACCCTGATCCCGATGCTGGATAGAAACGCACAGTCCACGGCGTCGTACGCCGGGTCCTGCGCGATGCATTGAGCCCCAGGGGCGAGCATCCCTCGGCTCCGCAGCGCAGTCAGCATCGTTTCTACGGCGGCGTGCTGGGCGTGCGCGCGCGTGACGTGCCGCGTGAAGGTGCAGCGGACGGGGCTTGCGTTTAGAGTCGATGTCGAGGACGTGTCGAGGATGGAGTTCGACAGGGAGGTTGAGATCGAGCCCTCGCTGTCTGAGTCGTCGAGCGGCGCAAGTGACCCCAGCGCGAAGCAGACGATCTTCGTGATCGGCGCGCTGAGCGGCAGGGTGGACACGATGCGCTCGAGATCGCGGCGCGTCGAGCTCCCCAGCCACAGGGTGCGGGTGTGTGTGAATCGCGCCTGTACTTGCTCGAGCGTGCACTGGCCCGGCGAGGGCATGGAGCGGGCGTACACGATCGACACGGGGGTGTGGTCGTTGCGCAGGGCCAGTTCGGGGTAGATGGGGGTGAGGTGGCCCAGGTGCTGGATGCTGGAGTAGTTGATGCGGTAGGTGTTGCTGGTGTCAGCTCTTAGTTTGATGGCCTGCTATCTAGGTATTCAGGTGAAGGATGGATGATGGATGATGCTCACGCGAAATCCGCACACCACTTCGGCACAGTCAGACTGTACTTCTGCCGCACGTCATCCAGATCAGTGATGTACACTTCATCCTGACCCGCGTCGATCTGCCGATTCAAGTCCTCGAGCAGCGCGCGAGGGAAGAACGGCTTCCCGGCGGACCAGAGCTGCATGATATGCGCGAGTCGGGCTTTGATTCTGCACAGGGTACCCTGGTCGACCTCCTGGTGCAGGGAGACAAGGGAAGACTTTTCCGACATCGTGAGTTCCTGTCGGATGAGCAGGAGTCAATGATGTCGATGTCGATGTGGCGGATTATATAGTCACGTCGCCCTGTGATAGATGTTGGAAAGATCCAACTGACGTCTCTAACCAACACGAAACAAAAACAGATCAGATTGATCCTTTCCACTGCATAACATGCGAAACGACGCGATGAAAGTAACAACGCAAAATCCCTGCCATGCCTACTGCCCATGCCCAACTGGACCCAGCCGCAGCAGCTTAATTAATTTGTTTGTTCATTTCCCTTCTCCTTTCCACGAGCAAACCAACCATCACACGGGCCTCTTCATCTTCTCCCACCGGGCGAGGGCTGTGTGCTCTGATCCAACCGCCTGGAAAAACGCAGATACGCGGAACGATTGGGTCCCTGGACATGCAGATGCAGCGGAGGGCTATTTTGGGAAGTATTATGGATATTTATATCCGCGCCAATGCAGGCTGGTTGGTTCGGCGGGATATAATTAGCGGTGTTTCGACGGTGTTAAGCTGCGGCGTAGGGAGGGTGTTGCTGTGTGGGGATGGTGATTGGAGGGCAGATTTGGTGCTAATATTAGATTGTTTTAATTAGTTCATCTTGTGGTTCTTTTTTCCGGGCTAATTACATCTATAGTCTCACTAACCGGGCCTTCGACGGGACTGGAACTGGAACTGCAACTCATGACCTGCCAGGGAAGTATGACGCAGACGCAGACGCTTTCATTCGTCTCCACGACTTAACCGCCGGACTTGTTGGCTGAGGGGCCAACATTGTCTGAGGCCGGTCTGGTCCGTCTTGTCTTCAGCTGAACGAAATGACTGACGTGCAGCCGCTTCGGGGATTCCTTCCGACTGTCTCACTGGCGGTTAGAGTGTAGGGCAGGCCAACTTTGGATGGCTGCCCGGCATACGTCGATTCTCCGTCTGCCCGGTGCGATGTTGGTTCTGGGGACTGTTTCACATGGCTAGTCGGGGAGACTGCATTTCTGTGCCAACAGGATGTGACAATAGTCTGTTACAGCAGGTCTGTTACATAGACTCGTCTTGCCTGCCTGCCTGTCTGTCTGTCTGCATGTGAGTGAGTGTGTGCAGCCCCAATCCTGCACCTCCATCCTTCGTCTGACCTCCCACAAACTGACCATCTCGTCATACCAACTCACCACTCCAGTCATAGACTAACTGTTCCCCGTCGTCCTCCGTCGGTGCCCCTGCGTCTGCGCGGCAGGGGCCATTCTCGTTACCTGCTGTAGGTGGATGGCGAACCAACTGAACCTGCGTCGGCATGTGGTTGCACCTGTTGGCGGGCTCTGCCGTGTCTGGGTTACTCGAGTACTCTGTTGGGAACTTCTTGGGTGGGATTGTGTTACCGTCAGAGGGGGAGGGGGAGGGGCAGGTTTAGGTATGTTCTGTTGGTGCTCGTTGGGAGGATATTCAATCTAAGACAGTCTATTTTGACAATGGAGAACTAACGCATGTATTTCAGCTACGATTCTAGAATATGTAAAAGAACCCAGGACAAGTATAGTCTACAATCGACCTTGATAAACCCATATCTATCACCTAACCCAATCCAACGACACACAATACCTTGACCAACATGCCTACCCCCGAACCCGCTTGCAACCTTCCCATTCTAGAGCCAGACAGACGGGACAGAGGGACAACGGGGAGTATAGTCATACCGAGCCACAATCTCACAGCTCTACTACACTCGGCTCGGAGGATCCCATTTACTGTGGAATCCTTCATTAAGACAAAATAATATCTAAATCTGTCTTCAACCTCGGGATAAAGTTGTGGCAGCGGCAGCGGATAACAAATGCGGAGTGCCGGCTCGGGTCACCGTCAGTAGTGATTAGTGAACTGTGTCTCTAGTTATGATGTGATAGACATGTGCAAGTCGGAGGGTAAGTTAGATTAACTGTCTAATAGCTGTTGTGACTCCTTCCGTTAGGGGAAGGTCGGAGTGTAAATTGGAGTCTACAGTTTAGCTTTAGCAATGAGTGGGTAGAGTTAGATTAGACTGGGTTCTAAGAATCTAGCATTTATTCTGCGAGTATTCCCGAGCTGCTAAATATCAACCATTCCCGTTTTCTGTTGGAGTGTGAAATAAAGGGGATGGCTCTAGCTATCATCCATCCCTCACCTGACCCGCAAGCCCTATCTCATCTCCTCATCGGATCGCATCAACCTCGGCCTCAATCCCGCATAACCCCGGTTCATTATTCAATGCATAACTTGACAGGCGCTGCATGATCTCATTCCAGGGGTCCTGTCAAGGAACGATTCTTCAAACCCCCGAATTAAGCAGCGATCTTCATCCCGCTTCTTGGTCTTGGTCTCGGTCCGAGGATAGTCGTCTATCTATACAGACTTTCCTGTCATAAAGAAGAGTATAGTCGGTGTATGTGTATAAGGTAGAAGGTTTATATACTTCCCCCTCCTCGCTCTCCACTCTTCATCTACCCAATCCTCCATTCTTTCCTTCAATCATAATCCAAAATACCCCCTCATACATACAAATTCTAACAAATCCCCATCCACTAGAACCCTCCAAAATGCCCCCCTCCACCCCCCAAAACACCGACATCCTCATAATCGGCGCCGGCTTCAGCGGCCTCTCCGCCCTGCACACCCTCCGCACCACACACCCCAGTCTCTCCGCACACATCCTCGAAGCAGCGCCCGACCTCGGCGGCGTCTGGCACTGGAACAGATACCCCGGCGCACGAGTGGACTCCGAATGGCCGTTCTACCAACTGACGATCCCGTCCGCGTGGCGTGACTTTACCTTCTCAGAGCGGTTTCCAGGCCATGAGGAGATAAGACAGTATTTTAAGCATCTGGATGATGTGTTGGATTTTAAGAGGGATGTGACGTTTAATCAGCGGGTGGATGGGGCTATCTGGGATGAGGGGGAAGGTAGGTGGGTTGTGAGTACGGAGGGAGGTGTCGTGGTGCGGGCGAGATATTTGGTGTTGTGCTCGGGGCTGTTGCATAAGCCTTATGTTCCTGCTTTTCAAGGGCTTGATGATCTTCTGTCTACCTCTACCTCTACATCTGACCTTAACCGTAAGGACACAGACAGAGGAGACGATACAGATACATCTACATCCACCTACTCAGACCCACACCCAACCACACACCCAAGAGAAACCACCATCCCAAAGATAATCCACTCCTCATCCTACCCCCCCAACCTGACCACCTCAGGCAAACGCATCGCCGTCATCGGCGCCGGCGCGACAGGAGTGCAAATCGTCCAGGAACTCAGCAAGACGGCATCGCATCTGACGCTGTACATGCGGCGTCCGAGCCCGTGTCTACCGATGCGGAATCGGCCGTTGACTCAGGAAGAGCACGAGAGCTGGAGACCGTTCTTTCCGGCGTTGTTTGATGCGTCGAGGCATTCTAGATCTGGGATTCCGTTTGCGCAGGCTCCTGCTCCAACTCCTCCTTCTTGTCTTTTGGGAGGAGACCAGACGCAGGGGGAGGGGGAGCGGAAGGAGAAGGAGAGAGCGAGACAAGAGCTAGACGCCTACTACGAATACCTCTGGTCCTCTGGGTCTTTTAACTTCGGCGCGAGCAATTTCCCAGCAGTGTATGTCTCCGAGGAGGCGAATCGGCTGGCCTATGGTTTCTGGGCGAGGAAGACAAGAGCCAGGATGAGGGATCCGGTGAAACGGGATCTGATGGCGCCGGTGGAGCCGGTGGATTATTTGTTCATGCGACGGACGCCGTTGGAGCAGGATTTCTATGAGAGTGTGGATCGCGAGAATGTTGATGTTGTGCGGATCAGGGAGGGGTTTCGGTTTACGGAGAGGGGAGGGATTGTGGTGGATGGTGATGATGAGAGGATGTTTGATGTGGTCGTGTTGGCGACGGGGTTTGATAGTTATTCGGGGGCGTGAGTTTCCCTTCTTCTTTTCTCTCTCGATCCTTTCTTTATTTTTTTTAATTCCTTTGGAGTTGACCTGGGACTGTGGTGAAGATGCTAATGATATAGAATCTCCAACATGAACATCCGCGGCCGCAACGGCATCAGTCTATCAGAGACATGGCAGTCCGGGATCCAGACATACCTGGGGATAACAGTGCACGGGTTCCCGAACTGTTTTATGAGTTATACGCCGCATGGTGAGTCTCACCATCCCTCTATCCATCTACAGTCCAGAAATCTAGTATACACCAACCCAACTCAACTCAACCCCATCCCCTCCCCCATCCTAAAGAAAGATACTAACTAAGACCAAAATGAAAGCACCAACCCCCCTCTCCAACGGCCCCACGATCATAGAATCGCAAATCCGACTCATCGCGTCTTTGATATCGAAATCCATCTCCCCAGGCACACCCTCATCTACACCCACAGACACATCCAAACTGAACTCCAACCTTGAACCCAACCATGAATCCACCACTCAATCTGAACCCAACCAGAGACTGGGCACAATCGAACCAACCCTCCCCGCCCAAGTCTCATACCGCGAAATGATCCTCGCCCAGGCAAAAGGCACGCTCTTCGAGCGGACAGACTCCTGGTGGAACGGGGCTAATGTGCCCGGGAAGAAGCGCGAGGTGGTTACCTACTTGGGGGGCATTGAGGAGTATGAGAGGTTTTGTGCGGAGAGGATTGAGGGGTTGATTGGTTTTGAAATCGGGGGTATCAAGGGTGTACATTCTGGGAAGGATGGGGAGGTTGAGGGTGAGGGTATGGGTGAGGAGAAGGTTAAGAGGAGGGATAGTGGGTTTGCGGAGGCTCAGCTGGATTCCAATGGAATTGGAAGTGGAAATGAGAATGGGAGTGGAACTGGAACTGGGAAGAAAAGGTCAAGTCTATTCAGCCTAGCAGGGCTGCTGAGACGGCGGATGTCTTTACGGAACTGATCATCTCATCCATCCTCATCTTATCTCAACCACATCACCTCCTCCCAACATAAACAAGATAAATAAAGATAACATCAACCCGAAAAACCAATCCTCCCCTCCCAAAACCCACACTCCCTCCGCCCCCAGCCATCCCCCTGCAATCCCGCCGCAACACCAACCCCATCCCCACCTGCCCTCTCATCATTCCCCTCCCCAAACACCATCACCCTGCCCTCTCCAGCATACCTCTCCCACACCGGTCTACTATACCCCCCGATCGCATTCGGATCCCCGGCCACAATAAAAGACGTGAAATACGCATGCAACGTCCCGGCCACCTCATCCTGCGCTTCCGACAACGTCCGCACATCCACATCGTACGCCTCGTAGGGTAACTGGTCCGCGTGATTGGCGCCGCCTTGCACGGTTTTATTGAGCGCCCAGCGGTACAGAAAGACGGGGTTCTCCGTGTCCAGGGAAGCGAAGTGCGCGGTTTGACGCACTGGGCAGGCATACGCGTAGTGGCCGTAGGCTGCTTCGACGCGTTTATACTGGGCCCCGACGGGGATGGGTCTGGTCTCTTTGTATGGGGAGGAGGGGTCGAGAGATGGATCGGGGTAGAGGGAGTCGATAGTTTGGATGTCCTGGTCTGAGTAGGCGGGGAGGAGGGTATGAAAGAACTGAGTGAACTGGGTGGAGGTGGACATGTTGACTGGGACGTAGTAAGTCCCTTCATTAGTGTTGAAGCCTGTCAGAATGGGCATTTTGTTCCACGCGCCGGAGCGCCAGGCGTCGATGGGCCGGCGCTTGATGAGCTCGTTGTCGATGACGGGTTGAAAGGCCCAGCGGACAGAGGGGTTGTATTTGTCGAAGACGGAGAAGGAGGCGTTGGCGAGGACAGAGGAGGGTTGGTTGCGGAGACAGGCGAAGATGTCGGCGTCAGGGATGTCGGCGCAGTGGGATTCGGTCACGAACTGGCGGAATTGGGACTCGTGGAGGGCGGCGTCAGGGGTGTGGACGGCGCGCGAGGTCGCGGCGCCAGACTCGATGATGGCGCGGTGGAAGAGAGAGTGTCCGAGGTCGGTGTTCATGATGTGGTGGGCGATCTGTAGTCTTAGTCTCTACTTTGTATATGGTGGGTGTGGAGGCATACTGAATGCGCGCCGGCCGACACGCCGAATAGCGTGACCTGGCCGGGATCGCCGCCAAAAGAGGCGATATTGTCCTGGACCCACTGCAGCAGGAGGAGCTGATCATGCAGACCGAGATTCAACAGCCCTTCTTTAGCGGTGGTGACGGACGGCAGGAAGCCGAGGGCGCCGATTCTATCTCATTAGCCCACCATAACCCAAGAACTGAGGATAAAAAGTACCGGTAATTAAAAGAAACGCCGACAAACGGACGCTCCGACCATCCGACCATCGACGCCGTATTATGCATGAGAGCTAAGCCGTCAGTTCAGATCAGCCATTCAAAGATGATATACGCACCAGACCCCCGATTATACGCTCCCCCATGGATATACACCGCAACAGGGACCTTCTGGCCCTCCGCCACGCCTTTTGGCCGGAATACATTGACAGTCAGACAGTCTTCGTCGCTGCCGATATCGCCTTTCAGCGGAATCAATTGCTTTCCGGGACATCTACACTAGTTAGCTAATAGCCCACTACTAGCCACAAACACCCGAACGAGAGCTCACCTCTTCCCCATCCTCCCCGCATCAATCACCACCCCATCAGACCCAGGGACATCTACAGCCTCGGCCCGTCGAAACCGCCTCTCCCCCACCGGCGCCTTCGCATACGGAATGCCGCGAAACGCCTCGACGGGGGTCTTCAGATCCTGTGCGATCGTTGATCCCAGGACAGCTCCCTGGGGTATGGACACGCGCGGGCGCGGAGGGTGCAGGAGGTCTGGGAGCCATGAGGGGAGGGAGGTGGAGTCAGTGAAGATGTGCAGGTGTTGGATTTCAAGCAAGATGAGGATGGGGAGGGCGATTAGAAGGAGAAGGGTTTTGGTTGGGAAGGTCATTTTACTATATGATTTGGGGCATTGGTTTGTGTATCTAGAGTATAGGATGGAAAGAGATGAAGGAGGTGAATGAGGGGATGAGGGGATTCGTATTTAAAAGGATTCGGCGCCAGTTTTAGACCCGAGACTAGCGATGATGCGATACTCTGAGGCTATCAGTGTGTCATCTCTTATCTACACTATCAGACATTCAGTCCTTAGTACTGTATCATATATTAAATAAATCTAAACGAGATATACACCACCCTACTCCAATATACAATACTAACCCACATACCTCACCACCATCGCATCATCCCCCAACGTCTGCACCTCCGTCACGACCTTCCCATTCTGCTTCAACTCAATCACCGTCGCCCCGTCCGTCCCAAACGTCCTCACGCCCCCCTGCGCCTGCATATCCTGAAACGCGACCTGGCCGAAATTCACCAGCGGCACCATCTCACTCCCCGACTGGAAATCCTCCACGATCCAGTCCGCATTCTCGCCCGCCAACTTCGCATCCGGATTCGGCGCCGTCAACTGCTTCTGCGCGCGCTGCCCCGTGCTCTCATTCACGATCTCTGCCATGCCGGATGTTGGGGTAAACGACTCCACGGTCACAGTGACCACGTCGCCCGTGTTCACGGTGAAATCGAAGTCGTGCGCCACGTCGGGGAACCACTCGTACCACGCGTCGTTGTATATCTTCCCGTTGTCCCAGTAGAAGTCGACGCCGGCTTGCAGGATCGCCGTCGTGTAGGTGTCGCCGTCGATGCCGACCCAGGCGGACGCGGCCTGCAGAGTCTGGTCGGATCCCGGCTGCGGTCGTGGGACGGTGAATGTCGCGGTGACGGAATTGTAGCTGCCCAGAGGGGGTGGTTCCTCACGCACCACGCCCGCCCAGTTGCTGCTGTAGGCGACGTTGGCCGCCGTGCGGTGGTCTTTGTCCGGGGCCAGCTCGGCCATCGGTTGTGATTGGCGTGTAAGGGTGCGGGCTTCGGATCGCGCTTTGATGCGCTCGTGGAGCCCGGCGCGGGGGGCGCCCAGGATGCCCTGGGCGAGGGAGAGGGTTGTGAGGAGCGGTGTGAGCTTCATTTTGTGGGTGTGGAGCAGAGGGAGGGATGGAGAGGCGGAGGAGAGTAGAGGATGAAGGATGAGGTTTATATCTGGCCCTCATGTCGCTGCAGGCGGAATACATGAAGCTGGATAGGCCGCGTGGCTCGACGGTTGGAAACGGTGACGGGCGATCCGCATTCCTGGACAGGCTTTTTTTAGTCTGCCTGACCAGGCGAGCTGGGATCAGGTTGCCGGAAGGCGTGGAATGCTGTGATCTAGTCAGATTCGGTCTGTAGCATCGGAAAACAGGCAACGGCCAGGCAGTAGCCAGTCATGACCCTCTTTGTGCATGCGACGGACTATCAAGGGGTTGTCGCAACATCATACATACTATACTGCATCAGAACCTCATGTCATCTGCACATGCACGTTGACACCATCTGTCTCATAAGACAATCGATCGACAAAGCTTATCCTGATTCTTGTCAAGGGATACACGAGATCCCCATTTGGCTTGATCTCCTGTTCCGAACCCGAAACAGGCTAGCATACCTCGTCGCAACCACATTCCAATCCCTAGATCTTCACATTCCAAACAGATGCGGACAGCTAGGTTGACTGCTGGTCGCGTGGACATTTGGATGGATAATCAAGTTGGTTAAGTTCTGGTGGCTTGCGCGTTCAGCATCCAAGGTGAGAGATAGGAAGTGATATGACGACAGAGTTGGAGCAGGATGGCGGATATTCAAATCACAGGTTGCGCATACCTGAGATCGTGTCATCAGCTACACGTGTTCGAAGTCAGATGTTGAATCGGATTATGGACAGCTGAACTCACCTGAGTCAATCCAGGCATGTTAACATCTATACGGAGCAAGAGGCAGAAAGAGAGAAAAATATGATGATGATGATGATGATGATGATGATGAGAAAAAAAAGGAAAATAAATAAAAACCAACAGGGTATCCACTCAACTCAATCCCCTACATAGGCAACCCCCCCATCTCCTTCAACGTCCAAAACTTCCTCATATTCTCCGCCCCCAGCGCCCTCACCTCATCATCCAAATGCTCCCACAACACACCCCCAAAAGAATCCATCAACCGCTTCACCTCCCCTCGATCCAAATCGGCCTCCCCCGAGCGACACCGCTCCAGGTACTCTTCCAACTTGCCCAGCCCGGCATGGATCTGGCGATGCTGGGCGACCAGGTCGCGGCGGAACTCGGGCATTTTCTTCGCCAGGACGGGGAAGATGTGCTGCTCCTCGATGGCGTGGTGCATGCCCAGGCCGGAGCAGAATTGCAGCCCGGTGTTGATCAGCTGGCGCGGTGAGAGCGTGCTGGGAGAGCGTTTGGCACTGGTGCAGCTGTCGAGGATTTGGTTCCACATGAGCCGGTGGTGGTTGTGCTGACTTGTTAGTATGTACGGTGATGGCTGGGCAAGGGACGTACGAAATGGTCCATTTGCACCGCCATGCGGTTATAGATGCGAAAGTCCGCCGGGGATAAAGGCGGCAGGTCTGGACTGGAGTCGGCCATCGTGGAGAGGGTAGAACGAAAACTCCGAAAGGAAAGTCGGGAGGCCCGAAGGACGGTAGGGAAGAGAGTTGAAATCCTCATGAGGGCATATTGCCTTGTCTTGTATTTATGTGCAGCAGACAATTTCTGCTGACCAGGTATAATTCTGCTGACCAGCCTATTGATAAGCAGTTAAGCGCTGCAATCAGAGTCGATTCCGCCGTCTGCGCTAGTGGAGGCTTCCTAGCCTGACTGGATGGCGCCGGGTTTCATACCTTGACTCCGACTGGCTGTGCGATTCAGGTCGATTCTCTGAGTGATCTCGAGATGCGAAGACGGAGGTCGAGTACGGTGGCCCCAATTAACCAAAATGAACAGGAATAGACTCCGGACTACTCCGTACAGATAATCAGATCGACAATTACACAAATTGGGGAGAAAAGAAGAAAGACAATATTATTATAAGAATGAAAATGAAAATGTCTACTTATGTTCCAGATCCTCAATGGACGTATGCCATCTCAGCAAAGCTGCAGGACATAAATCTAGTACGTCACTGGTGTTTCGATTTCAGCACTTCTTCGGCACAACCACAGCCATGAAAAGGCTGGATTGCAATTTGACATCCGTGCTAGTCCTACGCATGAGAAAGACCTCAAAACCTAGAGAATCAAGTCGTCATTAGAATTAACCCTATACGGGATCGATACATAAATTAGTAGACAGTCGTGACGCGTAAATCAGAGCTCCCGGCGCACTTCCCTCGGGGGCTTGAAGTTGCCGGATCGCAGCTCCTGCCAGGCAAGATCGAAGCGAGCTCCCAGGTACCAGGCCGTGCCAATCTAGAACAGTTAGAGGATATTCAGGATTCGACTGAGAGAGGAACACACCATCAGAAGAGAAACCACCAGCACAATCACACCCATCAGCATCATCATGAAGAAGACGTCTTCGCGTGTTTCAGCATCTTGTTGCGCCTTCTTCTGCTCCTCCTCCGTCTTCTCGCCCGTCACCTTGCGCTGGGCATCCTCGGCGCTCTGCGAGGGGAAGATAGTCTCGATGAATTTTTCAATCTGAAGAGTCAGCATGGTCCAACTATGCCTAGGTGATGAAACTTACCCGTCCGCAGACAAGACTGATCTTCAGGAAGTTCGGGTCCTTAGGGGTGTTCTTCTTGTGGATGCGACGCGCATACCGACGGAAGATCCCGCACAGAATGCGCAGGTTCTGCGTCGACTCGGTCATCAACGCGCACGCGTCGCCCTTGGTGATCTTGACATTACGCTCGAAGATCGCCGGGTTGCGGAAGCACAGTTCCAGAGTGGCAATGGCCATGGCCTGGGGAATGGCGGCAAAGTTGAACACACTCTGCTCGCGCAGTCCCGCCAGATAGAACAGGCAGTCCTCGACATGCTCCAGGGCATTCAGGACCATGTCCGAGCTGCAGTTCAGAGCAAGCTCGCGGTTCTCAGGCTTGAACAGGTCATCGAAGTCGGTGACGTACTTGGACCACACTTCCTTGGGCCAGAAACGTCGACCGTCATCGTTGTCCTCCCGCACGTCACGGATGATGTTGGTCTTCTGCAGGAAGAGACCCATCGACTTGTGCAGACGTGGACGCTTCAGCAGAGCCGCGTTACCGAACTCCGCCTCGACAAACAGCCGCGTCAGACCCTCGCCGACAAGTCCCGCCACGTAGTAGCAGTACAGGTCGTACTCCACGGTGGTCTTGACGCTGGCGTCGTCCGTCTCGGCCTTGCGACAGTAGTCAGCCATGCCGTTGCCCATCTTGTCAGTGATGTCCTTGACGATGGCCTGGTAGGCGGGCTTCATGTTCTTGTACTCGGTGATGACATTGTGGAACTGAACCAGCAGTTCGCGGTCTTTCTCCTCGGGCCGATTGCCAGTGAACGTCCACCCGTCCTGTTCCAGGAGGTCCTTGAACCCGCGCAGCAACGGCTCCTTCGTCTCTAAGGGGATCGAGGTGTCATCCTCGATGGTGTCCAACCCACGCAGGGTCAGGTAGAAAACACACACGGGCAAGAGAAGCTCGGGGTGGAGTTCCTTGATCACCGCGCTGAAACTTCGGCTGGTCAAGTCCAGGAATTTGAAGCAGGCCTTCTGGGTCTCGGTCTCATTCTTCTCGTCGCGTTCATGGACGGGATTGTGCCAGACTTTCCTATCACGAAGAGCTTCATAAGCGTTGGCACATCATCAGACCAGAAGATAGGGAGGAGTACCAACCATTGCAGGATCGACCGCAGCTCACCGGGGTGAAACGAGTAGTAGAAGATATTCGTGATGAGGCCCATTGTGAGGGCTGTGATAGGGCAGTAGAAAAGACAAACAATGCGATATTAAGTAGTACAGTGAAGGAGAGAATTACAAGATCTGGCAATAATATACAGGAACAGATCAGTGCATGAAGAACGGGTGAGATAGAAAGACAGATTGTAGGAGGGAGAGCGGAAGAGAGGAAGAGGGAGAAGAGAGAAATAGAGAGAAGGGGAGTGAGAAAAAAGAGGATGAGTGAGTGGGAGGAAAGAAGAAGAGAGAAACGAGAGAAAAGAAAGAATTTAAAATGAGGTGGCTCGTTAGGGGCTGCCATGGCCGCTAGTCCCCGGTTACCCGTATTTACCGCTGCACGGCCTCCACACGTGCGCTGCCGCCTACAAAGTCGGCCACTAGCGGTAATCTATCCCCGGCCTGACCATACATGACCATACGGGCGGTACGGCACACCGCAGCGACCGGTTGCGCCCCCCGCCATCAAATGACGAAAGACGCAGGCAGAAAAAAATAATCCCCAGGCATACATCATACGCTCTCCCACTCTGGTATTTCTATCTGCATCTCATTCTTATCCCGTCGTCACACTCACTGTCTCTGTCTCAGGTTGAGTTCTGCACGATGGTCGCAGATACCACCTACTACGATGCCTTGGGCGTCCCTCCCACGGCCTCCGAACTCGAGATCAAGAAGGCCTACCGCAAACTGGCCATCGTCACCCATCCTGGTGCGCTGTCTTCGTCTTGAGTCCTGCTTTTTCTGACCGTCGCAGATAAGAATCCCGGGGACGAGACCGCGCATGCCAGGTTTCAGGCTGTACGATCCGATCCGTCCCACCTTGTGTGAGTCGGCTAACCTGTGATAGATCGGAGAAGCCTACCAAGTCCTCAGCAACGAAGACCTACGAAAACGCTACGATAAGTTCGGAAAGGAAGATGCAGTCCCCGCCAGTGGTTTCGGTATGTCTACGCTGGGTATGGTATTGGGTATTGGGGATTCTGGCTAATATCTGGCAGAGGACCCCTCCGAGTTCTTCGGTATGATCTTCGGCGGTAATGCGTTTGTCGACCTGATCGGTGAAATCTCTCTGATGAAAGACCTCACGGCGACCATGGATATTACGATGCAGGAGATGGAGGAGGAGGAACTGGCTGCGTCTGCCGAGGAGAAGCTGAACATCCACGACCAAGAGACCAAGGCTGCGGGCGAGACCGAAGGCACGCAGCCGGCTGCTGCTGCTGATACTCCTACTGCTGATACCACTGCAGCTCCCGCCCCGGCCGCTGCCCCCGCTCCCACTGCCGCTCCCGAAGAGTCAACTCCGGCAGAGAAACCCGCCGCCGCTTCCAGCTCCGGTAGAAGCGCCCCTCGCCGCCCCCTGGGCCAGCAGGCGATCATGGACAAGTCCGAGGAAGAGGCGCGCATGGAGGCAGCTGGTCTGTCGGCCGAGGAGAAGGAACTCCGCAAGAAGGAGAAGAAGAAGGGTCTGTCCCGGGAGCAGCAGGAGCGTCTGGCGGCCTACGAACTCGAACGCAAGAAGGCCCGCGAGGAGCGCGTCGACACGCTGGCGACCAAGCTGGTGGACAAGATCAGCGTATGGACCGAGACCGACAAGGGCACCGACGTCACCCGCGCCTTCGAGGAGAAGATCCGGCTGGAGGTGGAGAACCTCAAGATGGAGTCGTTCGGCCTGGAGATCCTGCACGCCATCGGCCAGACGTACGTGCAGAAGGCCAGCTCGTTCCTGAAGTCGCAGAAGTTCCTGGGGATCTCCGGCTTCTTCTCGCGGCTGAAGGACAAGGGCACGCTGGCCAAGGAGACGTGGACCACCATTTCCACGGCCATCGACGCTCAAATGACCATGGAGGAGATGGCCAAGCTGGAGGAGCGCGGCGGCGAGGACTGGACGGACGAGAAGAAGGCGGAGTACGAGAAGAAGGTGACGGGCAAGATCCTGGCGGCGGCGTGGCGCGGCAGCAAGTTCGAGATCCAGAGCGTCCTGCGCGACGTGTGCGACCAGGTGCTGGGCGACAAGCGCATCAAGCTGGACAAGCGGGTGGAGCGGGCGCACGCGTTGATCATTGCGGGCAACATCTACCAGAAGGTATTCTCTCCCCGTCATTCTACTTGATTTGTGCTAACCAATCCAGGCGGAACGCGATCCCGAGGAAGAAGGCGACTACATGGCGTTCGAGCAGCTGATGGCGGAGGCGATGACGAAGAAGGGCAAGGACGAGAAGAAGAAGAAAAAGAAGCACGAGCACGAGGAAGAGGCGACGTCCGCATAGACTACTAATTATTGTTATCATTCCCCTGTTGTTAAGACTGGATACGTTGATATTGTTCCGAAACCGGCTGACATAGATGATGTTATTCTTTCTAATGCATGGAGTCGATGTAGATGTAGATGTAGCATCAGCCGCATGGATGTCGCCTCATGTACTGCGTGAGTTATCGACATCGGGGACTTCCGCCGGACAACCCCGCATTCTCTCAATTCCCTTTCATTCAATCTCTTCCTCTTCCTCTTCCTCCAGTCCAGGCACATCTCACGCGAGCTCCTTCCAATCTCCGCAGCCCTAAACCTCGCGCTAAATCCTAGCGTGCTGGCTTATCATGCAGCCCGACACACGATGGTACCTCCAACCGGGGATCCTTTCCTATCTCCTCATAGCCCTGAGATGGATTCCTTGCTTGACCGCTCGTTGGCTTATCTTCGGATTTGTCCGCTAGACCTGTCGCAATGGAGCCCATGCAAGGGGTATTTAAAAGAGATGAAAACCCAGCGAATCCGCTTGATCTCCACTCAATTGACTGCCCGTCAAAATGTCCCTCCTGTCCTCATCGGTTGTGCTGGGCCTGCTGGCCGTTGGCAATGCCATGCCCGCCAGTCCGGCCTCCGCGCCAGCTCCCACCGGCTCCGTCTTCCCGTCAGGCTTCGATATCGTCTCGTCGTGGGCGAACCTGGCGCCATTGAAGGAGCCCAGCGGCTTCAATGTCTCCAAGGGCGTGCCGCGGGGCTGTGAGCTCTCCCAGGCCCATGTGCTCCACCGCCACGCCCAGCGCTACCCGACCAGCTTCAAGCTCGACGGCGGCGGCATCGACAAGTTCAGCGAGAAACTGGCCAATTATAGCCGTGCGCATAACACCACGGACATTGCGTCCGGGCCGCTGAGCTTCCTGAACGATTGGGATTATCTCCTCGGGAAGGATACGCTGCTGCCGACCGGGGCTGCGACGGAGGCGACGTCCGGTGCCAATGTCTGGTCGAAGTATGGTCGCTTCTTGTACCGTGCTGGGCCGGGCGTGGAGCGCTGGAATGAGTCGTTGAATGTGTATCCCAATGGGACGGACAGGCCGAAGCCGATCTTCCGCACGACGACGCAGGGGAGGATCTTGGAGAGTGCCCGCTGGTGGTTGAGTATGTGTGCCTGCTGATCTGGGGGATTTATACTGACTGGTTAGGTGGTTTCTTCGACAACGAAGGTGCCAACAGCTCCTACTCGGAGTACGACCTGGTCGTCATCCCAGAAGGCAGCGGATACAACAACACCCTGGGGTCGGACCATTCGTGCGAGAACAGTCCGTCAGGAGGGTAAGCATCTCATCTAAGATTAAAGAGCCAAGCTGACCGACAGAAATGACGACGGCGCCGCCTTCATCAACATCTTCGCCCAAGACGCCGTCGCCCGGCTGTCCAAGTTCCTGCCCTCTGATTTCAACCTGACAGCCTTCGACGTCGCCTCGATGATGGTCCTCTGTCCGTACGAGTACGCCACCATGCGCCGCTCCTCCTTCTGCTCGCTCTTCACCGAGCAGGAATGGATCGACTACGCCTACGGCATCGACATCCAGTTCTACGGGGTGTTCGGACCCGGCTCGCCCACCGGCCGCGCCCAAGGCATCGGATACCTCCTGGAGCTGGCGGCGCGACTGCAGGGCCAGACCATCTCGTCCAGCGACACCAGCATCAACGCCACCTGGGACCAGTCGCCCGAGACCTTCCCGCTGAACCAGCCGCTGTACATGGACATGTCGCATGACACCGTCATCGTGGCCATCCTGGCCGCGCTCGGCCTGAAGTACTTCAACTACGGGCCCCACGGGCTGCCGTGGAACGTGCCGCACTCCGTCGAGCGCAACTTCCACCTCAACGAGGTGACGCCGTTCGGGGCCAACATCGTCACCGAGGTGTGGACCTGTCCAGCGGAGGCTTCGTTCGAGACCTTGGCGGGGGCAATGTATACCAACCCGGATCTGTCTGACACGGCCGGGACGAAGGATTATCTGCGTTTCGTGCTGAACGGGGCGCCGATTCCGCTGGATGGGATGGTGGGATGCGAGGACGCGGTGAACGGGTTCTGTGCGGTCGAGGGGTTCCTGGAGGGCGTGCCGACGCTGAAGGAGAATGCGATGTATCAGTATGCTTGCTTTGGGGATTATGATCTGGGGAAGCAGGTGGGTGATGGACATCCGGAGTGATATAGTTCATCCGTGCATAGTCCATCCGGCATGATTGCATAGTTATTCCGTCATGTTGCTGTGACTCACCTGTATCTCCTGTGATCTATCTTCTCTGGCCTTTGTCACTAGACTATCTAGTTCATCTTCTAGTTCATCTAGATACCCACCATCAGGTTTACCATCTTCTAGTTACTATCAGACATCCACCATGGCTTCCACCTCCCCCCTCTACCACCTTTACGTAAATTCCTCCCGTCAACCTGCCCACGCCAACATGGGCAATATCATCTCCACCTGCAGAGCCGGCATCCTCAAGATCAAGAATTTGGGAGCGAATCTGCGCGTCTATAATGAGGATCAACGACAAACGGGCCCTAGATCCTCAGAACCAGAATCTACGACGGAAGCTCGAACTTCCAGTTCCTTTTCCTCTATGCCGCCCTTGACAGCTTCTCAGATCGGGGGTGTTGAGAAGTTTGAGGAATATGAGCTTGTGTCTCTTCCGAGCAGATCAGGGTCAACTTCTACTTCAGCTTCAACGTCAGAATCGATGTCAACTTCATCGATGTCAACTTCACGATCAACATCAACCCCACGATCGAAATCATCGTTAATATTCATGTCGACTCCAAGATCACCAATACCACGATCAACGTCAAGATCAACCTCATCAAGATCCGCGCTGTCCTTCCCTCCCTACTACCTCTCCCTCCCTCCCTCCTACTACAAATCCCTCTCAGATATCCTCCTCGACCCACTCCCAACCCCACCGCAACCCATCTACATCCCTACGTCCACATCCCCCTCTCCATCCCCCCCCAAAAGAACCCCCCCAACCCCCAAAATTCACAACCATCCCCATCCCCGTGCTCCGAGAAATCCACCACCTGTCCAAAAACCTCGGCATTGCGCGACTGAATCTCTCGCTGAGCCGGACGCGCAGACCGGGCCTTGTCTGTCCAATCAGGGGGCTGGGTGACGGGGTGCTGTTCACGGCTGGGGAGCCGGTGGGGGTGCGGGTGTGGAGGGCGTTTGCGAGGGGGGTGTATGCGGTTTTGCTGAGGGATGCTCTGATTAGGGAGTTTGTGGTGGAGGGGTTGGCTTCTGGGTCTATTTCTGGGGACGATTCTTGGGGAAGAGAAGAGGGGAGGGGAAGTGGGAGGGAAAGGAAACGGGGAGAGTTGGGGATGGAGGATGGGAATTCTGGAAAGAATGGGGATGTACATGCAGATGCAGATACAGCTGCAGAAGGAGAAAGAGACAGGGACAAGGACAGAAAACGAGAAAAAGAACGAAAAGAAAGAAAGACAGAAGAATGTGTGGTTTATTTATTTCGAAGGGGTCGTTATTGACCTACGCCCTACTCTTTTTATTCGATGTGTTGTCTGGATTTGGATCTCACGCTCTGTTTGCTTGTTCACTGGGGGTTTATCTAGTGTCTGGACTTTGCTAGTTGTGGATAATGGGCCTCCTTTTTAACATATTTTCATTCGAATCCCGGCGGTAATTTTTAGAATTCTCCTATTCAGTAGTTGACAGCTGTTGTGGACGATTATCCTACAGACAAGGTAGTACGTAGCCAGTAGCTTGTGGGCTGTCCAAGAGCACAGCAGATTTATATCTTTGATTACCGGTTAGAATGCAACACAACCACCGACAACCATACAGAATAAACCACTAGAATAAATCACTAGAATAACCATTATAATGAAATCATCAAGAAGACCTTTTCTATAAAATATAAATCTATCTATCACCAACCTTGACACCAGCAAATCAAATCATCAATCATAATCAGATCTAGCCCACCTCGTATCGCTACACAGAACCAAATCACACAAGACGGAAAGAAGAAAGAAATAAAATATTAGATCAACAGACCGGCGTCGAATCTTGCGAAGTAACTAACTAAAGAATGGGGTATTCGCTGGCTCGAAACAGCAGTCTTAACTGGCAAGTTGAAACAAAAGAAAGTAGATGGGTATCTAGTTGTGGTTCTGAGAGTTCGATGCAGATGCAGGTAGATCGCAATCAAGATCTGAAAAGTCCAAATCCGATTCCGTCTCGGAGTCCTCCGGCAGCGCCATGTCGCGCGCCATTTCGCCGATCTCGTTCAGTTCTTCCGGCGATAGGACGCGTCCTCCGAGTTGCACGTCGTTGACGTGTACGTTGTACTCGAGCGCTTTCTTCGCCTCCGAGATCAATTCCTCCGTCCAGCCGAGACACCGCTTCAGGCTCTGGTTCATGCGTTGGCTGTCGGCCAGCAGCTCCTGGTGCTTGGCGAGGTCGACGAAGAACCGCTTCTCGTCGCGGGCTTGGTGCCGCGCGTCGTGGTCGGCCAGAGAGTCAGGGGACATGACGCCGTCGTCGGCCGTGGACTCGGAGTCGCTGCAGTCAGACAGCTCTTCGGGCGAGCGGACGGACGAGCGTTCGCTGCCTTCGTCGAGCTCGCTCATGATGGCGAGCGACGTTCCGGACACCGACCGAGTGGACGGCGCCACCGATAACCGACCAGACCGGCTGAGGCGTCGGAATCGGCGCAGTTCGGCATTCTGTTTGCGCATTTCGCGCTCGAGGGTGCGGTTGATCGCGAGGAGAGAGGAGTTGCTGATTTCGAGGTCCATGATCTTGCGCTCCGTGCGCGCCGTCGCGGCGGCGTCGTCCTTCGGCGCCGCGTTCTCCTTCACCGGGCTCTGTTGCGCAGAGGCGTAGGTATCTGCCGACGCGGTCGATCCGTTGCTGAAAATCCGCGGACGGCCGGGGATCGGTTCTGAGGCCAGACCGCTGGCGTCCAGCTTGGCGTCCCCCGGCGAGACGAGGATCGGACTCGGTCGGAGGCCTTCTCGAGGCGAGGTGGCAGCCCCCGGACCGGAGTCCATACTCGACGATTTAAAATGTCGTGGTGTCGATACCGCCGGTCGCGGCGAGAAACTCCCCAGCGGCGGACTTTGCACGCGAGATCCCACCTCCGACGAGCCGTCCTGCGACCCAACCTGCGACCCAACCTGTGACGGGAGCAGCCCGTCGGATAGCCGCGGCGTGGCATGGCCTAACTTCGGGGACATGATGCGTGGCGAGGCGGAGGGCGGCGGCTTGCCAACCACCGATCGAGACAGTCCGGTGGACCGTCGTTTGTAGGCCGTGGACTCTGCCGGTCCCTCTGATTTGGGCTCCTCGGCTCCATTGGCGTAGATGAATGTGGTTTGGGACGGCGGTTTCCCCGGTCGAGGACGAGGGGCAGGAGGCTCTAGCTCAGAGTGGGTGGACCGCGCATCGGAGGCATGGAAGAACATCGGCGAGGCAGACGCACCATCGGAAGCTGAATTCGACCGAGACAGCTGGTGAGGTTCGTTGGTGAAGGCCTTCGGTCTCGTCCTGGCGGGTTCCAGCCTCCCTGCGCGGACTGGACTCCGATCCGCCCGGTATGATCCGACATTCGAGCCGTGATGCACGACGCTGGCCTGCACGAAGGGCTGCGGAGAGTGGCGACCGGTGGAGGACGGGGTGCTGGCGGACGAGACGAAGCCATCTCGCCGGGTGATGCGAGCGCCCGACCGTGGGGTAACGTTGGCACTAAGGAGGGAGTCGGAATCGGGTTTCGAGGGGGTCAGGGAGGACAAGGACGAGGAGGGATCGGAGGGAGCCAATCGTTTGGGCGTGCGGTATCCAGTGGGCGTGGCCAGCTTGGGAGTCAGAGGAGATTTGCTGGACCGGTGGAAGGCAGCGCTGAGGGTGGGAGTGAAGGGTTTGTTGTTTTGTTTATCGGCAGTCATAGTTGCGGGCGAGGGCGAGGGCGAGGGGCGGAAAGGAGAGCGACTTCTCATGGCATTGCGACAGTCCGCGAGGATCTGCAAGCATGATGGCCCGGAGGGAAGACAAGGAGGATCGAGGACTCGGTGCTGAGATATGAAAAAAAATAGACAAGATCAATAAAAGTAGATGCAGGATGAGGATAAGAATAGTCCAACGTGCCAACACCGCCAGACCGGCTTTAGTCTTGGTCTAGTCCCGTTTAGTGCCGTTTGGGTGCGAAAACGTGCCGCTAGGAGTGGGTGGTTCACCGCAAGTATATTATGGAATAGGGGAGGAAGAAAATAGAAAATAAGAAGAAGAAGAAGAAGAGAATAAGTCGAGGCTCGATAGATATTTGTAAAGTCAAGATCCCCGGGATTTCCCAGATTCACTGCATGGGCTGATGCGCCCCATCCGGTTAGCCGTTGCCGCATCCATGGGACGATCTTCGAATATTTTATATGGTAGTATATGATATTCTATACTGTATATGATAGTATATTAGAGTAAGTCATTATAAGTTATCTGAAATTATACACAAATAACCGCTTCTGCCGCGGATCCTCGCCCGTCGCCTTCCTCTTGCGTGGCTGCACCCTGGAAACCGGCTCCTGCGCCCCTTGGACCGCCTCCTTGATGGTCCCCCGAGACAGACAGTAGTCGACGTGGTCGTTGAACACCCGATCATCTGCCGCTTGAGGTCGCGAGCAAATCGGACACTCCCAGGAATCCGGTTCGGGTGCGTCAGCAGGTCCGACATCGTCCGTCTCGTTGGTCGGGTCGGAGACTTCCTGACTGAGCTGCTCCAGCTCGTTCATCTCGTCCTGCCGCTCCTGATGAGCCGCTCGTTCGAAGGCCTCCTCGGTGTTGATTTCTTGCTCCGTGACATCGGCCTCGTCGCCTTTGGGTTCGGCCGGTTTGGATCGAGTGGCCCAGCCGAAGAAGTCGATTCCCCCCTTCTTGGTACTGACCAGGTTGGTGCACCGAAGTCCGAGCAGCCGGAGCTTCAACTGCGGCTGCTCCTTCTCCAGCTTTTCTAGCATGGGTAGAGCGAACGAATAGAGATCTTTGGCGACGCACACAGCGCGCGGGGGCTGGCATTGGCGTGAGAGAACCTCGAAGGTGGCCAGCTTGACTTTGAGCACCAGAGTGCGCCCCTTGAACTGTGTCAATGCCAGATCCTTCTCCAGCTCCTGCGAGATCGACCACAGCTTCTCCCGGAACTCCTCCTTGCTGCCAATCTCGTTGAAGGTGCGCTCCGTGCCCACACTCTTGCGTTCGTAATTCTCCACCGGTTGGATTTTCGTTCTTCCCAGCCCGAGATAGCACTGCGCCAGGAAGTGGAACGCCTTTTCTCCGAAAAGCTTGGTCAACAGCGCACGCTGGGGGTAGATGTCACCGCAGGTCTTGATGCCGATCGCGTCGAGTTCCCGCTCGAACACGCGCCCGACGCCGTTGACTTTGCGCACCGGCAGCTCCTTCATGAACTCCATGACGGTCGCTCGGTCGTTGGGGACCCGGAACTGCCCATTGGGTTTGTTGCGATTGGAGCAGATCTTGGCGATTTTGGCGTTCGCTGCAATGCCCGCGGACACCGACACTTTGGTGTTCTCGAGAACCTCGGCCCTCATGCGGTCCACCACTTCTTCGGGGTCTTGCTGGTTCTCGTTGCAATACGCCGTGATGTTCAGGTACGCTTCGTCAATACTAGCACTCTCGAACAGCGGATCATACTGGGCGAAAATGGCCCGGATTTCCTTGGCTTTGGCGCCGTACTTCTCGTAGTTCTGCGGCAGCAAGACCAGCTGCGGACACAGCTTCTGGGCCACGAACGACGCCATGCCACTGCGCACGCCAAACTTGCGCGCTTCGTAATTACACGTCGTCAGGACGCCTTTGCCGACGGCCATCGGCACGGTTTTAAGTTCGGGGCGATCCAACTCCTCCACAGCTGCGAAGAAGGCATCGCAGTCGACGTGCACGACATACTGCGTCAGATCGCGGGTCAATTCCAGCTCGGCGAGCACCTGATCGGCTCGTCGCAGATCATGCGAGAGATCATGGTTCTCCAGACGTGCTTTTTCTTTCAGGATGCGGTCGATCTTCTCCGTGAGAACCCGATCGCGGGTCTGTTCGTGGTTGAAGAACTTGGACCCTTTGGACGCATTGTAGATAATTTCCGATACCTGATTGTTTAGTCGAGTTCACTCTCAGAGCGGAGGACTCACCTTGCGCTGGTCGACGGCGTCCTGACCCGCCTTGGTCAGAGAGGGTCCCAATAGGGAATATTTCAGCGTCTCGTAGTCATCTTCTGGCTTGGGTGCAGACTCTCCCGAATCTAGCGGAGTCTCATCGATAGGCTCCTCGGCCGGAGGATCCATCGTCGTCCATGGCATTTACCCCGTAGAGCAGTTATTGTAGGAGTCATGCTGACTTCCCAACGAGGCAGATATTGGAACGCCGCATCACGTGAGTTCGCGTCGGCCGTTCACGTGCCGCTGCGGTCTTCGAGTTGCTCCGCCGGATTCTCTTCTATCCATCGCCCCTCATGTGGATTCTGGACTCGGCCGGCGATTTTCTGGGGGGTAAGTATTCTGGGTTGATATTGAGGGGATTGAGCTAATGAGTCAGGGAGGCGCGTGTGGCTGCGACCTGGAAAGAAGTACCTCTTCGGTCGGGTCTTGCAGGATGGAGGTAGGTGATTCTGTCTGTTTCTTTGACTTTGACAAGCTGATCGATTCTGGATAGTACGACACGCCATTTCGAATAACTCCATCTCCCGCAAGCATATGATCATCGAAGTCGCCCCCGTCAAACCGGGTGATGGCGTAAGAGCGTCCCTCATCGTACCGTGCCGTGCTAATGGTTTAGTCGCACATCTACGCAAAGTCGGATATCACCGTCAGCGACGAGGAATCGAAGTGCGGAACCACCGTCGACGGGGAGGATATCAAGGGCAGGAAGATTCAGTTGACGCAGGACGAGCATATCCTGCGACTGGGAAAATACAAGCATGATTTGCGGTGTGTGCAGACAATGGATGCTACCATGATGGATGCTGACCTTACAGAATTAAATGGGAGCCGACCGTCCTCAGCTTTTCCTTCTCCTCGAAAGACCTCAAAACCCACGACCCGCTAGCCCGCGTCCGAAGCCGACTGGAAGATCTCGACATCAAAACCGTCATCCCCTACGTTGTGGACCAGACAACCCATGTGGTGCAGAACAAGCGGAACACAGCCAAGGGGCTCCAAGCGCTGGTCAATGGGAAGCACATTGTGCAGGATTCATATATAGACGCGCTGGTGTACGCCGCGACGCCCAGCGACCTCGATAACCTGGAGTCTCTGTCGCCGTTGGAAGCGGATTTTGACTCGGCCTGGCCGGACCCGACCGAGCATCTTCCGCCGCCGGGCAAAGAGGCTGTCCAGAGACCGAAGGAGGCCTTTGCGCCGAACCCCGACCGCATCAACGTCTTCGAGAGATATACGTTTGTGTTTGGCGACTCGACGCAGTTTGATAATCTACAAGACGCCGTGACGAACGGCCACGGCAAGGCTCTACTGTATCGGATCGAGAATGGCGCCACCACCGCCGAGGAAATAGTACAGTTCATGCGCAATACGGCCGGTCGAAATGGCTTGGGCCGGCGGAGGAGCGGTCCGGGCGGAGTGGTACTCGTCCGCTATCGCGCCAAAAGTCGGTATGAGGACTGGTCACAGGAGCTGAGCGACCAAGTGGCCGCCATAACGGAGCAGCGCGTCATCGAACAGAGCGAATTTCTGGACGCCATCCTGGCCAACGACGCGACGTCGCTGTGCACGGCGCTGGAGCCCGCCAGCCAGGACGTAGAGTCCGTGCCGTCGTCCGAGCCGCCGCAGTCTGCACCTTCCCCTACTGCTGACGTCCAGATGGTGCCGGAATCTCAAGATGAACCCCCCACGCAGGCGTCTACGAAAAGCTCCAAAGGACCCCGTGTGCGCAGCTTCAAAAGCAAGATGAAAGCCTTCGACGACGGCTTCGACATCAACGCCATCCCCGCTTATGCGGACGACGACGCCATCGATCCGGCCCCATCCATGGAGATCGACGCGACCGTGGACCCCCCGACGCAACCCGACAGTACGCCACACGAGGAAGAGGATGTGATGGCAAATCTACTACCCGGCGCTGCGGCAATGAAGCGTCGACGTGCCGAGACGATGAAGAGCGCCGAGCCGGCCTCCCAGGTGAAGTCCGAGGATTCCCCGCGACCCAAGCGTCAGAAACTCGACATCCGAGAAGCCGCCCGGCAACACCGAGAAGCGGAGGATGCGCAGCGTCTGAAACGTCAAGAGGAGACTACCTCGCTACAGGATTCCCTGAAGGATGCCAACGTGGAGCAGCTCAAAGGGCTGGCGATCGTGGAGGAAATGGAGGTCCCGTCGCGCCGGGACGCCGACCGCGACACCCGCTGGGACGATCGATGGAATGGGCGCAAGAACTTCAAGAAGTTCCGGCGCAAAGGCGACGGGGGGGCGCCTCGGCATCGCATCCAGACGGTGATCGTGCCCTTGGAAGAGGTGACGCGCAAGGATTTCGGCATCGGCGAACACTACTGGGTCAGCAGCAAGCCGACCGAGCGTAGTCAAGCGGAAAGCCGTGCTGCGAGCCACGGCGACAGTCATCGCAATAGCGTGGTGAGCCAGGAAGGCCAAGACGGCCAGGAGCCAGAGTCCGCGCCGTCGGTGGCTCGGACGGAGACGCCAGCGCCGCGAAGTCAGAAACGACTTCGCCAGGAGCGAGACAGCGACAGCGAGGATGAGATGCGGTTCCGATTCCGACGGCGGCGATAGACCCAGAATGTTGCTGGCAGGTGGAGAGAGCCGAATAACGCTGCGGGTCCGCCCACATTTTAGCAGTTGGTCTGGCCTTCGCTTGGCTCTGGGCAGCAGGGGGGAATTCATGAGTATGGAGGATTGAGGACGTGATTCCAAGTAGCGAGAGATCGACTATCGACTGTTGATTATCGACTACCGCGAGTATCGACAGGGTAGAGCCTAGAGTCCAGAGTCCGATGTGAGGAGTCGATAATTCCTCCAGCGTTTATTGAAAACTCCTCGCGATGACGTCGTACAGTCCGAGGGGAGTCGATAGTCGGTTTCACGGGTTAATTAATTTGTTCCCTGGCCTCATTGACGAGATATTATTAGAAGCGATCTCAGTAGATTCTCGATCGGCGGCGGTTTCACGACGCAGAATTAATTGATTGCGTCCGGAAAGGTTTGCCTGTTCAGCTGAGCGGAGAAAACCTTTTGGTTTGGATTTCCCATTTTCCCATCTTTGGGTCTGATTTTCTTTTTCTTTTTTTTCTTCTCGCCTGACTTTCTTCTCTCTGGTCTCCTCCTTTCCTTCTTCCCTCCCTCCCTCCATCCATCTGCTATCCACTATCGATCATCCCTTGACTGCATTCTATCGCATCGTCATCCCTACTGCCCGACTGCCTAATCCCCTCCGCCATGGACCACGCTGGCTGGTGATTTCCTGCTCTTCGCTGTCCCTCGACAGGTTCGCCGTCCTTATTTTTATCTGCTTTCGATCCCGTCGTCGCTCTCCGTCTGCCCATCTGTCATACGACCGTTTTCCTTTCTCTCGCTAGGTGCGTTCCGCCCCTGGTCGCTCTTCACCCCATTCCCTCATTCCCTCATTCACTTCCCCATTTTCACTTCAGTCCATTCCATATTAATTTATTTTAACCTCTTTCATCTACTCTAGTCTTACGTTACGATTTACGATTCCTGATACCTATTTGATATTACTTTCCTCCGTTTAGATCCCCACACGTTATCCGCTCGCCCCCCATGATATCCACTATTCCTCCTCCCCGTCCCGTCTCGGTCAATTCGCTGGCAAGAGCGTCGGTCTCCAGCATCGCATACTCCAAATCCTCCAACCGATGCACCAGCGCCGAATACCAGGCTCACGATGACCCCTCTCCGCCCCTTCCTCCGCCTTCCGCCCCTGGTCAGCTGGCCTGCCAGTCGCCCGTCGATACCGACATGGACGAGGCCCTCGTCAATTTCGACGCCCTCGAGACCGCCTCCGTTCAGCCAGAACTGCAGTTTGAGAACCTGCCCACAGAGATCCACGAGGCCATTCTCGATTATTTATTTGGCGAGCGGACGTCCGCTCTGACCACCGCTGGGCCCGGCAAGCCGTCTGCGCGGAGTTGGAATAAATCCCTGCGTCACCCGCGCCGTAAGGCGCTATCAAATCTATCGCTGATCTCGCCGATATGGAGGTCATTGGTGCAGGAGCGAATCTACAGACACAGTTAGTTCATCACCTTGTTGACTAGACGCAGATCTAACCTGAACAAGTCAAAATCAAGGGTACTACAGAGGAGCTGGCCGGCTGTGCTCATTGGTTTTCCTTGCACCCTCATCTCGCGCCGTACGTCCGTCAGATCGAGATGTGGATCCCGGTCTGGGGAAAGCGGGCGACCAAAAACGTCCTGCAGCAGATTCCTTCGCGTCGTTACCACGGATGGGAGGGCACCGTCGAATGGGCCGACGTGGCCGGCACCCGGACAGACGACTCCGATCCTCCTAATCGCGGCGGCGACTATAAATATCACTACGCCAGTCACAACGCGACGCTGGCCGAGATCTTCAGCCATGTCAAGAGCTGCTTCCCCGAGGCCCGCATTCTGACGCTGGAAGGAGGTCACTGCAAGAGACCCCCCATGATCCACCACTTCCGCGACGACCCCGCCGGCGTGTCGGGCCAGGCCCTCCCCTGTCTGCCGGACATCCAGGCGTTCGTCATGCGCGGCGCCTGGAACATCATGCGCAGCCCGCAGCATTGGCAGACGCTGTCGAACGCCCTGCCGGGCCTGCGGGAGTGGCATTGCGCCTACGCCAAGCCCAAGGTCGAGGGATACGACACCATCGCGTCCATTCTGCGCCGGCTGCCCTCGTCGCTGGTGCACGTCAACATCAGTCTCGAGGGGTTTTACAACAAGGACAATTCGCAATCCAGCTGGCTTGGCGAGGGGATCAACGTGCAGCATCTGTGTCGGCTGCTGGGCGACGTGGCGCCGCGGCTGGAGTCGCTGGCCTTTACGGGGAATATCTGCGCCTCGATGTTCCAGTCCACGCGGGCGATGTCCCAGCAGACGCTCTTTTCGTCCAAGTCGAAACTGAAATCCCTCGACCTGGTGGTCAAAACCTGCTGTCGCGAGAAACGGACGGGCTCGCCCAGCAGTCTTCCCTTCTTCGACGACTTCTCCGGCATCACCAACCTCAACTTCATCCGCTCGTTCGAGAACCTGGTCGTCGGCGCCGTCCACAGCCTCCGTCTGCACCAGGACCTCGACTACATGCGCATCCGCTTCATCGACCTCGACTCGGCCTGCCCGCCGCTGAACCCGTACTTCCAGCTGGTCGGCAACGAATGCTGCGGTCTCTGGAGCGAGAGCATCCTCGAGACGCTGCACGAGTCGCGTCCGCAGGCGCAATTCGTCGAACTGTCCGACGGGATCTATCCGCAGTATGGACCCAACCACCAGATCGTAGGCGCCGTGTATCCGCGCACCCGGCCACTCAGTATTCACGCGTCGACGTATAAGATCATTGCCGACGTATCCAAACCTTGATCGGATGGATACTAGCCATATTTCGATACCCTACCTCTCTCACATACGACTAAAATACGACTAAAACAATTCATCAGATCATCAGGTCTAGCAGTCATTCTTGTGTCGCTGTCTATCAATATCAGTATCAGTTTCTCAACCGAGTTACGAATAATATTATTTGATCGATCATCGTTAGATTGATAGCGCCTCGGACAATATATCATCATCATTAGTATCTGGTATTTAGTGTCGGGACTGTCGGGGCAGACAGTAGTCAGTCAGAATGGATGAATGAGAATTGATGAATGACTGAATTTAATGACAGTAAACAAATGAGCGGATCTGCGTTCCCACTATGAAACAGTCAAAATACTGTGCCTTTCCACTTATTCCAACAAGATCTTCTACAGTTGTAGTTGTAGATCATGATTGGGTCAGACCCACTCTGGACATTCATCAGCCTCCGGGCTACAGAGCCAACCACCTCCCAAGACCATTGAATAAATACCAAGATGGCCACCACACTAGCACTGGGCCATCAGCTCAAGGGCACAGCTGGATTCTACACTGTCAAGAAGCAACTCCAGGAAAACGTCTGGTCCGCAATGTACATACCCCCTAGTTCCATTCCCCTCGCAACTCGACTCTCCTATATATACCATTAGTACTAGACTATACTAACCCTGACATCTAGAACTCCTCACAACGAGACCGTCATCGTCAAGAGCGTGAGACACTTCCGTCTCCAGAATGAATGCGACGTCCTTCGTCAGTTCCAACACCGCTCGCCATACCTCCGTCCGCTTCTTGATGACATCGAGGATCCCCCGGCTCTTATCCTCAAACATCTGGACGATGATCTCCTGCACGCATCCAACTGCACTCGACTCTCTCGACTAGAAGTGAAACATGTCGCACGGAGAGTCCTCAAGGCATTGACTGTCCTACACGCAGACGGCTACGTTCACACCGGTACACAACCAGCATCATACCTACCTACCTTACCTCCCTTTGAATCCAACCCACCAGTGCACTAACAGAAAACCAACAGACATCAAACCAAGCAACGTGCTCGTGAACTACCAACAGGGTGAATCCCAACTCCGCTTCAGCACCATCCAACTCTCCGACTTCGGCACTACCGTCCACAAGAACTCCCCCTACGCAGAAAACGGCGACCCCATCGGGACACCGATCTTCAGGAGCCCCGAAGCGCAATTACAACTGCGCTGGGGCACCGAAACTGATATCTGGTCGTTTGGCGCCATGGTCAGTACATACATGCATTTTCCATCCCGCCGTCCGACTTTTGATACTAATACTTGTCACACGTACACCAGCTCATAACCCTCCTCTACGGTGAAGGCTTCCACATCTTCAAACCCGACGTGCCTGCCTCCGACGACTCCTACGACTTGGAAATCCTCATGAAGCAGCACCGTTGCTTCGGGCCGTTTCCGGCGTCGTATGCGGACATCGCGTCGCGGGATCGACTCGCCGTGTTGACGTGGGTTATGCAGAATAGTCCGGCCGAGACGCTGAAGCCGTTTCATCTCACGACGGAGAATGAGATTGCGGCTGAGGATAGGGAGTTTATATGTAAGATTATGAAGCTTGATCCGAGGGAGAGGATGACTGCGGAGGGGCTTTTGGGGGATGCGTGGTTGGGTTGATGTTTGGTTTTGGGAGGAGGATGTATGATGGGGTTAACTAGGTAATAGGACTGTGTGAAAGGTTGAATAGACATAGATATTATTGGATAGAGATGGATGCTTTAGTCCCTACCTCCCTCCCTTCCTCTCATATATCGATCTACAGATCTATGTCATACCCTCTCAAACCAGCTCAGCTCACCATCCACATACCAGCATAACCAGCACCACCCAATAACAAGAGCAACGAAATAGAAAGACTAAACACCCCCAACATCCCTCACAATAACCTCCAACAACCAAACGTTCACCGCGAAGAAGCCCAACCCGGCAAGATAAAGTCCCGGCACGAAACTCGACACGCCTAGGAATTCAAGAAGATAGCCTTGTTGGAGCCAGAGGGCCTGCATATCGTCTCATTAGTTTCTGATGTACCTGGTGAGGTTAAGGGTAGGAGAGAGGACGAGTACACGGAATATGTACTGTGGAAAAGAGAGATAAGGAAGAGAGACTAACCTGACCGAGAACCCATAGTCCAATCGCTAGCAGACCTAGTTTCGGGTTCTGAAGCAAAGAGGAGCTGGGCAGATAGAAGGGCAGGAAAACGAGGTACCAGAGGAAATACTAGTCATAACCCTTGGTTAGAAACAAACATCCCATGAATAACCCCAACATCCCCATTTTCCACACAAAAAAGGCGAGGGAAGGCGAGAGACACATACCTGACTCGTACAAACCTTATTAAACGTCACAAACGCAAACGTCTGCGCCAGCATCGCCCCCGCCAGACTCTTCTTCCCCAGGACCAGCGGAATCGCCACGACAGACAGGAACAGCTGCGGGATGAAGGCCAGAGATTCGAAAGAGCCGTGCACTGCCTCCGGTCCTGTGCCTCCAGCAGCAGACAGATACAGCAAGGTACTGTAGGGCGAGAAATTATGCCGATGGTCGATGCGCGTAAGATGGTGGAGGTAGGTATGGTGCAGGAACGGATATCCGTAGAGGATATACATTGAGAGGTTGAGGGCCGAGAAGGTCGCCAGCGCGGTGAGAGTGAGTTGCACGCGCGAGGGCGTCAGGAAGGTGGAGATTTGCGCGATCAGACCCTCTTTCTCTTTCCCTTTCTCTTTCGCTGCTCTAGTCCCAGACGCGGGCTGGGACGGGGCCTTGGACTTGGACTGCACTGGGGACCTGATGGATTCCTCCCTCTCCCCATCCAACCACCACACCACGGCGGCGCCGTATATAAACGGATAAATCTTAAAATGCACGCTCAAGCCCAACAGGACCCCCGCGAGAGTCACCCTCCCCCTAAGAACCGCCCACAGCAGGGCCACAACCAACACACAAAGCAACCCTTCCGAGCTCCCCCTGGTACTAATATTAGCAACCATGGGGTTCAGCAACCAGACGGACGCGTATTTGCGCGCGCACGCAGCATCCATGCCATAGGACGAGGACATCAGAGACTTCGCGATCAGCCAGCCCGCGAGGACATCCGACATTGCGAAGAGGGCTTTTCCGAACAGGAAAAACAGGCCACCCGCGCCTGGCCAGGACGTCGGGATCAGAAGCCAGGCCAGCAGAGGCGTGTAGCGGTAGGTGTCTCTGGCGTAGGGCGAGGCGCCGCGGGAGACGTAGCGCGCGGCGTCGGTGAACACCATGTAGTCGATGTCGGTGTATTTGACGGCGGAGTGGGCATCTTGCCAGGCGCCGTAGATGAGGAGGATGGTCCGTAAGGCGATGGCAGAGCCGTAGACTAGTGATGGGCGCTGGAAGAATGAGGGAAAAGCCATGGTGACTTTTGGGTTGATGGTGCTTAGCGACGCATCAGTTTGGGTGAGTTTTATCTTATGTGCTCGGTGAATACGGGTGGAGTCGGGTTTAGACCGCCATGGACGCTGAAGCGCTCAATTCTCCGAGTTTATGATCAGTTCAGGTTGTATATCAAGTTATGTTCGGATGAAGCGTGTTGTTTCGCTGATTAGTCATCTATTGTCAGTCACATGACTTACATCGAGGGCTTTTTCTCTCCATACGCCATATGTTCATTAAATTATTCAAAGAGAATGATAATAATCGTATTCATTTAACTCCGCTGCTAATATCCATATCGTATCAACGAAAGACCAAGCCCCCATGTTGGAGCTGGACGCCGACGGCAGACAATATATACAAATCCAGTCCATATCCCAGTCCCAACCATTCTGTACATCACGTCGTATATGCATTCGCTCGTAACGATTGACTGAACGAAATAAACAAATCAGACAATACGTGGGGAATCAGTAGAAGGAAAAAGAAGAAAAAAAGGCAAAGAATAAACAGGCAAATGCCAAGCCATAAACTAGGAAATGATATTCCTGAATCCTGCTAGTAAAATGCCAGCGGAGGGTTCGGGAAATAGGTGGAGTCGCTCATCCCGAAAAACGCTGACGCGTTGCTGCCGTACTTCAGTCCCTTGTCATCAAATGGATTGGTCTCCGGCGAGCAGTCGAGATCAGCAACCCCAGGCCACAGACTGCTGTCGCTCCAGCTGAGGAAGTCCCAGAGCTGCTGACCAGCCGAGTCATCCATGAACGACGGCGCAAAAGGATCCGTAAAGCTGACCTCGTTGGCCACCATCGTTCCCCGGCCGAACTCGTTCTGCGAGGGAAGAATCGCTGGAGCGACCCCCGAGACAATGCTATCTCGCGGGGTGGCATACTGACCGTTCATGTCGGTCATTTCCGGGCCGCGTTTACTGGCCTCGAAAATGCGGGCGACGGCATCAAGGGTTCGCTTGGCGGTCGGGCTCCAGGGCTGCAACCGCGCCAGAATGAGCATCGCCATTTCGACTTGCCCCTGACACGATTCGATGCTCGCTCTGGGGTCGCTGGTAGTGTTGTCATTCAGGAAGAGTCCCAAGAGCGGTACCATCGTTGCCTGGAACAGCAGCCAGACAGCATTCCAGCCCGACATCCCGTGCGACTGCGCCGTCGAGGAAATGTCTGAAATGGTGGCCTCAGCGATCTCTCGACATCGCTCGATTGAGGTCCGTTCTTCAGACCGCAACGCGATGTAGGGAACGCGACGCATAGCATAGCTCAGCAGCGTTGGCCGGTACAGCAGCATGCGTTGGTTGAGGTAGCGCCATTTCATCACCGTCCTTGCGACCGCAATGGACTCCGAGCATGGCTCATGATCCTTCAGAATGTACGGGAGATTCTCGTACCATTCCAGGAGCTGGTTATCGAAATGAAACATTTCATGGTGTCTCGTCAATGGCGACACAGCCAGGACTTCCTGGATCTGTGTAGCGATCTTGCAGAACCGAACGTTTTCAAGTAGAGGGAGGATGTCGAGTACGTTTTCCTACCAGTTGTTAGTTTCAAAAAGAGAATATGATATATCAGGTGGACATACTGATTCTCGACAATGGGGCAGCTTGACCGTGATGGTCGGGCCAAACCGGCCCATGCTTGGACGACCAAGAGTCATCCCGCCCCAAGTGTCCATGCAGAACAGCGACCACCACACTCGCCGCTTGAGGTCCGCAGACGAGATATTCTGCTTCTTCGGACTATCCGAGGTCTCTGAAAACTCCTTGTGGAACCCCAAGGCGGCAGCCATGCGCAGTGCTGCTCCCATCAGACTGTACGCCAAGTTTGGCTGGCTGATGTAGTGCAGATAATAGCCACCCAGAAGACCCAGGGTCTGGATGGTTTCCATGTGGGAGGAGCCCAGCGACTCCAGGCTCACGTACCTTTTACACCGTGCATAGTATGTTTTGTGCGAAACGTCGTCCGCCGTGCCCGCTGCTATGCTGCCCAAGGCAAAGACAATGTTCAGCAGCCCGAGCCAACGATCGTCTCTCCGCCGACCGGAGACGTAGGTCTCGCGGAAGCACTGTTCATCCAGCATGGGAACGAACGGATGGAAATATGTGAAATAGGCGTCGAGGAGTTGTTGGTCGGTAACTTGCAATTGGGGTTGCGGGGGCGTTTCGGGCTGTGCTTGGGATGATCCCCAGGTCTGGGTATCTGAAAGAGGAGGAGGGGGAGGATAGTCCATGGCCGACTCCTGGCGGTTGACGGCCGGAGTGCGAGAGAAGTAGCCCAGACAGCCAGGGTCAAGCCAGACGATCACTTTGAGCACGGCGTTGATGGAAGAGACGCCCAAGTATGAGGAGGCCTGTCGGGCGGAGAGGGAAAGGGCGTTGACATCGTCAGAAATGCCGTTGGCCATCTCCGCACCGCCCAGATTGCGCGCGTTGGAATCATCAGGCATTGTTTGGAGCGACTCGAGATTGCCATCTTCATTGGACATGGGCGACACATGGGCGTCAACCGAGGCAGAAGTAGCCGGGGACGCTGGATGATGGGGCGGTGGCACCTGAGCATGCACCGGCGACGAACCCTTGCCCATTAGCTCCACGAGCTTCTCGCGTGGCAAATTGAGCAGGGTCTCCGGTGCCACCGTGGGGAAGAGCTTCTCGAGAATACTGCGGTATTCATCGAGAGTAGTAGAAAGTTTCTCCACATGTCTGTTCCAAGGATGTGGTAAGCCATGATGGTTTCCTCTCTTTCTGTCAATAAAACAGATCAGGGGAAGGGAACACACCTCCGAGATGGCCGAGGGTCCGAATAATGACACTGATCCGCCTTCTTATACCATCTGCACGCCTCGCAAGGCTTCTCTCCGTCACACTTGATCTTTCGATGTCTGCAGGATGTACAGGCGCGAAGAGTCGTAACGCGCCGACCGACCGACGGCTGACGTTCGTTGCGACCCCGGGTTTGGATTAAACCCGTGGGGTTCTCGAATCCCTCGAATGTATGGAACATGGTCAGGGATCTGCTTGCTGGGATTTCTTTTGTCTCAATGTCAACCCGGGGAGAAGGTCGCTCAGCTAGGGATCATTCAAGGGTCCCAAGTCAGCCTGCATAGGCCATTCGGTGAACCGAATAGTTCAGAGCAGCAGCTGGAATGTAACGAACTTCAGGGATGATGAGGCAGGCAGGATCAATAGTACCACCGCCAGCAGCGGTAGTAGTCAATAATAGTAACAGAGCAGCAGCCAGAAACGAATCTAACCCAGCGGAGAAATCGCCACCGTTCAGCGGAGCTGCAGGGCAATCAACAGGCCTGCAGAGTCGGTAATATGGCGCGGTGAGCCGGTTGAGGATTTCAAAAAAGGAAGAAACAGGCAGCTTAAGAAGCAAACATGTCTGGAATATAAGATCCACCCGGATGAACAAGAGCGAGAAGAGGAGTGTTTAGGAGTCAAACAAGTCGGCAGGAAAAAAGAGCAATGATGTGCACGGAGATCCAACAGGAAAAAATAAAAGAAAATCCAATAAATCCAGGAAAATAATAACGGCAGGAAATAATCCCCAAAAATTAATTGCTAGGGCAGGCGGCCAACGAACTAACCCCGATTGAATTAAGTCCACTGGACTCACTTTGGATGGAGGCCAGGAAAATAAATCGATTCCCACTTGCCAGCGCGGCCAATACGAATGCATCCTGGGATTCGTATTTCGTCCAGCGTAGGACTCCGAACCAACTGGCCCAGTCCCTGAGAGATCGTCGCCCGACCATCATCTCGCTCGTCGCTTCCCCCGCATTCCTCGGGGCTGGATGCATTAATTCAGATTAATCCCTTCATGCAAGCACTGGTGAGTCTGACCAGGCGCTCGCCTTTGCTTGTCTGGATGAAATGAACCCGGCGGTTAGCGTGAACAACACCGGCACTTCTGTTAGGCTGTCGCCGTTTTCCCGGTCCTTCTGACCGCGTCTTTCGCCGCTGCTGGTTGGTTCTAATTTAACCAGGGATCACGGCCAAGAGCTCCAGTCTGCAATGCGATTGGGACGCCCGCATATTAGGGTACCTGGGGGGAAAGCCTCGGAGATGACTCGTCCACTGCCGGTACTCCCTCGCGTCCTCGGTCATTTCTCATCGCGGAGAATTTCTGCTGACGAGAGTACTAAATTTGAATTTCCCCAGGTTTTCGCTTGTCCTATCTGATACCCCGTCCGGCTCATGCGCCCCCCATCACTCCAGTCGATGGCAGAGGTGTTCGCAGCCCCCGTCTACAATGGCGCCCAATTCTTACATGGATGAGGCAAAATGACGCTGGGCCCTCTCTGGTGGACTTGCCGTCTGCAAGTATCGCGGAAAAGGGCCCTGCAGGTCTACCGGAGGCAGACAACTTCCGACTGCAGGCAGATCCGGGAAATTGCGCCTGGCAAATGTGCTGAGGAATTCATTCCTTGCATAGCTTTTTCCATACGCCCCACAACGTGATGGGCGCGTGCCGCTGCAGAAAGACGCACCGATCAAATCAGGTCTCTCAGGTACCGGGAAAAGTGGCAACGGTCCCTCCACCGTGTAGACTCCACCGCGACGACCGCGCCTCAATTCCTTTCTACAAAAGGATGGCTGCAGACCTCAATGCTCGTACCTACAGAAGGAATCAATGATCCTGACCTGCCGTCGGAGATATCCCGGGCGAGAAAACCCGCTCTTCGAAGATCTCTGTATACCATCCTGGTCCTCATCCGTGGGTGACCGGCCAACTCGAGAAGGTGGCATTCTGCCCGTAAGTCCAAGCGTCTAGTGTTGCCTAGGACACGCTGGCATTGGTGGTTCAATCCGTTTTTCCTCCGTATGCAACCCGACTCCGACTAGGGTTCGGCAGGCTATTAGATTAGCAGAAGAATACTGAGGGGGTTCATTTACCCAGAAAAGGTCGGACGTCTTCCAATCGGCAGGTGGGACCCCGCGTACAATATCAATTAATAGAACCAAGTCTTGGATGACCACGCAAGCGATTCCATTGAGTCGGAGAATTGACATGCAGTGACTTGCAAGCATTAAGATGGTTCCCCTCCCGCACCTCACTGCCACTTCTTCATTCTGGCAAAGTCGAAGTCGGGGGTGGTGAGACTTCACGGCATCCGGATCGATCGGAGGTCTAACACCCAGACCAGAAGTGATTTGTCGGATCGAAGAAGCAGCGAAAGAGAATGGAATAAGATTGAAAAGGACAGGTAGTCCAAACTCTCACGTCGACGCCGATTCGGGATCATCCGAACCTTCTCAGCGCATTGGGCACCTCGTCCAGGAGATTCGCCCCGGTGTCTCCGGACGGTTAGAATTAACCAGTGGCGTCGATCGTTAAGAGCCAAATTTATTGCAAGGACCCACAACGTGATCAGACGGGTTGGGAGGGAAGCGGACTTGCCAAGAATGAGACATTTTTCCATCAGATGTCTGCTCCGCCATGTGAAAATAGAACGTAGCCCTGTCAATCTAAGTTCGGGATATGAAGGACCACGGGCTGACCAATGCCTGAGAGGGAAGGGAAGGGAAGGGGGAGGAAAAATGATGGTACGATGAGGGGCAGCGCGGCCAGGGTCGAATAATCACCCTGGAAGATTTAGGCTGTCAGACCATTTCTAGCGCCCTGGTAAGAAAGGAAATGCCTCCAAGCGACCCTGGACTACTGCGACCAGGGAGGGGGGGGATTAGTGGCAAAACCGAATAGAGGGGCATTGATCGGTTCCCAGGTCGAAAAGATCCATTTCTGCTGTAGGCTCCAGACGGGAGAAAAGACGTACGATCTTTGCGTCTGCCCATGGGTCCTGTCTGAGACGAGGCAGGGATTTTGTCATCACCATATTTCGTATGTTGGTTATGGCCCACAACCTTCAACAGGCAACTCAACCACGACCTCAGGCCAACTGAAAGTGACAAGGAATAATCCTCGCGCAGGGAAATGGGTCTGATTATGCAAACATGGGAAAAAAGAAGGACCGACTGAAGCGAGACGAACGGGTGTCAGGAGACATCCATCACAGGGCGCAGCGAAAGAGAGTCAAAGCTCAGAATGCTACCCTAATCAAGGGTTTGTAAAGATCGCAAAACTCAAAATGGCAGCAGGAACCAAATGAAGGCACGCAGGCTATTGGAGGGCGGGAGCACAGGCACGACGAACGGTGATATTTAGAGTCGTCCAGTTGCACCACCTCAGAGGGCCGACCACAACGGAGTCCGGGAAAAGGATATTCCTCTCCCAAAAGAGAGCTAGACGGGGTGTTTTCCGTGTCTAAAGAGAGACAAGGGCCGGGAGGAGAGGCACCGGCGGTTTTAGAGTGCGGGAGAAAGAGGCCGGTGCCAGTTTGACTTTGGGAACAGCCCGGGGATCTTTCCTTTTGGGATGCTGAGACAAGCCGAAGTCGTGGACGGGATGGATTTGGAGAGAGAATGTGTGGAATGCCGATAGAAAAGCTCTCGAGAGATGAGTTCTTTCAGAGACAGAAAGAGAAGCGAGAGGGAGAAGCGTGTCAGGCACCGCGCTAACCCGATTGGGCACGGTCATGCCTCCGCGTCGCCGGTCCCGATTAGGAAGAGGCGGCACGTGGAAGACGGAGGGGTCTCCGTGCATCTCCCCCGGTGTCTCGCTCATACTTCGTCGAAGTGTCGTCGACGATGGAGGCTCTGGCTCTAAATTCACCGGGTTTCCGGTCTTAAAGCTGAGGGAATTGTCCTTTTTGTTGTTGGGTCAACTACAGCGGACCTGAACTGGACCTCTTTGGAAGTATAGGATTAAATCGCCATTCGTTTGTCGCCTGCCTGAGCTCGTCATGGCAGCTTATTCGCAACATTCTCTCTCCACAGGATGGAGTTTTAAGGACAGTGAGGATGCATCGGCAGAAGCCTGGTTGCCTGTGCCCGTGGTCCCTTCGGTGGTTCATCAGGATCTACAGGCGAATGACAAGTACGGTCTCTGGTTACTGCTATGTGATTCAATGCTGAAAAATCTAGATTGAAAAATCCCTACGTTGGTTTCAATGAGCTCGACGCTAGGTGGGTGAATGACAAGTCGTGGAGCTACCGCAATGTGTTCCAAAAACCCTCGGTTCCTGACGGATCGTCGGTAGTTTTGGCCTTTGACGGATTAGACACCTTTGCAACGGTCAAGCTGGACGGCAAGGTGATCTTGGAAAGCAACAACATGTTTCTTGCCCACCGCGTAGATGTGACCAAGGCCCTGGAGGCCGAGGGTGACCACGTGCTCGAAATCGATTTCGATTGTGCCATGCTGCGTGCTCGGAAGCTTAAGGAACAGGACCCGAAGCACAACTGGGCTTCTTTCAATGGAGACCCAGCCAGAATGGCCGTGAGAAAAGCGCAGTACCACTGGGGCTGGGACTGGGGCCCATTGCTCAATACTGCCGGTATTTGGCGAGAGGTGCGACTTGAGGTGTATTCCGCGCGAGTCGAAGATCTCTGGACCGAATTGAAACTGGCATCGAATCACGAGTCAGCCCAGATCTCTGCATTTGCGCAGTTTGAAGGCGTCGACTCTGACTCCTCGTACAACGTCACATTTACATTGAGTCTTGATGGCCAAGAGGTCGCGCGCGAGGTGACGCAGCCGAAGGACCGATATGCAGATGTGACCTTTGACGTGAAACAGCCGTCTCTGTGGTGGCCAAATGGCTATGGTGATCCCACTCTGTATGATATTTCGGTGTCACTTGAAAAGGGACAGGACGAGGTGCATCGTGCCTCCAAGAAGATTGGCATCCGGACTGCGGAAGTGATCCAACGGCCTGACAAGCATGGTAAATCATTCTTCTTCAGGATCAACGGAGTGGATGTCTTCTGCGGCGGGTCTTGCTGGATTCCTGCCGACAATTTGCTGCCTAGCATCAGTGCTGAACGGTATCGCAAATGGATCGAGCTGATGGTCGCTGGACGACAGGTCATGATTAGGTGAGATACTCCTGGCGATATTTGATAACTATTAACAGGTTGTAGGGTCTGGGGTGGCGGATGTTACGAAGATGACAGCTTTTACCAAGCGTGCGACGAACTCGGAGTGTTGGTATGGCAAGACTTCATGTTTGGCTGCGGCAACTACCCGACCTGGCCTGATCTGCTCGAGTCCGTCGAGCAGGAGGCTTTCTACAACGTCCGCCGACTGCGCCACCACCCGTCCATTGTGATCTGGGTCGGCAACAACGAAGATTACCAAGTACAGGAGCAAGCAGGCCTGGTCTACAATTACGAGGACAAGAATCCAGAGAACTGGTTGAAGACCGACTTTCCTGCTCGCTACATCTACGAGAAGTTGCTTCCCTCGGTTGTTGAGAAACTGACGCCATCGATATTCTACCATCCTGGTAGTCCTTGGGGCGATGGCAAGACCACTTCCGACCCTACGGTTGGAGACATGCACCAGTGGAATGGTAAGTTGGCCAGCTCTATCAAGGTGCTTTGCTAACTGTCAAAGTCTGGCATGGAACGCAAGAAAAGTATCAAATCTTCGATACCCTCGGGGGACGGTTCAACAGCGAATTCGGCATGGAGGCGTTCCCGCACCTGTCGACGATCGACTACTTTGTGGAGAACGAGAAAGACAAATATCCCCAGTCTCATGTGCTCGACTTCCACAACAAGGCAGATGGCCACGAGCGAAGAATCGCCACCTATCTGGTTGAAAACCTGCGAACGGCTACAGATCTCGAGGTATTCACCATGACCTCTCCTTCGTGACTCACAACTAACTGAGTTTAGACATACATCTACCTGACCCAAGTCGTCCAGGCTGAAACGATGATGTTCGGCTACCGCGGCTGGCGCCGCCAATGGGGTGACGAGCGACACTGCGGCGGTGCTCTCCTCTGGCAGCTGAACGACTGCTGGCCCACCATCTCGTGGGCCATCGTGGATTACTTCCTGCGACCCAAACCCGCCTTCTATGCCGTCGCACGGGTTCTGAACCCCATCGCCGTGGGAGTTCGTCGCGAGCACCACGACTGGAGCGTCACCCACGCCCAGCCCCCGAAGACCAGCAAGTTCGAGCTGTGGATCGCCAGCAACCTGCAGAAGGAGGTTTCTGGAAAGGTGGAATTGCGCTTCCTGTCTGTCAACTCTGGCCTCGAGGTTCGCGAGAGCATTGTCCACGATAATGTGAAGATCGTCCCCAACGGAACCACCAACATCGCTGACGGAGTCATCGACCATACTGAGTACCCGGAACCGCATGTTCTTGCGGCGCGACTGTGGGTCGATGGCAGCGTCACTGCGCGCGACGTCGACTGGCCCCAGCCGTTCAAGTACCTTGACCTATCGGACCGCGGACTAGAAGTGACCAAGGGATCGGGATCTGCTACCGAGCAGACGCTGAAGATCACCACTAAGAAGCCCGTGAAATGCCTGGTCTTTGAGGAGCGGGATGGCGTGCGAGTCAGCGACAGCGCCATGGATATTGTGCCGGGAGATGAGCAGGTCGTTACCATCAAGGGACTGGGCGAGAATGATGCGCCTTTGAAGTACAAGTTTCTTGGCCAGTAAGAATGTTGCTACTTGAAATGCTAAGCAATGCATATCTCCGATTCAGATTAACTACCATCCGGTTATCATCCGTAGAGCTTTCTCATTCCCTAGCTTCTCATTCCTTCTAGTTGCATATTCCCTTTCCACGGCCACTTTCCCAGTTTTAATTCACTAACCACTTCATGTGAATACTGTAATTTCTCTCCGCTTCCAAGATAATGGAATGATAGATTCTATCGCGCTCCTTCTCCTAATCACAACTACACCCTCCTACGATCAGCATACAGGGATTCCCTAGATCTTCAGCTAGCGAGCTCGCAATACAGAGGTCTCTCTCCTCAAACAGGGTCAAAGAGAACCATCTATCCTTTCTGCATCTCTCTTCATTTGAACCTTTTTGCCTACCAGAAGCTGTCAACTTGAAGCCGATGAGAAATGCCTACTCTTTGTCTTCCGCAAAGAAAATCGGACTGTGATACTTCTCGACGTATCTCGGATCCTGCAGTCAAATATATCTCCGTTCTCCAAGGTTGATACTTCCCGGGGAACAAAGAGTATCTTGCACCTTTGCTTGAAGAGGCATCGATATCTCTAGCCTCTTACTACAGAGCCCTGCCAGAAGATAGGTGCAACCATATCTCATCGGACGGACACTAGACCTAGCCGATGTTATGTGTACTCTGATCTGATCAGTGGGAGATGGAAAGAAAATACACTTTGGGAGAGGGGATCTACATCAAGTATGTCTTTCCTACTACGTAAACCAAGGCTATGCGACTAAACCTACCAGCAGCGTACAGATATGCCGGACGAATAAGAATAACCAGTAGCTTACCGACATGCCGGACGAACAAGAAGATTATCCAAGATGCGCAGGGATATTGAGCCTAGGCACTGCATATTGCATTCGGTGCGAAAAGACAAGTTGAAAAGATCAGAAGCCTTCAGTGACTAACTGCTTCCTAGCCTAGTGACCAATCCGATATGAGCGATTGCATTGCAAGGTTCCGGGTTCTTAAAAACGAGTCCAGTCAGAGCAACAGCAGTTATCGCATTTCTCAATTCCACTTCCAAATACCAAAGCATCAGAAGTACTCTCATTTGTTCTTGGGTGAAAGCTGACATCAAAACTCTTACCGACTTGATCGACCGGTTAGCCTTAATCCAGTCACCAAAGCGCTATAAGACCAAGAAAGATAGCGAGTTTATTGTTGCATTTGCCGAGATGACACAGAACAGCGTATCTGCCTTAATTACGACCAATGGGGATAAAGAGCATCCTGCAAATAGTCGACCCTCCCTTAGGCTGCGGTAAAATTGCTTCCGGCCCTCAACAAATGTCTTTGAAGGCTGCACAAGCCAACAAGCCCGAGGCGTTTCCTTGGATTGCAAACTGGGCACTTTCCGGTGTGCAATTCCCACAGCTAAGATATCCATCGCGTTCACGTTAATACATAATGAGGCGAGATATCTGCATCATGAGTCATGTGCCTTACCATGACAGACCTAGCGGCTTTTCACCAAAATCAAGTACTTCATATCATCGTGATCCAGGTGCTTGTTTGACACATATATATCAATGACAGAGGGAAGCAAAGGCGATAATGCTGTTTTTCTGCCATTTCTTCAACATCATCAGAACGCTGGCATTATATCCCAGAGGCTCATGCCTTCAGCTCAAGAATACCGCTGGCTTCAAAAGTGGAATCCCTATATTGGCATATCAAAACAGCAATATTAGCTGTGAACAGTGAACTAGCAGATAATAGCATTTCCTGTCTATTTTGACATGTTGTTATCTGCGTTAAAAAAGAAGAGGAAGGGTCCTTCTGGTTACCTGTAGAGTATGCTAAATTTGATTTGGTCTTGTTGTCTCGTCGTCGACCATACTCTTGCCTTCATTTTGTCTAGTCCCTGACTAGTCGACCAAGCAGGCACCGAACAAAGCCTACGGCGCCCCGGATCTCGCAGTGACAGCGTAACCTTGTGTCGGAAAGCAACTCATGCTTCCGCCATCTTGGAAAAGGTGGTAGACCAAATGATGATGTTTGGCGCGATGAGACCTACTTCTTCACTAGCCATGCTTGTGCTAGCACGAATCGCTTGAGGCCTCCCTAGGTATAAATAGGACCTCCTCTCCTGATCTATCTCCTCTCGTCACCCGCAGGTTTCGTTTGTCCTCGTCCTCGATCTCTCGATCGGATGTCAAGCAATTGTCCCTTCACGGTCTCAAGCGGTTCATCCTCGACATGAATAACATGCGTAACGTTTGGCAATGCAAACGGCCGCCTTCCTATACAAAGTTCTGTGATCAGTGGCCAGCCAAAGCTTTACTTGAAAACGTGTATATTCAAGACCCGAGTCAATGATGGCCGTTTGATTTCGACTCCGATGGACTTTCTCGAAAAAAGCGCCAGCCTCGCGGTACACCGGAAATTGTCTCTCATAACGGTCACGAACTCGGTGCAATTGGAAATCGCACATTCAGGGAGGTTCCACGGGTGGTCCGGTCCGGCGATGCTCAGGATTTGTACGTTGCCCTCATCGATCGGGTCAGCGACCCTCTAGTAACTGAACAGATCCACCGCACGTTGACCGAGCATCCTGGACATCGATTGACAAAGGAAAGAAAACAGCAAGGTCTAGACGTCTTGCTCACCCGCAGCTTGCAGTCCGTAGATTCGGTCTCTCTCCTCCACCACAAGTCCTTCCATGTTATATGTGGAGGTCTGTCGAGCCAGAACACTCGTTAATCCCCACAGGTCCCCTGAACCAGAACCGGAAAGCATCCTATTTCTTTGCGCGTCTTCGGAACGCGGAGCATTTCTTTGGTATCTGTGTGGTGAAGTGGCTTGAAGCCAGCGTACTGCTACTGCTGCTGATGGTTAAATTCTGATATTGATATGAATTCATCTCTGGTTGTTGCCATAGAGCTTCTGGGCTATCAGCACTGTCCGAAGTGTAACGAAATACGAACTTGCCTTTGGAAGTACCGTACAATACTACACCTGGCCCAAATGACCTTATAGACACACTTTGGGATATTGTCTGAATAATAGTAGAAGCGTACCTAACACTGGACTCTTCTAGGGCACAAGTGGTTGGTTAGAAGGGTATTCTATACTGCTTAGGTTTGTTGAGTTCAGCGTGGGTTGTCAACCCTTTGCCGTGTATCTCCCTTCTTTTGTCTGAAGTCATGTCAAGACGTTCGAGCTCTAGCAAAGGGGAGATGAACTGCATCAGTCTTTCCTGCTGCAGTTACGGAGTTCATCTTATTTTCGAGAACAAGGAAGTTATATCAGAACGAAGCTTTCCAAGGACAATTGACCCTATCTGACAGTTGATATGGACTTTAACACATGCTATAGCAATTCAATCCACCAGAAAAGAATTTCTCTTACAAATATTAACTTCCCCATCTTAGCCCTTTGGACATAATCATAGACCAACTTACTATACCCAGCCCATCCAACCCTTCCTCCTTCACCCAAATAAACAGCTAAACCTCCTCATTCAACCCCTCTCCCCTCTCATCTTTCCTCGTAACCGCAAACTCTCCCCTCGCATACCTCGACCTCCCATCCACCACCAACCCCTTCAAAGCCCGCCCAACCAACGGAACAAACTTCATCGCCCAGCCGGCCGTAAACAAAACCACAGACCCTGGCTCTGCTCCTCGAAGATACTCCTCAGGAAGCTGATCGAGAACGAACATATTATCTATCTCAACATTAATTCTATGCATCCAAACTGAGGAAAGCGTATGATGAAAAAGGAGAGAGAACATACCAAAAACATTCCCCTGCAAACAAACCGACTCGAAGACAGGAATCGACGGATTCACACCTTTCATAAACCGCGTCACAAAGTCCCGCGTGTTCGCAATATCCCCTTCGCTGACACCACACTCATTGCGCTGCGCTGGGTCCGAGATCCGTCTCGTCGCTGTGTCGACAGTTATGCGCGCCAGATCGGGTGGTCCCCATGGGAGAACAGGGTATCCGAAGAAGAGCTAGGAGCGGGTGTCGGGGAGGGAGTTTTGGAAGTGGAACCACATGCCTGTTTTCTTGATCAGCACATCCTTATATAAGATGCAGGGCTGGTAGAGTCTAGGTAGAGAGGTAGGTACGGACTCGGAATCTCAGTCCCCTGACGATCTCCATCTCCAGCCCCAGGATCAACGCTATAATAACTCCCTGCCATTTCCCAGATCTCGAGTCTCAGCTGGATACCGAAGCTAGCGCGGAGAATAGAGTTGATGTATGCTCCGCATGTCAAAACAATTTTGTCTGCGTGGTATGTAACCGGTTGGCCTTCTTGGATGGCGGATATGCGCCAGCCCTGTCCTACACTTTCTGGATCTAGTCGCGTAACCTGCGTGTGTGAATGCATCTGGGCTCCATTCTGCTTTGCAAGACGGTACAATGTCCTCACTAGAAGAGGAACGTTGATAATACCGTTATCCGGCGCGTAGATACCGATATAGTCGTCCGGGAGGTTAGTGAAGGGGTAGGACCTTTCGATATCAGATTTGGTATCTACCTCATAATCAGCCTCCCATGAAAGTCTAGGATCAATACAGAGGAAGGAACGCATACATACTGTATATTCCATACCCAGTCGTTTCAGATTCTCAATAGGGCCGAGGAGCGTTCCTGGATCCTCTCTCGTCAATAACCCACCCACTCCATCGACTAGATAAAACAAAGAATTCAACCAGATTGAATACTTACCTTCCGGACCTCTCTCATGATACTCCGGGTTCCCAAAATTCAACAACCCCGTCATCCAGCGTAGCGTCTCTCCTGCCTCCGCTTCAAGCTCCTCCCAGACCCTCATGCTCTCGTATGCCAGATCGGCCATGAAATCCTCCGTGTACGTTGTTCGGAACATGCGTTGGAGGTCACCGGAGCTGCCGGCCTGGTTATATTAGTCCATTTGTAACCTCTGGCTCTGGAGATAGGTGCCGGGTGTACGAGGAGGTTCACCTGGTTGAAGAAGTTGTATTGTTCGAGGACGACGACGGAGTGCCCGGCTTTGGCGAGTTCGTGGGCGGTCGAGAGGCCAATTGGGCCGCCGCCGATTATGGCGACGTCGTAGTTATTCTTGGGGGGCATTTTAAAGGATGAGGGTTCGAGGTGTGTACAAGGCTGTAGCGGTTCGCGGAGTTTGTAGTCTTGTAAGGTTGTAGGGTTGGGCTATGTCATCGTTGTGTAAGCGTTAGGCCTGTCGCATCAGGGGCTGAGGGAGTTAGATGGAGAATAAAAAAACTTCTAGTAAATATCTATTTTGAATGGAATATTCTTCCTGGTTTGCCATCTTCAGTGACGGTCACACATCTCGTCTTTAAGATAACCCAAGAGGCCGGTGGGTGCGTATGATCTTCAGCTCTACTTCCTAGAAATCCAGCATCCCATTTGCGAATTCCTCCCAAATTAACTACAGAGACGCAACCAAATCACCCTTCCCACCCCTTACAATCACCGAATCTCGCCCAGGAACCTGAACAATCCCTACAGTCCCCTCCGGCGAATCCCATCCCACAGTCACCTCCTCATCCTCAACCACAATCCTCGCCGAAAACCTTCCCAACGAAGTCGAAAACCCAGCCTCAAACGACCCACGATCAGACACCCCAGGGCTCAGCACCCACTCGCTCCCCGCCGGCTTCGTCACGCGCAATCCAACCATATACTCCGTCAAGGTGGACGTTGGACCCGCGCCCCAGCCATGCGCATGAGACACATACGGCTGGCCTTTCGTATAGCTCCGTTCCTCGCGATAGCTCCACGAACCATTGACATGGTATCCTTCTGGAACAGTGGACTGCGTTCCGTTCTCGTGTTGGATGTACCACCCCCAGAGTGATCGGATCAGCTCGAGTGCGCGATCGGGTCTCCCCGCGCGGAAGTGACCTTCGAGTTCGATGCTCGAGATGAACGGGGATATGTTGTTGGGGAGCTCAGGGAATGCGGGACCAATGAGCGTCCATTGGCTTGTGAGGTATTCTGAAACGAGGTCTGCTTGGGTGTCGGTGACAACGTTGTAGGCGAGAGCCATGGCGTTGGCGTCTTGGGGGTGGAGATTGGAGCCGGGGCTGTCTGTGAATGCCCCGGTGGATTCGTCCCAGAATTCGCGTAGGATGGATTTTCGAAGGGTCTTTGCTTGGGCGAGGTATTGCTGCGTGTAGTTTGTATCGATAGAGAGATCGGGGATCCAGGATGCGATGGTTGCTCCGGTTTCGAGGGCGCGGTATAGGCTTTACATGTTAACCATGACCAGCTAGAAGTGATGGAAGAGCCTACAGCATACTAGCGGAGCATCGCTCGGTCGAGTATTCGAATCTGCCCCAGTCATCCTCTCCGGTAACATTGACGATCCCTGACTCCGTAAGCAGGGACAAGGAATGGTTCATTCCCTTGACGTATTTCGGCCAGATCTCCGTCACAAAGTCGACATCTCCAGAGTAGAGAGGATAGTTGTAAGTGCCGATGAGGTTCCAGAGGTGGTACGCTGTTTTGTATCCAGACTTTCAGCCTGTCCCCTTGCTTCTACTCCAGATAACTTACTATCACTAGTCAACTTCGCATTCGGGCGTCCAGCCTTTGGAAACCGCCCATCCTCATCCTAACATCATCAGCACTGACCCCCAATCCCAACTCCCTCAGCATACCTGATGCGCATAGATCACCTCCAACGCATTCCTCGTACTGATTAAATCCCCCGTGCTCACAAACACACTCGGAACCGCCGTGCCCCATATCCCCATTCCATATGAACCGATCGCGCTTGGCTCCGTCCACAAGCACCGTCTCGGCATCAGTCAAAACCTCGACATTATCCCAGCCATCTCCATCTGGCGTTCTCAGCCCACAGTCCCCGGGAATCGTGTTCGTCTGCAACGTCCACGCCCCGGCATACCAGATCTTGTTGAGCAGGGCGTCGTCGGAATGGAAGTATCCTTGGTACGCGCGGAGGTCGGACCAGGTTGGTTGAACGGAGAGTTCTAGGGCGAGGTCGGTGATTGCTAGACTTGAATTCGACGTTGAGTTCACGAAGAGGGTGAGGTATCGAAAGCCACCTCTTAATTTGGCCGGTGGCATGGAATATGAACCATTGCCTCGCTCGTCGAGTTGTGCGTACACTGCTCCGTCGATCGTTCCGTCGCCTCTGGGACTGTCGGACTCGGTTCCAATGAAGTCTTTTGCTTCGGTGAATGCCAGCCCGCAGGTGAGTGCAGAGCCTGATAGGGTATAATTGAATGTTACCAGGCCTCCCACCTCCAGACCAAAGTCGACGAGAAGGGCGGGGGTGGCTTTGTCAAGGGCAACATTCTTTGCGTCGTATTTGAGCACGTTCTGAGGATCTGCCAGCGGAAAGACATCTCTGGGACGGACAATGCGAGATGTCGGGGCGAAATTGTTCTCGTCCCAGGGCCCGGGGAAGGCCGCTTGCTCAGGCCCCGTGCAATGGCTGTCGCGCCAGCAGGCATCGCCGAGAACGGTGGTGCTGAAAACAGCTATCAGGTAGATGAGTCGACGCATGGATCAAAATATTTGAAAGAATGATAGGATACTAAAATTGTCTCACGATTCAGCGATTCTAACGAGTATCCTGACTTATATCGTCACGCTTCCCCATGGGGACGAATGTTTCCCCGGCATCGGGGAAATGATACCGCGATGGCAGCTCTTCAAGGTATTCATTGGCTTGAATACGCAATGCCATGTCAATCAAGCCCTCAAAGGATGAACGCGGGCGAGCGGAAGCATCCGCAATGCAGATCTCCGGCCAGCAGGAGACAAGGAAAGGGATGGTGAGACTGCGTTCACTGACATATTTTCAAAGACAGACAAGTTGACTTAGTCCTATTAGAGCTTTCTTATTATCTTATCCCGGCAGCCCGGAAAGTCATCGCACAGACGGAGAAGGATAGCGGCGCTCTGCCAGCTCAGAGATCTATGCCTTTATTTCCTCATTTGAATCAGTTCAAACAACCCCTGCTTTCAGGGGTATAGAATAGGTACTGATATGCTCGTATGCTCGCTGAAAGTCATTCCGAAGCTAACAGACGATGTAGGTAGCATGATACTGAAGACTTGACGCAAAGACAAGCAGTTGAGGCAATGCTCGTATATTTAAGGGGCTATGTCCTTCGTTCTCCCATTTTGCATGGAATAATTTGTCTCTATAGAAAGTGCCTCTCCCAACGCAATGAAGCTCTACTTGGATGGAATTCCTGTGCGAGGGATCTTGCCCCTGGGCTTCCTGTTCCTCCAATGCACCAGTGCTGCTGCAAGCACCATCCAGCCATCGCCCAACAGCACCATCTCCTCTCGCCAGAGAATCAGGCTTCACATAGACTAGAAATTTTGGCAATCTGAGAGAATACCCGACGGAGTGGTCTACGACACACGCCCAGACACCGACGAAAATATCAAATTCCTGAAGCCCTGGAACCTCCCATCCGGCAACGATTTCATTGAAGATGCAGAAAGTCATCACCAGCGGCCAGCAAACCCCCCAGATGTCGACATTCCATTCCTGAGTCCAGGATACGACGATACCAATTGGACGATCGTCCGCGTGCCGCTTGACTGGGCAATCGAGGTGCCGTTTCTCGAAGCGCACCTCATCTTCGACGACTGGAAAAAGTCGGATCTGCGCTCGTTCATCCGTCGGGACCGCAACCACCCATCGGCCATCATGTGGAGCTTTGGTAATGAGCTAAATCGTTGGATATGAGACACAAAAATTAAGACATATCTTATTCCACTTTAAAAAGCTCAGGTAGGGCCCATTATTGCATCCATTCGCATTCCATGACTTCCCTAGCAGTTAGCCTCTTCTCAGGCTCGAACGCAAGCATATCTTTCAACATAGTAAGGAATGCAGACCTCTCAGCATCCGCCATCGCCTGCATGTTAAATTCGCGTCTTAGATCCTAGATCAAATCGTGAAACCGTTACTCCCAGGACCTTAAACTTGCAGCATTTTATCTTATCCCGTCATTATTAAACCACTTTAAGCGCGAATCCCATTTCTGCCACCACTGAAGTGGTAATTTGCCAAAAGTATCAACATTTTCTTTAATAACCCAGTCAGCAGACAGATTTAATCCCTCAAAAAGCGGGCGCTAACCCATTAACGTCCATATAGTGCACGCAAGCGTCCAGATATCAGCGGAGAATAAAAGCGACTCTTCGGGTTTAAAGTGTGTCTCTAGAGGGACTAGCATATACGGAGTGTTAGAGTGATATCGTTTTATAATAGCTGGCATAAAAGACTCCCCATAGTCAGTGACAACTATCTGAGCTTCAAATAGAGAAACACATTCGCTTGCTTTTCCTAGCCAGACGGGCCCAACAGCATACGTGGGGATACTATTATCAGGGAGTAGATGCTAATCTAGACAAATAACAGGCTCGTAATAAGGTTGTATATATTTTTCATAAAATTATTCTAGTAAAAGCGCATCCATGCGCTCTAGAAAACGAATTAAGATATTACCAGGATAAAGATCTGGCAACGTATTAATATAACCAACATGATAAATTAAGATAACAGAACCAAGCATATATACTCACCACCATGGACAATCCCTTGCAAATAAAGATATACCACCGCTAAAACTAGTTGGGCAGAGAAAGCTCTGGCCACAGGCAATTAAAACAGTTAAAAAGATGAAGCATCTTTAGCCTCAGCTAGGCTCATCATTCCAACCAGTATGACAAAACATTAATATACCCCGTTAGGTCCAGAAATGGTAAATTCATCCAATATAAGTAGTATAATTGCGCTGCCGGGATAAGACTTGGTCTTTAAATCTGCGATATTAAGTTGATAGAAAACATTTCTTTCTTAGGAGTTAGCTAGATCACTATCTGCGACCGCAATTTTAATGGCGACATATTTTTTTAGTTTACTCGTCTCTCGCCATCCATATGGTTGAGTATGCGCCAAAGCCAAGCTTATACACGACACAGTACCGGGAATTCAGCCATTCTCCTATAGTTATTAGATAATATCCTTCTAGACGGTATCGCTCAAGTTTCTCGACGTCCTCAATAAGTACATACTTAATTTTGTTGATCGCATGTGAAGTGCCACCAGGAACCACTGATTCCATTTTACTGGCAAAAGCTGCGAATGATTTGGAATATAGTAAGATATAGTGTGCAGTAACAATAGGGAACAAAGCAGACTTTGTAAGATAAAAGCGAATTTGCAGCAACATGGGAGAATTGAAACATGAAACTACACTTGCCCACATGGTATAAACCCAGTGCAAACTAAAGAATGGCCTTTCGGGTGAATTGCACTCTTCAAACTGCGCAGCGCTTCTGGTCGACGCAGAACGCCAACCTCCTGCACTGACGCTTGGAAAAGCAGGACACTGCCTTTTATCATTCAAGCCTTTGCCCGTTTAAGCATATATTTGGTCCAGATGTGTGAATCGATGATGAACGAAAGGGCGAAAACGAGGGAAACGAGGGACGATAGTGACTATCACCACGTGACTTGTCTCGGATTAAACTTTACCCGGCTTCCTTTGATGGAAATCTTTACTCCAAATTGACTATGACTATGTATGTCACTATATGTACCTGTTTTTCTACATTATTGTAAATTTCCTGCTGTAGACATCGCTGCTTTACTGAGGGCGCTCAGGGGCTTGCTCAGGCTGTGCTCACTAGGCTGCGGCAGCATCGGACGGATCGTACGATAATATCATATCGTATTGTATTGTAGCTGATATTGATATAATTATAATATTTAGATTTTCTGTCTAATATGACTATGATATTTAACTTAAGCTGTTAGATAATTATCTGATATTTATCTGATAATAAATATTACAAACTGTCCAAGACTTCTAACCTAAATAAGTTAGCATAGGTTATGTATTTTCTATAGTATTTTTGGAGTATTTAATATATAATTAATTTTATATTTACTAGCGCGAATTAATATCTTATAACCTTTTTTATTAATTAATATACTTTATTACTCTTTATTACAATAATAAATATTTAATTATTTAAGATTATGTTACAGATTATTAAACTTAAATTTATTTAATTATTTTAATTTTTTCTGAATCCTCCCTGGTCATCCCTGCGTGTATTCTTTAGTTAGTATCTTAGAAAATAAAAGATTATTATTACTATTTTCCTGAGGCTTAACAGTACTATAAGGCTGCTTATATTATAATTACTTATCTTAAATTATAATAAGTATAAGAGTTACCTGCTTAACTACATAGTTATTACCTAAGTTATTATATAAATTATCTAATATATTCTCAGCTTGATAGCCCTTTTCTTTATTATTATTAATTAACTTGATATTATTAAGTAATAAAGTTAGCTTTTATATTTAATTAAGTATAGTAATCTTACCGCTAGAGAGATATTTTTTAATTATTTTAAATTTAGTTTATTAAAGCTCAAACTTTAATATAAATAAATAAAGTATTAAAAATTAGATTATTTCAGGTTTAAGCTATCTCTGGCAATAGTAATAGATATTATAAGCATAGTTAAAAAACTGTTTAACACCAGTACTACTAGCAGATATTACTAAAATATCCCGTGCTATTACTATAAGCACTAGATACTTATACTTATACTCCTTCTAGAATACCCTTAGCTTATCTTTAATAAAATCTATTAAATAATTTAACTAAAAAGCTTTATAATAAAGCAGGGGAGTATATAAACCTTTTATAAAATATTATATAATTTTATTTTCTAGCCGGTTAACTTTATCTTATAAAATAATATATAAGTTTATTATAAGATTAAGCTCCTCTTTATTAGGTTCTTGAGTGATTTAAGCTTAAGAAAGCTTATTTTAAGAGATAATATATTATTAATATTAGTTAAATTCCTTTTATAATTTATCCTGATAAATTAATATCTAATAAATATCTTTTTTTTTTTTATTTTTCTCTTTCCAGTTATTACCTTTAAAGAACTGAAGTTTTTTTAAAAGATATAAAATAGTTATAATTATATAGACTATATTAAATAATTCAGTGTTAGTTACTTTATAGTACTTTGAGAGTTTCTATTTCGCTATCTATAATACTTAAAGTATTCTTTTTTTCTAAGAGATAGTCTTATATTTTAATAACTCCTTAATATTATTAAGATAGCTAAAGAGCTTATTATAAATATTAAAAATAAAATAAATAATAATATCTTAAGTCTTTAATAAGATCTTAGTATAATAAAAAAAAGGTTTTATAATCAAAAAAAAGATACTCTACTTAGTATTATTCCTCTAAATTAAGCTAAAATTAAATATACTAATAGGTTAAACAGTACTAACCAAAAACTCCTTATAGCCTCTTAGTATGTTCTAATATTAAGAAAGTAAAATTCTAGTGTATATAAATATCTTAAATAAATAAAAACTTTAGCTCTATTATTTAAAGCGCCCGGAAAGCCTCTTAGTATTAAAAATTAATATTAATAAATATAGTAAGCTCTTAAATCTAGAATATTTTAATAATTATAATCCTGTGATATAATATGAT